TCAAGCATGAGCGAGGACAAGATTTAAGCATTGTTCATTTCGGATCTGGGAAGCAAATAAAAAATAAAAAATAAAAACCCTCATCAATTTATTTACATTAATTTTTTTCAAGTGCAGCACTCCTCCTAGATCGTCACCCTTCCCTACCTGCCTTGATTTCAGCTGGTGGCGTGAGGAGATCCACCGTTCCCGCATTGCAGCCTTCAGTGGAGCTTGGCCGACGATCGCTTCCTTTTGTCGCTTGACGGCGATCACATCTGTACCTAAGGAATATAATCCGTATCGCACACGATAAGCTCCCAGATCCTTGTGTCGATCAGTTCGTCCCATCTGTTCTCCAAACGATGATAGGTTTCAGATTGCGATCGCTGAACTCACAATTGTCGAATGCTTGGTTATCATAGTCGTATGTGGCCTGGTGGAGCGCTGATCTTGGATAGACACAAACATTTCGGCTTGACTTAATTCTACGCTTGAAGATAAGTGCTGCATATGATTGGTGGGTATTAAACTGCTCTTTCGAGGAACACTTTGTATCATGTGGACCGATTCATTGAACCACATGGCGACATTACGGCACCGAGGCCTTAACAACGGATAGCGCTCGGGTTGATGGACGATAGGGGTTTCTTGCACAAAACAGGAGGCCAGGGCTGGACGCATTCGAGTCGTCCAGGAATCCATGAGTATCGGGCATGAGACCTGTTCTCGAAATATTCGGGATAGGTATTGCTAAAGCTAGATCAAAAGGAGCATCTCCTCCGGTTTCAACGCCCTATTGTCGCCTCAATGTCAGAGTTGTTACTTGTAATTCTGGTTCATCACCCTGAAGCTAGATATCTACAGCCCGCTGGTCCAGCGCAAGCTTTTGGTATTGCAACGAATCAAAGGAGATCAAGGGCGGTCGTGCTGTATTATAGAGTTCGTTGGTGTTTCACATCAAAGTTCACCTACCCAAGGAGCGTGGACGAATGCTTGCAACGCATTGCAAGCTTGATTTCTACCTCATCAAAGTATCTCTGGTCTCGTTATCTCCAACGGAACAGCAAAATTCGAGTCTTGCATGCTATGAGACAAGCGTCACGCTTGGTCCGGCCTCATAACCAGCAGAAGGTTGCGACCAGCGTGCCGCTCGCTATCCGGCAAGCATCTACGAAGCCTATTGTATGGGCGATGGGGAGTGGTTCGTGAACGGTTCGGAGCACGTGGATTGCGTAGTGACAGTATTTGTACGGCCGTTGAAGCGAGGCAGTCCACTAATCAAGATGACAGCTCTGTAGCAAAAGCTTGGCGTTGAGAAACAAGCGCCTGCAAGAGTCATTCAGGTGCGAAAGACCGGCCAATAACACGAGTGGCCAGACAGGTCGGGCAGAAGATTGTGAGGCTGGGATGAGCAATGATGGCGAACTCTCGGATCCCCGGCATCGACTACGTGAGACAACAGGTCTTGTGCTGCAAGAACTAAGTGCTTGCGTCAAAGTTTCCCCTGATTGAGTGTGAAGCAAGGCCTCCAGATTGAAAAACTCAGTGGCTTGATTTGGCCAATATGACGGTATCTGAGACTGATTTGCCGCTCTATACCCGGGGTCTTTCCCGCCCAATGGGGACAAGTAGATCTACTGGATGGCTGGAGACAACGGCTGTGGCTTCAGCCGTGAGGCATGGCTCGAGAGGTACCGCGAACATACTTTAGCTAATGCGAGGGATTTTTGCACATCTGAATGATGTGGCATGGATCCGTGCCAAGCTCATCAACGATGACTCAATTGAGTTCATAGACGGATAGATAATTACAAAAGCATATCATAGGTCGCCCTACGCGATCAGGTCACGAGGCTGCACGAGCAAAAGATTGGGGCTCATTTACTGATCTCTTGTCGCGCCGAGACACTGAAGCTGTGGGATGATGTTCGCACATTATGCTTTCAGGGACGGAGTCCATTGTCATGCGTGCTCAAACTTAACTCGTCAATATTAAAACGTCATGGCATGGAACAACGACAAGGCTTTGGAATCTAATGAGCAATCTGAAATCATCGTCAACAGATCTGAGTAGTAAAATGTAGCATCATCCAGGCAGCTGCCGATCTTAATAACGACCAAATCTTCCATCAGAGACATGAAGTCCTGTTACAATTGTATGGAAGGGTTCGAGAAAGCGAATGGCTTATTAGGAATCGTATTTTGTTGCATGCTACGGACCTCCATCATCGCAATGTGACAATATGTCGAGAGATAACTGTCGTTGAGTTGGACAGATTGCGCCCTTCAATCGTCGCTCATTCATAGAAACTAATTAAATGCAACATTGTCAAAATATTTTCTTCCTCTTCACTACCGACGATGTAGACCTAAGGGAGCATACCAGCTCTAGTATCATTGCTTGCATGGCAGTCACTAATGAGTATATTCTTATAGACTGCACACTAGTGGAAACTTTGCTTTGCAATTGCTCGTGATACCGTAGTTGTACTGGGACGAATAATAATTCTTGATATGCCCCATATATGTACCTGATTATTTCAGAGACTATTGTAGCAAATAATATTGTCATGGAGCATAATTATGAAACTTCTGTCCACAGGGGACTTCGATGATTAACAATATTATGTATCTTGATGGCCTAGTTTCATTCATAGTTTAGGTTCATGCCTGTTTAAACATGTGGACATTCGTAATGAGAAGCAAAGGACCGGAGCCTTTGCAAAGATGATAGATTGCTATAGTTCAGTTATTTGATGTGCGGACCGTGACAGCTTTAGCAGCTATGAACGGCAACCTTCATGTTACCGTTGGACTGTACGTTGAGGGCAGCGTTCTGTTCTGTTACATTATAAGGTCATCGACGATTACTCTGACGACTGTGTGAAGTTGCAATACATAAACTCATTAGCACGTGCCAGATATGCAGAAGCGAGACAAAACCCTCGCCATACCATGATTTGTATCATAACTTTCAACATGATCACTCTCGGCCGCGATCTTGCAAACCGGTACGCAATGGCCCTCTGGCACGAGACTTCTTGGAGACGTCCAGAAGAGAAACTTGTAGATGGTGCATCGTACTACACGAAATTCTATGCACCTACAACGGTTGATGATCTTCTATACGATGAGACCTTACAAAATGGCCATATGATAGCACCTCAAACTCAAGGATGAACTGCGGAGCTAATATAGCCTACTTGTGTTCAATACCAACAGACAGCATCAGTATATATCATCCCAGAGTCCTCAAGCGACAGAACAGGAGACATCCCATGGCAGTCAATAATATTGCAAACGAAAACCACGCATGTACCAAGGGCTCATCGTCGTTATACCCTGGTCTCATGTACATGCACGAGATCAGGACTTTGCGATTGTATCCGGGCTCTCCGGATGAGCCACTCTATGGGAATCACGCAGTTGTCTAGCTTAGATAGGCCCAATCGCCCAGTGAGCACTACGAAGCCCTTTTATACGCTTGGAGAGACGAAACAGGATATTCAAGACAGTATAGACCGATGTTCATCGGACCGTACTGAGATGTTCTCCTGATGACTAAGAACTGTGACAACGCACTCAGAGGCGTGAGACGAACATAGTTGTATCGAGACATCTGAGTTGACGCAGTCTGCATCAACCACACCGACGAAGACGAGCGATCTGCCCGCGTTGGACTCATGCCGCGGATATTTAGCAAAGCCCGGAAAGTTCTGATATAAGTGGGCGAGCCTTCCGCCGACAGTGATGTTGCTCTTGATGAGGTCAGCCCTTAGCATACACATTCAGCTAGCTTCTGAAGAATTGTTTACATGGTCAGAAGAGCATCCATTTTATTGCCCCCTGTGAAGCGTATAAAAAAAAGAAGAAAAAAAGAAACCCACTTTGAAGTGCACGTTCCAGCGTCCTTACTTCAAAAGGCTGTGGGTTGTTCAAGAGATTGTTCTCATAGGATCCGTACAGCTCCATAGCGGTCCTAGATCGCTTGCCTTCTTATCCAATAGACTCGTTCGTCTCAACGAGGGAATAATCGTCAAGTTTCCGGGATGGGACCAAATACCAGGAAAGTGGAGCCTAGGATGCGAATTCTTGAGACTCATATGTTTGATCAGAAGACATTGCTCCTAGTGGACATAATGAGTCAAACCATCAGAATCTCGGATAGTGGTTGCCTTATCTGGTTTTGTGGTGTAGGGGCTTATGCAATACCACGCCGGAAAAACGAGGCAAACAAATATTCGCTTGTTAGCATGTGCGAAATCAAATGTTAAGGCTTCCTACGGAACTTGCCCCTAAGACTTTCAGTCAGTCAGTCCTGCGGAGCCTGACGGCGACGGATCTCCCCACGTAAGATCAAAGCACCCTTGTTGGTCTATAAAGAGATACAAGAGCGGCAGCCACTCCCGAGATAGACCCCCAGACTGCTAGTATCTTGCTCGTTTAGTATATCTAAAGAAAGTACACCTGACACTATGCTATGTACAGACCGTATCCGCGACTCCTTGATAACACCACGGGGATACAGAATTGGAACGGAGGACGTGCTCCCCACACTACCGCGGGACGAGAGCTCGTCGATAAAATTGACTGAGGCCAGAGCATGGCTAGCCCAGAGGGATGAGTTCAGCTCGACGCTGAGGAACCCTATCGTTCCCTTCAGGGATCCGTCCGTGTCCAGAATACTCTGATGATTGGTGTGCTCAAAACAATCACCACCAGCTCAGATTTCCTCGTTATCTAATTATGGCAGAATAACACGAATCCACCACGTAGTTCAAGCACGAGAAAACGTCACTGTGGCCTTGCGCGATCCCTTTCTAAGAGGGATATAGACAAAATGAGGGACGGAAGTCCCATCCTCGCCTTTGTTTCGTTTGGTTTTAACACCATACTATGACAATAAACCTTCGTTCAAGCAACGAACCTCTTGTATCGTGCTTTGCATTCTAGTGTGATCAGCGTACATGTTCAGGACTGCTATCATAACTGCCACACTAAATAAAAGCGTGTCCTTTTTATGCGCCGACACGTGCACTCCGACGGGCGAGCTGCTGGCGAATCAACTTGTCGAAATCCAACTTGTCGCCTTCCTCCGGTACATGCACGCCGCTGGCAATGCAAAGGATGCGCATGTTGTCGTCGTAAGCCAAGCCTGTGAGGAGCTTGGGTGTGATAAGGAAATACTGGCTCGTGTGTTCCTTGCAGGCGATCTCGACCATGCGCTCGTGCACCATACGCTCGTTTCGGGGGTCCATACCCTGATTGATCTCATCGACGACACGAAAAGGTGCCTGCGCCATGGACTGCAAAGCCATGATGTAAAATACAGTAGAGACGGCACGCTCACCACCAGATTGGCGGTGTTGGTTCAGCAGCTGAAGCTCCTCGTTCTGACGGAACTTTACTTTGATCTCGATGGCCCACTGCTCGAAATCGTCTGGATGCTTGAAAAGACCGACCTCGCCAGCGCAGCTTATCCTTTCGAAATTCCTCCCAAAAGCTTCGTTGACAGCTGCGATGATGGTGTCTAATCTCGGCTCGAACTTTGACATCAGTTCCTTAATCTGTTCTTCGAGGCGCTCGAGCTTGCCATTCAACTCCTCGTTTTGCTTTTGTAGCTGCTCAATCTTCTTGGCCCTTTCATCAAACTGGCGAAGAACACTCGGGTCCACTGCGTGGATAAGCTCAAGCTTGGCCTCTTCTGCGCTGATTTCTTGGTCAATTTGTTCAAGGGATTTGTTCGCTACCATCACCTCGTAGCGATCTAGGTCGCCGTCTTGGCCTTGAGCGACAATGACGTGAACCCGTGTTTGAGCTTGCTTGGCATCGGCTTTGGCGAGTGCAGCTTCGTCAGCGGATGCCTCGATTTCTTGCTTCTTCTCATCAAGCTCCCGGACGATGTCACTGTTCCGTTCTCTCAGCCCCCTGACATCAGAAGAGGCCTCAATAAGCCGAATGTTCACCTCTTGAACAGCAATATGAGCGTTGCGAATCTGTAAGACTGTTTCTTTGTGGTGTAGGATAGCATGCGCTTTCTCCATCACTAGCTCATCTCGTATGAGATCTTGCGTCAAAATCGTGGCTTTGCTTGCACGAATTGCGTCCAAGGCTCTCGCCAGGTCGATGTTCTGTTTTTCTGTTCTCCGTTAGCACATCAGAAACTACTATTTCGATGACTTAGTGTATGCCTTACCTATTTGATCTGGTATCGCTGTCCATTGTGTGTGTACTTTTTGTAATTCGCTCTTTTCTTGCCTGAGTTGTTGCTACCGAGAGTTAGTACTAGTCAGAGTCAGAGTATGATGTGACATACGATCTCTCGAGTCACTTCTTCTTCTTTGCTCGCAAGCTCGTCGACCTGGGCTCTGAGATCTTTGTATTCTTGGACAAGGGTCTCCCTCTCTGCGGTCTTCTGGCCCATACGATTTTGCAACTCGTCCTTCTCGTTGGGATCAACGTCAACAGCTTGGCCGGTCCAAAACCTGCCTTGGTTGACCTTTCTGGTGCTAGTCGTGGTTGCATCAGGGCCGTACTCTCTTCTCCGAATGACCCGGAAATATGTTTGCCCCGTTGCCCAGGTGTTTATCTTCTGCCCACTCTGTAGGGCGTCGAATTGTTCAGACTTAAGTTCACTCAAAGCGATACCAGAAGCATGCAAGAATCTCTCGGTGCAAAGCATTGCAAGAACTGGCTCTGGACCTTCCAAATAATCTAAAGCAAACCCATCCAAACCGAGGCGGCGGACCTCATCGGCTGCCATTGGCGGTCTCAAGGATTGGAAATCTGTATTGCAAGTTCGAATAGTGACGGATAACTTCATCATGCCGTAGAATTGATCACTGAGCTTCTTGTGATCGGCTCTGGTCTGACATGTGAAGCAGAGAAAGTCGTTTTGTTGCAACATGGATTGTACCAGATTCGAGTAGCGCTCATCCTTCAATGAACATGTGAGCATAGGGGGGCCAAAGACCTCCTTCTCAAACTTGTCCAGATTGCTTTGAAGCCATTCCCAGCCTTGATGAGCGTCCGGGCTCACCCTCTTGAGAAAGCTGGCCTTCTGACCCTCTTGGGTGGTAAGAGCCTCAATGCTACTCTTGATCGTTTGCATCTCGGCATTCACACCCCTGCCCAAAGTTTTGGTATCAGTGGCTCTCTGGTCAGCTTCACGCCTCTCTGTCACTATATCGCGTAGGTTATGCTCTTTCTCTCGCTGGATGCGGTGTTAGCAGGACTATATGATGCATGGCGAAGGGGAACCCACAATCTTCTGATTCCATTCTGTGGAATCAAATTGTGGAGGCTGGCTTTTGTAGTCGGCCTCCAATTTGGTTTTCTTTTGACGGATTCTGCGCGCATCCGCCTTCTTGTTATCAAACGACTTTCTCTCGTTGTCGATCTGATTCAGAACACCCTTGATCTTGTCCTCTACAGATTCCACTGCACGAGAAGCCTGCTCAGCAGTGGTCTCAGCATTTCTCAGAGCGCGCTTGCGCTGATCGAGAATGACCTGGATTTTGTGCTGATATGCCTCCTTGTCCCTGACAGCTTCAAGTGCTGGGGCCATTGCCTGCTCAAGGCTGCGCAAACGTCTCTCTGCATCCTTCTTCTTTGCATTTGCCGCCTTGTACCTGGTGCGAGCGATGTTGTATTCGGCGCAGCAACGTGCCTTCTTAATGTCCTGGACGCTCTTCTTGATAGCTTCTCGCTCATTCAGCCTATCGACGTCGGCTTGAAGACCTTGCTGGCGATCTTGCAAGTTTTTTAACTGATCCACGTCGGTCTCGGCCCTCGTCTTCACACTCTTAAAGTCCTTGAACAAGCCTTTCAACTCGGTTTGATACGTGATCATTTCCTCGGGCGCAGCGGCTCTGAGAGTTTCGTGGAGAAGCTGGACGGGGGAAAGGCCGGCGAACTCGGCGACCTTCTCCTGGGGAAGAAACTGACACAGGTTGTCGCAGGCTATTCTCAGACGGGCTACAAGAGCTTGGATGTGTTTCACGGGGGTCTTCTTGTTGTTGAGCCAGAACTCGCGTTTGTCGTTCTCTCTTGTGATTTCGAGGCGGATAACGTGGTTGGACCTCTCGTTGGGACGCTTCTGTAACTCGATTTCGATAGTGGCTTCATCCTGGCCATGAGTGACATACTCGCTGAACTTGGTTGCACGACCGAGAACACTCGTATTGTAGCCAAGGCCCAAGGCCAAGGCGCATACCAAGGAACTCTTGCCGGTGCCGTTGGGCCCAATGATCATGTTCAGATTTGGGCCGGGGTAGAATACGGCCTTCTCGTAAGTAACGAAATTGACTAGCTTCACTCGCACGACGGCTCCGGGGGAGTATTCGGCAGGATTGTTCTGAGATGCACTCTGTGATGGGCCGTCTTCCTCTTGGAACTCGTCTACTTCCTGGATTTCTTCGGCTTCGTCTTCGTCATCGGAGTCGCGACGCCTTTGACGCTTGGATGATTCCGCTCCCGGCGTTGACTGCGCTTCATCGTCATCCTCGAAGATGGATCTCGAGCGGCGACGGGGAGGCATCTTGGCGCCAGGAAGGGGAGCCTTTCCTTGTTACGCAGTGGCTGTTGGAGGAACGGAGAATCTCGGTGGCAAAAGTGGCAGCACTCGGCTAGATTTGCGCCCGCCGGGGGTTTTCAATTTTGTTCTTATTCTTTGATTGTTATCGTTGTTCAGGTTGATTACTTTGGGCAAATTGTTCAAACGCGTGGTTCAAGTTGCGGCTGCTGGGGAGACGCGCACCGCGTAAAGTTCAAAGTAACCATAGTTATTTATGGATTACGTGCAGTTAAGGCCAGTCTAACCTAGACTAGTCTGCAGCAACGTTGATTGATGCCACCAAGATTTGGTTCAAATGGCGGGGTTTATCTTGAAGTATTGCCCCGGTTAACCTTAGACAACATGGCATTGGCCAAGTTAGTGGATGGCTTCGTTAATGCATGTCGCGTGAACGCACCTTGCCTACGCTCTTGAGCAGTCGATCAAGAAATTACAACATGCAATGATGAGTATTCAAGTGTGGATTGCGGCTCAGGTAAATTACTAACCTTAGTACGTAGTACTGAGCCTTAGCTCCCCTATTAAGCCTCCGTCCCAAAAACACCAGCAGCCAATGATGCTTGCTTCATTATACCCACTGCCGCATAAATCGGTGACAGCGTGCTAATAAGCTGTAAGGCGATACGGATGCAAGGCAGAATGGTGCAGGGTAAACGGCGAGAATGCGTCATCTTTCCCGAGGCCCCTTAGCTACGAGCCTGAGAATACGTCAATCCTCAGCGACGAATGGGTCCCGCAACTCCTTTGCTAGCGGCATGAGTGTGTATGGTCTCGATGAAACATCCAAGTGGCAGCTGCTCGAGTCAGACTGGTCCTAGGTCCATATGAGTGAGGTTAGTATAATCAGCTCCCTATACTCGTTCTTCTTCAATGCCAGTTGTAGAGCAAAGGGGTTGATGAGCTCTTTAGACTCGAAGAATGCTAACCTAGTACCATCGTCGCCGCTTCGATGGGAGGAGCTGTGCCAATATTCTTGGGAACGAGACACTGGAACGCCTTTCCCAAGCATGAATGGCAAAAAAAAAAATCCAAAAAAAAACCATGCAGTCTTCTCTCTCATCGAGGAGTTTATCGCCGGCACCAGTGAGACCTGCAAAGACATGCCGATGCAGATTGCACTGACCGGTAAAATCGGATCATCTCCTGACCAAGGTTCACGAAGCATTTAGTCAGCGAAATAGGATTCGGCACTCCCATTCTAGTTGGTTGCTAGTATTCATCATCGCCTATACGCCTGCTCCATCCCATTACTCTGCTTTGATATGCTGGGCTAGACTCGCTGCCACGTCACGAGTAGTAGCACTGTCTATGAACTCCACAATCTCTTTAATCAGCGTTCCGTCTTCGATCGTCTTAAGCACTATCATGTACTCATTAGAGTACGGGCCAAAGTCCGTCTCGCCTGTAGACTTGAGATGCAGCAGGACCTTGCGGGACACTTCATCGACAATCATGTCCTCTCCCTCAACGATACCAATCTGGATGTTCCGCAGCATCTTGAACCCAGGCAAAATGAAGGCCTGGTATTCCTCGTTGGTGCGAGGTGGGCTGTTCCATGGTGGAGGAACGCTGGACGGATGGATAGTTTGTTTGCAATCTGCGGTGCGGGATGCTATAACTCCTTCCGCAGTATTGGTATTGAATCCCGCTATGTAGCTGTTGGCTGTTTGAATGAGTGTGCTCCGGATTGTAGACATCTTGGTAGAGTGGTAGTAAGCCCTCAATCAAGACTTCATTAATGCCGAAGTAAAGATATTGTTTCATGGTGGCAGAGCATATGGAAAAGGGAGAATGGAAGCATTTATAAGGAGGCGGGCCTGCACGGTGGCACGTAATTACCAATCCGTAGTACACTGTTTATGCAAAGACCAGGTGCTGTGCCTCAGATACCTATGTGCTTTGCACACAACGGATGGCTAATTGTTCTCGGTGAAAAATTCACCTCGGATTTGTCACGGCAATTAGTATCATGACATGATGGCATGTACCCCGGCAAGCCCGGAAGGATGAATCTGATGTCTACATCCCTCACATGAAAATGTGAGCAGACTGACAGAGAGGGAGCAGGCAGGGGAAGAGGAGGGCTGCAGTGGCGGCCGAGAAGGCACAGAACCCAGCCAACCCTAGTCTTGAGCGTGAGGATCTAATACTAAGACTGTAGAGGACAGGAGAATTGTAAAAGGCGGTTACAATGTAGCAGCGTGTGGTTTTCTCATCGAGTAAAACGGCTTACCACCCAAGTACGTAGCAATCGCAGGAGTACCCCCTGCACGTTTACCCGGTCTCCTCCATTAGCTCTTGATGGGCAATGAATTGAGAGGCACTCTTACTGGAGATTCAAGTTACAAAGAGCTTTGGTCATTCAGAATCAAGCCTTGCAGAAAACAGGCGCGTGTATATAGATAAGGTGACAATCTGCCATAAGACGTTCGGACAGAGTTGGCAGACTTGATAGCGTTTGTGAGCACTTGTAAATGCAGTTATATTTCATTCAAATTTATAAAGATTTACTATTCCGATCCGCTCATAAGCGTTAAGCAAAGCTAATGTATGATTGAATAAGCCGCCATGAAGTTTGTAGCTCACTGCACAATACTATGTAACTCATTTCGAAGATCAGATCATATTGCAATTTCCTAACCACACTTCCAAATATCAATATGGACATGGGTCTTCCTCAAGCGCGTAGCTGACAAGCTGGCGTCGCCGAGAGAGTCAAGACTCCCAACACGCTGTCCCCAACAATACCGCGGTGTGCACGCCCAGGGTTGGGTCGACTTCTCCTCCGCGACGTACGTGTTCTGGGTCTAGCTCTGCCGGCCGCGCTCTTTCTGGTTCGCTTTCTGAACGTCTTCGGCGTGCTGCACGCTGGCGCTGCTGTTCGCCACAGTGCGGTGGGTCGTTCTCTCCGGCCTCCTCCTCGTGCACCAGGACGTCACCGACAACGGGCGCATCGGTATTGGGAGTAACGCTGTGCTGCTTTTCTTGCCTCCGCTGTTCCCGCGCCGGCGCAGTGATAAGCCGTCTACCCCTATGGAGACTACTCGGGCGCATGACGGCCGGACTGACTGTGTGTGGACACTTGGCTGGCAGAGCGCCCCTTACTACGCACTCGCGGCTGTGGGTGGTTCTGCGCTCTCGGTCGGGGCTATGGTGACGAATGTTGAACTCGACGACCTTAGAAAAATTGCTCGCTGTGGTTCTCACAGGGGTTCTGGGCGATGGGTCTGGCAATCATAGCAGACCTGAAACACATGAACTGTTTATGAGTGTAATTCGATCTCCGACAACCAAGCAGTGTGTGAATGCAATTGGAAGCCGACTAGGAGTCTGGAGTCACCATCACGTCTAGCTCCGACATATGGCAGTGCGATAAGGATGACGATAGAGCAAACGACTCACAAAGGACAACTGTGTTTCCAGCCCCGGCAAAAATTGCATCTACATCAATATTTAGGCGAATCAACCCCCCCCCCCCCCCCCCCCCCCCCCTCCCGCGTCCTCGACCGCGACACACGAATTTACTTTGAGGTCTGCTCTTCACTAGGAAGCCTCTGAAGTCTCATATATTTTCTTAAGACCAAAGCATGAGACACTTATATGGAACGTCCTCTGCAGATTGACAAAGATTATTTGTATTTGATGCGAGGCTTCACGTATCGCAAGATTCACGCTTGCTACAACTCACCTGAGCACGAAGTAAGGCATAGGCGACTAATACTTAAGTATTGAAATATTATATGCATCTTATCCTTCCTAAATGACCACCTATACTCATGGATCCAATAGTGTTGCTTGGTTGACACGGAGTAGCCAGGCAACTGCCTTGTTTCAATCTATCGATACAACATAGCTTGGTGTCGTATTTGCAGTTGTCTTTAGTTGTGCTTATTTTAAGCTTCATAACTCTAACTTGTCATCTTCTAGGAGAAAGGAGAGTCTATCGTGACAGTGTGAGAGGTTATATTGTGCATGTTGGGTGACACGCATTAATTCAGTGCATCACCCAAATATTCCGCCATTAAAAATTAAAATTAAAATATAAAAAAAATGTATCGAAAGAACTAGTCCAGAACGTACTTAATCAGGCTGCACGTGGTCTCTTTTCTGAAGATCTGTTCGTTCGGTTCGTGACCGGCCGGGTAACACAGCTGCGGTTGGACTTCAGAGCTTCAAATTGAAGCTATCCCACTGCCTCACGCTCACACCCAGCTGTCTTCATCCACCTCCGCATCACACATCAGCGTACCCATCGTTACTCTTCAATAACACGAGTTACTGCAAGATGAAATTGGAGCTTCCAGCTAATTGAACTGCTCCCTGCCCGTCGCTCTCTACTGCATTCAGTTTCGCCGTATTCCCTTTTTTTTTTTTTTTTTTTTTTCCTTCAGCCCGCCAGCAATTTATGGAATTGCGCCTTCCATCAACTTTTACGTGCATTCATTGCGACGCGTCTCACAGCCCACATTTCCACCTCCATCTCTCCTTCTTCGAGCTTTGACTATCTTCACTTGCTTCTCAAGAAACCTCCCCCATCTCTCACAAATTCCCTACCATAAGCCGCACAAAACCTCATAGATTGCCCGAACATGCTGTAATATGGCGTCGAGAGGTTCCTCTCAAGCACGATCTTCGCGGGCTCCCCTTCTTGATGCTACCGATCGCGTTCTGAACAGTCAGGTGCATCATACTGGACGGAAAATTCACCCACAAGTCGTGCAAGCAACTCAGTTGGGAATGAACATAACCTCCAACTCGAGTCGACAAAGCGAGCGTACGCGCACCAGCGATACAGACCCGAGGCACGCGTCTGCTTCTACGAGATCGCGGCCCACCGTTAGTAATATGGAGGATCGCGATCCGGAGAAGCGAATTTCACAGATTTCGACCTCAAGTGGCGCGTCGAGCGGGAAGCGCAAGACGCACATTGGACCTTGGCAACTCGGGAAGACTCTTGGGAAGGGTTCAGCTGGCAGGGTTCGACTTGCCCGACATCATGCTACTCGAGAACAAGTTGCCGTCAAGATCCTACCCAAGCATGGACATACCATGACTCAAGCTGGTAGTCTTGCTGCCATTGACGATTGGGACCGGCGGCAGCCCGAGTTCGCTTCGGAGAAGCGCATGCCCCTCTCTATCGAGAGAGAAGTTGCCATTCTGAAACTCATCGACCACCCCAACATCATGAAACTGTATGACATCTGGGAGAACCGATCTGAAATGTAGGCATCCCGCTATTAGTTGTGCTATTCGGATAGCGGCTGACTTGACACGATCTTAGTTACCTAGTCCTCGAATATGTTGAACGAGGCGACCTCTTCGACTATATCAATTGCAACGGCACCATTCCGGAGCCCGAAACCATTTATTATTTCCGGCAAATTCTTAGTGCCCTGGACTATTGTCACTCATTCAACATCTGTCATCGCGACCTAAAGCCTGAGAACATTCTCCTAACAACCACTGGCCAGGTCAAAATTGCCGACTTTGGTATGGCGGCAATTCAGCAGAGCCCAAGCCATAAACTTAAAACAGCTTGCGGAAGTCCTCACTATGCTGCCCCCGAGTTGGTGGACCGCAAGCAGAACGGCTACTCGGGCGCAACCGTGGATGTATGGAGCTGCGGCGTAATCCTTTATGCCTGCCTTTGTGCTTGTCTCCCTTTTGATGATGCAGACATGGGCCGACTCCTCGCCAAGGCCAGAAAGGCCATTTATCCCGAGCCCCGGCACCTCAGCCCAGGAGTCAAGAGCCTTTTGCGAAAGATCCTCAAGCCGAACCCTTCGCAACGAATCACAATCTCTCAGATCTGGGAGGATCCGCTTATCGTTTCTTACGACTACATAGACGAGCTCAACGGAAAACGACATGATGACAACTTGGATGATATTCGCAAGTACGGACGGAGCACTCGCGTGGCGCCTCAGGACATTGACATGCAGACTTTGCGCCAACTTCAGTCCATGTGGCACATGTTCACAGAGAAGCAACTGGCTTCCAAGCTTGTAGATAATGAGTATGTGTTTCGGACTGTCTTCCTGATATTGACATATCACTGATTAACCTCTAGATCGAACGATCAGAAGCTCTTCTACTGGCTGCTCTACAACTACCGGGAGAAGCGACTAGAAAACTACGCTGGCGACATAACGCATTCCCCGAGTGACTACCACCTCCTGCGTCCTGCCAATTGGACCAAGAAATTCACAACTCTCGAGTTTCCCGCCCGTTATGGTAGAATTCCGTCGCGATTCACGGTTATCTCCAATGTGGCTACGGATGACGCCGCCTTGGAAACGGCCACGGACGCCGGTACGATCCACAGCTATGATCCTTACAAATCATCGCGAATCATGGATGGTCCAGCAGCCAGCCATGCCAAAATCACTGTTCATCGCAATGGTAGCATGGTAAGAAGCTCTACACGAGCATCTAATGTTCACAGAATGAAAAGTGGCTCGGTGAGAAGCAATTCCACATATTCTAGGCGTGGAGGAAGAGGCCACCATATCGCTGCATCAGCGGGTTTGATCTCTTCGCGTCGCTCTTTAACATCTATCAATAGTGCAAATAGTACTCCCCACAAGCGGCCGATTTCTAGACCTCGGCGAGGAGTGAATTTCAACCATACTCGCGGGAAGTCATTTGGACATGGTCGCAATGGGTTTAAAAGGGGTCCTGCCAGTATTGCTGGCGATGATACGACTTTCAATCGAGACCATGCCTCACCCACTGGCCCGAAGAGACAGTACAGGGCGTCTTCTGCACGCACTGGAACGCAGTCGATGGTTCTACCAGGCTCTAAAAACCCCCATTCATACTGGAACGACGAACTGCGTCTGTTTAGTCACAGCATTGCGAAAGACTGCGACGAGGCTTTCAGCAGCTCTTTGCTATTGCCAGAGTCGTACGTCGAAGGTAGGACTACTGAAGACCCGTCTGCCATGAGTTCCAGTGTGATGAACTTTACTCATGACACGAAATCATTGTTCTCTAGCATGGCTACGCCGACTCTGGCCGGATCTACCAGTAATGAGGCGAAGCATGAGACGTTTAGATGGGACAATCGACCACTTCCCCTGGCTCCTCCTCCGACAGATTCGGTTCTCCACGAGATAATGATGGCAAAGAAGCGCACAGCTCAACGTGGAACCTTGAAAGATGAGTCACCTGGCCACGTTGATCGCATGATGGAGCATCTCGACAAGTTGACACCAGCCGGTCATTCAAAGGACAACGAGAGTCTTCGAAGCGTCTCTGCGCCGATATTTTCTCAATATAGCACGCAGTGGGGCAAAGATACGATTCCTTTGCCGTCGATCCTCGAAGGCCAGCGAGAGTCATCGATAGGTGAAACTAGCCGGCAACGCATCGTCTCTGCTCCTGTAGGTGATACACCCGTGGCGCAGTCGACTCCAAGGTTTGCTTTCGAGGGGCATGGGCTTGATTATCTAGCTCGCCAGGAGGAAACGATTCGCATGGTCATGTCACCATCGAATCAGCAGGGTCCAGTTGAAGTCCCTGCACCACTCAACATCCGCAAGAAGAAGCCGCCCCGGGCTATTTCGGCGTACCCTCAGCCGCGGCAGGAGATGAGCCTTCGACAACAGTATGCTTTCGACGAAATTAGAGAGCCGATACCGGAAGAACCGTCAACTCCTGCGCCTGATGCTCGGCCTGGCGCTGTCCGCAAAAAGTCTTCCTGGTTCAATCGCACATCAAAGGATAAGAATGATGTCTTCGGCTCGAGTGGGGGTTATAGTGCTGATCAAACTGAGAACACACCTCAGACGGACAGCACAATTTCAACAGCCCCAAAGATTTCTCCTGCTAAGAAGAGAAGCTTCAGCCTTGCCTTCTGGCGCAACTCCAAACGTCAAGATGATATGAAACTTTCTCTTGCAGGTGAGGCATATTCTCTCCATTCAGGCGATAGTGGTGTGCTTACATAAACTATAGATATCGATTTTGACGACGATACTAGTCCAGAACCAGTCCGCATGTTCAGTCACCCTGCTCGACCGCCCCACAATGGCACGTGGAAAGACAATGTTGCCAAACGCAATATCGAGCCACAGCAGAACTGGCTTGCACGCTTGTTCCGCGTCAAGCCTGCTACGCAACATCTTTGCTTCAACATATCGCGACGGCGTACGAGGCAGGAGATCGCCATCTTGTTGAAAGAATGGCGCCGCTATGGTATTCGTGACGTTCAAGTAGACAAGGATCGCAACATTGTTTTTGGGCGCGTGGGCCAAAAGAATTGTAGGTGCATTTGCTTCTCTTGCTTCTCTTCAGATAATTCGTAACTCCATAGTTAGCTGTGTATCGACAACAGAAAAGTGTTGTGTCCGATCTCAGCATAGCTGGCTCATTCACATGTCCCCGCCAGACTGTCGTCGATACCTACTAACATATTTCCCCTAGATCTCAACATGAAAGAGGTTTCCTTCGCCGCCGAGATCATGACTGTTATAGAACATGGCAAGCGTAACCCACTCACTATCGTTCGCTTCACGCAAGAGCGAGGTGCTGCGAGCAGCTTCCACAAAGTCGTCGACACAATGCACACCATTTTCAGCGTCCGAAACTTGCTCGTTGTTGATAAGCGGAAGGTCAAGATGATGATCAAAACTCTTGATTCCAGATAAGTCCCGACCCCAGCCTGATCTGATACAAGCTGGGAGCCCACGTTGCTATCCCTCGTACGCCTAAATGTATTCTTTGGAAGTGGATCATCTGCTGCACTTGTCCGGTCCATAGGTCATCATCCACATCCACATCAATCTGGTATGAGAACTTGTATCACTACGAGTTTCTGGAAAATCCCGTGTAAAACTGGATAAATGGCAATTTGGCTTGTTGGACTATTTCTCTGGAATCATGTCCATATTCTTACATGATACCTCTCGTTATTGAAACTCATGGCTTCGTTAGAACCGCAGACCTGCAGGTAGAGGAGGTTGTAATCGGTATGGGTTGGTTTTGTGGTGTTTGTGAGTCGTGACAAAAAGAGGTAATAGGTGTTGACGTTCGATGGAACGAATAGGGAAAGAACAGATTGGAAGTGGTAAAATAAGAAGGCAGATAGTAAAACATGACTGCATTGCGTAATCGCGAGTACTTCTATGGATGCTCGGTCTCTAGCAAAATTAACCATGACGAGACATTGTGGATTGGGGTTTTCAGGCAACGCAGCAATTCACAGAACCTTTATTGTGATATACTTTAACCGCTTGTGTCCGAGGGCTAGCAACAGATCATATTACATTGGAATGAAGGTCTTGGAAGTCTCCACTCATTCTCATGGCGCAGTCCATACATGGTTTTCAAAACCTACTGGGGTCATAGCTATATCCGAATGCTACATAATTCATGCTCACCAATGTTCGCTGGAGACAAAAGCTCTAGAGAAAAAAGCAAGTACCAAGATATGCTTGAAATAAATCATTTTCTCTCCCCTTCCTAATTTCTATAATGAGTTTGTCATTCTGTCATCATTCCCAAATAAGAGAATTCTCAAGTATTCTTCGACTCAATTAGCATTGTGCCAAATTGAAACAGAAGATGACGTTTACACCTCACTTCTGACCTCCAGCTCAGGCAACTGCGTGAGAATCTACATCCTCAGAACCATCATGGCCATGCTCCCTTCGTTCTCCTAAGCCCTCTGTTATGCATCGGCAAATTTGAATAGAGATCCCTGCGGCCCCTAGAGATCTGCACCATCTACAGAACTGACATCTCCCCTAACTCATGGTTGCCCTCCCCTGCAGCCACTACTACTACTCGGCCTGCATCAACCAGTGGTCCTGCGTCTGTCTCTTTACGCACAACATGACGCCGGCATGCCCAATGTGTCAGACGCAGCTGCAGTACAGGTACTGTGGGCATTACTCCATTTTCCTCTACTCAGGCAAGCTCTAATAGAAATTCTTCGACGGGGTTTGTCAGCATTTTTAGTGTATAGCGGGACTTGGACTAGCCTATGAAGAGGGCTTGTAACACGAGACAAAGGGACATGTTGCTGGTGCCACGACATAGGACGGACTGGACAGGAGAATGATAGACAGGAACCGGGGCATGCTTGATGGGGATCCACAAGGGATGGGGTCTACTTGTAGGAGATAGGAAGGATTGAGAGAAAGTTACAAATAGGTGTTGTCGCGAACTCGATTCAAATCATTCGGGCAGATGCAGAGATTATATTGAGGGCTATTATAAGGTCGAGGACGCAGACTAGCCACCGTTGGTCAGTCAAAATAGGACAACTCGCCAGTCTTACGAGTATTTTAATCCTTATCAGGAACTACAGACACTGACAAACTCGAGGCAAGAACTCTATGTGATGGTGTATTACGCGCTCCAATGAAAGTGATTGTGATTGAAGCGTCTGCGTAGATTGCTTGAATTGGGACATGATTCACCATAAGGTTGTTCGCAAAGCCTATGAAGCTGTTGTAATCCTTGTGGTTCAACTTGCGCAATTTGTTTGGGGGTGCCACTCAACTAACCCTCGCAATATGGCTCGCGATGCTTTCTCCGTTGCCAGCTACGGTCCCCTCATATATGACTACCCATTTACAAGCAACGACAGATCAAATTTGTTATGAAGAGCTCCTCGACACACGCAGCCAGTCTATTAAATAATATACCGGTTAGTAGAGACATCACCACTCTTACATTTTCCGCTCCCTGTGTTACCTGTATCTCCCCGGATAATCGATATTAAACAGCTCATTTAACAGCATCATGCCTACTACAGGGCATGAAAACAGTCGACATGGTGGTGGTCAGGCACAGCCGACTCCAACCCCTTTATCTCAGGCCGAAGATGGCGATGCTCTTTTGAGGTCTGGTACTCTGAGACAGCGCGCGCATGCTTTCGCAGCCCTGCGCCGTAACCCCAACGCCTCGCAGGAAGGACACAGCGCGCATCAGCTCACAGCTACGAGCCCTCAGCTGCCAATTCAGAAACCACCAACAAGACAGCCGGAGCCACCTGCGCCAGCCGCAGCAGAAGACGAACAGGCCGCCTGTCCAGTCTGCACTGAAGATACCCCAACCGAGGATTTCGTCCAGCTGCCATGCAGGCACTCCTTCCACAAAGCTTGTATTAAGACATGGGTTGCCAGCTTTCTCGGAACACGCGCAGATATAACTAGGGCACCGACGTGTCCCATGTGTCGCGGGTACGTCGTATACGCCTGTGGACATGTACCTGCCATAGACGATCTGCTGCCCGGCAGCAAGATGATCACATTCGCACAGCCATGCAAGTTATGTTGGGACCTATCCACGGTCAGATTGTCAAGGCGAGAGCTGAAGACAAAACTGAAGGCGGCATATCGCGTACAGGGATGGCCTCTGGACCAGGGTCAAGCCGGTGACCATTCTGCCGATCCCGAATCTCTTCCTAACTGGGATGCCAGATCGATGCAGGAGCCTACCCAGGAGGAAATAGCGCGAGAGGTCGCTGAGCTGGGCTTACCTATGCTTCAGCGCGCTCGTGCACGTGATGATATCGAAGGGCACCAGGCAGAGACAAGACGTCACGGCACGACAGTAAGTCAATTAGAACGAAGAACAGCGATGGCGGAATTGATTCAGGCAGTGGATCAGGAGTCGATTACCAGACTTCAGGAGCTGAACGCCAGAAATCGGGCGCATGCCCGAATCCTGGAGGAGACACAAATTCGAGAGAGGGAGAGACTGCGGGAGGTGATGAGACTTCTGAATGAGACCGCTCGTCAAGAGATGGCAAGACGTGCAGATAACACAAGGCGAGAATGGATCAGGCGGGCACGACAAGAACGCCCAGAGGATTTTCAAAGGCCATACCATAATGTGAATAATTCGTTGAGCAATACAGGAGCTGAGTTCTTGTCGAACTTCAGGGATGTTCTCAGGAGTGTGTTTGCCCACACAATAGCCCCGTCAGATGAGTCATTGGACTCGGAGGACTCAGAGAACTGAGGACTCATGGTGTTGAGCATCGTATCAGGAATTTATGTGGGCTTATATGCTCATAAGAATCTACCTGATACGCTTAGGATTATGTTTCCATTTCTGTAATAATTGTCAATATCACCGGCACGATTTGTCGCGGGATAAACGGGACACAGCGAAGACTTGAAACGGTTGGGGTTATCTTGGAAGCAAGATTCTGAACGCAGAAAGGAGACGAATTACCATTCAGTTTAACCGGATAGCTTAAAAGCTGAATCATCCTTTTCGGTATATCTCCTCCATGCTTCTGGTGTGCAATGTTCCTTGTGGCAAGAAATACGATGTTCATTCTGGCAGACTATCTTTGTGGTAGGTGATGTTCCAGGATGTGGTATTCTTCTCATTGTCTTCTTTTTGAAAAACAATTAGGCAAAGCGGATTCTTTCTTGGAACCACGGTTAGATAGAAGCTTGATCGCACCGTAGTTGCCGATCAGAGCTGCAGGTTGAGCCCTTGAACCATAATCTAATGCAATGGCTGTGCTAATTATGTGTAATATGTCCTTGTCAGTTACTGTTTGGTTCCAACGACACCCCACAGAACCCGCTTAGCTGCTGAGGGCACCTGAGAAATTTACCTGATGCTTACCACATGACCCAACACCTTTTAATTAAATTGCAAAGATCATTGGGAAACCTGACATTTTTGGGCATCTTTTTCCTAGCATACTATATTTAGTAGCCTATTCTCAGATCAAGTTCCTCTCAGGTAGAAGAGAAAACAGGATGCCAAACCATGCCGTCTACGGCGGAACAGCACTCACTTTGATCTAGGTCGAGGTTATCTCATAAGAGTTTTATTTCAAATATGTGGAAATAAGTCACTGTCAATGGAATCCGAATTGATGTTTATGTATAGGCAAGCTAACACATAAGCAATCACTCAGGGTTTGCGTGAACACCTGCACTAAACCGAGTTGTGACTCAAGGGCTCAAAGGCTCAAAGGCTCAAAACATACTTATCGTTGTTTTCTGATCATTTGTTGATGGAAATTTTTTTGGGGATATTTCTTGGTAATGTTTGTTTCTAAGATAGTATTGATACGGGAGACGAATTTTGCGAATGTGAAAATGGAAGTTATTCCCATTCCGTGTGTATTGTTTCCAAGGTCTACTTGCAGTAATAGCATCAATTAACTGAGATGGATTCCAAATAACCATTGCTCATATGTGAGACTGGTGTTGGTCCAGGAAAGGAGGAGCTTCCGAGAAAGTAAACATATCGGGAATAATTAGTGGCGCAAAAGCCTGGAGATAAATGAAGAAGTAAGATCAGAGCATGGACGTCGCGGCATTGTCCGCTAAAACCGTTTGCGCAATAGCCTGTTTGTTTCGCGTATCAGAGGGCTGCGGGAGCCGCTTATTGTGGGTTGGGTGGTGCTAGGTGACAGAATTGACGAAGGATAATTTAGTATTGTATTATATAATCGTAAGATAATTAAATACAGGGAATCTGAGCACTAAAAAAGCAGATCAGAACCATCTGAGGGTAATAATGCATTCCAAGATCCTCTACCTGGGATACAAGGCAACTCTGTGCAGGCAATCGAAATGTGTACACTAAGTGTTTGTTCCGTCAAATCCAGCGGTTTCTCAATCTGTCTCCCTGACCTCCATCGATGTGACTTTTGGGCAACTCTCCATTTTGAATGATTTGATTGGGCGACGAAGAAGTGCTTATACTTCCCATTGGCACTGCTGTGTAGGGATGAACGGCATGGACAACAGCCATGACGCGCTGTTGTGACGGGCCGGGCGACTTTTGTTTAACAACAATATCTTGGCACTGTCGCAAGTCCTCTACACACAGTCGATGGTTGATCACCAGTTTCAAGATGACTCCCTGTCACCTTTGCCGGTTTCCGACACAACATCTTGCGTGGTATATGAGAGCTTTTGATTCTTGAGCCGAATCGTGGCCAATTTTTGTTCACCTATCGCTCCTTCAATCGTTTTTGTGCTGGCCACTCCCTATTCATCTTTATAAAATAGAAAATGCGGTCAGGAACTCTTGTTTGTGCAGCAGGGCTGCTTGCGGTCGGTGTGTCGGCACACGGCAACATCACATCTCCTCCGGCACGACTTCCAGGTCCAGCGATGCAGGCCGCCTGTGGTGCACAGGCAGTAGCAAACGTAGAAGCTGATGCTACGATTCCGCTGGAAGATGTTTTCGGGACAACTTCAACATGTGCGTATAGTGGATTGCGGCCTCCATTCCTGACGAAAAAGGGAGCTAACAACGCCAAGGCCAGCTTGATTTATGCCGCGGCGCCAAGTTTGAAGACAACGTCGACCTTGTCCAAAGCTTCACTGCCGGTCAAATCATCAGGATGCAGGCGATTCTACCCATCCCCCACGAAGGACCAATGAATGTCTCAGTTGTCGATACAGCCACAAATGCTGTGATCGGTGATCCATTGATCGAGTTTGCGAGCTACGCGGATGAGAGCCTGGCAGAATTACCAGCGAATAACACGGACTTTTCAGTCACAATTCCACAACTGGAAGCAGGGCAGTGCGCGCAAGCTGGTGATTGCGTTCTGCAATGGTTTTGGTTTGGTACTGCAGCTCAACAGACGTATGAGAGTTGCGTGGATTTTGTCTTAGTGTAAGAATGCTCGTAGCTGCAGCGTATGTTATAGCCAAACTATAGATATCCAGCTTGACGAAGTCGCATAAATCCCAATACCTATCATGTGGCTGTAAGTGCTCCATTCATACCACCTTCAACACTTGCTTCCCACTAATAAAAAATGGAAGGGTTTTTTTTCCTTCAACTTATATGCTCTTAAGGTTGTTCCATATACAATATCAGTGAAAGCCCACTGGCGACCAGCTCTAGCTCCCGTTGAGTATTATGTATGACCTGTTGTACAGTATGGGACCGTTTAATGTAGCGATAATGATAACCTGGCTGAATCGATGTGTAAATCTGCTTTGGAACTTGATGAACGCGACGACGTTCGAAGGCAGTTTGAAGACGAATCAGCATGGCTCAAATAGGATTGTCTAAGATAGTAGCGAATTGAATATACAGGCTTGAGGGTGGCAGATACGCAGGTTACCGTTATCAGTTTGTGCTGTTACTGGTCAACAGGCTGTAGAAGTTAATGGTGGTTTGTCCTCGAATCGAAAAGTGAAGAACTGACCATAGGGGAAGTTTGCAACCATCTGAAAGATACAGTTATCGATATACTCGCTGGTATATTAGACTGGGATCATATAATGTGCATGTAAGTATTATTGCTTTACTTAAGGGAAGACTTGCGTACCCTTCTAGTCTTGTAGTCGTATCGTTTTGACCTCAATATTATAGCGAGCTGTTCAATGGCGGGTTCGGGTCCTAATCGCTATTCACAATATCTCACATGTGTCGGAACTCAGAGGCAACTAACCTAGTTACATAGAGCGCAGCACCCGCCAGGCCTACTATAAATGGAGAGAGCAGGCACAGTGAACTATTTGAGAGATGACTGCAATGTCGATGGCTCTTAGATGATTAACTTGTAGGTTAGTTTGTAAACGACTTATTAGTATCAATGCTTAGGTGAAGTACTATGCCTAGCAATGTCAATGGACAGTCAGCGAAGCTTCAATTTTGCTATGAGAATAGATGGTGTGGTGTAAACAACGATCAAATGGCAGCCCCATGTGTGAGGCAGTGTGACCAGGCGTTCGGTAGGGTATCAGTCATTCAAGGGATCACCCATCGTTCCACTCGGCTAATACTCGCATCTGACCTGCTTAATTATTTCCGTCGGCAAGTGAATGCTTGACGAATCTCCGGAGACGGAACGCTTGGCCATGGCGGTGCCATGAAAGCCACGAAGTGATTGCATTGCATGAGAGAAACAATAATCCACAGGATCACCAGGGTGGCCTTACAGTGTGACAGTTCTCGCTGCTGCAGGCTGTTATAGCCACTGTGACTAACAGAATGAAATGACATGCGCCATGAGCGCTTTTAGACGCATAGCATGCATTAGACCCAAGGCATGTGGTGCGGGACGTCAGGGCCCCTTCATCCAAGATCTGGTTCAACAAATAGATGTTGCTTAGGACCTCAAGCTTGATAGTCCACACATGATCTACATGAAACCACGCACTCTGCATAGATCGGGTCCTGTCATGGAATGTTATGGTCTTCTAGCACATGGCCTTTTGTTTGCGATTGACATGGCAATTACAGCAGAAACGGCACAAAAGATGGTCAGAATTTAAGCCTGTATGAGGCTCCAGTGGAACGATATGCAACGTAACCATGCACAAGTTCAAATGGTACACAATATCCGTGCGGCTGGAGATGCAATGTTTCTTATGCCAGTCCTATGCGGCTGTCTTGGATCCCACATCACTCCACCGAGTCTTCTATGGAGCTCAAGCATGGTGAGAATTGCCCTTTTAGGCAAGCCGCCCTGCAAAACTTTTCTTGCCTAGCCAATCACGACTTAGAGTAGATGACAAGCCTGTCGGGAGCTATGGCCTTCGGAAGCTTCCCCAGAGCTACTCCAAAAAGCCTTTGAATGCAAACAAGCGCTGCACGATGAAAGGTTTGCGCTCGCACTCTATACGGTGTCCCAAAATCGGCAGAACTGGTCCATGATAGACTCCAGCCCTAACACAGCCCATGAGACTAATTTTGAAGGATAAGAGGCACCAGGTTGGTTTTTGGAAGTCTCTTGCTGTTTTCCAGCTAGGAATCGGCACAAAAGGAACGCTTTTGCGGTTTATTAGAATCCGTAGTCGACCTCACGAGATTCGGACACTGCGTCAATTTCGGGAATATCGCCTGCAAGGTGCCGATGTGTCATTGATGCCTCTGGTGGGAGGGAGGCCTCACAGATATTCCTGTAAGCGATTCACGTATGCAGAGACCACCAAAGCATCAGTTTTCCGCCTAACAAACCTCGAAGCAAGATTTTAAACCCCTCAGCGCTAACAACAGTCTTGTTTTCATACAGTAATATAACGGAGCTTCCCTAGCCCATACCACATGCGCGATTTCTTGGCACGCAGGTGGGATAGCCGCACATTGCAGGCTCAAACGTCTACCCAACATGCGCATGGCACTGCCTCATTCCAGCTACAGAATCCCGCGCCGCTGGTGCTCACCGCAAGAGGTGATGTAAGCCCAGGGCTAAACAAACTGGGTAGGCACAACATGGCGTAAATTATACTGGTCTGGCACTGTGCTCTGAGCTCAGTAGCCCATACAGCAAACAGTATGGCATCTCGTTTCCAAGCTTGGTTCCCAGGGGCTCGTCGGGAACCGTCACCGGCAGGGTGGTTTGCACGTGGTCCTTTGCATATAGTATATAAATAATTGGCATGCTGTTCTGCAAGACGCGTCTTCCCGCTGTAGCATTCCTGGGATTTTCCTCTGTTCTTGTTTACTCTTCGTTGCGTCCTGTAAGCACCAAAGTAACTCTGTGAGACATTGTTTCAAGTTCAGAACTTTTAGAGTGAAGTTCGGTTCGTACAGAGACAATATGTCGATGTCAATAGATGAGCCGGACCTCAAGCACAGCGTTGCAGAACGCATCCGCTGGGAGGATGAAGAAGCTGCGAGACCTCGTGGCCTGCGGCGTACTCACTCTCGAGGCTCCATGTCCATTCACAGCGTACGATCGCGTCGTGAAGTAGATCCTTCCATCGCATTGCCCATCCAGTATCGAACTGTGTAAGTTGTGATCACTTATCTTCAAGCATGCAGCATCACTTACACACCTCGATCCGAATAGTTCTTTCGGTATTGAAGAATCCAAAGCAAAAGATGCCGTCGAGCTCGAGAAGGCCAAAGATGTAGCAACAAAAGGTTAGCAATCCTGGCTTGAATCCCTGATGGCTTTTCTCTAACACTGTTGTTGCAGAACTGTCTTCCCTCGAATGGCACACCATCACGACCGACGAAGCTATCCGCCGCTTGGGCTCATCCGTTGCTGAGGGCTTGTCTCCCGACCAAGTAGAACGAAAATTCAAGGAATTCGGCCGCAATGCTCCTACACCACCCAAGTCTAATGCTCTTGCAACTTATCTTGGTTACATGTTCAAGGGCTTCGGTCCTGTCCTCCTCGTTGGTGCTATCCTGGTCTTTGTTTCATGGAAGCCCCTTGGTGAGCCGAACCCGGCCATCGCCAACTTGGTAAGAGTACTTGCAAGATTCTGCATCACTCCTTCTTTCTGACATATCACCTAGGCTCTTGCTATCGTCCTTCTTGCTGTCTTCTTCATCCAAGCTGGCTTCAACATGTGGCAGGACTTCAGTTCATCCCGAGTCATGAAGAGTATCAAGAACATGCTTCCTGAGGACTGCCTAGTCATTCGTGATGGAAAACAACAACTGCTATCAGCAGTCGACCTTGTCCCCGGAGATGTCACCATATTGAAGGCTGGCAACAAGCTGCCTGCTGATGTACGGTTCCTTCAGGTCTCCGGTGACGCCAGATTTGATCGTTCGATTCTGACTGGTGAATCCGTGCCGCTCGCAGCAACCGTCGACTCAACTGATGACAACTACCTGGAGACTAAAAACATTGGTCTTCAGGGTACACACTGTACCTCGGGGTCTTGTACTGGTATAGTTGTTGGCACTGGTGATCGCACCGTCTTTGGTAGAATCGCAAACCTCACCAATGAGCCGAAGACCAAGATGACAACGTTGGAGCGCGAAGTGTTATACTTTGTCGTCATTATCTGCTCCATCATGTTCACCATGATTGCGATTGTGCTAATTGTCTGGGGTTCTTGGTTGCGAGCGGAACACCCTGGTTGGATCAGTGTTCCTGCACTTATAGTCAGCTGTGTTAGTGTTGCCATTGCCTTCATTCCCGAGGGTCTCCCCATCGCGGTGACGGCCGGTCTCACCATTACTGCCAACATCATGCAAAAGAACAAAGTTCTTTGCAAGTCGCTGAAAACGGTTGAGACCCTCGGTTCGGTCTCAGTCATCTGCTCGGATAAAACTGGCACACTTACACAGGTAATTGATCATCCAAATCACGAATGCATAGCACCGGCTGACCTGATATAGAACCTCATGACTGTTACAGAGTGCACCATCGGAACCCACACCATCACTGCGGAAGATGCTGAGCTCGAGCTTGGCCCCAAAGCTGCCAAAACTGGGACTGATCCCGCACCAACTGGCATCAGTCAGATACGCGCACTATCTGCACTCTGCAATGCTGCCGAGTTTGATGCTGCCACGAACAACCTTCCCGTCGAGCAGAGACGAATCTATGGTGATGCGACCGACCAAGCAATCTTGAGATTCTCCGAGAAACTCGGCTCCGTTAGTCACATGCGCCAATCCTGGCAAAAGACCTACGAGCTTGCCTTCAACTCCAAGAACAAGTTCATGATCCGAACCTTCTTCCTTTTCAAGGATGACTGTCTCGCTGAGACACTGCCGCAAGCTGAAGCCAGTGCCTTTAAACAGGGCGACACGTAAGTATTCGCTTTACTAACTCAATGACACACACAGCTGACACACGCAACAGTCTGTTAACCATCAAAGGTGCCCCTGATGTTATCATCGGCCGATGCTCTTCCTACATTAACAGTGCCGGAGATGTCTGCCCGTTCGATGCCGATATGCGAGCCACGATCGAAGGAGTCAAGAATATGTACAGCGCGCAAGGAAAGCGATGCATTCTGCTCGCCCGCAAAACCATCAGGCGTGAGGACGTCAGAAACCAAACTGGCAGCACTCAGTTTGAGGATGAAATGGTTGAGCAGGCCAAAACTGGGCTTACACTGGTTGGTCTTGTTGCCATCGTTGATCCTCTTCGTCCTGAGATCAAGTCTGTTGTCTCAACTCTGCGCGGTGCCGGTATTCGCTTCTTCATGGTCAGTCGCTTCCGAGATTACTCATGGCCATTCCATATTAACCAATTTAGGTCACTGGCGATTTCGCTCTCACAGCTTTGGCAATCGCTCAAGAGGCTGGTATCGTCACGCTTCCTACACCTGCAGTCCACGGCTTAGACGCTCTACCACGTGAGGAATCGACAGACAGCGATAGCGAGAAGGTAATGCTTCCTCGGCAGTCCATCGTGCTAAGCGGGCCAGATCTAATGGGCATGAGCGCACATCAATGGAAGGTACTTACTCAGTACGAAGAGGTCGTCTTCGCACGCACAACACCCGAACAGAAACTGCGTATCGTGAAGGAGTTCCAGGCCAGCGGTGTTGTTGCCATGACTGGTGATGGCGTTAATGATGCACCCTCTCTCAAAGCCGCCGATATTGGCATAGCCATGGGTAGCGGTTCAGATATCGCTATCGAGGCTGCCGATATGGTTCTCCTCGACTCCTTCGCTTCCATTGTTGAGGCCGTCCAGTACGGTCGTGTCGTGTTCGACAACCTTAAAAAGGTTATTTGCTACCTGCTCCCGGCTGGTTCTTTTGCCGAGTTCTGGCCTGTCATGACCAACGTCCTGTTTGGTTTACCTCAGATCTTGTCTTCTTTCCTCATGATCATCATCTGGTAAGCTTCGTTTATTCATTAGTTGGTGTGCATGCAACTAACATGGCACAGTTGCTTCACTGATTGTGCTGCCGCGACTGCTCTCTCATACGAAAAGCCCGAAGCCGATGTCCTCCTCCGCAAACCTCGTGATGTCAAGAAAGATCGCCTCGTCAACTGGCAACTCATCGTATACGCATACGGTGTGCTCGGAATGCTGGAGACTCTCTCATCCTTCGCCGTGTCATACTGGTATCTGGCGCGCAACAACATCCCCTTCGGCACGCTCTGGTTCGGCTTCGGCACCATCCCCGACGGCGTCACCTCGGACGAGTACGCGCAGAGGCTCAACGAGGCGTCGTCCATCTACTTCATCAACCTGGTCGTGATGCAGTGGTTCAACCTGATGGCCGTGCGCACCCGCCGCTGGAGCATCTTCCAGCAGCCGCCTGCGTTCAACAAGCTGACGCAGAACCTCTGGCTCTTCCCCGCCATCGTCTTTGCGCTGCTCATGGCCATCTTCTGGCTCTACGTCCCCGTCTTCCAGGCGGTGCTCGGCACCACCGAGGTCCCTGTCGAGCACTACTTCCTTCCGTTCGCTTTTGGTACTTTCATTTTGTTGGTGGATGAGGGCAGGAAGTTCTTGGTCAGGAAATACCCCCATGGAGCTGTTGCGAAATTCGCTTGGTAGTTGTACAGTATTATTAGTTAGACTAGACTAACTTAACCTAGTTGCTAAGTGCGGGGCTGCTAGATTTCAATGTTGCGGGAGCTACTGGCTTGCATTAACGTAAGATACATAGCATCCCAGGAGAGACAGCAATTTATAAAGCCATTTATATAGCCAAGTATACTTAGCCTTGTGTTTAACCCGCAATTGAACGACAAGCTACCCGAGTCACTATTTTTAAACGTAAGAATTGGCGCTACCGAAAGCAATACTGTATCTTACATCTATAATCATCCGAAGGAGAAGAAGAAGAAAAAGAAGAAGGAGAAGAAGAGTGCCAGACCTTTTAGATGTTTTCACAGTATCCTGTTTACCTAAAATGGTTTGATCACATACTTACCTCTCCCAGCCAGTCCGCCTCTGCAGAAGTGTTCGGAGGCATTGTCGATTACACAAAAGAAGCCCCAACAATTTTTGCTTGCTGCTCCCTCTCTTTACACGTGAGACACGTCTCACGGCCCATGCCGCAAAAACATGCAGCCTGGACTGCGCACTCGTAGTTGGGACGGGGCACCTGGCATCTCACCATGATAGGCGGTGCTGAAAGATACAAGCGGCGGGTCTCGTCCTCCTCGGTTGGAACGCCTGCCTCCATATATATTCCGAGCTTGCAGGTATCGCAGTCGATGCTCGGAAGGTTACCATGGGTGACGCACTGCCCGGCTCCGGTGAAAATCTTGGAGAAGACCTTCGGAGGCGGAACAGGTATTTCAAAACTCCGACTACGTACTTTGATGCGCCTTTGGTAGCCCGCAGGGGAGGTGAGGCAGGCCTCGCCTATTTCGAAATATTTCTTACCTCTCCGTCTTTTGGGCACCTCGCTGATTGCCGGTACGTCTTGTCCTACGATGCTGTTGTTCCATGCATCAATGTTAAGTGTCACCTGAGTTTCTACAATTCGGTCCAAGCCCAGCATATTGTGGCCACGAGAGAGGACGCCAGGAGTGACCACTTGCTCGTGGTGGGCAGACAGGGAACTGATGATGGGCTTGCGGCCATTCTTCTGGGATTGGTTAGTCGAAGCAGGACTCACGATCCCAATTTCTACCATCTCGAACACCTCGTCCTCCTCCTCCGAGTCTGAGCTTATATCATATGTGGCGGTCGACCAGGCGCTCTTCAAGCCCGGAGGAACAATACCCAATGGTAGGACACGGGGGCTACGCTCATCCTCGCTCACATAACAATCGCTGCGGAGACCACGAACTGCGGCAGAGTCGAGGCTGTAGATACTCAGACGTCCGGATGGAATTTCGGTAGAGCTATTGTGAGCTCTGACACGCATCGGACTCTGTTGTGGACCATGAATCCGCTTGATATCTACATCGTCAAGAACAACCTTGAACGGGATGTCCTTGGCGTCTTTCGCCATCTTTCGCCACCCCATCTGCTCCTTGTACTGCAGAAACCTCTCCACATACTTCCTGTCGTAGCGATGTGGGCGCATGGGTAGACCGAAGTTTTCGGCGCACTCGGCGCAGAAGCCAAACCTCTTCTTCTTCCTGATATGTCTGGGCTGTTTATCGCATTTCGGCATGAAGATACCTACGCATGAATTCATTACCTTCCATTCGTCTCGCCAGCACTTCTCCACCTTTGTGGTGCTGTGTAGGCAGCTGTAAGTGACCTTCTTTCTGGTACATTGGCAACCCATCCTGTTGATGTGGATATGCATATATAGATTAAAAAGAAAATCAGCAATGCTGGGAGACGATAGGGAAGGAAATAGGGTTAAGCGAGAGGTTTCCGTTGATTTGAGGTATGATAGTGTCTGTTAACTGGGCTATATATCTATGTTGTCTTTGTTTCATGGGTAACATTGCGGGTGGTCGTGTTTGTATTCTAGAGAGACAAGGTAATTGTCGTACTGGTTGAAAGCCATGAGAGTGTTCTTTCGCCGTGAGGGATAGAATCATGATGAGATTGAGCAAATGGTTCCTCTTCTTTGCGCCTTTTTGAAAGCACAAAACAGTTTTCTTTGTAATACGACAAAATGATTGGCTCTCTATAAGGCTTGGCTGAACAAAGAGCGCTGCCTTTTGCCCGACAACCAAAACGAAATGCATCCATGATGCAAGTTGAGTTCTAGCTAGCCTATAGTCCTAGACTAGTCCTGAATGTCATGAAGATCATAAGCAGAATACCTAGAACCTCGTCCATAATTGAGTTTTCGTGAGAGCTGAGCACTATATTTGCCGCATGTATGTAGAGGCGTGAAGTTGATGTACAGTCGCCGGCTGAGTCATTGCACGATGACATCTTGGGGGGAGACACAGTGGACCCTCAGTGAAGCGATAGTGGACACTGCCCCTCCATGCCGCCGCCACATAATAATAATAACATCAATACATAATAAGATGCCTTCGGTGCCTTAAGTGACCTCATTGCGCCAAACCGCAAAAGTCCCTGGTAGCTTAATGTTCTACAGCCAAATCACAGCAGGATTGAAGATATTAAGACAATGGCGACAGAAAAGGGAAACAGGCCAGCTGACGACCTCCTCAAGCGGCCTCTCTACAGTGAGCCGCATTCCGTTCTCTGTTCAGACTTGCACCTAACTCGATGCGCCGCTCCTAGTTTACGATCTCCCACGCCAGGTGCTTGACGCCCTAACTTTCGCCTCGTCGCCTGAAGTCGCGGTTTCCGAAGCTGTCCATCCTCCGTCCTCGCCATCGGACGCGTCCATAACGCACACGTTGTCTTCGGAGAACCTGTCCGTAGGCGCACAAGCATGCTCACTCTGCGGCCTGTCCTTCGACACCGTGCTCGATCAGCGCGGACACCAAAAGTCCGACCTTCACAACTACAATCTCAAGCAGAAGCTGCGCGGAAAGGCAGCCGTATCCGAAGCAGACTTTGAGAAGCTAGTGGGGGACTTGGATGAGAGCTTGTCTGGCTCCGATTCGTCAGAATCTGAAGATGATGAGGACGACAAAAAAGAGAGCACGCTTACGGCGCTGCTGAAGAAGCAGGCGACGCTGGCGGAGCGCAACAATGGCAATGGAGACAGAGAAGAAGACGGTACGGGGACGAAGAGGCCGAGAGGAAGCGGGAAGCCGCCATTGCTATGGTTTAGTTCGCCCGTGCTGCCGGAAAATACCTATTTTGGCGTATATCGTGCGATCTTCAAACCCGACGAGGCGAACAAGGAGACAGAGCTCGTCGATCTCATCAAGAAAAAACAGCTCGAACCAATAGCACCTCCCAAACCGGCCGCGGATGGCGCCGTTGCACCTTCTGCCCTCAAGGGGCCCCATATCTTTTTGTGCATGATCGGAGGCGGTCACTTCGCGGCCATGGTGGTCTCTCTCGCGCCACGTCAGACAAAACAGGGTGCTTCTGGGCCACTGAATAGGGAGGCGACAGTGTTGGCACACAAGACATTCCACAGGTATACGACAAGAAGGAAGCAAGGTGGCTCACAGTCCGCGAACGATAACGCAAAGGGCGCTGCTCATTCGGCAGGTTCCAGCATCCGTCGTTACAACGAGCAGGCTCTCATAGACGAGGTGCGCCAACTTTTACAGGACTGGAAAGATCTTCTGGACACCTCAGAACTGCTGTTCATACGAGCATCGGGACAAACAAACAGGAGGACTTTATTTGGACCTTACGAGGGTCAAGTGCTAAGAGCAAACGATCCGAGGATACGAGGGTTTCCATTCAATACCAGAAGAGCGACACAGAACGAGCTCATGCGGTCTTTCATCGAGCTCACAAGGTTAAAGGTCCGCGAAGTCGACCCGGTCAAGGAGGAAAAGGCACAGGCAGATGCTACATCGAAACCAGCGACACCTAAGCCTGCGAAGCCGGCAGCACCAAAGTTGTCCGAGGAGGAAGAAACAGCATTATTGCACACGTCGCAGTTACAGGCCTTCGTCCGAAGATCAAAGCTGCCTGCTCTGCTGTCGTACTTCAAAAACAATGACGTGCCCGCGGATTTCCTCTTCCAACCAGCAGACTCGCAGCAGAACTATCATGCACCTACGTGTTTACATTTGTCGGCCAGTCAAAACTCGGCACCTCTGGTCTTGGGCTTGTTATCAAAAGCAGCGGCAGATCCTACACTCAAGAACCGCGAGGGTAAGACAGCCTTCGAGCTGGCGGGAGATAGAGCTACGAGGGATGCCTTTCGAGTAGCCCGCGACGAGCTCGGCGAGAACAAATGGGACTGGGAGGCTGCGAAAGTCGCCCCTCCCATGAAGCGGGCAGAAGCAGAAAAGCGCGACGAGAGGGAACGTAAGGAGAACGAGAAGCAGGAGGCAGAGCGAAGGAAGGCCGAGGAGGCTCGTCTGAAAATCGAAGGGCCTCAGGTCGACTCCAAGTCGTCGCGACCGAAAAATGTACTGGGCGGTGGCGTCCAGAAGACGGCTCAGGAGAAACGCGAGGAAGAGGCCAGGGGCCTTACGCCGGAGCAGAGGATGAAGTTGGATCGAGAGCGCAGGGCCAGGGCAGCTGAGGAACGATTTCGAAGGATGCAGGCTGGCAGCGGGTAGCCGGATTTAGATCTGGTTGAGTTCGGAATAGATGCATCATCTGCCCACGAGATGCACTGTAAGCACCAACACATCGTTTAAGTTTGCTGCCAGGTCTCGTGTGTGACCTTTTGTCTTTTCACTCTGCGAATGGGATATATCTGTCCAACGTACCACGCCAACACGTCCATCATGTTTGATGAGAATGTAATACAGGAATCCTGTTGTGCATATGAGGAAGAGACCCTGAGAGAGCCAACTCGTTCAATGAAGCCATCTCATGCAGACTCCTTCATCCTTCGCCTTGAAATAGCTTGATGGGAATTGTAGTAAGCACAGAAGCAGATCATCACCAAAAAAAAAAAAAAAAAAAAGTTCTTCCAAGCTGATCTACGATGACCCGGTTACACTGCGCTTTCTCCCCTTCGTCGACGGAGTACAAAGGTTCGAGAACATAGACTGGCATCCAGCAGGCGGCGCACTCGTATACAGCTGACCGTCTGCCAGGCACAATAGAGCACAGGGCCGTGTACTCGTCGTGCCCGGACTGATCTTACAGTTGCAAGTAAATCATCAACCCACCGGTCATACAAAAGCGCCAAATACGTGGTGTATACGAATTCTACGCCTTCGGACTTCTTCGCTCGACACTCTACGCCCGACAACCGATCAGGGCTGGTGGTTGGCTAGTTTTCTTTTTCTTCCTGTTCTTTTTGGTTTGTTCCTGCATGCACGCATGCATGCTGTAGCACAAGCACCTGAAACCCGGTGATCCTTGCTCGGTGGGTGGGCTCGCGAAAGACCTCTTTCGGGCATAGGCTATCCTGAAATGCTACCACATGCTTCCTCAGGGGTCCGGAAAAGGTTTCTGCGCAGGTCTTGAAAAGGGAACGGCCTCGACAATAAGAGTCGGTTCGGCAAATTGCGTAGTTACGAAATACTCGTTACAGATAGGGAATGATTTGATCGCAAGGAAGTTGTCAGGAAAGAGAGCGCTTGGATAAATCTTTGAACGAATTTGGTCGAGTGGATAACCCAAAAAGTTTCGTCCCGCTAGGAGCTCTTGGTCTGAGGGCTCAAGAAACGCATGAATTATGCGGGGAGGCTGTGAAGAAGTTCTGCAAGGCTCACGGAACAGGATAAGGGGGAAAGAGAAGACCGGCGAGGACGTGTCTCGTACACCCAGCTCGGCACTTGCAGCATGAAATTCTTATATACTATCGTGGCCAGCGTGAAGGCAGTGCAGTGCAGTGGAGTAGCTATAGCTCATCGTATATGAGTTTGTTATGGCCGGTCCCATCAACAGCGCAAACTACGAGCAACAATCGTAAAAAGTCACCGTCGGTGTGGAACCAATTCGGGCCCTCGTGATGCTTGCCATATGTGTTCGAGTGAATCCAGCCATAAACACACGGGAGCTGGGAGATCAGTTGCACCGTCTGGTTAACTTCAGGGCAAACCAATAATGAGCAAGCACAGGAGAACCACTAAATGGACTTGATTGATCTAACTGATCAGTCCTCTTGTTCCACGACTTCGGTTCGCCCTGCTCGGAAAAGGAAATAGAAGGCCAAAATCCCGCCAAAGCTATTAGAGAGCTTTGGCCACGCGCTATTTGGGTCCTGACCGACCGTGACGGTAACATCGGTTATCGGTTGGGATGGCTGGTCATTTGCACGTCTACCAGATCAGTTAGTAATTCGCAGGAATGGCCTGATGGCGAGCCTGTGTACAAACAGAAGGCCGGCGGCGGTGTGGCATGTAAATTCGTAGTTGGACCCGAGCCTGGGCGAAATGCTTGCGATCACAATGTATCTCGGACAGCATCACGTAGCCGACGGGTATCTAGCGTACCAACTTTGACTTGGGCTGGGAAAACCTCCGCAGGTGCCAGAAAAGTTCCTATATTAACATGTCGGAAGTTAATCATGGCATAACATGGGCTGGTGGCCCAAAACAGTAATACAGGGGGCCCGTAGTTGGTTTAGCCACAAACGGTGAACCGCAGGCCTGGTAAGCGATTCCCAGTCAAGACAGCTAGCCAGACCCCGACGCCTCTCACAACATTGCATTTGCCCACTGGAAGCCAACGTCATGCCAACGTTGGCCCGTGTGACCGTGCCTACGCCATGTGGTGTTGATAAGACCAATTGTTTTCACGACGGCGTATGAATGGGCTATGACAAAAAGATTGGTACGGCACCGGAACCAGAACCCGATGGCGTCTTGGCCGTACACTGCAAGTTGAGAGGCGTCTGGGGGCCAAGGAATTTGTCTTTTTTCGCGGCTTGCACGATGAGAAATGACATGAATTAAGACTTGGGCGTTAGAGTGTGAATATGGCGTGTTGTATCCGCCATGTTATGCTCTGTTCGTATTCCAAGATGCGCTTGTAGAAAAACATTGCACTTGCAAAGCCGCAAGACAGTGGAATAATTCCGGAATTGCTAGACCCTTGTGACCAGAGCTACATAGTATGGTCGTGGATATCCAGAACGTAGAAGGGTTTCTGCGATAAAGTGTACTATGTACGATACGAGTTTAATGTGGCATTCTGACAGTTTGTAGTGGGCCAACCGTCTCCAGAACCAATTTCCATTAGTTATGCTTGTAAACTTGTAAGCATACTGAACGGACCCCCCAAGGATGTGTGTATGGTTCCATCTCTTTGCCTGGTGTCATCTCAATGATAGGCACCATGTTTAGCGCTAGAACCGAGATTCCAATTAAGCTTCTTCTCGTTAGCATTTCGAAACTCTCGCCTCGACTGAAGGAGATACAGCGCTGTTGAAGGGGGGAAAAAAAATGCAAGCGAGCTGAGACGGACAGGAAGATGAAACGATCTAGAGAGCTTTTGGTTGTGAGTGGCTGATAACTGAAACATGTCGACTGCCAAGACATGGGGCCTGTGCTTCCTGTTGTGCTGGCGCCCGATGAAGGGAAAAAAGAGCGGCTCCGCGGCAAAAGGCCTCGAATTGGGTCTTGGACTCTTGCATACATCAGATGACAGCCAATCGTTGGACTCTTGAAGAAGCTTAAAATAAGAAAAGGAGATCTGTATAGATTCACTTGCCTCAATCTCACAGCGCTTGCAATAGTTAGATCTCAGAAGTCGGTAGACGACCTTACTCAAGTGTACTATAGTACGTGGTGTACTGCTTCTCGCTCGATCACTAAAGATTCCCTTTGCCAATGATACCGATGTTATTTCCTTCTCGGAGTGCAGACCGGATCGCCCTCTCCTCCAGTGGGTCTGGTTTGCCATGAGGGGCGAGGCCGATGCTAGCTTGACGGTGGACCAACCGTTCGCGCCTCTATTATCTCTCCTTTTTGTGGAGGTCACTTGAGAGTCAGAGCGTTCGTAACATACCCGTTGATGATGTTACGGTGCGTGCCATGCGATCAATGCTTCATTTGCACATGTACTATCAGGCCATCATCGATATGTCACGGCAAGTCTATTGACTGTAGTGCACTGCCTGCAATTTGCTGCGATGGATATCAAATAGATCCCATCCGTATCCCACATGGTAGCCAGCAAGTTTGGAAATAGCATCCTGGACAAACCCCAGAGCTTTATGATCGCAAGCTAGGATCTCACTGAAGCCAACGGACGGGAAGAGCAACTCTTGGTCGGGCCCAATCGAACCAAGATCGATGATGTGAGTGACTCTACAGATCCGTACATGCCGGATGATATCTCCCTTCGGGTCCTCTGGGCCTGACCTCTTGGTCGGATGCTCATATATCCCATTGCGACTTTACAGAATCAATCAAAGCCGTTGCGAAAGGTTCCGCACAAAGCTGATGTTCAGAGCGTCATCGACCTTTCCTCATGACATGACAGAGCTGAGTTGGAATAATTGTTAGCGGTGGTTATCGTACCTGCATTAGCCCAATGCAGACACAACCCGTGAGTGGCTATGCTCGTTTCAGAGGTGTGCGGGAGGGCCAGGAGGGTGGGTTAGGGGGCCTTGTCTTCTTTAGCGATCTGAATGCAAGGAACCGGCACTTGTAGACCTGTCTGCTCGTTCCACTTGTTAGTTATTCAGGCGTCTCTTCAACTCCTCCGCCAGCAATCCTGCTCGTATGCCCTTCCAACAATAGCGCATGCAATGGAATACCCGCTGCTGATTTCGGCACCGTCACATAAGCAAACGAATTTCAGGTGGGAATCACCTGCAGACGCGGAAGCATCCAATGTACAGAGGTCAAAGCATTCCATTGGCAACGGTCTTCCCATCGGGTCTGCACTTGGTCCTGAAGAATTCTTTTTTTGGCAGCCATTCGTTGTGGAAACGCCTACTGAGACCCTTGCAAAATACCAAAAGCCCCCGGCAGCCGCGCGCTCTCGACCGGCTCAATATAGCGGGGCTTCGTCTTTACCCCTGGAAAGCCTCGTGGAGCCCGAGTCTTTCCTAATCCAGTGGCCTCAACCCTGACAACGATCTCTTACTGGCAACATGCCGTAACGCCTGCACCAGAATGTCTGTTCGTCCACTCCACTCGAGTTGGGATGAGAGAGGAACCACCATACTATGTACGCTGCTACTAGCATGGGTATCTGGAGAAGTATCCAGTCCTGGACTGGGCTAGCTAATGCTAGTCTATGTCAGTGCTACCTGATGGTGGCCGTGTCCGGACGAAGTGATGCTTGATACCTCCCCATCATGAATGCAGGTATATATGATGCATGTGAGCCTCCTCTTCCAAGGCTCATTCTGGACTTCTTCCATCAACACTTTCGTTTCCTTTGGGCATTACCAACAACTATTTTATTTTCTTTAGGAAATCAGGGTCATTCGTTAACCTATTTCCATTTACTATTCGTTTTCTTACATCACCGGTCATTTCATAACCGCCACTCACTCACCAATATACTACAAATCTAATCAATCAAAATGAAGAGCACTTTGGCCCTCGCCCTGGCTGCTGCTGGCATCAGCCAGGTCTCGGCCTCTTTCCTCAACGCCGCTTCCTACTCGTGCCCCAGCAACACTGACAACCAGTGCACCGACAAGCAGAGCGCCGGTCTGGATTTCACTGATCTCGACGATGGTAGTGTCGGCAACTATGCCGGCTTCCAATGGTCCGGATTCACCTGCCAGAGCAGCTTCAACAAGCGTGACCACCTCGGAAAGCGTACCGCTGTGTCCAGCAAGTGCGTCTCCGGACACGCTTCCACCCAGAAGAGCTCATCCCCCTCTTTCGGCTGTGACTCCAAGTCCGGCGTTGACAAGACTTCCGTTGGCGAGTTCCACGTCTACCCCGAGTTCGACTGTGACCTAGAGTTCCACTACGACATGCCTGACGGCTCTACCTGCAAGCACCGATCCGCTTGCTCTTCGTCTGGAACTGTCGTCAAGAACAGCCAGTGTGGTGGTGCCAAGAACGTCACCATCGTCTACCCTTCGCAGCCCGCTATCCCCAAGGAGACTTGCTCTTTCGCTGTCCCCTCCATCTCTTTCTCTTGTGGCAGCGCCAGCAGCACCAAGGTTTACAGCACCAAGATCACTTCCTCCACCAGCAAGCCTGCGACTTTCACCACCTCCAGCAAGGCCGAGTCCACTCACACCTACTCTGTCTCTAAGCCCGTTGAGTCTACCTCCAGCACTCACGCTTCTTCGACCACCTCTCCCGTGACTGCCACCGCTGGCTCTTCAAGCAGCTACTCTCAGATCACCCCCACCACTACCAGCAGTGCTGTCGTGTCCAGCAGCACCTCAAAGGTTGAGTCCTCCAGCCAGGTCGAGTCTTCTTCCAGCAAGGTTGAGTCTTCTTCCACCAAGGTCGAGTCTTCTTCCACCAAGGTCGAGTCTTCTTCCACCAAGGTCGAGTCCTCTACCAAGGTCGAGTCCACCACCGAGGTTGAGTCTTCCACCAAGGTCGAGTCATCCACCACCAAGGTTGAGACCGAGACTTCTTCCACCTACAAGCAGGAGACTACCTCTGCCGTCGTTTCTTCCGCTTCCTCTTCCAAGACCACTTCGTCCGCTAACGAGGCCACCACATACCCTGCCGGCAGTGCCTCTAGCTCCATTGCTACCGTTCCATCTGCTTCCTCCGCAACTGAAGTTACCACTTTCACCTCGGTCACTTCTTACCTCTCGACTTCCACTGTCTTGAGCACCCGTGTCTCTACCATCATCAGCTGCGCTCCTGAGGTGACCAACTGCCCCGCCTCATCTGGCGCCGTTGTCACCACTGAGATCATTGAGGTCTCTACCACTATCTGCCCTGTAACCGAGACCCAGACCTTCACCTCTAGCAAGCCCGTCGAGACCAAGCCCACCACCGCTGTCGGAACCACCGTTGAGACCTCGTCCAACGCTGCCGAGACTAAGCCTAGCAGCGCTGTTGGCTCTACTACCATCGTCAAGGGCTCCTCCACCGTTGTCGTCTCTTCCAGCACCTCTCCTTCCGCCCCTGTTGAGACCCTTCCCTGCCCTGCGGTTGTTCCTTCTTGCTTGAACACCTGGTTGTTCGCCGTTGGCTGCAAGGACAACTCTGATGCCAGCTGCTACTGCCCCGACTCTCAGTTCGTTGAGAATGTTTTCACCTGCATCTACGCCCACGGTGAGAGCGACGAGGAGATCTCTGAGGCTGTTAACTACTTCCAGGGTATCTGCGGTAACTATGCTGGCTCCAACCCTGGCATTGCTACCGCCGTTCCCACATACGTCAGCCAAGTCTCCCCAGCAAGCTCTGCTTCTGCTTCCATCTACACCACTATCGTGGTTGATGTTACCACCGTCGTCCCTTGCACCACCAGCGTTGGCTCCACCGTCTCCACCATTGCCGGCAGCTCTTCCACCATCATCATCAGCACTGCTGTCACTGTTCCTCAGGTCGTCTTCAGCAGCATCACCTCTGGTGCTTCTACTACTGACGTCGCCGTCGTTCCTGGCACCTACTCTGCCGTCCCCGTTGTCTCTGCCACCCCCACTGGAGCTACTGCCACTGGCAACAGCCCCGTCACTGGCTCAGCACCTTACCCTACCAACGTCGGAAGCACTTTGATCACTGCTCAGCCCACTGGAACTGGAGCAGTTTACCCCACAAAGTCTGCCTCCACAACTGGAGTCTTCGCAACTGCTGGTGCCGCTCGTATTGGCTCTGGTATCGGCTTCCTTGGCTTCCTCGGTCTCGCCGTCGCTGCCTTGTAAATGGCCTAGTGTAGCCAAACCGTCCCTACACAGGTGACAAACTACAACTGTATCATTCTTACGATCCTTACGAATAGCATTTTTGGCGGTGAAAGGTTTGGGAACAGCGTTTGTCTGGTCACACCTACATGAGCCGCAGAGCTCGAGCATTTTTCTTTTGAGATAGAGAAAACCCGAAGAAGAGAGAAGCATTGCCACAACGATAGATACATAGGCCGAGGAGGATGTGGAAGATTTGTAGTAATACTTAATATACCCAAGGAACAATATAGCCTTTTGAGCTTTCGCAATGCTGTCTTTAATACTTGATGTTTTGAACGTGTTTAGATCCTGCCATTGCTGTGTGGTCATCATGATCCTTCGTTCACAGGTCGGATACTTGAAAGGTCCACTCGTAACTAGAGTAGGAAGGGAGTACCTGATACGGAGCCACAAGCAGGCACTTCAACCCGTCCACATGCAGAGCGAGGTCATCACAGCAGACATGCACAACAGGAAGAACCTCCGCTGTCGTCACTATGTGTTATAGTACCCGTTTGCTCTGTCTCACGGGAGGGCAAACATCCCAACATGCACCGCAAAGGTCATTATGACACAAGTGAGGGTGCAGTCGAGACCCTGCCAGTTTTGGAGAATCCATTATTTATCAATAAACAGGAGAGTCTTTAGGAAGAGCTGTCTCTACGCTCAATCTTCCAGAACTGTTCTCAAGGACCAACCTTGTTGCAACCCCTTACGGGCGAATACCACACCGCGAACGGATCGAAACTACAGCTGGCGGCTAGGCTATCTGTGAGAAGAAGGTATGAGGCGTTCAAGAAGATCATTGAGCAGGTGGTGAATAACCGCGGAAGAAAATCAAGCACGAGGGCTCTGTATGTGACCGTGTAACCAGATGACAAGGACAGTGCTTTATACGGCTGATCGGATAAAGACAGTCATGTAGAGAAATAACGAGAATCCAGGATTACAAATCTCGCGCCGTCAAGAACAACATCATTATAAATAATATGAGCCACATTGATATAAGAACATACTACTCAATGTCACAACATGTCGATCGCAGCAATACCGTATAGGTAAAGACGAGCATGCTGATCTATAGTTCTACGCTTTGTTGAACTTACACGTTTAGCACGAATTAAGGTGAGCTTTAGGCAATACTTCCACCACTTCGTGACATTTATGATGTTACCAATACTTAGACATGTTGACTTGCAGGAAATTTTTGTTTGCATGACTGCATGGGAATGTTCACTCATACCATATTGCCTGACAAGCCGGGTATCGCTTCATGATATAATTAGTGGGGCATCCATGATAGTTAGCCCCTCCTCTACACAAGAAGCTTCCAATCTCGGTAACGTTGCATCGCCGATAATGGCGATTAATCAAAGACATCGCGGAAGCGGACATGCTGTAGGACACTTTTCGGACTCTTGTGTTTGGTATTGTGGTGATTGAGGAACCATTGGGGCCGCATTCATCTCTTGAAACTACAGGAGCATTCCAAGGGAACGTGAGAGACGACGCAAGTCGAATTTCGCCATGGCGTTCGCCAAAATGCTCCTCTTGGTCCCTCTCCTGGCATCTCAATCGCTGGCGCTCAACTCCCCGGGTTTCCCATTCGTGATCAATACCTGGGGTGGCCCTTTCACCGCAGCCACGGACGCGGCGTACCTCGCGCTGCGAAACGACCCGTCCAAGTCCGCGCTCGACGCCGTGGAGATCGGCTGCGCCACCTGCGAGGCCAACCAGTGCGACGGCAGCGTGGGCTACGGCGGGTCACCGGACGAGGACTGCGAGACGACCCTCGATGCCATGATCATGGACGGCGAGACCATGAAGTCCGGGGCCGTGGCCGCGCTGCGGCGCGTCAGGAATGCTATCGGCGTCGCGCGTCACGTGCTCGAGCACACGTCGCACACGCTGATCGCGGGCGACTTTGCGACAGCCTTCGCGGTGCAGAACGGGTTCGTGGAGGAGGATCTGGGTACAGATAGTTCCAGACAGAGCTGCGCTGAGTGGAAAGCGGGCGGGTGTCAACCGAACTATAGACTGAACGTTGAGCCCAATGCTACGCTCGCCTGTGGGCCGTATACGCCGGTGTTGCTGAACTCGACGAGCTCGACGTATGGAAGTTTGATTGCGCCGGATGCGGTGCAGGCTTCGCATGATACGATCTCCATGATTGCCATCCATTCCTCTGGTGTCATGGCAGCGGGCACGTCGACGAACGGCGCGTCGCGTAAAGTTCCCGGGCGTGTGGGAGATGGTCCCATTACGGGCAGTGGTTCGTACGTCGACAGCGAGGTTGGCGCGTGCGGGTAAGCGATTCTCGGAATCTTTTTTTTCCCACCCTCTTCAGCATGTCTATGGAGCGTATATCACTTATCCAAGGCAATTGAGCTCTTCCTTATTGTTTCGCAATGCTCCCCTAGACCACACAGCCCATTTTCAAGAAGTAATCGCTGACTCCGGATGATGTAGTGCGACGGGCGACGGAGACGTCATGATGAGGTTCCTGCCATGCTACCAAGCTGTTGAGAGTCTGAGACGTGGACTGTCTCCTCAAGAAGCTGCAAACGACGCGGTTTCACGAATGGTGAAGAAATATCCAAAAATCTCGAGTGGCATCGTAGTGGTGGACAAGAATGGTCAACATGCTGGCGCAGGGTCGGGCTGGACGTTTACATATGCTTACCGAGGTGGAAATATGAACGAGACGACTGTAGTTTCAGTACCACCGATAGATACAGTCGAGTCTATTCTGGACTATCGAGAGCAGAAACAGCTCTAAAAGAAACCAAGCATGAGTTTTCCTGGGACAACAACCACGAGAATACTAGAGAGGCTGGGGCGACTGAGAAGAAAAAGAAAAGTTCTGTTTGTTGCAGATTCAATAAAGATACGATCCTTGAAGTTTAACATAATACCACTGAGTTAATGACTATTTCTAACAAGCGGCATCGAACATAGCGAGTAAATAACTGATCACGCCGAGCAATTCCGGCAAGGCCTGACGCATCATTATAATTGTTCTCGTTCAACATGTCGGAACATTGAATATGGTTGATTGTTGTGAACACGAAAAAATAATAGTTGTTCGAGCTGCTTCACTTTTAAGCACGTATACCTGCCTCTAGTTGTCTGCCACGGTCGATGAGCGCCATCCATCCAAATGCTTCGAGTGATATGTAATCTTGATCTCGATGGAATTAGGTTGCTCCGATGTACACATTGCTCGGTTGACCAAAAACAACAGTTTGACAGCTGCCATTATAGGCAACATGCATACTGGTTATCCCCTTCAAAGAACAAATGGCTTCTTGCACCGCCGTCATCCCATACATCAAATGAACTCCCTCTATACCGACCAGTCATATCCCTTATGTTTGCCACAGTTGTTGAAAACGCACTGCCAGTAATACCAAAGAAAAATTCCGACCGCACCATGACACCCATATCTACTACACCCTGGAAATCGAATGGCAAATCGTCGATCATCTCTGTCGTGTTTTCATCATCTTGCATCAGTTTCCACTTGTGCGTCACCTCCCAGCCACGTTTCGCTCCGGCCTCGACGAACTTCTCGACTTGTACCTGGTCACCACAAGCAAGATATACTAGGGGCTTCTGCTGGCCTGGCTTCCCGAACTTTGCCCAGGCCTTATCCAGAGCGTCCAAGTCAACCTTCAACTGGTTTTCCAGCCCTGACCAGATTGTGTCGTTCTCAACACGAAAATGGACGCCATAGAACGACCGCGGGATCTTGCTTAGAACTCTATCCACGATCTGTCTGGGCTGTTCGCGGAACCTTATCACATGCGACAAGTCGTTCCACAATCTCAATTCTCGACCTGACGGATCATCCATGATGCGGAAGAGCAAGAACTCCGAGTCAACATTCACTACCGTGATACCAGCCTTAGGACTGTCCTTGTTTTTGGGGTCCGAATTTTCCAGAAACTTCAGGAGGAGGTAGTGTTCATCGAAGTAGTTCTTCCAACTTCTCCCCACCCAGAAATATGATTGTGATTTCCGGTAACCTATGGCGCCTTCTTCAACGGATACCGCCCAGTGGCGCCTGACCTCCACGTTGGTGTCTAGCTCTGTTGGATGAACGATACGCATGCGTGGGCATGCGCGACCGATTGCGCCGCGTAAATGGTCCTCGTCGAACCATTGATCGTAAGCCATGTAAGCGTCCTCGTTGAGCAGGTTGAAAGCCTTTAGGTCGTCGGAGCTTCGTAGCGGCATGCGTGGCAGCACCAGATTTGAACCGGTGTCTACGGCCATCTTCAGGCATACCTTCACCTGGGACATGATGGACGTGATGCCCGCCAGCATGCCGAAACAGTTCAGATAGGGCGCATCCTCGGCCCAGGTGGCATGGTCACAGGCTTGCTTTAGCCCAACATACGCGTAGCCCCGTGTAGACGGGGACGAAACTGAGTATGCTTGATCGAAGTAGTTGGCAACATGCGGCAGAGGGATTGATGCTTTCGACGGCGTGGGCGTCTTCTCCCAGGGCAGCGGTTTTAGGTTCCACACGAATAGCAAGCTCAGGACGATCGCAGCCCATTGCACGAAACGTCGCGAAGGGCTAGTGGCAGAGACCATGGTGCTATTGGACTGGGGCTTTGGATCACATCCAGCGATACAGAGCCATCCAGATTATGGGGTTTTGTATCACCAAAAGTGTTGTGCCCAGCATGAGGTTTTCGAGGCCACTTACGCTCCCGCCGCTCATTTCTACAGCCGAGCTCCCACCCTCCTAATGTATGGAACCCAGCAGCGATATAGATATACTCGTTCATGATTGGCCAAGAGACTCGTCTGGTTGGCTCGAAAAGGTGTGATCCGCGTTTCTAGCCAGGGGTTTTATGCGGGGAAGATTTGCCGAGTCTGGGGACCCCAGAAACTCGTTTTCATGTGATAGAGCATAATCTCTGGGTATGCACGAAAAGATCTTCAGCAGTACACGCAAGCCCTAGGACATGAAAGTCGATATGTTGTACGGTGAATTAAATCTCCATGATGAATTATGTCAATTCAACAGCATGATTTGACCCAAACCACAGCAAGTCATGTACAATACTTTTACCCCCTTTTCCCTATACACATGTCTCGTTACCACACACACTTCGCCTCGTCATTAACAGTTTTCGCAGTGCTTCGATGCTTCGAGAACTCTCATGGTGGAAATATTGCACATATATCCATTAAACCCACTCACGTCCAATACTTGGCGCTGGCTGCAACAACTACCGATGATGGTCGACAATGTTATCAAAATGCAGCACACTACATTTCCCGCCAGACTGTTCCGAAACACGATCAAACGGTACTCTTGCGGGACGGACGCATCTCGCGAATCCTCCCACCCTTATATACTTAGAGCCGCTCGCGACCTTTTTCGTTGGCGGCATTTCCAAAAGAACGCCAATCGTCTTGCCGTCTCATAGCGCGAAGGCGCCCAGCGTTGTGGCCGAGAAGAGAAGCGCACCCACCGTCAGGCCCAGGGTAGTAATGCTGTAGCTGGTGTGCGACCTCGGCGCAGCATTGCCGGACGAGGAGGAAGTGGAACTCGAGCTGGTGCCCGAGGATGTGCTGTGGCCGGTCTTGCTGGCATCGGTGGCGCTGGCGACAATGCTGGCGCCGACGCTGGTACCTGTGGGGGTCGAGCTGGCGTCTCCCGTGGCCGTCGCACTTGTGTTTCCGTGGCAGAAGACCTCGTTTCCATAGGGAGCACCGTTCTTGTACATGCAGTCGGTCAGGTCGGAAATGCTCTGGTCGATGGCTAGGCAGTAGACGCCGCAGTTATCATAGTAGCTAATCACGGCGGCCGACTTGCAGCACGCCGCCATGATGTCGGTGTGGTTTCCACCATATGGCATTGCACAAGCCGCATCGTCAACAGGGATGTTGTACAAGGTCGAGCCACATGTTGGGGAGGCAGAAGCGGATGTCACTGTTGACGACATGTTGGTGATATGGTTTATAAAGTTGGGGGTCAACGAGTGCTAAGTAACGTCGTCTTGGATCTGGTAGTATGTATGGAGTGAGAGGAGGCTAGAATCCTAAAGCAGTTGAACAATGGGCCTCCATGTTATTTACAGCTTTTTCTAACTCTAAAGCGCCGTCCCCATATCTGCTCTCAAGTCAGCCGGTTTGGTTGTCATGCGAAACCCGCCATGAAAACAAAGGAGGCCAATCAAGTGCTTTACCTAGATGAATACGAACTCAAAACGGGGCGAAGCTTTGGCACCGTTCCTGGGGTCCCGGGCTTAGTGTGTGGATCTCCCCGGCCGCCGGCACCGTCTTCAACTGGTTGCAATTGTGAAGCCACTTCCACGAAAAACTACAGCAGGTTGAGTAGCAAGAGTAGCACATGTGTACTGAGAGAGACGCTAGATTACAATATACGTAATTCTGAACAATGCGATAACACTTAGAGTAAGTAAGACATGACTGGTGATATGCATATCTCGTCTCTGATGTTGATCATATCCCGACGGCATAATTTAACCATGGTTTCCTCCCACCTGCTCACTCCGTAGTTTGCAGGCCAGTCCCTACAGTACAGCACTCGGCTGGAGGACTACCAACCCCACTACAAGAACAAACTAATCTCAATGCCTGGTCGGCTACGTCATAACCGAACAAACTCCAAGTATTTCACGATTCCTGCCGAAACTTGGGTATCGCGAGATTCCCTCCAGATATTATACACGATCTTGAATGACAATCATGCGATGCACTGTGTGAGCTCAAATATTGTCCAGTTGGTGCTTTGACAGTCAGGCGCACACAACCACCGTTTCTCTGGCGGCTAGGCTTTTTGTAGTGGAGCCTCGCAGCTTGAGCGAAATTTCGAGTCAAGGCAGAACCTTACGCTTTATCAACAACTCATCGCACACATGCACGTGTTGAATTAGGCAACCCAACCATACGGAGGCCATCATGTTCTCCTCCAGAACTTTCCTGCTGCTTTTGCTTGTCGCCATTTTGTTGGCGACTCCTGTGGCGGCTTTCGGCGCTGGCGAGGTTCCGTCGGGAAGCGATTTCAAGGGCTATGTATGGCGGCATGGCGACATCACCGAGGTTCTCAAATACTTGCCCGCATCCTTCATCACACACTACCGCTTCACGCAGATACAGCGCAAGCAGATCTATTTTGGCAACTGGTTGCGCGACTTTTCTCAAGTCATCGACACGACATGCCTAGAAGCCGTTCCCGAGCCCATCCTGCGGGCCATAGTGTCTGTACTGGCGTTCATGGAGTTTGGCTTCGCAACAGATGAGTTTGACGTTACGAGGGAAAGACTAGGATGCTATACGCACGTCGAGCATATCGACAATCCCCAAGGCTACCAAGACAATGCCCAGGACATAGACAAGCGTCTCCGGGGTCCTGTGCTTCCTGAAGAGCTTGAGTTCGATTCAAGAACCGGAATGAAGAATTACATCGCCAACAGCGGCCATGGATGGAGGACCTCGGCAGATTATGTCCGCGAGCAGTTGAAGCAATGTGTCGCGCTCGGCAGGGTAGGACGAAAGAGGAGAAATGCCGGCCAACGAAAGGAATCAATGATACATCTCGGCGCCGCGCTACACACGCTAGAGGACTTTTCAGCTCACAGCAACTTCGTCGAATTATGCTTGCATGAGCTCGGAGAAGACAACGTATTCACGTTGGTCGGTGATGCATGCCGCGTCAAGACGCCCGGTGTCTCAGGCAAGAAAGTTCCACCTATTGTCACCGGAACTTTCGGAATGCTGGACATCTTCCATAGTTTACTTGGAGAGGCGGATGACATGGCCATTCTGCAATCCAAAGGAACACTCGGCTCGCTCGAAGATAAGCTTGATTTCGGCGGACCGGCTTTCGAGCAGTTGTTTGAACTCATCAAGAAGGGTATCGAAACTGTGAACAAGGTTACCCCCGACAAGGTACCACTCATGGAGGAGCTCAACGCTGTAGCGATGATCTTCAAGAAGGCCACGGACACCATTTCTCCACCAGATTCAGACTCTGAGGATAAAGCAGATGATGCCGCAAACCCGAACTTGCTCTGGCAGACGATTGAGCCCGTGTTCTATCTGCACGATCGGATTTCGAAGTGGCTCCAGGAAGGGACGGAGGAAACTGAAGAGTCGATGGCAGATATTTCTACCAGTCAGCTGAGTGACTATACCAACCAGCTGGTATTCCGCTTTTTGGCAGTCATGATTGAATCCTCGGTCAAGGAGCTTCGAAAGGCAGTCAAGGCAGCCAAGGACCGAGTGGACGCAGAAGCCGCTAAAGCAGCATCTGCAGCCGTTTACGAAGATGGTGCGGATGCTTCCGACCCGAGTCATTCCGACCTTTCAAAGGATCATTTCGGCAACGTCTTGAATCAGCCAGCGGGCCTGGTCGGCACTGTCACAACCAACTGGACAACGCAACAGATCGTGAGGTGCTGGGATGACCCAAGCATTGACGAGGACCAGGCCATCGACGAGATTTTGACGGTACTGCACCATCCGGCATTTCCCAAGAAGAAGACCCCCATTCAACAGTACATGTTCGACACAGTCAAGGGTTGGTGGGAAGCTTGTCGTCCTGAAGAGAAAGAAAGACTTCGAGCGAAGCTCACGAAAGAGAGTGTCAAGAACCGTGGCCACGAGGACCATGATCTTACCCTGAAAGACCTGGTGGCCGCCGGTAGACCTCGTGGTCCGGCGTCCTTCCCCGGATCACAGCCTGAAGTCAAGCAGCCTCCCAAGAAAGTGTCCTTCCCACTTGCGTGGGCGATCAACGAGTTAGGTCGAGACATCAACTTCATATTCACCACCACGAAAAAGAGCTTCTCTGATCCTGTGGGGGCCGTGGGAGATGTGATTACTGGTACCGGCAGCTTCATCTCGCGTACCACCCTGGCAGCTATCAGCGTGCCTCGGTGGTTTGCTCGCCAAGCCGGGCACCTTGGCTCAAAGATTTGGCCGTTTGGTAGTGGACGGAACACGACATGATGAACGATCCTCTGGTGGCGGGCGAAAAATGGTCAAACACTAGCACTTCTGCAATTTGGCAAGCAATACAGGTGGTTGCATTTTCAGTTGTGCGTGAAACTAATCATGGATCTGGAGAAGAGGCAGATAGAGAGATCTGCAAGAAGTCTGCAGAGACTGGTGTTCTTGAAGATCGCTTTCCAGATGCTAAAAGTTTCATTTTAATTAGAGACTATGGAATATTGAGGACATTGCACTTTTCTGTTGGACGATATAATGTTGATATACTTTACCTATTACGATTTTTACTATTTGAGACGAACTGCGTATTTCGTCTTCCGTTGGCTCTCCTAAGAAGTCTTCTCGATGGGAATGGACCTTGGCATCCAAGCTTTTTATATTCACCCGAGCAATTGTGTTGGTTCTTTTTTCCTCATCTGAGACATGTGCTCTTCTCCGGAGAACCGGCAGCAAATATTAGTCAGGTATTCCGCAGACAGCACCCATGAGATGGATACATCCCCCTTTGTCTGTCGTCCTGTTTCCGGTAGACGTGAAAATTGACAAGGTAATTAGTGAGTGGTTCCCTATCAAGTCTACCACACAAGCGCTTCGCGGCAAACGCCAGCCCTCCCTGACCCAGATGATGGCGGCTTTTAGGAGAGACACGGAAGGGAGGGCACGCAGGCTCTCTCTCTGTAGGATCGCCTGGCTTCATCCAAGCAAGAAAGAACTTGTATGGAGTCTAGCAGAAGAAGCGACAAGATCGGAGGAACGCGGCGCAGAGATGCCGAGGGGAGAGTAATAGATTCAAACTTCGTGTGGCAAAAAGGACGAGGGCCGTTCTGTAGGGGGGGAGGGGGCTAAACGATACGCATGGAAAAGGGGTGGCTTCTGTCCGAGAAACCAGATTAACTCCAGCGAAGCGCGTGGTTGCTAGGCAGTAGAGATGAACGGTGAACAAAAAAAAGGAGAAGTCTCTTGCACATATATTGGAGACGTACAAGCTGGTATGGAGTGACAGCAGGACGGCTTACGGCCAGTTACGTGTCCGAAACAGAGCACAATGATCCAACGAATGGCACAACCCAGACACACGAGAACCAATATACAGTTGACTAGAATATCAATCGTCATTCAACTAATTCTTCGCGTTGACAGATGGCAACAACAACCTGGGTATAATGTGCCATCACCATCAAACCACGAGGTATCTCCGCCAAAAAAACTCTCCGGGGAATCCATGAAAGCGGAGGGACAGCAAATTGCTGCCTCTCCGTTGTAAGCTCCAGTATTGTACATTATGTCTTAACAATTCATCTGCTCCATATGGGAACCAGACGTTGCCGCTCCTCCTTTTCCAGCAACATATAGCACAAACATGTAGAAACCAAGGTCAAATATTGAGAATGGTTCTCCACCCGAAAACTCCCAGTAAAAGGTCTTTGTGATCGTGGTTCATTATCTTCAAAGTGCACATCAAGTACAGGTGTGGGTGTTGCAGATGATCGCCTCAATACAGAAAAGAAAAACAAATAAATCAAACGTAGTCGTAATGCGAAACTAGTCGTAGAAATCCTAACAGGGAAATACCCAGCAGGTGTCGTAAAGTGGTTTGTTGTGCATGCCGATTGGACCCGTATGCGTCATGCGAATTATGTACGGTTGTGGATGTATTGGGTGTCTGACAGAATTTCTCAGACACGTCTTGCGTTTTGACCAGTGGGTTCCTGCTCCTCGGTGTCAAGTCGCTTGCGCCAATCAGCTAGACTCTCACTTAGACCAAGTCCGACGCTGTCCTCGCTCTTCTTGTTGCTGGATTCAAACTCGAATGCTGTAGACAAGCGGTAGTTCTCGTTTGTCGCCTCCCACTTTGTCCGCAACTGGTCAAGCTCGTCTGCCAGGTTGTCGAGCGCAGCGCTGTTTCTATCACCGCCTAGCCCGCCCAGTCCGCTGACTCCGCTGACTCCGCCTAGTCCGCCATACATACTGCCAGCTTCGGAGCTCTCTTGACGCTGATGCCCGGCATGGTGCACACTAGGTGCTGCTTCTGTAATACTCGGTGCCTGGCGACTCCTGCGGCGGTAATTGTCGACAGAATTCTCGACCTGGTCTAGGAGCAACCCGACTTTGTGCTCTGCTTCTTGTGCACGCTTCTCAAGAAGCGCATTCTCTTGTTGCAACTGCTCCAGACCATGCTCCATGACAGTGAGGCGTTCCGCTGCACTAGCGCTCTCGTGCTTGACACTGTCGCGTTCGAGCTTGGTAGACTCTAACTCGTGTCGTACTTCGACCAGCTGTTGCTCCAATTGAGTCGACGACTCATGGAGTTGCTGCTCTAGAACCTCGATCTTCCTCTCGAGCGTTGAGCGTTGGTTGTCCCAATCAGCGGGCGCAGAGCTGACGTTGGATTCGGCGCTCATAGATCTCTCCTCAAGCTCGATATTCTCGTTCTTTAGACGAGCATTTTCGGACTTGAACTTGGCAAGCTCTTCTTTCATGCGCTTCAGCATCTTCTCGGTCCCCTTGACGTAGTGCACTGCTGATTGATAGTCGCTTTCCAACTGAGTAATCCTTTCACGGTATGTAGCCTCGGTCTGCTGCATTTGAATCTCGAAGTTCTGTTTCATGTCATCGTTCGCTGCACGGGCTTCGGTGAGCTGCTGCTCAAGATTGCTCGTTGCGGGTGAATCGGTCCTGGAATTGACGCTTCTAACACGCGCGACACCTGTCGGGCTGATACCTCTTTCCGTCAGAATGTCCTTGAGCGTGTTATGTTGTACGCTCATGGCATTGGTCTCAAGTTGCTGGTTAGAAAGCTGATGCTTCAGGTCTGAGTTCATGGCTTGAAGTGTTTGAGTGTCCCTCAAGGCTGCTTGTAGTTGTCTTCGAATCGTGACGCCTTCTCTGCTAGATTGCTCTTGGTAGGCCTCAAGGCCAGCGATGCGATCTTCTGCACTGCGCAGTTTGTCAGACGCTGCGTCAGCCTCCTGCTGGAACTTCTTCACAAGATTGTTGGCGGCATTGATCTGGGTTTGCAGTGCGGCGATTCGACCAGCGTCTGCTTGCCTGGATTTGGTGCTCTCTTGCGTGATCTTGTCCAAACCGGACAGAACAGCCTGGCGGTGGGTCTTGGCTTCGTTCGCGTGTCGCTCAGCCAGTTCTTCGGCATCACGCAAGCGTTGGCTGACTGCCACAAGTTCGGCAGTTTGCGCTTCGTGTTCAGCTTTCAGATTTGTCAGCTTCGACTCGATGGTTTCCCGGTTAGACCGTTCTTCGTCGAGCTTTGACTCCAGATGAGTCCTCATATCGTCCGATGCTGCGACCGCTGCACGGAGAGAGTCCAGATCTGTGCCCATGTCTCTATCGGTAGTGCCGTCCTCCGCAAACTTGCTCCGCAGATCAGAGTGGTCAACCTTGAGCGCCTCAAGAGCAGCAACTGCTTCGGCGCCATTGGTAGCATGCTCACGTGCTTCGCGTTGTGCTGTATGAAGCTCGGCTCTTAGTGATTGAAGTTCGAGAGAAGTCTGCTGCTTGTACGTCTCCAGTTCAGTCATACGCTTTTGCGAAGCACCTGCAGTATCGTCCGCTAGTTGACGCGCACGTTTCTCAGCGTTAAGGTCTGAAGAGGTTCGTTCAAGTGAATTTTGGAGGTCTTTCTGGAGATTCAATGCTGATGCCAGCTTTCGGCTAGTCTCCGCTTTCCGGTATTTGTCATCACGATCACTGTCCAGCTGCGGCGTGCTAGATGCGCTGCCTGTCTGAGCTGCCATTTTTGCTTTGGCATAGACTGCTTCTTGAATAGCAGCATCACGTTGACGTTCAGCCTCAGCAATCTGCTTAGCGGCTATCACGGCTTGCTTGTCAACAGAGGTCTGGACGTTGGCCAACTCTTGCCTCATCGCAAGCAGAGCTTCGATCAATGGTCTGTCTTCATCATCAAAGCTCTCGGCACGGCTCTCCAAGGTCGGACTCATGGCGGCATTGGGTGCATAGCCTGATTTGCGAGCCAGCTCAAGCTCGGATGCGTACCAAGCATTCCGGTTTCGTGCTGCATCAAGCTCCTTGAGCAGTGCAACGGTTTGCGAATTCCTGCCTGAACTCCTTCGTGCAAGGGGGTTGCTATTTTGCCGGATATGGTTGGCAGGCGGCGGCGGAGACGATGGGCGGTTCATGACGGTCTTCATATTAGGCTCAGTGTTGCTGTCGACCGAGCCCTGGCCACGGGTTTGCCGCGTTGGTTTATTTGTGCTAGTTTCGGGGGCGTTCGCCTCAGGCTTGCGACCCGAATTAGGGGTACGGCGTCCGTTGGTGGCCACGGTCGGGGGCTCTTCCTTTGTGGGTTCCTCTTTGATGACCTCTCGCAGAATTGGCGATTGATGGCGGATACTTGGGCTGGATGCACCAGATCCACCACCTGCCTCTCTTTCTATGCGCTCGATGGAGGCGTTCCGTACCCTTCCATTAGACATGGCGGTATTGACAGTTGGTCGTGGAGGTTGCCCTTGAGGTGGCGGACCAGGAGGCCCTTGTATGACAGATCTTGGTGTCTTCGCAGCCCCGGCAACAGCTCCATCCAGCTGTGCTCCATTGACTGCTTTTGCAGGACTGGCCGAACGCCCAGCCTCCTGAGGACGTCTCTGAACTGGTCCATTAGAGCCCTCGCGTGATGGCGCAGCACGCTGAGGCACCACATTCTCTTCGCTGCCACTCGGTCTTCGTTGCTGTAGCTTCTGTGTGTTGGACTGAATCTGAGCGTCATTGGGATAACGGATCTTGGTTGTATCTAGGACATAGACAAGAGACAGGTCGTTGGCCTGGTTGGTAGCTGAGCTGGGCTCTCCTCCAACTACAACAATCGACTTTCCGACGGTTGTCATGCTGTGGCCGGAACGTGCAGATGGTGTCGGGCCCATATTCTGGAAGGTATACCAACGACGGGAAGAGATGCGGAAAGCGGCCAGGTCCCCAAGGTCAGCGCCCTCCTCTGTACGGCCTCCGAAGATATACATAACGTCATCAACCAAAGCTGCGGCATGTCCTTCTCGCGGGACAGGGATGTAGCCTATGCAATCCAACTGAGTCCACTGAATGGCAGCGGGGTCGAAACACCAAACGTCGTTGAACCACTGGAATCCATTGGTACCGCCAAACCTGTAATCATCAGTTCACCGTACGACTGGCGGCTATCACGAGTTGCTTCTTACAGATACATCTTGTCATTGTACGTAATGACGGTGTGGTTCGTTCTGGCCGGCGGAACTTTACCCTTTGGTGAGATGTTGCTCTCACTATTCTCAACAAGTATTTCCCATCGGTTAGTCGGGAGCTGCAACTGGTTGAGGTCAAAAGCAGCCAAGTCGTTCATAAAGTACCCTTCTACCTGACCACCAAAAATGTAGATCTTGGATCCTATTATATTAAGGGAGTGGCCGTATCGTCCCGTAGGTCTGGGTCCAGCGGGTAACGCCCGAGACCACTGTCTGGTGGCTAAGCCGCAGACTGATCAGTATGTACGCCGACAGCCAAGATAGAGTGGGTGCTCATGCGCTTTTGGCACTTACATGTATTGAGAAGATATAGAGTCTCATCCAGGACATCGGACTCGTCAATCTTAGTGTCACCACCGTAGACGATGAAGGCATTGCCAACCAGCAAGGAAGCATGCCCTACCCTGGGTCCAGGCCCTTCTGCGGTAGTCGAGAGTGGGTAGCATGAAAGGGATCCGCCAGCTTCGATCATCCATAAATCTCCCTTGACCGTCGAGCTGTTTATAAGACCACCCATGACGTAGATGTCTCCCTCTTTCGAGGACACACCGTTGACCGCAGCTCCATAGCGAGGAAAGGGACTTGGTATCGAAGATGTGAAATTCAGTCTTCGTTGTGACCAGGGGAATAACGACGCATTGGCATTCGAGGGAGGGGCGGCGTTGCGAAACTGCAGTACAATGGTAACATTAGCATTTGTTGAATTGCAATAGAGCAGGGGCACAGCGGGACAGGGTAGGGTCAAGGCAAAGGCAAAGGCATAGACGGAGGTAGACAAAAGAAATGCTAACCGGCAGATCACTCGCTTGTTGCGGCGGTTGCGAAGGAGGCGGCGTCGGCGTCGGTGTCGACTGCTGCTGCTGCTGCGCGGGTTCTGGAGCGCGGCGCACGGCATACTTTTCGAGGTCTTGACCGGGGCTGCCACCATCGTCAAGCGAGTTCAGGCTTCCGGTGGGCGTCCCACGAGAACTCTTCTCGTCCCGAGCAACTCGTGCGGCAGCGTTCTGTGCCGAAACTGGAGGGCCTTCCCGACTTTGCAGCCCTCTATCCTGGTGCTGGTTCTTCTTGGATTTGAAAAGGAACGCCATGGCGTATTAGAGCCAGGCTCTTTTCGAAAAAGGCCTGGCGATGCAATTGCAGTGTCGAAGCGAGCAAGTCCGTCGGTGCTACAGTACAGCTAATGGCCAGGCCAGCAGAACAACGACGACAGAGTTGGGCGCGCGGCAATAGGACCGATCGTGGAAGTGCCGACGTGTTTGCCGAATTGTCGAGACTAGGGAGGCTAGGACAAAGAAAGGCTGTCGCGGAATATGTCGTCGCGAGGTGGGCCGTCGTGAGTTGAGATGGCTGGTAATATCATGGAGGTTGGAAGTTCAATTCAAGTCAAAATGGCGTCGCCGGGGAATTCTCCCAGGGTCCCTGTCTCTGTCCAAGGGGAGAGGACCAAAAAAAAAAAAAAGATGTTCACAACTTCGCGGAAGTTTGAAATCTTAAATTCGGCCGCACTAACTGTCTTGATTCGCAGCCTCTCCGACTACTGTCTTTTATACTCCAAGTCCGTATTAGAATGACAGAAATGTTGGGCGCAAATAGTGCAATGAACTCGTCTCGTGTTGCGTCGTGATGGACTGGGTGCAGCGCGGATGAGAAGGAGCAGACTGGCAATTACAGGAGTTCCGAAAGCCCTGCGATTGCTACTGCAACTCGCAACTGCAACTTGCAACCTGCGTGATGTTTCGCGGGCGTAGTGCGTCTATCTCGTCTATGGAGTGTTCCCGAGGCACTCCAATGTCAGTGAAACAAAAGAAGGGGACAGAAATGCAATTGCTCGAGCGTTGTCGTCCTCCTCGACCGAGCATCCAGCAAATGATGATAACAGCGTTCAGGCTTCTGTCTTTCTCTCTCACGCGGTGAGGTGTAGAATTGGAAGGGGGAAAATGGTGTCCGCGCCGACAACGACCCAGGTAAGCAAGCCAGCGCCAACGATGCGAACTGGACGTGGACGGGATTGTTCTTTGTCCTCAACTGGACAGCACTGGGGACGGACAGGGACAGAACAGATGCAAATTTCCAGAAAGGCAATCCAGGGGTTCCCCCCTTCAACGCGCACTTGGACTGGATTTCCCAAAGGCGGGTTAAGGTGCCTTGCGTGCCTTGGAGCTGGCGTACCACGCCGTGAGGATGGTCGGGGCTAAACAGGAGGGTGGGCTTGTGGTGGGCCGTAGCGCCCTCCGCCTTGAATCATTTCGCCCAAGTTGTTTTCTAGGCGGGCTGGTCCGACCAGGATCACCATGACCGTGCCCCTACAAGCCCCCACAAGCCCCTACGAAGCCCCTACTGTAGGGCATGGAACAAGGTTCGTGCTTGTCATTTGCTACTGTACAAATCTGCAAAGTCATGCCGATGCCGTACAGTGGCCGACCAGAAGCGTCCTCCAGTGTGCTGCCTCGCATCGGTCAAAAGCTGGAATTCGGAGCTGTCAATCTGGAACATGCATAGATCAAGTTCGCTAACAGGCCGCGGTAGTTGCACTGGAACAGCCGTTGTGGTTTGCAATCTTTGGTGGCTGAGCAGCTATCGTCGTGTATTAGTATACATACTTCTGCCGAGGGCCACTGATTTATAGACGTGTACATCATAGTACTCCTCTTGGGTGGCCCCAGACCACCTGGCCGTCAGGGGTTGGGATTCTTCAAAGGTGATAGGTTATCAAGGGCATAAGGGAGATTGTTTAGGACCGGATTGACAGCTGATATTTCCGTAAACAAGTCATGCCTGGCACGTTTTCGAAATTTTCTGAAATGATGTCTTCCTGCGCATACGGATCCGTACACTTTACAACCCCATCAGCCCGTCTAAGGAAACCTAGTCGGGTACTCGCATCGACCGATCCGACATCATTGGCGCGTACCGAGTACATATGCAGTTCCTATGTGCATACATACATACCAGCATGCGTCCCGAACTGCGATTTCCTGCTTACATAGTACTTGCTCAATGTTTTGTGGGCGGAGGCGAACCCGAAAGCGCATTGCCGGCGTCATAAATGGGGACTTCGTCAGCATTTCGAGTTTTGTGGTGTATGTAGCAAATCGTGCCTGGTCTGACGCGCCCCTAAATGCAGCCCCTTATAATAGCTCCAACATGCAGGAACTCTGATGCCATCGCACCAAGCTTCAACTATAAAAATAAAAATAAAACCTCTGTTGTAGTCTGACGTAAGAAACTGGAGAAGAAACCGTTCAGCTCGCTTCTCGCCATCAGTGACTTTTCGGGGCTTTGCTAGTCAGCCGAGTTGGCCTCCTTCAAAGCGACCCGCCGAGCCATTGCTATATTCTTAAATCGATTTGAGTTGTATGTGGCGTTTTCCGCCTAGCAGCTCTCACATCAGCCTTGGAATGTTGAGATGTCTTGCATTGCCAGACGTGCATATCGGGCAGGGGTAGTCGCAAGATGCGCCCATAATCCCAAAAGAATCGCAACTGTTTCTTGTGTCGAAGGCAGGCGACCTACGTCTCGAGGCTAAGTTCCGCCAGCTCGCGATGAACAACTGCCCGGCCCGTGTATGTCGGTAAAGTCGGCAGCATTGGACGACACTTTATCAAGGTTATAAAAACAAAACGGTTCGGCATCCGACGAAGCACAACATGAGCACTTTATTTTGCAGGTTCAGGGCGGCTATCAGATAAACCCGTCCCAACTTCACAAGTTTCTTGGTCAAAGTATAATAAGCAGCTCGGTGAGACATGACAATTGCCGAGCCTTATCTCAACTTTTGTGGAACAAACTATCCGTCATGTTGACATGAAAGGCCACAGAAGTTGCAGTAACATGTTCGTTTTTATTTATTTATTTTGACAATTGATCGTGGTCCAGTCAAGTCTGAGTTTTATGCATTCAGCTCCGCAGCACGCCGCATATTCTGTATGGCTTCGCACCGCAAGCCGCCTTTTGTCGAGCTGGTGATCATGGGGTAAAGAGATAATAATATCTGCTATTTATATGTTGGGCCGCAAGTATGAGCTGTAACCATGGACCAGACTTTCGCTTCGAGATATGTGATATACTGTACTGGCAGACTGGTAGATCACAGGTGCAGACATTGTTACCCCTTGATGCACGATATTGTTCCGATTGGACACCGGATGAGGACACACACATGGTCGAGCTCGTCTGATGGTACTTGATATGTACTTCAGACCAGATCTTGGTCACCGAATGGTATGTATCAGGCAGTTTATGCTGGCCGCCACCCATGTCCTGGATTACAAGACTGTGCCTTGAATACCAGGAGATGTTCAAGTCGTTACAAACAGTAACAGTAAAAGTTAAAAGGAAGTTAATCGCAGTATAGATACAAATAGGCACAATCCCGGAAGCCTGACTGCCTTGTTTTCAAGGACTATTTCGAGGCTTCAAGCTGCTGATGGTCTTAAAGTGGAAGGTGCAGCAGGGTTACATGTCCAATTCTCAAAGGGTTGGCGTGAAACATTGGGGGACTTTGGGACCCATTGTTAGCCGACACGTGAGCAGCTAGCTTGCGTTCGGTCTAGGTCTAGCGCAGTCCCCGTGGTGCGGCTTGACAGGTCCATTCCACCGCCTGCACTTCTCTTGGCCAGACCAAAGCCAAGGAGTTTTGTGTTTCTTTGCGGCTGACATATCGCCAAAGGTGCCCTGTAGAGAATGCGAAGCACTTTTGACGACTGTTCGTATCGTCGCACTTGGAACTTTTGCATGACTCACTACGTCACTGGATTACAATACAACGTTTTTGGAAGCTGTGCACATGGTTTGCATAGTATCAGCGTTCATACTACACCCAGCTGAGAATAAAAATGGCCTCGCTTGTCTCACCCAGGTGACCAGACCCTGATATTAAGCGTCAAACTCAAGCATCAACATCAACTTGGGTTTGCCTGTATTAAGTTTATTCAATCGTCAAATCATAAATTCCCAGGGACTGACCAGACGCCCTGCTACAATCTTACGTTACGAATTGCCTAGGCATATGCATTCATCAAGTCCTGTCCACTGCTGTTCTGTCGACTCGGTAGCAATCATACATACTGCATATAGTACCGTGCCCTACTTCGTCGACGCTGATGCTAACGCTGACGCTGACGCTGACTCCGGGCTTGTTGGAGACGGTCGAGCTAATAAACTGCCCCACTCTACGCCTTGCCAGCTACTGTGATTTGGGCGTGACGGAAACTGGAACTGGGACTGGGACTGGAGCTGGGGAAACTGACGGCAGCTGTTGAATCTGAATATTGATCTGATCAGCGATGAGCTGCACCACGAGTCGTTGCCGCTTCTAGGCTTCAAACTCACGTCACATCACTCTCGAGAAGCTATTCATTCATTCACACTCTTGCCAATTAAGTCAAGCTCCATCTGGATCTTGTCACGCTTATTGTTATTTCGCCCATTCGCCTGCTCCTCCTGCCATTTCCCTCTCCACCGGCTGCAGAAAACCGTACAGTAGATGCGTCTTCAACCCAGGTTTGGTCATGCATCATGACGGCTGTCGCGGTCCAACGTAGTGCATATCCTGCACAGGAGCAGCATCCCAACCCAGCAGTCTCTTCCTCCTCTTCGCGACCTTCTGTCCAGCAACATCCATCGCGCAAGAGCTCCGCTCCAGCCGCCTCATTCGCGCCATCAAGAGTCGCACGCGACGCATCCGCCCCAGCAAACGGAAGCTCAGCGGCCATGTCGTCCTACAACCTCCAGCCACATCAAGGCATACCGAACGGTTTACATCAAGCCCAGACGCAGCAATATTTACTGAACGGTCACGATGCGCATTACATAAATGGTGCCTCAGCCGAAGACGATGCTGCCTCCGGCCGGAGGCCATCATCCGCCCCAGGCAATAGGGGACAGCTCGCTATTCGCACCACTTCCTTCGACGATTCGGATCGGGATCAGCCTAGACGCCTGTCGAAACCGCTGCTACTGCGCTCCAAGAGCGAGCATATCTTACGAAACTACGATGACCTTGAACAGACCGATGACGAAGTGTACGACTGGAGCGCAAGACATGGGTTCGAGGACCACTACCAATCTGAAGATATCATATCTCACTTGGCAAATGTGAGTGGCAATACTTTCCTTGATCCGCCATCAGACCGTGCCAGACAGTGCAGCGTTTCTCCGCAGATCTGTCGAGCTGTGCACAGACGATTATTATTCCGTTCGGATTCACCCCCGTATCATATTTTATATTCACCTTAGACAGTGGACATGTGGGGTTGAAGCCAAGCTGACTTTGCTCGAAGAACTGGTATATGTACTATACCGACAAACGCCACGAGACTACCGGACAACCCAAACTTCCCAGCTACGAGATCGAAGACTGGCGGATGAGGGATCGACTAAAGACCGTCTCAGCAGCTCTGGCCGTATGCCTCAACATAGGTGTTGAGCCGCCTGACCAGCTTAAGACGAACCCGGGCGCTAAACTGGAGGCCTGGATAGATCCTTTCTCTACCAAAGCCCTGGAAAACATTGGCAAATCCTTACAAACACAATACGAGAACATCTCTCTGCGTACTAGGTATAAGCAGTATTTGGATCCTTCGGTTGAGGAGACTAAGAAGTTTTGCATATCGCTCAGAAGGAACGCCAAAGACGAGCGCGTCTTACTGCACTACAATGGTCATGGTGTCCCCAAACCTACTGCTTCTGGCGAAATATGGGTCTTCAACAAGAACTACACACAATACATCCCCATTTCGCTTTATGATTTGCAGCACTGGTTACAAGCCCCTACCATATTCGTCTGGGACTGTTCAGAAGCCGGCAACATAATCAACAACTACCATCGATTTGTGGAAAAGCACGAAGAGGAGGAGAAGGCTCAGGCTCAAGCAGATCCCAGCTATGAAAAGATCAAGTATGGGTCTTACCTGCACCTCGCTGCTTGTGCGGTCAAGGAGAATCTCCCAACGAACCCCAACCTCCCTGCAGATTTGTTCACTGCATGTCTCACGACGCCCATAGAGATGGCACTGTGGTTCTTCGTTTTACAGAACCCGTTGAAAACCAAGCTTACCCCCGAAAGAGCCAAAAAGCTTCCTGGTCGTCTTCAAGAGAGAAGGACACCGCTTGGCGAGCTCAACTGGATTTTCACTGCCATTACTGATACAATTGCTTGGACCTCTCTCCCAAGACAGCTGTTCAGGAAGTTTTTTCGACAGGATCTCATGGTTGCCGCCCTGTTCCGCAACTTCATCCTCGCTCAGAGAATTATGACCGTCTACGGGTGTCACCCTCAATCTTACCCGGAATTGCCAGATACTCATCAACATCCGCTTTGGGAAAGCTGGGATCTCGCCGTTGATCTAGCCTTGGCGCAGCTTCCGATGCTAGAACAAAAAGAGACAGAAGGTATCGAATATGAGTATCAGAGCTCTACTTTTTTCACGGAGCAGTTGACGGCGTTCGAGGTCTACCTCGCACGGGGCGATGCAAACCTTCAGAAGCCGCCTGAGCAACTTCCTGTTGTACTCCAGGTCTTGCTTAGCCAACAGCACAGAGTCCGTGCCCTCATTCTTCTCGGAAGGTTCCTGGACCTGGGTCCTTGGGCCGTACAACTGGCCCTGAGCATTGGTATCTTCCCTTACGTGCTGAAGCTCCTCCAATCTGCTGCCGCTGAGTTGAAACCGGTCATGGTCTTCATTTGGACTCGAGTTTTGGCCGTCGACATTTCTTGTCAGCCTGACTTGATCAAGGACAGCGGCTACAACTACTTCGCTCAGATATTAAAGCCTAATGAGCAGTTGCCCGTTGCTAATAGCGACGAACACAAGGCCATGTGTGCTTTTGTACTCGCCATGCTGTGCAAAGGGTACAAGTCTGGTCAAGTGGTATGCAATCAGTCTGACATCATGTCTTCGTGCTTGATGCATCTGAGGAACGAAGAAAACGTCCTCCTGCGCCAGTGGGCGTGCTTGTGCATCAGTCAGTTGTGGCAGGATCTTCCCGAGGCTAAATGGAGAGGTATCAGGGAGAACGCACCGCTGAAGTTGGCGGCCTTGGCGAAAGACCCTTGCTGCGAAGTGCGGGCGGCAGTGGTTCATGCTTTGACGACTTTTCTTGGAATTCCTGACCTCACGGATGAGGTTGCTCGTATCGAAGAGTCGATAGCCTGGACTCTCCTTGACATGGCGAACGACGGCAGTCCACTCGTGCGCAAAGAACTACTTGTCTTCGTGTCACAATTCGTGCTTCGTTACGAGAGCAAATTCTTGGTGACCGCCTTTGAACAACTGGCTGAGGAAAAAGAATACTTGCTTTACCCACCCCAAGATGATGGCTCGGAATACAAGCTGGGTCTTCACTATGTGCGGCCAGCTCACCGCAATGCTGACGGCTCTGTTAGGGTCACGTCTCAGGGCCTATCCCATAACACAGTCTTCGCAGCTTGCTGGAAGCATGTCTTGATATTGACAGTTGACCCGCATCCTGATGTGCAGAGGGACGCAACAGTCGTCGTAGATTATGTCCACAATGCGCTCTTAATTTCTTCAACTGGCGTTTATGCACAAAGCATGATGGAGGAAATCACGAGGCGTGTTCACGGGTTCAGGGGTCATAGACAGCAGCCGTCTGTTAACCGCAATAATATTAACGGTCTATCCTCCGCTGACATGACAGCGCCGCTACCTTCCCCAGGCTTGCTGAAACGCACTGCTAGTCTCTTTTTCCAAATACCTAGTACGATCTGGGGAGGAGAAGCAAGCCCGGATGCGCCGATGCCATCACCCGGCCTTGTGCGCAATGGTTCTCAAAGAATTAAGTCAAAAGCAGACTGGGCTGCTCCACCTGAGCAGAATGACCATCTTGCGGCTCCTTCAGATTACCACGTTACCGAGGAGCCTGTGTCGGGCGGTTTCAAAGAGCGAAAGCTTGACAAACCAGCGGCACTGCCATTAAGGAGTACATTCCTGGATTGGTCTGTCGAGTACTTCCGTGAGCCTCAAATGAAGCCCACAGAGTCAGAGGAGCCCGGCAGCACCGAGTATAACGAGCGGCTGTGGAGAAGGTCGCGGAATGAGAACATTCTCCGAGAGACGCAGCCACAGAAGCAATTCGCCGGAACCCATCCCTGGAAAAACCAGCTTTGCATTATGAACAATGGTGCTCAGCCAGCAAAACTGACTTTCCATCAGTTTGAAGACCATCTTGCAGTAGCAGACGATGGAAACACGGTCAATATTTGGGACTGGAAAAAGCAGCATCGGATAGGTCATTTCTCCAACGGCAATCCTGAGGGCTCAAAGATTTGTGACATGAAGTTCATCAACGAGGACGACAACGCATTTCTAATGACAGGTTCATCCGATGGTGTGCTACGCGTCTATAGAAATTACGAAGCAGAAAAGTCCACGGAATTGGCAAGCGCCTGGAGGGCACTCACCCATATGGTGCCAAGCAATGTCAACTCTGGCATGGTTTTCGACTGGCAGCAAGTCACAGGCAGGGTCTTGGTAGCTGGCGATGTCCGCGTGATCCGGGTATGGGCGGCAGCTTATGAGACCTGCGTTATGGATATCCCAGCCCGCTCGGGCTCATGTGTAACATCGCTGACCTCTGACCAAATGACGGGTAACCTCTTTGTTGCCGGGTTTGGTGATGGTGCTGTGAGAGTCTTCGACACTAGATTACGACCACAAGAGTCTATGGTGAAGAAATGGAAGGACGATGCCGACCGCCAATGGATCAAGAGTGTCCACATGCAAAGAGGTGGTCAGCGCGAGTTGGTATCTGCCAGCCGGAACGGTAAAGTCAAGCTCTGGGATATTCGTGCAGATAGTCCTCTCAAGGTCTTCCAGACCACTCGCGACACCGTCAGGACTGCGAGCACCCATGAACATCTGCCTGTATTCTCAGTGTAAGTTGATCAAATCTTAGAAATCTTATAACCACTTGCTAACTTTACAAAACAGTGGCACATCTACCCACAATGTCAAGGTATTCAACTTTGAGGGGAAGCAGCTTTCGGGTGTAGAGCCATACTCAAGCTTCCTGCAACAGCACCGTGGTGCCCCTATCTCAACCACCGCCTTCCACCCCCATCGCATGATACTAGGTTGCGCTGCTCGTGGCGATCACCATATCAATCTCTTCACCTGCGCTGAAGAGAAGCCTGGCGACTATTTCCGCGCCATCTAATACTAATCCGTGTCGCCTTGCCATCGGCTAGAGCCTCGCGCCTCAATCAACACCACAGCTGCCTAAGATATGGCAAGAGGTGCATGCCCTTGAAAAGGTAGATTTCTAAACAAGAAGAATTTTAATCATGACGCCCCGCTGAAGAGGAATTTTTTTTTTTTGCTTTTCATTGTTTGCAGAGATGGTCAGTATTTTGGCATGGATTGCAAGGAAATGCGCCTGGAACCTGGATGTTGAAAGGCCCTGTGATGGGGCGTTGTGGCATTGCTCGCATTGCGTGTATGGGGTTGAATCATTTGTGGCGTTTGTTCATTGATGCCAGCGGAACTTTTTGCTGTAATGGCTTCTGCGGTTATTGTCCCCGAGGAAGCACTGTTTCCACGCGGTCATGGCTTTGATACGGAAAGGCATAAACTGCCACGGGAAAGCATCCATGGGTTCTTGCATGTAATTAGAGGGTAGCGTTTCCCATGGTGGCTGCGTCTTGACCCAGAAACGATAATAACAAAACTCGGCCTTGGCATATAAGTGGCACCAGTGATCATATGCAAAAAACAAAAACAAAAAAAAGGGGGGGCATTGTGTAGAATGGTACGCCTCTCCCCTAAATATCACTGCAAATCTAGTGACTGAGATAGTCATGATGATTGTTACCCTCTGAGTCAGGTTTTGAAGTGTACGACTTGTGCAGGCGTGTTAATTGTCCTCTTCCTCCCTTATTTTCGAGTCCTCCCATCAAGATCTTCCTCGTCCTCTCCATTCAGCGCTGAACCTAACATGATAGTATTGTCGTTACGGCTGAGTACTGAAGTTAGCCTGCTGAACTAGAAATCGCCACTTCTGTCTCCGGTGACCGTCCTCGTGCGTGTGCCGCCTACAATAAAAGGCTCAGGCCGGCGTGGCGAATTTCCTTCCTGGCGTGACAGCAGACGCCTCGGCGACGTCGTTGTTTGGCTTGCTGGCAGAGTTACAGCCAATTCCCCGTAAACCTACCAGGCCCTCGGTTTGTCGTCTATTCAGTGGGTGACAGCCTGCTGGCGCAGGAGTATCTGGCGTGGTTGTGCTTCCTATGGCTCACACCGCTGGCATCTGTGCAACATGCTTGGCTTTCGGAGGGCGAGCTGACGCCTTCGGCTCTCACCTAGGGTCGGCTGCCATGCCCCGTTTTGTGTGCATGCCTGCTCAAGACTGATCGGCGGGGAGGTGGATGGAGTCTGCTTGAGTCTCTGCTTCGCCTGATTCGTCCACAGCTGCTGCTCGCAGAGAGAACTGTCACCGGCCACCCGGTTCCCACTTAGAATCTTGTTTGCACGTCCACGTTGCCGTCGCTGCTGCCGGGGACTGAGATATCTAGGTCGCCCCAAAAGAGGAGATCATCTGTCTTCTCGCTTGTTTCGGCATTATCCCAGTCAGGCACTGATCGAGGAGACATGGGAGAAGACCTGGACTTGGCACTAGTGTGCGCAGATGAATCTCTTCTGGCCCAGGCGTGATCGCGTTGCGTTTCAAGGTCGGTGCTCGTGGTGGCGACAACAGGTTCCTTGATCCCTCTACCCAGGTCAGACTCCCCATCTCGAGGTCGTACTGGCCAAGGAGTGTCCCAACTATCCGCGACAGACGTAGGTACTTCAAGGTCCCCATTCGGAGAGCGCTTGTTTGCGCGCTCCATGTCATCTGCCGGGGGGAACACGTTAGGCCCGCCCTGTCCTACGCTGGCTGGAGCGCCCTCGATGTAGTCGATAGCAGGCGTCTGGTTATCCGTTGTCTGTATAGGAATCCTGATAGGAGCTGCGAGGACGAAACCCGCAAAGACGAAGGTGAACAGGAGTGATGTGGGATACTTGAGATCCATGTCGGCTTTTCTCGGCTACGAAGTATTGGTCATTTCACAATCCTATTAAGACGTGATTGAGAATGATTCGAGGTCTTGTAGACAAGAATAAAATAAAATTCGACAACGACCGCTCAGAGATATTCTTACATCACAGTTTTCTATACAAAGGATTGGGTTCGTACCACAACTTACCAGCCGAAAGAGAGTATCCGGGGGGCTTTGAGGCTCTGATCTTTGCACGTTAGCGGGTCCAATTCACGCCGTGTTACCACAAGCCCATGATTCTTGTTCTCTGCCAAGCGGATCACGTACCCGTGTACCATCGCCTTGACTACATTAGCACCTAAGAACAAGGAACGTGATGGCGCCAGTGGCGCCCTTGCCTGGGGGACTGAAGGTGCTGAATGTAGCATTGAGCTCGCTCTAAACCAAGATAATACCCTCGTCGGCCAATGTACTTGAAAAGTGAGGTGAATGATCGGAACATTCAGAGTGAAAGTGAGATGAACTGTGGTATTGAGGCCTACGAGGCCAGCGATCCGGACAAGTATGGCTGATGGCCGATGGCTGCTGGGTGAACAGCCACAACCAGCTATTGTTGTACAATAGCTTCTTAGCGATAAGTGATTTGGTGTTGCACAATACGAAAGGGGAAGCTCACGGCTATGAAAACGCCATAATCTAGGCTAGTATAAAACATGCCTACTTGCTTGCCAGTGACACCCAGAGTTGACGCGACCGCACGAACTGGTTGCACCCCCTGCTTGAGCTCAGTTGCCACCACTCTTTGTGTTATCTTGGCTGACAGATGAAAGCTAACGTAATCATCCCCTGGGCGAATTTTGTTTCTCCGGTTGTTGTGCCCACCGACAGGACATGGTGGCCAACCTGGCTCCGTCTGCAGAGATGAGCTGACCAGTAGTCTAGGGCAAAGTATCAGGATTGTACGACGCATCTAACAGCACTCCTTTCAGTCCAATGGAGAGGTCCCATTTTTGCCGGTACATCGGCCGCATGTTTCTGCTTACGCGAGATCATGGGCTGGGCGGGCGCATTGTCGCTAGAGTCTCACTTCTATATGCAATATGGCATTGGACGATCTGATTCGTCAGCGGCACGAACGGCAGAAAAGACGGATATCATGTTTGCGAATTGGGTAATTGTTACGATCTCAAAAACAAGGGATCTCTACATTTTATGACGAATGGCTCATCAACAGAACAGGTACATTACCAAATCGTCGAAGCGAATGCTATTACTAGCGTCGGATCGCTTTGCGGTTCGTCGGCTAACTTTAACTATACAGTAACCTAAGGTTAGTATAGTGTGATAAATAATAGGTGAACTCAGTCTCGAACACTAAGACCCGCCCGCCCGCACCTGGTGACAAAGTACGCGTCCACGCAATGCGAACCAAATTGGCAGTGGATATAGTAATCAGAGCCGGGTGTATAAGAAGTCGTCAACTTCTGTCCTCTTGAATCTTGTAGCAACTCGAGTATCTCATCCATCCGGAGCAAAACCAACAGTCTCCCACTACTTTCTAAGCACCCTAAGCTTTATCTCTAGAGTCACCTTCCGCCGCGCAGTCGGGCATAACCCCTTTCTCACCATGGCACCCTCAACCAGGACCCTATTCGTGATCGGCATCGGCCCCGGCATCGGGCGGTCCGTAACCTCTCTGTTCGCCTCGAAGCGCTACGCCAACGTGGCGCTGTTCGCGCGACGAGCCACCTCGCTGGCCACGGAAAAGAAGGCACTCGAGGACGCCGTGGGCGGCGTCAAGGTCGGGACCTACGCCGTGGACGTGGCGGACGGGGCGGCGCTGAGCAGGGCGCTGGACGAGGCCGAGGCCGCACTCGGCAAGCCCGAGTGCGTCTTCTACAACGCGGCGCGGGTGCAGCCGTCGGAGCTGCTGTCGCACGACGTCGGGGAGATCGAGGTGGACTTCAAGGTGAGAAAAGAAAGAAGAAACCCCCTCCTCCTTCCAATCTCGCCGACTGACACAATCCCGCCAACGCAGATCAACGTCTCGTCGCTCTACATAGTAGCGCAGCGGGTGATACCCTCCCTGATAGCACTGGGCAAGGCGGACGCGGAGGCGATACCGTCGCTGGTCGTGACGAGCTCGATGCTGCCCCATGAACCGATGCCGCAGTTGTTTGCGCTGTCGCTGGCCAAGGCGGCGCAGCGGAACCTGGTGCAGTCGCTCGAGATGACGTACGGGAAGCAGGGCGTCCACCTGGGCCTGATCAACGTCGGGGGGCCGGTGTCACCGGAGCACGACACTCTGAATCCCACCAACATTGCTGACAGGGCCTGGGATTGGTTCTCCCAGCTGAAGGAAAACCCCCAGTTCGAAGTTAAGATTTAGCCACGTTTATGCTTAGACAAAGATGAATGCTTGTTGCAAGATTTGGACAAAAACAAAAGACAAAAATATTCTCTAAAGTGAAGCAATGAGTGCCAGAACCGGCATCATATTGCTAGTGGCCCAAAAGAGCCCATACAAAACGTCTTGAGGTTCAGAAAAACACACCTGAACCCCATAAACCTCCGACTCCGAATAACACCAAGTCTTCCCAGTCTTTGATACCTGGGCAGTGTAGTGCCCCCTTCATCTGTACATTTCTTCACCATATCAAGCAGGCATGAACTCTGCCTAAACGAACTCTACTGGTCTTTCCTGGATAGGCTTCCCTCGTCCCCACTACTGGCGGTCAAATCAGCGTTACTGCTTGCGCCGGAGACCAAGCCCCCAATAGGTTTTGAAGTGCCTATTCTGATTCCACCACCCTTGCCTCTGCCATCCTTTGGCGAGTCGAAGCTTAGATTACTTGCTGTGCTGCCTCGTCTCCTATGGGAGCCTCGTGCGACATTGCTAAAAGTGGGACTTGGTATCCTTGTATCGCGTTGTTGGCGCACAGGGGTTTCCACACCACGATCAAAGGTAACTCTACTGGGTGAGCTTGGTGGCGGGGTTTCGGCGGCAACCCGAGCGTAGGATGGCTCGGGCTCTGGCTCTGGCTCTGGATCAAGGTTCGTCAGAGTCGTGCCTGACGTGTCGGTTACGAGGGATTCGGGAGCGGTCAATGCTGGGCTGGCATTGTTCTCCCGGGCATGGTGCGCCATGGCAGGATCCGGCTTGTTTTCAAGCAGACCGGTACCCGATGCGGAATCGGACTCCAAGGCGTCGCTGTTGCGGTATCGGCTATACTATCTGTCAGGTTTTCTGTAAAGCTCATGGTGCATGATCCTGCTTACTGATGTCGAAAGGATGCCGAAGCACCTAAGCTTAAGTGCCGAGCACGGCGGTAGCTTTCAAACTCCTCCTTGGAGTGTTCGGCATCGGTAAAGTTATCGAGCGCATCGAAGACATGCTGGAACACCTGCGTATCGACATCTCGAGCCCAGAGGAAATCCAGATGCTCGTAGTGAGGGATCTCGGTGGCAACAGTTCTGTTGGGAAGTTCGCGCAGCATGACCTTGATGTCCACCAAGGAATCGCTGCCTCCGTAGACAAGCACAACGGGCGTCTTGATGTTGCGGGTTGGATATTTGGCGACCTTGGTGTACTTGCTCGCATTGCTGAGGGGTGGATGCACATCGTCATCATACATTTGGAAGGACTTGTTGCGGATGATTTGGAACCAGTGGACCACGGATTTGGTGCTGGTGAAGGAGTATAAGTGAGGATATGCAGCGAGCTTCTGCGACATGGAGATGTTCCGGGCTTTCCATCCGAACAGAAAGTCCAGACCCATGTCAATAAGGCGGACGAAAATAGGAGGGTAGAGGATAGACTGCCACATGGTAGCCGAAGCAAGGATGGAGCGTCGGCCGAAAAGGAGAAACAAAACCTGGGGCGAGGCTTTGATCAGGGCGTCAACAATGCCGTTGGACAGGCCAGCGGGTGACATGGCTGGGGCGAGCGCGATAAAGACATTGACCTGCTCATTAAGCTTCGGGTGGATGGCCAAGCTGGCAAAAGACTGCGCAGTACCTTGAGAAAAGCCGATGTAGGAGAGCGAGGGCTGCTTGGTGGACTCTAGGATGTACGATATGGTGTCTGGAATATCGTGGAAAGCAAACTCATCGATGGAAAAGTTCCAGAAGTCGATGTTTTGCGGTGATGTCTTGATAGACTTCTTGGAGTACTTGTTTCCTCGGTTGTTGCCCAACTACACAAGCGTCAGTCGCGATAGACAAGGTACGGAACAGAACGTGGCAGTTCAACCTACCCAGACGTCGTACCCCCTATCCACCAAGACAAATGGGAGACAACGCTGAGGATCTGTGAGGCAAACCCAGACCTCACTATTCATCAGAAGCCCGTGGTGCATATAGATGACCTTCTTTCTCAAGCCGTTCAAGCCGTTGGGCCCACTGTTGACCTTCATGTCTTCCTCGCCCCTGCGCCATGCTAGACGATGGACACCCAGGAGATATCCATCCTTCGTCTGGACGACATGTTCCTCTGCGGTGTAGCCGAAGGCGGCGCATAGATCAACGAAATCGGAAGCATTCTGAATCGAGGTTGATAAAGCTAGAGTTTTGTCTTGTCTTAGCCTTTCCGGGTTCGACTTGAAAGTCTCGGGCGGAGGTATTGCTCACACTTGCGATGTTCCTGGGCTTTCTTTTGCTTTGGCGACGTGTACCTGTTAAAGAGTCGTCGTGAAGCGCCGTAGAAGAGTTGGAGCAAGGAATTAGCTGCGGTTGCGCGGTTAGTACCAAGTAGTCTCCTGCTCCGGGGGGGTTCGACGGTTGTCCCAGAGCGCAACGCAATGGTGACATGGACATACGTAGGGCGAGGGTCAGGATTCGGATAATGGCCTCGAGGCCGACGAGACAGAAAGATCCCACCAGAGCGACGTACTCGGTGCTGCAAGACACTCCGTCAGCGTGGATGCGAGACGGGGCCCAGGGCTGGTCCTGGTCGGAAGCGATCGAGAGAGTTTCATTATTGTTTACTTACGGATTTAACCGCCCAATAAAAGGTACCGGCATCTTTGCGCGACGACTCTAGAGAATGCGAGTTTTAACATACAGTCGGCGATATCGCTGATAGAAGAATTGGTACAATGCAGACCAATCTCCAGAAGTTGGCTGGTTGAAACGAGAGAAGCTCGTGGGATGGGCCGTGGTAGGATTGGAATTCTGAATTCGGGTCGTTAAACGAGTGATGTCACAAGCGCCGACCAATGCAGGTCAGTTTCCTCTCCCCTTCTTTTTCTTTTTGACTTGACAGGGCCAGGGTTGGGACCAGGGACGCGGATTCTACTGTAGTACTAATTACCAAGCACATATGAGACAGACGGAGGGGAAGAATTTATATTATTTTCGGGCCTTGGGCAACAAGCTCGTTCAGAGTGCTTGGTACTCGGCGATATAGGGGGTTCTCAATGGGCAGTTGAGGATTGAGGACTGCTAAATGCCGTCATGGACATAATTTACACGTGAAAGTCGTGCTGGAAGCTCTGCTGCGAAACGACCTCAAGCTACGGTTAGTTGTTCGGCTTGGTACATACTGTGAGGTTAGTACCTTATTACCTACATATGCCCCCAGCTCCGTGGTTCTAGATCCAAGGTGAGAGGGGGGCCATATTGGCATTAGTGTTAGCATTAGCATTGGTCGAAGCTCCCCCCGCCCACCGAAGAGCTGGGTTAGTGGACTTGGAGGCTTGCAAGGCTTGCCTACAGTAGAGACCCCTGCTGCTGGGTTTGCTCGGCTGTCCTTAGGCGTACTACTAGCTCTCAGGGCCTACACAGCACAGTAGAGGGCCCAAGTTAGATCGCTGGACTATGCTTTTAGCCATTGGGGGCCTGTTCAGAGCCCATCTTCGGACTTCTGACCAATCAAAAGGCCAGTGTTGAACACTCCACGGCCGTCGGCTCTGATGGGCTGATTTTTCGAGTTTGCGACAGCTTCATTGAGCTCCAAGCGTCGCTCAACCCACGCCCTCGTAGACGAGACCAGACAAGATGCCGAGCTCCTGCAAAGAGATAAGTAAGGAGCGCCTCGACCCCAGTTGTGCGAGTATCCAGGACTGACCCAACCCCCGCACAGGAGACGCGTTGGCGCAATGCCTCCAGGAATCCGAATGCGTCATGGTCCAGCGACATACGGCTGCTGAATGTCTTCGCGAGCCCCTTGCCAGCGAGCTACCGACCAAGTGCAAACAACTGAAGAAGGGCTTCGGCGACTGCCGGCGGGGCATGATCGATATGCGCAAGCGATTCAGGGGCAACCAGCCCATCACCTTCAAGAGTCTGTCCACCACCGACTCGGGAGACGGCTACCAATTGTACGCCGGCAAGTCTGCCTTCGGCGGCACTGTCAAGAAGACCGACGGAAACGAGCCCGAGCCGCAGGACTGGAGAGAAATCGAGAACGAAAAGTACAGGCAGGAACAACAGGCAAAGGGCAAGTAAACCATGCCGCCAGGCCAGTGACCGGGACGGACTGTACGATTACGAAGACGGCCAAAAAAGAACAAGAACAGCATTGGGCGGCGTTGGTGGTTCATCTATATTCTCAACAGGCATATCATAATGCGTCTATTCCATGCCAAACATGTACATCAAGCAAGACATGTACCATACAGCCTGCAACCGCTGCTTGGGTTGCAATAACCTCGTGGCTAAGCGGCCATTCAAGACAAGCCCCATCTCTTGGGCGAGAGGCTCCTGTTAGACAGACAACATGGTAGAGCATGCTCTAGACTGCAGTTGGAGCAAGATGTAATTGTATCCTTGGGATCTCCTTAGTCAACATGATCTATCAAAGACGCTGAAACACAAACACAAACATCCTACGAAACCTACATAGTTTGCCTGATTTGTCGTTCAGGGGGCCACCACGGTCGTAGATCTGGGGGGGAGTGTGGAATGGGGCACAGCTGATCATTCAAAGTCGGAGCGTATCAAATCGTAGTCTCCGAGGATGCGTATATACGAGCCCGTTTGTGCCTGTAGTCCAGGCTCGGACCTCACTGAGCCGATCATTTGTCCCCAACCATATTTGATAGAAATGACAGGACTCATGCGAGTAGCGGCAGTTGCCCGTTTGACAGTCTGTATGGAAACAACTGTCTCGCTGCAGCTAAAAGTCAAACGTCTTTGGTCTTCGGCCGGCAGCCCGGCAGCGCATGCCAAGGGGCTTTGAGGGTGCCGGAGCCGTCTCCACGACCAACAATGGGGTACAAAGAGGCAACACGGTGCTTGAACCTGAGCCTCAGCTCAGATGCACATTGCTGACTGCATTACAGACGCGTGCTAGCTGCTAAAAAGCAACGCTCGCGTGCCAACTTTCTAGGTTAGGTTAGGCTTGGCCGGACCCCTCGCCAAGGGAAAACATGCCAACCTCAATACTCATTTCTCTAGGTTAGCTCCTTTGTTTGCCGTCTTTACCGGCAAGGCAAACTGACCATGGCAATGTCTCGAATCCAGTTCGCCAATTCTAATCATGTCTCGTATCTCCGAGTCTGCCTGTACCCTTTCCCACATCGTGCAGTTTTTGTCTCTTGTTTCGCCATGACGAGCATCGAGTTCCATGAGTCGCGCGTTCCTTGTAACTTGGGAGATCATGATGCATGCTCAACACAGTTGTTTCCTAATCTAATCATATTTTATACTGGAACAGAACTCCACAACGCACCAAGCTAAGGCCGAGTCTACTGCCCCCTTGCGCGTACCCATACATAATCGATGATTAAAGTCATTAGAGATAAAGATCCTTTCCTTCCGAGGACCTTGTCGGTCTGTGAGTGGGTTGTCGAGAGAGAGACCGAGAGAGAGAAAAAGAGAGAGAGAGAGACAGAGGCCGGGAAAGGCATCGCGGGAAAGAAGCTAGGCGATCTTTTTCTTCGCAAATTCCTATTCCCCTCCAAACCGCCACTCGTCAACGCAGCCTCTACGTCAGAAAGCAGGAAGCATAACACAAACCGGCGGGCCGCCATCTCAAGCTTGCAGAAATGGTAACATTCTGCCTCCCCCCACATCTGAACCCGCGCACGCGGAGGCGGCGATTGTTCGTTATCGCTACAGTCGTCATATTCGGCACTCTGTATCTCTGTTATACCAAGTTCGACAAGATGGCACAGACGGCAAAGACCATCATGCCCCTGAAAGCGTTTGAAGGCAACTTCGATAGCGGCGAGGAACAACAGCAACAAGAACAACAACAGCAGCAGCAGCAACATCAACAAGATGAAGTAGCAGGGGAGGGAAGTAAATCTGCCATCTCATTCGCAGAAATCGCCGCCGCTCAGAAGCCGATGCCGCCCATGTCTTACGGTACCTACGCCCGTCCGCCGCTCAAGGACCTGGTGGAAATCTCGACCCTCCCAGCCGACAAGGTGCCCACCTCGGCGTCGTCCTCGCACCGCCTGATCGTCATCGGCGATGTCCATGGCCAGATCAACGAGCTCAAGGCCCTCCTCGACAAGGCTGAATACTCGAAAAAACGGGGCGACCACATAATATTCACCGGCGACCTGATAAACAAGGGTGTCGACTCGCCCGGCGTGGTGCAGCTCGCCATGGATCTCGGCGCCAGCAGCGTGCGCGGCAACCACGAGGACCGCATCCTGCTGGCGTGGGACAACGAAAACTCGCGGAACATCCTCGGTAGCAAGGCCGCGGACAAGGGCGGCAAGATTGCCGATCTCAAGGGCCTGTCCCCTGAGCTGGTGGATGACATGGCCGAGCCCGCACTGGACGGGCAGTCGGGAACGCAGAGCGCCGAGGTGCAGGTCGCGCGGTCCCTCAACAAGAAACAGAGGGAGTGGCTCTCAAATCTCCCCGTCATACTGAAGGTGGGCTCCCTCCCCTCCTACGGCCACGTGGTCGTAGTGCACGCCGGCCTGGTCCCGGACATACCTCTGGAGAGCCAGGACCCCTGGGCCGTCATGCACATGCGCACGCTCGTCTACCCGGCCGAGCAGCTGCGCCGCGAGCGCACGAAGAAGATGCTCGAGGACATCCGCTCCGAGCAGGCCGGCAAGCGCGTCTCCGTGCCGGACGAGGAAGTCGACAGGGAGCTTCAGAACTCGCACGACCGGGGAGAGGGCAGGGCAGACCGCAATGTCGCGCTGCCTGTCGAGGGGAGAGGCGGCAAGCCGTGGAGCGAGGCGTGGGACGAGAACCAGGAAAAGCTCAACGGCGACATCGAGAAGACGACGGTGGTCTACGGACACGACGCCAAGAGGGGCTTGAACGTCGGCAAGTTCGCGTTCGGCCTCGACAGCAGCTGCGTCAAGGGCGGCAGGCTGACCGCCATGATCTTCGAGCCGCAGGGCGGGAAGGTCGGGCACAGGCTCGTGAGTGTAGAGTGCCAGATGGCACCCGGGGAGAAGGCAAAAGCCAACGAGGAGCAGAGGCGGAAAAAGAGAGGCGACGACGAGCAGAAGAGGTAGTAGCGAATCGGTGTATAATACCCAGCAGATGCCGTTGGGCGCATTTGTTTCAGACGGCGTTGTCTTTTTTTCTCTTCGAGGAGTCTATAGGCTACATTACATATCGGTCATCTCGTCGTGTCCCGCCCCGCGGGCGAGATCGCACCACTAATACCAGTACCGCTGTGCATAGCATCATCTCACGTATCTTGGTCTAATCGCTCTCTTAAAAAATAAAAATAAAACCTCCCTCAATACCCATGACCATCTCCGGCTCACCATAACAAGGAATCAATGTCACTTTTCTACAATCCTGAAAACAGCTTGCACACCTAGAAACAGCCCTTCAATTGAATACTCAGCTATGCGATTCTGTCTATTCATGCATGATAGGGGTCAGGGCGAAGTCGGTTCAAAAGGGCGAGCACATGACAATTCGTTGCAGCCAGGGAGTTTAGAAACAATGCGCTTAATCTTATGCATTCTCATTTTGATCTCAAGATCGATCCTATGAACAGACCCAAACCGTACCTGTCGTCTTGACACTTTTCCAGTCTAGTGAACGTCAAAAGGAAGGTATATTATGCCCGTCGTTTCGTATCATCGCGTTCGTCAGATTTTTTTTATATTTTTTTTAATCACTTCAAGGATTTATGCCTCAATCTTCTTCTTGAGGATGTCCTTGAGGGTTTCAGCATCAGCAGCGAACTTGCTGATACCCTCACGCAGCTTCTCGACAGCCATCTGCTCCTCGTTGAAGTCGAAGCGGAAGAGAGGCTCGTCCTTGATGTAGGCCTTCTTCTCGATGTCGAGGTTGTTGGCATCCTTGGCGTCGAGCTTCTTGGGCACATCGGCGGTGCTGTTGAGGAGCTCCTCGAGCAGGTTAGGGGAGATGGTGAGGTAGTCGCAGCCAGCAAGCTCAGTGATCTCGCCGACGTTACGGAAGGAGGCGCCCATGACGATGGTCTTGTAGCCGTACTTCTTGTAGTAGTTGAAGATGGCCTGGACAGACTTGACACCAGGGTCCTCCTCCTTGGAGTAGTCCTTCTTGGTGGAGGCCTTGTACCAGTCGAGGATACGGCCGACGAAGGGAGAGATAAGGAAGGCACCGGCCTCAGCGGCGGCGATGGCCTGCACCAAAGAGAACATGAGAGTCAGGTTGCAGTTGATGCCATGGTCGCGCTGCAGGATCTCGGCGGCCTTGATACCCTCCCATGTCGAGGCGATCTTGATAAGGACACGCTCCTTGCCGATACCTTGTTGCTTGTAGAGCTGTGACGCGGCATTTTTGTCAGCTACGGGTTCAGCTCGTAGGCGCCTTCCATCCACTGCCGGGTAGGCACGGATCATACGGAAGTTGAGCACGGGGAAAATTAAGAACGTACGTCAATGATGTGGAGGGCCTTCTCAACAGAAGCCTTGGTGTCGAAAGAGAAACGGGCGTCGACCTCAGTGGAGACCTTGCCGGGAACGATCTTGAGAATCTCCTTGCCGAACTCGACGAGGAGGCTGTCCAGAGCAGCATCGACCTGGTCGTCGACGCTCTTGCCGTTTGCGTTCTTCTTGGCGAATGCGGTGGCCTCATCGATCAGCTTTGCGTACTCGGCCTTCTTGGAGGCAGCGAGAATGAGCGAGGGGTTGGTGGTGGCATCTTGAGGCTTGTACTTGTCGATGGTGGCAAAGTCACCGGAGTCGCAGACGACAACCTATATCGAAACAATCCACTGTCAGTTCTGTATCATAGTGGCTCGGCGTGCCGCAACAGCACAATTGGCGAGTCTGCGGTTATTTGCCTCAATCCCCGTGGCATTGGGATGCGCTGTGAGACATGCCCACCATGGAAAGTTGCAGAACTTCGCTCACGATGCGGGGCAGTCTGTTGGCCACCCAGGGTGGAGGAGGAGGAGGAGGGGTACTGGGAGACTCACGGTGCCAGTGTTCTTGAGTTGGTCCAGAGAGTTAGACATGGTGAGTGGAATCTTTCTGTGGTTGGTTATACGGGTACTGAGAAGTTGGGGAAAACGTCGAGAGTGAGCAGAGGCTTTGAATGGTAAATGGAGGAATATGAGACAGGATTAGTCTCGGGTCGTTGGGATCAGATTTCTTTAATACTCAAAGCTACGATGGAATGGTTGGAGGGGCAGCTCTGCGCAAAGCAAAGAAGTGGACGGGGCGTGGAAACAGCGTCATATCCCATCAGATTCCATAGCCTATTCAATTGCCAGTCAAGCCAGTGTCAAGTTAGTACCAACAGGCCCCGTTTATTCCTCCGTCAGATACCCATAATTCGCCTCATAATAATGGAAATAGCGACGACTGCGGCCCGGCTCCTGCGGATTCGCCTGCTGGCCTGGTCGTTGCTACAGGTACTTACTACTGGCTATTTCGCAATTGCTTATGTATTCATGGGAAAAAATGCCTCGCCTCACCGATTCATTGTCATAGCACACCCATTGGATTTCCATAATAAACCACGGACTCCTGTCGCGCGCCCATTTTGACTGCACCGTTTTTTTCAGAACCAAACCTTGCCAGCACACCGTACAGTAGTTGCCACTTGCATTGTTCCCTTGATCTTGTTGCTCGTATCGCATCGTACCGAGGAGACGCTTCAATATATCAGGGCCCTTACTCATCTTCAACCCGACTTTTGTCTTCTTCTCACGCACGTGGTGGCGGCACAATCGTCCATTTAGCACCTGATTGGCGCGTTTCAACCTGCTCTGCTGTTCAGGGTATCCAGACGCATCTTGCGTCAAATCGCGGCACTTTGCCGGATAGAGCCCCCCGAACTCGCTGCAGTAGAAAAGGAATATCCGCGTGTTTAGTTTGGCCGATAACTACGGAGTACAATAGAGCCTCGTGAACCGCCTGGCTTTTATTGAGTAACACCTTTGTAAACCCTGGTTCATGGTACGGTTCTGATTGGCGCGGGCCACTGTAGTCCGACTGCTCCATGAGGCCGACTGCCAAGCCATTTCGCATTTACGCTAACAACCAACGCCGAAATGGCAATGTTAGCAGCATTTCCACGGAACAATCTGTTTAGAAATAATGTGTATACAAAACACTACTCGGCGCAACCTCGCCGGAGATACCTGAAGCTTGAACCCCCCATGTGGAACTGAGTAATGAAGATGAGAGACCTAATGCTTTTCGTTTATTATATCTGAATGCCTGAGACTAGGGAATAGTCAAACCATTCTTCTGCAGCGGTTTCTGCTCTGCTTATGATACAGGATAACTATGGTACGGAGTTTAGTCTTCAGTGATATCACCATACTCCCACATACCACGTCTCTCGGACTTGGCTTGAGACTCGACCTCGCGCAGCTTCTTCAGCACCTCCGTGCTCTGGGTTCCTCTCTCCCAAGCCTTCAGCTTGTTGGGGATCAAAGCAAGACCCTCTGCCACAATCTCACGGTTAAGTGAATCGGTGAAGGATGCGCTACCACTAGATGCGTCGAACAGAGTCACGTAGCTGAGACCTTCCTTAGCATCGGCGAAGTCAACGCTAGCAACCAATTTTCTTCCATCTGTCGCATCAGCGAGGAAGTTGATTGCGTCGTCAAAGTAGTTGCCATTGGGTAGCTGGATGTAGGAAAGCACAGCATCGACAGCCTGGGCCTTGAGGCGTTGTGTCGTGAACTGAGCTTGGTCGAGAGCTCGCAGACTAGACCAAGCAATCTTTTCCGAGTTACCGTAGTCGATATAAACAACCTCGGCCACCTTGGCGGTACGGTCGTTTGATCGAACTTTCGCTCTGTACCACTGGCCATCGGCTGAGAATTTTGCAGCGACGACATCTCCAGTCTTTGGTGGGTTTGCCAGGGGCTTGTTGTTCTTCGAATCCAGGTGAAACTTCTTGAACTCGCTCATCAGGGTCTCGAGGGCTGCAGTGCCCGAGCCGATGATCTGGATCTTGAGCTTTCCGTTGGCGTCGATGTTGGTGACAACGACATCCTTGTACTGTGCACTTTGCTTGTCCTGAGCTGCAGGCTCGGCTGAGGTTTCCTCAAAAGCAGCTTCATCAGCATCCTCGTCTTGCGAAGGGTCCCAATCGTGCCACTTGCCCTTGCGTCCTTCCTTTGCTCGCTTCTGCGCAGCATTTAATTCAGCTGCGTTGCCAGACTTCTCCGCGGAATACTGGTGGACCTCGGCCAGACCCTCCTCCACCAGCTGCTTACCAAAGCTTTCTCGATTTAAGTAGAGATCACCAATGAAGCCGCCAACCTTGTCAACATCGTAGACATCAATTTCAACGTCGCGCTGGCTGCATCGGCGGCTGGCAAAATCGTATGCCTCCTGACCAAAGGGCTCGCCCTTCTCTCCACGGAGAGGTGCTCGAGGAGCACGAATGCCGGCCAGAACCAAGGTAATCTTGACGCCTTCACGTGGAATCAAGACTGTGAATCTTGAGCCAGACTTGACGAAATCAACGATTCCAGGAACCTTCTTCTGTCTCTGCAAGGTGGAGGCCTGAATCTTCGCGCGCTGGACAGACTCAGACGCGTCGGTATAGGTCTTGGCCTTGGAGGCTTTACCGGACCACATCCCCTTCTTTTCCGACTGGGCAGCTTCCTGAGCAGCAAGTAGTTCGTCGTAGTTCTCGGCCCTATCCGTGTCGTCCTTGCGGTGTCGAATGACTGAACCCCAACCCTCTTCTACCAATTGAAGGTTGATATTCTTGCCATTTTGGGTAATAGTGGCAACATCTCTGGCCTCAAATCCTTCACTTGCAGCCTTGGTTCCATCAATCTTAACCTTGACATGCTTGCCGATGAGCTTCTTGCGCAGGAACTCTTTCGCCTCATCCCTAAATGGGGACTCGGACGGCTCCTTCGCTCGAGGTGCGCGGACGCTGCTTAGGCTGACTTGCTTCTCCTGACCTTCCTTGGTTCTCACGTAAATCGTGTCGGCAGCGTGGATCCTGGAAACGATCATGTCTGAAGAGCCTCCATCGGTGGCCTTGACATTGCTATTCTTGTGCAATCGAAGTTTGCCGATCTGTGCCTTCTTCTCGGCAGCTCTGAGAGCGGCCATCTTCTCACCAAGCATGGTCGAGTGGAAGTCGTTGCACCGCGCCAGACCATCTGCAAGAAGGAACTCGGCGATGCTGCCACGAGGGTGCACGACGTGTCCAACCAGCTGACCTTGAGGGCTTACACCGACCATGTCGACCTTAACATTACGTTGCAAGATTCTGTGCTCAACATACGCGCGTGCTTCGTTACCAAATTCTTCAGCCGGTTGCGATGTGCCGGTGGAAGTGTTTGTTCTCTCGGTTGCCGGGGTACGAATACCGGCGATCAAGGTCATCACTTGCAGATGCTTCTTGTCGGACAGTAACAATCGACAGAGAATGCGATCACCGCTCAGAACTCTTTCAACGACAGCATCGACCGTCTTGCCCTTCCATTGGTTGAAAAAGTCGGGAGTTCCAAGGTCATTCTGAACCTCAATTGAGCCTCCCTTGCCGTGCACACCCTTCTCTTCCGACTTAGCCTGGGACTCGGCTTCCTTCAGATCGTCAATCTTGGCTAGGAGGTCCTCAGACTCCTCCTTGCGACCAGCATCCTCACGGACCTTAAGCCAGCCAGCCTTGACGGCGTCGATTGGAAGGTCTGTGCCGTCCTGCAGTTGCACGATGCCATATTCGCGTCCTGAGGTGGGTATGGTGTAGTATACGTTGCATTTAACCTGCTTGCCCACAAGCTGTCCTCTCAGAAATTCGCGAGATTGAAAAGCGAAAGGCTCATCTCCTTCCTTGCGCAGACGAGGAGCATCCACGTAGGCCAGCGAGAAGGTGCGTTCCAATGTCGGGTTTTGTGGCGAAGTCAAGATCAGAGTGTCGCCACTCAAGACCGACTTGACATTCGCCATAAACTGCTTGGGGGCTGCCATATTGGTCGAGTAGACCTAAATGCTAGGTCCGGAGAGAGAGAACGAGAAAGACCAGAGTTTGCTTTAGAGCCGAGTTCTGTATATCCTGTAAGTGTTGTCAGCGGCGAGAACCTCTCAAATGAATTCCTTGAAAGCGTGATATGTGAAAAGCGTTAGATGTAGAACCCCTAGCAGATTCGCATACTGGAAACGTGGCATAGGCGCCTGAGTATTTAACGAGTATCAAACAAGCCAGGAAACGGACTGAAACTGTCCAGGGCAGAGTATGTGTGCGGTAGAACAACAATTTGTGTGTCTTCCAAGTTCTCCAACGGATGCTGTATAATCGAACGAGTGCTGAGATTTCTTGAATTCGGAAAGCACAGCGAAAGAGACTGGGCTTCTTTCATTGTGTTCTTCCGGTAGCAAGTCAGACATGATTACGCGTGCATACTGCAGCCACACCATTCATGCCGCTGCATATTATTCACCGGCAATCAAGGTGTTGATGGGAAAGCGGTTACCAGGCGGTGTAGGAGAGCCAGATATTTCGACATTCTCATAGCGACTACCACTGGTTCCAAAGGTCTTGAATCGTAACAACTGCAATTGGCTTGTATTTTTGCCAGCTTGTTGAGATGCAAGGTGTGCAGTGTGAATCGACGGTGTGATGGATATCAAGGTGAGGAAGGAAGGAGAGTTTGAACTTACATGAGCTAGAGGACGATGGCCTGGATCGCTAATGATACTCAAATGAATCCCGGAGAATATAGGTTTTGAGAAGAGTAACTTGTCAAACTCAAAGAAAGAAAGAAAGAAAGCTCAGTTAATAAGGGAACTTCCAGTCGAATGGCTCTTGTTGAATCGTTGAGTCGAGTGCTTTGAGTCCCGAATTTGACACCTGGGCAACTTTCATCATTTTGTGGGGAAAGCTCCAAAGCTCCAAAAGCTCCAAAGCTCGAGACACGGTAAGCCACGGCGAGCCACTTACGGATCGACCAGGGGTTCATTTAGCGAGGGGCGGGCTGGACGGCCATGGGCAGGAAAGGGCAAAAAGGGGTCCTGCTAAATGGTGGGGCAGCTGTGTGGCAATGAGGGGTCGTGCTGCAGTGTTGATGTCCATAATAGAAATGCTTCTGGCGAGTCCTTTGATCTAGTTGGCGCATTGAAATGAATGTATAGTCATTCAATTCTTGAGGGCAATCATGAAAAGGCGCTTGCTGTTTACCATAATCACCGATGGAAGCAGTTAATGTTGGAGATTGTTGGACCATTCGTCTCGGATGTCTTAACCACTGTAGAAGTTGGAGCTAACTTTCTCCACACGAGCATATCTAATTAGGTACAATAGCTCCTCCTGAAATTTCTGAATACACAATCACAGATGTTATTCGCAGCTTAGTTCACAGAAGTGCGGAGATGTTTCTGGACATATGTATAGCATCCTTTCAAAAAGTTTATTTATAAACCTTTAAAACTATTTTGGGCTCGCCAGTGCTAAAGCTCTTATCAGGTCATAGCTCATATCAGTCCACATGTCCCAGAAGCGTGCTTTTTGACTATTATTTTCGGAGGGACTATTTAGTTGGAGATACCGATGACACCTGTGACTAGTTAGTACATGTAGGATAGAGTTGTGCTGTAAGATACATACCGCAAGCAGGGCGGGCACCAGCGTTACCAGTCTTCTTCGACTCCTCGTTGCCACCCTTTCCAACATCGTCAGTGCCGGCATGAACGACGACAGTGCGCTGTAAGAAGGTCAGTTTGCTGTCTAATATCGTGGTTGTGCTCATGACTTACACCAATGACACTCTCAGGGCCGATCAGCTTGATGAGCTTGTCCTCGACGGAGCCCTTGGCGTTACCCTGGCCATCGTACTCCAGGTTACCCAAGTCACCAACGTGACGAGTCTCGTCAGTGCGGTCACCGTGAGTGGCGTTGTGAGGGTTAACTGCCTGGTGTTAGTTTTGTGTTGTTCTCCGTCCTATTTCTTTTGAAAGTATTCGTCCAACGTACAGTGAGGACCGGCGGATGTGCAGCCGTTGGTGTTGTCACCAAAGGTGTGAATGTGAATGCCACGCTTAGAGTTGGCGTCGTGGCCGGTGATATCCCATGAGACGGTGGTAGGGGCGGACTCGGAAGCCTGCTCAAAGGTGATGGTACCGGTGATCTTAGAGTCACCACGGACGACAGCGACTATAAACAGATAAATAGTTAGCAAATGACTCGCTATCAGATAGTTATAGCGTGAGGCTCTGTCTTGGAAGAGGACATGGGGTCCACATGGCAATTGATGCAAAGCTGTCTGTGATTGAATCCCGTCGCCTTGGTAGTGTTGCCCATCAAGGTAAGCACCCATCAAGGTTGTCACGCCTCTACCTCTACGAAAATGGCCGCAATTCTGCTCAGTGTACTTAACCCACCACCAAAGCTGGAGGGGTCTAATGAAATTGGGGAAATGTATATAACATGCTTACCGGCCTTGACCATTTTGACTGATTTTGATTTGTTTGATTTGCTTTGCTTTACGTGTTGAGTTTTTTGTATAAGCAATGATAGTTCACGAATGAAGAAGAAGATGAAGAAGACGTCAATTACTACATGCGAGACAAGAGGGGTTCTTTCTACTTAGCATTTCATCCCCATTTCACCAGCAACCCCCGAGAACTCGGACTTTCTTGCTGATGCCGAAATGCTAAGGTGGGGTGAGGTAAGGCATAAGTGCCCCGCACGTCGAAGAGGTCATCGCTGGAACGCTTCCGTCATTTGCTTGGGGCGCTTACAAATGACATGATTCCTCATGATATCCACCTGCATAAGAAGACAGCTCCTTATTAACAGAACAACATGGTAGCCTCCTTCGTTTCTGTTAGCCCCGCTGTCATCGGGCAGCTGCGCCACGGAGGCCGATGCTCGGTGCAGACAATCCTCAGTTAGTTTCATGCTTATTTAGAAGTAATCGTAAAAGATTCTATACTCGTACATTTTGGGTTTGGCAATACATGTTGTAAGATCAATGCAGAAATTTGTGTCGGCGCGGCACGCGGACTCCAGCGCTTCAGTATACGAAAAACATTGAATATTTCCAGACTTGGATCGTTTCGCCCGTACTGCCATATCATCAAAAATTCAGAAAAACTCTGTACGGCCTTATGAATATACCCTGCCTTACAGTAGCTGGCTTGTCAGCTGGTAGGAATGTACCTATGATTCAACCTAAGTGAACACGTATACAACGTTTGTCTCTGGTCGATAGTTGAACAATGAGAACAATTTTCTTCTTCTTCTTTTCTTTCATTTTTCTTTTTTTCTTTTAAAGGTATCGGCACCGTAACAAAACCGTATTGGGGCATCAATGTGCGGATGACTTGAAACTCGGCAGAAGTAAGGATCTGAAACACTACTAGGGATGGAGAAGCCACAACTGCAAAAAGTTTCAACTCGCATCATATTTATATCCCAAGATGGATGTTGATATATGGCTTGTAATCGAGTATGCGGTACGGCAACGCGTCCTTCAGAACTCGAATTTACAATGTCATGACCTGGCGCATTACCTTAGCTCAGCCCTATGGCTCAATATCAGACCAGCCCGAGGAGTTCGAAGGTCTAAGACTAGTACACTTCCCTCTCACTCGTGCGAAGAGGCAAATTTAACTGCTTCCCTGCGTCCACAATGTGTGTTGTGGTGCGCTGAAGTAAAACTCGCGTGGACCATTGAACGTGCAGTCGTCTTGGAGGCTATAAAATGCAGGGACCGACCAACCTGATGTGAGACTGCAGGGCACAAACGTGGGAAGCAAAGGATCTTTAAGCATCCCGAAAACAAAACTGCTGTGGAACAAACGACAATATTGATTAGTAGTAATTCCAGGTAGATAGTCTTCCACAGCTGAGAGAGAAGATTGCTTCTGGCATATTTGGAAATTTCGAGGACTACGGCCTAGACGAGCATGCTAATTAACGATATACTGTATTACTGTACATGTATCTGACCAATGCCTGGATTAGAGGTGAGAGCATTAACCAAAGGGCCACATTCATTTCTCCGTCGGGCGTTGTACGGCATTTGCAACTCAATCAGTCAAGAATAATTCGCCCTGGAGAGTTTGAACCCTGACCTGCCTGCCTGGGCTTCTGAATAGTGTCTTGCGGCAAACCACCTGTGACGTACGGCTCCGTACGCTCGTCGCAATGAGTGATGATCGACCAACAACTTTTGTGAATCCCACGCTAACGTAACCTAACCATCATCAGGACAGGCTCATGTCACACCAGACTCAAGCACGGCATCTTGTGTGGACTACAATGGATTCCATATTCTCAATCATGAATGAAATCCTTCTTGGTCTTTCAAGTGTTTATTAATAAACATGGGCATATTGCGATAAGACGAATTACGATGTCCACACTGCCCTATCGAACCGTCCCATGTTGGGTGGAGAGCGCCCTGCATAGCTTAAAACCCCATAGTTTTAGCTTGGAGGGAGCCCGGGCAGCGCGCAGCCTGGTCGCAAAGTGGCCAATGTTTGTTCGTACGGATCCGTACATGCATACAAGCTGACGGTGCGAAGCCCCGAAGATGTCTTCTGTTCATAGAGTGTTGGTAGAGTTTCGTGGTAAATACTTACTGTAAGCCAGAACTCAAATGAAAGAGAGGGTTTCGGGTCGTTGTGAATTTGTGCAGTAGTCAAGATGTAAAAGTGTAGTCTTACCAAGTTGGTTTGCGAACGCGAACGTGTACAACTTGCATCATCGCTTCCGATGTTGATCAACGGTCGGGCCTCCCACCAACTGACCTTTGCCTGGACTACTTGCCAACCTTTGGTACCAAGTAACTGTCTAGGTTAGGTTAAGTTACTCATTGCCTGCTTCAAGTGTCTTGTTTAGCCCAGCTCATCCAATCCATGCCATCCCCAGACGCAGCTCGCCGCCAGCGCTGAGCCAGCCCCAGCCCAAACCCAAGCCCAGCTTTATTTTTTGCCAATCCACCCACCCTAACAGCACAGCACAGCACCTGCATCCTTTCTCAAGTCCTTCGCAAGGTGGTGGTAACTTGGTACCGGTGTTCAATTACGCACAAGCCATGGCGATGCCAACCTGAACGCTCCCCTCTCCATTTTTGTTTCCTAATCACATTTTATACTATATACGTCTTTGGGAACGAACCGGTCTGGGTCTTCGAATAGAGGCGCTCATTCACTTGCGGGACCCGAGTGTATTTTTTATTGCCCCGAGGATTCACATTACATACGGATCCGTACATACAGTAGCAATACTGCAATAATCAACCTGACCTGACCGGGTCTTGGCCGCCGCAGTTCGCTCCATCTGCTCACCGACCGACGATTTTCCATTGCGCTACGAAGCCAGTGCAACGCATTGCCGAGCCTAAATAGATACCCTTCAGCTGTGGCATCACACTAGCCTAGGGGATCTCAATCTCTCCCGACGTGAAGAGCACACGACGTCTCACCTCTTCACGACACGCAACTAGGGAATCAGGGCGTCCACTATAGATGGTCCAAGAGACGACAAGCAAAGTATCCTTGTAGCGACACGACGACAAACAATTACTCGACCGTGGGGGCTCGGGCGCAATCATCAAATCAATCTTTATGGTGCATTGTTGAAGGCAGCGGGGCGAATGGAGACTCATTCTAGGAAATTGGGTCAAATCGCATTCCGCACACGGCATCAGCGATAAGATTGGTCGAGCGAGAGCAAAGTCCCCTACAGTAACATAACATAATCGGTGCTGTTCCTGGTGAAAGAGAGACCGGAGCCTGTAGCTCTGCTTCTGCTTGTACTTGTGCTTGTGCTTACGCCTTGCGCCAAGTCTCGCCTTTGTCTTTATTGTTCTCGGGGCAGCTTGCAAGCAGCCATGTCGTTTCGGGGCGACGAGCAACGCCGGTATGGCCACATTCCGCCAGTCCAGTACCCCATCGCGAATGATCAGATCCCGGGCAGCCCCAATAGAAGGCTGAGCTTCAACAGCGGTGACGACGGAGCCGCCACACCTTACGCCGCAAGACCTGGGAGCCGATCGGCGTACCAGCCCACAATAAACACCAGGGGACTTGGCCAGGAGGAGCTCTTTCTTGCAAGCCCGACAGAGCCTGGCCATTCTAGATTGAATTATGGCTCGACCAACTCAGCAATGTCGGGATATCAGCATCAGTATGCGGCTCAGACGCCACCAACGCCGTCAACATACAACCCTCAGACCTTCGTCGGTCGAGCCCAGTCGCAGTCATTGCCATATCACCCCCATGCACACCCACCGCCGGCCCCGAGTCGCTATGGCGCACAAAGCGCTGCTCCCTACAGTCCTACATCAACCACGACACCAAGCTACACGCCCGCGCCGTACAACCCTGCCGCATACACGAGTACAAGTCCCGCCATCCCTCAAAGACAGTCGACGTACGCCGGCTCGGCATACGGTAGCTACAATAGCCAGAGCTATTCGCCAACTCCTGCTATGAATCCTTCCAACTACGTGCAGTCGCAGCCCTCTTATGCTTCACTGCCAGCGCAGGCCGCGCAGACCGCGTCGCCGCCTACCACGTATCCTGCCTACGATCAAATTTCGCCGGGCTATCCACCATACGACGCGACGCAATCACAGTATCCTGCTCAGAATGCCTATCCTTCAAGTGCCACGAGCCCCCCCGGGACTTCGTATTCGACATCATCTTCTCAAGCACCTTATCCCAACTACTCAGACATACCTGTAGGACCAAACTATTCAGCCAACGACCCGCATTCATTTCTGAACAACCGTGCCTCGAGATCTAGCTCTCAAGCTTCACCCCTCCCATCTCCGCCCGTTCAAGGGCAGCCGCCTTCGCCGGGCCTGCAAAGGCACCCGACGAATGCGCCATTACCGAGCCGTCCTGCTGCCGAGAGTCCTTGGGAAGAGTCAAATGGCACTCCTGATGGCTCATCAGAATACATGACACAGGACGATATCATGAAGAGTATAGAAGATGAGCTGAGTGCGGGTGGCGACTCTCATAAGAGCCGGCATCGTGCTTTTGACCAGCGGAATGGTGGCATAGGAGACAACGATCTGCAAAACCTGCGCCGGCTCACTTCAACGGCTAGTTACCACTCCACCGCGACAACTGTAAACACACCCGACGATGCTTCTGGAGTTCAGCGATTCTCTTCCAATGCATCCACTGTCAACCGCAACCATTCGCGGAACCCTTATCCATATCCCGAAGATGAGGCTGACGAGAGTGACCCAGAGGCAGCCGCAGGCTTGATGGCAATGCAGCAGGCAGATGAGGACGACCGCCGCCTAAGCGGGGGCATGTCGTTCCCATTGTTCAGCCAGCCAGAAGTCAGTCTGCCTGCCATGCCAAACTTGCCTGAAGAGCCTAGCAGCGATAGTGACTATGCTGCGATGGATCTCGGCTTGTTCAGTGGTGGTTATGCAGGCAACCTGACCTATGATAACAATCTAGCAACGCCTGAAAACGATGTTTACCCGCAGGACAGTCAGAACCTGGCCACCCCCGCAGTAGACATGCCTCTCAGCGAAGTCAAGAAAGCAGTACATACCCGGCATTTGAGCAAGCCGACCTCGACTATGGAGGCACTGGTGGGTTGCAGGCACCAAGCGCCCATCGTTTGAGTTTCGACGAAGGCGACGAGCGTGTTTCGTTACACTCGCGACAAAGCGGGAGTGATTCGCCATATAAGGAAGACTATCCCGATATGTTCTATCATCCAGGATTGTCTAACCGGCCACTTCCTGCGATTCCTGCCAATCCAAACTCTGATAGTAGTTCCATGCTGTCCGTGCAATCGCCTCACCGCGGCAGCCAACATGGATACTCCCTCAGCACCGACTCTCGGCCATACTCTGGGCCAGATGCCTACTACGGCCAAAATGCTCAGCAATTACAAGTTGAGAGATCTATATCGTTATCTGGGCACAGCACCTCCCCCAAGTACAAATACCCAATCGTTCGAGGACGGATGCAGAGGCCAATCGTATGAAGCATGCGCGGCAACAACAGCAGCTATCCGCACAGCAAGGCTTACCAAATGAAAATTACGATGCTGCTAGCGCCTCGTCTATAAACTACGATGTGATTACACTGCCAAGTGGAAGGAGGAAGAAGTTCATCCCAGAAAAGATAACGAGTGTTGACACGAGAACATGTATTGAACCATGGGCTCTTAGTGGTATCTCAAAATGGCTTCGGGAAATGGCCGAAGGGGAGCCAGATTTAAAGATCAAGACGGTCGAGGATGGGCTTGTCCGCTTGTTTTGCTCCAAGGTTCCAACGATGAACGTTGCTGATGCCGAAGGTCTGAGTACCACCGTCGTTGAGCTGATGCTCAAGGCTGGCATTTTGGTTCCGGAGGAAGAGTGGTTGAAGTTCGGGCCTGGCAGCATCACTGGTGTCATATGGCAACTTACCGGGACAGGCTGTTACGCTCCCAAACTGCACGAGGTCGATGACGAGGCTGCCACGCACGAAGTTTTCGGTCGTTGCTATTCGCATTATTGCGGCCGGACACTAAAGAAGGCTAATCTGGATGACGTGCTTGGGGATGGTGTCAAGAAGGTCGACTGGGCAACATATTACAACCTGAAGGCTCAAGATGTGGAGGCCAAGACCAAGAAGGAGATCGAGCGCCAGAATAATCTTCATGAGATTATCACCAGTGAGGAGGACTTCATGGGTCAGCTTGACGTTTTAGCTGTTTTGTACCGTGATCGACTGCTGAAAACTCAGCCACGTATCATTGCGGAGAACAGGGTCGATAGGTTCGTTAATGCCGTATTCGGAAAGATTGATGCCCTTCAGCAAATCAATAAGGATCATCTGTTGGCACAATTGAAATACCGGCAGAAGGAGCAGGGCCCTTGGATTGTCGGATTCAGCGACCTATTCCGAGAATGGATTCGAAAAGCTAAGGTGGCTTACATCGAATATGCTTCTGCATATCCGTATGCTACATACCTCGTCAGGAAAGAAAAGGATCGAAACTACATGTTCAAACAATTTTTGGAGCAGAATCGGACGCATGCTCGGTCGCAGAAGCTAGACTGGACGACCTTTCTGAAAGCACCAATTACTCGGCTTCAGAGGTATAACCTTCTTCTAGGAACCAGCATGAAAAACATGCTTGAGGATAGTGAAGAGAAGACAAATCTGATCAAGGCTATGGATGAGATCAAGCAGGTTGTACTAGAAGCTGATGCAAAGGTCGACGAGATGACTAAGAAGGTTACCATGATTGAGCTCGATCAAATGCTCGTTTTGCGTCCAGGATTCCATGCAGACCTCAACCTTGACCATCTTGGCCGCGAGTTGATAATTCAAGGTGATCTGCAAAGGATGGGCTCGAAGGGTGTACGATGGGTCGATACGCATGCTCTGCTGTTTGATCACTACCTGATCCTGTCAAAACTCGTAGCGGCCAAAGATGGGCGGCCGGACAAGAAGTACGATGTGTCAAAAGAGGTAAGTTGTCGAGTATAGTATAACGATGATTTGCATTAACGATTTGCAGCCCATTCCGATGCCACTTTTGTTCCTCGAGAGCAGTCAAGACGAGCCAGTCTCTAAGCAGAAGGGCATCGCTGCCCCCTTGACTCGTGCGGCAAACTCAGCCACAGACATAAGAAAGGGCTCGGATCCCAGACTGAACAAGCCTGGTACGCCATACGCTAATGGGGACCGACCCGGCTTAGAGCACGCAGCCACGAACTCATCTATAGGTTCAGTTGCAGTCACTAGGTTAGCACCGACGAATTCAAACGACAGCGAAGGCAAGATTCTCTGGCCTTTCCGAGTCAAGCATCTAGGTCATGAAGTATATACTCTATTTGCGCCATCTTCACAGGCGCGGCAGGAATGGTGCGACAAAATCATCGAAGCTAAAACACGACATGCAAAGGCCCTTCATGCACAGAATGCTGAGCCATTCCGCCTTCGTGTCGTTGCCGATAGTGCCTTTGGATATGACTCTGTTTCCGCTATGGGCAAGTATGTCAGTGGTGTTCACATTCGCAACACGCCGCTTGATCGAGCAATTCGTGACCTCGAGAAGACATTTGGTCCAGGCCGTGGCCCACCGCCAGTATCTCGGGCTCCAGTCAATTGCGCAACAGGCTTCTCAGCCTATGGAAAGAATATGATCGCGGTAGGCACAGACGCCGGCGTCTGTGTGGCCGAGGCTGGTGATCAGAGAGGCTGGCTAAAGGTCAGTCTATAACCCTGTCTATAATTCATCGATTTACAATACTAACAACATCGCAGACCACTGCTCTTTCTAGAGTCACGCAAATAGCAGTGCTAGAGGAATTCTCCGTTGTTCTTGTTCTGGCAGACAGGAGTTTGATCTCCTACCCATTGGATGTCATTGCACCTCCTTCTAACTTCCCTGCCCCTGCAGGCGACAACGTACGACGGTCGCCACAAAGATTGGCTAAAGATGTATCTTTCTTTGCAACGGCCCGTATGAAGGATCGTATGCTTGTATTTTACAGAAAGAAGGAGGGCCTTCACAGCACGTTCAAGGTTTTGGAGCCTGTTTTTCAAAAGTCCACTGAACGGAAGACTCGCTTCTTCAAGAGTGGCAAGGGTTCAGGATCTACTGAGACGTTCCGTGAATTCGACGACTTCTACTTGCCGACAGAATGTTACTCGATCAACCTTTTCAATATGTACATCGCCATCTCAACCGCTAAAGGTTTCGAGCTCATGACGCTGGACAAGAAGATCCCCATGAGCATACCGGATGTCAAACAACCTGCCATAGCTAACATCGCCAGCCGCATCCGGGACCAGAAGCCCTTGGGAATGTTCCGTCTCAACACTCAAGAATTCCTTCTCGCGTATGAGGACTGCGCTGTCTATATCGACAAACACAGTGATGTAAGTCGTTCCGTCATCATGGAGTACAGTGGCAAGCAGAAGAAGGCCAAAGGTGCCACAATGTACGGCCAGTACCTTTTGCTATTTAATGAGGATTATGTCGAAGTACGCAACGCCGAAAATGGCAGATTGAGGCAGATCATCGCGGGCAGGGACGTTAGAGTCCTCGACTATGGTGTTAGGGGTCCGACTGGTGGTTTTTACCAACCGAGCAATGGGCATGATGCAATAGCCAATGGAGGAGAGCTTGGCCTTGCTTCAAAGGGCACTGTCAAGATTTGTATGGCGCATCCGGAGGTTGCAGGACAACAGATCGTGCTAGAAATGCTCCTTAACAATGGGCATTCGGAGAAGGTATGATCGATTTGGAAGTCAACCGAAGTTCAAGGAAGAAATATAGAGCGTGGGTGATGTTATCTGATCATCGAAATGATTATATACGAGGTGTTGTGTGGGACTGGTTGTTCTCTTTGACATGGCATCGACGCTGTTATGGATATCCGGCCTTGCTATCATGGCCATGTTGCGTTCTTCTCTATTTTGGATCATCACAATGAATGGAGTCATGGTAATGGTCTCACAAAGGTGATTTGGAGAATCGAAGTAGTTGGGAGTAGGAAATGTTCTCGAGGCATAGCTTGACCAAAGAGTATTTGATGTTTCCTCCCATGAATTTGCCGGTCGTGCCGTTAGCTGATAAATATATTGCGACTGTTATTCAACATCATTCCCACTTATTCGCCGGAATTGATAAATTAGCTCGTATGTGATGAAGGTCGCTCGTGCCATCATAACAACCATGAATTACCTAAGCTCCAGTGGTCACCATCCTGTTGAGAATCTGTAACATCCTTGCGCCACCGTCATATATCAGATGCAGATGATTCATGTCAGAGTTCAACAATCAACATCAAACAACGCTTATGACTGTTTGTGCAGGTCTGCATGCCCATTCGAACTTGTCGCAAGGCATGGCAATTCTGGCGAATACACTCGAACCCGGTTGTTGTCCATGGGAAAGCTTGCGGCAAGTTGTACGCCCCCATTGACACTCTGCCAATGCGTGACTCCGTCCGCACCAAGGCTGACATCGTACCGATCGCCTGTGTTACGGTTTTCGAGTGTACTGTTGGTTTGGTTTTTAGTATTGCTTAAAGCTCGATTTAGGAGCAGTTGACTTACGCGTTGCCAGTCGTGGTATTGTGGGCCTGTACTCCAATGGCAACATGATCTCCGGGCTGCACTGCTTGGCCGTCAGCTTACCAAGCGTAATTATACATAAGACCCCAAGAAAGACATGAGTTCATACCTTGGAATGCGTCTATAAACTCAGCTCCAGCTGGGAACCATTCATACCAGGCCCTGGCCGTGGTGCTCCCGTCATCTAATAGCTAGACAGAAGGGAATATAAGCAGCTACTATATGCCAATAAAACAAAGGGCTACTACTTGCTTCGCTTAGCACGCCAGCCTGCAAAAGCGCGCCTTGATCACATCCCTCGCCGGAAATGCCCACCCAGGATACAAGCCATATTATATATATTAGCCCACTTACGTTTTTAGGGAGACACAAATAGGGGACTTCCCACTCTACTGAAGTCAGTACGATAACAAGTCTAAGTCCATCTCCTTTAGGAATTGTTATAGTCGTACCAGCCCAGTCGACACTCTATACCGTTATAGTATGCGTCGAATTATCGATTACATATAACTACAGGTATTTATCTATTACTTCAAGGATACGAGAGTGCTTATTTGGGAATGCAAAGCATATTGAGCTAGGAAGGCTCATCCAAACTAGGTTATATAGTGCTTTCATTAGTAAAGATGTCTTAGATGTGTTGATGTTGCTACGACAAATGGTTTTGGTAAACGTATAGGCAGCGGAAGTAGTATAAATAGTCTTGGGCGAAGGGGACAGCATACAATAAACGACCTAATAAAGCAGATTGCACGCGGTTACTGAATGAGTCGCTTGTCACTGGTGCGTGTTTAATCACGGGCAACTGCGTGAATAAGGGTGCAATTGTGATAAATCTACCTGGCATGTCCATGGAAATTGTATTAATGTATGCACTAAACCAAATCTAATCAAGACAAAACAATACTACCTATACCGTCTCATTTCGTTTCGTCACTCGACATGCTCTCGTCAAATGCCAGTGTCTGTTATTGAATCACGTCAAGCCACTCGTCTCAATGGGAATGCCATCGATGGCGACTGATGATAATTATGAAGTCCTGAAATGGGTCATCTCATCACTATGGTCAATTGATTAGTGCCTCTTCAAGATTGGGTATCTTCTCAATATCTGACAAATTCTTGTTGGAATTTGTGCATACCTTCTCATACAACATTCCACGCGCGGATGCTTAGGTTGATATGGTAGAGCATATAACGTGCTGGGCGCCACCTGAAACCATACTTCGCTACCGGTATCGTACGGTTCGTGGCGAGGGCGGTAGGTCCTAGATTCGTGTACTGTGGTGAGAAGAATTAGGCCATGGTCAGGATGAATTATGTAGCGGCAGCAAGATCCCAATCACTCGGTGTCGCTGGTGAGGCGAGGAGCTGCGAGAGTGCGCCAAGGTCAAGTATGCCAGCCACAAACAAGGAAAGATGACAAGAGGAGATGGCAATCCCACAGCACTGGCCACGGCCAATGCCGGAAATAGGTTGTGGAAAAACCATGCAATTGAGAAATCTCCAGGATTGTTGGGCTTTCGTACAGCTCAATTTCTGAAACGTGTAGGTCTACTTCGATATTTCGTATGGCAAGTCTATGTATTCCATCTCCGCTGTGTACAATCAAGGTTCTAGCAGGCGAACAGAAATCAACTATGATCATGTTACAGTACTGCGGCACTGCGACACATCGACTGCTTGCCTAACCGGTGTCGCAGCCACGATATCAACCAGATGATAACAAAAGATTATGTTCTTCACATAACTTCAGGATTTTCGTGACTGCTGCATGGCGATATCGAATAAAATTTCCAGGCCAATTGCTTGCCACAAAGAAATAGTTCTTGTTCGTTATATGGGCGTATTCTTAGTAAATCATTTCTTATGCTATTGAGGCAAACCATGTCAGTCTTTGTGTTTGCGAATGTGCAACATAGCTCGATGAGGACGAAGAGGGATATTGTATAGTTTCCTCTAGTCATGACTTTACGTGATGTAGAATAGTTTCCTCTCGCCATGACTTCACGTTGAAGCGGTTGCTCTATGTGATAGCAGGAAGCGAGGGCAGCCTGATGTAGAATATTGTATCTGAATCGTCACTATGGACCCTTGGCTAGGTTTAGGTTCCAAGTAAATACATGTATATACTTCAGGTCCATGTCTAGCTGCGCGCTCTCAATTTCGGAGGGACAAGATACGATCGATATTGGATCGCTCTGATAGTTAGGCAGTCACATGCCAACCAATAGTCGAGTGACGGCATCATCCATGCATTTTATTTGAAAACATCTGTTACACGTGCGACCTACAGAGTAGGTAAACGGTTAACACTTGTTTTCAAAATCGCGGGAAGACTTGGCGACACATATGCACTCTATACTGAGGATTGTCAAAAACATTAGCATGCAAGGAAGGCCAAGGGCAAAAAACGGCTGTCTGTAAGGGCCACAGCCAACCGCCACGACACACCTGCTTCACCGCATGTCAAGGACGGAGTAATTTACAAAAAGGGGTCCCTGAAGCGTCTTGCCGTAGCGAGTCAGTGCGCTAAAAGGAAAACAATTTAAAGCCTAAAAAGGCAGCATGGTCCCCCCCATGGGTTTCGTGGCAAACTCTCTTCTGTTTCTCCAGAGCTTGTCTTCTAGAGCCAGGCCACGAATTCGACTACAATCGACGCGCAACAGCCACCATTATGCCCTTTCCCGGTTTTGTCATCCATTACAATGGCCATCAGGTAAGCGGATCGGAGGTTCGGAGGATTTTGACAGTGGGGCAGCATCTACGAACCGCAGGTAGAGACCAATAAGGAGGATTTATGCCACAAATACCCGCTTGGTGTAGTGGTTAGCACTATGTTCTTATACTTCTTCAGTTTTAAGAGATATGCATGGGTCGCCAGTTCGATCCTGGCAGTGGGTACTTTTTCTTTTGCAGATATTTTCGATTCAGTTTCTTTGGTCTGGTATCGTCTAGCTTCTTTTTTCTTTTCTTTCATCTTGTAGTCTCCTTCGATACCAAATGCTGGAAACAGCGAAACAATGATTGTTAGGTAGGTAGCCTTTTCAAGTAATGGGCACAGAAGTTCATGCGGATCATAACTGTTTATCAGCAAACTTCGCTGGTGCAATATGGAGTAGCCATTGGATGTTATTGATTCTAGTACCAGTAGAAAATCAGTGGCATGTTACAAGACGGAACGGATAGCTGGCTACGTGAACACCAGTAGGTGCTTGAGTTTCGTGATTAGTGATTACGGGACATTATTTATGTATGCACAAACTGTCTTTCTACTTTCCACACCACGTTACAGGACGCCGTTTTGGTGTCAATATGTTCTTCTGCAGCAAGATTACAACGATCAACCATTCCGTACATAATGAAATAAAGGAAATACAATATGACAAGATCCACATACTTCAACGCCCCATATACATAGTATTTATGCATACCAACATAAGAAACATGAGTAGCTAAGTGGTAGAGCCTTATCCCAGCATTAGTATACAATCTGCGCCTCCAGAGACTTTTTAACCCATTAACGCCGCCACCTCTCCTTGAAATTTGGAGTGAGCGAAAGATCGCCCTTGGAGCCCACAAGTGTTGACTGCCGAACATGCCAGGTCCAATGTTGAACGAATACCCAGTGATAGGACGAGCGTGGAAGGCACCATGAACTAATGGAGAACTCGTTCCGTCGAGAGTGAGATCACAAGGACTGGTGAATGTGAGCTTCGCGTACAGGATAAGCGAGGTCGCCACTGATCTTACCTAGGCCGTCGATAACGATGGCGATGGAGATATTCTTCTCGTTGATGGTTGTGAGCGCCACTTCTAGGGCTGCGCAAAGATCGCCGCTCAGGGTGGAACTGCTACTGTTGTTCTCATACTTGATGAAAACAGTTTCTCCTCCACATCACGTATCAGGTCTTTCTTGAGTCTACATATGTCTTGGTAGACCCGAACCTTCGGGGAAGGGGTCGAATGGGCTGTACGACTGTGAGAGCGTCGATGTGCTGCTCACTCCCGGCAGAGCTCGAGTCGTTCTTGGCAATCTCGGTCACCGTCGACTCCACGGCATCTTTGGTGGATGCCACCAAAGGCTCCAAAGCATGCGGAACGTCCTTGAAGATCGCCATGCCTAAGTTCGAGGAAATGATATACGTACTTTTCTTTGACGAAGCGAAAGGTCGATTCGCGTGCTTGCGCAGACCTAGAGAGTCAGTATGAGAATTTCTGGATACGATTGAACAAAGAGGACATATCTCCTGGTATCTTGGGCAAACCCAACATGGTGGTTTCGAGGCGATCGCTTGTGCAATCACTGGCGCCTTTGAACAAGGGAGGAGACAGTCCATATTATTTTCGTCGTCCGGCACAAATAATTCCTCAGACCCTCACCCCTCCGATTCTAGACCTCATATCGACGCTGAGTTAAGACTGCAGCTGTGATATGCAGTGTGATCAACCAGAATGTGGAAGCCAAGCCAGCCACTTAATGTCTTAGTAGAAGGGATCAGCCGCGGGCCAGACCCCTTATATCGTTTTCGCTTGGCGCCATGGATAGCCCAGGTAGCACATCGACCAATAACAGTGGCCTCGGTCTACCCTGGGTATTATAGTCGGACTAACTCTTAGCTACGCGTCATGTCATTCATTCAATACTAATACTGACCCCTGACCAGGGGTAAGTTGCAGCAATGCAGTCAGCATGCGGGGGTCACGATTCACCATGGGCACAAGGCGTGAGACACGTGCAGGATCTTGCTTCGGTTGTTTGTTTACACCCGGATTGCTTGTAAATATGATATCTTGGACAGTGCGGGCGTGAACGAGGAGTATCAACGACGTTCTATGACCAGCTTTGGGGTTACAGAACAGCTGCAGGCTTGGCGTTGCGCGTGATGTAAGAATTCTATACCTTTTCACGAATCAATGTCGGGAAGCTGGTTAGCTAGTGTTTGTAAACATTGGGTAAAGACAAGAAACGGCCAACATCCGCAACAGTGAACAAGTTTGAAACCAGAAACTCACATGTACTAACGTTACAGCATCTGCTATGGGCTTAGCGGACAGGACGCTTTGCGACTGCTGGCGGCGCCGCTGATCAAATCCGGTCGCGCGTCATGGGTATAGGGCAATTTCAACTATTGTGCATTGCAAAGCCATCAAGATTAGCCGTCTGACATGACTGCTGCAACTATTCAAGACCAATTCTCCGCAAATAGCATTACCCATCTTCAAAACGCTCGCATTCGCTGTATCAAGCGCATCAAGTTTGGGATATCATGGCCATCCATGGCCAGTATCCCGTATGTTAAATCGACTTTAGTCCACCCTCTAAAAACTGTCTGGTAGTCCCGCATCTGGTAGTCCCGCCTCCAAACTCTATGATAAGCTCCATCTATTGGCCGTACTTGTGCCTTAAACCAACAATTGCACGACCGCCTGCTACATAGTAGTTTAGCTTAAATGTCCCATGACATGTCTCTCCATGCGACTCTTATCTTATTGGCCAGCGATCAGACTCAAGTAGATGCCCCAACCCATACCAGCCAAGCTGCCCAACAAGTTACGGCCAGTAACTGTTTTGATGAAGGCAAAGTTGACCAGACTGACAATCGGCCAAACCTTCCAACCAGCAAAGATCATGGGCCAGAAATCGGCAGCAGTCTTGGCCTTGACGGTGTCCCAATCAACACTGCTCGTACGGATGGCGCCCTTGGCAAGCGCGAGCAGATAGTTGGCACTCTGATCGGGCGTGCTCAGGGGAGAGCCGAGATGACGGGGCATGGCCTGTTGAACACCGTGGATGAACAAGCTGAAGACAATGGTGTTGAAGGCGGCACCGAAAATCTGATCCATGACCGTCTTGATGAGCGTATTGGTGATGTTGAGCTTGGGCTCCACTAGTCTGCCTTCCTGGGCTTCCTTCTCCAGTTCCTTCTCGTCGCCCTTGGATGCAGACGCGACAGCCTCAGTGGTAGGCGAGGCATGGTAGGCCGGCCAGGTCGACTCGAGAAACTCTTGCCTTGGGGCTGATCAGCAATAATCCCACGGCTTGAGTATTCAACAACAAACGAAAGTCAAGCCCCGCGGAACCTCAGCAAGAGCGCTTCACGCGCAGCCTAGAACTCCCGGGACAAAATCGTCAGCACTTACCACAAGATGTTTGGATGAGTGTTCAAGAAGTTGAAAATGGCGAACTGAAAGACAGGTACCCAGTCAATGACAAGCGGTGTCTGCGAAGTAGTATTAGCGGTGTTGAGATCTCAAGGAGGCACAAACATCGCTCATAGACGCTTCAAGTTCATGCGTGTTGGTCCATGATATACTAACCTCGTTGCGGTAAGCAGCAATGAACTGGGCCAACAAGTTGGCGACTGCGTTCAATACAGCGGACTGGATGGCCGCAACCTCAATGGGAGGTAGCTGAAAAGCCATGATGCCGAGATCTGTGGTTTCAGTGAATCTTTGTAGCCCGAAACCTGTGCGGCTGTGCTCGATTGATTGCTCAAAGATGCGAGATGTGAAGTGAGAACGGTGATGAAGATGAACAGGTGTCCCTATGTGTCGTGGGTGCCTAGGGCAATATGGCGAACCAGAGCAGCTTGGACCCCTGTCAAAGATGGCTAATTCGGTGATGACGTTATGCACGATTGTGTGGGCAGAGATGGGGCTTTGTTGAGAAAAGGCAACCGGCAAGATTTATTCAAAGTTCAAAGTCGCTGATACAAAGGAAGCAGAAAAAGGTATACGCATGTGTAATAACCGGAACATCAAAGGAAACACATGTGCAACTGCCTGCAGATCACATTAATAGGATCACATTTAATAGGACCTGTTGGGAAGGTGACTCGGCTGGACAACCAATCATTGACGACAGGCCCGCGCGGCTACGCGTGGACCCAGTCAATAACTGCATTGGAAAACATGGCGACTTGAACTGGTTGAGATCATTGATGCTTTTAGTGCAGATCTAGTATGTACTTTGTTCTATGCAAAACTCATGATATTGCCTAAAGTTACGCCATACGTCCAGGCCGAGCCTGGACATGACCCCGCCAAGACCAAGATAAACCTGGCCAAGACCATTTCTATCAGAATGCACCGGCCGACCCCTGAACTCCTCGCTGAATATAGACACATCTAAGGTCTAGTAAGAACCCACATGAGCAGGAACTGCACCAGGTAGGAGTAACCAAACAGAAACTGTGTTCGCTGGTTTCGCTTTGATCGGGATTCGGTCTGCATTCGAGGATCACTTGGGTTCTCGGGAAGCAGGACATATCTCAGGGACCGCATCTAAGTTTAGTTAGTATGGTATGCTGCCAGCTGTGCGGGGATGGAGGTAGGGCTCATCATACCAAGAAAAGGGAGTTTGCCATGAACGTGTAGAAGAAGACGGACCAGCCCATGAGACCTCCAGTTCCTTTGCCTCCATTTACAATTTGAGCAGTAGCCACTGTGACAATGACGCCGACGAACTTGTAGCCCGAGTAGGCCACAAGGTCCAGGAGCTGCGATTGATGGGAGATGCTCAGGAAGTAGCAACCCATGCGCAGAAAGGCGATCTCCAGAACAACTACCAGTCCAGCCACGAAGGCAGTTGAGCCGAGCAGTTCTGGCTGAAACTGGCCGCGGAGACCTGCTAACAGAGTGGACAAGAGGACGTATGTTACCAACGCCATGACTGCGGAAATTGTTAGTCCGCGCGCTGGTAGAGGAAGACGGGCGCAGATGAGGCAAACCTACCTGGAATGTACATATCGGGACTGTTAATGTCGTCCCTGGGCGGCAGATACCACCCCTCTTGTCCGTTGGGACCGATGGACTGCTTGCGCGACCATGGCTTATGGCGCCAGGGGAAGAGGACGAGGAACAATTTGTTGACGACGTATGAGTTGCTGACGTTGAAATAGTGTTTCAAGGCTGAAAGGTTGAACCAGCGGTTGACCTGGGCCGCGTGTCAGCAACAAGGTAACAAATAACACACAATATACGATATAGCGGTTCTGTCCGTCTCCAGCTCCGGGGCCATCAACGTACGTTTTGCTCGAAGTATTCTTGGCCATGCTTGAAGGCATTCTGTCCCATAGAGGCGGCTATTTGTGCGGTCGGGTCATTGATATAGCTTCCAAACTGCCCGAAGGCATTGGCCCCCTGAGGAGGGCCCTGGGGAGCGGCCTGGGGAGCTGGCTGTCCCTGCTGGTAGGGGTTGGTATAAGCGCCTTGGGTCTGGGGTTGGGAGGAGGTCGGGGGAGGAGGCGACCTCAGTTGTGGTACGGTCGAGACATGTTGCGGGACAGGATGATGAAGGGGCGGCGAGGGGCCGTAGTTCTGGCGCTGCATCGTGGGGGATGGTCGGCCTGGAGAGCAAAGCAGGAAGACGTGGTGGGCTGCTGTGAGAGCGACGAGCGTTGTCGGTGGTTGAGAGTTGGTGGTGAGGTGGTCTGTTGGGGTTGCGTGTCCAAGGCAGAAGTCAAGTTCCTACGGGCTCTTTCAAGACTTGGAAATTCAGTGACTTAGGTTACTGTGTTTTCACCCAGCGGGCATGAATTGGAATTGGCTGAGCTGTCCAATCCCATTGCTCCAGCGCGCTAGAGGAGCCAAGTACAAATGTACCGTGGTAACGCAGCACCCGGAGAGCTTGGAAGCTGCACTAAGCTAGGCTACCTACAGTGCAGTCCATACTCAAACCCCCAGCAGGCTGTGCAAGGCACGAATACATACTGTATGGCACTCGCGTTGTGCTACATGCTGTACTAGTAACTGTGTACAAAGTGGCTCCCGGGCGAATCAATTCCACAGCGTGCACACGAGCAGAAAGGCGCACTCCACAGTATTGACAGCAGGTAACCTACCGGCCAGGACATGCTACAAAGTATTATCTGTCCGTACTGTGCAGCAGACACTGTGAGCAACCACGCTGCCTGTCTCCGATAACGTCGCAGCCGGGTCTTGGCTCAGCCCATGCCCATCCACATCCCACATCCACCTCCAGACCTGGAGCTGCAGGGTCAGGTGCTGCCACCTTTCGTGTAAAAAAGAATCCCTTACATAGTTACCTGGCTAACTTACCTCATCGTGCATCTTGCATCTTGCCTCCTTTCAAAGTGCGCAACTCAACCTCAAATCACCTCAAGCTTGCGCAAGAGGTCCCGGTTGCCATGTTAGACACATTCGAGATTCTCACCACTTCGGGTGTCGTTCTATGGTCGCGGTCATACGCCCCTGTCAACCCCTCCATAATCAACAACTTTATCGCAGATGTCTTCATCGAGGAGAAAGGCGCCGTCGCTGGAGCCAAGGACGACCAGCCAACCGCCAGCAACCCTCCATACAAGGCAGAGCAGCACACCTTGAAGTGGACCTTCTCCAAAGAGATCAATGTCATATTCGTCGTACGTTCATGGTCTAACTGCCCTCTACCTAGCTGCGACCAAACCAGAAGTATTAACTCTCCCCCGACGTCCAGGCTGTATACCGATCTTTGCTGCACCTGTCGTGGATTGATAAGCTCGTCGACAACATCAAGACCATTTTCGTAGACTTGTATGGCGACCAGCTCAAGAAACCAAACACCACTCTTGTGCACTGCCACAAGTTCGACGAGTACTTTGACCAACAAGTACGCCAGTTAGAGTCAGCTGGAACCACCAAGAGCAGCCACCCCTCAGCAGCAGCAGCGGTAGCCAACACCTTCGCATCAGAGGATGAGAGCATATCCGGCAACCTGGGCGACGAGCCTCCTCTCCCGCCTGGTCTGAAGCACCGAACACGCGCTCAGGATGCCGCACAGGCAGCAGCATCTCCAACCGCTTCATCCCCGACCGCTACACCCTCGAACTCTCGCCCAGCCACACCTGCTGGCAGCCATCTCGTGGTCGGTAAAGGGGGTCCTCTGGGGAAGATGTCGCGCCGGGCCAAAAAGATGCAGAACACCTCCGCCCCCGCATCGTCTGGCGACGAAGGCCCCAGCCGGAAAGCCAAGAAGGCGCCGAAGAAGGGACGTAGGTGGAACGCCGATGGATTCGCCAGCGAGGAAGACGACACCGTCCTCGACTATTCCGCCGCCACAAACGCACTCACGAGCGAGAGTGAAGCAGAGGGTCGACCGAGCGCATTGGGCAGTATTGACTCGTCCACCTGGGGCACCAAAACCTCCAAGGGTCAATTCGTGCTCAAGGATCTCGACGACGAAGTAAATGACATTCTTGCCTCGGCGCAGTCCAAGAATGCCACCCAATCTGGCAGTGCCGGTCTGGTTGGTGCAGGGCTGACCTCCATCACCGGCCTGTTTCGCAACGTTGTCGGCGGCAAGACGCTGACGAAAGATGACCTGAAGAAACCCATGGAAGGCATGAAAGAGCACCTGATCAAGAAGAACGTAGCCCCTGAGGCCGCAGTGCGTTTGAGGGATAGTGTCGAGCATGAACTTATTGGCATGACGACCGGCAGCTTCGAGTCTATCGATACCCGCATTGCAAAGGCCATGGAGGCGTCCTTGACAAAGATGCTCACACCAACTTCGTCGCTTGATCTCCTCCGCGAAGTCGATGCTGTCACGCGACCTTCGGCATTGTCAAGTACCAAAGCGCGACCATACGTCATCTCCGTGGTCGGCGTCAATGGAGTCGGCAAGTCCACCAATCTCTCCAAGATTTGCTTCTTCCTGCTGGAGAACAAGTACAAAGTGCTTGTCGTAGCCGGCGACACTTTCCGGTCGGGTGCGGTGGAACAGCTGAAGGTGCACGTCCGAAACCTCAAGGAGCTCACCAAGCGTGAAGGTGGTAAAGTGGAGCTCTTCGAAAAGGGCTATGGAGGCGACGCTGCGACTGTCGCGCGTGATGCTGTTCGTACAGCCGCCAATGAGGGTTTCGATGTTGTCTTGATCGATACAGCTGGAAGACGGCACAATGACCAGAGACTCATGTCAAACTTGGAGAAGTTCGCAAAGCTCGCCAACCCTGACAAGATTTTGATGGTTGGAGAGGTGCGTCCTGCTTTTGTTCTTGTTATAGTAACGTTGACTAACATATCTAATAGGCTTTGGTTGGTAACGACTCAGTTGCACAAGCACAGAACTTCAACGCATCGTTCGGGCAAGGCAGGCATCTGGACGGCTTCATCATATCAAAGTGCGACACTGTGGGAGACATGGTGGGTACCATCGTCAGTATTGTACATGCTACGAATGTGCCGGTTTTATTCGTCGGAGTTGGCCAGCACTACGAAGATATCAGGAGTTTCTCAGTCAAATGGGCTGTCAAGAAATTACTAAGTAATAACTAATCCAAAATTGAACACGTCCTGCCAGGCAATACTGCCAGGATGATCAAGCGTTGAGAACCACCCCTCCAAAGAGAAAGCGCTATACTCAATACATTGTGATAGTGACATGGTTCAAGGGCATGTCTGGACCTTTATAATTCAAGAAATGACTGCTAGTCCAATACTTCTTGGGTGGTGAGTTGGCATCCGGCTATTGTTCTCGCTAATATCAGCCAATAAAATTTCTTTGAAGAAGGGCTTAGCTTTAGGCGCTGGCATGGGTATTTCAGCTCATGCACCTAAAGAACGAGAAGCCCTCCCTCCAACCTTACCGTTGCGGCATCAATAGCAACCCTAAAGCGCAACGCATGCAACACTTCTTCCGCGAAGGGCAAGCATTTGATACAAGGCTGACTTTGATACTCGACCATAAGAGGATTTTCGGAGGCCTGTCGACCCCAACAGTGATATGAAATACCCGAGCTTCATACTCGAACCGTGGATTTGAGCCGTAATCACTACTATCTCTCTCCAATGTCTGTAAATCGATTATACCTGTTCAGGAAGACGACACTTCAATCATGGAGATTTCAAGTCCAAATCCCCAAGGTGCCTCCTACGCCATCAAACGTCGGCCTGTACCAGTAAGCCGTCGCCCAGCGCCGCAGAACTCGTCACTACCGTCGCCAATTTCACCAGTTTCACCGCCATTAGATTTGGTTAGCAAGGCTTCGGTGCTTGAGTTTCATACAGTAGACCCAGTCCTTAATGCTCGGCGTTTTTCAAGTGGTTCTCCCGCAAAATCAGACGGCCAGGGCGTCCCCAGCACCGTTGATCCGGGCCTCCCAAGTCCACCACCGTCTGTGAATGTCTCGCTGATGCAAAATGGCCGACATCATAATCGGCCGGACTTCTTCGTTCCGCTTCCCCCAGCTTTGGTTTCGTTGCCAACACCCCCTCCGTCTGCCTCGGCGCATCCTCATCCGTACTTCCCACCACCACCACCGGACACCTCACGCCCAGCGGTGGCGTCCGTCTCCGACGCGACCACAACAAACTGGTCTGTGTCTCCGACTCATATCCAGGTGCAAAATGAGTCTTCGCCCGTGCAACGATCTTCTTCCTCGCACATCAAAGGGCCGTTGCAGATGCCCGCCAGTGAAACCATCAAGGAACGCCAAGCCCCGCAATCAATTCATCATCTAGAACAACGCGTGTCACCAAGAGCCGAGGCACCTGTTCCATCTCTGCCTTCAAGTCCGCGGTTATCGTCGGATCCATACTCGTCTCCAAGACCTCTTTTCTCGACTGTGGCCTCGCATAACTCCAGGCGGCTGTCCACCTGGAGCAAGGAGGCAACTGACAGGTACTGGAACAAGGAGACCGCGAGAAAAGCTTACAAGAACAGCAAGGAGTTCTTGCTGAAAACCAACGATGTGCTCGGCAAAGTCATCGATCCCCTTATGCCTGCGATCGCAGCCGTGCATCCAGACTTCGCGACCGTGTACCAAGCCGGCCAGCTGGTCGCTCAGAACTCGGCCGCCGCCAACGGCGCCGCGGTCCCCGGCCAGACGACTGCGGCTGGCGGCCTCAACAGCCTGATGCCCTTGGTAGGAGCCTTGGCTCAGGTGGCCGTCAACAACACCAACAATGCTGACGGCCCTGGCGCGGATGCCAGCCCATTCCTGGCGGCGCTCTCTCAGTCGACAGGCGCGGTGCCCTCGATCGGGGGTTTGGCCTTGGGCGCAGATGCCAACGTTGCGCAGATCCAGAGCTATATCCAACAGCAAGCCGACGCGTCCACATCGTCCTTGCTTGGGATTCTTCAGGGCGCCTCCTCGCAGGGCGGTGGTGTAGACACCACGGCGCAGATCCAGAGCTATATTCAACAGCAGGCCGACGCGTCCACATCGTCCTTGCTGGGGATGCTGCAAGGCACGTCGTCGCAGGGCGGTGGTGTAGACACCACGTCGCAGATCCAGAGCTACATCCAACAACAGGCCAACGCCTCCACGACGTCTCTGCTGAACACCTTGGCCGCCTCACAGGGTGCTTCCGCCCAAGGCGGAATCGGCGATACAAACGCAGCAGTACAATCATATATTCAACAGCAGTCGAGCGCATCCATCGCGTCCCTATTGAATAATATCAACGGTGCACAGGGCAACCCAACACAGAATGGGATTTTGGATGCCCTGGCTGCCGCACACTCGGGCCAGGGCTCCTCGGTCCAGATCATGAACTCCTTGCTCGAGCAGCAGCAAGCAGCAGACGCCGCGGCGCTGGCAAACCTGGCGGCATATGATACCTCCCAGCCAGTCAACGTTGGCGCAGAAGCGCATACGGATCCGGGATCCGTACCGGCCAGCCACCACGATGCCAACCACGATGCCAGCCCGAACGCCGACCAGGGAGGAGGACCTCCTGAGCCGACAGCCTGCGAGTTGGCGACAGAGATGCTTCTGGGAACCTGGAGGTGGGAAGACGAGGCGCCGCTGATCGACCTGGGCGAGGCATATGTTTCTGAGCAGAAGGAGTTCACGTTCGCGGCGGACGGCCAGTTCACATATACCCGGATCACCGGTCCGGCCCGGGGTGATCGGGCGACGGGCGCGCGGGACGGTGTTGGTGGCCAGTTTCGACTGTGTGAATCCGACGAAGGCGTGATTCACCTGGCGGTCTTGGACGATGTTACTCAGGAAGTGGAGGTGCAGCCGATCGAGCTGAGCCAGATGGTCTTGGTGGTCAATGAGAAGACATATTATAAGTCAGGCGAGTCTGCGACGCCTGGTAATGTCAGCGTAGACGACCTACTTTAGTCAATCCACAAAGGGACCCATGACAGTCAGTTCGGTATAACGTAACAACGCACTACTTTTCGCGAGTCTATGAGTAAAGTTTTACAGATGGCCATCTCAAGAAGCTTTTGAGAGTCACACGACCTAGGACTACTTTCAAACCATGGCACGTGAGGAGCAGCTCCGGGTGTTTCAATCATATATGCATCAATGTTGAGTAGAATAGGTTCTAGCTAGACGAAACCTCTTCGCTATCAGGTTAGGCTATGTGTGTCAAGGAGTAATCTTGTATTATTACTCATGGTTCTCAAGACTTAGCCATGTGTAGGTGGAGGCGTGCCAACGACGGAGAAGTTGAAGTTCGGGTTATCCACACCGCCATCCGGCTTCCAGATGGACGCATAAGGCGCGTAGAAATCCCAGTTCGAGCTCTGTGGGAAAGCATGCAAGTTAGCTGACAGGCGCATATACTTGCGGTTCGTTTCACTTACAGTGTTAAGACCAAGTTCGGCCCATGCGAAAAGACCGGAAGATATATCGCTGCCCAGGACGATGTAGTCGATGAACGGGTCATACTCGGCCGTCGCACCGTACCCAGAGAAGAGGTCCTCTACGTTAGGGGTCTGTGGAATCTCGTTCGTGTTATAGGGCGCAAGCGCCTCAACAATGTCGATGAGCTTTTGGTCAAAGAAAAGCTGAGACAGGTGAGCTACGACACCCCCCGTGTACGTTCCGTTGTCAAGAACTATACCGCGTTAGTGGCCAAACTCTTTTTGGGTGGGGTGTAAAGTCAAGCGAGGAGAACGTACTTTCAGACCCGACGTGGACAATGATGTGCTGGTGGGATGCGCGAGCCTCGTAATGTCCGGGGAAGATAGTATCAAAGTTTACGACTCCCTCCACGTCCGTGGGCTGGACACCACGCAGGTAGGTCGAGTCAAGACCTCCCTGACCGTCGGCACTGACGCCGCTGTACTGGCCAGTACTGTTGCACGACCAGATGTCGACTAAAACATCAGCCGGCTCGCACGTGTTGACATCGATGAACTGGAACTCAAGGTGTAAGGGAACACCCTGGAGGTCCTCCGCAACATCCTCACGGATGAGCTCCTGGTAGACAAAATATGGCCCATTGGCATTATCGGGAGCAAGAACACAGCTCGTGTTGGACGCGAAGAGCTCTTCTGCGGGCGTGTCCCTACTGAAATCGACGATGCCGGTCTTGTTGTGATCGACAGCGGCCCACTTTGCGAAATCCGTAGCATCTCGCCGGTGAAGAAATGGTTCTGTCAACTATAAGTACTGGATCCTTTGAGTTGCCACACATGGTGGGGTTTCTGCCTTACCATTTTTGAGAGATCTCTTCTGGCGCAAGCCGTCAAAGGTGGCCTCCCTACGAGCAATCGCGCGCTGCTTTCTTGCCTTCACCTCGGGGCGCGCGTTGCAGGCTTCAAGTGCTCTGGCATTGACTGACGCAACCGTACGGGCGTTGGCGGCCTCTTGCATGCGCTTCTCGTGGCCCTCGCCAGGGTGGGCTGCTGCAATGGAGGCAAGCGAAAGCACAAGGCCGGAAGTGGCCACAAATTTCGAAGAGAAGATCATACTTGGTACTCGGAATGTGAAGCTGGTACGATACGGACTGTCAGAAACACTGTTAGTCTTGTCAACCACGCACGTTCAGAAGGTCCCTTTTATATGTAGCACGACCGCTATGGCGACCTTCCGAAAAATCTCTAGACTGTACCAGATGGAGTTGATGCCGGACATAACAAGCCGAATGATGAACAAGACTTAGTAGCCGAACTGCTGAGGCGTGCAGAGTCGAACCACATCGTGGATACTATTCTGCATGGGATGCGGTGTATAATGATACTCTGTCAAGGTACGAACAGGTTCCGTCCAATGTTGCACCAATTGCCGTGGTTCCAAGGTTACATTTCCACGCCAGGGCCCAGTGCGGACAAAGAGTTTGGTCAGCACGGCCTCAGGGATAACTTTCAAAATATGCATTAGACAGTCTTGGCCATGCGGAACCTCCCTCCACGCGCTTAAGCCAAGGCTCAAGTTGAAGTATTTGCAGATCTCACCGCAATGCGAATCCAATAAGGAACAACGCTCTGGTATAGTGGGGTTGCAGATGTGTAACGGATTCTAACCATATATCAATCACCTTACCCGACCACTGCATTCCGGACCCATGTCAAGGCGCTTCTTGGTCCCCAAAAATCTTCTCATTGTTAGATTTCCGCAGCAAAAATATACATGGGAGCCAAACGAACCGGCACTTGGGAACGGAGTTCGTATTGTTGAAAGTGGTTGTGTTCATTAACATCTTGCTGTTCGTAGATGCTGTGTTCCATCGAAAAGTAAGATTGTACGAAATTGAATATATGAAATTAAACCTATAACGCTTTTCATGCTCCAGTAATCATCAGTTCATGCAACTTCGGATAGCTTGAGGGCTCCGGCCGCGGTAATCGTCCGACTGATTCGATTTCGCTGATTTATGACTGGCTATAGAGAAGCAGGGGTCGCGAAATTCTCCACATCATATATTGCGACAGAGCTAAAAAGGATTGCCATCCTTGGCCGGGTGGATCCTGTTATCGGCGGTGGGACAGTGGGTCTCAAATGGGAAACAACAGTTGACGCGGTGGCAATGACTTTGCTGGCAACCTGCAGTGTACTGCTGTGCCTCCTCTTGAACGTACACAAACCACTCAGACCGTAGCGGTTTCTTCCATGATGCTACAGATGATTGTGAAAGTTTCTTGCCCACTCTTGTCAAATGTTCAATGATTCCTAGGCATCACCATTGGGGGACGAGGTTCTTATATGTCACTACTAGGCATGAATCAAACACTTCATGTGGACGTTTTAGGCAGCCACCTTGCTTCTTAGGACGACTGAAGGTATTCTTAAAGGTATCTTGAGCAATGAGACTTATTTACCAGTCATCCTAACAATATGTCTTTCGTCCTAGGAGTCAAAGGAAGACAACGTTTATTTGCGGACATATTCTGAAGAAGAACCAGCCTGACCGCCAGTAGGTATATATACGAGGAGAGCCATCTGGTTTCTGCAATCGTCTGGTAACAGTAACCCAAAAGATATATGATCACAGTGTTGTTCGGGTCATGCTTTTCCCATCCGATATCTTGAGGTCAAGTTGCTTTGAAAACGAAGGACAATGGACCTTTGTCCTGAACACCAGGTTAACTCGACCTACTTTTGGCAGACGTAGCATCCTTAATACCTCCTTCCCACACGTAAACAGCACTATGTTCTAAGTCTATTTTGGAGTAGGGTAATAGTATACCAGCTTCAATAGCCGACCCTCATTAATTATTGCAACGAACTCAGTCGCCATACGGTGCTTATAGACTTAAAGAAAAGAACTCCCTGATCTCTCTTTATTTTTGAGACTTTAGGTATCACCTCTAAAAATAATTCATGCTTCTCGGCTAGGTGCTTATCAGATAATACTTGCAGCTCGTACGCAAGTTGCCACATACCTCTTTGCTCGTGAACTCAGCACTTCTATCTGGTCCATCAATTGCAAGAAATTTGTCCTAGAAACTTGCAGTATCGATAACCGGCTCAAACACCCAAAGACGACCTTGAGTCAAGAGCCCATCATGTGTAGGTCTCACCTTCGTGAAACAACATCTTTTGTTAGAAGTGAGACTGTGCTTAACTCCTGGGCGATGAAAACCACTAAAGATTTTTTTCTGGGAAACCAAGAGGCTGTATATCCTCTGACTCTGCCACCTATGGGGTTATTGGTTCATTGTAGAGAATCTCTCTGCTGAGAAAGTATCACCGAATATAGCGAGACTTACACTAGAGCCTGCGTCTGGAAACTTCTTCAGAGCTGAGCTCGGTGTTGTTTGAGACGACAAATATCACTGCTTGTGAGGTTTCAACCAGATGCCCTTGAACTAGCGTCTTAAATTTTGATTTTCAAAAGCTGATTTGAAAATTTCCAAAAAGAACAAGAGAAAAAAAAGGGAGGTTTTGGAAGCAGATAATTTCCATGCGTACGTAGTTCCGCTTCTTATATGCATTGGTAGGATCATTGAGGAGAAGCATAGTTGACGGTTCAGAAAAGTTTGCGTCGCGGCTTTCTTTCAAAGAATCTCGCTTTCATTTTCAACAAACCTTGTATAAGCACATTCAAGATTCTGGATAAGGTCAAACCTTTTCCACAGCGTATTTGACATTCTTGAATCTCAAGTAAGGGATCAATGATCAATTGGCCTTGATACTGCGTGAGCTCCTGTAAAGCCTTGTCTTTATCATCATGTCCATCTTGATACATTTTTCAAGACGAGACTTAAGATTTGCTATGTTACTAGAACGATTAGACATGGTTTGTACAGGAAGATCAGAAATATCTGATGCCTACATTAGCAACACCCAGATTTTGCGTTCAATGAGGGGGGCTGAGACATGAGAACATCGAGGTTTGCGTGGGGTTTAGCGTACCCTTGCGCTATAAGCGACGGCACCATCCACAAACACCATCCAACCGACAGCCGTCATTACTCTGTCATGCATTCATATCTTCTAACGTACACGAGGCTGTACATGCATAAAGCAATCCTTGAATAATATCATTTAAGCAAATAAACATTTTAATGGCTCTTTGTTCTCTCTCCCTTTTCTTCCCTTCATCTTTTTTATACATATCCTTTAATCAATAAGTGGCACTGCTTGTTGTACGGCAGTCTTGGATGCGACAAACTCCCTGACACGCGATCTCAAGGTAACCGTCAATCATCTAATGATTTCTTTCTACCTTCACTTCCAAACCGGCAGGACGGAGAGTGAACCCAGGATTTTCCACCTTGAAAGGTTTTTCAACTGCGAGGAACCTGAAGTTTCTAATGATCTCGACCAAAATCGTCTTGATCTCAAACAAGGCAAATTGCCGACCAATACATATGCGTGGACCATTCGAGAAGGCATTGAAGGCATAGGGAGATGTCTGTTTATCAGTCAATCGGCTCCAGCGTTCTGGAACTACATATTCCGCGTCTGGTCCCCATATTGTAGGGTTGAGAAGTGTGACCGAAGGACAGAGGTCGACAAGAGTCCCCTTAGGTATACGTATGCCCTCAATCGTCAAGTCGACATCGGCCTCGCGATGATATGTTGTTGCTAATTTAGGTTAAGACAAGACCAAAGTTCTCACCTATGTTGGGTAGTACTGACCTGGAGAGTAGACGCGGAGTGATTCCTTGACAAAGTTTTCCAGGTAGGGCAGTTTATCGATTTCTGCGAACGTTGAGTTTATCGGCAGCCCTCTTATCTCTTCCCGCAGCTTGTCTTGGATGTCATGGTTCGTTGCCATGATTAGACAACTCCAAGACAGCATATTTGCTGAGGTATCATGTCCTGCGGCCATAAACTCTAGAAGCTATATGGTCCCAAATTAGCCGAGACAGCCATAGAAGAGCATTTGTGAGGTTGAAAAAAAACCTACGTGGCCTAAGAACTCCTTTTCGCCTATACCTTGAGCGGAACCACCAGGCATACTCTCCTCGACAATGAAGGTAACCAGGTCTCTTGAGTCCTTATGCTCGTAATTTCCGGCTGCCATGGCAGTCGAAACATCACGATAACGGTCTCGTATGATGTTTGTCAACGCATCATTAAGCCAGCTCATAGCGAAGAGGAATTCTTGGTTTGCTTTCAGAGGCAGCCAGCGGGTAGGAATGAATCCATTGAAGAACAAAAGCAATTTTCCAATCGGACCAGGGGCGAAAAATACATCACTACAGCATCTGATGTCAGCAATCACATCTTCATGATAGGTCAGAGGCCCTTCAACATTATTGTGAAACAGCCATAAACAACTGAAGGTCTCTTATAGGCAGTATGCGTTCCACAGACATGCTGAAAAGGGTAAAAAGTAATCCCGAAACTTTTGCTTACTAAGCTTCATGAAAGGTGCAACCATGTGAGAAAGCACCATTTGTGGTCTTGTTCCGGGCCTCATCCGGTTTGACATAGTCGAGGTCGACACCAAGGATAGCAGAGCCCATGATATCAAGAATAGCTTTCGAGAACGTGTCAGTACAGTCAAAGGTGCCCGTCCTACCATCGTTCTTCGCGATATTCTTTTCAAAAAAGCGGCATATATCTTTGGCTTTGTCCTGGAATATGGGCTCAAGCTTGCGAATGTTCTTCAACTGGAATGAGTTGCCAAGCATTCTCCGGTGCGCTTTATGCTCATCTCCCTCCATAAGAATAAGGCCATGACCGGCAACCTCCTTGACTATCCGAAGGAAAAATTTGGCTTTCGATAAGGAATAGCATTGCGCTTGTAATACCTCTTTGTGAGAATTGATACTGTTAGGCACCAGAACTTCTGTATTGGCAAACGAAAGGTACCTGATGAACGGCGCATCGGGGTACTGTTTCATCCATTCAATGTAAAGGGTGGTTGGAGTGTCTGCCCTCAAAAGATGGATTGTTTGTCCCAGAAAGAAATGGTTATTCTACCCGGGCCCAGTCAGTCATCCATTTCCAGAAGGGTTTCTTTTTACTGACCTGAGGTCCCGGCAGATGACGCAGTGGCGAGATGTGATGAGGATAAATAAAGATACGATAATATTTGAAGGCCAGGTATTGGACCAGGACGAGGGGCCACAACTGCGCAACGCGAAAAGAAACTGTTTCAGCTGACGGACTGTCGACTTGCTGCCGCGATCCGTTATACACCAACAATTCAAGGATCGCTAGTACTGCACATATTAACAAGTCCATATTCTAGGCGCAGAGCACTGAATTCTGTTCAGCGTGTGCATTCGTATATTATCAGTACGTGATTGGAATCAAGCGCAGCTATTTTCGTGCTGCAAGGACTCGGAGGGGACGCTCAATTTTGGTGTTGTACCTCTTCTTATTGACCAGGAAGCTGGGGCATGTGCCTATACATAGTACATGGTCAAAATCGTTGTTCTTCAGCTGGCCAAATGTGTCCTGTTTCGCACTGTACACCATTACATATCGCATGCAGCTGTTTCTTGAATCTCAACGATCGCGTCAAATGGCACTGCGGCCCGAATCCTGGTGGACATAGTGCCGGACCTTTTGAATTCCCAGGTCTAACAATCCTTCACGGGCATCCTGATATTCAAACGCCCCGGAATAACTGACAAGTCCTTGGTAGCCGACGAAGGTTGTGTACCTTTCATGACGTGAGATTCATATTTTCCACTGTGCTGGTGAACCTGCCTAGGGTCCCTTGGAGGCTCCTGCATTAGCGACCGTTGCTCGCTTTGGCGAAGCAGGATTTCGCTAGTCGGTAGCCCTGGTACCAATCAAACCAGCCCCGACGAAACGAAAAAGCAAATAGCAGAGCAATATCACAGGTCATACCGAGCTGCAATCCACAGAGCACATCATGTCCTTACCGAGGAGGGCCAGTTTTCAGACAGCCTCTGCAGCGGAGCCACTTCCCGCCTCCTACCAGGCAGAGCAACCAGCATTTGCACGGAACTTCATGAAGATGCGACAGTCACATCACTATGTGATATGTGATCAAAACCATTAACTTGTTGTGCAAGCCGAATTCGGGTTCAGAGTTTGCGTAACTTGAGATGGTCGCTCCCCTCCCTCTCCCTCGTAGAAGAGGGCTATTCTTCTAGTTTTGGATTCTTGCTTCTGACGTACGGTATCGACCTTGGAGCTGGCATTTGGGACTTTTGTTGATTGACAGCGGCAGGCATCCATTCATACTTGCGTGCACCACAACCGGCATTATGCTGCGGCAGGGTTTTCGAGCGGCGGCGAGTCCTTCGGCTCTTACCGGACAAGCATTGATCGATCTGGCCTGGATTCAAGAGCCTATCGAGGTGAAGGGCCTCTCATTGGCGCTTACTATCATCACTATAGGTCTTCTCGTCTTGAGCGCTACAGCTGTAGGGCTTCGAGTCTATGTTCGAGCTTGGTTATTGAGAAAAGATAGAATTTGGGGACTTGACGATACATTTGCTGTTCTAAGCTTTGTAAGTTTGTGACAACACGGTGGAGTACATCCATTGCTTATTGACTTGAGTCTGCAGTTAGTATTCATCCCTTCTTGCGTATATGTAATACTTGCCGCAAATTATGGATTAGGAACCCCTGATGCCGAATTGACAGATCCGACGAAGGCGCGTGCTGCCTTATATATGGGCTATTGGCAAATGCATTATGCTGTCTCAGTCAACTTAGTCAAGGCAGGCATTGCGATCGCGCTCTTGCGACTTACTATACAACGGCGCTATCGATATCCATTATGGATGATTTTGACAGCACCGCCACTATTCACATTTGGGGTTATTGTTGTGCTGGTTTCCACCTGCCGTCCAGTTGGTGCTCAATGGGATCTAAATCTCGGAACCTGCTCCACTCACGTTGTTATGGCGCAGTTGAGTTACCTCTTTACTGTGTTCACAGTAATACTTGATTGGGCTTGCGCCATTATCCCATATCTCTTATTAAAAGACCTCCCAATGAAGAGACATGTGAAGATATCTTTGATAGTCGTTCTCACAATGGGAGGTTTTGCGAGTTGTGCAGCCATCGTTCGAATCCCTTACCTGAAGTACTATCTCATCACGGAGGATCAGCTGTGTAAGTAACTCATCGATCAGCGTTTTATTCTACAAACCAGCATACCCTTTGAAAGCCCATCCGTACTGATCACAATGGTTGTTTTCAGACTACTTTGCCCATATTGTGCTATGGTCAACCATTGAAAATGGCATCGGTATCATTGCCGCCTCTCTCCCACCTATTCGTAAACTCTTCAGCTTCTATAGAGATACGCATCGGGAGTCAGATCCTGTTGAACGGGGAGGAGCGGTCGAAACCATCGGTGGGACTCCTTTGACACAAGCATCGGTAACTCGGTTGCGGGCCTTGGGTCCGAGGCCATCTGGGTATACCAAAAGCGGTAGTCGACAGTGGAGTCAGCTGGATAGCGATAGTTCGAGTCGCGAACAAATCGTGCATCCACAGAGGAACTGAACAAGCATAGACTCATGATGTATCATAGGTGCAGCTGTCATTTAGCATTTTCTCGGCACCTGTTCATTCCGATACCCAATTTGTCTGGTGAGCTATACGTAATATCAAGCTGTTCGAAACTATTTACACAGCTACAGTCCTATATTTCGTGCATTTTAACACCATATGACAAAGAGAAGTCGGCTGAAAAGCCTACCTCTCCATTTGGCTTACTGTAGTTGTTCATGTTGGAAAGCATCAATTATATTTACTTCAATATACATTGAACGCCTCCCGGACCAGTACCAAGAATAAATTATGAGACCATGAACATCCTGATAAGAAAAAAGTAGAAAATTCATTTTGAGGCCCTGAATACGTCCCAGAATCACCAACTTAGTCAGGCGGACGCTCCGTCTGTTACGTGCACGTGCTTACCCCCTTTTTTGTGTTGGCTCTTGCTGACGGTCCTGCGAACCTCCGACTTACCATTTGAATGCGAGTGAGATGTTACCGATTCCTGGTATCTTTCGAGCTCCCTGCACTTTGCTTCGTATCTTTCTATTGCGTCATCGCGCTCCTTGTCGGCAGCATCGCGAGCTTCAATGGCCTTCTCCTTCTGCTCACGTGCGTCAAGTAGCATCTTCCGCAGTGTCTCATGATCGGACTCTAGGATGTTGTAGCTTTCCTGGACTGCTATCATGGAATCATGAATCTCCTCGTATCGTGTTTCGCTCTCACGCAAGCGCTCCGAAGCGCTTTCAGATCTCTCGGTCACAGCGCTCATCTCTGCCTTCAGGCTATTGATACTGGATTGCAGCTTTTCAGTGAAAGACTTGAGGTCGCCGAATTTGCGCAATACTTCGTCCCGTTCGCTCTCAACGAGTGTTAAACGCTCAGTGAGGCTAGAAATCTCTCCGGTTTTCTCCGTGTGTGAAGTTTCCATGCGATTCATAGAGTCTTGAAGGACAACAAGCTTACGTTGGTGCTCTTGAGATCTTTTGCTCTCAGTCTCATATTTGTCTGCCATTAGTTGCTTTTCTTTGTTGGCTTGGCGCAGCTTTTGGTTGATCTCGGCAAGGATCGCCTGAAGCCGGACTTGCTCGTCTTGAAGTTGGTTGGTGTGTTTTTCGATTGAGGTGTATTCATTCTCGTAATGTTTGCATTTCAGCTTCCACTCCTTGGCTGTTTCTTTGGCATCGTCCGCGGCTTTCTTGGATTCGTCCAATCTGCGCTTGAGATCCGCAACCTTCCGCAAGGACTTCTCCATGTCTTCTTTGTGTGTCGAAGTGGACGTCTTCAGAACCTCTAGTTCAACCAGAGTCTTTTCATTTGACTCGGACATCTCATCCACCTGTTCTTCAAATTGACCAATTCGAGTTCGGAGGGTTTCGATCGTACTCTCCATGACCGAAATCTCATGTAAAGTCTCATGAGCCTTGGCTGTAAGCTTTTCTTCTCTCTGTGCAGCTAATTGTAATTTCATCTGCGCGGCTTCGTATTTCTCCTTGAGCTCAGCGTTGTTGCCCTGGAGGACAATGAATTCGTTACTCATTGAGTTCAAGTCACGACGGTATCGATCCGCAGTTTCTTTTGAGACCTGGAGTTCCTCCGTAGCGGCTACAAGATTCAACTCGGCCCGCTTCAGCGCCGCTTTTGTTTCCTCTAGCTCTGCACGGAGTCGTACATTTTGTCCGTTGGCAGTATTCAACTCGCGACGTATGTTGTTGTTGTCAAGATCACGAGTAGCAAGCTGTCCTCTTAGCTCAATGATGAGAGCATTGGAGGCATTGAAGTCGTCCTTTAGCTTTTTGTTCTCCTTTTCCTTTTCTCCTAGCTGAGAAGTAAACTTCTTGATCTCCACATCTCGCTTGCCAATCTGTTCTTCAAGGTGATCAACTTGTTCTCTCATGAGTGCCCATGCTGAGGCGTACCCGTCCCGCTCAGCAATCTATTTGGGAATTAGTCGATCAGTTTCCGACGCTGCCATTGTGAAGCACAAGGAAACAAGCTTCTGTACTTACCACTTTTGTCCAAACCTCTCTCAGGGTCGAACTGTGGTTTGAAATTGTAGCCATGAGACTCGCTAGAGCCTTGAACTCCACCTCACCTTGCTGAGTCAGTTCGCTAGAATATTCGGGGTTGCCCCAATGGGTGAGGCCTCCGCTCATGATTCGACTTGACATGTGCCGGGTGGTGTAAGTGCTTCGCATGGAGCCGGTTGGGCTGGAGGCACGAAAATACCCCTTCTTAGACCCAGATGTCGCCCTGAATGATGAAGAGTCCATAATATCACCAGAACTTACGGCCAAGCCGTGGATATCCATCTCAGACATACGGTCCATATTATTCAGGTCAAATTTACCCATCTTCTTGTCTAGGATGCCGGGGGAGATCTCCGGGATTTCCATAGCTGATGGAGCCATGGTGACAGTTTAACAGTGGTTGACTCGAGGAACTACAAAAAAGTAGAAATCTGGAATTTGAGTGAATGCCTAGCTGGTGGAATTTTGCCAGGATGAGTGAAGGAGTTTGAAATTGGTCAGAAGGCTCGCGAATTATATCCTTCTGGCATTAATCGCTACTGGGAAAAATTAGGTGGTCGTTCAAGCGAGTGGAAAACTGCCGAAGAGATGGCTGGGACGATCCTCATGTTCAAAGTTCGACCTTGCATAGTTCCTCGATAATTCCAACTTGTTCAACGTCATATGTCACCATTCTGTTGAGGGGCTTTACATGGTAGGGATTCATCTCAAACTATGTAAGCGGGTTCAGCATTAATTGGACCGAGATGCGGAAATAGCCATCAAACCATTGAGTACTAGGCAAAGTATCTGGATCCAACCATAGGTCTCCACTAGCTATGCTTGAAAAACTTGCAGCATTTCAAAGGCTGTTTCGTTCCCTCATCAGTTGCACGCATTTTTATCAAGCACATCAATATCTGGTACTTCATCAGAGTTCGGTCGGCATACCTGTTCTTGTTGAAATATAAGTAGTGTATGGACTTACTTAGGTTAGAGACCATAAGGATAAGTAACCAGCGATGCTACATCTTTTGATGTAGTGTACTATACCACAGCATCATAGACTTGGTTATTAGCGGTAACTTTGTTTGCTGCATTGTTTCGTGCTGTCGGACCACTAAGCCGAACTTTGTTTTTCAATCTTTCATGAGCTAGGACTACTTTATATGCTTATGCGTTGACGAGGTACTGATAAGGCACACAAGAGTTTACCGCTTATTGATGATATGCATGAAGTTCTCCGTAGTTTCCTTACCACAGTAAATGTTGCACGAGCTTGCGTATGGGAAAAGTGGACAAGAAAGCGCACTACGTCTATGCCTCCTCATGATCGTACTTCATGATCTGCAACCATTCATTATTGCATTCCTTGTTACTATAAAGAGCGGCAACTGTGCTGAAGAACTCACGGGTTCTGAGGCTGCATATCTGCCCGGAGTATAGGCTATATATAATGAATCTATGGAAGTTTTAAGTGTCGACATCTTCAGACATTCTTGCTCCAAGTTACTGATGCGTCTAGGAAGAACAGATAGATTAGGAGGGGATCCAGAGATAGTAGCAGTTTGCCATGTTAGCATAGGCCGTTGTGGTCGTAATTAAATTTAGTGAGTTTATAGTTAAAGACGGAAGGGAGCATGTCGGGATTCTTCTTGGCGTAGTTTGCTCGCAAACTTATCATGGTTTAAAGAACTATGACAGGGATGATAATGTCAATTGACGTAAATAGGTTTGCAGTCATGTATGATATCACACCTAGTCTAAATCGCCGAGTCTAACGGGGGAAGTAATTGAGTAGCTGCGCATTGTTTTGTGGAACGGTCTGCTTTGCTTACAAATGATGCATACCAAAAATTCAACCCTTCAACATTTCCCCAATCACAATTGGACGTCGACTAATGATGAGGATCACATTAATATAACCCCATTGATGTTACCAAGTGAAATCAGTTGTTATAGCGTCGAATCTTTGTGTGCAACGGTACATAGTAGCAGTATGCACCTTGAAAGCATGCCGTCTGACTGGTAGACTAAGCCACTAGTTCTGCTTGAGTGCGGATTCGAGTTCGTCAATAGGTCTTGGGGAGTTACGAAGCAATTTCTAGACAACCTTGCATCGCGCTTGTTCTGCATCTAATGAAGTATCCTTTAGCAGATCTGTCTCTAAAGCTTCCATAATGGACAAAACTGGATTCGCTCAGCTTGTTGTGTTAAGAGAAGTAAATGCAGCATCTGGCAATGTTGTTCCCTTCTCAAGCTGATCCTATAGTCAAAGTCAAAAATTCCAAGGCGTGCGGACCGATCCATAAACCCATCGTACCAGCCGAAACCCCACGCCACCATGATTCCCCAAGTTTGCTCCATGAAACATCTCGTCATACTCTAACTTGACTGGATTATAAGGACTTACATCTAGTCGATTTATAACACAGTAAACCACAGATGGAAGCCCGATGCAGCAATTTGTCGAGCTGCCATGAGTAACATATCCGCAGCTCTAGACTGCAATACAGCTACCAAAGAATTAGCACGAATCCGTGGCATAGCTATTTGCACTAGTCTAGGTCCTTGGCGTTCTGATATTTATAGTGCTCATTTGAACATGCACTCAACATCATTGATTGAACAGATCTTATTCAGTCATCTGCCGGCCAAGAACGACTGAATCGCAATAGCACGCTGCGGTTCATTACGATTCTGTTGATCAGCAATGGCTTCTTTGAGTTTAGAAATTTGGAGACAAACAGAACTTCGTCGCTGCCTGAACTCTCCCCAGATCCTTGCATTAGCCATACGTGATATGCTTCACCATTAATGCAGTGGCTTCATTAGTAGCTCAACCCCGCGATCGTCGGGTAGCGGAAGTCGTGCAAGCACGCATCTGCAAAGCCAATCTTTGGTAGGGCCACAGCTGAAGCTCGTTGAAGTCAAAATACGACCTTATTGGATGCTAAAGCCTTCGCGTAGTACCTACGTGCGTTCCAAGCACGATGGGCTGGGCCCAGGAAGGAAGCGGGATAGTATAGTGCAACATGTCTCGCATCAGCGGGGAGCGACACTCGAGGATATGATTGGGTTCGCATATTGTCATAGCGCGCTATAATTGTCCGGGTTTTGCTCCGACGTTGGAGAATCACTAAATTGTGCTGAAACAGAAACCATAATCAATCGCTACCGTATTATTGGCACTCTCAGCTGTTGCCATCGCGAGACCCAGGGACGAACGATAATTGATATTATGGGGCGAACAGCCTTTCGTAGAATATTCTGTTGTCTGTATTTGTATTTGCGATCTTCGCAACGTTTTACTACGATTATCTCCTTGTTGGGTGACTGATATACCAGCAAACCCTCACAATTCAGGGTCAATCATCGCGTTATATGAGTATTTCGTACTGGTCATACGGGAAGCATTGGTGTGGACAGGATATGCACTGGAGCCTTCATGTCTATGGCCTGCTACACGTCACAAGGGGCCAGTAATAATAAGAGGCCGAACATTACTGGTTCCACAATCATTCTATCGTGATAATAGACGCGGTGATCTGCAGTTCAGTGGCAGCTGCAAGAAACCTCACTGTATTAGCCTATCAGGCGCACTTGCTCCCCTCAAACAATCTTCTAACCTTACATACATCTACAATGAGAGAAGTTAGCTTCAGTGGCCCTAAAGGCCCGGAGCGGACCGGCTATTGACCTGCCCTAAATTGTCTGGTAGCCGAACAATGAAGCTCATGCATCTCCGCACGCCAAAGCCACACGGATGGCGTGCTCATTTAGACGTCCTTGCGCTCGAGACTCCAACGAGTCGATGGAGCCACGTTCGACATCAATTTCACCAAGTCCAACATCAGGCTTCAGTAGGATAGGCGACATAAATCCTGTTCCCGACGTCAGCTCATAATGACCATGGTGACCCGCCCCACAGTTCCCGCCCCGCAAGATGATCTGAAAACCGTTGTTGAGAGTCGGACCCGGGAATGGCATTTTCACATCTATTTCCTGCTTCAGTCACCAACCGAGACCGCCGCAGCTCTAGCTCTTCGTGATGCTGTATTGAGACTACGCCGCGATGGTAAGTGATCAGCGCGCAGCATAGTCTACAAGGTCATTCGCTAATGCTTCTCTTGGCAGGAGCATTCGTTGCTGTACCTCTGTTCAGAGTTAACGAGTACCCAATGGGACCACACCCAGCTGGGTCATATGAGAGTAAGTAGAATGAGATTGACTTCAAGCGTTTTATTATACTTCCATAGAAACTTTATGATTATTCAGACAAACTGACAATGTTTTCCCTAGTCTGGGTCCCTGATTCATCATTTTCAGACGTATTCTTCTATTTGGCAGCAAATCGAGGTAGTTTGAGGTGAGTCGCTGTTCTTATTTTACTGCTATATTTCACCCGTCTGTTTCTTGAGACTAATATTGTACAAGTGTTCTGGTCCATCCGCTGACTGCGAATCAACGTATCGATCACGAGACCCGTAACGCTTGGATAGGCACCCCGTGGCCAATTTATTTGGACGTCTTGCCACGTGATGGTGATATCCCACTCCAGTATCCTGAACTGGGTATTGGTTGGTCTACATCACCGAAACACGAGATATCATTAGAGGAGCGACGCAGAAGGGGTGCAGAGGTGGAAGCTTTGTTGGCGGACGATCCGGAAGCTGCCCCAGCTCCTGATAATTGAAGAGGGCTTAGCACATAGTTTTCAATGTGAAGCAGTTACGTCCAAAATAGCAATCTTGGAGTACGTCACTAAAAAATAGCATTATGTCAGTTCCACCTGTGCAACACTTCTGTGTTTTCGATGCATGCTCAATCATCTGATCTAAAGTTACCGGAAGCTCAACGGACTTTCAATCGATACCAACAAATTTCGCTTCTTTCGACATGCCAAACCTAATATTGACACTCAAGGCTATATGCAATCCATACTCTACAACACATTGCCAGCCGCTGAAATCACAGTGCTCTGCATCGATAGAGACATTGTAGGTAGTGTCGGGTAATACAAGCATACACAGCTGATATTGGATAATTTGTAAATATACCAGGCTACGTATAATCAAAATTTAGAATGAGAATCTTACCAACACCAGTCCATGTATGAAAATACTCCCGCGCCGGTGGTTAATCTAGTTTCAACAAAGACTACTTAAATGGAGCCACGGATGTAATCTTGCTCAATAACATATGTTTTGATTTGATATCAATGAACCGAGTAAAGACGGTTACAAGCTTACTCGTAGTCCAGACTCAAACCAACGTGTATATGACTGGATATTTTGAGACCAAGATAAGCAACTTAGTTTGCACGTAGCCATGTCGTGGGATCACAGAACTTCATGCCAGAACATGTTCACAATGATAGGATTCAAAACTAATATAAAAATTCAAAAGAGATGTTTGGCTGACGGAGGCTTTGTTAGAATTTTTCAGCAATGGTTTATTCAGCCCAACCAAAAGCCGATCTGAAAAACGCTGCAGCTTTGAGCTGGTTTCAAAATGCCGTCCAGGGTTTGTTCAAACTAGATGTTCGAGTCGGACCGCTGTCAACATTATCTATGGATTCAACGAACACAACAGCTCAAAAATGAGAATTGGATAAATACGTCTACATTCGAAAGATCGACTTGGGCACGATCATAAACTCGCGAATGGCAGTGTCTGACATCTGGGGGAAATCTCGAACTATAGTCGCGGACGCTCAAGTTCGGGTGGGGACTCTTGACTATCCACCGTTGCCCCACTATCAGCACTCCGATCTTTCTACCTGGACTACCGTAAAGCTGCATTGCTGGCAGGCTTGCCCAGAAGTAAGAGGTTTGTATAAAAGCGGCTGCTTACATGCAGCTACAAATTTTCTGAGTACGGAGTTTCGTGTATGTACGATATGAAATCTGAGACTGTCGGACTTTTGCGTGATGCCACCATGGCCTTCTTTTCGAAGTCGGAAATTTGCAAACAAAGAGGGGCAGCCCCACTATGGTGGTATTATTAAGCATGACGGTGTAGAGATTGAGAGAATGTACGGATTCGTATGGAAGACTCGGCGTGATGAGCCTTTTTTCTTGGACAACATGCATATTAATAGTAAATGGCCTCAGCTCTTCCCATTTTTAACACTGGTCCTAGCTGCCTGGTTCATTTATAAGTAGCTCGTACTGGCACATTAATGCTGCTCGTCTAAACACTTTCAAACCCAACTCGATTATAACAGCAAACATGGCCATCCCTAAGACTTTCAAAGCTGCAATCATGCAGGAGGCTGGTGCCCAACACATTATAGAGGACCGCTCTCTGGCACCCCTTGAGAAAGGTGAAGTCGGTATCAAGATCACAGCGACCGCTATTAACCCTGTTGACTGGAAAATGCGCGATTACAAATTCTTTCTCAGCGAGTTCCCAGCAGTCGCTGGCTCTGATGGAGCCGGCGAAATTGTTGCCGTTGGGCCTGAAGTAGACGGTCTCGTCGAAGGTGACAGAGTCTTCTTCCAGGGAATCATCGGAAAGTACGACTATTCAACTTTCCAGCAATACTGCAAGATGCCCGCGGCTTTGGTCGGTAAGACGCCTAAGAACATCACCGATGAACAGGCTGGAGGCATCAGTCTTGCCACTGTCGCCGTCCTCACGGCATTCTACGACAAGGCGACGGGTCACGGTCTTACTCCGCCGTGGGATAAGGACGGCAACCAGGTTGGAAAGGACAAGGCGATTGTGATTCTTGGAGGAAGTTCTTCCGTTGGCCAATACGCAATTCAAATGGCAAAACTTTCAGGCTTTTCAAAGGTCATCACCAACTCAAGTGCTGCCCACGAACAGCATTTGAAGAGCCTGGGTGCCGATGTGGTGCTCGACCGCTCGAAGCAGTCAGAACCCTCGGACTTTGCCTCCGCGGTCGGCGACTTGCCATTGGCCTTTGTCTTTGACGCTATCTCAGCCAAGTCTACTCTTTTGCTTGGTGTCAAGATTGTTCAAACGACCAAGACTCAGAACACATATGTCTACGCAGTGCAGATGAACGCCGACGAGGAGGTGAAGAAACTCGGGGAGCAGGAGCCCAAGACTTCGGTCAAACCAGTGCTTGGCTTGGGCAGCAAGCCAGAATTGCGATATTTGAGCGAGGCATTGATGAAGAACCTTGGTGGTGAAGATGGCTATATTGCAAAGGGGCTTTATAAACCTAATCGCCCGGTTGTTGTGCCAGGTGGTTTGTCAGCCATCGAGACGGCACTAAAGAGGAACAAGGACGGCGTTTCGGGCGAGAAGGTAGTCATTAAGCCACAGGAATCTTAGGTGAACTCTGGACGCCGTGCAAGTTTTGTTTTTCGCGGACCTGCACGAATGAGCTCAGTGCAAGTAGTTAATACAGTAAAATTGGTATATCGCTAGCATTCCCCGGCATGATTTTACGATGTCGGTTGGACGCCACGCTACATGCCTATCCGGCAAATTCCGAATTCGAAGTTGCATTTTTGTACATCTCCGATATGCTTTATTCATAGTCCTTTGACTTTTTCAATATTCTCTTTCGGCGTCATATTGCTGATGCTTTTTCAGCGCCTCGTCGGAGTGCTTTCCGAAGTACGCTGCAACCCCATAAACCATGGTACGTCCTCTTAAACCCTCGGTTTCAGCCATGTCGACCAGGGCATCAACCAGTCGCGGATTTCGAAGATCAACGCTGCGCAAGCCTTCGCGCGTACTGATGAATTGGATGTAAATTCCGTTGTTGAAGTCGATACGGCGCTCATATTTCCCTGATCTACTGCTGATGTAGAATGCGACGCTCTCATACTCTCTACGAAGTTCATTCAGTGCGCCAGCACACTGTTTTCTGTATCGCTCTCCCATACTGATTATTTCAATTTAGCAGCGATGACCTAAGCTCTTTTTCTGTTCATATTGGCTTATTCGCTTCATGGCCTACCCCTGGGAATGAGCCCCCGGTTTTAAGGGTCTTCCCTATCAAAATCTTTTGTCTCCATCTTGAAAGACCTTAACTGCAAGAAAGAGCTCTAGTGTTGTCAACTCTTGTCAGTAGTCTATTTCAATGTCTCAGGAAGCCTATGTTTAGATTAAGATTAAGATTAACAATCCTTAACAAAGAACTCGTTGTCTCTGATCTCGGCCATTTGAAATGTAAGTTAATGGTATAGCTTTAATTCGGTTAGTCGTCTTCTGTTAGTGATTTCGGCAGATCCAGATCTCAGGAATGACGATACTAATTGTACAACTTACAATAAGTGACCCTTTTTTTGAAGGCTGGCCTAACATATATCGTCAATATGTGGTAGCCTATAAAATTTGCTTCAAGACCTTGCACCTGAAATTGCCGAAAGACAGATTCACCGTGTCGATTTCTCAAATTTCGACTGCATGTATAGTCATTAATACAACATTACGAGCAGCATATCTCGCATACCGTCAAATAGAAATCTCAGCATAATTTCCAGTAATGGCAAGACGTTCATGTTCTTAGACGGCAATTTTCTGTCGCGCAATGTCATGTCGTGCGTTTCGGAGATTTCAACAGCTCAGAATATCTTCGGAACATAGGTACAAGGGGATATAAGCACGATAGCTATTTGTATCACTATACTTGGTGCTTTCTCCAGTGGTATATCGCAGCTCGATGGTATACTAGTCCGAATTTACACGTTCATTGTCAGGTTCTTCACTGCTTCCGTTTCGATCGCTGGTCACATTAGGCTTGATTGAAACGTACTCGAGTTGAACAGGCACAACGTTCTACTTCAGCAGAGGACCAGAATCTTGACGGCGCAGATGCGCGGTCGTGTCTGGCGTGAGAGAAATTATCGTGGATAATATTCAGAGGCTCTTATCAAACATTTACCGGCCTTTGGCACAACGTGGTTTTTCTTCGAACACAGTCTGTTCATGGTTTGTCGAGATTCTTTCCAGACTGAAACCGATCAGGCGGACTAGTATAGCATATCACCAACCGGAGAGGAGCCTCTTTTAGTGATGTGTTTGGGTCGGTCGGCAGAACCAATCAAGCGGTAAGTCAACAATTCAGAATAGTGGAAAGCGTCAGCTTGAGCCCTTGTCCGTTACCTTATTTCATTGTCGCGAGCAAAATTTCATTAACAATTCCTTTATAAATTTTTTTGAAGAAATGTGGAGAGTTTCAGAAAGAATAAAACAAGTCATGTGTGGCTATATGCACCCCAAATGAAGAAGCTCTTTGGGACACCACCGAATTTCGTCCTGGTTGCAAGCTCGATAAGGTTCATCTTGAGAAGGGGTTGAAGGATGGCATAATCTGCGATATTGCTCGCTATTTGCCACCAGAGAGTCGGAGGTCCCCTACGTAGCGCACGCGAGGTATACCTTATCGGCGAGGGTACTTGCTGCATGGCCCTCCAGGTAAGCAAAACATTTTTGGCGATTATCAACTCAACGCACCGTAATGGCTGACAAATGATTCTTATATGCACTGGCAAGACAACTCTGGCATTTGGATGACAGGCCACTTTGAACTGCGGCTATGTGTACTTCATCTACCACGCTAACTGGTGACTAACATTTGGAGAACCTCTTCGTAGAGCTTCCACCGAAATGTATTGCTCTAATAGAGGATATTGACGTTGTAGGTCTGAAGCGTGAAGCAAAAGAAAAGTCTTCGTGAAGGGATATTTAGAAGGGCGTAAGATCGAGGTACCTTGCACTCTCTTGGTCCATCTCAATGTGCTTGATGGTAGTACTGCTACGCAGCAAGGAAGAACCGTTCTAATGACAACGAATCATGCCCAAGATCTTGATAGGTGCTCACCCATCCAGGACGTGTGGCCAGTTTTATCTTGGGAACACAACTTTGGAGTCAGGCAGCGACATGTTTTTATGCAAGTTCGCGCCTAGCGGTTCACGCGAAGAGTGACTGCCGATGGGGCTGCAGGACCAGGCTTTCTAATTCGCAAAGCTGTTACAAGAGGAGACTCTCACAACGGTACAACTGCAGGCTTTCTTTCTGACCAATCTGAAGACACCGGAAGTCACGTTCCAAGACTTTCCGGAATGGCTGAAAGAAACATTCCAAGCACGAAATAAGTCTGGAAAAAGACGAAGATGAGCTTAAATAAGCTGTCCAGGAAAGCCCATATGAAAATATTGATTTAATTAGTGAAAGCAGTGAGAAGTCACTTGGCGCCTCGACTATCGATGAAATTGTTGGCGTTGAAAGTCGTGGGTGTGAGAATTTTATAAGACAAGACCGATGCTCTATTAACATTGTCAACTACTTTGGGAAAATGAACATGAGTTGGTAAACAATGTCGCAGCTTTGTCTAGGGAGGTGCACGTTAGGTAGGCAAACAGCGAGGGCTCAAATTCGATTTCTTTGGCGCTAAAATGCGTTCTATTGAGTCAGTGTTACTACTAGACTAGTCTAAGTAGTAATAATGCTGGATGCGAATTTCTTATATACACATTCCCAAACATTACGCTTCTTGAATTATCTCAATTGTAAGTATATGAAATATTTGATTTAGCATTATACACCCGCCCTTTACAATTCATTCTTCAACATGCTCTCCTGTTATCCCGCCGGTCGCCAACTGGGCTTCTTCGGTACATTTGCTTCTGGTCTATTTGTAGCTCTTCTCAAAACACTGCCTATAGTAGGAATATTTAGATATCGCTGTTCGATCACTATATCTCCTGAAACCGATGCGGCTCTGCTTTGTTGAGAGGGTTTACCACTACGGAGTCTCGCTTGACTATTTGGTCGAGTAGACGACGACGGAGAGCTGGGTGACAAGGTATTAGGTATGGTGGACTGTCGACCTTTCTGATAGCGCTTTGGCGTTGCGGGTAAAAGTATCTGCTCAGATTGGTTTTGTACAAGTGTTTTGGGTGTTTCTGGTATGGACAAGGTTGGAGCGAACTCGCATTCCTCTCTATCAAGCTCGGCCTCTGGTTTCCACCATTTGGGCGCACCGGTTGGTGGATTTTGAGAGAAGAAAGTTGTGATACGAATGGACCAGACCAGATCTTTGTGCAGGAAAGTTGCTTTTCTGACATCATAAGCCAGAGTCTGCAACTTTTTGATAAAGACTTCATCGTTCACTGAGCGAAACTCTATAGGTCCAATATACCGTGCTGCTTTCGACCGGCGCACGCAGAGGGCAACACCGTATCCTCTATCCAGTTGGAGTGGTGGAAAGTTTGGCATACCCTGAAATCGGCCCAGTTTGAACGTAACGTCTTCTCTCAGAAGCTCTCTGGTAGTGTCTTTGAACGCCCAATCCATGAACCATAGTTCCTCGTCGGTTATCCATGGGGCAGCAGGGGGGGCTCGATGACCATCTTGTCTCCCAATAAGTACCACTGTGATACCGTTATTAACTACTGAATGTAATGTGATCTCCTTCTTCTTTTCAAGTCCGTTCATGGGTGGCTTGTAGAGAGGTTTCCATATTAGATCATGTTCGTCAGTTGTGGGCTGTCGTGACGTGGTGACCTCAAACCCCGGTTTGGAGCTTTGCGCATCGGTCATCGCGTAATACAGTATCGTTCTTTAAGATACGAGTGGCTTTGGGCTTCCATGTTTATACATTCTGGATGACGGTGCAACTTATAGAGCACGTTCCAGTCCAGACACAATAATGCGTTGGTTCTTCCAAACTTTCTTTATTATTTACATTTTGTCCCTTTACCTGGTCATGTTGACAAAAGTTATGGAGATTTGCGGACGAAAGTTGCCGGTAGTCATTGTTGCAGAACAAAGAATGGCTTAGTGTTGCGTCTTGAGACAGAGGGTAAAGAAATGAGGTTATCCGAAACAATGATGTTTGTCCGGATGCTCTGGCAATTTAAGGCACAGCTATCAAGTCTCACTTCCGTTGTATAGAATAGCTTAATAAAGGCACTGCTATGCATCAAGTATTCAGTGATATTCTAGTGGGGCATGAGAGGAATTTGAGTGGTATGATACAGGACACGTCGGGATAGGACCGCGCCCCAATGGGAGTAACAGTCTACGTATTTGTGCAACTTATACGACAAGAAGGTCTTCCACGGCTGCAAAGGTTCCCGTCGCTGACTGAAAAATTTCCTTGCCGTAGTTAAACGGATAAGCTTCGGTCCCGTGTCGACATTAGCCGCACCTCATAGTCATGCATTCATGCATAAATATACTGCCGTACAGAGGTGTGCGTTTCGGCGGGATGTCGTGTCAAAGAGTGACCCTGCACTTTTACATGCAACCGTACTCTGATTTCAGGCTGATGGAATGAACATTGGAATTCAAGACTAGAAGTACACGTGTACAATCCGTAGCCCTCGCCGCATCACCTACGATATGGTACATTCTGAACCATGTTTATATGCGCCGCTCCCATTTGAGGGCCAACAGGTGACAATGTTGAACCGTAGTATCAAAACCTAGGGCCAATCATCGATAGCTTTCGCCCAAGCCTCTCTAATCGCACGCCAATACCTCTCCGGCTCTCCTCTCATGTGGCCAACATGGCCTGTTCCCTCAAACCTCTCGAGGTCCGTCTGATATCCTCTCTGCTTTGCTTGAGCAGCATGCTCCTCTAGTGCCTGCCACTGGATGATCTCGTCGTGGGTGCCATACAAATAGATCCTTCGTGCCTTTAGACCTTCAAAGTCTGGGTCGTTGACCGCCTTCGTGCTAAACACAGCTGGACTCTGTATCCCTCTCAGATACAGCATGCCGTGCAGTCCAAGAAGGAATATCATTGCAAAGAATTGCGGAATAATCATTGGACCGGGAAACCACGACGCGGCGCCGATCGCCATGGCGCGGGACCAGGGACCGATGTTTGTTCGGACCGAGGTGCTACCGGGTGTCGAGTCGAAGACTGACAAGACATGTGGAAACGTCTTGCCGGGGTTCATTCTTCGATATGCATGGAGGGTTGCCGCGTAGTTGACACCTCCTGTGTTGGACATGCCATGGACGAGTACGCGCTCGCCAGCGCCGGTGAGGGCATTGACCACGGTCTCCATGTTATGTGAACGTTGCTCTAAGGATTGGTAGAAGAGCTTCACCATGGGGCCGAGGATGAGGATAATTTTGGCATTGGGGTATAAGAGCAGATAGCCTAGGATGTACTTGTTCAGGTGCCTTGGAAGAGAGTCGCCCCATGCATAGATGAGGATAGCGGTCGGATCCGTCGGGCTTGACGACAACACATCGCTACGGGTTGCAGGGCGAAGGTATACTTGATTGCTAAGCTTGGTGAACTCTAGAAATGCGTTCGTATCTTGCGTTGAAGTCATTCTGGGCACAGCTAGCAGTCCTGACCCTACTAGAGAATTACTTGTCTTGCCTCCAGAGTAATTTATTATCTTTAAAGTACGGCATATTGCACCTGCACCGGATTGTACGACTTCTTATCATTAATGAACTTCGCGGCGGCGATTATAAGACCGGAGATTTCAATCATACGGAGATTTCGTGGCCTGGCTGCCTACTATGTATGTAATGTTGGGAAACGGTAACCCCCCTAAAGCGTTGAGTCGGTTGAGACTTGGCAAGGCTAAGCGGACAATGTCGATACACTCCACTCTATGAATAGGGACTTGCTATAAAATGAAATGCTTAAGCCTAAACTCATATTAACAAGGGTGACTCTGTTCGGTCTACCCGCGTGAGAGGCGCACAGGACATTGTATGTAGTTGATCGTGTTCATTTCAGAGGGAAAGGTTGCAATGCATTCCCCTGGGTTACAGGTTGACATTGCCTGTAAGTGTATTATTTTACTTTTGGCGGTGAGCTGGTCAAGCCTTTGTAAGCGCTGCTCGTCGCCAATTTCGGGAGCTAGCATCTGCCACTAGGTTAGAGTACAGTGAGTATTGAGTACAGAACTACAGAATAGTTACGTACTCATGTTTCATGATAATTCTTCGGGTAACATGGAAATTTACCAACATGATTTGAACAAGTATGGCAGGCCCGTTTGTGAGCATTCACTTAAAATGAAGCCTGGCCGCTTTGAGGATTTGGCATTCCTACGTCTTGTTTGCCCAATTCGCCATATGATAGGGCACACCTCTCAAGCCTACACAGCAGGACTGTGACTTTGTTTGCAACGACCATCCTTGTGTCTAGAAAGGGCACGCTTTAAGTAGAGCCAATAATATTGTCTCGAGCTGAAAAACTCTCATTAGAGAGAGAGAGAGAGAATTGGAGAGGTATAACATGCGACGTCGCGGATGTAAATTTCTGTGGACAGTCGGACGCGTGGCTGATGGGAAATTACTCCGACCATACGTAGTAGATCTACACCGAGCCGAGTTTCTTGAAGTTGGCCAACTTCGATGAACCAATATCCTATCAAGGCCGGATTTGCTACCTAATTCTTGTACCTGGCCGAGCAAAACCACCTGACGACCGCCGGATGCCGGCGAGGACGGCTCCGTCACACCCCGTAGCGCCCACAAGTCGTAAAATGATCGGCAATGCCTAGACCTGGCGAGAACTTCCTCAGCCAAGGAGCTTTCACCGTTTTTCAAAATGATTGGGTAAGGGCAGACTCCGCAGCTACACATATGCGTCAAGAAGCTGGCAGCTGGACACATCTTGTCGCTTGATGTCTTGCATTGCATCCATGATCTGACGCGGGGTATCAAAATATGGAAGTGTAAATAGAGAACATCCACTCGTATGGCAGCTCGGGTCAGACCGCCAAGCCATCTTACAGAAAGCGATGAAAGGCTCAGAGATTGCGGATAGGGCGGCGCAACAATACACCGCATCTTCGGTGGGCTAAGGGGGGTCCAATGGCTGTATTGTACTAAGGAAGAGGCAATGATCTGCGAGATTGCTCGGGAAGAAAAAAAAACCAACCCGTGAGATTGCGGTTACCGGATCTCAGGGCACATCAATCCGTACGTACAGGTTTGTGATATTCCTTACTGCGCCGCCCTGGGTACTGGCAGAACGGAAATGCAGTGATAGGATTAGGGGTTAGACTTGACAGAGATCCGCATCACAGGTTTCGAACAAGGGGGGCTGCTTAGTGCCGATACCCGCTTCTATTTTTGCTCTCTAGTCTAGACTATTAGCAGAGCGCGGTTAATTAGCGAGTGCTTCATAGGCGCGGCACCGGCACCAGTCCACGGGCGACCAGCGAAGGGTTGTCAGAATTGTCAGAAATAGTCATGTATAGCTCTTGAACAAGACTTCAAAATCGCCCAAGTATTTGTGGCGATATTTAAACAGATCGCTGAGCTGCGATTTAGCTTGTTCAAGAAGTGAGTACTACAAGGCTTCCAGTCTGGCATATATGAGCTGTAGCACAAGCAGGGAGTTCCGGGTTCTCAGACCGAAGGCGAAATGAGATGGTTGCACGAAGACGTTGCAAATCCTCAATTACTAAAAGGTCGATTGTCCTTTGAATAAGACAAGACAACAACAAGAATGACTGACGGGACGTGTTCACACGATACAAGGAATCTTACAGACACTGGTCTCCGACATTGAATTGCAAATTGGTGCGCGCCCTGTAGCAATAATGGAGAGAAGGCAGTGATGATATGTATTTGAGGGGAAACGAAATGTTTGGGGTAATTGCCCGATGGGTTTATGGCCAATAGGCCCGGCCAGTAGTTGCAACGATGATCCCTTGTCGTTAGGCTCAAATATGGTGGCAGCTTAAGTTCAAGTATTTTATATGATGGAATGTGATCATCAGGCTCTGGGCAAACACCAGATAGACAATCACAATCAAGCAATATCTTTGGTCCGCAAAGGGCCATGGACCTCAACAATGACGGCGTCCAAACGAGAGCAGCATTGAAGTCGGGATACCCGTGTTCGGCAGCTACGAAAAGGCTTCCCGGAAGATCCTGAAATAGCGTGGCGTATTAGTTAGTGCAAATGTGTCAAAGTAAGGATCACGCTCAGGTAACTTATTTGCCATCGGTGTAGAATACCTGCCATTCTTTGTCTGCCTTGGCAGGAGCTCGTGGTGCACCTGTCGCTAGATTGTATCATGCAAGTATGGATGGTTTGTGATTCATTCAAGTTCAAGTATACTACGTGTACATGGTTAATGATCACTGCGCAAAGTGATTATGACATGACATGAAATAAAGTAAGTTGACATTCACAGTGGCTGAAGTTGATCGTAAAGCAAGCGCATTGAATGAGCCCTGTATCTGGACATGATGCGAGGATGTCGTTCCAGCGCCCTGGCATTGACAAGGGGCAAACTTAGTTGGGTCCACTGCCTTATGTAGGAGCCTGACAAGCCCGACTTTGAAGATTGACCCGCGAACCATCCTCACGAAAGCGTTGAGTCGTGGACTTGCGAAAGAGTCAGGCAGGTGTACCAGCCCAACGTGTACGATGAGCTGAAGAAGCTTGACAGCAGCCCAACATGGGCATGTGCGACAGAGCAGTGAAATGAAATCGGTTGCTTAGGAGCAAGCTGGACGATCGTTGCAGTTATGAATTCGACCTGAGCCCCCTGGGCCCCTTGAATTAAGTTAGCTGCCTGACTAAGGCCCTCGTCCCCGATTGACTGACGCCTCAAAGCCCGGTAAGTAGAGTGAGTAAGTAAGCAGGTAAGTCACCAACTATCAGAGCTGACCGGCTTCTGTCTGACGATTGATCTTCAGGCTACATGAAATTACGGAGTTCATGTCAACGGGCTTTGCGAGCTGCGGCAACGCGAACAACGTAACAACCAGTAACGCACTGTCTGTCATCCACCCAGCGCATCCACCCACCAAACCGCTTCTAGCCAAGCCAAAACCAACCCAAACCAGAACCAGCTGGAGCCCTTTTCTCTTACCTACCCGCCTTCCACTCTCCTCTCTCCCTTCTCTTACTTCCTCTCTCCCCACGTAATTTACGACATTTCGTCTTCTTCCATCTCTCCTGTCAAGTCAGCTCAGGACAAGAGACGACCCGAAGCTTGCCCATCGAATATTCCATATTCGGCGGCCGAGTCGTTTTTCTCTTGCCAGTCACTTCACTGCTTCCTCCCTTTTACTACCACTAGCATACTGCAGGACACACCCACACCGTCCTTGCATCCAGCTTCCGTCGTCGGGTAAGTCCCTCATCTTCGCTTTCGTCTAGTCTAGTCTCAAATCGTACCATGGAATCTACGTCTCTATGTCCATGTCGACGTCGGACTGACCTCTCCTCACTTCCCCCCCTTCACCACACCGTCACCACCTCAAACCTAAATCACACCAAGACTCGGCCCTGCCCGCTCCTTCTCTCCCCCGTACCAGCTTGGGAGGCAGCTCGATCCAACCATTGTCATCTTGCATCTTCATTTCGTCACAGCCATCTTCATTCACCGAGTGGTCTTCCTTTGGGGATTGGATAGTACTCCGTCTGTCACTGCGGGAGCTCCATGGCAAGGCAGAATTAGGCCTCACTTCCACCCACCTCAGGTTCTATGTGAGGCTGGCCCCCTGCACATCCCCCTTGGTCAAGCATTCAAACCCCACCACCAACGGTCTCCGCGAACTCTGTATCTGCAAACATACGCCACAAAACAAACTGCCTGGTCCATACTGACAAAAGCATCATTAGACACTCCCCCTCCGACCACATTGTTTCGCATCTGCTACAACCCACCGTGGTCAGACTCCCATACACAACCAATCCCCTTTGACCACTCTTCGACGGCAAGCACGCTTGCTTCTACCTAACCGTCACGATGACCACCATGGTAAGTCCCAATTCTTATTTACGCATTTCATTATGGTGCCACATGCTTGCTGTCCTCAACCACGCCCTGTATTTGCAGCTGCTAACACTCATTTCTAGGATCTCCGCGTCGGTAACAAGTACCGCATCGGTCGCAAGATTGGATCCGGCTCCTTCGGTGATATCTATCTCGGAACCAACATCATTTCCGGAGAAGAGATCGCTATCAAGCTCGAGAGCGTCAAGGCCAAGCACCCCCAGCTCGAGTATGAGGCTCGTGTATACAAGTCTCTTGCTGGTGGTGTTGGCATTCCATTCGTCCGCTGGTTCGGTACCGAGTGTGACTACAACGCCATGGTTCTCGACCTCCTCGGTCCCAGTTTGGAGGATCTTTTCAACTTCTGCAACCGCAAGTTTTCCCTGAAGACGGTCCTTCTGCTGGCCGACCAGCTCATTTCGCGTATCGAGTACATCCACGCCAAGTCTTTCATCCACCGTGATATCAAGCCCGACAACTTTCTGATGGGTATCGGCAAGCGCGGCAACCAGGTCAACGTTATCGATTTCGGTTTGGCCAAGAAGTACCGGGACCCCAAGACCCACTTCCACATTCCCTACAGAGAGAACAAGAACTTGACTGGTACCGCCCGTTATGCGTCCATCAACACTCATCTTGGAGTTGGTATGTGTTGCACAGTATCTGATGCCAGTGGAACAAATTACTAATTTGATGCAGAACAATCTCGCCGTGATGACATGGAGTCTTTGGGCTACGTCATGCTCTACTTCTGCCGCGGATCTCTGCCCTGGCAGGGCTTGAAGGCTGCTACCAAGAAGCAGAAGTACGACCGTATTATGGAGAAGAAGATGACGACCCCGACCGAGGTCCTCTGCCGTGGCTTCCCCAACGAGTTCGCCATTTACTTGAACTACACTAGATCTCTTCGATTCGACGACAAGCCCGACTACAGCTACCTCCGCAAGATCTTCCGTGATCTTTTCGTTCGTGAGGGCTTTCAATACGACTACGTCTTTGACTGGACTGTCTACAAGTACCAGAAGAATGCCCAGGCTATCGCCCAGGCTGCTGGTCAGCAGGCTGGAGGTGACGAGGATGAGAAGGCTCGTGCCAGCCGCACCAATGCAGCCACCGCTGGACAGCCTTCTTCTGCTAAGCCCAACGCCATTCCTACCTCTCGCCGCAAGGTGATTGAGCGTGGTGCCCCTGGCGTTGACACTCCGGACACCAACCGTGCCGTCGGTGGAAGCGATAGGATGTGAGTGTCTCGCCAGCCCAGCCCTGTTCAGCCTCCGAATTCCTTGTAAGGAATCTTTCTTTCCTTTTTTCCTTCGCGTTTAGTGTGCTTCTCAACGCTGGCCGAGGGGACCTGCTGACACATTTGCTGACTCAGTCTACGGTAATAGGCTGCGCTCAGCTTCCAAGGGACAGGGTTCAGGATTTGCATCTACATCGTACCGCCCCAAATGATTTGAGATTGCCTGCAAAGATTGTCTCTACCGCACCGTGTTGAGCCGGCAGTAATTACCCAATATTACGACCAACACGAACGCACTCTCCGAAAACCCCGTAGCTCACCGATCTTCTCCACTCTGGCACTGGCGTCAAGGAAGAACCTGAAGCATTCTTTCGGTGCAACGAATGAATGTTTTATTCGTCTTGACACGCTACCAGAAGGTCGATGAAGCACACTACGCGGTACACTTTTCATATCACATGGATCGCTTTCCTTCCGTTCTGCGATGAATTCTATACGACTGTCTAATGTTGCTCGGATGTCCCGGAGCTTTCAAAAATGCTGGTTAGCATTTTTCAAAGCAACTCGGCGATCATCTGAACGGCATGTCCGACACTTTGAGTCGAGCAAAGTGTCTGTTCCACCAGCAGCTTTTGGCAACGTATACTTGGTCTTGAGGATGTCATTCGGGCAGCCTTGAAACAAGTCTTTGAAGAATTCACCCTACGGTTTCTCTGGGGTCTAGTTTACCACGGCCCAGGAACTGTATGGGACTCGTTGCGATGCGTCAGCTCCGTAATGTGGAAATGGTTTTGTTTTTGGTTTCTTTCTTTAATTGTTGTCATGATTTTCGCAGCAAATGGAGGCATAATATCTGACATGATCGACCAGCAATGATGGATGGCATTATCTCTGGTCAGCACGATCTCTACAACCGGTAAGGAGAGGTCAGAGTGGTTGAGAAATCTGGTCTTTGGTACTACTGTTCTGTGGACGTCCCTCGGGGCTACTTGAGAAAATTCATGGTCAAGATAGGCAGACGGTCTCAATTCGACAGTCGGGCTGAGGTTACTGCGATTTGGGGCTGACTGTTCTTATGACACGGGCCACTCCTGTGTACTTGCCCAAGTGGAAGCACTATCACGTTACTCGAGGGCATGGAACATACTACTCGTCAGAAGGCACCTTGCCCATGGTCAACTCTTAGTGCTCGTGTGTTGGTGACGGGATTCCTCTGTACACGATGCCTCCAGGCAGACATACATACTAGCTAGTCTTCACAATTGACGTTTTGCTCCTCCGATCTTGATGACTTGTTATGACGCAGTATGTTGACGAAGGTTTAAAGAGTTGGCTGGGCTTACATACCCTGAGCAAAGGGGAATTTTGGGCGGAAAGTTGTCATTTTTGTGATTTTGGTGGTGATTGATCAGTCAAGGGCAATATTCTACAGAATTCCAGGACATGTGTCAAGTCTGATGCCGCTCGCCTCGTTGATGTGGGTGGTATTATGTGTTATCACCATCCTCATTATCTACAACAGCAGAAATCATGACAGTTGCTTCGGTATCGCTCAGAGCCATGATATATTGTGGACAAAGGAAAGAAGACCGGCTGCTACCTCGGGAATTTTGTGGATTGAATGTAGACTGTTGTTGCCCATGTTTGACATGCTGCCCTGCAGTGGATCGAGGTTATAGTGCAGCTGACAGGGCAACCAGTCGAAATGAGGCAATATTTGAAGTCATCCGTGCAACTTGACAACCACTAGCCATGAAATATTAGTTCGGTGGGAGGTTCATGGCAGGTGCAGTGAATATTGCTGTCTATATCCTCGTAAGAACTTCCCTCTCGCGGTAAGGTAGGTTAATTTGGGTTCCTAAAGGATCCTTGTAGTTGAAAAGAGAGAAAGACCACCTGTCACCTGCACCCGGGCGTGGTAGTCAAGGCTGCCGAAGTAAACTGCTGAATTGCACCCGGGCGTACTGTAAGTTGACTATCAAGAAGTTCTGAACAGGCTGCTTGAAGCGCACTACCCCTCCCCTGTCCCCGCCCTTCCTGAAAGCGGCAAGGAACCGTGCTAAGGTTCATCACGTTCAGGCGCCCGACGTCACATGCCTATATCTATCAATCATCAGCTCGCTTTGAGTTAGTAGTTGGTCCATACCAATCCATTCCACCCCATACCAATACTAAACTCCAATTGCTGTATCCCTCGCTGCTCTGTTTCTTTCTTCCTCGGCTTTTTTCCTTTCTTGGAACTACATTTGTATACGTGCACACCGGCAGCCGCAGATCCAACCATGTCATCGACCAGCGATCCACCCGTGGTGGATATCTTCTACCTGACATTCAACGCTGGGAAGGCGTTTATTTCGAGCTCAGTCTTCGGCAAGCACCTGTATAACGCATTCAAGGAGAACAACAATGCCTCCGGCCACCTACCAGAGCTTGTTGTCTTGTAAGGCACTCCTTTCACATCACCACATAATGACTTGCTGACCTGCTTCCCTAGCTCGCTGCAAGAGTCAGCCCCCATCCACGATGCCTTCCGCGGCCCGTACTTCTTGACCCCATATCTCTCATGCTACGAGTCCGCCCTCAATATCGCTGCCGCTCAGTACATCGCCGAGGAGGACCGCGAGAATCGGCCCAAGGACACGCCCTATACCCTGTTGAAGACGTGCAACGTTGGTATGACCGGCATCATGCTCTTTGCACGAGACCCTACAGCCGTAAGTCGCGTCAAAACTGCCGAGGCGGGATTCGGAGCTGGAGATATGGCAAACAAGGGTGCTGCCGGCCTGCGTATGGACTTTACAAAGGATGGGAAGACCACTGAGCTTACCTTCGTAAGCACTCACCTGGCAGCCATGGAGTGGAATCTAGAGCGTCGCAACAAGAACTGGGCCAGCGTTGTCAGTAGCATGGTCTTTGAGAACCCCAAGAAGATTGTTGCCAAGGATGTGTCGAGACACGAGCGGGAAGACGAGTCTGAGCCATTGCTTTTGCACCCCGAGACGGAAAAGCAGTTACACGACATCAGCATCTACAAGCCCGGAAGCCATCTCTTTGTCGCTGGAGATCTCAACTATCGTCTTTCCAAGACGTCACCTCCAGCAGGCGCCACATTTCCTAGCCTTGATCCTAACAGTGCAGATCATTATCCCCGCTTCTTGGCTCGGGATCAGCTCGTTGCTGAGAAGGCCGCTGGTCGCACCTTGCATGGGCTTTCTGAGGCTCCAATTCACTTTCCACCGACCTACAAGCTCAATATAGCCAAAGACAAGAAGAGGCGCCCGTCCGTGTCAGGACTGGTACGCATTGCACAGGATGCAGAGGATCAAGATGAAGTCGAGTGGGAATTTGCCTCCCACCGCTGGCCAGGGTGGTGTGATCGAGTCTTGTATCTTGACATACCTCCTTGGGTTGATCAGCACCCCAACAAGGAGATCAAGGTAATTGGATACAACTGCTTACCTGCAGTCCGCACTAGTGATCATCGAGCAGTATACCTGCGTGCACACATCCCCGTTCTCTCTCCGGAGGAGCTCGCACCGCCTGCCGATTCTCGAGCCAAGACGTATGGTGAGATACTGGACCCGAGGATCAAGCTCCCACTGTCCATTGAACCTGAGGCGTGGGAGCACAGAGAAGCTGTGAAGAAATGGGAATATACAATCGGCTGGAGTATGACTATCGCACAATCCAAGCAGAGCATCATGATCTTCGTGACGGTTCTGATTGTCGGACTTGGTGCCTGGTGGTTTAGAGCTCAATCCTCCTAGCTTGAGGGTCTGAAGCAGAAGGCGCGTGGTTGGCTTTCATGGGGCATTAGGCGTTAGGAAGGATGCAATTGCGTATATTATCTGCATGGTTGGAGCAGTGCTATACCATTGGCGTTAACTTGGCAAGTATACCCTAGGCATGGATGTTGGCATTGGCATTGCCATGTGTTTGTTGGGACATTCCCAGCCTTACTTTGCAATCCCGGTTATTGTTGAACCGTGGCGAATAAATTAGAGAACCTTGAAGTTGCATCCGTCCGTCGCAAATAGTGGACCAAAATGTTTGCGCAAACTTGGTCGACAGCGGACTATATTTGATGCAGCACTTGATAGCTTCGAAAGTGACTTAACTTTGTATAAATTGTGACAAGTGGAAAGCTAGAGGCATATGTTGGATAGAATCGGTGGCTACAGTCATACAGGTAATTACAAATCCGAGTTATGTAGTTACGTGCATTTCCGATCTCCATCTGACGCATGTCAATATTTCTGCCACCCATTAAGTGAGTTTCAGAGTGATGATAAGATTTACTAGCCGGGCGGTGACATGAAGGCTTCCAGATTACACTTCCTTAATACACTCTAAGAGACTGTAGCATGCCAAATCCACGGAGAGCAAGTAGAGGTCAGACTTTCTTTCGCCTGGTGGGATGTCTTCGAAACCACATCGAAGGGGTAGTTCCCGTTCTGCCCAAAGGAGCAAAGAAAGAAACGTTGCCTGGATTCTGCCAGAGAGAAAATCATTATCCCATCCCTCCGGAACAGTACGTGCCTGATTGTAATATACTCGTGTGGCATCATCCCCCGATGCTAGGAAGGGCGGCTTTTTCGTCTGCGATCAGCCTCGAGACCCCGATGGCGTCTCCGCGTCCCGGACCCTTCTCGGATATTCCTGTTTCTTGAACGAGCTGACCCCTCAAGCACCGGCGCTCGGTCGTCATGAACAACGCGGCTGAGGCCTGCAGACAGAACGGTTTCTGGGCCGTGGCCTGTCGGGCTGGGGCGGTTACGATATATACCGGGAAGTCCCGATGCATACGAGGTGACAATATTATAGAGGAATGGGGATCGAGCTCTTGATCTTCACATCGTGGTTTTGACTCCTACAGCTCGTCCATCGGGTGTATCTTGTGCTTGCGCAACTTCACAGACACAACTAGTAGTCCACATGTGTTGTACAAGGGCGGCGACATCGTTGCTAGTACCATAAAATTGTTTCTTCTTCTTTTTTTTTCTTTTTCTTTTTCGATTATTGCCCAAAAGCAAAGCTATATACAAAACCACTTTGAATGGCAAAAGGCTCAAACATGAGCGTAGGCGGTATAAAACAAAGGATCCCTCCCATCTCCAGACGCTGTAGCCATGTTGATTCAAAATTATTTGGGGGGGGAAAAACCCAAACAACGAACGCTCTTCGTTTACCCCTGCCATTAATAGGCATGTTTAAATCATTCTCGTCCCCCCCTTTACATTTAAGTATAATACACTCCCCGCCACCCCTTCTACGAAGCTATGGGGGAATAAATCATTCGTGAAGACATTAGTAATGTACAACTTCTGGTTCTGCAGAAAAACCATTTCATCAATCGGCTACATGATGGATAAGTACCCCCCGGAAAAAGAAAACGTCCCGCGTTGCTTGCTAGCAAGTTAGTTTAGAACCCTGTGAAATATTGGTCGTACTTTTGAGCCATCTCGTCGGTGTAAGGGTCCCGCTTTCCGTCGTCCTCGGGATAGACATCGAAGCACTGGGCATCTCCCGGGAATCGGACGTGCGGCTGGATAGGCGGGCGGACCTGTCTGTTGTACAATGCTTCCCAGTCGACGGCCTTGAAGAATGGATGTTGTTTTACTGCGTTTGAGTTGCCGCTGATGTTCCCTAGCCGGCGCGAGCGGTCCACGGTGCAGAGGGAGCGGATGATGTGTTGTGCGTGGTGCGAAACAGGAGGTTCTGCTGGGAACATGACCGGCTTCTCGACAATTCTGGTGGGCAGAAGATTAGTGGTCGCGGTAACCCAAGCAGCTTCCGACAAAGACTTACTGTTTATAAATCTCAATGGGATTCTGGTGCCAGAATGGCGGATAGCCAGTCAGGAATTCGTAGATCAGGATGCCCAGTGCCCACCAATCAACCGCCGTTGTATGACCCTTGTTCTGGATGACCTCGGGTGCCAGATACTCGGGCGTGCCGCACAGCGTATATGTCTCGACGGGCTTGTCGTTCTTATGGCCTAGACGTTTGGCGAAGCCGAAGTCGACCAATTTCACGTGCCCCTGGGCATCCAGCAGCAGGTTCTCGGGCTTCAAGTCTCGGTAGGCGACCCCTCCTTGTTGTTCGTGCAGGTACTCGAGGACGAGGACAATCTCGGCGGCGTAGAACTGAGCCCAGTCCTCGGGGAAGCGCCTGTGGCGCCTCAAATAGCTGAAGAGCTCGCCTCCCGGGACATAGTCTAGTACCATGTACAGGGAGTCGTGGTCGGAGAAGGAGGCTATTAATCGTGTTATGAAGGGGTGGCCAGCGACGTCGGCCAGGATCTCGCGCTCGTGTCGGACATGGTCGAGCTGCTTGAGCTTGATGACTTCGGTTTTGCGGAGGATCTTGAGGGCGAAGACCTGGTCGTTGTTCTGGTCGTCGGGCAGATCGGCTGGTCGCACAAGACAAACTCGCGCAAAGGTGCCTTTTTAGAGTTGGTCTGCGCCTTAGTAACTTTTTCCACGGCTTAGGTATGTGTGGCAACGGCAGCGACAGCGGCAGCGGCAGCGGCAGCACCGTACCAGCGCGCTCCGATACAAGATTAAGGAGCGTGTATACAAGTATAAAAAAAGGGCGGCCAAGACAAGGAGGTCGACTTACCAGTTCCCAGCGTCCGCACCACCTTGAAATCGTCGGGCCTCAATTGCGCATGCTGTATTGGCGGCTGCTGAACGTTCTTGTTGGCATTTACGATTGCTTCCTGCCCCGCATGCCCCGTGAGCGACCCCCCTCCATTGGCTTGGTCCATTTCCATGGCATCAGTGTCCTTGATCCCACCGGCTGGAATGGGAGTCGGCTGAGTTGCGACAGCAGCCATTCCAGTGGAAGTGATGACCCTTAACCCGTGGCCCTGGCGAGATACGCCCGAATAGTAGTGGTATGGCAGTAGGGCTTTGGACAGGTACGGCGGTGGTGGTGATGAGTCACCTCTCTTCCACCAAGCTCTTTTGTTTACAAGATTCAGACGAAAACTCAATCCACAAATTCCATTCACTTGTCTGTTGTTCTGCCCCCGGTGGAGTCTCTTGCTCGTGGCCAGGGCTAATAAGAGGCTGTTTCGGCTGGGGAGTAAGACGAAGCGGGCATCAGGCGCATCGACCAAGACCTGACACTTCACTTTCCGTCAGGGCAGGCAAATGGGGGTTCTGTCAGATCAAGGATCGTGAACCGCCGCAGTATGTTTACATGTAACGCATGGCAGAGGGCATGGGACTACGGGAAAGGGAGTGTCTTTTGTTCTTGTTTTCATCCTCTTCCTCTTCCTCTTCTTCTTCTTCTTCCAACTTCTCTCCCCTTTCGCTAAGAACCCCTTTAGAACAAAACAAGCCAAAGACACCAGGCGAAACAGTCTAGACTGACATCAGTGCGACGGGTTACCGACGCAGAGGATCGCGCGGGCTCTAACTCAAGTGCCGCCGGGCTCCCCCAAGCTTATCGATCGTGGGCATATGACGTTATAGCTGCACCACACATCTGCGACCTTCCCACTTCTGTCAGCGTTGCGCTGGGAGTGCCACGCGGGCGCTGGGTGGGCGCTGTGCGGGCAGGCGGCTCCAATGAAAGCGGGGGTGCCATGCGTTCTTTAGGCCTCAAAATCTACAGTGTCTCGATCCAGTCATGGGTGTGGGCACTCTTTATTTTTAGCCCCATCCTGTTTGGGTACTAATATATGTAGCTGTCAACGTGACTTTTGAACCGCCGTCACGTTTGCAGAGCACGTCTCTGATTTGCAGCTCCCATCACCTGACGGGAGCCTGCCCACCGCAGCGCGTACGGATAGAAGGGGACTATGCATGTGCAGTTGTCACAACGTCAGGAGCTTTTATGCTGGCTCTGAGCATGAACTTGCTGTAACGTCGTTTCACCGTCGTTGACGCGAGTAAAATCTCGCCGAGCTCACCTGTGGCTTGCCTTGAAGCCGGAAGAAAAAAAGAAAGAAAAAACTCCCATCCTTGACTGTTTGACTCGCGGATTGCCCGACTGGGAAGTGTCCCCATTATCGCCTTCTCCAGAACGGCCTTGGCCGACAACATGAGGCATGTCACTGGAAATAAGCCACTTCGGCTTTAGAGGTTCGAGCCCATCTTGGCAGTCCTTGCCGTAGAACCGCGCTGGTGGAGATAGGGGTTACGAGAACTAGGTTAATGCATTAGTCGTGATTTGTTATTACTGTAGGGCATGATAATCATGAGGTATTATAGTCCCTGAGAGATGTGTATTTGGCACTTGTTCTCCTGAACATGTCAGCTGTTCGGTTCTTCGATCTGAGCGTTGATTGGTCACGATTTCATAAAAAGTCTCATCTCAGTCCAAGTACAATTCTTCGGTGTCAATACCAGAAACTCCAATTAGCGATTTGCGGCCGATAAGAGGGTTCTTTGTTCAACACCCCAGATGACCCCCCCACCTCAGAGGTTTCGATACCCTTATACAGCCTTCGTTTGTCGCTAACTCTCGAATTCAAAGCACCTGTGCATCACCACAATCAGAGTCGCCTTCTCGTAGAACTGCTGTATTTGAAGTCGCTCTGCTCTAGCGGATCGGCCAATATCCGCTGGGCGAAAGCGACGGAGCATAAAGTATGGTGGCGAAGACTGCTTCTGTGTTCAACCCAGCATTCAAGCGGTACCGGTACTACCGGTAGAAGGCTTCAATTCCGCAAAAGCCCCACATATAGGTTAAGTCCTAACCTACTTAGTTGAAGCTCATAGTTACTGAGCATATACTGGTATCGCGTAACCTGGTGACGCGCAACGTGTTGAGTGGTACGGCACCACCAGAAGCGTTTAGATTCCAGTGTACAGGAATAAGTGCTTGAATATGATCGTAGCCTGCTGGCCGATATCACCCATTGAATACGATCTGCTGTACGGGCAAGTTTCTGTTCATTCATATCATCTGAACTCCGATGAAAACGCATTCGCGGATTGTTCTGGTTCGTATTATCCAGCATGAACCAACATGGGCAGCAAGCTCTTACCTCGATTCCTGGTGTTCGCTGTGTCAAACGCCCTTCACACACGGCAAGCGACTGGATAGTCACCAATGCGTAAGATGTTCCCTTCGGTGATGTTCAGAACTGCAGCTGTGTGTGTTCTCGTTATGCCATCAAATGAGCCAAAGCGCACACTTGTGATTAGCAGCAGGGTTCATGCAACAGAGTTCTCTCTTTACAGTGGGTTTCACAACGGGATGACTTCAGAAAAAGCCCAGTGCGCGAATTGGAAAATAGAGTAATACGATGAGAGAACGGCAAGGGTGTTTTCTTTGGCTAAATATTGAGAGTGTCATGGTTCTTGAGCCAGTGAGGAAGAGAGGGGGGGGTGGGGGGTGAAGTAATTATAAGGATCTAACAAGGGTGATAACGAAGGTGCATCCAAACAGCATATGCTGTCTTGGACCTGAATCCAAAGGAAAGCAAATCACCTGCTTACTGTTTGGACACGGCACCCCCGAATGGCACGATCATGGTGACGATGGGGATTCCCAATTATGCTTTCCAACCGTCTCCAGAGTTCAATACCATTCGAGATCAACCATGCCCACTGAACAAGCATATCTGAGTTCTCCGACCGAACCGATAATATACCCTTACGTCACTGCACGAAGGTAAATGCATAGTCTGGATCTTTGCTATCTAAGCTTCCGGACTAAAGGTTACCTGCAGGCATTGCAGATACGTAGCATGCGTATGTGAGTCGTTTATCATGACTGAGACTGCATTTGCGTCGACGATCGCAAGAGCATGTGTACATGCACGCACGCACGCACGCATTGCATACATACATGAAACGCGACACGAGGCTCTAGGATTGCAACCAATGTGAATTTGGGTGGGTTGATCGTCTCTGGCTGTCTCTGGTTGTCTCTGGCCGTCAGGGGACCTTAAGCTAGTGGTGGCTTTATTGCAGTAGCTGTACTCTTTGCAAACTACTGTACTAACCTAACCTTACATGCCTCAGGCTCAGGCACTCTGTATGTATGTATGTACAGTAGACTGCGCAAGTGCACTAACCGTAGTAACCTACTGTGCGGGCCATATAGTCTGTACAGCATGTAACTACCTGCCCAATGGTTAGCGTTCTCGAGGCTGCAGATGTGGCTTAATAAAGCTGACCCCTGATTTGATTCTCTCCGAACGGGGCTGAGCTTGGCCCATTCATATCACTGCAGACTAGACTAACCTTAGGTTAACTGACTTGTACTTGCACTTGAACCTGAACCTGAACCCCACGGTGATCTCCAGCCGCGACGTATGACCACATTCTCATTTGCTGCCACTTCCTTTCCATGCTGTAATTCTATAGATAGACCACAACTGCGAGAGACAAGCTTCAGACACCTCGGTTCGGTTCGGTTCGGCATCGCATTGCACAGCGCCGTAACCTGAAATCCGGCTGCACCACGACATGCTTTGACCGACGTCCTTGGACCTCCAAGGCGACCAACCAGCAAACATGTTCAACCTCTCGAACCTGGTGCAGAAGGCTCAGTCGGCTGCACAGCAGCTGATTGATCCCATGTCAGGTCTGAATCTGACCAACTCGGACAGGAATCCTGCCAAATCTACTCTGTTCCAGCACCAATTCCGACTTCCGAGCACCCAGACCCCCTTGTACGAGATTGCCGCCGAGTTGACTATCCCGCCCTCCAATCCCACAAACGCGACACAGGGCGACCGAGAGCGCGAGCGAGGATGGCACTACGCTGGAAAGCTGCACCTTTCCGAGGCTTACATGTGCTTCTCCACCACGCCCACAAGCTTTGTCAACTCTGCTACCACCTCCTCCTCGTCAGGCTTCACGGGACAGACTCACGGCAGTGGCCCTGGCGGTAACGGCTTCACCTTCCCTCTCTGCGCCATCAGAAGAGTTGAGCGGTTGAATAGCCAGAGCTTTCAGGTAGGCCAAGAATCTTCCACCCCCATCAAGCACTTACCAGGCTGACGACACCCCCTTCCACCAAGTTCGCCCTTGCCATCACGACATGGAACGGCATCACACAAGAGGCTGCCAAAGACAAAGATAAGAGCCAACTCAGAGAACAACGCATAACCATACAGCTTGCTGGCAGTCGTCCAGCTTGCGAGAGATTTTGCGACGGGCTCAAGAAAGGGCTGAGAAATGCCGTAGGCCACGTGAGCAAGCTGAAAAAGGTCGTGTCCGAGTGCTATTCCGAGTACCTTCTCCGCCCCGAAACCGAGAAGGATGCGCATCCTCCCGATGCTGGCCTGGGTATGGTGTTCCGATACCCCGGCGATCCGAAGAAGCTCAGAGACCGAGCCAAGATGAGATTATGGGCCGAGTATCTTCGGGACAACGGCCGGAATGCCACCATAATCCGCCAGCCTACCTTCCACAAACTTATCCGCGTTGGCCTGCCGAACCGTCTCAGGGGGGAAATGTGGGAGTTGACATCAGGCTCTCTCTATCTCAGACTCGAGAATCCCACACTTTATGCGGACACTCTGGCAAAACACTCGGGCAAGGAATCCCTCGCTATTGACGAGATCGAGAAAGACCTGAATCGCAGTCTGCCAGAATATCCTGGTTTCCAGTCAGAAGACGGTATTGGCAGACTGCGCCGCGTCCTCACTGCCTACAGTTGGGTCGACACCGACGTCGGCTATTGTCAGGCCATGAATATCGTGGTGGCAGCACTACTTATCTATATGTCGGAATCTCAAGCTTTCTTTCTACTGAGTGCTCTATGCGATAGGCTTGTCCCTGGTTATTACTCGACTACCATGTACGGTACCCTGTTGGATCAAAAGGTTTTCGAATCGTTAGTCGAAAAGACCATGCCCATCTTGTGGGAGCATCTCGTCAAAAACGACATTCAACTCTCAGTTGTCTCTCTTCCGTGGTTCCTTTCGCTGTACATCAACTCAATGCCTCTAGTATTTGCTTTCCGAGTTCTCGATGTTTTCTTCGTTGAGGGCCCAAAGGTACTGTTTCAGGTCGGGTTGGCAATACTACGGATCAATGGCGAGGAGTTGTTGGATGCAACAGACGACGGCGCATTTATATCCGTCTTGAAGGGCTACTTCTCTCGCCTGGATGAATCAGCGCATCCAAAGTCGGAGAACCCAAAGTTACGCGCCATCAATCGCTTCCAGGAACTCATGGTTGTGGCTTTCAAAGAATTCTCTGGAATCACACATAGCAGCATCCAGGATTTGCGATTGAAGAACAAGGACGCCGTTCTCAATAATATTGAAAACTTCGCCAAGCGAACAGCTATTCGCAATCTTGGCCCCGACAGCAAGCTCCTCAGCCCGGATGAGCTTGGCGCTGTCTATGACAGATTCTATGGTATACTCTACGAAAGGCAGCAACGCGATTGCATCATTCAGGAAGAGCAATTGCGGCGAGAGAAGGCAAGCAAAACTCGGGCGGCTGCTGCATTCTCGGACCATCAAGATCACGGCGTGGACAAAGGCCGTGTTGGACTTGGCCCAAGCACCAGCTTGATGGATTACGATGCATTCAGAGAATTTCTTGCAGCCATGTCGAAGTGGGCCATTTCGGATGCTCCAAAAACGCCCACGCGGGACCAGTTTCACGAGAAAGACCCGAGTCTGTACTTTGGGTCATTCAGAAAGTCGAGCAGTAATCTACTGTCTCCCTGGGGAGCAGGACCGGAGCCAGCTGACCATGAGTTTATGCAGAGACTTTTCAGACGCTGGGATATCGATTCAAGCTCAACACTAACACTTCAAAACGTCGTCACTGGGTTGGCTCAAATCAAAGGGAAGCGAGACATCATGGGAACCATCACATACTTCTTCGAGCTCTACGATGATGATGGAGATGACAAAGTAGACCGCGAAGGAATTCTTCGTATCTCTGAGGCTTTACTATTCCTGTCTCGTCGTGGGCTGGAAGGCACGCTTAGTGGATCTAGCTCGAATCCCGCCTTGAACACTTTGGCTGAGGCTAATGGCCCAGGAAGTCCGCCGATCGGAGGTAGTGTGAACGAGCGGTTTCTCGGCAGCGTTAGTGCTTTCATTAGACGGTGTTTTGAGTATGCAGACCCAGATCATCCAATCAACCAAGACCCCTTGGACAAGGAGGATGAAAAGAGTGGCGGGTCGGCACGTAACGATGCCCAGCCAGCCGACAACAGCGCATTTGCAATCGGCGATGATGAGGATGAAAATGAGGATGAGGATGATCTTCTGGCCTTCGACAAAGCTGACGATAGCCCTCGATCAGCGCAGAAGAGACCAAATCTTCCCGCACAACCTGCAGCCATTGGAAAGCCTTCAGGAGACGGCGAACTCAAGAGGACTGTCTCAAAGGCACAATCGGAGAAAGCAAACGCAGCGCTCGATCCTTCCAACCCGTTATATATGACGCTGCCTACGTTTCGCATGGTAGTGCTTGCAGACGAACTACTTGAACTATTTTTCGAATCGTCCTTCCCGACATCGATTCATATTATTGACGGCCTGCCAACCCCTGCCACACCGTCTTCATCGCTGACTACGTTCTCGAGCTTCAGCCGCGCAACCGCTCCGGTTATTCCGGTTCCTCATCCTGGACCTGGCGGGCCCACGCGGAGCTTACGAGGCGTGCTGGATAATATTGTTACAGACGCTTCTCGGGTGGCAGCTGAAGTGCGGCGCCGCATGGAGGAAGCCCAGCGCGAACTAGAAAAGAACGCTCTCCCCGGGCAAAAGGACGACGAGGACGAAGATGATGATGACATCCCTGGGCTCAGGTCTGCCGTTGCAGACCCCGAACGCCGGAGTGTGCGGTCAACCGACCGAGATCTACTGGATGGAGCCGATGCCGAAGCTGGAGCAACTAAGGGCCAAGAAGACTCAAGTCAAACTTTACTCGATACTCAGGGCGCACCAATCAAAGATTCGAGCACTTCAAAGCCTGGAATTGTGGAATTTGAGAGTTAGATGAGTTGCATGTATTGAGGGCGGAGTTTGGTTGGAACTGGACTGGATTGGACTCATGAGGAATTGGGAGTTGCTTGCTTTCTGCGTTAGGGTGTATCTAGGGCTGAACCACAGCAGTAAGGAAGGAATTCCGTATCATTAGGCACCACTATCATGTCTCCCCTGTTGGTGGCTGAGACAACTACCAGCCTCAAGAATCCAGGGAAATGGGATTCTGGATCTACAATTATTGTTGGCGTTCGTCGATGACACTGGTTGAGAACCAACGGGGATCTTCTGGCGATGCAGCAACAGCAAACACCTGTAGCTATTATGCCTACAGTACCTTTCCATAGAAAGACACAATGATATTAAATGATACGTCGAAAAGTGTCTTTTGAAAGTGTGCAATCCTCGGTGGCACAACACAACGTCCTGCATTTCCCACAAGTCGTCTTCCAGCTTCAGTTTGGATCTTCATTGTCATTCCAAGTGCAAAGCGTCGGTCAGCCGCCACGCTGCAATGGCATTGCCCTGTGATGGAAATGAATCAAGGCGGGCAAGCCAGACTTTGCTCGGCATTCCTCCCCTGATGCCGTTGACTCTCATCCCTTGGCCGTTCCAGGTCGATGCTTTCAAATACCACCGCCGCCGCACCACACGGTCTCGACGAAACATGATCTACCCAACTACATAGCGTGTCCTCACCTGATTTGCCGGTTTCGCTCTTTTGATATTCATCACGTAGTGCTTCGTCTTCCAGGCTCGCCGAAGTTATTGAGACCTGCAGTGTGCTGAGCACTCGGTTGCCAACATGGTCTCGACCTTCACCGTGAGGGCCGCCGTCCTCGTGGGCATATGCGCCTTCATCGTCCGGGTCAAGGCTCAAGGTTATTTCTACGAAGATACCAGACCATATTGCGTTGATAAGACCTTCCAATACCTTGGGTGTTTCACGGCGCCTGGCAGTCAGGACCCCTTCGGTTTTGTTCCCGGTGTCCCTACCGACATCGCTGGCAGCAATGACCCATCTTTCTCATATGTTGAATACGACAACAACGATAACTATAACGCTACAAACAACCCTTACTTCTGTTCTCGACTCTGCCGCCACCACGGGTTCAAATATACCGGCATGTACAATGGCGGGTGTACATGTGCCTCGTCGCTCAACGACCAGGTCAGGACCTTGGGGTCGCGAATAGCCGAGGCTAACTGCGCAAACCAATGCGCTGGAGATCTCAACGAGAACTGCGGCACGTCTACTGCGATTCGAGTCTGGGCTGATTTGTCGTTCACCAAAGAGACTGACCTCACCACCTCGGGAACCAATACCATACAGCCCTCTGTGATTCTTGGATATCAAAAACTTGGTTGCTTCTATGGCCCCGGTGGTGGGCCCAACATCCCAGGCCCGAGTTACTTCAGAAAGACGGTTTCGAGCGCCGACCAATGCTTTTCTTACTGCGCAGACCTAAAGTTACCAATTGCACGCGTGGCCAGAGATGGTGCTACAACGTATAATGTTCCGTCCCCCGAGATGAGCTGAACCTGTGTTGACCTTCTTTTGCAGATTCCGTTGTTTTTGCGGAGGGGATTTTGGAGTTGGTGTCCGGTCCTTTGACGACAGCGCAGATACCTTGGGGCTTTGCCAAAGCAAATGTTCAGACGGCTCGATAAGGTAAGTTATTACGTCCAAACTAACAGTTTGGTCTCCTTGGTTCCTTATTTCGATAAGTTCTTCTCTTAGTACGGCAAATTGACCGTGTACAGTGGCTGCCAAGGACAAAATTGCTGTGCTCAAGGCAACAACAATGTCGCACCTGTCTATGCGAATCCCCTTCTCATGGGCTGCTACATCCCTAGGATTCCTGGCATACAGCCGACCAATGCTCCTGATACGCCAGTGGCGACTTCTTTTACTTGCATCGCCACGCCCAGTTTCATCGCCAACAGAGCTACTGGTTATGTCGATTACAACTCAGCCTCAATCACGAGATCGGCGTCGTTTGTTGCCACCGCTACGGTTGCGGCGACTCCAGGCGTGACTTTCACACCCTACGGCTGTTATGGCGGCGCGCAAGGCACACCACTTGTACAAAACGCATTCCCTGTGCCGACTCAGTCACTAACAGGAAGTGTCGTGAACGTCGATACATGTGTCGAGTACTGCAACACGCACAGTTACAACTGGTTAGTTTTGAAGGGAAGCGTCGGCGGTGTTTCTCAGTGCATCTGCGGCTCAGACATCGGCGCAAACCTGGGCAACACGGAAACGTTCGCATCTTGCAGCAAGCCGTGCTCCGGATCTAATTCTGAGCTGTGCGGCTTCGACTCTAATTACCCCGGAGGTCTGATATATGTCAACAAGGCTGTCGGTGGCGCAGGCCTCAACGGTGCCTGGTACCAAAAGTACTCCAGTACATGGTCTTTGACACCGACATACAGCTGTACACCTACAGGTACGTTGATTGCACTACTCGTGTGCTCGATTCGGCAATCTACAGACTCAGGGGCCAGTCGGCCTTGCGCAGCCAATGCTGTCCCGCGTTACACATGTCGTTCCATCCAGTAAGGCATCCCAGAGCTGACTTCTGTCTTAGGGACTACAACGACATCTGCCACAACTTCTACAGCAACATCGTCTACGGGCACATCTTCAACAGCGACATCGTCTACAGCAACCTCTACAGGTACATCTTCTACAGCAACATCGTCTACGGGTACATCTTCAACAGCGACGTCGTCTACAGCAACCTCTACAGGTACATCTTCTACAGCAACATCGTCTACGGGTACATCTTCAACAGCGACGTCATCCACAGCAACCTCTACAGGTACATCTTCCACAGAAACATTTACGGGAGCATCTTCTACAGAGACGTCATCTACAGAAACCTCGACAGGTACATCTTTTACAGAAACGTCTACCGGCACATCTTCTACAGAGACGTCATCTACAGAAACCTCGACAGGTGTGTCTTCGACAGAGACGTCTACAGGTACATCTTCCACGGAAATTTCTACGGGCACATCTTCTACAGAGACGTCGTCTATAGAAACATCTACAGGTACATCTTCCACAGAAACCTTTACGGGAACATCTGTTACAGAAACGTCTACCGGCACATCTTCTACAGAAACATCTTCTACAGAAACCTCGACAGATACATCTTCTACAGAAACCTTTACAGGTACATCTTCGACAGAAATTTCTACGGGCACATCTTCTACAGAGACATCATTCACAGAAACATCGTTAGGCACATCTACAGAGACCTCATCTATAGAAGTATCGTCTACAGAAACTTCTACAGGCACATCTTCTACAGAAACTGTGACGGGTACATCTACAGAAGTATCGTCCACAGAAGTATCGTCTACAGAAGTATCGTCTACAGAAACTTCTATAGGCACATCTTCTACAGAAACTGTGACGGGTACATCTACAGAAGTATCGTCTGCAGAAACTTCTACAGGTACATTGTCTACAGAAACTTCTACAGGCACGTCGTCAGAAACTGTGACGGGCGCAACTACCGGAAGCTCAAGCAGCGCCACATCTACAGATATTTCATCTAACGTTTCGTCTTTCACAGCGACTTCTTCAACCAGTCCGTCTTCTAGCGACACCGACAGGTCGACAGGGACGACACCGACGAGCTCTGCCTCTGTGTCAGGGACTACCACCACTGCAGGCGCAGGGACCACGTCTAGTGAGATCAGCAGCATCACGGTTACAAGTGTAACTGGCGGCGAATCTGCAACAAGCTCGTTAGCGAGCAACACTGACTCTATCAGTACTGCCTCTAACACTGCTGATTCTTCAGCTGGCTCTTCTCACTCCACAACCGTCCTTACGAGTGGTTCTGCGTCTGACAGTACTACCAGCTCTAGCAACAGCGGATCTGCAATTGGCTCAAATTCAGTAACAGATGGCGCAACGGCTTCTCCTGAGACCAGTGTTCCAGTTTCGGACACTTCTGTGTCCGATACTGCCATCACCTCTTCGACGAACACTGTCATTAGCCAAAAGGTCGATGCTACTGTTGGCGGTCCGACCCCAACTCTAAGTAGCGGCGGCGTCTCAAACCCTGACACCATTATATCTGCTTCACATACTTCTGCTCAAACCTCTGGAGAGGCGACCCGCTACACTAGTACTCCGACTCAAAATACTGATGGTCAAGGCAATGGCGCATCTACAACGTCAGCAAATGGTGCTGAACAAAATTCCGGTACGTCAAACACATCTCCTGGTAGCAATGCTCAGTCTACAAACGGCAATGATGGAAATGATGGCCAGAGCACAAGCGCCTCATCCAAGCCTGCTGGTAATGCCCAAACCACCAACAGTAACGGTGGCAATGGAGGCCATAGCTCGAGTGTTCCGACGACAACAGCTGGTGATGGTGCACAGCCTACCAACAGCGACGGCGGATCAGGTGGTCAATCTGCAAGCACCACCGCTGTTAGCAACGACGTCCAGCCAACTAATAGTAATGGTGACAAGGGTGGTCAAACTACAAGCACCACAGCTTCGCAAAATAACGGCTCCGGACCCGAGTCAACCGGTGGTGACGGTGGGAACGCAAATGCAAGTGCCGCAGCTTCGCAGAGCAATGGTGGCAGTACGCAGCCCACTGGCGGTAATGTTGGTAACTCAGGCTTAACGAGGACGGCAGTGCCAAGTCAAGGCACTATTTCCTCTGCGCCAGCTACAACTACAGCCCCTTCATCTGCATCGGCTGCACATGACTCAACACGACCAACCGTGACGGTTGCATCGTCTAATGTAGTGAGCTTCGACGCAGTCTTCAACATGACGGCGGTGCCCAATGACTATGCCGCTTTCGTCAACTTTACCATCTATGATCCCGTCACTGGAGAGCCTTCGACTGATCTCTTTGTCATCCAATACCTCGGTTGTTATCTGGTTCCAGAAGGCGTAAATCCATTCACTGCCAATGATACCCGCAACTTCACAGAAAATCCCATTGCGAGTGGTACAGCTTCCGGCTGTGCTGGTGTCTGCGCTGGTGCCAACTTCACTCTTTCTGCGAACAACAACGGCGACTGTTTCTGTGGAAACGTTGCCAACTTGGGTGATTTGACTCTTGAAGAAGACAGAGGCAACTGCGCTGTTCCATGCAAGGATGACCCGAACCAAAGCTGTGGTGGAGGTGATCGACTCGCACCATCCACCAAAAGACGGTGGCTTTCGAGACGAGATGCCTCCTTCGTCAACATCATTGTTGCCAAAAATTCTGCTGACGCTGTCATTGTTGCTCTTGATTCCACCACGTCATCCTCGACTATTTTCACCAGCACTAGCATAGTCAGTTCTTTTACGGCTACTAACGTTGGTGCAGGCTCAATAAGCAGCAATACTGAAATTGCGACGCAGACCGCCAACGGCTCGGGTTCACAGAGCACAGGCACTTCCGTTGGAGGCCAATCGCAAACTGGCGACGGCCCAGGCTCGCAAACCACTAATACCATCGCTGGAGATTCATCGCAGACTGTTACTGGTGCTAGTTCTGGTTCAGGGCCCCAGAGCACTGATATCAACGTTGCAAGTGCAGCACAAACTGGTACCGGAGCTAGTTCGGGATATCAAAACACCACCACCAATGCTGGAGGTTCATCACAGTCTGGTACTGGGGGAAGTTCGGGACCTCAGAGCACTGGCACTGGCGGAGGTGGTCCCAACCCATCGACTGGGGCCGGTACGGGAACAGAAACTGGTGCTGCTGCATCTGCATCCCCTACCATCCCTGGCATCCAGGATGTGGCAGATAGTTCTATTTTCTTCGGTGTTGTGCTAGACCAGGGATCAGCTTCGAACTTAACCAGAGGTCGCGTCTTCCCGGGCATCAAAAAGCGTCAACAAGCACCTGGTGGTTTTATTGGTGATGCCGGTCCTATCAACCCTGATTCTTGCAGTCTTGCCACCTCATTCAACCTGACTGATGGTCGACTGGTTAGTGGCGGACAGTTCGTTTCTACTGATCCTGGGTTTCCCTATATCCTACTGGCTGTGCAGCCTACCACTGGCTCGATCGTCCAGACCTTCTCATCGGTCGACGGCGTCCTACATTGGTATCACCCAGACTTCTACCAGGGCGAGGCTGGATTTTGCAGGGTTCCATCCGGAGAGACCTACATCACATTTGTGGCGTCGTCTGGTTGGCCCGCTGGTTGTATCCCTATTTCTCTTACGGTCTACGAAGGTAAGTGTCTTTTTGTTCCGGCCTAGATTAGCATACTGATAAAATCCTAGACTCCCAATGTGTGGACGGAGCTATTGTCTCTGCCCCTCCTTCCACACCTACACCCACACCAGCGCCGACTGGCGGCAATGGCAACGGGGGCATTGGCGACGGTCTGGCTACCACAAGGCTGCCTTTCTCGCAAGATATTTTCGAGTCGGGCGCTACCCCAGCGGGTGAAATCTGTGTCTCTACGACGCTCTCCTGGGTACTAGGTCCGGCCCCTACCTTCCTCCGTACTTAGAGTACCACTGTTGAGCACAAATCCATGGGTAAAGGGTTTTGAAGGGAGTTCGGAGAAGAACGATTTCACCTGGACTCAGCCTGGTCGGTTATAATGAGATGGAACCAAAAGAATTTCTTGACTTCACTGTATTACTTGACCATGACCTTTTTCTTTTTTTGTGCGAAGGATGAGCGTTTTGGGGTTGCGGCTACATGACAGACGACGTAATGGAAAATGACGAACTGGACTACTTGTACTAGAAAGTTTCCAAACGTATTAATATCTACGGAGCTATATTCTTTTCAACCAGTACTGTCTGTGGTGGGTTGGCTCACCTTGACTTGGTCGACTCCTCAAAGGCAAGCCCTTAACAGTGGTGATACTGGTTATCTTCGATCATCTCGATGACCTTGTCAGGAATCCTGTGTTCAGAGGAATGGTGTCATAACCTACATCAAGTTTCTTTCAATGTTCCATTTTTGTGCTCTTCTTGCTTTCGATTTCTGCTGCATATATATTGACATATTCACGGCTGGGCATAAAGATATCCGCTGGGACAATTGCTGAACATAAGACCGTACATAAAATACCTAATCTCCTATGCACATGCGCCTAGTAACACCTGTTACATCTTAGAAGAGTGTGGAAAAGGAGATGATCTCGAACTGACTTTTTATATATATTTTTTTAATTTAGCTTCGTGAAATTTGATTCTGCAGTAGGATGTCGACATTTTGCTTCATCGACCATGGAACACGCCATGAGGTACTACCACTTGGAACTATGGCACATGGCTTGTGAGGGCGAGCTACGACTTTAAGTATCCTCATGAGTATTAATCCTTGGTTTTTGTATTTATGAATAGCTTCACATGACCACACAGTCAACGCTATCGACCAGTCATAGTCCGGGCCTGGGTTTGTATTGCACAGAGACGGATGTACGGCGAACAAGTTTGATCAGACTCACCTTTGTTATGAGATGTCACAAGATAGTATATGATGAGAGAGCGGTGCTTAGTCTGTCTGCCGTTCGTGTACTCTATACATTTCGTCAACCATGCCTACCGATACAACCGGTGGACTATACGCAAGATATTCAGGGGCTCTCGTATGTCAGTGTCAAAAATGATTAACGATTGGAAGCATTTGTTGTAGAGAACATATGGTGCATCAATATCCTGTACAAAGCAATAACGCCGCGGGTTGAAAGGGAAGAGATTTGGAAATTTCGTTTGAACCTACATGAGTCTCCTAACCTAGTTGTCATAAAAACGGCGCTCACTAATATACTATACGCTGTAGATCGCATATGTACCACAGTAGTTCACAGATCCACTCAGGTCATTGGACTGTTTCAACTTTATCAGATACCTGCCTATTCCGAATATATTCCGACCTTCTGTTTATATTACTGAGTTACATAGAATTTTGTCACACTTGGATGTAGCTAAAAACACATTTAGCCGTTAGCATACAAACAGGGTTTCCATACAAGCAATTCGCTGACTCCGGATACCGGCAAAGCCGCTTGCCTTGGCTGCGTTTGTGCACTTCGCCACTGCAGTACGCGTCCGTGAAGGTTTTCTGAGGTGATCGACTAGTTAAGCTATACGTAACATGAAGTGGTGGATATATCACAGCTCGAGTTTAATTTATCTTAATTTACTTTAATACTATTGAGTTGGATGCAAAGCAGCCGGAATGGCGGAAGGCTTGGCAGGCAGGCAGGTAAACCCCTTGCGCCGCAAGACAGTGTTATCAGTAGTCGTATTACCGCTTTTGGAGATTGACAGAAAGATGAATATTGGAGAACATGGTCTGCGATATTGGCATATAATTTCCAAACGCTGGATAGGAGCGATGGTACGATATTAAAATGAATACCGGGCCCCAATGGATCGAAGGAGTTTCTTCACAGCTCTGAACAAAGAATGGCGACCGACCCCACGCCGCGTAACCTGCTTTTGAACACATTATTCGGTCATGATTTTGTCACCACGCCGCAACAGCTCCTGGATACTCGGCCTTCAGCTCTAGTATGCATACAAATGGCTGGCGGCCTCAGCTGCATCTGTGGCACTAAATCTCGATTTCTTGAGGCCTAGATCTTACTCTCGCGATCCGGTGGCAATCGTGCATATCCTTGAAAACCTGCAGGAAAGCGCGTAACGGAGAGCGTAACAAAGACAACCCTACGAGTCATTAGGCTGAAGAATCGCAAACAAATTCTGTCACAAGAACAAAGCGATGCTTGGTAGATCTTAAATTATTTCGGTATGATTCCGAATTTCGTTAGTAGGCAGGAGACGATGGTCCGAGAAAGAAGAATAAGGTTGTTGCCAGGATCTCCTCCAGGGCGTCTTCCAACAATTTCGAGGGGTACCAAGTCTTTACTGTAGGCGGAAAGGTGAGCGAGGTGAAGCGAGGTGCGCAAGGCCCACTGACTTCCATGTAATTGATGAACGCATTCGGCCGGTGCCAGCTTGCCCAGCCACTTTGGCACCGAAGGTTGCAAGAAACTGCCCGATTCGTCGGCTACGAACTACGCTTGTTTCGCGTAACCATATCGTGAAACGAGAAATCTTGTTTAATTCTACGATGGATGGGAACGGGACTTGTGTGCGCTGGCAGCTGGGAATTCCTGGGGTATGACGTTTTCCTGAACTCGACGCCTTTTGTCTTTGGTTTTTTTCTAGTTAGAGTGGAACGGGGCCATAGCTCGGAATTATGAGAGACGGTGGGGTTCGAGGCTAGAGTTACTACTCTGGTATGTAGATTTGGTCAGAGACTATTTTCAAATCGTCCCAAAAACCGAAAGCAAAATTGGCCCGGAACCCTTGACCATGTTTCTTGCTACAAGTTTGTTTGTACAGCACCACTATGATATTACAAGTTGGCATGTCCGAAGTACCTTTGGGTACAAATGATGCAATATGGGCATATCATCTTTACTGTTGTCGCAATCTGAGGCGCCAGCAAGCGGTAACTGCAGGGCTTCTGTAAGATCATAACCAAAATGGTGAGCTCGCATCGAAATAGACTTAATAGGGTGAATGATTACGAGCGCGATTTAGCAAAAGCAGACTAGGAAAGACTAAGTTAATGGCCAACAGAGGCTGGTGAAGAGTGCACCGCTGGCAGCGAATGCTTTGCGACAAGATAGAGTTAATATGCAAAAGGGAGGAGACATGACATGAGATACAGCCGGCTACCGAGAGCACGCAACGAGTCGCAACTGTGACCCCTTCATCTTCTGAAACAACCAAAACCGCAACCGACCCCTGGGCGGCACGCACAGTCTTGGTTAATAACCAAAGGAGATTGAATCCATAGTTTCCATCGTGTTTCCCGCATTTGCTTTCTGTATCATGCCTTCCGATTAGGGTCACTTGGATTAACGAGATTGGCCACCCGTGATGGTTGAATTCGTGGTTCTAAACAAAGCGGCACAAGGTTTCGTTGGCATGCACTGTAGAATCCGGATTTAACGGTTACGGCTACAGCCACTGCACTGCTACAGTTGCTGCTACAGCTAGTCTGGCTGCAGCTCCATTACAGTAGCGTTGGTAAACTTAGTTGTACTTTAGCTGCAACTCGTCAAGGGTGCGAGGCTCCGCTCCGGCAAGCTTTCACTTCACTGGTCTTCTCTCAACCCCGTGGAGCACCGACAGGGATGGGATTGAGACGCCAGCGATAGCGACTCACAGGCCCTATACTCAGAGTCGTTAGAAGGCTACCTTCAACATCACCCAGAAGGGCTGGCGCTCCATGTAGCGCCAAGTTCCCTGTTAAATCCGCCTACACATCGCGATTCACAATCCCCATTCCACCAAGAACCGGAAACCAACTGCAACCCACCGCCTTTGCAGGTTTCTACATGATAGGCGACGAACCCACCAGCCCATCGCTTTCCACGTTCCTTGCTGTCTTGTCTCGCCTTGCCCATCTCATGTTTTAGATCATTATGAGCGAAATCAGGTAGAAAGAGGGAAAGGGGAAAAAAAAAAAGAGAAGAAATTCAATTCCAATACGCTCAGTCTGGTAGCAACATAGCACTGTCCCTTGTTTGACACATTGTTGGCTTGTCCCTGTTCCACCATCGTCCTGGAACCCCCGACACTTCTGTTCATGCACCCGAACCAGCCAGCCGTAACCAGAGACTCCTTGCGCTCACCCATCAGTGTGCTCTGTGTTCATACCCAAGGCTCCGAAGGTCTCTGCCCATCGAAACCTCCCTTACTCGCGGAATGAACCTATGATTCAACGCATAGCACACTTGAGCCGCTCCTCCGGCACCCTCCTCGCCTCACCTGCCCAACATGGGTAATACAGCCTCGGTCGAGGAGGGCCGGAGAACAACTTATAAGCTGGCAAAACCCCGAGTCGGCAGTCATGAGACCAACACCTTATTAGGCCCTATCGGGTTGACTGACCCAAGACGGCGTTTCTCAGTTTCAAGAACTGCCTCTCTTCCTTATGGCACCTCGCCAGCTCCATCTCCAATGTTTCCCAGTACCGAGTCCGCAATGGAAGGCCCTCCCGAGATCAAAGAGGAGACGACGAACAGAAAGTCTCGGTCTCGTTCAATATCCCGCACAGCTACAGCCCTGTTCCGGTCAAGATCATCACAGCCTTCGCAGAGTCCGCGGCGGAGGCAGAATAGCATCGGGGTGCAGAACACCTCCCAAAGCACCAGGCCGAGCAGGGCGAATTCAGTTATCGTAGGCGGCTCCGAGCCGCACTATGCTCAGTCAAATGTTGCTGTGTGGAACACTCCTGTGTAAGCTTTGAGTTTGTCCTGTCGAGGGGTTTATGCAACTAACGCGTGGTGATACGTAGCCGGCCGAGTGCGGGATCTCGTCGTACCTCTGTAACCTACGACCTTAACTCGTACGAAGCAAAGCGACTGCTGAACCTGGTGGAGGAACCGGCCTACGAAAAGAACTCGATAGCCTCAGAGAGCTGTTTCCAGGCTGTACGCCCTCAACGAAGAGCTTCGATTCAGTCCCCCGTTGGAGACAAAACCGCAAATGCTAACATTGGGAGGGCGAGCTCCGATGTATCATTGTATGTGCCCATGAGGAGGAAATCGCTTATCGCGACGCCTGGAGTGGCCACTAGAGCACCAGCACCACCGCCACCAGTACCGGCAGTACCGGCAATGCCACGGAAGTCGTATGCGAGATTCAGTCTGCCGTCAACACCAGCTCGCCGGGATTCCTTAGATTCCATAGCCGGTAGCATCCTTTCAATTCCGCCACTGAGCATCAATCCTGACTCATTCCCCCGTGCGACGACTCCCTGCGACGAGGACTATGGCCACATTGGCGCTTTCAAGATAGGGTCTTTGCGAATCACAAATGGTAGCCCAGCGATGAGCCCGGCCGTCGAAACTCCCATGGATATGTTGCCTTCACTTCAGGAGCGAACTGAGAGAGACAGTTACTTTGCAGGCGAATCAGACTACCCATCCAACAGTGCTCCGACAGCACTCTTGCTTACCACCGACAATGAGCGCACACCGCAGAAAACACATTTGCTAAGCCCGCTCGTAACTTCAAAGCAGGCTTCCCGCAATATGATTGCAGTGCCTGCGTCGACAAAGTTCTCACAGTACCTGCCAGAAATTCAATTGAGCCCGGTGGATGTGGAGAACTATTCCGACGCACATGCTACAGGCCTTCTGACGACCAGCAAGCACACCGCATTGGAGGATGATCTGTTCGAGGATGACCAGTCAGAGTACTGTCAGTCTGAAGTCTTGGATGTCCGTATAGACTTGAATGCGAAGTCTCTGCCGCCTCGTCCACGTTTGATATCGGAAGGAAGAAACAGTCGGGAAATGATGAGATCCGATAGCGGAGTGGTTGCGACCCCTATTCTCGAGGAAATCCCACAAGCACAAGCAGCGCTGGCGAAAAGCGACTCCGGCTACAGTTCCAATATGTCACTCCGCTCATTCTCCGCGAGGCCGTCTGTGTCCGAGAAGGAAGAGCACATGGCCGATACAGAAGACCCGCCGCAAACGCCTCTAAAGGATCTGTTATCGGCAGTGCATGAAAATCCTGCCGACACCAATCCGAATGGCTTAGGAGTTGCTGGGCCTGAAGCTCAGGCGCGTGTGCCACCTCACTTGTCCCAGAAGCAATTGACAGCTCAGGACGTTGCATCAAAAGATCTTCCACCTTCCAGTCCACGAGGAGGCGAGGCTTCTCGTCTTGGTCATGTTTCCTATGACTCGGGGATTTCAGTTCAAGACGGTCGAAGCAAGACGAGCAGTACCCCTCCTGAAACCGGCCAGTCGTTGATTAGTCCTGAGAGTTCAAGCTCCTCTCAATCCGGCTCGAGCGAGGGTAGCGGCAATCGCAAGCCCGGGAAGTTCGGACGGTTCTTGAACAGTGCTCGCAAGCCCCTTGCAAGCCAGGCCTCTCAACCCTCCGACAAAACCAGCATTCCCTCGCGCCCTAAAGGAAGATTCAATGAGCGGGGTGGATCTTTTACCCTCTCCATGAAGCGTCTGGGCCTCATGGCTGAGCATAGTAAAGCGGCTTTAGAGCCCACTACCAACGTGGAGAGCAAACGTCAAAACGACGAAGTGCCAGCGGTACCAGCACTGCCTAAGATAGTGGCCGACGCAGCTGCGCTGGACGTGAACAGCGTATCTGACGCCAGCTTCTGGTCTGCGGACGTCTCACTGACATCAAATTCCATTGAACTCGTTTCTAGCCCCACGGCAATCGCTCGTAAGCCCTTACCGATTCGAAAAGATTCTTTTGAGTCGACTCTGCCCGAAGTAAGAGCCGCTCAAGGAAATAAGGCATATTCGGAACTGCAACACTTGAAATTAGGGTTTGAGGACGTCGCCATCAGCGTTGCACATTCCGTGCCCTCTCTATCTGAAGATCCCCTCACGGACCAAATGAAAAGAACGAGGTCGCCACCTGTCAGCATGAGGACGCGCAATAAAGGTTCTTCCCAGAAAAGGCCTCCTTCACGGGCGCAATCCACCCCCCCAGTTAGTGGCCAGGGGCCTACTGCGTTGCCTCTGAGTACGAGATCCAGTAGAGAGAACATGCGCAGCTATCCAACATTTCAGCCACTCTTGTCAAGAAGGTCGAGCCGTGACAATGTCCACAGCTACCCACCAGCTCAGGCTGTGTATGAGAACTTGGACCGCTGTATCACTAGTCGGTCTCCCGCCCCAGTCGACACACAACGCTTAACAAGTTTGAATTCCATGGAGGGTGAGCACCGTCTTCCCAATTGGGAGGTCCAGACAGACCATGGCGCACTTTCTCAACGTTCGTTTGTCAACAATAGCCGTGGTGCTTCCCCCGTAGACCAGGCTAGCCATCAAAATCCCGTTTCTCTGGAGCCGAGGTCACATCTACATGTACATAAATCTGCCAGGCCTATGGTACTCCGTCACCAATCCAGTTATGACGGGTACAGCTATGAGCAGGTTAAGGCAGCGGCTGAAGCAGCAGCCGATCGTTTCCACGAGGAGAGCTTATACCAAGATAACGGTCCTTTCCCTTCCATGAAGCACGCAGATGGGCAATCGTACGTTGCTGATCCCTGGAGTGGTCGGTCTATGCCACAGTCACTGGATCAGCAAGGCCGCCTTCCACCACATGTGTCTCGCAGGCACGCGAGAACGAACAGCCTAGGGTCCCACGGTGTCTCAGCCCCCTACCGTGTGCTTCACAGCTACAATTCTCCTGCGTATAAAAATGCGCCGATCTGGGGTTGAACCTCACAACACGAAAGTCGTCCATGGGCCAGCAACCATATTCTCTCATTATTCTCCTTTGGACGTTAAAATCATCGTACATACTACGTTTTTGTTTTATTCGAGACTCCCAACGTCTATGATATCCCGCATTGCCGGCGTTTCGAGTCATGTTTGCATACTGCAAATTGGAATTTTATCTCAATCTGCACCACCATTCATTTTTCTCAGGTCTTCATATTCATCCTGGTCTGGCACTGCTCCGTTGATGGTATACATTGGGTTGCGTTGATGGTCTTACAATTAGCGGGCGTTCTGTTTTTGGCACAAAGCAACAGTCACGAATGGGTTTACGAGTAAAATCAGAATTATACCATTGCACACGAAAGGTGTTTCAGAGACACTAAACCTATCATTATATCCACAGGTCACCGGGGCCAGTCAGCAGAGGCTCAGAAGTATTTAGCATATTTGGAATATAAACTTATTCAAAGTCAACGTGCTGCACATCTGTAACTTGTGAAGGGTCGTACAGCCCATATCGAGGTCACCATTCGGCTCAGATGATTTCATGCATGCCACCAGATCAAAGACCAAGCAGGGACCTGTGCCAACGAGCCAGCCCACCGTAATGAATCGTGTTGATCCCTCATAGCTGCCCGCTCAGTGACGTATATTATCAAGTTCAATTGGTGTCTGTTCTTATTCAAGCCAGCGTTTCGCATGAACAGCAAAGCTGTGCACAAACATACAGACGGCGGTCCACATGAGCTAGACGCCACTCGCATCAGTCAACTCTGTACAAGGATTCCCTGGTAGTGCAGATGGGTCGGCTGTGAGCTGAACTGTTCCGGACCCGCACGTTCTGCGGCCATTTGTTATCCTAGGGTGATACATCAATCTAGTCGTGGGACAACCTTCTTAGTTTTATATTATTTTTTTTATATTTACCCTCTTCTTTAATGTCGTATAGCTTGGAAATCGCTCGTGTGAACACATATTAGCATGACCGTTGCGCCCGGAAACAAGGCTTCGTGTAGATATATGCATGTAACGACTGGGTGCCAATGGTCGTTGCTTCATGGATCTATGTATGATACTTCCTAGGTATGTATGGATGGATGACGGTTTCGAAATTTCTCTTGCGCGTTTTTTGGTGTTATCGAGCAACCATTCCTCCTGCGAAGCAGATGGTATTCGATCATCTGTTGATCGACGGTGGCTCTTCGAGAGAGAGTACTAGTCAAACTATATTGCAATAAGACACGGCTGCTACAGTTCTGCCAGCGACTGGATTAACTGAGCCCGCGCGTCTCATTGCAAAAAGATTTGACTAGTACTCTCTCCCTATACCTCATCGTCGCGATTAGTCGTGCTCGTCCAGATCAGAAGACTGACAGTTGACTGGCTAACAGACCTAACATTGTCACAACATTACAGATGCCAGTCACTCTATTCACAACCGTCTATGTTCCGATTATTTCCATCAGCGACGGTACTAACAATTTATCAACAGGTGAACTAAACTACGGGTACGATTGCAATAGAGAAACTCATCTCAGTGTTGATATTCACTGCAAACAATTATCGCAGTCTTGCGGCCCGAGTTCGCAACGCCCAGCTGTCACGATGTTGTCCCCCTGTGGTCGACACTAACAAACGTTATGCCGACAAAGCTATCGAGAACATTGCATCTTTCGTCAATTCTCAATTGTTGTCTCAGCCGAACTACGCGGCGACCGCATGGTCTTGCTGCGGTTTCAAAGCCTTGAAGTGATAGCTACCTGCACAGCTGTCCGGTAAACGCCCTTTGACGCCATGTGAGATCCTTTGCCGAGAAAGCAGTCCGTAGATTGAGCAAGGCATCGGCCTGTAGTTGCTAATTCTGAATTTCTATATATAGTACCTTCACGTTAAACGCCCGTTGCCTACGACCCTCTGTCCTCGCTGGCCGCTCGACTTTGTACCCTGGAAGCGCGACCCGCAGGCCCGGTTCCAAGGTCTCTCAAAAGATTGCCTAGACTCTCAACCAGCGGAGGCAACGGCTCTGTGCGGACAGGATAATTATCTCTGAAGACATTCCTCGTGACATTCAGGACCATCCCCGGGTTCGATAAGGACTCAACGCCAGAGTGAACATCGCCGTTGAGAGTGATGCCCGGTATTCCCTTGTCCAATTGGAGAAAAGCGCGGGTCTCCCTGCTCTCGTTGCCGTCTACCAGCACATAAGTCGGCGGCGCAAGCATTTGCGGTGGTCTTTGTCCTTGGGTAGAGTTGGAGCACGACAGAAGACCATAAATCCATAGGGCCAGCGATGCGTAATAGACGGCAATAGCATTGAACCCTCGCAAAGATGCAGGAGGCAGTATTCGTCCGTTGCGAATCACCTGGCCAGCATGCCATACGGCGTGACGCGCGTCTCGGCTGCCAGCCCAGTTGTCTTCTAGATTTCCACCAGCATGTCTTGCTTCATCCTCACCGTGTTTGCCTGCGAAGCGCTGAAGCTCATCAGGTGAGACGTGCAAAATCATCATGAACAATTCTGCCACAACTGACAACTGTGTTGCCAGCTTTGGGGAGCTACTAATAAGCATGGCGAACTCTGACACATCGCGGTAGAGTTCTTGATGCTGAGAAGTCAGCCAAAGACGATGGGTGACAGATGCTCGGCGATTGTCTGCCGTTGAGTGATGGTCGTAAAATCGTACTGCTTCTCTGTATGCAGTTATCTGGCCCCAGAATCCGTACAATACGGCACTGTAACAAAGCTCCATATCCACAAACTCTTCAAACGTGTCGAGTAGCGTGATGGAATGCATGAGCTCATTCACCTTCGGAAGCGTAATGCCGGAAGGTAATGGCTTCTTTCGAAGGTAGATCTCCCTCCAAGCCTCAGCGGTCGGTGCCCGCCACAGATCTCGAGATGCTGGGAGGCTGAAGGACAGCTCGGTATATGACATGAGTGGCTTATTCTGTAATGCGACAGAAGCCTGGCCATCATGGAAGTACACGTGGAGAGCAAGTCTAGGTCGCATTAGTTTGTGGTCCAACCACGGTTGGTACCATGGTTATTTACCTCTTGTAAGACTCTCGTTTGATGAATTTCTGCCACTTCGCCTCAACTTCTTCGAGCGAGTCTTTTGGAGAAGGGACGAGGTACGGCGTGTCAGCTGGTGTAGAGAATGTCCCGGCGCGTCGCATCATCTATCAAGTGTAAGCATATGACTTACATGCCAATGACCCATTCTAACTTACGGTGACCGGGGGCAGGAGAAAGCTCTCTGCCATCTCCATCTTACGTTTGAAGCCACTCCATAAGCCTATATCGAGTTCCAATATGAAAGCCTGAAGGCACTGGAGATCCCTGGTTTTGGAATTATTGTTTTCGAACTGCAAGTTATCAGCATGACTTGCAAGCGTCAAAGTTTGCTCAGCCTCGTACCACTACAGAAAGTCCCATTCTCACAACTTCCTGCAGAGCAAGACCAAATTGCCAGATCGCAGGGTCTGCGATGAATGTCGCACCGCTTGATATTAAAGCTCCCAAGAGCTCGGGTATAGCAGACGAAGGGTCGAAAGAAGCTGAGTGTATCCAACTGTCCGTCTGGTAGTCATCCTGAACAAAATACGTTTGTAGCAGATAATTGAGCAGATCTAGGCTAGGAAACGAGGGTACTTTGGTAGGGTGTTTATGCTGGGATAAGACTAGAGCAAACAGCTTGTCTCGGATTGTTGGATCCATCTTTAAACGCTTGTTGGTGCTGGAGGCTAGCATCTTTTCGTAGGCTGGAGAATGCGCGATAGACTTTTCGTTAAACATCAAGCCCTCTTGCTCATTTCCGAGTGAGTCTTTTGTCTTCGGTTCCCAGAGCCATGGTGATCTTTTGAATGCCGCATAGCCGCGATTAGGATCGCGTACTGGATGCTTAGTTGCAGACGTAGTAGATGACTGGGGACTCGGTCCTATCAGATCAACCTGCGGTATAGTGTAGCTGTCAAAATTGAGCTCCCAAGAAGTAGTAAAGTCCATATCCGGATAGAAACTGTGAGTAGGATTGAAGTAGAACATGTCGTCCGCGGCCAACGGTTGCGGCACAAAATCCGTACTGAACGAAGTCGCCGTAACGCTATTCTCTACTTCCAAGCTCTGATCCGAAAGAAACTGTACTCTGCGCTCCGTGTGAAAAGACATCCCGTTATGAGTGTCGACCGTTGTGGCCGAATTACTTGTCATCCCTGGGCTATCCGAGGATGGCTCGGCTGTTGGTGCTGATATAACAGTTAGGTCGGCTGCACAAAGCCAACTATTTTAGCCCCCGTCAACAGAAGGAGGATCAAAGTGACCGAATATTTGGAAGACATACCGTCCGAGTTGCCGTATGCTGAGCCGCGCTTGGTAAAAGTTTGACACGCTAAGCTCTTGCTTCGGCATCTGCCACAGGGCTTTTGGTCGTCACATTTCGCTTTGGAGGCAGCACAGTTTACACAAGCTTCTGCTGCGCGATCACTTCTCCGTATAATGGACTTGCCTTTTCCGCCGTCATCCCTGTCGTGTGTTGTCTCGTGTCGTGTTAGCAGGTCACTAGAGACTGTCAGCCCATTATACCGTGTACACAATAGGACAATGGTACTGACGCTCGATTGAATCGCTTCGGACACCGTGAACATTGGTATGGACGCGCGTTCTCATCTGAGGAGGAGAGTCAGTCGGATGTTGTAGCGTATAATGGTTCTGGGTGCTGGGACGGACGCGATCGCAAATGTCTTGTCAGGTGGTCCGCTCTACACATTTTATGATCAGCAACGAGTCACATTCTCATGCTTTCAACAAGTCCAGGACTACGGGTCGGTCGTACCTTTCATATACCCTTTTGCAGATATGGCAAATGTGTGGTGAAGCAGGCGGGGATGCACCATCGTCGGCCACCTTGACGCGCTTTGTGCTGCGCTGCTCTTGCGGCGAAGGGGCCAAGAAAGAAGTCAGAAGATCGGACTCTACGGCATCGCAAAGTATATCCATGCCATTTTGCTCCGTCATATTGACATATACATGTATAGCAGGCTATCGTGGCTGCGACGATGCGCGATGAGGCACGGTGGCAGAGAGGAATGCCGCGGGACAGGTTACGGAAGAAGTGGAGGCGGGGTTCCGGCAGTTACAAAGGACAATAACCTTACAGTAGAGAAAAGCGACCTCACGGACTCGGGGGATCTTGAGGGTCCCGACTTTTCCCCAGATTTTCCATCTATATGACTTCAATTGATTGGCTATAACCCCATACTTAAGGGCATCTGCTGACGAATCATGTTCCCGTCAATGGCCTATTTGCCTATTGTTCCATCGGCGATATGCTATGGCAAAGCCTGCCATACTGCCCCTGCTCATTACTTATCTTGCCAGAAAATTTACATGGAATTGGGCTTGCACATATGATACTAAAGTACGGATTTATTTTGCAGCACCTGGGATAGGGCTGCAGTCATATCCAGCTATGCAATTATGTATTGGTACCGAGGCTAGCCTAACCTTAGGTTAGTCTACTTCAGGTCATGGCAAACTTTCTGTCGAGACTACACAGGGTTTGAGTTGATAAGACCTAGCTCAGCATGAGCTTTCATTTGTTATCATCAGCTAGGGCAAGCGCGGCAGATGATTAATTGGCCAGTCTTATAAAACCATCTGATCAACCACTTGTCTTTTCAGGCCACGAGCGTCACATCGTTCGCCTGGTATCCCGAGTTGCAAGCTGACTATCCCAAGCTGATTAACCACTAGACTAGTCTAGGTTTCTTGATCAACTGTGCTCATTCAGTTGGGTAACACTAATCACATCTCCTGAGCGTTACCGCCTTCGAATATAAGAAGACTGCCTGTCCAGGATATAGGCAACAGTTTCAATCGTTTGGTGCCAAAGAAATTGGTTCGAACCGATTTGACTTCTTGCGTGGTCATTCTTGTCACTTGTTCACTGGACTAAGGTTAGGTCGTTGGACTTGTGCGCGTGCTAGCCATGATGTTTTCACTTGACTGTCTCAGGCTCTCAACGGCTTCAATTAAAAACTGCGACTGATCGGAGTGCTTTACGGCATGTAACATTATATCTCTAAGTATTTCTAGCAACCGCTTATGACCAATGGACGAGAAAAGCCACAATCTGCAATGCTGATGCCCCGATGCCCTCCAAATCAGAAATTGATCGAGACATGCTCTCAATGAACACAATGCGCCAAACCCGAACCCATGATAGCAATTTTGCAACGCCCTCTCTAGCCGGCGACTCCCATCCGGCCATAGTTCCACATCATTAATATGCAATGCTTTTTTCCCCCCCAGAAACGCCGCTTCTCAAGAATTCAGACAATTGAGGGATCCCGATGAAGGGTAGTAGAGGTATAGATTGTGATATTGGATAGCTCTTGCCTCCAGAAATCTGACCATGGTTAGTGACATCGATAGTCACATGAATGAAGAACTCCAGACCCACAAGTTCGAGCAGATTACAAGGCTGGTGTACCGCAGATGGGACAGGGTCGGCCAGGCAAAACCCATTGTTCCCTGCCTCTCGAGGCACAAGTAGCACATCTAACGCCGGGCGTCTATGGGCGCAGTTAGTTATCGAATGTGATCACGTTAAGTCGGACATACTGATTCATTGATTTTGGGGCAGCTGTGCTGAGTCAGACGCTTTGATTCAGGGTGGGCTGAGCCCATCGAGAGTTGACTGTCGCAAGGAGGCAGCGCCATTGTGAAGTTTATCCGAGTTGGGATTGATAAGTTGTGTATGATTTGGAGCTTTCAGAAACAATAGCCAATGAGCCTTGGATGGGTGAAGTGAATGGAAGGAAGTTGGAGAAGTGTATTGTCAGCTTGGTGTAGAGGGAATCTCATGAGGGCACACGTCGATATTTATACTCGTTGTAAGCTCTTTGTAATAGGGAATGGGGACCGGTGAGGTGCTCAGTCGAAGAAAACAAAAAAGGAAAACGAAGCAGCCTGAACTATCATAAACTTTCCCCCGCCGGTTACGGCTTGTGCGCAAGTCCTTGTGGATAGGAAGTGACAGATGCCGGCCAGCCATTTAGTTGAAGTGCAAGCATCCGCCGAGCATGGGAGCAATGGGAAACATGTCAAGGAAGGCTAGGCGCAGGAGCAAAGGGTACATTGTGGGCCACATAGCAGCAAGAACATCGGACAAGATAGTGATAATGGAGAACGGGCAAATGAAGTTTCCCCTCAGACAGCACAGTCTAGGGAGCCAGCAGCGCCTTGTAATCATTCGGCAATCACTCAACACAGAAAGCATCCGAGTAGAGGATGACGCTAGGTATGGGGAGCTTCCGTCCCTGGAGAGTGGGGTTTTGGCGCTCATGGAGCAACAGACGTACAAAAGGAATCGAGGGACTTGGCAGCTCTGCCTGTGATTGAAGCTGAGCTGAAGGGCAACTTGATTGGCTCGAACAGAGACGGTCTGATCGGCCATATACCAGGGATACCGTGGCCATGATGGGTCAGGGTGACCAGAAGAACTAAAAAAGCAAAAACGGTGTTTGCGATCCTCCCCGGTTCTTGATAGGAGATCCAATCGTGAGCGATGTGACAAAGGATCTGCCGGGATCAAGTTCCAGACACCTGGAAAGCCAACCAAACCCCATGGTTGCATCTTCAAAAGCTGCACACTAGAGCTAAGACCTATTTGGTGGGTTCTGATGCAGGTCGAAGTATACTGCGATATGTGCGAAACAGGTACACCGCGTTGCCATGTATCGCCCATTGGGTAGATGGAAACAACACTCATCAGATTTGCTTGCAGTCTGTATGCAACTGTAGCAGTTGAAAGAACAAACCCCCGAGATTCAGCTCATGGCACGTATGGGTCGATTGCCGGCGTACTTTACGACAGGTCTATTTTCTCTTGCCTGTGAACTCCACCTTTGCACTTAAGCCCAGGAACTAAAGCAGCATCTAAGGCATCTTCAAGGCAGCATCTCCACAGACATAATACTTTTAACCTGGCCAGCAACCACCCTGGCCGATTCACAGTTGATTTGCGTTTCGAGATCGATCCTGCAGGGTGCAAGCCCCTCCGATCAATCTTTACGGCCGGCAGCTTTCCAACTTCCAGCACACCCAGTGCCAAACTGCGAATTAAACGGGGCCAATGGACTATTCCCGTCGCAACAACCAACTTTGCTCGAAAGCCCTAGTCTGGACAATAATCTAACATAACGCAGATTAGGCCATATTAGCAACAAGAGCAATCAGTCCACTACTTCCATCTGCCATCTGCCATCTGCATCCCGAGGTTTAAATACAACTTTTGATCGATAGCCAAGGCTAGGACTGACAACGGGGGCGATCCTGCTTCTGGAGAGCTGCCATTAGACTAACGTTGGCCTCTGTGCGCTGAAGCTGCGCTTGCCCCCACGGGCCCTCGAGTATATTCGTCGAAGCAAGCAAGCCCCTTGCCTCCTGTGTGTTGCATTTCCCTGAATAGTGCGTGTCAAATACATCAGATCACACGTGTTGCGCAAACCCCACAATCTTTTGTTATCTCAGATGGTAATAACGTTGCTGCTGCTCCAGAAATTAATAGCCTTCCGGCGGCAGTTTCTGGAAATCATTGCGAGGCCGGGGAGGATGGATTGGTACGTTGTTGATTCGAAATTGCCCTATGGGTATTCCCGAGGTTCGACAATTAAATGTTGCAATTTGAAGATATCGAGATCCACATCGGTTCTCGCACCGAAACCGGTTGGAACCTGGGAATGCTACCTGAAAGACCATCGTAAAAGCGAGATATGACAGACACCTCACAATGCTCTACTCGGCGGGCTTGCAGCGCGTCGTCAGTCAAATCATGTGGCGTGTTCATGCAATAGCGCCTGGTCATAGCGCACCTTAGTAGTCAAACGCATAATCAAGAAGCACATCACAACTCTACTTCAACTATTTCTGTAATAAAATAAAACCCCAGATATTGATTGACCAGCTGGCGGATCTTACTCGATCAAGTCAGTGACCAATCGAACCTTCTTGGTGACAACGCAATCCTGCGGGTGATCATGGATCACCGAAGAAGAGTTGAAAGAAAATGCGATCTGATGAAGCAATCGACTAAGGTTTATGATGGATATGACCTGTCACAATTCCACCATGCCAGATCCTTTGACCGGTCAGTTTCAAGGCTCGATCGGAAACTGATTCTCTGTCTCGCGCTGGTGGATCGTTGTATTTGGAATGGCTCGGCGGAGTTTTCTGAAAGCTTTCGTTACCGGCGCGGCGGACGAGGAGGCATTATAGAAAATGTTTCCAGACACAACAGGAAGACGAATTTTCATAACAACCGGAAGCACAGCTTCGTGATTATGCTTCTTTACGACTTCCAGCTGTTTGCTTCCTTCCTACTTTGACTACGGCTCCAGGCGTTCGCGTATATGGCTACCTGTTTACTATGCAGTCTCATCGTTACTGTTGTTGCCATCTTCAGTCCGGTCTTTCGAGTAAGGCAATCAGGCAACCAGGGCTATGAACGCCTCGGATCATCTCACATTTCACCGCTCACTTCAGATGCCGGGATCTTGCATATGTTGCAGGTATCAAGGTTTCAATCGCTATGTGTCGACCCAGGTACCTGGCTGGCTAGTGAGAGGAGTACCAAGTTGCCATGGATCAGACTACTGCAGAAGCGGCGAGACCTGCAGACGTCGAGCCAGATTCCCGGAAACGAATCAAAGTCCGGGTGACAAAACATTCCATCAGTTCTCGAAAAGCCGCCTCGCCCCCCCACAAGCCAAGCCACCAATCCGTCCTGCCGCGAATAGATGCAGCACTACCCTGTTGAGTTACACGGCAACGTGGTTGACAGATAGACATTATTCCTCCTGATGCCACAATGGGACACGCACTCCTTTCTCAGCACCCGTTTATGGACGTACTAGCTAAACCCCCGAGAGGGACGCGCCGTTCCCGCGCAATCCATGCTTGCTAATCCTCAGATAACCCTCCGGGACCAGAGAGAGAAGCTCTTCTGGCCACCGCCGGTGTGATGAAAAGATTTCAGGGAGAGCCGCAGACAAAATGTAGCTATACTCGTCGTCATACGGATGTCTAAAGCGGAAGTGGATCTATCATACTAATTCAATCATCCGTGTGTCACTCGTATACTTCAATGCCGTCCCTCGTTGAGCAACATCACGTATTGCTTGAACTTAAACCTTTAGGCCTATCACTAGCTATAGAGTACAATATTTTAAGGTTTCCCTTGCATGTAGGCAGCACGAATTTCGTGCCAATGAGAACCTCGAATCACAACCCAACCCTGGCAAGACTTGAGGCACCGCTGGACTCAGCCGCCCATGCCCATCGAACAAGAGATCGCTCACATCGCTGCACGGATCACAGATGGTCATATTGTTCCAGCGCCGATGCCTCACGCCGCTGTCGACCTGTTCTGAGAATTTGTCAGTCTTTTGTTTTCCTTTTTTCCGCCAACAATGACTGTAAATATTCTCCACCCTTCCCCCTCCCTGAGCTATCGCAATTGCCCTTGATGCCGCAATACCTCTTCCTCATATCACATGAAATAAAAAGGAAGGAAGAAAAGCAAGTACCAGTACATGCTACTGCAATATATCCCTGGGTGAGACCAAGTTTCTTGCTGCGAAGCGATGGGGCATGGCCTGGAGGAGGAGGAAGCAAAAAGCAACTTCCTTATCAGCGTAGCCACGGACGATTCTGCAGGAGATCGGAGGTTTGGCTGGATTTGATCACAAGAAACTAAATTTTTTTTTTGGCCATGCAATGCAATGCAATGCAGAAAATGCCATCGTCCACTCCCTCCCCCCCCTTTTCTCCCTAACTTCTTAAAATGGTTCCGATTGCTCTTAACAACCACGTAGACAGACCTCTCTCTATCTACACGGCCGTAACTCATGCCATTGCTGCCCAACAGATTTGCAAGCACCTCCGGAGAGCCCCACCAAAACACCGGAGGCTTGGCAAGAAAAGAAAGGCCACGCATAGCCGCAAGAGTGAGCGTATTGTGACCAGTCCGGATGCGTGTCATACAATACAAGCACGTCGTTCCTACGGAAGGCTGCCGATGGGCCACGGGCGGGGCGTCGCGGTGGAACGTTTCTGGAAGTCCACAACCGGATACCTTGCTGGGCGGGTTGGTGCCTAGCGGCGTTGGTACTTTCTCTTTTTACTGCAGCAAGGACTATAACCAGACCTCATCATAGCGCGCGAGCAAGCTCAGCAACAACAATCGGTCTAATCGTAAACTAACAAACCAGACGAGAACAAGTATCGGTGTGTACCACGGTTTTTCTTTTGGCTGTATTCAAGATCTAAATACCATAATGCTCAATCTGCCCAAATACGATCCCGCAAATGTACTGGAGTTATAAGACTTCCGGGGTATCCCAATGACCTCTCCGTTTGTAATCCGGACAAATACAAAGCATGCATAAATGACAACGGCGAATTTGTTTCCCATTGCGTCCTGTAATCCTTTCCTGCGCCGGTTGCCCGCTGTGTATCTATTAAAGCCAAAAACGCCAAACTCGAAAACAGTGACAACGAAAGAGACGCCAAACGGAAGTATGTGAGGAGAAAACATGCAGGCCTTACGCCATATCTGCAGGCGGGCCGTGATGGCACGTGTTCGTTCCGTGGTACACCGACACAACATCCACGTCACCGCAAGTTCTTCGTAATATGAACAAGAAGTACACCAGGGGTCTCGATGCCTTTAGGGCTCATGAGGTGTATAAAACGATACCCTGGCTGAAGACGGTCAAGACGTATGCATGCCCAAGCGGCACACGGGTTAGCAATGAGGCCCGACGCATTATCCTCAATCTTGAATCTGTGTAGGGCGTTGGGTTAGCATACGTGACAACATATAAGGCTGGAAACAACATTCGCGTGGTGTCGCTACACAACATATGTCGGTGCAAAATTGGCTAGACGTCAGGTTGACACGTGCGAGGAGCGGTCAAGACGGAAGCCGCCCGTGCAACACCGCCATATCGTTTTTCTTTCTGCAACCTAGCGCAAAATCTTGCATCTTCGGCCTACTGCGTGTCGTATAATATGATTTGGCCTGCCACTTGACGGACGTCTGCACATGCCAACTCAGTCGTTGCTCGCGTGGACTCCCACACCAACTGGTTTATTGGCCGTGGCGGAAAGTGGAGTTCCAACCGTCCGGACCCAACATGTAGGCAAGCGTTGTTGAGGGCTCAAAAAGCGAGCAGTGAGACGTGAAAGGCTGGAGTTTTTAGGCAGAAAGGAAAACCATGGCGCTTACCTTACAAAGCTGAGCTGATCCACTACATTCGGAACGTTGAGAAACTCGAACATGTTCTTGCTAGTTCCGAAGTCGGGATGATCACTCTTTCCGGGGGTAGTTTCTTGCTTCCTCTTGACCACGCGGGTGAGTCCTTCGACGCCAGGCCGGTCTTCCTGTTTTTCGATGTGCAGTTCACATTTGACGAAGGGTCGAAATGACCTCGTGTTGCCGGTTTCACTGCTGGCGCCTTCAAGTGGCAATGGAATGTGCTGCCCGGCTAGTACGGCGATACGTAGGTTGAGGGTATGATTTGGAATATCGGCGAAAGATGTAGAGTTATCGTCACTGAGATAGCCCGAAGGCTTGAGCACCCAGCCTTGCTCTCCAGCAAACATGCCTTCATTGAGCATCATGCCTTCGTCCCATGATTGCCAGTTCATGGCTACCATCTGCACACCTTTGCGCCAGAAAAGTGAAGGATCCATGTTTGAGGAGTCGTATCGCATGCCTTTGGGAAAAGCACGCATGAAGTAGTGACGATTATGGAGGAGCATCTCTTTTTGCTTCGTTGTATATAGATCAAGAATCCTATTCTCGTTGATGGAGAAAATGTGGGATGGAACCTTGGCTGATTGGCCCTCAAACGCCTTGAAATGCTCACTGTGGGTGTAGACCCCCAACGAGCTGAGACTTTCACAGATAGGAACTTTGGGCTTTTTTGGTGTCATGCGTTCATCGTCAGAATCCGCATCATCCTCCAAGGTGGTTGATGGTATAAGAACAGACCCAACGGTTGACGTTTCCGGAGTCGACGCTCTCTTGACCTTGACGAGGATCTTATTGAGTAGCTCCTCCAGCCTGGGCGTTCTGGCTTTCGGGCAACCCTCATGGGGACTTTCCACAAGCAATCCAGCCCATTCTTCCTTCATGATATCCACCATGAGTTCTTGCTGCTCGAAACTGCAATGGACCTCGAGACTGACAATGATGGGTAAATTGCTGGTCTCGAAAGCGCTTTCACTTACGGCACGACACACATCTCGAAAACCAACAGGTGCTGTGAGCGTAAATCCGTGCATGACGATCGGCTCCTCCCTGCGGAAGGATTGCCGCGATCTTGATCGCGCATTGTGATCTGAAGCTTTGTCGGTGAGCCGTGCGTGATCTGGGGTTGCCAAGTTTTCGCGGCCAAACGCAGAACCTGCGAGCTCTCGCTGGGCCAAATTCGGGCTCCTAGCTTGAGCCTTCTCGCCGCCCGTCAACATTTGTTTCGCTTGTTCGATTTTCTCTTCGACCGTTTCGACGAACGTGGCAGCAGCGCTGTGCATACTACTTCCTGACAAGTGACGCGCATGATCAGGCTTGGTGGGTGCCTTCAAAGACCTATCAGGACTTGAACTGGGAGAGTCGCCATCCCAAACGTCGATTTCAATGCAACGACAGCCTCTCCGCAGTACTTTCTTGTACTCGTCTGCACTGCTTCGTGATTTCAACTGGTTGCCTGTCAAGTATGTGTTGTGACTACTGCTGATAAAGTAGTTGGTCAGTGGCTTTGACAGATCCTTTTTGCTGGCATCCACTGGCTTCAATGCATTGAGTCCGAACTGTAGCCACCATACTTCTAGGAAATGTTCAAAAGTGTAGGTTTCCCTCTCCAGCTTGGGCTCTGTTTCCCCCTGGTCGTCAATGAGGAATCTCTCGAACTGTCGCCGCGACAATAGCGTGTCTTTCTGCCGTAAATCGTCGAAGAGCTTTCTTAATCGCTTTTGTATGATCGCACTCAAGTAAATATCCCTCCTGCCATTGACCGTGCCGTCGCCCTGAAAATGGATGACCGTTGGCGATATGAACATGGCCAGATTGGCAGCCCGCTTGAGGGCTTGGACGGATCGGAGCCCATGAGGATTGAACGTGAGACGGCGCCGTATGGGTTGCGGGTCGTTCGACTTGGCCGATTTGCGCATCTAGTAACACATGCATAGTTAGTCACTGATGGATAGCACTTCGGGGTTGCAGCGAAAGAATGTCGCTTAACTCATGACGCCATGACATACTGAGAAACACATTGGGTCTGCACTTGGATCGCGCGATCCTAACGAGCAGCTCCTATCGTGTGTTGAATCTAAGAGAGCTGCGAGATAGGTATCTCCAAGGTCGCTGAAAGACAGAGAGAGAGAGAGAGAGAGAAAGAGAGGGGCGGCGTTCAGTTACGACATGCTGCAAACCCCGTTGCCAACGCTTCTAGGTTGACAAGATAGAGTCGGGGAGGTAGTATATGGAGTATAAACCCGGCAACTATGGTGAAGAGGGATACGACAAACAGAAAGATCAACACACTTGGGATCTGGGGAGAGATTGAATGGTCATGAAATAAGTTCACATCAAAATGTCAGCGGACAGGGGGGAAAGCTGACTGCTTTCAAGGTTCAGGGCAGCCTCGTCTCCGCCTGCATGGATGGAGGTACCATGTCGTTACACCAATGGACAGGTTCTAGGTTAGTTAGCCGATCCAGGGCCTCGGAGGCGCCAAGTTTGAGTCCAAACTTATCAACTTGCCTCGCACGAAGCTCTAACTAATCGTAGGGCTGTGGCGTCGCTAAACTTGTGATCGTCGGACCTCTAGGTTCGTCGCGGGACACAATACGAGCAGCTGGAACGAAGGGCAGACCATTGCTGCTGTATCATAAGAGATACACACCTGCTAGCTTAGGTTACCCCGATATCTCAACGGGCGCTATGGAAACTCATCGAGAGACAAGCCGTTCTCAGCAACGGGGATCAGAATGCCTGGTAGGACTTGGGAGGGGGCTGAGTCTTTGGAGTTCTCGGCTTGGTGTGGATTAGTTAGTCTTTATTTGATCGGCCCCCAATTTGGCTCATAGCGGCGGTTTCCACTCCACTTTCCAAGTTAGCGGCCGCTGTTAGAGTTTCCAGCGAGCGCGCCCCCCCAGAATACATATGTAGTAGTCTTATGTAGCTTAGATTGTTTGTTCTATTTAAATCCTCATCATTCACCACTCCCCTGTGTATGGACACGCTTATTTGATTTCTGTAGTGTGCAGGTCTCCGGGGATAGTCGCGAGACCACAGTGTCAATTGTTTTGGAATGTGCATTGCAGATCCGTAACATCCAGTTGCTGATTGATAACTTGAATAATCGTGTCTTCATCATGCCGGACATGTGCAGTGTGCCTCTCAGCCGCAGTAATGGAATGGCGCACTTCCGAAATTTTCTTTTTCTTTTTATCCCAAAACTCCGGTTGGCTCGGTCGCTGCATTTGGGCATACCATCGATTGACAGACGGAGCGTCCATTGGTCAGGCGACCCCATATGAGGCAGTGAGGTGATATGCACAAAGCTTCCAAACGTCATCCATGGTAAAGACAACACTCAATTGTGGGGGGATGCACCACACGCTCCATGACGCAGGTCTACGCGAAAACTTCCAGCTACACAGCCACGAGACGTTGCACCATTACGTGAAGAGCCTTTGGCCAATACCCAACCAAGGATAAACGAAAACTCGGAAACTACCAGCTCACTTGAGCCTACAGACGCATTCTGAAGCGCACTGCCATCATGACACAAAAGTCCCGACAAGAGTATGAAGCTGAGGTGAAATCCTGGGGCTTTTCTCACGTATTTACATGGACGGATGGGCCGTATGTCGCATAATTCTGAGACACGTTTCTATGCGCTATGCAAGGCTGACGGAAACGACTATAGCAATGCACATTACAGCCCTCACTCGCACCCTGGACGTACAACGCACCTCATTCTTGACGGGCAGCTGACACTCACGTACCCCAACGATGAGCGCCCCGTAAAGAAGACGCTTTCGGTCGGTGATCGGTTTGATGTCGATGCTGGCCGCGTTCATGAAGTGTGGGTGGGCAAGGAAGGTTGCACATATGTGATTGGAGAATGAGACAGGGGGTTCGACAGCTCATACTGCCAGTCCCGTCGGGTGTGTGATTGAGGGCCCACACTCCAGCTCAGTAAATGTGATACTGGCGTTGTTACAGCAATGATATCGAGATGCTTCCGCAAGTGCTCAGTTGGGGAGAAACCGATGGAGTGCACGCCAAGATTATGGCCAGGCCTTCCTTTTCAATTCGCCACTTCTTTCAAGCCCATGTCGACTCTAGCCGCTATCCTCATCCTGATTTGACGTTCTTGTGATAGGTATCGTTAATCGAAGTTTTCAAAGATATTTACTCAATTGTTACCACCACTGTCTACAATATGTCTAATAAGATACTATCGCGAACTATTGTCAGTAATAGAAATATATCAAAATCCGGAACTAATAATCAGAGCTGAGACTTCAATTCATTTAAAGCTAGAAATACCCCTTCATCCATATTCGTGCTCTAGGAAACTTCATAAAGAGGAAGAGCTGCTGGCGCAAGAAGAACTAGATACGACGCCCGGTGCGGACTTGAGCCCACAACTACAAAAAGGCAAAGTCCCAGACTCATTCTGCCACGCCACAGGCAGTGTCGGCAGTGGAGCTGTTCCGAAGTGACAGTCGCATGGAATGCGCCGGTAAGTGTTAGCACTGCTGGGGCGGACAGAGCTCACCCGCGAGCTCATCGGAACCCAAAGTCTTCTGTCGAAACTTAAAATCCGTTGGTTTGGGTAGCACATAGTTACCTGCGACTCTAGGGAAAATCGTCCCGTGGATCGCACACAACCTGCTGCGTGTCCTTCCGAGAGCGCCCAACGTTGAACACTCGATCCGATGGAGGGCCAAACTCCACGAATTCGTTGCCAGGTAGATCATCATCCAAATCATCACTTCAAGCTTTCAACTTACGCAATGGTGATCCCTGTCGTGGCCTCCCATTGTTCGTCGACATGATCATATAATCAGCGGATAGCTAAGCAGAGCCTTGCACGCGATATTCAGAGAAAAAGGTTTCCCTGACTCCACCTACCGTTTGGTCTCCTATCGTGTAGGTTAAACAGCCGAACGTGATGAGAATGTGTTCAGTCTGATAGTTGGCTCTGTCCATTGTCGCAGTAAAAGCGTTATGACTGCTGGATCATGCACGGCTGTGGTTTTTTGTTAGTGCAGCAAAGGCATTGTATGGTTAGCACTTAAACCGCTGCAGATGTAGCCAATAGCTGCTACACGACAGTAGTGTATGGCCATGACACTTCCACCGGACTGAACAACAGGTCTGCAGGGAAGGAATGATCTAGAACACTTTCACTTCATTCCCACATCCCCAGGTAGATGCTCCGCTATTCAGTACATCTGCTTCCTCCATGCTTCCAGTTTACATCAAGGTATCACTAGACTAAACGGTACAAAAAGGAAATCCAGCGCCAACCCAATGCAATGCCATGCCATGACGAGCGATGCATCTACCCCTTGTATCACCCATGGTGTACAGCAGATTACGAGTGTACGTTTCAGGCAATTGGATCTCCCCAATCCTAACTCCAAGACAGACGCCCGCTATGATATAAGCTATAAACAAAATCGTTAAACAAATGAAAAAGGGGAGGTCTTCCAACCCCTGCTATGATATGTGTATGTGGTATGTGACACTTGGTGTCAAAGTCATTGTATCTTTCTTGCATCAAATAGGTGAAGGCTCAGACTTGTGTCGTTCTCGCCCACATTCGGAGTAGGCTCACTAAGAATCTCCCATCTTCTCATGGTAAAGGGCGTGAGCTTTTCTGGCAACATGCCCATCCCAATGCCAAGAGCCATCGCTCGTCGCTCGTTGAGGCTCATACCGGATGGCGGTTTCTCCTTGTGCGCCAACATCAAGTTCTCAGCTGGATTAGGCGTGAAGCTGAAGAGATAGCGTATACGATGATGAGACGTGGAATCCTTGACAGCGCGCACACACTGCAGGCGGGCATCATCAGCAAGATTATCCGCCAGGAGCAAGGCAAGGTCATAAGCGCGCGCAGCCAACTCTAACGCTCGACAGTGACCAAGCTCTTGAACGAGACCAGCGAGCACCAGAAGTGATCGAGCACGAGTCTCGTTTGCAGGCTTCGAGGCATCAGCTGTACCTGAGGTGTGCAGGTTGACGTAAGAAAGCAGAAGTGGCAGCCAGTGCTCAAGGGTTGTCTCCTTTAGGATTGTGGCTTCCGGACTAGTAGATAATATGATCTCCCACAGATCAGCGAGTTTCTCCGCCATTACAGGAGAAATCTGAGCTGATCTGGACCCAGGTGTGCCGCGAATGATCATGTCAATCACTGCCAGAAGATTCTCAGCCATGCCGATACCTTGATTATCAAGGGCATCGGGAGTAGCAGCAGTTTTCAGGGATGGCATCATCTCTAAAAATCGCGCTTCCGCCCGACTCTTCATATGTTGTGTAATCTCTGGGCTCATAGACGATAACATGCCAGTCCACATGATATTGTTAGCATCGATAGCATTATCCAAGGCCTTGGATAGCAGCGCCAGCTGTGACTGAAGCCGATCTCCACTGTCTCCATTCGAGTCGTCAGTCGCCATGTTCAAGGAAAGCTTGACCTGGCAAAAGGGCAACGTAAACTCGTTGGCCAGTTCCAGTACCTGCTCGAAGGTCTTCTGTCCCCCACCACCTTCAGGCACCAGCAGATTTGTCGTGATGTTTTCGATAAGTAGTGATAATTTCGGGTCTGGACATTTGAGAGACAAAGTCTGGCTTACAGCCTGAGGGTCGACAAGTACTAAGCTGCGCAGGAGTTCCAAGAGCTGAGCTCTGGTCTTGTCGTCATCCAACGGCTGCGAAATTGGTGGTTGCAAAGTGCGTGATATAGAGTATTCTGCTAATGCACCCCTAATGAGAAGCGTCACCTCTTTAACACGCTCTACTTTTGCTTGCTCCTGCATGATACGGAATCGGTAACAGTCTTCGGGAGTCATGAAGAGATTTGGCGCCAACGTTGTTACCAGCAGCTGTAAAATTTCCTGCATGTAGATGGACGCGAACCCAATAGCGGTGCCACCCTGCATGCCGGTTCTATTGGCCGTTGCAAACAACGCGGTCCAAGGCAAACACCCCGAACTTATCAACAGCGGGTAGATCTGAGTCATCTGTGGTCGGTGAGTGAGCCTACGGATATGTTGAACCCAGCCCCTCATCAGAGTATCGAAATGTTGGGTGTCGAAAACCCTCAGCCTGGTCAGGAGGATGGAGTACGGCCGTTGTCTCTCGTCGGCCTTGTTCCAGCAGCTCTGCAGGCGGTTGATGATCGTGTGGAACAATCGCTCTATCGTTGGCCTGTCAGCACTGGTAAAGCTTGCTAGCTTCTCAATTTGCTCGTTCAGCTCGGTTTCCTCATCTTCCAGCTGCATAGCCATGTTATCAGATAGCGGCGACGAAGCATCAAGCGCGCTGCTTCTATCGATTCTCATCAGATCGAGCTGCAAACGAGATGCTACATCACCCATACCAACAAGTCTTGGTGCAAGCCGCGTTAGAGATGCCAGCAGCGGGCGCGCTCCGATACCCTGCAGCTCGCTCACCGTCCTGAGGCGTTCCAAAAGGCTATCGAACAACGATTTTACAGACCCAGTCGCAGCGAAGACCTGAGAATGCAGATTGACGGTGTCCGCACAGGATGCAAGCAGTTCCGCATTTGAAGAGATCAACAGTAATTTGATCGTGCACTCAAGCATTGAGTAATCCTGAGTAGCTTCCAAAAGCCGTCGCACTGAGTCGAATTGAGAACCACTGAGTTCAACGCTGCCCTTTCCCATATGTGTATGTTGGGAGAAACTGGCCACGAATTCGTTGCATAGCCAGTTTCCCACCTCTGCCTGAAGCGCTCGGCTACTAAGTGTGAGACGCTTCGCAATTTTTTTTATGCTCAATGGTTTCTTCTGGTGCGCTGAACCACAGCCATCAGAAGCAATCCCAAACGAGTGTTGAACACACTTGATTGCATTCGTAATATCATCGCTTTCATACTCGGTAGAGAAGCCACCCTTGCGAAGTATTGTAGCGCGTAGGCTGCGGATTGAGTCCTTAATAGCGTGTATCGGTATCTCAACTAGAAGCCTTGTTAGGCACGACCCATCAGGTTGCGTCTCAGACAGATCAACTAGGCCACCCCTGGCGATGAGCCACTGGAGATAGTGCGCAACAGAGAAATGGTTGGTTCGAACTAGTTCCGACACGAGATGATATGCCAGGTATTTTCGATCGGAGTCTTGGAGCGGGTCTCGGTCCAAAAAGTCGAGGATGGCCGCTGTGATATCAATACCGAATGCCGACCATGCTCTTAAAATGCTTGCGGTGACGTAGATCTTTGCGATTCCGGGTCGATATAGCGACATGCCCCACTCAAGAAGCGTTGCAGCAAGGCCCGTCTTGTCTTCACTTACTTTCCAAATACTTACTGCCAGTTCTGGGCTGTAGGGTTTCCGAAGTGTAGTGTCCAGGAACTTGACGACGATGCCACGGACCGCAGGCCGCGATCTGATGTTCGTGCTGGTAAGTCGCTCATTGCGTTGGTCAATCAGCTCAACAGCATGGATTTGAGCTTCGTGGCCCGTCGAGAACAGAGGCAGGACGGCGTTCCGATACCTGGTCCAAGTCGGTGGATGAACAAAGCTGTCCGGACTAGCCAGCAGCATGACGCTTATGAAAGATTGCAACTGATTTGCCAATGGTAAAAGCACGTCTCGGTCCGGATGATGGTATATGGCGGCATGATGGCTGAGGACGGCAGTTACTAGTCGCCTTCCAATCTTCCTTAATCGGAGTAGGTCTTGCCAGTATATCCGTATGACCAAAATCCACATGGGCAACCTGGCCTGACTAGTGTTCTCTAATCCGGAGACAAGCCAATCCATATAGTGATCCCGCTCCAGCAAGTATTCAGAATAGAGGTGAGTGGCCAGTCGGATTGCGTATGTGACTCTCGCCTTCCACTCAATCTCCCCGAACGCGCTCACCACACTGTCGACGAATTGCTCGATATGAACAGTCCAATCTCTGATCCATTTGGTCTCACCACCCATCACAAAATGGCCGTTGACCCCTTTTCTCTTGAATGCTCGGATTTCATTGGCGCCCACGCACTTGGCTAACCACACAGCACGGTCGCTCGGTACGTTCTTGCTAAGACATTGGTCTAATAATACTCTTCCTCTGATTCCGTGTGGAATAGTCCTGCTTAGTCGTCGAAGAGATATAGCAGGGTTCGCAAGGTCCTTCAGCCATAGTTCACGCTTCGTATCAGTAAGCGTGACACGAGGTGGTGGCTTGAAAGTCGAAGCCGACGTGATCTGGCCGCTATGCCGCCTCTGGTTCATGATGCCTGTAAATAGAGTTGATAGTGTGTGTAGGCCACTCTTGTGTTTGAGCGCAGGAAACAATGTGGCTTTCGCCGACCCTTGTTCGGTTTGGGGTTGAGTCGGCGGCTTATCATAGTTGCCGCCTGTCCGAATGGCCGTGTCGGAAAAGCGGTCTTCCGGGCCATTGCCATTCCATGGGCTGAAATCCGCATATCCTGCGCCAGTGTCAGTCGCGTGGGAGCCCGGTTGTGTGTTTTTGGCAGAGCTACCTGAGGGTTCCCCCTTTCCCATATTCGAATATCGAGGCGCAGCAGCGGGAGTCTCGAGAACAAAAGGCTTCGGCTTGACATCCTTCTTGGCCGGGGCGGAAGGAGCTGATGCAGGCTTGCCAAGTCTCAATGCGGGCGCCGCGAAACGTGCCCGCCTCGGTGGCATGGGAAACGGTATCGAGTCGTTGTCAGCGGTCTGACATCTCGAAGGCGGTGCGCTCATGTCGCCAAGAGGTGAGACGTCGCCCATGGGCATCATACGTGACGGTGTGAATGGTTTGTTGGCAGAGAGGGGATCAAGAGTCAGAGGGGACTCGGAGAACCCGGCGTGAGTTATGCCATCGTTGGACAGTTCCAACTTGAGCTTGGATCCTCCCGCACGGGGTGTGGTGCCATATCCTGCCATGTTAGAAGACAAGTCGCCAAAGGTTTCCGCCTTCCGTATGGGCGAGGGCGGGATGTATTGCTGTGAAAGTGTCCGCTGATGCGGCGGTCGCTGCGACAACCCCGAGCCGGATATGGACCGCTGGGGCTGCCGCTGCTGCACGGCCAAAGGGGGCCGCGAGGTCATGATGGAAGGAAAGCGTTATGGGCCATCGCTTCAGTAGTTTGTGGTATTCGGTATGGTGTCGTGGCGTGAGGGGACGGGCGAGGAGGCAAAGGGCAAGGTGTAAGCAAGGCTGATGCGAAGCAGCGGTCGCGATGCGAACATTCGAGTCTAGGCGGCTTCGGTATGCGAGGCAGAGAGATCCGGAACAGCCCGGGGATACCAAGGGCCCAAAACCTCGAGCAATGGCAAAGCACTGGAAAGGGGGCGGTGGGTTGTGGTTGCGCAGTAAATCTAAATCGTAGGGTACGGAAGGGCAATGAGGTGAGTTAAGGGATGGCGGATTGAGACGACGTTGGAGAATGACCCAGCACGCAAGCACGCCGCACGCACAAGACCCATGCGATACACGGATCCGTAGTGATAAGTGGTGACTGGTGAGCAGCGGTTGAGAGGCAGACGGGACCTGGGTCCTGAATGTCGAGGCAGTCAGCGGGCAGGATGGGGTCCAGAGCCCAACCAGGGTGTAGTGGATGCAGCACGGCGCTCAGGTTCGTCAAAAATGGCATGGTGTGGCCGTGGGTTTCAATCTATCGGAACAGCCGTGCCACCGCAGCTTGTCCCCATGCTCGTGGTTGTCAAGGGTATGATCTGCACTTGCCGTCTTAGGGTGTCATCGGAACTGCGGGAAACTGTCGTCAAGAAACCAAGACACCACAGCACAAGCACAGCAGGGGCTTTCTGGTGTGGAAAGATTAAAGTAGTGCTCGCCGTTCAAGGAAACACTGCAAGGCCCCATCGTCATGCTTCTCGACTCCGGGCTACATACATTATTCAACGGTGACTCGTGGTCCGATGCAAGTTGGAAACAAGAACATCCCGTGGGTCGAGCGTCGAGCATCGCCGAGTGTTGCATCGGATCTGCGTTGGACATTTCTTTGTTTCCTGTTCGGTCACGCTGTGCTGTATCTGACCGAATGTTTCTGAACCCACTGAGGCCCATAGCAGCTTCTCCGAAAGTCAAGTTTCGGCCACTAATTAGCACTACGGCCGGCTCCTCACAGCTCACTTCTGAATAACACCTTCTCGATAGGCCCAGATAACAGCTGAGGCGTTGGGCTATGACAGCATAGTTTGCCAATTATTATCGGCCTGGGCGTCTCGGCCTCGTCCGCGCACAAACTTTATTGTGCGTTGCCATCCAGTGCCAGTGCTGCAGTCCGGAACTCATTATTATTACAGTAGGGTAGGCGGTTGATTGCTTGCGCTTCTGTCACTCCATAAAAACTGTGCTTGTGCAGTAGCTTCCCAGCTGTCCCCCAGTTCCACCACACTTAGGCGAGGCTAATCGGAATCGTGACCCCCAGTCGGGTCCCATTAACGAGACGGCTCAGGCAGTATTGCTTGGCTGTTAGTCAAAACAGGTAAACCAGGCCGAAGAACAACCACCAAGTATGCGCGGCTTTGGTGCGCTGTTAATATGGCGGCGAGGCTACGGGAAGGGTGCTGCGGATTGCCAAAGCAAGCAGTAGATGGACATTCGCGCACTTGCGTAAAACCCGCCTCTCCAACGACAATGTAAAAGGATAAAATGTTTTATACAATCTCATGCTGTGTTGTGCCAGTGGCTTGTTAAGTACAGTTGGCGTATCCCATCCGGCACGGTAGCGTACAGTGCAAGTTGCTGATGTAGAATCTACGCGTCGTACAGTCTAGCGATTGCTTGATCGTGAGGTGAGACGATCATCTCGCGTGCCACGACATACACATGCAGTGGATTCGGATTAAGGACATGTTCCCCCAACGCTGCTTCATTTTTCCAGTTCTGCCCTCGCGAGGAATGTCAGATATACTAGTTAGATCCTTGAGGATGGTCTGCCAAGTGATTGGCACGTGAGCGGGAATTTTCAAGTTCGATATCGCTCGGACGGACTGTTCGGGTTTTTGTCAGCCAGCCTCGAAATTGGCTTACAGAGCAGCACAAATGCCACGGCGGCGCAATGGGTTTGCTGACCACGCATTACTTGCGGGACAACAGGCTACGGGATTAATTCCCGGGCACGAAAATAGGCCACCTTTGTTTTCGGGGCCCGAATGCTGACTGCATGTCGTCTCGGAAACGCGGTACTGACAATTGTCAGCGATTCGAATTTCCCGGCTTGGGTAATTGCTGCATCCGGTGCAAGAGGAGTATACTTCGGGGTGCTGCGTAATGTGCTGTGCAGACTGTTGGCTCCCTTGATCGTCGAGGAGTGTGCCCTCCTATCTCCTTTGGGGTCCCGATGAATGCATAGTACCTCCATGTCGTGGCACATGCCGTCTCGTTTCATGGCACTATGTGTTAAACCATGGAACTATCGAGCCAATGATTGTGAGGGACTAGATGCACTTGATGCTTAACGAACTTGTCTCGGTCCAACCACGATCTCGAAACCGGATACATGACCAAGAATGTCTCGATGGGGGGAGGAGCCTGATGAGACGAATGGCTACTACGATAGCCGTCCGGGTCCAGGCCAGAGAGAGGGAATAAGCTTGGCGCTCTGCGCGGGCTGCTTGCTTTGTGCCCTGACATAATAAGCCAACCCCCGCAAATCGCGGCGAATGCTAGATATCGTTATCGACTACGCTAAAGAGCTCGGACCATTAGACCCTTGCCAGCTCGCTCCTGCTGCCCGCGGAACCTCCCAGCTGGCTTCCGATACGGTACCTTGCGAGGGCCGCGACTCGACGTCGCAATCGAGCTTGCCTGCGCATAAGCGTATCGTGAGCATCACAAATCAACAGCATCCTCCTGTGTGTTCATTGAGTCCTCCCCCAGCTCACAGTCTAGTCTAGCCCGATAAACGATAACCATGGCTTCCACCAAGAAAGATATGCGCCGAGCGGACCTGAGTAAGTCCCAATTGACCTTCCCGCGCCCCCCCCTATCTACCTAAACTGCGCACTAACTCGCCATCTCCTTCAACAGTTGTCCCATACCAGGCGCCCGCCGGCAAGGGCGAGAGCTCCGATTTCAGCTCCACGCTGTCCTCCACCCTGCCCATGGCCGCCATCTTCACGCGCAACCGGTACATCGGCTGGGCCTCGATAGTCTTCAGCGTGCAGAACTGGCTGGGAGAGAGCGAGGAGGCGACCAAGAACAGCACGACGCCCGGTTACTTTACCATCGGCATGAGCGGTATGTTATTCCCTGGTGCTTTGGACGCGGAAACGTCGAAACCACAAGTCAGTCCTGATGGGATGGGGAAATGTGCTAATGGAACAATCGTCTTGTGCAAACAGTCATGGCTCTTGCGACTACATACCTTCCCATGTTCTTGCCACCACCCCCGAACGCGAGAGGGACTGGCACCGGAGTAAGCAATTTTCGCAACTTTCGCAATTATCTTCTGCCCTCTTCTAGCTTGTACACGGAGCGAATATTGCCTATCGGGGACAATTGGGCTCGTTGCAACTGCTTCACATTACTTCCCTAACACCCCAAAATTACATTGAAGTGACAACTGCTGACCTGAAGGTTCCAGCCTGCTGCACCCGTAGCCGCGTAAAGAACTTTTACTTTGGGACAAGTAAGATTATATGAAAAGGACCAATATTAGATTTAGCTGGTAATCATGGGTTAAGAAGAAGCGGCATCTTGGTGGATACATCTCGAGCCGTGTCGGGGTGCTTCACCAAGAATTGCGAACTGACTGTATCAATAAGCATGATGAATAAGCATGACGGCGTAGCGCAATACGAGCTCAAAATGGCCGAGCACTACGAAATCACAAGAACGCGGTGGTAGTCGCAGGGTACCGAACTGTCGACACCTCTGGAGTAGAGCAGTAATTCAATTTTCCGTTTCGTCCTTGTGCCTTTGAAAACACCATTTCCGTATACAATTTACTGGCTGAACGCTTCAAGTACTATCACAAGTGACGCGTTTCCATTATTCCCGTACATCAGCTTCAAGCATCAAACGAGCAGGACCACCACTCGTCATTTACATTATCCGTGATACCGCCATGTCGAGGTGGTAGCTCGCGCTCAACCAAACCCGGATTCGCCTCTTGCCCTTCTTCAAGCCGAGGACTCGACTCCTAGTCCTCGTCGAAGATCTGATAAGTATTCTGCAATATCGTGTCCACTGCCCTTACTTGCCAACCCGAGTCGGCAATATTACTGCTTGGCGCCGTGCCCATGAGCGTGGGTCCGAAGATAATGGCTAGGTTTTGCGAGTTCATGCGGTTTATCCCCGAGTTTTCCATGACCCGGTGTAGATGTAGCGTTAGCGCCCGCAAGGTAGCATAATTGGGATCCGGCAATCCGTTGATGATAGCATGTAAGCCGTCGCGACGGTGGATATCATCCTCGAGTTTTGCCGCTTCTATGAAGTCAGGGTATCGTTCTGACGTCAACAGAGGGTCCGGCAGATCTCGGAAGAACTGCTTAAGCAGCCCAGCAACACTGTTCACATCGTGGAAGAAATTCTCCGGATTACGAAAATCCAGATTATGCGAACCGGAATCTGATGTCGTCAGCAAAATTTTGTAACACAAATGGGCACGGTCTATCTGCTTACCTGTGTCGAACATGTTCTTAAGTTTCTGAATATGTGTCGCTGAACCAGACAACCGGTAAATACCCTCGAGCGTTAGACCAAACAAGTCGACAGCTTGAATACATTGGTTGACAACTGTGGGGACCGCGGTGCCATCACGTTCGTATAAATTGTTTAGTGTTATGCCAAACACCTGCTTTGGTCTTGCGCCAATGTTTCCGGATGGCCCGGTCACAGTGCTTGGCGGAGAAACCGAGCGCAGTGAGTCTGGTGGCTGATAGGGGCCGGTTTGCCTTGGTGGAGATGGGCTTTGATTCTGCTGACTTTGGAATGGCAGGGCGCCTAATTGAGGCGGGCCTGCCTGACTGATTGAACCGACCCCGTTACCGTATCTTTGATGTGAGCTTGTCAATGCTTGCGTGGAGTTCCTTTGATTTGGCGCCGGCTGATGTTGTTGTTGCTGTTGCTGTTGTTGTTGTTGTTGTTGTTGTTGCTGCTGCTGCTGTTGTTGCTGCTGTTGCGGGAAAGATGATTGGTTGAGGATGCCGCCATGACTGAAGCTTCTCTCACGTCCCTGCGGCGAGTTTGGTCGCTGCTGGGGGAAGCCTGTGGGCTGAGGAGGTCCCATTGGGGAAGGACCTCCGTATCCTGGAGGTCCCGGTCCCACGGGAGATATTACGGGGGCTTGTGAGGCTGGAGGCTGTGATTGTGGCGGTTGAGGTAAAGGCGGCTGCTGGGGCGGCGGACGAACCTGCTGTTGATGCATCTGTGCCATATTTGAGATGGACATATTGGCCTGCGGATTCAGAACAGCGTTGCGCTCGTATTTCGGCTCGGACCCCTTAGGTGGTACCTTGCTGTAGAAGCTGGTAATGTAATCCTCCAAGTCCTTGGTGTTGTCTACTGCCTGAATGACTTCTTTGAGGCTGCGGGAGTGGCTGGCTTGGTGGTTTTTAAGTGGGCTGATGACGAGGCCATTGCTGAGCAACAGCTTCTCGTTGAAGGATGCGAACTTTTGCATTTGTAGTGAGGTTGCGGCGTCGCATTCCTTTATAAGGTCCTGAAGGGCCTTGATTGCCTCTGGTCTGGTAGTGGCAAGCATTTGGGCCTTCTCAGATTGGTAAGTCTGGACCTTGCCCATGTAGTCGGTATCGGCAGCCTGGACCTTGCGCAATAACTCCTCCTCGTGCTGTGCTGCGGACTTGGGCCCCTTCAGACCAAACATCTTGCCGCCCTGTCGTGCTTCGCCAGTTCGTACGCGATCATAATCTTCGGCAAGCGAATCATACTTGGACTTGGACTTGCGCATAGCAGCTTCGATGTCGGACAAACGCTGTTCCGCCGCCAGACCGTTCTGTTTCCAGCCTTTGCGATGCTTCTCTGAAATGGCGGCGACCTCGTGCAAGTCATCGTGCATCTGATGCAGAGAAGCAGCGAACTGTTGACCATTTTCCGCCATTCGGTCATGTAGATGAAGCATCTCCTCGTATGCCAGGGAAAAGCTGCCTTGCCTGTGGTCCATATGATGAATGCTGTCTTGGGTCGATCTGCACAGCTTCTTCATGCCCTTGGCATGCTCCTCTTCTACCATTGAACGCTTCTTCAAGAATTGTGCGAATTCCTTGGCCGATGTTACGCTTTGCTTCAGTCGGTTCAGCATGGTTGAGACACCAATCTACGAAGTGTTAGCAAGCAGGTCAGTACGGGATACCCCAACGGGGACACCACCCGAGGGCGTAGACGTACGTCAGACTCGAGGACATCTTGAACCTGCTTTGACATCTCGGCACCAGCGGTGGTGGTTGCGCCAGGCACAGCAGCGGCAGCACCAGGACCATCACCGGCATCTGTGCCTGCACCTGTATCTACACCTGCACCATTCGATGGATGCGCTTCTCCGCCACTGTCGGCGACGGGACTGGTTCCGATCGACATGCTGTAAGGTTGTTGGGAGTCGGGAAGGTCGACTGACAGGCGGGTAAAGTCTGCCATGTTGAGTGAAGGTCAAGCGCTCTCGCTAGGAATGCCACATTGATCAGGTAGGGTACTGGGTATTGGGTATGAGAAACGTCTCTGACGTCGAGGATCAACAAATGCCAGTGCCGGTGAAAGTGAACATTGGCACCCATCAGGTTTAGGTTAGGTAAGTCGGGGGGGGGGGTTGCTTGGGTGGGTGGGTATCTACCTACTTACATACTTTTAAGGGTAGCTCCAGCTTCCAGGGCCCGGATGGGTAGCCAGTAGCGCAGGTAGCGCAAGGGAAGTGCTCTCTCGCTGGTGTTCCAGCGGGGTGACCTACTGTCAATCAGGTGGATCCGCCGCCCGTTGAGTTGACGCGGGCGCAGACGCACAGGCGTTGCGACTGCTCGATGCTCAATGCTCAGTGCTCTACGAGGCCTAGCTTTATTCGCAAAGGCTCTAAGACGATGGCAGTGCAAAAGTTAGTCCAGTCTAACGTTAGGCTGCCTTCCTCCCGCTCTCAACCCTGACAGCTTGGCTAGGTTATTTATGTTCCCATTGTACAAGTCAAATGCGTAATACGTTTTACCAAGTTCAAATATGAATGTAGGATCTCGATAAAGGAACTCAACTGCAATACCAGGTCAGGAGGAAGCATTGAAACATGGCAGGAGCTGATTTTCAATGCTTAATGCGCCAACTTTGCTAGCTATTCGTCAAAAGCTACTATCGTCAACTAGTTGGACCCCTGGATCACCCCGGAACCGCTCGGCTGCTGCTTCTGGTAGCCCCCCAGTGAACCGCAGACCCGGTCGCTTGAAGCAGAGCATCCTGTTCCGTCGACGCCGGATGCACTGCAAGTGTAGTACCTCGGGCGACCACATGGACGCAACGACACGAGAAATACATCAGCGCTCGCGCACATCAATTTCCGCAAGCTCGTATGTCTCGACCTGCAGTTTTAGGGGACGAGTCTATGGAGGCTTAGACCTTCACCAACATGGTACGTTACTAACCTTAGCCCGCCGTGGGTACTAAGAGGGCATCACGGTGGAGAATCTCGTCGACCGATATATTCTGTACCGGACGACAGCGCCAGTCCACAAGCAAGGGTGAACACATACCTATTCGTGTGCCGGAGTTGCCTTTTCTTTCCCCATCACGAGCATGAGCCAGTAAAGACGATCTTGCGCAAGGGTACTGCATCTATTCTTGGCATTCTGATCGACATGAATCACTGGACAACACAGAACAGGCGAATTGGAACCACCCTGAAATGGCAGACATCAATTTGAGGAACACGGAAAGTCTCAAACCTCAAACTGGAGCGGCTCCTACTTCGAGGTTCATTTACCGCGTATGTGGTCCCCAACCGGCAATATACCCCACCACTGCAGTACAAGCTCGCACGCTTCAACAGCTATGCTACCGCCAGAAGCGTCCCTTTCATTTATAGTCAACCCATGCGATGGAGGGCCCGCTATGATCTGGACAACCTGGATTATGTCTGTGCTGCCATCTGCGGGCTGTCCTAGCACAGATGAGATGAATATCCCTGATCAGTGTTTCAAGTGTAACCATTTGTCTTGGTGGCCGTCAGTTAGCTGTCCCTGTCAGATCAATTAAAATATCTCTTGTGTCTAGGTGGCAAACTCTCAGGTTCTTCATTTTATTGGTCCATGTTCAACGCTGTTCTATTCTGCTTTATCCTCAGGCGATCAATCTACTACGCATTTTGGCTCTCCCGTACATGTATCTCAAACTTTCGGGCACGCACATTGCGGCCTACCTGATGGATAGTAACTGGTTGTGGACTCTTCTTCATTCATCTATCTAGCACAAAAGCTACGACTACCTAAGAAGCCCACACCAGACGTACAAATATCAAACAGGGGTGGCAAGAAGCTCACAGGGCGATGCAATGCTGCAGACCTGCAAATAGGTGCAGCGTGAATTGAGCTATATTATCACCTCCCGTTCTATTTGTGCAAGATGTAATACAAACGCTGTATTGATTTCGTTTTCTCTTGCTTGACTGTCCAGCTATGAATACAAGTACTTAAGAACACATAAACAAAACAGTCACGATTCACGGCCTTTCGCAGCCACGTGATCTCGTTCTCTCTGTGACGGTGGGGTGGCCACGAGCGAGCATATGCACCACGCCACAATGTAGCACTGCTGATGGTATTTGAAATCAATGTTTCCTGGAGGGATACCTTCATACCAGGAGGAACTTTTGGAAGGCGGTTTACACAGCCAACCCTCTCAGCAAGCATAAAACCTTGATTTAACTCGCTACGACGGTAAAACCTCAAACCTGTATATAAGTATCAGCAGCTAAGGTTGCAGAAACACGATGTAAGTCTACATGCGGTAGTCTAGCTGAAGTCGGCCATGGTAGCTCAGTCTATCTATCTATCTATCTATCTATATGACGATAATACCAGGGTCTTTTTGTGTCTGGTTTCTGTTCCACAATTCAGTTGGACATGTGTCCATGTGATTACGTTCTAATGCTTATAGCTTCATCATTACTTTGCCCTTAGCAAGAGCCCAAGCTTAGCACCAACCAACAGAGACTCAACTAAGTAAAGAGGGTAATCTCAATGCAAAGACGACACAGACCACAGGCACTCCAAAAGATGTTTTGGTCGGACGCAACATTCGTTCATGTGAGTGGGACAAGCAGTGACTTGCTATCCTTGTAAGTTGCCCGAACCATATGAACTACTTATGATTAACTTTCCACTAGGCAGCCCTGCAAGATAAACATACGTCTGGGAGACGAATGGCAACGATGGGCTAGGCGTCTGTACGGATACCTGAAATTCCACTTATAGAATGCTACAAGAAAGATGGTAACCGATGTCCTAGAACCTCACCACGAAAATAAACATGGATGCAACATATATCGTGGCTCATTTTACGGGTTCTCTAGCTGCGAGAACTATCGAAATACCAGAGAGTCACCACTCTCGGATCACGAAAACAGCAGTATTGCAGATTCTCCGAGCCGTCATCAAGAAGTGAATATTTATTACCATATTAAGGGTTGCCATCCCAAGTTTGTTCGTTTTGATGTACAAGTACTGGCGAACTATTCGCAACAGGGATAGTGGGACATGGCCTTAGAAGTAATAGAGGCAATTTCAATGGAAATGAACATCATCACATATTCTTATCACCTTAACTACGTACGCATCGAAGTCTTATAGCGACAATTACATGTATGATGACTTTGTCACTTTTATCTGATCTGACGCGGGTACCAAAGTCTTCAGCCACTGCTTGCCTCTCTAGATATAATAGAGCATCCTGCTCTATGACTTGGACAGTGATAACTACTGTTCGAATAACGGTTGTTCCAATCTTTTTGGCAGTGCCACACCTTTCCTATTCCATAGGGGCTATCAGAGCCACTACACATCGGTAATCAGTTCAAGAAGAGAGTTACGAAAGAGATATGTCATGGATTGTTTCTATATTTAAATTACGCATTCGGGGAGTTTTCTTTTAGCCTGGCCTTCAATTCGACGCCAACAAGCAACGTAACTTTATATAATAAAATATCCGTCAGTTTTGAATTGGAAAGTGAGTCTTATAGAATCTGAATATTATCTGGATACCGTTTAAAAGAATATGGTTGCAATCTTGACCTGATATGTTGATTATCTGATAACATAATTCAAGCCGATTATCCACGCGAGATTTATACGAAAGGTGAGCATGTTGAGACCTCGTATCATGAATTAATAAATTGGAAGCGCAAATTGCTCCTAAGTATTGCTAGAGCGACCTTTTTAAATGGATATGCCCGTTCTATAAATAGCCTCTAGGGTGACTGACGTCTTCCTCAGATCGGCGTTAATTTTAAGGGATGTGTAAAGCTAGTGCAGATTCTACGGATCCGTAGATGCTCGAATATCATGTTTAGCTTTGATACATCCGTGAGGTAAGTCTAGTCTAGACACTAATTAGATGAAAATGAAAATTCTCTGGAGGCTTTCGAAGGCTACTTTTATAAATATAGATAACACCGATTTAAGCACTAAATCCATAAAGATTATCTTTTTAAGTTTTACTTTATATTGTTCAAGTACAGTAATGTTGAGCAGAGTTTAACCCAAATTGTGGTTGCGTGCCAATTATGGGGCACATTCGTCAATTTTAGTATGACCCGCTTGCCTGCTTGCCTGCTGAAGTCGCCTGGGGAGAACTAGTTTGTCTTTACCCGGATGGTTTACGGATGAGGAGGATGGCGGGGAGAGATTCTGTCGATGGATGCTCCTCTATCTGCATCGCCCTTTTGTCGTTTCCTGTTTTGTTCATTTGGAAAGAAATTTTACTTGGTTTGCCCCAGATAGGATAGATAGACGTACTATTGACTCAAATGAATGGACAACAAAGAGAAATCTTTTGGCGCATTGGCAATAGAAGAGAGAGAGAGAGAGAGAGAGAGAGAGAGAGAGAGAGAGAGAGAGAAATTGAATTCCGCGGAGGATATAGCTTAGGGAGAACGTATGTATTGTGATGATTTCTCTACTTTCAGCTGTGTACCAAGCTGAGCCACCTCGTTTAATATGTTGTATGGCTGCGTGGCTGTGTGGCTGTCAATAATTCAGCACCCTACTTTCACCACCGCAAGACTGTACATATTTGGATTGTTACACCTATTCCCCGTACTCCTTCACTCTTTATCACAAACTCGTGTGCCGACAGAGCCTATAACTCAAGTTTTCTACCATCAGCAGCAATTCATAGCATTGTGTTTTATATTTAGAAAATGGCACCGTATGACTTCATCGCGGAGAAAAACAACCAGGATGAACGATTAGCGTTCGCTCGCAAACTCCTTGACGCGCGCGACGAGATTGTATCCTTTGTAGACTCTCGTCTGAAGTGGGATGGCGCCGGGAAGTACGACGGGTTTTTCAAAGGCTCTTTCAATATAAGCCTGGATGTGAAACGAGGCGATAACGGAGAGCACGTCCTGATTCGTTTCCCTGCCCCAGGAAATATATATGGACCATGGCGAGATGAGAAAGTCAAGAACGAGGTGATGGTCATGAAGTATCTCTCCGAGAATTCTAACATTCCTGTTCCTGGTGTTCGTTGCTGGGGGCTTACCAAGGACAGCCCGCGGCAGCTAGGACCTTTTATAATCATGGACTTTGTGGGAGGGCAGGACCTGAGCGATCTCTTGCAGCTGCCGGCCGAAAATGAGAAGGATGCCATAATTCTAGACCCGGATATTGACGAGACAAGGCTGGATATTATCTATGAGCAGATTGCTAGCTTTATGCTAGAGCTTTCACGCTTGGAATTTCCACGAATCGGTGCAATCTCCAAGAATGCCACTGGCCAGTGGTCCGTCACTGGACGGCCACTAACGTACGATATGAATGAAGTTGTCACCTTGGGGGGTTACCTTGCGGAAGAGCTCGTCATTAAGGAGCCTTTCGATCATTCTGGTGCCTACTTCGCGGCGCGCGCACAATGCCTCCAAGCACACCTTGAAGCTCAACGGAACATTGCCGGTGATGATGAAGACCTCGCCAGGGATGAATTTGTTGCACGCCGCGGCTTTGCCAAACTAATCCCTGAGCACGGCATCATCGATGACAATGGCCCTTTCCTGCTGTTTTGTGACGACCTGCGGCCTACAAACATGCTCGTAAACCCGAACACCCTTCGCATCACCGCAGTGCTTGACTGGGAGTTCACCAATACTATGCCATCGCAATATGCCAATGACGTACCTTGGTGGTTGCTCCTTAAGCAGCCAGCAAGCTGGGTTTGCGATGGTGAAATACAGGAATTTCTTGACCTCTTTATACCGCGAATGGAACAATTCATACGTGCGGTGATTCGCATCGAGGCCAAGTCCCCGCCTATAGCTGGGCAACTACGCCTCTCAGCCCGCATGCGAGACTCTTGGGACAGCGGGCGTTTCTGGTTCAACCTCGCGTCACGAAGTAGCTTCGACTTCGGCGAAATTTTCTGGGACGCACTGCATAAAAAGGATCTGCGCGGGGGGATATTGGACATGGCGACACTCGCCGAGAAGGAAAGTTTTGTGAAACGGAAGATGGACCAGTTCGATAAGTATCGAAAAGAGAGAGAAAGTGACGGTCGCTTCTGCTAATTAGTACAATTGGATTTGTTAATCTCAATTTGATGGAATAGTTTCGGTGTTTTCACTCGAGCATGATGGGACATTCAAAGCGCACATAGCATTTTGGAATATCTTATTAGCTAGCGAAACGCAGTACTGTCTTCTAGTCCCATTTTGCTAAGCACGATTGGCAAGGCTCTGAAACTTGGACCCCACGGCGGAGAAGCGGCCCAACAAAGTCTTCGTGCATCGCTTGAAGTTGTGAAGTTACTGCATTCATGGGAACATACCGTATTCAAATGCTTCAATCTAGAGCCGATCCCCATCACCGCCTATTTCTGCTCTACGCCTCCTTTAACATAAGGTACATCGCATATTGAAAAGCTATACGGCAATCATGATGAGTACTCAGTCGGGCATACGGCGCCCACCAACATCGATCTGCTCCGACTGATCTAGGCTATACTACCGTCCCAGTATCGCTTTCAGCTCACGTCAACGGTCGTGGGAAGAATACCTAATGATACCATGTGTCTGCCAACACCTTTGGGTCCTCCCGGGCTTCGCGAAGGATTTCCCCCATCAAAAGATAGAGCTCCGGCTCCGGTCCCTTCCACTTCTCGCCGTTCGGGAATACCTTCCTCCGTAGTCTATTGACTGAAGGTATTAATGGCTGATAGTACAACGTAAAGTTTTCTACTATAACCTTGAGAAATCACTCTAGTCACTTATCGTGCTAACCTTTGATCAGACTAGCTTATGATAGCTTTTGTAATTCCAACTATCACACTCCGTTGGCCCGATGTTTCTGTTCTTCGCGTCGTAATGGGGTGCAAACCCAAAAGAACACCCAAAAGAATGACCTAAGGTCGTGTATAAATGGATGTTGCTCGCCTAGAAGCGCCACTGTCCTAGTTTCACCCCGTGCTCTTGAGGCACCTTTTCGTTGCTCTCGGAAAGCGAGGTCTAAGTTAATTGAAAACTAATAGAGGTTATAACCCCGCTAAATACGGTGATTTTTTAACTTGAATAATAATTAAATAGTAATCGTTCGAGTAAATTGAAGAATAAAATGAGTTCTTTTTAAGGGTTATACTTAATGTGTCTAGCTGCTTGATCGATTTGCAGTGCTTTAAGTAGCAAACCAAATCTACGTCTTCATGGTCTCTTGTGGTCTGGAACGATGTCCGTAGGCCGGAAAACTGCACAGGTCTCATCATGTAAGCCCCGAAGGTAACTGCCCAGGCGAGCCTGTAAATCGTGAGGACCAAACGAAGGCCAACAAATCAGAATGACAGCTGCATGTATTATTTCTTGGGCTAAACTCTCTACAAAGGCGTCGCCGTTCGGGCGCTATCAGATTTAACTCCATTTTTGGCTCCCGCCTCGCGCTAGGGAGGCCCGGCCATTGAGCCACTTCTACAGTAGTAATGCACCATCAGCGGCCACAAGTCGGCTCGGTTGACGGTTGACGGTTGACCCATGGAATGCCGTCACCAGCACCCTAGTCATCCGTCTCCTTCAAAGCCATCAATTAGTTCCCCTTCCCCCACAGACGGAAGCTGTTTATCGTTGTTGCCTCATTTAGCAATTGTGGTATTCTGGTTCGAACGCCACACAGGGTTAACCAGCTGCAAGATTTATGGCTGTTTTACAACTCACACATTTCAGAATCAGGAGGGCGGTTGCCAAACATCCACAGACCAACAAGTGATGCCGCCCCCACCCATTATGTAGCAAATTGCATGAAGTCGACCGATGGACCCAGCGATGGACCTCTCGTGACGGAAACAGTCCATCTTCAGAATTACCGAGGGATATACCTTGTTTTCATCCTCCAACCTAGAGTCACTTATTCTGTAGCTGGCGAACTCGATCTTTGGAGCCTTGGAGCATAATCCCCTCATCGTTGTTGGCGAATCACAGACTCTCCTCTGCTGCCGGCCTGCCATAGTGCAGCGGCTCAACCCCCCTTCTTCGTGCATTTGCGTTGCATTGCGAGGGGCCTGGCAGCTTTCGCATTGGACACCCCGAGCGGATTTAGCGGTCTAAGGGACTGGGACTTTGTCACCGGACATCTAGCTCGCACGTCTGCGCTGTGATCGACCCATCAGCTGCGCTTCATTGTGATCGAAGCTTCATTACCATAAGCGCCAGCTCCGTCGCCACGTCTGTCCGATTACTGAACATATGCTCTTGCAAGACTTCTTTCCTACTACAGCGTTTGAGTTCATCTTCAAAGGTTATTCATTAGACCCTCATCTTGTAATCTATCCGTGACGAGGCGGATTGGAGGCTCCAAGACGGGTCCCATCCTCTCACCACTTCTCCACTATACCGTCCCGCCTTACCGGGCCATCTGGCGGTCATCTCATGGATGCAGTTGTTGTTCATGCTCTTGTCCAATCACTGCAACCCCACTGAATGAATTACTGTAGGGACTGACTGAATGGCAACTGATCGGTCGTCACACCCCCACCACTATCGGCCGGAGGGTTGGGCACATCTCGACACTCATTGCCCGGCTTTTCGTCTCTTCTCACCTTTCCCGCCAGCGTGCGATGACCATGCCGGCTCACAAGCCTCCGTTCCCAGATGGAAGCACAACCGCCATGAATGCGAACAGCCTCCCTGAGTTAGCAGAGGCCGACTTCCTCAGTCAGGTATTTCAAGTTACGCCGGATAGCTCGGCGACAATCGTCGAAGACTTGATCAAGAAAGCTGCAAGTTTGGGCATCGCAGTGCCGCGATCGTCCAACGTATTCGCAAGCGCCGACACACATGCAACACGCAACACCTCCAGCGCAGACTCGAGCGCCACATCGAATACCAGCCATGCGCGAACTGCTTCGGCCGAATCCAAGTGCTCAGCCAGCACTACTCTCACGTCTGCCGATGACTATATTGAGCCTGCGCCGAATGCGCTAACTTGCAAAAGATCGCGGACTTTGGCGTTCTCTCAATATGACAAGTACCTGAGTCAAGTTGACCCCAACCTTGGCCAACCAAAGGTCATACACATTCCTCCACCAACGAAGCGCCACCATTCATCGCCCAGTCTGTTCAGTATCAGCACAAGAAAGGGCTATCTTGATATCAGGGATAGGATCTTGTGGCTGCGCGGGAGAAGGAAAACCTCACCATTTCCGGAAGTTTTTGTCAAGTACGTGAGTACGTCATAATGGCATGACGCTGGGCTAACACAATTATAGTTCTTGTAGCGCATGTCGAGAAGACTTCAAGCCTGATCAGACACTTGAGAAGCTGCCGTGCGGCCATAGCTACTGTACAAACTGTGTTCGAATCATGATCAACCAATCTACGAGGGATGAGACAAAAATGCCTCCACGGTGTTGCACGCAGCCAATACCAGGGTCAGTCATCCGGTCACTTCTGAGCCGTGAGGAACAGATTGCTTTCCTGAAGGCAGTACAGCAGTTCTCCACTCCGTGGGAGAACCGTGTATTCTGTTCAAATCCAAACTGTGACGAGTTCATTCCACCAAAGACCAAAGTCGACCCGAAACACCCCTTCCAAGTCACATGCCGCGAATGTCATACCAAAGTTTGTGTAATGTGTAAAAGAGGTGCACATCCTCTAGGATATGATTGTCCATCAGATACGGAATTAGAAGCCGTCCTGAAAATTGGCGAGGCATCGGGCTGGAGGAGGTGTTATAAGTGTCGCAACTTGGTCGAGCTTACTCAGGGCTGTAGCCACATGACTTGTCGATGCCGGGCCCAGGTGAGTCAACCTTCATTGCCGCCAATCGACACTGGTTTACATGCTTATGCCATTATTAGTTTTGCTACGTCTGTGGCGGTGTCTGGGACGCTTCTGTTGGGTGTCCCAACTTCTGTAACGGGGAGGAGGAGTTGGAACGCAGAAGACTTGAAGAAGCAGAACGGTTAGCCGCACGAGAGGCGGAAGAAGCCCTCGCGAAAGAAGAAGCCGAGAAAGAAGCTGCAGGCAGAGCTGATGCCGAGAAGCGGACCCAGGAGTCTAGAGAATTTCAAGTATTGCGAAAGGTTCAAATAGAAGAAATGGAGCGCTTCCGGGTCTACGAAAGGAAGACGAAATGGCTTATGTGGTCCAGGCAATCCCAGGAAAAATTGGCATTGGTGGAAAAGCATTCAAGTACGATCGAGAAGATGAAAGAGCGGCATTCGAAAACAACGACCAATCTGGAAGATCGCCAAGTCCAGGCGGAAATCGAGCTACGCAGCACTTTGGAGCAAAGCGAACGAAATGTTCGCATTCGCCTCAAGCACATGGAAGCCTATTGCGACGGTATTGGCCAGAAGACAAATCCAGATATGCCCAAACGCGTTGTCACTGAAAGAGATCTTCGCGAACTCGGACAACAGTATAATTTGGAGAAGAACATGCGACAATTACATCAAGCAAAAATAAACGTGATGCGAGACCGGCAAGCAAAGGCTCTAGAGGAGCTCCAACAACGACAGGAGGATGAGCTGGAAAAGCTCCAGGACAAGAACCGGGCGGAAGTTGAGGCTGTGGAATCTATCTTTGCAGACCAGGAGGACACTCTTGCGATAACTTTGCATCGACGCAGGCAGACCATCACTAAGCGCTGGGGTTTGTCTATGAGAATATTGCAGAAAGAGAAAGAAGCAGAGACTGGTCTCAGGTTCTCAATCCTGGTCCCCATGGAGTGGCCTCCGGAGAGGGAATCCTCCGAAGGCGGATTATGGGCTGTGGAAGAATGATTTACGACCGGGCGCAGGAAAGTGAGATACGAAACATAATACGCGTTCCGGCAGAGTAATACGCAGTAGTGATACTTTCATTGGCTTCGAAAGGGATATACCAGGAAGTGGGCACGGCGTTTTTGTTATTTCGACCACATTGGGAAAGCTTGTGACAAGCTTGTGGCGCGTCGCATCCTTTATTTCATTTGATTGGAAGCACTTCAGTTATGGATATACCCAGCCATCATTGGCAACGAGCACGCATTTACTGGACGTTGGCATAGAGAAGTTCTGAATAAATAATAGCGAGGTGATGGGTATTTATACCTTTGTTTCATTCTCAAGGCTCGTGTTGGGTTTTATACGCACCGCTGCTCTCGAATCGTTTCTTGGTTCAATAACCGGTTTTCGTCGATACTTTCACCATAGCCAGAATACTATCTCACAGAAACATAACTGCTTTCTGCTGAAGTGAATACAGACGTGTAGTAGTGCTAGTTCTATTTTAGACTAGCTGATGCTATGATGCCATTCAGCTCAATGTTTTTCAGTGTCCAAGCAAGCACATACAAACTGTTCTCGGTAGCATAGAAACCAATATCCAATTGCTGCAACCACAATAACCCACCTAGTTTGTTTTATACTTCAGCATTCCCTCAAAACTATCGTACATCTATTTAGTGCTGGTACCTTTTAGGATTACTTCATATAAATAGTCAAAGCTCACTCAACAGATGTAGCATTCGTGGGTTTCTTCAAACTCCACCGCCCGCCCAACTATTACGGTCTGGTTCGTAAAACATCGACTTGAAATGACACCGTGATCAATACTGTCAATAAGCTCCATCACATATACCTGGATTTCTTTACTGATCGGCCCAGCTTCGAAATGCTCCTGACCAGGTGGGAGAGCTTAAAGGTGGGACGAGTTTGAAGGAAGCCACCGCCGCATAGGCCATCGCGCCGACGGACTGGTCTCTTGAGGGTGTGCTCCCCAGGCAGATCTATTCCCGGAACTTGGGATATAATGCCTATAAGTGAGACCATGAGCAAAGTGATGCAGGGACAAATAATTTGCCGTAGATGAAATACGAAGCGTAGTGTTCAATAAATTGTCCCTCCACATATCTCGTGAACTGTTCTTGCTTGGGTCGATAGTACCAAACGCATTGCCTGTCTCGCTCAATGTGACTTTGGTAAGAAGTTCTTAGAAGGTCTCTCGCCAACCATGACATAACAAGTTGCCAGACGAGACGTCACCAATCAAACCTAGGCTGTGAATTAACTCTCATGCCTTGTGTGAGCGCCTCACGTTAACCAGGTAGACCCCGTAGAAGGTATAGAGTATCAATAGTGTATACTATCGAATTTCGAGGTCGATATAGACAAGGTGTTTGGTATTTATCGCCCAAATATGTTAAGATTTTGTTAAATAAGAGTGATCGTCTTCCTTGACTTTCTTCCTGCCGTTTCTCCTGGAACCCGGCTCCAACCGAGTGGCGGCCATTCATCGGTTCTCATCCCCCATCCTCAACATCGACTTCTTCCAAGTTCAATAAATTTCTCAGGGACATCAAGCCCGCGCACAGTTTATTAGCGCCGCATAGTGTAGGGACCTCAGAGTCGTATAAACGGGACATATTCTTAAGGCACTCAAGAAAAAAAGTAACAATCATAAACTCTTCGTAACCAGTATTTGAGGAACATCTTATTTCATATTGAAGCCCGCTCAGGTGGTCATTAGAGCCACAATTATTGTTATTACTTGGGAAGGCCATAAAGACGTACATTCCGAACATAGAGCTCCACAAGAATGATTAGCCGGCACTGAAGTGGAAGGTCCCGTTTCTACGGGCAAGTACCCAGAAAGACAAAGGAAGAGAGACGTCATCAATGACACATTTCTTTTTCTAATGATGATATTCCCACGCTTCACGTTCCACATCTTGACACCAGCACGGGTTTGTAAGCCTAACTCAAGCAGTAGAAGGTGGAGCCTGTGCAAGTCGTCTAGATGCGATCTCGACCATCGGTAACAAATGCGTCCAGAGCATAATTAGTACATCGAGCAATTGAGCTTGTTTTCAACTATTTTTAGAGTATGCCATTGTCATTATCAAGCTCCCAAATTAATCTAGGTGGTAGTTTCCAGTCCCCCAAAAGAATTGGTGCAGGGCTCAAATGCCTTGACCACCTCGCAGCTCGCGTCAAGCTCCCATGGGCGTCAAAAGGATGTATGCGGGTCGGGGGTGGATCAAACCGCTAAGTCTCCGTCCCGTGTCGCAGAATCGAAACCAGCTTGGCGGCTATTTTCGGCAGGTCGGGACGCCCGATCCCAATGAACTCGGCAGAGCTGCCTTCAGCTGAGAAGAGACTCACGATCGTTGGCGCATCAATCTCAAGTGCGGTGGGCTATCTTTTGCGCTGGGGAACTGTCCCTCGGTATCTCAAGGGAGACTGTAGGATCACCAATTAGTCTAGCTTGGAACTCGTCAACGAGCTGCTTGTAGTATGGTCTCCCATTTCTCTTCTAGCTATCCAGCAACCATTGGACGAACACAAAGAAATGTAACTAATTTTCGAAAAACAATCAATCTTCTAAATGTACAAGCGACTTGTGGTATAGAGCATCATTATAACATAAATAAAATAGAGAGTCATATGCCTCTGACCATTCTCGGTCGGCTGGTATTGCAAGCAATAATCAACGAACACAACGAGGAAGGCGAACATATCCATCCCTCTCATCCAAAGAACCATCAAGTTCAGAACCCCCATAATCGGACAGCTGCCGATGCATGAACCCATTACCTCGTCTCTACAGCCAGCCATCTACAGTCCGGCCCGACACGTCCTAGTCTCGAACTTTTCCCAGAAAAGCTCTAAGACGCATTACAGGTGGTCTGCTGTGCCGAGCACTGCGCAAGCGTGGCACCTTTAGCCTTTCCGCCGTTGACTGCGTCCGCGCACGAGTTGAACTGTATATCGCATGACCGCTGTTTTGCCGCTGCTTGGTTGACAAATGTGTTACCACTGTAGTGAGAGTCAGCATACATACTTGCAATTTGGATTTTGACTAGACCACTTACTTGACTGCAAACGGCCGACTCGGGTCACCAGACTGTGTCACTGCCGGTGCCGCTCCGCCCACGGCGGCGCTTACTGTCGTTGACGACCCCGCTGGAATGTAGTCAGTAAATGGTACTTGGTAACAACGTAGACAATAGTGTAAGTAAGAAGCATCGACTTCAGCAGACTCTCGACCAATCTTAACAGCAGCTGATTCTTCCTCGTAGACCGAGCACACGTTCATTCGGAGTTGTTGTTTGTACTTACTCCACGACCGTTTGCTATATTATTGTTAGTTACCTAATCAAACCTAGGAGGCTGGAAGTCGCTAAGCTGCGACTGACGGTGTGGTGAGATCATGTATGATTGGAGTGGCTGGAGGAGCTAGTGGAACTGTGTGATTGGAAAGAAGCTGCTGTTGTAGTGGAGGAAGAAGCTGCTGTTGTGATGGAAAGAGTCTGCTGTAATCTGCTGTGGAGAGTGTGTCTGTGACTGTATCTGATGCTTTGTAAAGCAAGGCAGGATGATCTGTGTGAGGCTTATGTTGAAAAGATCGGAGACGGTACTATAGCGTCTTGACTTCTAGGAATGTTTGAAAGTAAAGATTTACTTACCATTGCCTCCTGCGTTCGCATTGCCTCCTGCATTCGCATTGCCTCCTGCGTTCGCATTGCCTCCTGCGTTCGCATTGCCTCCTGCGTTGTTGGCAGTGCCTCCTGCGTTGTTGGCATTGCCTCCTGCATTGTTGGCATTGCCTCCTGCGTTGTTGGCATTGCCTCCAACAGTGAACCGGACACAGTCATCTTGAGGGCCACGCTGGGCGACGGGCATGAGGACAGGCTGGTGGTTGGCGGCACCAGTCATCGAGCAGACACGGTAGTTTCCAGCGGGCAGACCCCCTGCGACATCAGCGGATAGCAAGCCGTTTCCGTTACCAGCATCATTGATTCCCTTGAAGAAGGCGAATTGAGTGGCATCGAGAGCCTTGGTTGGGTTCAAACTGTTGCCAGTATCTTGAACGACAACGTGAGTGTGGCCGATGACTTGTCCGCTGCCATCAAGATCCTGAGGGGCAGAGTAGTAAGTGCTATCAGGGTTGGTGAAGGTGCCGGCAGCGAGGTTAGCCATTTGAACAGAAATCTTGAAGTCTTGGTTCGCAGCAATGTTGTCGCCATTCTGAGGGTTAACAAACACGGCCGAGATCATCTTGGCCTGGGCTGGCATTTTGCCCATGGGAATACCGTTGCAAGAACCTTGCTTCTGTTGCAGGCCGTTGGTGAGAGTCTCGCCCTGACAGAAGTTGATGAAGTTGGCCGCGTCCCTAATCGCAATGTTAGTAGAGGAAAGTGCCCCTCAAAATGCCATATCACTCACGTTGCGGATTTGGCCTGTCCGGCACTGGCACCCTGAGAGCCGTCGGCGGCACTGCCAGTCTGAATAGCATTGGCAGCAAGACAAGCACTGCCGGCGGCGTTGTTGTTCCCGCCGTTGTTCCCGCCGTTGTTGGCATTGCCATTGTTTCCAGTAGCCGCGGTGTTGGTGGCAGCGGCAGCAGTGGAGGTAGCTTTGTTCTGGTTTCCTGCATTGCCTGCGTTTCCTCCGTTGCCGCCGCGGTTGCCGCCACGATTCTGTCGACCCTGAAGAGACCGGCTAGCCCGCTGGTGAAGAACGTTGTCGAAAGGATCCCGGATAACGGAAGCCTCTGCCATGGCGGACAGGCTTAGGAGCCCAACAAGTACACTCTTGACCAACATTGTGACTGATAACGTGATCTGAACTGATGATTCGTGGATTCTCGTTCGTTGTCTGGACGACTCTTTTCGAAGTAATAATAAATACTAGGGCGTATGCTCAAACTGGTTCCAGACCGTTTTCGAAAGCTGAAATAAAAAGGTCACAGACTCTTTGTTGAAGGTGGATAGAAACAGAAGAAGCTGTAAGGAACGAATGAATGGAAGACCACACTACCAGCGCAAATGCGAGAAGAGAAGAAAAGAATGATGAAAATGTTGGAGAACCCAAGAACGAAATAGATGGATTGAACAAGATGGCATGAAAGCCAAGACTTGACATTCTTATATACGGACTGGAGAGAATGGTTTCAAGGTTGACCAGGTGCTTGAAGGTGGTGGTGCATGGCCAAGCTTTCCACAATCAGCACTACATCACGGCGCCCCATGTCGAGTGTCATGGGCAGGACCCGTATCCACAATCTCTAAACGTCGACAGGGAACTTGAGAAGAGACGGAGTAGAGAAGATGACAGGACTTTGCATGAGTCCCGGGCAGGCCTCGAAGCGGGACACGGGAAGGATGAGCGAGCGAGTATCTGAGCCGGTTCGACAAGTTAGACTTAAGAACCTTGTTCGTCTGACTCTTGGCGCTACCAGGGGGTCCTGACCCCAATGCCAGACTGAAGACGTTACGGACAACGAGATGGCACTGCAACACTGATCAGCCGGGACAATTTCAGCTCGTCAAATCTCATGCCCCAGTCTCCAATGATAATACCCAATGATAGATCAGGCACCATCCAAATAATGCTCAAGCCCTATGTTCGGGGGTGTTGTGGAGGAGCTGTTGTGTGTTTATTGCGATAACCACTGCTCGCTTAACAGAGTTACTGACCTAGGTTAGGTTACTACATACATAACTCCACGAGTAATTGTCGTTGCATAAACTGGACTAGTTTAGTGAAGTATACGCAGTAACTCTGATTATATTATCAAGATTTCCCTAAAGGGAATACACATGTTGCGTATGTAAAGGCTGAACTGAGTCCGCTGATGATCGAGAAAGGCGCCCGTCCCTTTTGCGGGGGCCTGGCCTGCCTAGGTCGCTTGAAAATGGATTTGGTTTGCGGCTCAAGATGTCGCAGGTCCCACCCCAGACCCCTACCAGCCAGAAAGCAGCCAATCCCGAACGCCCCCAGTTTTGAATATCAAGCAAGTCATGTTTCGGCTCAAGCGACGATGAAGCAGACCGAGACGACATGGATAAGCGCGAAATCTGAGCGCACACAATACCGCACCTGTAATGCGACTGTATTGCTGCATTGTGCACTCGCGTCCCATATTTTCCAGCTATCGTGTGTGGCTGTTCATCCCTTGGTGTCCTACCATCCGGACTTGCACTGCGATGTGGATGCACACAAGACTACAGTACAGCATCCCAACGGCGCAAAGTCGAAACAACATCCTCGTTGCTACTCGCCGTACGGTAATAAGATCGGCGCAATCCAAAGATGGTAGTGGAATCGCAACTGCATCAGCCCCAATAAACTGATCTTGGCGAAACTACTGTAGGAAGCCGCCAAGCTACACGTAGTTGATCTTGCACCAGGCACAGCTTTCAGATACCTACATTTCAACTCATCAAGCCGGACAATCGAATTACCTGTGGCCCGACAATCAGTTAATGGAGTGCTTCTTCCCAACTTACATACATGTACGGAGTAGGCTGAGCACCCAAGTGCACAGCGCCTTGCCCATGCTCAAGCCCCTGTATAGATACAACTAACCTAGCACAGTCATTGTCACCGTCAAGGCCAGCACGCGCCTCAAGCCTAAGTTAATGGATCTAATATCGCCCAAAAAGAAGCTTAAAATCGCTGCAAGGGTGCCTTGTCCAATGCTACTACCGCCCTTGCAGAGCCTCCTTGGCGAGGATTCTGGGGGCTCCAGCAAGACCCCTCCGGGCGTTGAGACAACTCCTATTGAACTTGTCTAGCCTATTTCGGAGTGGTCGAACAAGTATGCACCACGCGCTTGCTCCTTCAACCACCCAGAATCCAACCCTATTCCATATACCGTGGCTCGAAGCAATGAGGCATCTGCGCCCTGCCGACATCCGAACTTATCGTTGGTCCATGCCTAGGACAACTGCGCCGGAGGAGCGAAGAAATGCCGTAGGACTATGACGCCCCAAACCCAACCACAAAGCGACACATTGGGACCCTGGCTCCTATCAGTATCGCAACTGCGTCGGTTCGCCTCGCCGCACCCTACCCGAAGCCGGACGTTCACAATCGCTTATGCCGTTGAGTCAAGCTTGTCATCCGCGCCAAGACCTCAAACACACGTACTTACTGGGCTTCAGACCTGGCTATTTCGTGATCCGTACTGATCGCCTCTGGGGATTCACTGTGCTTTCCCCCCCTATCACACATCAATCCACACAATCCACTCGCTTAACCTCCAAACATTGAGAAAACCATATGGGATGAAAGCATCGTTTCAAACACTTCCAACATCAGAAATTCGGACGACAAAGTGCCGTGCAACACATCGGCCAGAGAGCTCTGCAATCTGCTTCTGGACGTCATCCAAACATAGCGTTCTGATCTATTCGAGATGTAATCTATTTTGAGAAGCATCTCAACTTTCAACGAAATGGCAGAAGTGCACAAAAGCAGTTCGTGTAACTGTGCACTTCAAATGAACTGCATGCTTTCTGGTTTGTGAAAGGTTCGATTTGACCCCAAGCTTACCGCAATCTGAGCGCTTCCTTGCTGCTTGGATGTAACCTTATAATCCTTCCAATTTACTGGAGTCTCAACCATTTTCCAAGAAACTGACCTGTTCGGAGTGTAAACACCGAACCAAACTCTGGTTTTTAGGACTCAGACTGCAATCGGCATGCATTTGATGGGATCTCTTTGCGGTAACGCTCGTGTTTGAGGCATGTACCAAGCTCTTGGTGCTGAAACACCAAGACCCTGGTTCACGATCGTGGTAGATCCCTTGCGCTTGAGCAAAATGATTTGAATTGCCCGCCCCGTGAAATAGGACAGATCTTGAAACCACGAAAGAAAAAGTTCAGCCGAAAACACCCTGGCAGAATCTCGTCCATATGTCATTGTTTCCAAGAAAGGATGGCATGTGGTTCAGAAAGCTGTTGGAGGGGGGAGATACTCAGAAAACATCTTTGCTGAATTGCCATGGGTCTTCCGCTCCGAACGAAAACCTGTGACCTCTATTTTACAAGGCTACGGGTCACACTACAGGCGATCCGTGCTTCACTGCGTGGATCTTTGTGTCAGTTCAATTCCGAAATATCACATTCAAATAAGGTTTTCGATTATTCCTTGCCTGTGAACTGTCACCTTCGCGACGCTTGACAGAGAGAAGATTTTGTTCGGCAGTCCTAGTAGCAAATACCGTGCAAGTTGCTCTAACGACTTGCAAGGCACATAAGCCAGGCATGTAATAATGGATGGATATATCATCTCCTGCAGCCCACGTTTCCACATTTCCATTCAAGCACGTGTATGGGTGGACCAAAACTGTTATCATTTTCAAAAACTATTATTGTCTTTACGCGATAATTTGATGAGATATTGTATCTGACGTAGTCGGGGGGGTTTTTTTAAAGCTCGCCGGTACGACCAGTCTGAGTTTGATCACGGATCCTGTCAGCAATGAGATCTAACCAGGCAGCAAGCCGATATCCAGCTCGGGCAACCTGGATCTCGATCACCGGTGCAGCCTTCGCAGCATAATCACCCGCAAGCTGTTGCCCTTCGATTGCAACAGGGCCTTCGGGGAAGACTGAGAGTAACGTTAGTCCTACGAGACACCACAACTGGGAAATGAGTGCCTACCGTGTGTGCAGACATAAGCATTCGTCTCGTTTGCCCATTTCATCGAAGTGGCAATGGCGTCATCAAGGTCGAGGTCGTCCGCCCACAGCTTGCTTTCTGCCTGGTACTTGCCGGTCTTGATCTCTGCCGTGAGATTCGTGGCCCACGTGTGGGCCGCGACGTATGGTTTCCTTCGGATGCCCCCTAGCATCTGCTCGGCAATACTGGAATCCCAGACATGGTGGAGGTTCAACTCGGCGTTATTCCACTTGACATGAATGCTGTTCCCTCCCCGAGCGACATTTTCCGTGTGCAGCGGTTGATGAATGTCACCGACGAAATGGATGACGAACTTGGCGGCCTGCGCCCGTCTCCAGGCGTACAGGTCGCTGTCCAGCAGCTGGGTCGTGTAGTTCTGGATTGAGCTGACCACGCACCCGTCCTCCTTGCAGTCTCTGTCGAAGTCAACACCGCAGTACGACGGGGGGTCGTCTTTGGCGTCAATAAAGTGAAAGTTGCTCGTGAAACGGCCCCATTTCGTGTACCTGATGCTGTCGGCCCATGTGGCAACGCCAGCCAGATAATGTTCGGTGTCGTTTCGCAGCAGATCTTGGAAATAGGTTGCGGTGTCTTCCTTGACAAAATTGCTTGCGATGTAGGCGACAGTAATATGACCCAAGCCTACGCGCTTGGATTAGTGTCTACATCGGTCATGTTCGTGCGCAGTAGTGTGCACTCACTTCCCCAGGCTGTGACACCAGGTAGTAGTAGCCCGAGAGCTGCAGCACTTGTTCCGAATTTCATCGTCGTATAGATATACTTGGTCAATGGCAATTGCAAGAGGAAACAAGAAAAGGTATCAATTCATGTCAAGTAATAGAACTAGATTACAGGTCAATCCCGGGCCCGAGTCACGGCTATAGCGTCGAGTCAACTTAAATGGGCCCGACACGTCGCGCGCTGCTCTCAGGCACTTTGGCGCCAGCTCAACCAGCGACAGTCGCTGGTTGGCAAGGAAACGTGACCGCTAATCAGGTCTGTATCATTCGCCCCGGTCGCTTATCAGATGACCAGGCGGTGTCTATCATGGGACACAAGGCGAGTCGTCAGCAGTGGTTCATCTAAGTGGACAAAATAGAAGTAGAAAAGCATGCAGTTGCTTGTTGTTTGGTTCAGATGGGCCGTTCACAGATGTAGAGCTGCTTGGTATGCGGGTTTGACTGCAATCCGGCCAACAAAGCCGCGGCTCCTTTGAACAACGATACGGGGTCGTGGAGAGCGACTTCGGTGGGGTTGCTGCTGCAGAGACAGGCGCAGGAACGACGTCAGTGGGCGGTCCCTTGCCTGCGCTGCCTGCTCGCTGATGAACGGCTGGACTTTCAGTGGCTGGAACCCGGTCAGCTCCGCTGCACTAGATGATTTGCATGCAAACTACACGGGCGCTAGACCGTTTGCATGAGCTATTACAGGCGGAATCTCTCTTATCTCGCAACAAAGAGCGAGTCGTCTTATCAGCAAGTCGAGAGAAAATTCCCATATCTATAGTTTGGTTTAGTACTTCCATATCCATGTCGAACATTCTGTTCCACCCCACGATTTCTGATCGCATGACCCAGCCGGCAGGTTGACGAGCCCCTCCTACTTCACCTCTACCTATATTCCTAGAAACTCGCACCTCCCACCCCTTTCCTTGCACTCCTTCTCAACCAGCTGTCTCGAAACTGGCTCCTCCTCGGCCAACATGTTTTCCTTATCGAAGGGTGAAGTTCCGGTGAACGAGGCGTTGTCGGGGGTCTTTGGCAGTATTAGTCTTACGGCATGGATCTGTCTTTTGGTACGTCCAATCCGGTAGAACATCCCTCCCGTGAGGCAGTCCTGACAGTTGAGCGACAGATCCCACAGCTTATCACAAACTACAAGTCGCGGAGCGCCGACGGCCTGTCTATGCCATTCCTGCTGATATGGCTGTTCGGTGATATCACGAACCTGTCTGGTACGCAATATGCAATTGAGCACTGCTAGAGTCGCCTTCTTCCCAAGTCCTGGTCCGCGCCCGCATCGCGATATTCGCAGATTCGTGATCCAAGAACCAATCCGAGCGGGCCATATCCTTCACGCCATCGCAGCACATGCTTACTTGTCCAAGAAATATGCTAACTTCAACGGCTCTGCAGGCGCACTCGTAACCGGGCTCGCGCCAAGTGCGACTACGCTGGCAGCGTACTTCTGCTTCACCGACCTCGTGCTTATTAGCCAATGTATGTATTACAACACCATCAACGCCCGCAGGGCTGCGAGGCTACGAGCCCAGTCCACCGACTCCGTCGCTTCCGAGGACGAGCCCTTGCTGCGCCGCCGTAGAACATCGTCGGCCGGCCTTCCGGGGTCGCAGCGCAGAGCATCTGCCAGGAGCGAAGAATCCGGTCTAGGCGACTCACTTGCGCATCTAGTGACGGGCGAAGACGAGACACCGGACAACCACCGGTGGTTGCATAACACCCTAAGCTTGGCCGCCGTGTACATAGTCGGTATTGTGGGCTGGTTCGTATCGTACAAAGCTGGAGCGTGGAACGGATCCGGGGAACCAGTCGCGCCTACAGCAGCCAGCTCATCCGCCACAATCGTGGGCATGAGTCTGGGTTATATAAGTGCGCTGTGTTACTTGTGTGCGCGCATCCCCCAAATCATCAAGAACTATCGAGAGAAGTCTTGCGAAGGTCCGTCGATCGATTCTGGTTGTATTCGTCGTGTGACTGACATAGATGCAGGTCTTGCTCTCCTATTCTTTCTCCTGTCCTTGACCGGTAACCTGACATACGGCGCGAGCGTCTTCGCCTACTCTCAGGAGACGGATTATATTGTCAAGGCGATTCCCTGGTTACTAGGTTCCTTCGGCACCATGGTCGAAGATGGGATTATCTTCTATCAATTCCGTATTTACGACCCGTCTCGGCAGTCAAAGGCCAACCTTGCCATCGATGACAATGAAAGTGCATGAGGACAACGACTGGAAGGACTCTTATTTTTAGCATTATATTTCGGTTTGCATCATGGTGACGTTCGCATATCGAAGGCGTTTTAAGGGTATAGTTGATCAGCTTCTGGATTCGAAAAGCTCTCCTTAAATTGCCGCGTTGGTTCTATCGCCGGGTTTGTTTCGTCGTCGTGCTGAACCCCGACTCGTACGAATTAGGTTTAGCATTACGCATTAATATGCATGCGCGATTGCACATTGTATCGCTCTATTCACACGGGATCTCGATGGTTGGCTTTTACGTCTATTCTTAATTCAGTGATATCTTAAATATTATGACACGAAGCAAAACTCCACCACAGGCCTCCTCCAAAGGGTACCCCTAAATTGCGCCCTGTCCTTTTTGTTCCATACGTGCCAAGTCCAGTCCGTTTGTCTGAGTGACATGATCGGTTGACCACGACTGATGCCAGTCCAAGTATGGTACCAAAGTGGTTTGCCAACAACTGCGCTCTATCTTTCGTACATAAGGGCATTGGCGGCGGGGCAAAGTCGCCCAAAAACGTCCCATTTTCCCATGGGAAGCTAAATTATAATCCAACACGCTGTCATCCACTCGTAGCTCTCGTAGTATTGCTGCCGTGGCACTTGGAAAGCTGCCTGCCTCAGTTCCGCAAAAGTCTGGCGGAACATGTTAGCCTACTTATACTGTGAAAATAAACCAGACGTTATAAATTCGTACCCGCAACCATTCGGCGTCGTAACGCCGAAGAAGCAATCGTCCGCGTTCTTGGGCACGATCTGGTTTCGCTTGATGGGGACAATGATGACACCAGCAGAGACCATGGAGGCGGCGACCGCGAGGATGAGGGCGAAAACAGTCTTCATTGTTCTTCTCTGGGGCGAGCTGTCGTGAGTTTTGTTGGAGGTATAGTGGAGTCTGCAAATGAGCGGCGATTCACTTTTTCTGGAATGTAGTATGGCAGGCCAGCTGTCGGGACGAAGAATATAGAGATCGAATAAAAATACGCTTCAAGCGACTATAGAAGAGAACAGTTGCGAACCACACGAAAAGGAATGCACGTAGATCACGGATCTTCAAACTGACGTGAATAGCATCAAAAAAGAAAAGGCGGAAAAAGGGAAGAGAAAACAGACAGGAAGAGAGGTTCACGACACAAAACCAGCGGACAAGCCCGCGATGGGGCCCTGTCAATTTGGCATCATGCCGGGCGCCGGGCGAAGGCGACAGGAGCCAAGAGCGAGAGCGAGAGCAAGAGCAAGATCCACCAGCTTGGCTAAACAAAGACAGGCCACCCGCCAAGACGAGACATCCCACCGTGGTCTGCATGGTACGAGGACGTGGCCCATCGAGGCAGTGAGGAGTACTGGGCATGACATCGTGTGAGACCGAACCTGTCGCAAGGGACGACGAGATGAACGGCTCGCGGTTTCAGCCTCCACGAAACAGGTGCTCTGGGCGCTTGCTCGGCGGCGACAAGACAAAAGGTATTGTCGCCAACTTGCAGCGAGGAAGACTCGGAGTATAACTAGCACTTGGGTAGTCCGTGATGAGTTCGTCGTATGCACGTCTAAATCCTTTTTAGAGTGAACATCTTTAGTACCAAGCTTTTGGATAAAGTTGTCGATGGGCGTTTTGGGTTGATTGTTGGCGGGAAAGGTGGTGACAGGACGGAGGTCACGACCAAACCCATCTCGAACGTTAAGAGTGGGGCTCAAGGGGCTTGGAGTGCTACAGGGGTACCCGCGTTTTGAAAGCTCGAAATAATGCCTATACATAACCCCCTTACATCTCCCACTGCAGATTCATTGACGGCGAACGACTCCCAAAGAAATGCGAACCGTGGCTGACATGCCTCCTCCCCCAATCGTGGCTCGGGGGAATGGCACATCCCAGCCAAGTCATCAGTGCGTCCAATGCAAGCTCTTGGCTGGTGTGTTGCCTTTGAATTTAGTATCATGGTTTTGGAGCAACCTGCCTTGACCGTAGTTAGTGGTGATAACACTAGGTTAGGCGCTGATTGATAACAAAGTCCCTATTCTGAGTTCAAAATCGAGCAGCGTCAGAAGATTCATCTAGGTCTGCACGCCTGGAAGGTAGGGATCTAATCTAGCATAAACGTCAGCAGCGTATGCAGAGAAACACGGTATTGGTCAGTAAGTATGCGCTTCGCAACCTGTCGTGACTTGACACTCGTGTCAAAGCGTATGTAGTGTGTTAGAATTGAAGCACCCAGTATCATCGATATACAAATTGTAAGCAGAAGACATTGAATATATACTACTTTGCTGCTAGGCTTTTTTTAAATGAACTGTTCAATGCTCAATACTATCTTACCATGAGCAAATAATGTTATCCAAACAAAGGAGAGAAACCTGTATCTTGTCGTGTTACGACGTGCAAGATCAGCCTCCTACCTATGAGTTGTCCTGCTCTATCCGTACGCCAATGTCACCTACTAGTCACAGTAGCTGCCTTCCTCTATCATAGCATGGCATAACAGGCGAGCTGATAAACCTTGCAACTATTTGGTGATAGAGCCTGCAAGGGTGTTTTGAACCATTTTGACGTATGGTTCAGGGTCACTTAAGGGAGATTCCCTGGCCCGAATCTACACCACTTTACCTTAGCCTCTCTTGTTCTGTGTTGTTGACATCTAGCTCCATGTTCGGCCATGAATCCAAACAGGTTTCCCCTTTGGTACCCAAATAGTGTTAGAACCGGTGATGTTATTACGGCAGGAAGCAAGAATGTTGTTTAGGGAGGGTTACGACATGAAAGCCGTTCTGGCATATCCTTTAAAGATACGGGCAACTACACCTCGGAGGGCCGGAACTACCGTTGACAATTCAGAAAAATTACTTTGTAAGGTCTGAAAGTCGAGGCGCAAAATCCACACTACAGGTATGTACGACGATGGCCTCTTTACTCGAGTACATGGTGGGCGGTTCGATTGAAGCTTTCTTGCGCCAGAATCCCGCCACGTATTGAACGCGAAGGATGAAATGGGCATTGTAGGCTGTGTAGGGTTTACATTTTATCCAAGTTGAGAACGCTCTCCATTGCGATATAAATGTTGGGAATCTTCTCCTAGACTCGGACCTAAACATCAAATGTTGTGACTTCCGAGGAAGACCCTTGGATTCTGAGAACACTAAGAGATGCTCCTAAAAACAGTGACTTGTGAAGAGCAAGGAGCTGGTGTACATTGTAACTTACCGTAAGGTCGAACCCGTTTTCAGTCACTGTGGTTATACACGTGACTTCTCCGTGAGGTGATCGCGGGTTTGTTGGAATCTACGGGGATATAGCTTGGCACAGTCGTCTGCATCTCAATAATCTCGCACCATGTTATTAGCTGCTAACAGAATATCCGCGAGATCACATAGACTTAGATCCCCGTTTGCCATGCTTTTCTGTTCTATTCACGTCGATATAGTGTGGTTTCGTTCGAGAATGGGCATCCTGCCTCCAGTGGCGGGGAATACTTGAAAACTATGGAACTGTGGCTGCGTAGCCACCCGGTGTATAGAATTTGAATAAAATTGAACCACGACAATGGCAGGCAAGAACAAACGCCGATCTCCAATATTTATCGTGAAGCATGCCATAGCGATTAACGACTGCATTATCGACATAACTCAGGCCAACAATTACATCAAAGGCAATAGTCTAAATGAACCTTCACAATTGGTAAGAGATGTAACCTTGCTCAGCTCAGAGCGCAATGTGGTCATCACTCGAGCCTACTACATTAAGGTTAGAACGCTTACTGCTGTGCTCCTTGCCAATCAAGGACTGACGTAGGACTTCACCACCAATAGTTAAAAAAAAAAAATCTAGGTACCACCGCCATTTCGCATTTCGCATTCTGCCTTCGCCGTGGTGGTTTGATAAAGACATAACTCGTCTACATATTGCCAAGTCATCGAAATTGGCTGCTGTTGCTGTCCCTCTCAAGTGCCAGTCATTGGAGATGACTTTGTGATTATTGGGACAAAAAAGGGCTTCCGCCAAGATTATATCTTTGGAAAGGAGATAGCTGGACAGTAGCTGATGATGTCTGGTACACGGCCTCAGGCCTTAACTGCGATACTTAGACCGGAACCACAACCCAGCTCGCTGTTCCTGACAAGACTCGTTCCTGAAATCCGTTCTATGATCTATGGATATATTGTTGGAGAAGGGAATTTGCATATTTTTGTCTACGAGCAAAATCTAGTCACCCTACGGTGCCTGAATCCCGCATCACTGGGTTTAACTGGCCACGAAACGTGCATTGGCATGCCGAATACCGACTCTCCGCCGGGGATCAACTGGAAATACAAGGAGGTACAGGAGCGCACGGCTTCCGAAGAAAAGCGTCATGTTGGTGCGTTGTTGACAGTCTGTCGCACCATGTACATGATACCCAGTATTGCACGTATCCTTCCATTCATTACTGATAACAGACAGATACTTAGAGTCCGTTGATACCCTGTACCGAACGCACATTCTTCACTTTAACAACATGATTTCAATCACGACATTTCCTCGCGCCATGATCCCCCGGCATCTCGAAGCACTGCATCATGTCAGGTTGTTTCTAGCTCTCCACGGTCGTGGGAAGCATATGAGTGCATATTTTCATAATTCGTTCAGTCGAAATTGGCCAGGCTGGGATGCAGCCAGTGCCCCTGGCGATACTCCATGGGCATCTGTATGGGCCGCCATGGCTGAGCTAAAGTCTCTACACACTTTAGTTGTTACTCTTGAGCTGAAACCCTCGCCCTCCCATCGCGTGGTTAAAGATCCTGATAGATGTCGGGAAGTAACTATAGAAGATGAGACACTGCTTCTTGATCCCACCAAAGAAGTCACTTGCAATGACTTTTTACTGAGGGTCAACTGGCCGTCGACGGGAAACTGTCTGAAGAAATACCCGTTTCGTATAGAACGTTACACTCAGGATACAAAGACGTAGAGCTATTGTTCACAAATGCTACATCATAGCAATGATCTTGTAACGGCACATTGCTAAGTGTACGCGAGCATCCAGTGACGAAAAGCCTAAGATTGTGCGCATTGTGAATGAAATGGTCAACAAGTCCTTGGTATACAGTAAACCATACCTAGAGTTGATGAAATGGTTTATATATTAATCCAAGACCCTTTGCCACATATGTAGGTTACTCGCTCTAAGCATATACCATCATTTCCTGCGGTATGCTATAGGTTACCAGGCGAAACGTATATATACTACCTGCTGAGTGGCAGCAGCACTTTTAAACGTAAGTGGAAGTGTCAAGACGTTCTAGATCATAGATATGATACCTTACCGGTCTAGCATGTTAACAGCCATGCCAGGAAGCCCCATTGAAGTACCTGGGCTTCAAGACGTAAATGGCAATATGTGTACTTGTCCAACTGACAGTAGCTTCAAAGTGTGTGATGAAGTTATCAAGGCACAATGTAGAATGCGTTGGTCTTCGACATCAAAAGTAGGATGAAATGCGTACACTAAATACAAAAACCCAAGTACATAGCTGATACTTATGTAGCCGTTGTCATCGTGCTACAGCCATCATTGCCGATTTTCGAGCAAACCCCAATTGCTCTGTGATAATCCACGTAAATGTTTTTACGCTCTATGCTTCTGTTGACGACCACCTTTAAGCTGCGTTCTACATCTTGCACATGCTATTTTTGAACACAAGGGGCATTTAAATGCATACTTAGCCATGAAGATATGACAACGCGAGCACTCATGCCTACCAATTACTTCAGACCACCACTCCCTGTGATCACAAAAGCTTTCGGCGAATCCGGTCGCGGGTTTCCTGCCCTCTTGTGCATTTTTCTTGGTCTGTTGGTGTCTGGAATCTGGCTTGGGATGATCGTGACCGGGCTGCCACTGATTCCAAGCGTGTGCCCGCGGCCGGTTCCCGGCTTCACCTTGTCGCTTCTGTTCTTCGTCTCGCTTCGTTCCCGCTTTTCTCAACTCCTCTTGCTCTTTCGTTCGTTGTTCCTCGGCCCGCTGATGGTTCGTTCTCAGCTCTTCGTTATATCGGCGCGCACGTTCAGCGCGCTCACGCTGTGCCTCAGCGTATCTTGCATCGGTTATCTGCCTTGTCAAAGTGGCCATGGCAGCTGTATTCTCCTGTATATCCTTCTCAAGAGCACGATAACGCAAGTTTAGAGAGCTTCGCCTCGCCTCGAGGACTAGTCGTCCAGTGGCCCGTTCTGTTCTGCGCCGTTTTATGCCCTGGATGATTTCCTCCGAGTTTTCTCTCTTGAAGAAATACGCGAACCAGCTTTTCGCTGCATTCTCTTGCTCGTCATCTTCATCTGATTCTGCAGCAAACCTTTCCATGACTTTACGCATGCCAATCAATATCGGGAGCAAGGGGTCTCGCTCACTCCGTAGTGACAACTCTCTATCTTTAAGCTCCTGCAATTTCTTCTCCAATTCTACTATCTGCTGCGTGGACGGCGAGTCTGGTTTACCCCAGAAAGATTCGCTTGCCGTGGTGTTGTTCGAAAACGAGTCGTTCGTCGCCGACGTCGTGGAAGAAGATTGGGCTGTTCCTGCCCACTGAGTGTCATAAACCTTTCGCTTCGATGGGTCCTTAAGGGTTTCATAAGCTACGGCCACCTGCAGAACTCAACGTGAGTAAAGTGTACTCCTTCAGAGACGATATCGTACGTGTCATTAAGCATACTTGCTGAAATCTCCTGGTTGCAGTGGGGTTGCCCCTGTTCTTGTCCGGGTGGGTTAACAACGCGAGACGACGATAACTGCTCCTGATGGCGGCATCGTTGGCCGATCTGGGGATCCCGAGAAGGGCGTAATAGTCTTCCAACATTTTGACTACTTTAGGCAATATAGGTAGATCCACAATTTGGTTGACGACCCAAGATTAGTCTAGAATGGAGACCGAATACTATCATAGTATACAAAAGTCGACTAATTCTGGGACGTGTTCTCCTCAGTTGAAGTGAACAGTGCACGACCACAGGTTGGGCTGGGTGCCGTGCATATATCCTGTGTAACATTGTATCGAATGCATCAAGCACGAGAATGAATGGATTTTCCCAAGAGGACAGTGTGATTTTAATACGTGACTTCATACGTTGTTTTACACATAGATCCCTGCACTGTTATGGTGCTACAACCCTCTCTGTGTGCCGGAGCGCAGAGTTGGTTCACTGCAGTAACTGACCAGAAGCATGGAATTTTCCTACGAATTTTACTACAAGTTGGCACCGTAAATTTGGAGCTCTAGAGTCAACTAATCCAGCGCAAGAATCCGTCCTATGAAAGAGAAAGGCATCAACGGTGAGTATTCACCATAAACGGGTATCAGATCTGCACGGAGGAGTGGGGCCGAAACAAGGGCAAAGATGTGCGATGTATGTAAGAAACAACCCAGAACAAAGGGATATAGACCGAATCGAGTGCCCCGCTTGGCGCGAACACTTAAACTTGTAGCTGATGGGACTGTCATTTTATGTAATGAAAGTACGATGAATCCAAGACCAGTCTAGTATAGTATAGACTAGACTACACTAAGGTTAATGGATGCACGTATGTATGTAACCTTGGATAAGTTATACTTGTGCGTCCCTGCGTCGAGCCAAGTCTAACCTGGCAGCCTGGGAGAGTGTCTTTGGAGTGTGCCGCCGCCCCCTTGGCTGGCGCTGTTAGTGACGGCTCGGAACCTTGCAGGATTCAAGGGCCAAGGTCAGCCCAGACCCAGACCCAGACCCGCCCCAAGTTCCAACCACAAAGAGGTGATCGGCGTCCGCGTCCATAGTTCCGTCGGCGCATCACCCTCAATTGCACCCTTTCCACCTGCTAACCTTGGTCTCCCTCTTTGCCTAACATAAACCTGCCTCCCCCATCTACCCACCATACAGACCGTCTCTCTCTGCATGGGCTCCTTTGCATGCATATATATAGATATATATGTATGTATGTGTATACATTGTCTTTTCCGTCGAGAAGCTTGATTCCATTGCCACGCGAGTGTTCTTCACATCATGGCTGCCGCGGGCATTGTAGATCCCACCAAAGCGGGCAAATACCCAGTCGTCCTCAGTGATGCCCTCCTGGGCAAGAGATCGAGCGAAGTCTACACAGGTGTAAGATGTAAGCGACGCCAAGTGCTCTCCTTCTTACGGGCAGTATTGCTGCGAACAACGACGGCTGGCTGACATGCTCGGAACCAGACAACCATAGACCAGAAGCACCGCTGGACTCGGCCAAATTACGACAGAACATCACCTTCAAGGGCTCTTACGATCTCATATATGGCGACAAGGGCAACATGCACAAATACCGGGGCAACCGCACCACCGACGGAAACCAATATGTCCTCATATTCGACCCAAAGAGGGAGGTCTTCGTACTGCACAAGGTCGACTCGACATTCAACATGAACCTCACCTCAACGCCCGAGAACAAGAATGCCGAAAGCCTGAAGAAGGAACACCCGCACCTCCCCAACAGCGGCACAGATGCCCCCTCCAGCAAAGGCAAGGCCGGTGCCACGTCGCAAGGAACAAAGGCACAAAAGAAAACAGAGTCCAAGGCCGCGTCGGCCCCAGCCAAGCGGAAACCCGGCGCCGACGATGAGGAGGAGAGCGACGATGATGACAACGGCGGCCTGGAAATAGACTTTGGAGACACAGCTGCGCCGAACCGCGACTTCTCGCCTGCCTTCCCGCCCAGGAGATTCAGCGAGTTCGCTGCACAAAACGAGGAGGAGGAAGACGACGCCGATGGGAAGACGAGGACGAGGAGATGAGCGAACAGGAGCACTTTCCCTTGCCGTCACCAATTGTTCACCAGACCACGACCTCGGCGCCTGATCCAGGCACGATTTCGCTCACTTTCGATGACGATTCCGCATCTGAGGAAGATGAAGAACCGGCCCCAGCACCAGTGCAACAGCAGCAACAGCAACAGCAACAGCAACAGCAAGGACAGGATCAGGATGAAGACATGGGCGATGACCTAGAAGATGATCTGGAAGCAGCCCTCGAGGCCGAATTGGGGGCCGGATCGGAGAGCGATGTCAGTGAGGAGGACTAAAAGTTTCGCCAGCCGGTCTACCAGAGGAATCTCTCACGACGATTTCCCTTGAAATTCCCACACTCTGGGGAAATTATTTACATACAAGCACACGATTGTTGAATTTGGTTATTATTTGGGAAATCTTGGGATAAGCATTGGGTTGGAAATAGGAACGGCGTTTTGGGGGCTTGCGGCAAGGGATACCATTTCATGCGTCACAATTTGTAGACCTGACTTGCTACAAAGCAACTGCTTTGGGCTATAGACAACCCTCGGAACGAATCTATCATAGACGCGCACCACAACATAAATCGCAATGGGACTTGGGCCGCCTTGGTTTTACTTGAAGCCTCTTTGGCCTACTTGAGTGGATGCTCTAAAATAATTGAGACGAGATGAGTAGCATAACGAGGAATAGAAGTGAGCGCATGGCTCCTGTTAAGGTTTATGAATGGTAATAGTTTTGGGGGGGGGTTTACCTGCAGAAACCCTCGCATGTCGATTGACTGGCATGTGCTCTGGAGGGTGCCGGAATACCGACCAAGGTTCGTTTCAAGCCTTATCATCACACAAAGAAGGCCACCTGGGACTATGGGCATATTCAGTAAACATTGTTGCAGCCATGACCGGACTATGGGATAGCGTAGTTGATGCTCAACTGTCGGGCTGGATAAGTCGGCATATGCACGCAACCCCATCCCTGGCCCGTCAAAGGTGATCGGCAAGGTGCGGACCCTGAAGTCTGAGCACTAAAACCCGCCAAGCCGGGGGGGTCTGTCGCTCGGTAAAGACAGATCCAGGCTCCCAGGCAGCCCAAGGACCCTAAAGTCGCAGTGCATGTGCGCTAGAACTCAAGCGGGGCCCAACTTGGTCTCAGGGCTGCACTTGTTGCTCCGCCTTCCGCCATACTGCAAAGCCTTAAGTCAAAGTCGCCCAACCTGGGCTATGTAAGGTATGGGTGTTCCATTCCATAGGAAGTCTAGGTTAAGATTAGTTAGTTTACAATAGGTAGTGTCTTCAATTAGTGAGGGTGGTTTTCGATGTTTCCATTAACTCTGTTTTTGAACCGACCCCACCACCGAAACGACGAAACACGAGCTTTTGCATGACCTGATTGGCAACACCAACGTCCCTCTCTCTTCCTTACACACTTACTTGCTACTCATCTCCTATACGATACGACCCAGCCGCAGATTAGAGACCCGTTGCTCTGCGAGCTCAAGGAAGCCGACGAGTTCTGGACGAAAAAGAAAACACCACTACCTAAACCTAACACAACCTACCCCAGCACAACCCGCGCGGCCCGGGCTAGCAGTCACTCAAGATGCCGGACAGACAAGAGATCATTGCGACGAATAAGTCGTTGCGTCTGATCAAGAATGTGCGTTCATGGTCCTCACGGGCGTCTCATATCGATTTCACCGCTAACCCCTTGTCCAGGAATTGGAGAGCCTCCTCGAGAAGGGCATCGTCGACGACAGCATCTTCGACCAGATCATGACCATACTGCCCGCCGAGTCCCCCCTCTCTGGCGCGACCCCAGCATCCCGCCAGGCCTCAGTCGCCAGCCCGCCACCAAGCCACCACAACCCAATCTCACCTCCCGTGAATGCCATGGCCAACCTGGCCATGCACACCCCGTCTCCGGCACCCCCAGCGTACAACACCACCGGCCCTCCCTCTCTCCCCCATCGCAACAACCCACCGCCTCCCCCGCCCCCCAGCAAGCCCATCATCGCACACGCCAAGGCCTTGTATAAGTACAACGCCGCGGACGACCGGGACCTGACCTTTGAGCGGGACGACAAGATCGCCGTCTTTGAATATATGAACGACGACTGGTGGATGGGCAAGAACCAGCGCACCGGCGCCGAGGGCATCTTCCCCAAGAACTACGTCGAGATCGACCACGCCCAAGAGAAAGCTGGATACTACGGTGCCCCCGCCCAGCCAATGTATGCTCCCCAACAAGGGGGATACCCGGCGCCCCCGCAGGGCCAAAACCCGTACAACTCGAGCGTGCCGCCCATGGCCGTCGCCGAGGGTAGTGCTGGTCAGCAGCAGCAACAACCCGGCGAGGAGGGTAAGATGGGCAAGTACGGAAAGAAGATTGGTGGCAAGCTGGGCAATGCTGCTATCTTTGGTGCCGGTGCTACCTTGGGTGGAAATTTGGTCAACAGTATCTTCTAAGCTTAAGGCGACTGTTATTCTGTCGAACGTGGCTTTTCCGTGTTGCTGTTATTTCCCGCATTTCCGACAGACAGCTTGGAGATTGAGCTTAGAGAGCACTCGCTATGGGGAATCACTAATGACTTGGGTTCTCTGGTTAATGGACTGATGTTGGGATGGCATGAATTGCATGGTTATTCGTTCTGACCACTGCTTCAAGACCCGGCATGTGAGAACAATGCGACGATATAAAAGTATTCCCAGTCTAGTCTAGTACGGAACTTTACTACAAACAACAACAAATACGCTCTATCAGATAAGCCACCTTACAAAACTTGATATGCATTTAGTAAATAGTATCAAGTGGCTCGTAAAAAGCTACACGTCTTCCACCACGGTGCCTAAACGTTGAGGATCGTGGGATCATTATCTTTGCACGCATACATCTTGCAGATACTCCGATATATCGAACCATACATCAGACTAAGAGCTTATCTCCCTCGCCACGAACCAGCCTCCTGCGACAAACTACAAGCTTCGCGCTACCATGTGCGCCCGAGCCCGTCGCAGCGGTATGATCCCCCACCGGGTCCCCTATCTTCGCATCAATGCTTGTCGAGGGCCAACGATCCGGACGCAGTTTGGCGGGCTATCCTCGCTGTGGCGAGTTGGGGGTCAAGCCAGTTATGCCGTAGACTTAAGCCTGCCGAGGACGGAAGGTCCTGTCCTATGTCTCAGCCTACTAGATAGTAGGTCGATTCCATGTAGAGAGATCTTAGGTTGTTGTCACACATTTGCGAAGCGCCCATCACGATATCTGTATAACTTCAAAACCTTCATCTTCGCGGAGAAACGTGTACTTCAGCTTATCTCTTTTCATGGCACCTCAACTTATGAAGGACGGATCCTTCCACAAATACGACATAAACGGGGTGGGGTATATAGCGGTTATGTTTGTCTGTGCGTGGGCTATATTCATTCATGTTGAATAGAGCATGGCTTTGTGCGTACGTTGGTTTGACTTTATAAACGGCTGCGTATTTTACTGCTATTAAATGAATTATAAGAGTCTAAGATCTCATCTATCTATCTAAATAAATAGATAACATTCACGTTTATGCGTCTGTAGTGATTTCTATTCGATTCTTTCTCCGCCGTAGTCGTTCTTCCAAGTCCCAGCATAATGGTGTTCAACGAGGGGTGGGCGTATTCTATGTTGGTCTCTAGGCTCGTATGTATTGCAGGATGCTGCGAAGGAATACCCCGGGAGTATCAAAATATTGCCTGCTAACTTGGGCTCCAATAGCCCATGGTAATCATCCCACTTATAAGCCATATTCGTCGACCTGTCAATACTCTTCATGACGCTCTGCGCAAACCTGATCGGCCCCGTAAAGTCCACCACGTCACCGACCATGTTTTTATCTAGCATCGAAACCGTGGTATTGTGTGCCCTCGCCGCCTCATGCACGGCATCTACGATATCGTCCACCACTGCCATCAGGTGTGAAACTCCTCTCCTCGACAGGACTGCCCACGTCGTGAACTGGCGGAACTGGAAGCGGTAGCCTGCGTCGAACTCCCAGCCTACCACGAGATCGGCCCTCTCTTCAAGCTCCGGAGGTATCCAATCGTCTATCGGGATGCCCTCGCAGGAGGCATCCAAGTCGAACCAGACACCACCTTCTGCGTACAAGAGCAGATAGCGCAGCAAGTCTGCCTTGAGTATAGGCACCGTGAGAGCGTTGTATGTGTCCACGATATCCGGCCGATGCGCAAAGCTCTCATTTACGAACCCGGCCGCGGACTCGTCTGTGAGAAACTGTACGTCGTACCCGGGGTTTTGATCTATACAGGATGCCGTCCAGACTCGGGCGTCCGAGCCGAGTCCTTTTGGACCCAGCTTGAACCACATCTTCTTGGGTATGCCCACCGGCTCTGGAATTGGCGGCTCTGGTGGCGGCCCAGGCGGCTGCGACGTGTCGAGGAGCAGGACCGGCGCTGCATCTGCAGGGTGCTGGATATATACACCCATCGACGGGCTCAACTTCAGGCTGCGGCTGGCATCCCACACACGAAAGTGATAAAGCAGGATAAGAAATGTAAGAGTGATCAAGTATATCTTAGTTCTTGGTCCTCGTAATGCCAAGAGGCGCGGCCACGTTGGCACTATACCAGACTTGAATTCAAAGTTCAAAGACATTACGCAGTTATCCAGCGCCGTGCGTGAAGTAGACAAATAGTGCCACATGTGCTGGAAATAAAGTGATTTTCTCGAGATAGATTTTCTATGACAGGTCTGTAAGGTGAATCGTGATTCAAAGATATGCGTTAGGGGATTAGCACGTCTTCGAGGTCCTCGTAACCGTTAGATGAGACCGCTGTCGTGGACGGCCAACAATCGATGTGGTGGACTAGTCAGTGAGTACAGCCCGGATCGAAGCTAAAATGGGAGTTAATAATAGTTTCAGAAAAACTAGAAGTCCAAAAGAGAAGCAAATATGAGGAGGTCGATTTGTCAAGACATGTCTGTCCCTCTGGGAGCTGATGTTTAATTTGCGCAACACGGCAATTTTTTTTCTTTCGCGCAGAATATAAGAGGTGAGCATAACGAGGTTATCAGAAGAATTCAAATCGCTTGAGGCAACTTCAAATGTTATTCAAGACATTTCAAAATGGAACCAACACTATCTGCATGTTGGTGGATTATGGTTGTGAGCGCTTAGACGAGTATTTCTGCGTTGTGATTGGTCGGCCTGTCGTTATTGCCCCTTTGCGCCCGTCTTCTGAGGTCTAACCAATAACTCGACGTCTCAGGCCTGCTGCGGAAAGCAAACGTTAAGAGACAGGGATGTTTGGGGATCGCAGGTTCCCACGAATTTATGACTGTTATTCACGTCTGGTTCGGTATATCCCAAGGGTCCGGCGAGGATCGGAGGTACTGCATACCACATACACTCACCAGGTTAATATACATAAATACGTAATACTTTGAGAACATTGGGAAAATATGCTTGTCGAAAAAAAAAATACCAAGCGACATTTAAAACATCAGACGATCACAAGCGAAGCAAAAATGTATGCATACAACACCGGGGATTCCCTATACAATTATGGTCGAACTTGAACAACTTCCGAAAATGAAAACCTTACAACCCGACCCATAGCTCCTCTGACTGCCAACTTATAATAAATTCTCGACAAACAAAGGGAGTGCGACCGACGGTTCCGCAACCATCCACAGCGCCACTGTCTTCGTCCCTGAGGATGGCCCCTCTTGGGGACTACATTGATACGACTGTGCATTGAATAGCCACTACACGATTTTATATCCATTCTGGCTACTCACTGATGTTAGGTTGCCAGCAATTCTCATACAAACAGGCTTGGTCTTTAGTATTTATCGATATCGAGCTCAAGATTATATACCGAATCATGAGCCTCCATTCCAATCGTCCCTATAGCCTTCTACCCATCTCGGGTCATTCCAAGGCTTGTCTTTTCTTATATTATAACGTGCCGCGTCCTGATGGAAGGGTACGATTCCATCAGTCCAGTTCTTAGTGCCTGTCTCGAGGAGGCCGGTGATCAGATGTCCAGCTATCACGACACCACATTCAAAATTGCTCATCTTCACAAGCTTCGTGCCACCCGTCTCTACATTTGCTTTTTTGCTCTTGTCTGGCTCGAGGGCACCCCAAGCTGACTGTGAGAAATTTGCAGAGCCAAGGTAAACAAAGTAAGGTAGCGAGTTGCTGTCCTGAGGGTTGTAGGCCATGATAAGTTTTTGGTGGAAGAGACAACCGGCATCCTTGGATTCGTAATGATGGAAGATGTTCTTGATGTCATTCGGTGCAGAAGCCCAGGGGCGCGTGTGGCATCCTATGTTGCTTGCACCGTCTTGTGCTGATTCATGTGCGCCTTTGACGTCGCCGACGGTGGGATAGAACAACTTCAGTCTCGGAACCTTGCTATCTGCCGCTGCCACTGCTAGATTTGCCTTCCCCAAGGCGCAGTCACTGAAACCATTGAGCCATTTGGTGTTGAGGTTGCCAATACTTGCGGCACATACTTCTAACTGCAGTTTATTGCTCTCAGCTTTCTTTGCCAAGTCCAGATCGAGGTCTTTGATAACCCGTCTGAGACGCAGAAGACCTTGCTCTTCAGCCTTGGCGCCAGACCAAGTGCCCGGCTGAGACGTAACTAAATGTGCCTTGACCTTCGAGTAATCGTATCGGCCTTCAATGGAGTCAATAAAATCTTCGGGCGATCCGAGTGCTCGTAGATGGGCTAAAAGATTCTCCTCGAAATGAGTTGGGCAGCCCTTGATCTGGGAAGAGCGCTTGGGCAAGTCGTGTATGTACCAATGATTATCGCCCTCTACAGTATCAATATCCATGAGGTTACACGACGTAATCACAAGTCTTAGAAACTCCGGGTAAAGGAGAACAAGAATTTTGGAGTGCGAAGAGCCGGACGACCAGGCGTAGAAGGTATGGTAATTCTTACCATATTGCTTTTTATGCAGCTGATCCAAGCTGGCACTCACCGTTTCTAGTTGTTTTCTTGTCAATTTCCCCTTGATTGTTATTCCAGCTTGCTCGCATGCAATCGGCACCATTTGGTCCATGTTCGGATCCCGGCCAACATAGATCTAAACGAACGTTAAGTAGCTGCGTCTAAAGTATTAAGTCTGCTGCACTTACAGGGACGGCATTCGAAGAACGAGAGAAGGGCAGATGACAAAACACTTCCTCGTTCGCTATGAAGAAAGCGTAAATGCATGCCGAGACAAGATTTCGCTTATCGATGACATCCTTCAGATTGACACAATTCTTTTCATGCTGTCTACCAGGGGTACGTGTTATGCGAATGGCGCCGTCAGGAAACTTCATTGTGCTCGATGGAGGCCCAACCGATACGGAAGGCCGGGCAGCCTTTGGCCGTTTGCTCAATAGGTCCTCCTCAGCTTTGCGTTTTGTCGAACTTGTCTCAACAACACTCTCATCCTCACTGGCTGTTTCGCTGCCGGCCTCGCTAGCTGTGCTGACATCCTCTTGGTCGAATCTGGATATTCGGATAGCTTCTTGCAGCTGACGCTCTTCCTCTATCAGTAGCGCACCGCGATCAGCTCGTGAGGCTAGGAGGGCTCGCCTATTCCACGTCTTGTCAGATCACTACTTGTGGGGCCCACGAGAGACATCTACAAACATACTCTGGATCACCCATTTCGGAAGCGTCGCAATATCTGCGAATGATGAAGCGCGAAGTTGCAATGTAAGCTCATTGATAGCAAGCGGGTCACCGAGGATCCCTATTTGTCTTGGAGCATGTGACGTAAGATCCTGTAGTGCACAAATATAGGCAAACAGCCGAGTGCGCCTGCAGCCTTTGAAGTACAGAAACAGAACAGATGCACAAAACCAAGGTGGACTATGTGCTGATCCTGCGGTTGTACTTTTAGGTTTTCTCCTCCACCTGAGGAATGACTGAGATGCCGTTGCTCAGATGCATCGCGGGGCACCCACTGGTCCTCACCTGGTCTAGGTCGGACAAGCCCACGGGCCTCAACTGAAAAACAGTGCTCGAAACCATGCACCCTGTAACGGCAATGGGTAGATAGGAAAGCTTCCGCGTCCATGTACTCTTAGCAAATTGATATACAGAGCGACCATTATTGAAACCTGAGAGTTTTGTGGTTATGAGGGTGGAAACTTACTGGCGCAACGTGGTTGGCTGTCATTTGCGTCATCATGACTACGTCCTCGCTATGATCAATCCATTCACATCAAGGGAATGCGAATCTGAGGACTCTCTACTTGGAAAAGAGCAGCACAGACAGATAGACTCTTAGTAGAGAAAATTTTGATTATCTCGAGCAGTGCGATGGAGCGGATCTTCACGTATCAAACTTCTCTACCAATATACAGGAGTTACTAAACCTCCAGTTGCTGACCCAAATTCTGTCTTGATGATTTGAAGAATAGTCGCATGAAAGCATTGGAGCGAACACACTATATGTGTAATGGCAAATGCCGATGGTCTCATTGCGTTTGGTACCAAAATATTCGGCATTAGACACTGCGAATCCTATCATGGTACTAGTCTCATCCTGTTTGCTAAAAGACCAACCCAGTTAAATCCTCTCTTACCTCCAACCAGCTACCAGATCTATTCAAAATGGTGTGAAGAAAATGAAATGCAACCAGACTGCATGAATAGCGCTGCACTAATTGTATGCAACTTTTACTCGGAACATTAGTATCGGTTAATGGCTTCAACCTTTGAGAACCTCTTCACATCGTCCGGCATGCGCGTGACGACCAATTGCTCGCAGAACAGTCCCAAGTCGCCGCTTGTGCCGTCTTTGACGGCGTCCGCAAGATCGATGCGATATCGCTCTCTATAAGCTCTTTTTACTGCTGACATGTGATGGCGATCCCAGTGGTATCTGACCAAACGGCTGATGAGAAGCTCGCGACGCATACTGTCCTTCTTCGATGCGGTGAGGGCATGGTTTAGAAGGAGCGCGTCACGGACCGGCTTGTTGATCACTCCGTTGAGGATATGCGCCAATAGTTCACCCTATCTCATGTTAGCTTAGTTGGCCAACTGGCCATGGCGGATGGCTCGGTACTGACCACAAGATTGCCGCTCTTTTTCAGCGCGTCTCGAGCAAAGTTGGACCCGTATGTCCTCTCATACAATTTCATCACCTCTCTTAAATGCGAGTCGCTTCGCATGACGACGATTTGTATCATGGCAGACTCGCCACCCTTCTCGCTCTTGACAGATTTTCGAAGATCGTGTACATCGTCCTCTACTAGCCTTCTGTCAATGGAGAGTGGTCGACCATATTCGTCGTACTCCTCCATCCGTCTTTCATCCAATACCATCAACACGGCCCTCTTGAACTTGTCTTCCTTGAGCTCCGTCTTCATGCATTGTGTAAGGCTGTCACGGTATTTCTTGTCACTGAACCCGTCCTTGATTCTCCGAATCTCGTCATTCGTTCTGCCCATGATGGACTCAATAAGTACTTCCCGCCGTGTCTTATCGCCTTGGTACCAGTAGTTGGCCCAGTAAGCTTCACTTTCCCATTTGCCAAGCGCGACCGTATAGCAAGCCTTCATCAATAATGGATCCTCGTCCTTGAGCCGGGCACGGATGTGTTTTGCCACGTTAACACCCTTGCGCTCACTTCCAGTCTTCACTAGTCTCTTGTATTCCGTGCGCAGATCCATAATCTGTTCATGGGTTAAACCAGGAAGAATCTCTATCAACGGTTCCACGTCAGGTGAGCGCTTCTCGCCTTTGAGCGCTTTCGCAAGCCTGGCAGCATCATCCTCAGGATCGCTGAATCGTGCACGACGTTTCTTTTTGTCGCCCCGCTCATCGTCTGAAACACCAGGCGAGAGAGGTTCGATAGGAGAAAGAGGGCCATTGGAGGCAGTCAGTAGCGGAGAAGGCATGGGCGACATTGATTGGTAAGTTCCATGATATGATTCGAGCAAAGGAGAACCGGGGGCATTGGCCAACGAGAGGTGGGAACCTGTAGGGAAGCCTGTGCTCACACTGAGTGAAGACATGCCCTTCACTGGTGGTGCAGGAGATCGTGACCGATCCCGTCGGCTGCTGCCTGGCTCGACTGTCAGAACATTTGACTTGGACGATCGCGGGTCATCATCACGATATTTTTTGCTCGATGTCCTCTGCGGACCCGGACTTGGTTCGCGGCGTGAGTATTTTTCGGTCTTTGGTGGGCTCAATCGTCCGCCGTTATATTCGGGTTGCCTGATATTATATCCGACATTGCCGTTCACGTTATCGACTTCCCAACTTGGCATTTTGGCATATTTGAACTCCGAGGGAGGCGGCGAGTCATCCCGGGGGTATCCACCTGGTAACGTGACAGCATCGCCATAAGCGAGGTCGTTTTCCAGCTTGGCTTTCTTTTCCTGCTTCTTTCTCTCTTTGTCGCTATCGGACTGTAGAGCCTTATCCATGACCTTCTCGGCATATTTTGCCGGTAAGAATGCGGCAGCCCCGCCAATGGTCTTTGCCAAGCGATCTCTGTCAGCATCACGATCCGAGCCTCGCTCCGTTTCTCTTCTTGGACGTCTTGAGTGCTTGCTGTGATCACTATCGTCCTCGAACTTTTCACGGCTTCTGCGATACGAAGACTCATCCGTGGGCGATGTGACCCGATAGCCTCGAGGGTCATCATAGCCATAAGTAGACCGTCTCGAAGGTGCATCGTGGCCATCGTTGTAGCTGAAGCCCGCTGGAGGTGAAGGCATTCTGACCGCATCCATGATATAAGGGTCAGGGTGCGATGGGGCGCGACTGCGGCTGCGATCGCGTTCGTCTCCAGGATGTCCTCCTGGCGATCGGGACCGACCGCGGCGGCCATTGTCATCAACCTGTAGAGACATCTCAAGCTGTTATGTCGAGCTCGAAAGCGCCAATGCAAACGTGACCGTCTTTACTGAGAGTCTGTCTTCTTAGTGGCTGCGGGGTATCGCAACGTGAGATTGTTCCACTTTCAAGGCTGACTAGGTAGATTGTCACTCCTACGCCTCTCCCTCATGAAACTGAAGGAAATTTGGAAGAGAGCCTCTCACAAGGGAACCTTATGTATTTAGAATCATTAAAAATGTGTATCGTGGTTCTACTAGGCCGAAGGATCACTCAGGCACAGCTCAGCGCAATCTCCACTGCAATGCGTCCTAAAGAGGGGCTGGTCCGATGAAGCTGCAAATGAAACACGAGCGGCTTGCCCCTCCCCTGTAGGACTTCATTGGGGGCCGCATTGATAGGCCAGTAAGGGCGGACTGAAGCCGTCGCGCTGTCCGTGTGGGCTTGCGTCTCGGTCGGTGCTAGGTGCCATCGAAGTCCACCCTGCCACCCAATGTGCTTCGCCTACCTGGTTGCCGGAGCTTGCGATGCGGGAGAGAGACAATGGGCAGTGCTGTTAGAAGAAAACGGTGGGGTAAATGACCTACGGACTGCAGAATATCTGCATCAATGATCGCAGCCTCACAACGGGGCTATGCTGTGCCACGGTGAAGTGCATATACCCGCTTGACAGCGCGATACACAACATTGCGAGGCTATGACGATTAACTGACCTTGCATTTGTTGGGACAATCGTCTCGCAGGGTCTCGTGAGACTCGTTGACATGAGCTTGCTTCACGGCATCGAATTTCCATACGAATTCGGATGACCAGAACCCCAATTGGCTACACAGCCGGCAGCGAGCAGGTGCATACCAAGGTGGTTGTCTGACGATTGTATACCAAGCCTACTCTAACAATTATCACAAACAACATTACCTTTCGCCCTAGGACTAGCTTCTGTCTACGGATTATAGTAGCCCGTTTGTGGGTATATCGTGCCATTTAGCCGCTATTCCAGCGGATCTGGCGGCTTCACGAAGTGCCCGCTGTGGGCCAAGCTGACAGTCAGGCGCCCATTGCAAAGTCACCTGAGCCTCAAGATGATTATTATCGAGAGCCATGAGTCATACCAGATATTCGAGCCTCGCAGGGCTATTCGTCCCTATTTTATCGCGAATAGAGTCCTTGACCTAACTGAAAATATTTCCTTGGAGTCAACCCATAACCCCAAAAGTCAAGGGCGTTAGACACCCGTTTATAAATTATAATCATGAGAACCTTGACTCAATGCAGAGGAGACGTCTTCAAGATGAATCACCACAGTTGTGTTACTGGCTAAAGCTTTTGGAGTATTCGATGGAACACTCAATGATATAACGCGCAGAAGAGCACAGTAACTTGATACATCCTTCACATCTTGAGGCATAATTGCATATGGAAGCGTGGCTCGATGATATCTAGATTATACTACAGTTGTACACTTGCCCTTACACGGATGCTATAATTCATTGTTACCTTGCCCTCAGAAAACCTAAAATGATGTATTGTTATTGATAACAAGTTGTTTTAGTTTCTGGCGTAAATATTCAAGTTACATTAGAGATAATGTATGTATTAGCGTTGCAATATAATCACTCTACAGCCGGATGCCTACCCTTAGTACCATGTATGATTATTGCCGATATCCATTGAGCAGTACCAACAAGACAACACGATTCGATTCTGTGAGGTATGCGTATATTTGAGCCACAGTTGCGAGGCAGGTCGTATTTCGTTTGTCTGCCGTAAAGGCAAAGCTGTTACTTTATTAGGCGAACCCCAACGGCCTTGCCTGGCGACTAAGGCAAAGCACACGCAATACCACGATTGTAACGGGGTACAGGATGCGCTATCTGCAGCCCATAGTTCGCCATTAGGAAATGCGACCTCCATTCCACCCTTTGATCTGGCAATATTTTCTCCACTATGATATTAATCCAATAAGGTCTTTTAGGGCTTCCGAAGTGTTTCACAGATGGTGTAAACACTTTACCCAGAGTAATCGCGGGCTTGGTGTTGTCAGCAGCCGATGATAATATCCTGCCCTTGCATACCCAAGCCCCAGGCGAGAACACTCAGATCTTGCGTTGTTTTCAGAATCTCTCTATGCAGACGCTTGAACGTTTTCCAGCCTTCACCATAGAGCAGCAACATGTTTACGCCCACCAGCCCGGGCATACAATACGCCATGTCTTCTTCGCGTATTGTCTCTCGCCTAGCTGCCGAAGAGAGTTTGATAGCGATAGGTGTAGTGGTAGTCACTCCTTAGCAAATACCCAGGAAGAATCCCTATTATGTTCGATTGCAGTGCATAATAGCCTGCTCGTGGACAGCTTTCCAAGATGGCTCGGCAGGATGAAAGTCGCATAATCGCTTTGTTCACTAGTCTAGTGTCTAGACTTAGTTGATTCAGACTTGTGTAGTCGACCTCCGGATTGCTCTCCGAGCTTGATAAGAAAGAAGTCATTTCATTGATACTGTTTAGATTTGATTGATCGAAATCTGCATCGGTGATCTGATGGTCACTTTCCATACGCAGTGACCTGGGAGCCGCGATGTTAATTCCCTCTTCGTTCTTATACAAGAGTAACTTCTACATAACTCTACACACGCTGGTTTGACAAAGCCTGAAGTTGGGCGGTCTAGAGGCCTGAAATTGGAGCTTCTAAACCAGTCAAAAATGGTAAAGCTTGCAGAATATACTAACGTGCCATCTTAGCCATAATAAGACCGTAATCTTAGGGACCCGTGACTGGTTTGTGTCTATGCCAATAGAACGAATCAGTTAGGTGCTGACTGAACAAAGGGGAATATGTAGCGTGGCTCAGTGACACAGGATCCTATCATCTGTCCAGAACGAAGGCCGCTATATTTTCATAGCTGTCATATTCTTCCCCGATAATATCCGACCGACACGAAATAGTTCTCTTGACCGGAAAACCGCAATTGTGGGGCTTTGGTTCCTGTGTATAAAGCCACTGAGGTAATTATTCGTCACAGAGGTGATCAACAGACGGATATTGTATGAACTCAGAATAGGCTCGCTGGGCCTCTGTTCCAGAACACTGATACAGAGAAGCAATATCTGCGAAGCTCACTCTTCAATATTAGCTTCATAGGAAATTTGCGAGGGACACATGAGCTTTTACCTCAAGGTCTGAACATTACTATTCCCTTATCAACAGGGTCTATAAGCGGCAGCACAGCTAGAATGGATGACAAAAACTCCGCTTCAGCATTGTAAGCAGCTGGTCTGTAAGCATATATTGCAGAACTTACGCTGGACGCCATTGAATTGCATATTAACATTGCCCTGGAAGATGCCGCATGATCTTGAAATTGGCTGTTAGACACTGTGGTTCAATTGATTGGAATTTCAAGCTGGGCTCTGTTACAATCGGGCAGTTGCCCGACTGCTGAAGAGCCATTCGGTGAGTTCTGTTTCATCTGAATGACAGAAAGCCCGAAGGCCGCACGCTTGTCGGATTTTGATGATCATTAGAGAGCGGCAATTGACAATGCCACGATATTGATTTGAGCAAAGTCATTTCAAGAGCAATTAAGCAAGTTTGGAAAGATCTCATGCTTTTTGAAAGAGTGTCTCTCATAATCTGAGAACCTTGCACTCAAAGTGACTAATAGACTGACTGATTGCTATATTACGCCTCAAGAACTTACGCTTTTTAGTAGCGACAACGGGCTCGTCGATCTTTTGGAAAATGTCCGGATCAATCGTAATTAATCATGGTGATGAAAGTTGGAATGTCATTAAATACGTATATCGCCTATACAGCGGTAAATTAATCTAACGAACGACCAGGACATTGGAGCTGCTGCTGCTTCAGGTCTACTTGGAATGGCTAAAGGCCAGATCCAGAAGATCGAGGCAGGCCGGAAGAGGGTAAAGGAACCTCCAAGGGCCTCGATGATATCTCTAAGTATTTGGAGGCACTCGTGCAGACTCTCACCTTGGTCAAAGCCGAGGACCGGTTGTTGACTACAAGCGTTACCCAACAAGTTACTGATGTTATAAATATTGATGAAGACCTGAACACGTTATCTAAGAGGCTGAGAGACGACCAGCAGAAGGAAGTAATGCATCATCTATTTATTGCAATTTTGTCTGGCGATGTCGATGACGAGCAACACGCGAGCATATCCACGCGCCTCCAATGGTCTAAGTCTATATTGATACTATATATTGAGGTCGCCCAGGTCGAACTCATCGGAAATCTTAACGACGGCTTCGCAGTCTCTTCGAATGATTCATTAGGGACGAATGGGAAAGTCAAAGAAAGTTTTGGAAGATATCTAGCTCTCCTGGACGTGGTACAAGACCGAACCACAAGTCCTGGTGGGCCTAGAAGCATCTGCAGCCTTTATGACAGGCTATTGGAGTTGAATTGCTATCAGTCGATGTTGAGCATGTTACCTCCTTCTGTATACTATGTATCCTATTGCTAATTTTTCATGACCTGTCTCTAGTGTTCACACAAATATGATTAATACTACTCCGCTTGTGAAGGATAAGATGAAAAAGTGAAATATAAGTATAGCTTTAATCTATTTCTAAACGCGATTGCTATATGGAGCCATGCAATCAGAATCATGGAACAGAATATGATAAAAGTACGTGCAATCGATGCCTAGTAACTTAGGGCGTAGGTACGCTGCGAACCAAAAGACTTCTCTTGCTTAGAGAAAGACATGACAGGTCTACTCGCCACTTTGGGGCAGGACGGATCCTTCCCCAAACTGCATTTCTGTCTTGCTTGTGGAGGCTGCTGATCTTACGTTGAAGTCACTTTTCGCGTTTTGCGTAAGCCATGTCGATTCACTTGCCATAAGCTGCACTGTTCGTAAAGACTGTGTACATCTGCCCTTCGACGTTACCATACTCAAGGGCTTATCTAGGCCGCCAAGGTTTAGACTATTACACCAAATACGTTGCCATCTATTAAGGCGGGAAACGGGAGCCCTTAGCGAATAGACATCGAGTGGCCGCATCCCGACGACCCAGTATGTGCTGCCATGCGTCGTGGCTGGGGTTCAGCATACGTCCGAGTCCTTTTGGAGGAGGTCCTTTGGCCCGCTACAATGAAGTCACAGGTCGCGAGCCGAGGATAACGTGGGTGGGGCAGGCTTCCACTCTGCCACTCGACCTCCCCAGAAAAGAATGGCCAATAGTCTAACCTTGGAGGCGGGTCCCGAGGCTTAAAGCAGGCTGGCTCGCTGGAGATGGTTGGGGTACAAGCTGGAGTCGGCATTGCGCGGGGGCCTTTGGAGGGTTAAAGCCATGCTAAGCCCACTGTAGCCGTTTGGCAGGTGTTGGTTGCTTGTTGCATTGATTCGTCAATTGACTTTCCTGACCTCTTTTTATTTTATTATTATTTCCGTTTCCCGAACTGCCTCCAAACACATTCACTCTCTCTCCGGGACACTGACGAGACCAGACGAGTTGATCGCTCAGACAAGATGTCTGCTGTCAACCGAAGCCTGCGCACAGCCTCGAGAACACTGCGTATCCAGCCCAGCAAGCTGCAGAGAACAGCTCCTCTAGCCCTCTCAGCAAAGGTCGGAGCTGCCCCTCGGTCAGCTTCAGCTTCTAGTTATCTTGCGTCTGCCGCGGCATCACGAACAAGCTCCTTCTCCACCACAGCTGCTCAACAAAGCGCACCGCCCGCAATGCCTGCCGAAGGAAGAGAATACGATCCTGAAATCAAGGACATTGCTAGCTATGTCCACAACACTCCGGTCGACTCTGACTTGGCTGTAAGTTAGCCTTTTCAATGCCTTATGCCAAGCACTCTCATCTCATCTCATCTCATCTCATCTTATCTCCTCTCATCTCCAAAGTCCTCCTCATTTACTTGTACCCCGCGTCCCGCACTCCCACAAAAAAAACAGCCGCGGCTAACCGTTGATTTCTGTTGTCACAATAATAGTTCGACACAGCACGATGGGTATTCCTCGACACATTGGGCTGCGGTCTTGAGGGCCTTAGATTCAAGGAATGCACAAAGCTCCTGGGGCCAATCGTCCCAGGCACTGTCGTTCCCAATGGCCCCAAAGTCCCTGGCACCGACTTCCAACTGGACCCTGTTAATGCCGCCTTCAACATTGGTGCTATGATCCGATGGCTCGATTACAATGACTGCTGGCTGGCTGCAGAATGGGGACACCCTTCCGACAACCTAGGTGCCATTCTGGCTGTCGCTGATTGGATCACGCGAACAAACAAGGCTGGTGGTAACCTCGCTGGCGGCAAGCAGTTCACCGTCAAGGATGTCCTCGAGGCCATGATCAAGGCACACGAGATCCAGGGTGGCTTGGCACTGCTGAACTCGTACAACAAGGTTGGTCTTGACCACGTCGTGCTCGTCAAGGTCGCCAGTACTGCCGTTGTCTCCAAGATGCTCGGCTTGACCGAGAAGCAGACTGCTGATGCTGTCACCCAAGCTTGGGTTGACGGCCAAAGCTTGCGAACCTACCGTCACTCCCCCAACACCATGTCGCGAAAGTCCTGGGCCGCTGGTGATGCCTGTCAACGTGCTGTCAACTTGGCCCTCAAGGTTCTCAAGGGCGAGCCTGGCATTCCTACCGTTCTCTCGGCACCTGTCTGGGGCTTCTATGACGTCTTGTTCAAGGGCAAGAAGTTCGAGTTCCAGAGACCATACACGAGCTACGTCATGGAGAACGTCCTCTTCAAGGTTTCCTACCCTGCCGAGTTCCACTCTCAAACCGCTGTCGAGGCATCGGAGAAGATCCACGCCATCTTGAAGGAGCAGGGCAAATCCGCCGCCGACATCAAGGGTGTTACTGTCCGAACACACGAGGCCTGCGTTCGCATCATTGACAAGCAGTTCAAGCCCATGGACAACTTCGCCGACCGTGACCACTGCATTCAGTACATGATGTCCGTCATGCTTGTGTTCGGTCGTCTCGAGGCCACCGACTACACTGACGGTGGCGAGGCTGCCACTTCCGAGCTGGTCGAGTCTCTTCGCCAGAAGATCAAGTGCGTCGAGGACCCACAGTTCACCAAGGACTACCATGACCCTGCTCTCCGAACCATCTCTAATGCTCTGACGGTTGAGCTCAACGATGGCACTGTCCTGGACGAGGTTGTTGTTGAGGCTCCCCTCGGCCACAGACTACGAAGAGAAGAGGCCAAGCCCCACATCCTCGAGAAGTACAAGAGACATCTTGGACACCACTTCTCCGAGAACAAGGTCAAGGACTTGGTTGCCCTTGGCCTCGATGGCAAGAAGTTGGAGTCCTACCCTATTGACGAGTATGTTGATCTGTATACCGTCAAGGACAGCAAGTTCTTCTAAATGTACTTTCATTGGCGTTGTCTAGCCGGGCTACATCATTTCAGAATTTAGATTGAATGATATATAGATGATATCCAATTATATTAAACCTCTCCCGGAGTTGAAAACTCATTTGATCCTCAACAAGGCCTCCAAGCGATTGAGGAAGTATGGTATAACCGCCGGTCTCTTTGCTCAGATTGACTCCATCAGGATTTTATCAATTCTTCATCTCGACGAACCCGTGAACTTCAAATCCTCGTTGCCCACTACAGTGTTCAACACATTGACACCGTTGACCTGCCCATTTCCGCCTTGCATGACGGCCGAGAAGCTATCCGCCATCAGCTGAACCCCGGTCACAAAGTCCTTCTCGTCAAACTCGCAATGCCCACCATTCGGCGAGTTGTCCACCGTCTGCAGCGCCCCGATCTGGTCAGCGCTCAGCCCGGCCGCCGACGCAGCCTGCTCGTACGCCTGGACGCTCTGCGGGATGCTGCCCTGCAGGGAACTGAGCTCCTGCTGCGTGCTCTGGAAGTGGATCCGCGTGCTCGCCACGACGGCATCGGCGTCGACGAAGTCGACCTGCGGCGCCAGGCCGCCGCAGTTCAGCAGCACCCCGTTGCCCTGGAAGTTGGTCATGTGCGCCGGCACGAAGAAGCCCGACAGCATCAGCGAGCCGCCGGACACGCCCGTGAAGGAGACGGCGGAGGCGTTGAACGCCATGACCTGGGGCAGGACGGTGCGGACGAGGTCGTTGACGGCCTGCGCGTGCGCGACGCCGTCGGTCCGCTGCAGGCCCGCGCCCCCGCCCCAGAACAGGTTCGGGTCCGGCGCCAGCACCGCCACGCCCGCCAGGTTCTGCTGCACCGCCTGGTTCGGGAAGTCGAAGAACGACTGGCCCCCGTCGCCGTGCAGCAGCACGTTGAGCCCCAGCGTCCCGCCCGTCCCGTTGGCCGCCTGTGCCGCCCCGTCGACCCCCGAGTCCGTCGTGAACTGGTCGGCCGGGCCGGAGATCTTGAAGCGCAGGGGGAGGCCGCTGTGTGTGCTGGGCGTCAGCGGTCCGCCACATCGGAGACAAGGGAGAAGGAGAGGAAGAATCCGGGAGAGACTCACTTGACCTGTGCTGTCATGTCCAGGATGGTCGAGCCGTCAGTGGCGGTCGAGATGCCTTGTGGGACCTGGGCTGCCTGCTGGAATGCCGTCTGCGCCTTTTGCCTGCCTCCGCCGCTGGTGGCCTTGTTCCTGGCCCGAGAGTTGAGCTGAGGGCCGGGGAATGCCTCGGCCGTGGCGAGGAGGCCAATGGCCAGGAGAGATCGAATGGTCAACATTCTGAAGAATTAATGTGGAAGAAGAATGACTAAGTAGCTACCAAAAGCACGAACCAGTCGCAAGAAGAAGCAGAAGAAACAAAAGGAGATGGGAGAACGAAGTTTACAAGAGGCAGACCGAGTCACTTCTGTCCCTGAATCGTGGAGTTTCTTTCTTTTCTAAGAAAATCTGGGGAACGATTATATAAGAGATGAGAAACGAGAGAACGAGACGGCTCCTCCTGGCATTCACGCCGTCGCAGTTCCACCATAACCACCTTCCAGAAGGGTGGCGGCACCGCACGCTGGGGAGTGTGACCATGTCGCCCATCTCTTGACAGCAGCCCTTGCACCTTGAGCCGCAATGCTCCCTTTCCCTTCATAACCCATCGGTGCTGGCTGGACTAGGCGAAGAAGCAGAAACGCCAAGTGCCAAGGAATGGCAGAGCCCTCTGCACTTTGCCGGCGATTACGCCCCTCTTATGGCCACCAGGCCAGCAGCCGCGGTCATTTCCACGATCAAGGTGTGATTGCTGAACGCCGTTGGAAGCATCGTCTCAAAAGTGTCAAACTGAAGTCGTTTGAGGATACAATTTTCTGATACAAAAAAAACGTCTGTGGTGTAGGCGCTGGGCGTTGGCTGTCTTGGCGTTTGAGGAAGCCCCTGTCGTCTCCACCCGCCAAACTTGGGATCGCCAGGGCTAAGTCTAAAGCTTGTTTGGCTTTTGGAAAGCAAACGGCCCTAGTCAATTTGAATCATTAATGAATAACGGCATGTGCAATTGAGAAGGGACTCGACGGGGCAGTGACGAGATGGACGGGGACCCATGCAGGGTTATGTGTTGGTATCGGCATTGCAGTTGCTGTTTACAGATTTTCATGGTCTCGCTTCAAACCCCAGATTCGTTGCTGGTAATGGTTACAAAATTCATAGCAGCATATTGAGTTGTCTAGATTGCTAGCAGGCTGTAACCCACCGTTGAAAGATATTTAAATGATTGTATAATGCCAGGGTACACTGTCTGTCCATAGCTTCTCATAGTAGCTTCTTGAGCATGCTGTGATTATTTTTATATCTGGCTCCGTGTTGCCCAGACGGTAAAAAAGAGTGCTACAACGCCACCGTCGAACACCGCTCAATACGAATAGTCGTTGAGCCCCAGTAAGAGAACGCCGCCAATGCATGTGACTTATGTATGTCGATTATGTACAATAAACACAAAACGCTAATTGCTGGTCCGTTGGTATAGGTTAGTATAAAGGTGTCCTGGCAAGCAGTAGGCACAATAATAGGTGTAGTCGCCACGGGTTTTACTATTGACAGCGTAACCCGAGCCACTTGCGTCATCCTGGAGATTCTAGTAAGGCCCGCTTCGAAAGTCCTAATCGCCTATTGGGTTCTAGCGCCATGTTGCTCTTATTCCATGTCATGACAGCAGGTGGCAGATGGGCTACAAGTTCGGGAGCGTGCCCAATCTTGTGTTCATGCCTTGCGTTGCTATCTGTTTAGAGGAACGCGTCCGGATAAGTAAGCTTCTCTAGTCTTACTCAGCAGGTTGGGGATCTACTGTCGGTGTAATTCCATGCTTGTTGATCATATGTCTCCTCCAATTATCCTTTCGAGGGAAGGACTTTCCGCCTTTGAAGTATTGACATCCCTCTTGCGTGCAATGGAATCCCTTCTTCTTCTCATGTTTGTCGTTTATGTGTCGGTCAAGATGCGTTTTGGTCCCGAACTTCTTGCCACAATCTTGGTAGAGACACACATGCTTGCGATCGTGGTATCTTTTGTGGTGGTTCAATTTATGGATCTGATCGAACATGCGACCACACTCTTCACATGTGAGATGTGGTTTGGGAGAAGAGGATATTTCGGGCGGAGATGCGCTGCTGTCAGGTTGCAGCATATTCGAGGGAGCTGGGGAAGGTGAAGACAGCATCTCAGTGGCCGGTGTACGTCCACTTGAGGCATTGGTCAATGTCGTTCCTGCAGGGGTGGACCAGTCAGAAGGACCGTCCGTGGTGAAAGTCTCGTCGATGGCGATTTGCGGAGGTTGCTCGAACGTTTGGATATATTCGTCAAAATCCCCCTCCACGTCGTAGTCAGACTCGTCGGCATCGTCGTCGTCCTCCTCCTCTGCCTCGCGTACAGCTGGGTTGTGTTGTACATGTGCTTCGGGTGGGGTAGAGGCACTATACGGAGGAGACGTTGGCGGCGAAACGGATGTAGAAGTCAGTCGTGTCAGCTCGGCATTTGTAAAGACGGCCTTTTCTGCAGCGTTTGAAGGTCTCATGATCTCCATTGGGTTGACTGCACTAAAGCCCGCTGTGTCATTAGGTGGAGAGTGGGATCCGCGTACAGCCGAAGTTCTGTCGCCATCGACAAAAAGACTGTCGTCCAGTTCCATAGGCCCTGGAAGATCAGGACTTTGAAACCTCGTTGGCTGTCGAGTCGCGGACTGATCAGCAAGCGTTGGCTTGCGCCGCAGGGCCGAAGAAGGGAGCTGGGGATCCGAAGTAAACTCTGTTTGCAGGGAATCTAGCCTATGTGCAACAATTCCAGATGTGTCCCCCGAGGGCCCACGCCGCTTTGCTCTTTTATGTGCATGCAAATCAACACGGCTTGAATCGCTTATTTCTTGAGGTTCCTCGAAGAGCTCAGTGACCGGACCGAAGCTATGATCGCCTTCCAAAGCCTTGTTACTAGAGCCTTCTATCGAAGTGATAGGGACGTCAGGATGGGTTGGCGAGGATGATGGTTGACGATGACCTTCTTCCATGGCGATTTCCGAGACACGCGTGGATCGTTTTCTTTTTGGCAATAGGCCTTGTTTAAGACGACTCCATGTTGAGCCCTTACTATTCTTGCGACTTTGGCGTGCTTGCTTGAGTTGCTCTTCATACAACTCTGTCATCTGCCGTGTTGGCCCACCCGGGGTAGGTTCAGCCTCTGGTTCCGACTCCATAATGATGTTCGTATCATAGTAATCTGCAGCACCACCCTCCGGGCCAGTAGTTGGTGGAACATAGGTATCAAGAACTGTATCCTCGAGATCCTGCGGGTGTGAGGTGGAGTCACCATTCCGAGTGGAGTGGTCGTGATGGCGAGCTTGAAAGCCGCCAGCATTGACCGGGGACTCTCGGTCATGACCTGGGAATGGTTGTTGGCTGTAGTCCATGCTATACGCCCAGGATGGCATCCCATCAGGATCGAACTGGCCGTCTCCTGGCCATGGCTGAGAATCCTGTTGATGGTCCGAGTCGTGTGCAGTTTGAGGTTGCTCAGCCGAGCGGTCTAGTCCAGACAACGATAACCTTCGCTCAGTTATAGATGGCTTATCACCATCTGTAGATTCGTCATGAGACCGCCGCTTCCATCGAAAGTATAGGAAGCCTAGGACGATGGATATGATGGCAACCCCGACGATGGCGCCGATGACAGCCCCGGCGATTGCGCCTCCGCTCATGTCTGACCGTGGTGCAATTGCAGCTCTGGAGTTGAGATGTGGGTCCATCCCGCCTGATTCCAGGCGCCTCCGACCTATTCGACGGATTGTCTCCAAGTTGGGGGACTGCAACTTCAGGACGGGTTTAATGAGCCCCGCTGGACGAGAGGAGGGCACCTGGACAAGAGGGTCCATGTTTCCGAGCGCAGTTCGGGTAGAGTTGGCGCCTGTAGGAGATTGTGCCCCGACGCACATGAAATGAGTACCCAGGTGCTTGGTGTGGCGTGGTGTGAGATGAGGTGAGGTGAGGTGAGGTGAGACGCCCAGCGAGACCTGTAGGGCAGCGAGACGGGTCAGCTACAGCTATAGCCGCCCTTTGGTTTGGCTGCCTCAAGAAGCCGATGTTAGCTGATCACGTCGACTGATAGATATGAGCGATTGACGATAACCACGAGCATGTTTGACGTGTGGTTGATGACAGGACGTCGGAATTGGCCCTGATTTCCAAGGAACCAGGTTCAGCCTCATCGGCGGCTTGGGGGCTGCTCCTCCTAAAAGAAGACACCCTGAGCGCGGTGGCCGAACGCTGGACCGTTCCTCGAGGCGTTGGAGTCCTCCCAACCCCACCATTTGATTGTGCTGAGGGCACGGATCTGGAGAGCAACTGTTAGGCCGGCATCTGCGGGGCTCGACAGCTGCCGCCAATTAAATGCAGTCGAGAGGCATCCCAAATTACTGCTCTAACAAGGCGCCGTTGTCCCTCTCTGGCCTGTTAGACGAAAACCAACCAATAGTGCCGTCGAATTTTTCTTTGCTGCGCCACGAGACCAGCGCTAATCTGGAGAACAGAGCTGCAGAGGTCCACCAAGCGAGCAGAATGCAGAGTGCAGCGCGCCATCGCAGGAAACTATTGGCGCTGTCGTACTGTGTACCTCCGTCGCCAACTGATCCCCTGCGTACAAGTGTAAGGTTAGTACATGGTTACATAATCCCGGGCTGTAATGTGATTTACGCGCATGCCACATAAGTTAGTAACCTTAGTCACTACTGTCGGCACGCTTGACTGCGGTACAGCTTGCACAGCACACTGCCCTGCACAGACGCGCAGAGACCAAAGGCCAAGGCTAACGGCGGAATTGCCATTTGTCTAGGTTACTCAGTAACTAGATAAGCTTTTCTATTTTGCCTGGCTTGGTTTAGTTTAGACCTGCTCGCAGCAGTTGAGTGCCGTCGATTGTGGTCAGAGTGCGGTCTGACTCGATTCTCCCCAGAATGTTTCAAGCTCGCCCCCCATACACCACACATTTTTGAGACCAGCAGAACCCGGGGGAGTACATGCAACTTACGATGCGCAACAGGCCGGCAACCATGGTTCGACCACAGCAGATCTCCAAGCTGGTAGCGCCGCCAGTCCCCAACTACCAACGGCTCCTACCGATTGGAGGCCCACGATCTTGCAGTAGTAGCTTCAACCTTGCTCGAGTGCCGAGGTTTACCGTGAGGGCATTCACGACAACACCACTCCGTCGCGATCCTCAGCAATTGAATCCCCAGACCCTGGCAGCCAGCTCGACAATACCCGAAACACAGCCTCTGCAAGAACCCAAACCCGACCGCTGGCGTCGCGGCTATGTATACGCAGCGATATTCCTGCTGGTCGGGACGAGTATAGGCTCGCTCTTCCGACTTTCCGTCTCGCCGCCCCCCTTACCAGAACCTGGCACGAAAGAGGATGAATACATCATTTCTGACATCCACGCGACAGCCGAGAGCCTACCCATCGTGCAAGCTCTATCATCCGACCCGTCGTGGGAGTCGTGGCACGCCTATGAGGATAGAAGCCAGGGGCAACGGAACCCAAGCATCACATCAGGCCCGCTCCAAGGATGTCGTGGTTTGGCATATCAGCGCATATTCTACAACAAGAACACGGGCGAGATGACCAATGTTGTATATTTTGGTGCTGCGCTCAGTGGATTTCCAGGCGTGGCACACGGCGGCATCCTGTCAACCATACTGGACGAGAGCCTGGGCAGGTGTGCGATTGCACGCTTTCCTGCGAAAACAGGCGTTACGGCAAGCCTAGAAGTTGCCTTCAAGAGACCCACACTGACCAATGCGTTCTACGTGGTCAAGACGGAGCCAGTCATCGCAGAAGAGGATGAAGTGGTAGGTAAGGACGGCACAAAGAAGAGCGATCGTAAGCTCCGAGTCCGAGGGTCCATTGAGACATTGGAAGGCAAGGTCTTGGTTGAAGCAAAGGCGCTTTTTGTCGTGCCCAAAACCGCCAAGCTTAACAGCATAGGCGAAAGATGGTAGGCGCAGGCCGGGGAGTGCCGCCACTTTGCTATTGCTTAAACATACGCTGTAGAAACAGAGAGACCTCGGTATTCTGTAGATAAAGGTCCATGTACAGCTTTGTATTAATCCATCCATATATATGGACTCAGACTTGTTCTTCATCCAAAACGATACTTATCTTTCGCATCCGCTAAGTTAGTAATTACGGGGTGACCGAACAACGTATGTTGTAATTTTCCCCCTTTGACATACAAGGCCTCGCCATCCCAGTCTGTGACTGAGACTATGCATTATTTCGGGTAGCACACATTCAAGATCTCGGTCATACCTTGAGCCAACCAGAACACGCAGAACAGATGGCAACTGCAGGCTCGACCTGCCAATCCGTACGAGAACAAATACTTGTTTTAATCTGATATGTCTCTGAAAACAACTCACCATGCTTATATGACCGTACCGTGCGGGTGCCACCGCGTTCACATTGCTCAGAAACACAGCATCGAAGCCCGACCTAGCCTTATTGTGTTGGAGTGTCAACTGTCTCGGGTTCTCAGCGTTCGCAATATGGCGCCGTCATGGGGCAGACAGGTAGGATCGGCATGAAGCCGAAATGATAGCATCCGTCAGGCGCAGCTTTAACTTGGCTCCCACTCACTTGGTTGTATTCGGACCCAATGTTGCAATCCCGTTAGTTGGGATGTTCTGATGAGGTCGAGCCTTTTTTTCCAGCGGGATATCCAAGCCTTATTATTCGTGGGTGATCCTTGGCTTTCGCGGCATTTCCGTAGACCCTCCCGTGTGCACAGGTTGTTGTGATCAGGATGAAATGACCGATACGGTTCGATATCGAGCTGGCTATCGTAGATTCGCATCTAATGAAGCCGACATAGATGCGAATCTACGATGGCTCGCAAGATACTAGTACATAGGCACAGCCATGTGCAGAAATACGTAGGTGACGAAGCTTTCTCTACTGTGCTCGCTCATATTATTCCGTATGGCTCGCCCGAAAAAAAAAAACACTAGAGTTTAGTAGCTGGAGAATATCTGGAGAGGACTTGGCACAGGATTATGGATTATAAAATCGCTGGCTGGCATCTGAGACCTTTCGGCCTTACGTGGCATTGTCTCCTTTGATTCTATGTACATGCCAGGATTGCGTGTGAAGACATCGACACCGTGTCGGGACATAGTAAGGGAATAGCCCAATGTAGCCATTACACCATCAGTGGCGACCACTGCCAGACTCCGGCCGACTAATTCAATGACGAGACCGCCAATGAAAGAATTCATCATGTTGTTGTCAAGATTTCACACGGTACGAAGCATGTAGTGTTGAAAATACTTCGAGTCGCTTTACTAGATTGCTTGAAAATGTATAATATCTGAGCCTTGTCTATAAGGAAGATTCAATGTAGACGCCCGTTGTTCGTAGCCTTGTGCCTATCATATTAGGTCATTACATGCTTCGTAAGAAATTCCGGCACAGCCATATCAATCATGTATAAAAGTTGCTGCTGAACGCGCGCAAAGCCCTGTGACGCCACTTGACCTACGGCGAAACGAAGCAAAAATTGAGCAATATTCCTGAGGCGTACCGCTCAAACAGGTGGCCGTGTCACGAACACGCTTCCCTTGACAAGCTGGTCAGCGGCGCATGTAAAAGTCCACGGAGGGTACGCTTGACGTTAAGTGGACTGGCACTAATCTAGGTTAGGCTACTGTGGATATGGCCAGATCTGGTAAGTGCTTTTTACTCAGAAGAGTGACCCAAAAATGTAAAAACATACAACACCGGGGATTCCCCAGTGGTCACCCACCTGAGTACTAATCCAGCGCTTCCCAGTTTATCTAGGGCAGAGCGGACGGGATGCCGAGTTTTCTAGGAGCTATGGTCGTATGTGATATTTGGGTGTTGTAGCAAGATACATATAGATAGACCTTTAGGGAAAGAAAAGAAGCGTAGAATAAAGAAAAGACAACACATATAACACGGGGGATTCCCTAGTGATCACCCACCTACTTACTAATCTAACGGTTTAAAGGCTAATTTACCCGCTTTAGTACTACTAATTATAAGCAACCTTTCCTTTAAAAAAGGAGGTCTTATATCTAGCATTTAATATAAGCGAATACCGTTTATTAAACGGTATTATTAAAAACGGATAATAACGGAGGAGTTGTAGTTTCGCGTTTAAACCTACCTTATATTAGCTCTTCATGTTAAAGTACCGTCCTTATCTATTAACTATTTCTAGTAAAATGTGTACGGCTCTTGCTAGCTCAGGTGCCAACCTCTCTGCTACGTTTAGAAGTACGTACTTTTAGCGTTAGATATACGCCCTTGCGGGGTTCTATTAATTAGCATTCTTGTTCTCCAGATTTCACCTATTTTTAGCTATACGCCAGGAGGGAGGGTGTGTCCAAGAACTCTTCCTTCTATAGATTATTATTAATTATCATTAACTAGTTATGTCCACTTGCGGTATGCGTGAACGAGACACGTGCGCTCTTTTGACTCTATCCATGCATTTAGATCTCGCATTTAGCTAACCAAATCAGTTTGAACCACTTGATATCTACTCTATAAGACTTGCCCTCCTATCCACCGCTCCAAATGCACATGCGATTGGCTCCTCAATATACCGTACGCGTTTTGCATTATATACCGATAGTGGATAGAGCCCCCAATAGCGTATTACTCACAGACGACTATAGCTTTCCGAGATGAGTGCTCGGAGGCCGCAATCTACTAAGGGGATGTGGGAAGCAAATAAGGGGTTTGTTTGACGAACATGCTTTAAAAAAAAAAAAGTCGAAGGCAGCGCAAAAAAGACGACCTATCGTAACCTTCTCAGCTAGCTTGAGTTCAGAGGTTCATACGCAACGCAACGTCGGTTGCTTAACAGCCTATCTCACAGTGTAGATGCTCACCATGTCCTAGCAAAGCTCAGCTAGAGTATCGGCTTCCGAGATACACAGGTAATATTCATTTTTAAAAATGGCGACCCGCAAAGTGACATAACTCGCTTGCTAAATAATGACGTTAAAGGAATTTATTATAATATTTGAATTTAAAGGAGACAGGAAATATAAAATGAATGAACGGGAGCGTAAAACTCTTTATATAGTGCTCTAGCATCAGAGGGATTGACACGAGCGAGCACCAAAGCCCGAATAGGGTGATCCCCTGTTTTGCCACATGTCTACTATACTAGTAGATTAGGTTGGCGCCGCGAACCATTGAGTATCTCAGTCGGGACTTTTACTGAGAAAGCTAACACCAAATCCTTCCTCCGCCAGCCTAATATCACAATCGAGTGCAATAAATGAATCCGCTCCTGCCTGCCGTAACACAGAGGCTATCAAATTGAAGTTCCTAGCCACAGCTTCACAGAGTGGCGTGACTCCTGCGACATCTGCGAAGTCGATGTCCGCTTCAGCTTCAAGTAGGATCCTAATACATTTTTCTTATCCATACGCTACAGCGCATTGTAAACGTCGGCTCCAAGAGCCATCTCGTATGAGCGTTAATCTTTGGACGAGTTAGGGTACTCAGAATTGGTATGGCGGGTAGTCTTCTGCGAGAAGTGCTCTAGGCCATCCACTGATACTCTTCTTTCTTGATATATAGGGATGTACACGAGAGTTGTTGTAAAATAAAGTTTGTTGAAGGGGAAATGACTAACGGATAGCCACCAGAAAGATTCAAAACCAATCGACAGACTTGAACTAGACTGAAAAAATTATTTGTCTCTCATTAATAGTAACGTAAGTAGACCATAAAGTGTCCTTATGTAAGGATGCCGAGTTCCACTAAAATAAGCCTTCGTAAGATCCGCGATTGTCATCAGATACCTCAGTTTTTTTTCTTGTTCCTTTTTTTTTTTCCCTCTCTCTCTCTCTCTCTCCGTATTATAAACTGTGCTTTTCTGTAAGCGTATAAGGATCATTAGCAAGGCTATGTAGAACGTCGTGATGATCGATGGCAAAAGCACGATATGCAGTAGTTCGAAAATTGCTGCGGCTGATCCTAGCATTGAAATTGCAACACAACTACGGTCAAGTCTGAAGTGTTTATAATGTCGCAGTGTCACGTTCCCATGAGATGTTCCGCTAGATGATCGTTCCGGCATAGCAACGTCCAAGACTGGAGGTTATGGGATCAGAAAATGGTAGACCGCACTTTCTGTTCCAAACAGTGGATACTTGGAGATATCCAATTACCGGGTTGAAAACGAATTTATAAGAGACGCTTGCGCAATCCAAGATGTTAAACTTACCTCAACTTGGCAATGCCGCTTGAGCCGACATTCCATACTTAGCGTGCTTGGCTACGAACGTTGAAATTATTGTATTGTTATGTTCTTTTGAGTTTCTTGTTCGTTTTCTTGTGGTTTAACGAACATCTGACAATCAAAAAAGTCGAGAGGACTCGAGCTTCCCTGAAACCCTGGGCAACTTATAGATGAATTTGTGGTTTCTTATACCCTCCAGGAGTCCGACATGTCCCGAAATGGTACCATATTCTAGCTTCATGTCTACTATCAAGTCTAATACGACAATACATTACAGGGCGTCTATTTGAAAGTACGACTAGTCTGGGGTCAAGACAAGCAGATATTATAAGTGCTGCGAGGCAGCAGCTGCCATGAAAATTCTTTTCCCTGTTTCACCAAGCTAACGCATAAAAATCCATTCAAAATGATATGGCCTTATCTAGGTGTGAATTGCCCGACAGCTTTTCATGCTTTAAGCTCCATCCTCCATTTTATTCACTTGCTTGCGAGCACTTCATATTAAACCGCAAAATCTATCTTCATGGAAACACATTATCCTTTTATCATCCGCCAAAGGCTAAAGGACATAATGCCTGATGAGAAAGCGTGGTTATGAAGGTAGTAGTGCGAGAAGGGCTTCTATGACCGGTGTCACTTGGTCCCTAAATTCAAGTTATTTTTTGGTGGCCATTTATTTAAAAGCATTATCCTCTGGCACATGAACTTAGCCATTCCTTTCCAAATTTACTGTCGAGCGTAACATTCAACAGTTGTGTTACGTGCTTATGTATAGAAAGGTCGCTGTCCTGCAACGGGTCCCGGTACCCAGGTAGCTTCGCTTCAATCAGGAGGAAAGCACGGTAGAGGCAAAAATTTACCATTCCCATCCTCCGGCTCTTTTTCTCCTTCCTTTGTACCCTTCGTTTTATTTTCTCCTAACATTCTTTCCATCCTTACTACTCTGTCCAAATTATGAGATCTGGAGGACGGGACCACGAACACCGATCTCTCCACACTCGACCCCTGAGTTTATTCGCGGACAGGATTAATCCAATTTCCCTTTCAAAATGACGATTGCCCATATTTAACCGGAGTACCATGACAAGTTGCCACAAATTGCCAATTACTTGAAATCAAAGCTCAACTACTAGAAAAACATGAGATTAAACGTGTAGTCGATACTGGATGGCTTCGACCAGATATTATGCTATACGATGAGGATGACCTCCGTTTGGATCAGACCTTGGAGATCATGCGCCACGATCTATTTTAAGCACGAGTCTATCCATGGGTGGGGTCAATTTCTTGGTTCATGATTTGCAACGGCAGTCCATGACTATGGCGGGGAGGTGATCTACGTAGATTATTGTTCGTAAGTGGACGCTACAAGAAAGCGGCTCTGTGACAGTGGGGTTTGTCCTATTGTTCTTGAATCTAACCTCGTAAACAGCTACGGCATTTCCGCGTGCCTGAGTCCTCCTAGTAAACTGGTGATTTTATATGTATGGACATTAACTTACAGTTGATAGTCAGGCAGTATCAAGGATTGACAACTCCAGAAAATGAGCCGCGTATAAGCGCGTACGCCGAGGATTTTCCATATTCTTTTCCAACGTGATATGGCCAGCCAATCGGCACGGAACTGCGGCTCAGTTGTCAATCGCCACTACTCCAGAACAACCAGGCCACACTGTCCTGACCGGCGAGGGCGGAAGGATCCGAAGAATATAAGCTACTAGGCGGAGAAATTGCTAGATAGACGAGGTTGGTGAAAGAATGGATCGAGGAAGTCGACTAGAGACGGAGGTTCTTAAAAAGAATGACGCGACTTAACTAGTACCTGGCCTAGATCGGCGTGGTCGCTTTACTAAAATGTGATTACGGATATGCGAAAGAGACGGTAGAGTATTTCGTCCTATACTATAGAAAATGGATAAACTATCGTAAAGACTTACTTAACTATATATAAAACCGGAGAGGAAGTATTTCGTTCCGTTTAGGCGGGAAGATAAATAGCGACGATAAGGACTAGATACTAGACGTGGAAGTAGTTCGGGCTACGATTGAGTTCGATATAGCGATAGGTCGACTATAATTAACAGCAAGGAAAATAAGTAATTTAGGATAATAAAGAACACAATCATGTATAATAGTAGAGACATCCCTAAAGCATACTAACCTAGCCAGCAGGTCGCACTTTAGCCGCCGAGGATAGGACTCTGAACACTTGGAGAAGCTAACTTCAAGCAGAAATTAATTGGCCTATAGAAGGTACTGCTGAATTTCGCAGGCGTTGAAGCGGGTAGCACCGTGTCTCTTAAGAAGCAGGTGTTTAGCATCAGACTTTGAATAAGAAAAATTGGCTATATTCTCGGCCAGAGGATACAAGAAATTCAATCCCGAATTAGAATGCTATTTCAGTCGAATCGAATCAACCGTTTTACTACATGATAATTTTATTAGTTTTCTAAAGATATTTACATAGGGAGCAGAGAGGTGAGGTTCTTAAACTTCTGGTTGAACAGGGGTATCAGTCACTGGCTCTTTATCATGTGCCAGTTTCCGTGCCTCGCCCAAGTTTGCTGCTATAGAACAGACATTTCAAAGCAATGACTTCGCTGTAGCAAACAGTCCTGTTATGCTTACTCCGAAAAAGAGCCACTTTGAACAGCCTGTCAACCATACAGTACTCAAATGTGTTTTATTTGATGTCCTTGAACTCCTCAAAGATGGCGGGAAGGAACCTTCCTAGGTCTGTCCCAGCTTGTCAGCTCGTTATATAATCCAGTCAAATACTTCAAACTCACGTGTCATTTCAATGTTACAGTGAACAGCAAGATCATGGCCCAGTTGAGAATTTCCGTGGTTGTTTGAGTCAATGAAGAAGCGCGAACGGAGCTCGCGGTAACCATTAGGCATACGGCGGACTTGGTGCATCAGGTATGAAATGCCATCGAATTCCTCCACGGAATAGTCTAGAGCACCCTTTGTGTTAGTATTTTGGATGGTCAGCGACCCGGTGTGGTCTCTGAAACATCACAATCGTACTCACCTCCAATCAAAACCTTGCCAATGACAATCGTCTCAATACCCAAATCTGGCCAAGCAGTCGTATTGAAACCCATCGACTCAGGCTCTACGAACTCAATGCTCAGCTTAGCAGCATCGTTACCGACGTATTCATCAATGTATGAAGTGGCTCCAATGTAGCGTTCAGCATAAGTCTCATTGGTCCAGTTCTCACTATATGGCGTACGGTAGGAGTACTGGTGAGCGATGGGGTTCCACAACTTGTAGCGCTGGGTCTCAACCGAGTGCCAGCCAAACCACCAATCATACTGGTCTCCGGTCACTGATTTAAGTTATATTAGTATGAGGTAGAGGTTCCATGGCAAGGATTTAAGATTCTTTACCCTCTGGAATTTCGCTGCGGACGGTGATCATGAGCGTCCCATTGGCGCTAATAGCCCAACCGTTCTCAAGCTGAAGGTATCCAGGTTGCTCAAGATACTTGTGGGCTTCCCAAGCGGAGTAGGCTGCGGTTATTAGCGATTATATCGTAGCAAATGGTACAGGATCGGAATCCTACTGAAAGCGCTGGGCCACGGGCTGCCAGCCAGGCCGTTAACCAAAGCATCGGAGATCGGCGCAACGTTAGGGTTGTAATACTTGGCATAAGGCAGGTCAAAATCGGCTCCTTGGAATCCAATATAGTAGTCCGTGGTAGAGTTCTCAAGTGCAGCGACGTCGGTCGAGATGACCTCAGCGTTGACTGTTGGAGTTGCAGAGCTAAAAGTAGCAGCAGGTTCCAACTGACGGCGGTTGATGGCATTGCCGTTCGCGGCAGCGGCCAATGAGAGTGCAACAAGGGAGAACATCTTGAAGATTATACACACGAAGTACTATGTAAGTTGGCAGGTTTGAGGATCGAGAAGACCAGATTGAGAGTGTGGTTGATGTTTGATGCCGAATTCTGTGACCTGGAGACGAGGCGATTTGCTTATTTATGTCTATTCTTGATATTTCCTCATTATTAATTTCATGAACGTTTTGCATTCTCTATTCCCGTTGCAGTACCTCGGGAGAATCTTCCGTGCGCTAGAAAGCTCTATGGATGCTAAGGCGAGCTTGTAATTCCGAGCATGATAATTCCGGGTTGGCTAGAGTAGGACACTGACCCAGCATACTACAATATTATCCTCCACTTTTTGCAAAGCGCTTGTCGCGATTTGCTGCGTACCCAGTTAATAATTCCGGTGTCTAACTAAGCTCTTCATAATTCCTATAACTAACGAGGTTCCCTTTCCAACGATCAACAACGCATGGACAACACATTGTAATTCGCATACGACTAATCTGTCAGAATTTTCAGATTGTGGGTTTAGTGACATAATGAGGCTATTATGAGCAGCCCTCTGGAATCGCCGGTAGTTCTTCCATAATGCTGTAGTTTGCAAGCTGCATTGTGGCCGTCGGAGAGAGCCGACCAAGGACAATTGGGCCAGCACGGATCGGCATCCAATATGGCTCGTAAAAACCTATTGATTTTGATACAAAACTGTCGGCGGTGACCACACAGCCCAGTATACACTTTTCGCGAAAGCCTTATCTCCATCTAGTTTGCGATCGTAGGTTTCCGTCTACAATACTTACCTTTAATTATCAAGCTTGTTTCTTTATTCCTGGAGACGCTATTACGAAATTAAATGTTTCTTCTGTTTTTCTTTAGCCTTATGTATAACCGAAGTAAACATCTTTATTTGCTAATAGCTGGCCAGTGTTTTTCCTATATTGCATCATCTGCAGACTATTCAGGGCGACAACGTTGTTGTCTGCCCCAGTAGCGATCGAATGACGCGAGATGTGCATCCCGGAACATCCACGGCACGCATGGCAGGAGAAACGCCACATCTAACTCGACCAATCCCAATTTATGGTAGATAGATCGATACTCCACTCCTCATTCATCCAGGCCGTATCCGTCAATGGTTGAGAAAAACTTAGTGATCGCTCAGACAGTATGCTCTCAACCGCTGCTTCAATAGAGTTAGAACCAGAATCACGCAGCGGAATTCTTGTCCCACAATGTTGTATTTCGGATATATCAGCTGGACCATGCGAAAGGCACACATTTTCAACGGACGATTGTTTCGTTTGATCCAAGGATTGCGAGGGCAGCCGCTCATGTAGGGATTGTCCACATGAGAATCGTCTTGACATAGTCGCTTCTGCCCTCCTTAGTAATTGCCTCAGTTCGGACAGCGAGTTGGTTACGCCCGCGCGTTCAGACATTCGTTCCAAGCAGTCCAATGCCCGGCTTGTGTAAGATGAGTTGGTACTATAAGAAATCTCATCCTGTAATACTGCCACAATGAGGACTTGGAATGCCGTCTCAATGTACAATTCATATTTGCAAATCCACTAACAAAAGTAAGCATAACTCTTGTATTCATCTGGAGACCATCATTGTTACCTCGTTAGATGGTTGAACGGAGAGAACGGCTTCGGTCAGCTCTATAATGCAACGTGACGCAGAAATGCAACGTTGGCAGGCATCATGTACAGCCGAAATAATTGCCATCATGTTTCTTTGCTCCATCAAATCCGCTCGGTCGCTTCGCTTTTTGAGCTCTAATGAGAGTAGAAGGAAAGGTCTAAATGTGAGACAGGTTATGTGAAAGTATTCTGCACCCCGTAAACATTAGCTGGAAAAGAGACGAGTGATTTTACTTACGATATGATATAGCGATTTGTTTTAATCGCTTACTCCCTTCCTGATTACGAGGATGATCGACGATTTCGATTCCTAAACCATCTTGTATTACTTGGGCAGATGATTGTAACCTCCTGGCGATACCGTATGCAGCTTTTAGGTCTGCACCTATGGATGTCCTTTGATTGCGGTACAGTTTATGGATTAGTTCGGTAATAATGCATAATTCTACCGTAGCCCGCTCAAAACTTGAACGACTGGGGAGCGCCAGATCTAGGGTACCCCTGTCGAACGCAACGAACGCAAAAGGTCGCCCAAGGGCCAAACCAACAAAGCTGCCAAACTTCTTCAGTGGGTTTTGCACAATTTCGGAATTTTTCTTACCTCTGAAAGCAATACAACGTCCAAAAAGTCCTTACTCTTATTTCGGATTGCTCTTTACTCAGCCATTGGCCAAAAACACCCTGATGAAGACCGATTGCTAGTGCTTTATGAATAGCGTTTCCCAAATACAGGTATCCAAGATTCTGGTCCCGAACCATAAATTGGTGATAAGAGTGGACAGCACCAACGGTTAGTATCCAATGTTGTGAGAAATGAGGAACCAACTTATCAGTAACAATCCAGCTTGCACAGCTTGGAAGCTGAGGGCGTCACCTGCGTAGTCTAATTCCCTCCGGGCCTTAGCGGCAAGAGTATCCGTGCAGCGCGCAGGAGAGCCTTGCGCTGATCCAATTGCCATTGAGGCGAGAAGGAGCGCCTTCTCGGCATGTGGCAGGACATCATCGCCTCCAAAGTCGTATAGCAGCTCCAAACTGTTTTTTAGCTCTTCAGAAGAAACAACAGGGAAAACATGGTGAGTGATGCGCAGGAATGTTTCTGTTAAGCTATTCGCAACTTCGTACCGAACGAACGCTTGATTGATACTGTGTCCCAAGCCCAGGGTTGCCGGCCTTGTGCACTTGTATGTGTTGAGATCGTCATCGACCTCTTCGTAAGACCCACTCGAATGCTCATGTTCAGCTTCCACAGACACCTCCGGGTCAAGGTGAGCGCGGAAGTGACGCCAAAGAGAGATATTGGATGAAGGACCATATACGACCTCAGGACAATTTGAAGAATAATTTCCTTTCGCATGTATAATTCTGATGCAGTTGAATATTTGTTCCCTCGAAAGCGCTGCGTGTACACCTCTGACCTGAGAATCATATAAGATTGCGAGAGGCGCCTGGGTGGTTCCATCAGGCATCGATGTAGTTACACTCGCGATATGTGGGGAGCTTGGCTGTCGTCCAGAACTTGCACCTTGGTGACTCTGACGTTGCCTAGTCACAGTCCTATACGAACATGGTAAGCTGCGTTTCAGACAGATGTCGCAAGGATCCAGGCCATTGCATTTCTGCTTCCGCCGTCGACAGCCTTCGCATGCCTTAGAAGCATTACGCCTTGGTTTTCCAGTGCCTACACAGGATCAGTCTAAAATTTCTATCGCGATAATGCCGCAAAATACCAAAGAGACCGGATTGCGGCATTGCGGTTCCAGTCGGACTAGATTCTCAAGGGACGATCAAAACTACGAGGAAGCTTTCCCCAGTACATGCGAAAATTATTAGGTATGGCGATCGAAAGATCGATGGCAATTACGTTGATGATTATTTCCGATACGATCAGATTGCATTACGGCCAAGTATTATTTTAGAGAGAGAAGCGTTTAATTCCGCCTACTTAGCAGTTCTAAAATCGTCGCTGCCTCAGGGACTAGCCCTAAAGCAAGGCCTTCTATTTGCAATTTTACTCAAGGCACATTGGTTTACTATTAGATTAGCCGCTAAATCAGTTAAATACAAGTGACGGAATTATCTCGTCACTACTTTTGTAAGCGTTATACCTTTTTCCTTAAAGCTTGAACTAGGCTTTTAAAGTGGGACTGTAAAATACTTCGAGGGATGCATTAGCACTAAAACTCACTATTAGTCTTATTAGTAATACGTAATCTTATGCCCTTTTTAGACTAAACTTATAAGATTTTATAATGTTATTTAATATCTTAATAATTAGCCTTTAATTCGATGTAGTCTTTATTAATTATATTTATAATAATAATAGTTTTTAATAAATAACATAAATTTCAAGATAAATTAAAAAGATTTAAAGGTTTATGTCATTAAGTTATATTGAAGTAGTGAGTGTTGGCTGTACTATTACTACAAGGGAGCTAAGTGGGTCGTACGACCTTCGTCGGGGTTGTTCAGGGTCTGATCATTATAAGGTCGAAGGGATGGAACTTGAAAATGTCTCCTAGAGCATGCCTTTCACACTTTTTGGCACAGTCAAGTTGCTAGTTTTTGTAGCAGTGCGTTCGGAAGACAACGAGGATGGCTCGTTGTCGCTAATTAATGTTATTTTGGTCACCAAGTTCATTCTTTCCATTCATTTCTCAGTGATCAGTCCACGAGTGAACCAGCGAGTTCGTCGCGAGGCCCATAACCAAGGGGGCAAGACAGTGGTCCTGGTTCAATATGTATATTATATAACGTTAATTAAGTGGAAGCACTTAATTCAAAGTAATACTTAAAGGTAAAGTAAAGAGAGTATAAGTAAATATATTTATAAGCTTGTTTAAAGAAAGCGTTTAGAGATATCGAGGATATCTCTCTATATATTAAACCAGGACCACTGTCTTGTCCCTTGGTTGAAGGCCTCACGACAAGCTCGCAGGCTTGTTCGTGGACTGATCAATAAGTAATGAGTGAAAAGGATGAGTTCAACAACCAAAATAGTATTAATCTGCGATAACGAGCCATCCTCGTTGTCTTCCGAATGCACTGCTACAAAAACAAACGACTAACTGTGCAAAAATGTGGAAAGCATGATGAAGAAAGCTATCTACAAGTCCCATCTCTCAGACCTTATAATGATCAGGCCGAGAACAACTCCGACAAAGGCCGTATGACCCGCTTAGCCTTCCTGCTGTAATAGTACAGCCAACACTCACTTCTTCAGTATCGAATATGTTTAAGAAAACCTTTTGAAGGAATTACCCTTTTAAAAAGGATACGACGATTATAATTACTTTTTCGAAGAAGTTAAACGGAGAATATATTAATAATACGACGATAATAACGGCTAGCCGTTATTTAAAGAGATACATCGGAATATTTAATAATAATAAAAGAGTATCGGAAAATACTGAAAGTAATAACAGCTTAATCTTAAGCTATATCAATAAACCCTCGATATCATCGGGAAGCGAAGGCTGAAGTATATATGCATGCCAGGATCGCACGCCGCCGGGCTGAGCAAAATTGGCGACGATACAGGCTCAGGCGGTACAGGCAATATACAAACACAGGTTCTTGACATATATTACCAACTAGTCCGAGGGTCTCGCTGGTTCGACATCAGACCTTGTTTAGGCAATGGAGGCAAACACATGCTGTGCCATTACGGCAAAATTGGTACCTACCAAGGTGGCAATGGACAAAGCGTAGAAGACGCCATCAACGACGTGAACCGGTCAGTAATTCGAGAATACTTAGTCGGATCGGGGGGTGAAACATGCTGACAAAAGAAAAGATTCATGGTAGATTTCCCAGGTGAGCTGGTCATTCTCGATATTACCGATGAGTCGGGCTACGACACAGATAATGAGTACTCCAGCCTAACAGTTGAGCAATGGCAGACCATTATTAACCAGTTCAAAAATAACATATCGACGAACTGTCCACATCTGAACGGAGACGATCTTACGAAGTCTATTCATATATTGTAAATCATGCAACTTGTAGCCTTAACCCATCGACGTTTTCTTCAAACCTGATCATTGTTCTCCTAGCAACATCGTCAAACTTTCCCTGACCATCGCCTCCCCTTAACGATTCTTGAGTGTTACTATCAAGTCCGTATGTTAATACTTTCAGAGCACTCTCTTTCCAAACCGGCAGACCTAGGCGCACCGTGTTCACGATAGTGAAGAGCACGTAGAGACATCCTATCAACATGGAAACGGCCGGTAATGTCATGTACCCCCAGTCGACCCGGGCGTAGACGGCCCACCTTTCCATGGTCCCATAATGCTCGACGGACGCGACGTCCCGGATGTAGTCCGTGATGCTCCTGGCGACGTTTTCAAACGTGGAGGTAAAGCTGGTTGAATTTATAAGAGAGCAGACGATCTTAGGCCTGCCCTGATCCCAAAAACCGGCAGGATACACGGAGAGGGAATTGTCCAAATTTTCCGGGCTTATTGTCAAGCTGAGCAGGAACTGGATCGTGCTTTCAAGTGTCACTTGGGTGATCGGAAAGCGGGAGCTAGGTATTCCTAAGGATTTGTCGGCCGGGGCGAGTAGTACCAAGTCCGACCGCAACGGACCGCCGTCATGGAGGTCTCTGTCATCGGAAATGAAGTTTCCGTCGGTACATGTTTGGTGGCCATCGGTTCCACCTTCGCAGTGTTGAGACGCCGGATCGAGACTGCCGTTCACCGATGACAGTGCCAGCCAAGATCTAGGATCTACAATTGTCCAGGAGTCCACAACATTCTCGTTGAGCTCTCCAGCATGTACGCTTGTCTGATAGGCGTTGACGCACAACGACAGAGCGCATTCAGTGGCAGTAGGTGTGGAGTTTTCCCAAACTGTCTCATTGTTAAAATAAGTATTTGGGGCTTTCATTATTATGAAAGCGGCCAAAAGTGTTTCTAAATTCTGAAAACTGATCGTCTCGCTACGCTTCGCCGTGGAACCAACAGTCATCAAGGTCCGATGGTCGTACAGGTATAAATCTTCCGCCATGTCCGGCATGGGCCCGATTCCGGTGCCTCGAAGCCCATCAAATGTCTTGATATGAGAATAAGGCACTTCGTAGCTTGTGTAACTGTGGGGCAGTATTCTATACCATCCAGTCAGAGGCACATCCGTGCCGTTTTGTGTCGCCTGGTTCCATAGAGTGAGGTTAGAAAACCCGTCGTGATATGTCAGCCCAGCAACGCCGCTAGATCTTGTGATATTGCTGGATACATCGTTGCAAGCGCTGCAGATGGCTAATGAAGTATACAATGGCCAAGTGCAATTGCCGCTGACACAGGTGTATTTGGTCGTCTGCAATCTAAAGGTTGAGGAGCTGCTGAATCCATTATATGTCGCGCTGGCGAGTCCAAAGTCGGGTTGGCCCGAGAACCAATAGGTAGGTATGGTCATATCAGTGTCTTCCACAATCCACCAAAAGTTATTATACTCCTCATACATGTTGCCCAGATACAGCGATTCAACCTTTCCGATTATGGCACTTTCTTGGTCGGTATTGATGGTACTAAGCTTTCCATAGTAAGATATGGTGGCTTGGAAGAATGGATCAAATGCGAGAAAAACAAGGATCACACAGGGTCCGAGAGCAGCCCAATGTCTCCTTGCACATTAGATGTGATTACCGGCAGCGGATATATATATTACTTACCGCGCTTTCAACCAGTAGAGAAGTTTAACACTACCCCATGGACCTCGACTGGCTTCGTCGAATCTCTCAAACGCAACCAGTTGATCTTGGCGGCCATAGAACCAATTCCACTTCTGTTGTCCAATGCAAGAGCTGATGGCAAATGCCAGCGTCGTCCTAGCAATCACACCAAGGATAGAGACTAACGTATTGAGGGACACTACAAAGGTCCATGATTCCAAGGGATTCTCGTTTTGAGAGTGTAAAACTGCAATACCGGTGACCATGGACCCTAGGCTGAGTACAATTGCTCCGATTTCCAGCCACCAGTAAGAAGCACCTGTGGCATGGGCATCGGAGGAAGTGTTAGTAGGACCTAGTTCTCCAGTGATATTTTCGGTGGAAGCGTATGCAAGCGATGGGTTCAAGCTTGTTTGTTTTTCTTTGACTTGATTCCCGTGTAAATGGCTCGTTTCTCGAGAACACGATTTCTGTGGTGGCAAAAACGAATACGTCGCAATGTCGTTCTCCGAAGGACTATCAGCAAGAGCTGGAGTGAAAGTGTGAAGGGTATTATGCTCTAGCGAAGAATGTGTGCCTTCAACCCTAGGCACCGCAAGGGGAGAATAATGAGAGGTCATATTTAAGGATGCGATATTTGGTTACGACCGTAGAGCAATTTAGGCTGCTGAATCTTCCTGGTGTGGTCGACCGATAGAATGTTGAATGTTGAAGGGAACGTATGGAAATTTGGGTGGGGGTACTTAGTTTATATAAGTGTGGTGCTGCTACCGGCGTCCGCATAGCCCTCCTCCAGCTTTGACTACGGCGAAGCGCATTGCATTCTGCAGGTTCGCTATAAACTACCCGATCATCCTCGTTGTGACTTCTGCACTAAGTAGTAATGAGAGCGAGCGACAAGGAACCCGGCGAGGCTGAGCGCTTGGAAACTGAGATAAAAGTGTTAAGAAGGCTTGCAAGCGCCCCCCAAACAACTGTACAGATGATCAGAAAACGTGCATCACCGTCTTGTCCAACTGATATGCCGTTTTGACCGATCTGGGGGCACATATTTTTGGCCGCAAGGCCCCTTGAGTTCGTCGCCACGCCGCCAATTATGCCAAGAGTACTGGTCGCGGGCATAATATTGCATACATCATTTGGCAATATGTGACGGTGCATACACCCTCGGCGTTTTGCCTCCTTTAAGTTGCTGCATAGTGAATGCGCTTTCAATGATAGAGAGGCCTAGTGGGCACGATGGGACAGATCTACTTCTGCCTTGCCATGTTCTCCCGCTCCTCTAAGCACCGCATGCATGGTATTTAGTGTAAGCCCAGGCATGGGCTCACTTACATCTGGTGTCGTACACGTTTGGGGCGGTTGGCCATTGTTCAAGTCGGTCACATCAGTTTGACCAATGCCACCATGGCTACGTGTCCTCCCTGTCATGTTAGATGCAACAGTCCAAAGGATCATGTTTTGCTACCGGTACGACGTATACCGATCATTGCGCACAACTGTCACGTTCCTGCTAGTAGTATTGCGGAAGCTGCAGCTGAATGCCTCCGATTAGCTGGGGGCCAGGGAGCCTCGCGAGTTTTTTTATATATATATGCAGATCGATTTAATGAGAGTGTGCACACCCGTTAGAAAAGATGCCCAAGGTTGCGCTCGGCATTGTGCCTGCCGTATTACACGGAGCTGTGTGCAACATGAGCTGATCACCGACTTCAGTTAACAACCTGATGAGCTATTGTAAGGCTGCGAATCCTTATTCTCGGACGACACAACCCATCCTTGAGAAACTTTTATGTGGCTGGCGCGTTATACTGGTCTTTCAGTTAACATTGAAGATTCTCTACTGATTCACCTATGCATATTATTAATTAGGCAATAGGAAGTGTAGGCGACTCAGTTCAATCACAGTTCCCGTAACCCAAAAGTGATTATTCAAGCCAACCATAGTACTTTTTCATCTTTATAAGTAAGTTTGATTGGGCCGCTTCACATCTGGCACATACTCTATGGCATTTAATACACAAAAAGGTATCTATTGAGAATAAAATAACGAGTGCAATTAAAAAAGCAAACATACAACACCGGGGATTCCCCAGTGGTCACCCACCTGAGTACTAATCCAGCGCTTCCCAGTTTATCTAGGGCAGAGCGGACGGGATGCCGAGTTTTCTAGGAGCTATGGTCGTATGTGATGTTTGGGTGTTGCAGCAAGGTAAAAATAAACAGACTTTTGGGGAAAGAAAAAGAAGCGTAGTAGTATGAAGAAAAGACAAAAAGACATACAACACCAGGGATTCCCCAGTGGTCACCCACCTGAGTACTAATCCGGCGCTTCTCAGTTTATCTAGGGCAGAGCGGACGGGATGCCGAGTTTTCTAAGAGCTATGGTCGTATGTAGCGGCCGACTCGAACATTGCTAAATATATAGATTTTTGTTTTTAAGGAGGCTACCAAGTGTGATACGGGTAGGATGAATTGTCCTAGACAGACCAGTGAACGTTCGACTATATGCTACTTGGTGAGCCTTTGTATCTATAGGTTCGCTAGGCATCAACGCTATATTGAAGCTGTGTGTTATGAATTACATGCAGCGACGATTCGTCAAACAACAGCTTTTCGAGCGAATGTTGTACTGTACCGAAATGGTATAATTTTACCCGGAGCACTGCCACCAAAGATTTTGCACCACATAGATCGTTTAAGACATTGGACATAGTAAATGCTCTAGCACATGGTTAACATCAGGGGCGGTGCTGCCGATCTGGGTGGAAGTAGGTCTCACCCAGTGTTGTGGTATAATAATCTCCAGGTGCCTTGAATGTCCACCAAGATTTTTCAGTGACAGTCAAATATTGGCGGTTCAGCCCTACAGTATTGTAGATGAGGTTGAGCCTGTGGATCATTCGTATCTACCATGCGGTTCTGATTACAACATAATTTCTGCGAATCGGCTATTACTGAAAGATTAGGTCTACTACATGCTATATTACCTAATGTGTCGCTACGTCTTCGTCTGGTTATCAGGTCAGCAACATGTTGGGAAAGATCCCTTCAAAACGCTGTGTATCTTGATATTGTCATTTTAGGGGCGATTCGGTTTTTGTGACCGAACTTCTACGATCGATTGTGTTAGCTACGAGAGCATGAGACATACATAGGACTAATGCAAGCCTTGATACCAGATGCTGCTTGATAGCTTTTCAGGGTTTGCTGCGGCAGTCTTTGGCCAACATACAATTTAGGTCAAGTCTCCGGAACCAAGCGATACCATAAGGGCTCAGTGGAGGCATTTGACGTAGGAATTAGGTAAGGACTACGGGTCATCCTGAGGGGATGTGATGCAATATTGCGAGCGAATCCTCAATACACTACCTGCCAATATATGTTCACCTTGTGATACGCAATGCTTGAGAAATATTTTCGGGTAGATTTAGAGATATGCGCCTTCCAGACCACAAGTAGTGCTTAATTCTATACTCAAGCTTGGATGGGACTTACAATGATCGTCACAGAGGTCGTTTGATACGGGAATCGCGAATGACCATGGATGGCGCTGAGCTGAATATGGAGGCACTGGCTCATGTGGTTGTGGAACACAGAAGCCAAAATGTGTTACATTTGTGACAACTTCCTTGTACCCTGATCCATGACCTGAGATGAGGTACACGGACAGAGCCGAGACGTTACGAACTATGGGTGTCGGGCCGTGATGATGGTCTCGGTACAAGCCATATATATCATATGCCGATCATGGATCGCGTATTCCATAGGCGCTTTGCTTTATTCAGACACCCATGAGTGACGGTCTAGTGCTGAACGTTAGAAAGCCCATCTGTCAATTCGGTTAATGGCTGGTCTCCATGGTTAGACGGTTATCCTGCAACAGCCAACCAACGTGCCAAGCACAAACCCGATTCGTTTGAGTTACCATCAGCAAAAATTGACTGCATTTACGAAAAATCTTTGTCGGATGAAGTTGTGGGGTATGGCTATCCCTGGTGCCGGCCGCACGTGTATTATGCACGATAACGTTACTAATGCAACGTGCATGACAATTTGTCCCTATCATTTGCTAAGCCCATTGCCCTAGCCTCGTCGATGCGAAATCTCCAAGACAATGGCGGGAATCAGATCGACCAGGCGAACCCGAATTATAGGCAAGTGTGAAATGATCTTCTCGGGATTGCACCCCTGTAGTTACCATTTCAGCAGCTCGAGTGAATGAGAAATCACTTTGTGTGTGGTTTGAAGGCAATCTGAGCAAAGTTGAACGACTTCTATAAGGCGAGCATCCAAAGCCTATGTAGTTAATGCGGATACTGTACATATTGGAGAAGTCGCAAAAAGCAGCCAGTCAATGACAGCATCACCTAAAATTCAGGGCTCGCAGGGTTCAAGCTCTCTGCAGGGGTAAATTCGATGACACCTTGAGTGGAGCTGTGTAGTCTCCGCGGATGCGGCAGACGTGCTGATTTGGCGCCGGTTCCAATATTTGGAAGCCGCCTAGAACGCCAATCAACTAAAATCATCGACATGCCGCAATGTCGGGATCGCGTACAATCATGCTCATCACGGCCATTGTTTTAAACTCTCAAACAGCTGCTATGGCGGGGTCTTACAAGGAACCTAAAACGGCACAGCGTTGAGGTAACCCCAGCACACAGCTAACGAACGGACAGTATAGCTGTTGTGGTTCAAGATAGTTACGATTTGTGATGATCGCAGTGGATTCCAATTTTGGCCAAGCAAGTACTAAGGAGTCAGCGTAAGCATGTATTCAGCCAGGGATTGGCGAATCGGTGTTGAGCACCCTCCGATGCTCGTCCGCCCCCTCGCGCACTTTGGCTGCTCTACAACATTTAGAGCCTCGATCTAAGATACAGCGTTCGCCGTTGAAATTCGCCATCTAAACCACGGTAGGAGAGGACTGGAATATTCCCACACGTTTATTTTCAAGCAGAATGCAGCAGTCATCGCCAGATACTAGCAATAAGGTTTGCCCCGGGGGCGCAGCCCCTTCCCAAAGCGTACTTGTTTTGTGGTCCTTCCATCAATTTGTACGATCTCCGCGCTCGATCTGAAGTTTCTACATCGACGCTGGGAATGTCTAGTCATCACGTTGCAAATTTCCAACCTTAGCTTGTTTTCTCCTGGCTTTCGCACAGCATGGCTATTTTCATGTACTTTCTGTCCATTATTTCCGTCCAAGGTGTGACTGCGCATCTCGGTCCTGCCTGGCGGTAACTCTACTCTTCTCTAGCGAGTGGCTAGCGGCACGCCTCTTTATCTGGAGATCAACTTGTCATAGTCCTCCCGATTGCCCACAACCCCATGATTCATAGACAGTTTCGGTACATTGAGGGACAAGGTCAAGCCTTCTTTCTTCGATCAGCAACGACAACAACGGCACCGGCGGTTTCTATGTTCTAATTGATACCCGAGTGTAACATTTGGTCTATCAGTTTGAAGCTGGTATTGGTTCTCATCCGTACTACGACGGTTGCCTTTTTAAGATACGAAAGTGTGTAAGATAAAACGTGAATCATTCCACGGCTTAACTCTGCAACTCTAGATTCCACGCCTTCGAAAGCCGACCCGATAACCCACTATATCAGGTATCAGTGGTTTCACTTTATCAAGTTATTCAGGCTATACTGGCTGCAGAAGCATCTATCTGACAACATATCAACGTCAACCTCCTGCCCAAGATGTCCGCGGGCAACGTAGTCATCTACTTCGTTCGTCGGGACCTAAGGGTTTCAGACAATCCTATTCTACATCATCTGGCATCATCATCCAAGCATGGGTATACACATCTTTTGCCAGTATATGTTTTTCATTCACAGCAGGTCGAAATTTCTGGATTCATCAAAGATGGGTCCAAATCACCATATCCACAGGCCAAGAGTGAAGTGGGGGGCTTCTGGCGGTGCGGTCCTCATAGAGCTAAGATGCTTGTAGGGTCTGTGTGGGATATGAAGAACTCATTGGAAAAGTTGGGAAGTGGGCTAGTTGTTCGGGTTGGTCAGTACGACGATGTCTTGAAGACTATTCTGAGCAGTCTGAAAGAGAAAAACCATAAGGTCAAGGCCGTGTGGATGACATCGGACGAAGGGGTTGAAGAGAGACGGGACGAGAAGAAACTCGCTGTCATATGCGCTGATTCTAACATCGAATTCCGTGCTTGGGCCGACGAGAAGTACTTCATTGATGAGTACGTGTTCACACATCATTTTCCCTCTGAAATCTTGACTCACAGAATATAGCCGCGATGTGAAACTTAACAGTCCTAAAGACCTTCCAGATGTCTTCACAACTTATCGAAAGATGATGGAACCGTTGCGGGAGAGACCGAGATGCGCACTGCCGAAACCCTCAAAGGCCGACCTACCAGAATTGCCGCCTATATCAGACATTCCGCCACAAGCAGGACCCTTTGAAATTCCGTCAACGTACGAGGAACTAGAGGAATGTATGCTTGCTCCGATCCGAGAAATAATACCTAATGCACCACCGTTCCCGGAGAATGCCACGTCGGCGCATCCCCTGGTGGGAGGCGAGACGGAGGCACTAGCCCGGCTTGATGACATTATCAAGAATGGAACAGTGTTTCACTACAAGAGCTCCCGCAATGGTTTGATCGGAAAAGACTTCAGCACTAAGCTCTCTGCCTTTCTGGCTGTGGGCAGCATGACAGGACGCCAAATTCACGAGGCGCTCGTGCGGTATGAAGACGGGAAAGACGAAGCGTTCTCCGAAGCGGAGGGTTATGGCACTGGCGAGAATGAGGGATCGAAGGGCGTTCGGTTCGAGCTATTATGGCGCGATTACATGCGACTATGCACGCGAAAGTTCTCATACAGGTTATTCCGCCGATCAGGCTTCCGTGACGACAACAACTTGCAGTGGAAATCACCCAAGAAGACTGATGCCTTGGACTCTCAGTCTGCCCCAGACAAAATAGACAAAATATTACAACGCTTGTGGGCAGGCACAACTGGCATGGGTCTCATCGACGCTTCTCAACGCGAGCTAATTCACACCGGGTACACATCCAACAGAGCTCGACAGAACGTTGCCAGCTTCCTTTCGAAACATCTTGGAATTGATTGGCGATATGGCGCTGAGTGGTATGAGATGTTACTTGTTGATTATGACGTGTCATCCAATTGGTCAAACTGGCAGTATGTCTCAGGTGTTGGTAACGATCCTCGTGGTGAGGCTAGGATTTTTAATCCAGTGAAACAAGCTTTCGACTACGATAAGGAAGGGGAATATGTCAAGATGTGGGTTCCAGAACTCCGAAAAGTAGAGAAGTTGGAAAACGTCTTCCAGGCATGTACCACATCGAAAGAGGACCGGGAAAGGTTCGGCTTGACAGGCCTCGAAATGGTTGAGGATCCCGTGAAGAAGATTGAGTTTTCTGTCGACGGGAAGCCCAATAAACATGCGAAGCGGCCCTTTGACCGCCGCAGAAAGGACGGTCGTATCCGCAGCAATGCCAGCATGTCGAACGGGACTTCGGCCAATCCAACGGAACAAGATCAGGCTGCTTCAAATACCGTGAATGGAAGCGCAGGTCATCAACGACAGCACCCGCCGTATGAGGCTCCTAGACATCCACGTGGTGACTATCAAGGTGGAAGAGGCGACTTTCGGGGAGGAAGAGGCCGTGGTAGCGGCGAGTACCGTGGCGGCAGCAACAACACTGGTGGTTATCGTGGCAGGGGCTATGGCGGTTCACGAGGCGAATACAGAGGAGCATATAGGGGCAATCGTGGACATTACCAAGGAATTGGTGGGTATGGGTCTACCGCAACGTCAGCATGGTCCCCAGCCCAATAGTGGTATGGTCGCAATACTCATAATATTGGGGTGTTGAGGACGAATCAGAAATGAGCATGGTGCAGGGGTAGAAGGAGATGGCGTCGAAGATGCAAAGCCATTTGCCATCATTAGTGGTTTGCTTGGTTTGTGGTACAATATCAGATAGCCGCCACAGTTGTCCCCGACGCCAGAATCCAGTGATACAGCCCATGCGACTCACTGGATTCGAGGCGACACTGTTCTGTTTTCGGTGCCAACCATTAGCATTGGCTTGACGAAGTTGTGTAATGTTTCGAATGTAGAAAGCTATTGATTCTCTACCAGTTCAAAAAGCGTTGTGTTTGTTAGAACCACGAAAGCATAGCGAGTATGATAATGAATTTCTACGAAAAGTTTATGGCCTGTATGTAGTTTATCACACAGTTCATTAAACACAGTTCATTATGATGCGCATGTATCATTCGGGCTTAGCAATTGATCATCTGATAAATTCATATGACACCGAGTTCCAGCCGACAAAATATTATATGGTCGGTAGCCGGCGGATAAAACTGTCCAATTGGTTTTATTTTAATATTTCATTTTCCTACGCGCGGCCAATCACTTGACGTACTTAACGTGGCACTAACCTAGACTACTGTACATGGACGAGAAGCTCCCCAAGTGCCTGCTAGACATTCTCACCCGCTTTATGACTATGTTAGCACGGCAATTCCATCTTGTCCTATACCTACACTGCTTTCAATGAATTTGACTTCAATTATAGTCTCGCGTCCAGTTTTATTCAATCCATCTCGTGTGGTTTCTTATCATCAGTTGATATACTTTGGTGACAGGTATCCACCCTGGCACGTAGATTTACATCAGTACAACAGGGCATATTTTAGCAGAGTAATCTGGCACAACCCTCTATGACTACCGTAAGTATTTCCAGATAAAAACACCAAACGTAAAGAAATCTCTTTCTGGAAATTTCGCATGCTTTTAGTTGCGAAATCTGAGCTGCAACTCATTTAGTATGGGATTTCAAACACGATGCCTGTGTCAAGTTATTCTAGACTAGTCTACGGTTAGGAAGAATTATGTAGGCACCAACAATCTAGTTACAAGTTCCTGCGGGACCTGGTAGGTTTCCACTAAAACCTATCGCTTAATCACTATTGCAAGTCTATGATCTCATCAATTTTCAGTGCTCGCAGTTGAGACAACATTGAGCTTCATGAGACGCTAACATGCACACCTGCCTTCCCTGCCCAATTCCAGCTAGGCCCTGTCATGCAGGGCGCTCTTCGTTCCTCCCTGAAGTTCCGACTCGGACTCGGACTTTGGAATGCTGTCGTGGTTCATGTTCATGCATCCGCTCGCTCGGTAGGCCACGGCTACAGGCTTCGCGTTACCACGTCTCTGTCCTATTTACTTACCATACCCGAGTGGCATGCAACATCTGGGCACTTCGCACACACAAGTAACTCGTCCGTCTTTAAAGTTCCAGCCGATTGATCTGTTAGGGTCTTATCCTCCTTCACTGCTTGGCTTTTGAAAAAATGGCTTACGATTATGCGCTTGTGTGAGTTGATGCATTCCAATTCTAATGCCGAAGGATGCAATATTAACGGCGCTCATAGACACCTCAAGTACACCATTCCCCTGGCTGCACTTTTGACATTTGTGTTAAAACCACTTCTGACACGGGTGGACTTCTACAAGACTGGGGCTTTGATAGCAATCGCTTTCACTGCGACATTACCGTGGGATTCGTACCTCATTCACCATGGCGTCTGGACGTATCCACCAGACGCGATTGTCGGGTTGCGATTGTTTGCAGTACCAGCAGAGGAGCTGTTTTTCTTTGTGATACAAACATACATTACGTCGATGCTCTACATCCTATTCAACAAGCCATTGCTGCATGCGCAGTATCTAACCAACAAATCCGATGTTTCGCTTACAATCCAGGCAGTGCGGCTTTTGGGACAGGTGTTCCTGGCAGCATGCACAGTCATTGGTGGCGCCTTGGTCAGCAAGGGAGGCGAGGGCACATATCTTGGACTTATTCTTGTATGGGCCTGTCCCTTCGCTCTACTTACATGGACATTCTCTGGCTACTTCCTCATCAGGCTTCCCCTCGTCTGTGTTGCTACGCCAATTATCTTGCCAACGCTCTATCTCTGGATCGTGGACGAATTGGCACTCGGTAGAGGAACGTGGTCGATCGAGTCTGGAACGAAGCTCGGATGGTGTCTCTTCGGTAGCTTGGAACTGGAAGAGGCTGTGTTTTTTCTTGTCACGAACGCCTTGATTGTATTCGGGTTGGTGGCATTTGACCGTGGCATGGCCGTGCTTAACACTTTCCCGAAGCTCTTCCCAGAAGTTTCATCTACGCCCTCGCCATCTATGCTACTGAAGGGCGTGCTTCTCGATCGCTCGAAATATGATATGGAACGAGTACGTGGTATTAGGGAAGCCGTGTGCACCTTGAAACGCAAGAGCCGCAGTTTCTACTTGGCCAGCTCGGTGTTCCCAGGTCGGGTGCGAATTGACCTCGTCTTGCTGTGAGTATTTTCTTTCATGGTATTTCTGAACTTGGCTAAACATTTCTAGTTATTCGTTTTGTCGCGTCGCAGACGATCTCGTCGATGACGCAAGGAATGAAGCTGAAGCCCTAGAATGGATCGAAAAGCTGACAAAGTATCTGGATCTGGTATACTCCTCGAAGACACCGGCATCCCCTGACGAAGATTCTGCAGTTTTGGGTTACATTGAGGAGAATTTCCATGAGCACGATCAGTCTGCCTTGAGGTTACTTCCAGCTAAGCTTCTACCAAAAGTACCTCTATACGAACTTCTTGAAGGGTTCAAAATGGATTTAGCATTTTCACACACCGGCGGGAACGGTGAACCACACTTGCCAGGAAATTTTCCTATCAAGAACGAACAGGATCTCCAACTTTACGCTTCCCGTGTCGCTAGTACTGTCGGTGAGTTATGTCTTTGGCTCGCATTCCATCACGGCGATGCCCGCATCCCAGACAGAAACAAAAACGTTTTGGTTCAGGCGGCCAGAACTATGGGCCATGCGCTACAATACGTCAACATTGCTCGAGACATCACGGTTGATGCGGATATGGAGAGGGTTTATATTCCCACGAATTGGCTCAAAGAAGAAGGGGCTACTCCTCGTGATATAATCAAGGCACCAAGGCAACCAGTTGTCGAAAAGATGAGGGAAAAGCTGTTGAATCTTGCATTTCAGGAATATGCAAGGTCACGAATCGATATGGATATGCTTCCCCGCGACATCAAAGGGCCACTTATTGTGGCCGTGGAGAGTTACATGGAGATCGGACGAGTTTTACGAGAGAAGAAAGGAGTTCGGTCGTCCAAAAACCCGAAGAGAGCTACAGTTCCCCGGACGAGAAGGCTATGGGTTGCTTGGAAGAATCTTGCGGCACAATAAGCGATTCGAAACGTCCCAACTGATCCTGGAACCTATTTGTTTTTCATTCTAGATGTCTTGCATAGATCGCTCTCTGCTCACAGCCTTCAAACAAAGTTTTTTTTTTTTTTTTTTTTTTTAGAGGGATTAATGTTCTTGCATGGCAGGTTGTTTGCATAATAATTACGGAATATCATCTATTTACAAAAGTTTAGTTCACTGTACGCCATCTTTCTTTACTGTGATACCTGAGATATGATGTGCGCTAGTGCTAGCAGCGATAATAGGGCTGGTCTTGGCTGGTATCCTATGTTTTGTTACCTGCAAAATCGCGGCTGACTCGGAGATAGCACCAGGGTCAACTGTAACGACTCCATCAATCTGACTTCAACCCTAACAAAACCATAAACAGTGTACTGTGGGACTTTCCGAGACCTGGCTCCTGGGTGACAGCACAGACACCAATTGGCGGGTGACCTGCGACGTGCCCAGTCATTGCGTCCAGGTTTTCTGCGGCTGGGCTTTGCGTGTTGGCGCTTGCAATCCACCGTTTCTAGGAATGATGATTCATGAAGGCCCCTCGGACTCGGACATGGCAGAAGTGCGAGAGAGTCCACATGGCAACTGGCTCAGGGACCATACCTAGTCGGCAATGATGAATCAAGACTGCCAGGCACACGTGCATTTCATCTTTTCGGGCCATTCACATGCTTCCATTTGTTATTATTGCCATTGCCAACAGTGGCATTGCTGCATGGTTTGCCTGCGAAACTCAGGAGCAAGCACTCGTCCCCTTTGGCGCTAAACTAGATAACGCTGCATCGTGCATCGGCCCATAACACTAAGATCTCTTGCGTGTAAGTGAGCTGACCCATGCTGCTGGGCTCTGCGATCGTAAAACACTTCGCTCCACCATCAGAAACATAAACTCTTGCATGACTGTCTAGCATATCCTCACGACCTTCTCTCCTACGACTCGAGAATCATCATCGTCTAATTGCAAAGAGACTGATACGCGGCACCGCCAGTATCTTCACTTGTGCTTACTTATCCTTGCACGCCCGCTTAAAATCTGCGCTCACATCAAAGTAATATTCATTCTGTAAAATGGAGAAACCAAGGCAAAGAACGGCTATTGTCATCGGTGCGAAACCTCGATTCTTTTATTTCGTCTTGCTTGCTGACTTGAAATTCCAGGCGCTGGCGCGGGTGGCATCGCCACATCCGCACGCCTTGCTAAGGCTGGCTTCGACGTGACCGTGTTAGAGAAGAACTCGTTCACTGGTGGTCGTTGCTCGCTCATCCACCACGAGGGGTACCGTTTTGATCAAGGGCCCTCACTTCTTCTACTGCCCAAGCTCTTCAGAGAGACCTTCTACGACCTGGACACATCTCTCGAGGCCGAGGGTGTGGAATTGATGCAATGCCCCTCAAATTACAACGTCTGGTTCGCAGACGGAGAGTCGTTCGAGCTCTCGACGGATCTGGTGCGCATGAAGAAGCAGATCGAGCGGTGGGAAGGGAAGGATGGCTTCCAACGGTATCTGAAGTGGCTCGAGGAAGCGCATCAGCATTATGAGTTGAGCGTCAGCGATGTCCTGCACAAGAACTTCACAAGGTGGTGGGATCTGTGCAACCCGCACTTTGTCAGGTCGGGAATCAAGCTGCACCCGCTTCACAGCATATGGAACCGCGCCAGCAAGTATTTTTGGTCGGAGAGGTTGAGGAGGGTGTTCACATTCGCGACCATGTACATGGGCATGAGTCCGTTTGACGCCCCGGCGACGTACTCGTTGCTCCAGTATACAGAGCTGGCTGAGGGCATATGGTACCCGAAGGGTGGTTTCCACGCTGTGCTGCAGGCGCTGGTCGACGTGAGCGAGAGGTTTGGCGTCAAGTACCGCCTAAACACACCAGTCAAGCAAGTCTTAACACTACCTGACGGGAAGACCGCCACTGGAGTCCTGCTGGAGTCGGGCGAGAGACTCGACGCAGATATCGTGGTGGTAAATGCGGATTTGGTCTACGCCTACAGCAACCTCTTCCCACAAACCCCCAGCATGGAGAAGTTCAGCGAGTCCCTCCGGCAAAGAGATGGCTCATGCAGCTCGATATCATTCTATTGGAGTCTGAACAAGAAGATCCCGCAGCTCAACACACATAACATCTTCTTGGCGGACGAGTACAGGGAGTCGTTCGACTCGATCTTCGCCAGACAAGAGCTTCCGACGGAGCCAAGTTTCTACCTTAACGTGCCTAGTCGCATGGATTCCGACGCTGCGCCGGACGGCTGCGATGCAGTTATTGCATTGGTGCCGACCGGACACCTGTACCAGTCGCGAGGCTTCCTGAAGGAGGACGCAGGCATCCCGCGCGACCACGACTGGAAACAACTGGTCGAGCGGGCCAGGCGTTCCGTCCTCTCCACAGTCTCGGCCCGAACCGGCTGCGAGGACATCGGCGCCTGCATCACCAACGAGATTGTGAATGACCCGTTCACGTGGGAGTCCAAGTTCAACCTGGACAAGGGCTCGATCCTGGGCCTGAGCCACAGCTTTTTCAACGTGCTCAAGTTCCGCCCGAGCACGAGGGCGCAGGGCTACAAGAACGCCTACTTCGTGGGCGCGAGCACCCACCCAGGCACTGGCGTGCCAATCGTCTTGGCCGGCGCGAAGATCACCACGGAGCAGATCCTGGCCGACCTGGGTCTGCCCACCCCGTGGGAGACGCACCCCGCACAGCTGGAGGACCAGGGAGTCCCGCAGACGAAGTCGACAAACAAGCTGGACAAGCTCCATGCGCCCATGTCGGGAGCTGTCCTGTTTACGGCATTCATTGCGGTGTGGTTTGGCCTGTTTATGTATTTCTGGCGCCCTTTGGGCATTTAGGCGTTTTGTTGTATAGAGCGAACGATAGATACTCCACATTACATTAATATCATGATCTTCCCACCAAAGCAGATTCCCACCAATGCCCAACCATGTGACTGAAACGTGAGATGAATTGCCTGAAAATATTACGCATATCGAAGCTCGCCTACATGTCGTCCTAATCATTGAATCATTTTGATTAGCGGCCCGAACGGCAAGAGGGAATGTCCAAATTGCGGAAGTCATGAAGATTGGTATATTATGGAGCGCAACTGCAGTATTTCTGGTTGGCTAGATTCTTAAGCTTCACTTCACAAAAGTGGCAGCACCCAAGCTCACGCTGATAAGATCTCCTAGAGCAAATCTTACAGCGAGTGTCGTAGTCAGTGGGCGAGAGGCACGGAATATTCGTTGGTACAAGCTTAAGTATCAACCGATGAGAGTGAACAAAAGATTTATTACCCAAAGGCTCTATATACGCTGCTGTTTAGATACATGCGAACTCTGCACACATCTACCTGGAATAGTTGTGATACTACCAATTGTCTTGCAGTCGCAAAAGGTGAGGGGTCAAAGACATGAGATTTGACAGAGCACGTTCACATCACAGTGGCCAATGGTGATGACATTGTCTTGGAATTGGACGTTGAGAAAATCTCTTATTAGTGAAAAGGGAGAGAAGTCTAACGCGCCTCTCATGATTGTTGGTGCAAGTTTGACTCCAGCCTTCAAAAGCCTTTCAATCTCACGCGAAACAACACAATTCAACCACATTCCCTGTCACGTTCAATCAGTTTCTAAGGCATCCAAGAACTCTGCCTACAGTCCTTTGCTTCTTATCATGACTCGATAGCATACTTTGATCAATTTCCCTGGTCTTGACCTCTCATAAGCTCCTGTGCTTCCCTGATTTGTCCAATCAGTAGGTCCATTTCCTGTTTGTCTAGTTCGGCCGCATCTGCTCGCAAGCTAGCGGCCATCAGTCCAGGCTGACGGTAAGTTACTTGATGAATAATGAGATTAATCGTGGTGCCGAGCTTTTGCAAAGCAGGTGAAGTATTTGTGCTCCGGCGGTCGTTCATCCGATCTCTGACCGCCTGTGCAATCCCGGGAGACATGAGAGCGTCCTGACGATCAAGAGATCAGTGTCCTAGAAGTGTGACTTGAACTGAAGCGCTCACCTGTGTCCACGCCACTTCTGCAGGATGTGGCTTGTGCTTCGATGTCAGAAGGTGCAGGTAAAGGAGCTGGCGTCTCCATGGGAACAAATACGAGACAAACTCCTGGATGTCTAGAGTGGCGTTTCGCATCTGCTCAAAGGTCAAGGTTTTATCTTTCTTGAATGCGCTAACTATGCTGTCGCGGACTCGGATTACTCGAGCAGGATTATGGTAAATTAGCAAGTCGTTGAGGCATTTGACGTTGGTGGCATCCAAGTTACGGAGAGCGTAGTTAGTTGTCTCGATCAAGGAAGGCGCCCGCGTGGGCCGTAGAAAATCGACGATGTGGTCATAGCGACCACGAACGACCCTCTCCAAATGGGTCAGCTTTGCCATGAAGTCACGCTGTAGACCATCGAAATCGCCTTGGGCAAACTTGCACTCCAGACAATCTGCGATGGCATCCCTCTCTTCTCGATTCAGATCGGTATGCGAGGACAGATGGATGTAGAATTCGAGCTCCTTCAAACGGTCCCAAACCTCGATCCGGTGCAGCGATTCGATAATGCCTCTTGCCCGTTCTGCACCAGTCGTGTCGCGGCCGCCTTGCAGCCCAGCCTTTCGCTTTCCTAGAACCATGACGAGAAGCAGTGGTAGATGCGGTGGTAACGGAACGATATCTATCGGGCGACGGCAAATACTAGTCAGTATGAACAGACGAGCAATACCTACAGCGACGGACGACGACACAGGATCTGTTTGGAGACATACTGGAGAAACCTGGGGAGCACCCGAAAATACTGAATAGAAAGACAGTTGCAGGAACTACTGCGAGAAGAAACCAGGACAAATGCAGCCTTCTGAAGCGAAGTAAGTATGGAAAGGGTTTGATAGTTGCTTGACGTATGACGGGCGTATCTGGTGAATGCTGATCTTCGGAGGGGAAGTTACAGTTGCTTGCGCGTTGCTGATGAAGTTTATTTTTATTTTGATCTTTAACATGACTTCCATTACAAGAGAGTATTTGGACATAGCTAAAGAACGCAATAACCGGCCAACCCCTCATGTCCCAGTCGAGATGGAATTAGATCCGAATAACTATGACGATAGTTTGGCTGGTACCTAGAGCTTTGCACAGAAGCAGTATTACATGTTCTACCTAACAAGATGATATCATCAAGTAGGAGGCATGATTAGGGCATTATAGCTATAGATAGCTCGTTGGAATTGTGGGGGGCTATCTCGATCATAAGAGGCTTGCTGTGATATTCCCGGACACTCCGGTTCAGTCAGACCTCATCCAATCAAATGTGTCCATCAAGTCAAAGTTCCAATCCAACTGTCCTGAGAAATCCCAATCGATACCATCCTGAAAAGGGCTTGATTCGCCAAGTGGATTGTTTAGAGCCTGGTCAAGTACACGTTGGATCACAGACATTGCGTCCTTGCATAGTTCTGAGTTGGGTGCCGCGGGATTCACCCAGTCTAGAAACCCGACCAGTAGGGAAAGTTTCTGGATCACTGTGGAACGCGTAATGGCCGGCTCATTTGGGTGGATTTGGCTTGACTTTGCCTTTAACAGGCACTTGCAAAGGATGCCGCCTGGTGATGCACCATAGCCAATGACCTGGACACGTTATCAGGGGCTTACCCTCAATATAATAAAGGCTTCGGCGAAGCACTTACAAGCCACTCAAAGTCCGGTCGCATTCTTGTGAATCGGTCCATATGTGTCCAAAGGTTCAACACCAAAGTCACCATCTCAAAGCTCGTCGCCAACAAGCTGCCCTCATCAGGCCGACCTTTGCGAATCAACAGGCGATACAAGAAGAAGTCATTCTGCAAGGCATCAAGTTTCAAGAGCAGACGTGAGAATAATGTGTTCGGCGTCACATCGTAGTTCATGATGTCTTCTTGACACCAAAGCAAGACACGAGGAAACTCTGACTCTGCTGCAGTTTGTCTCTCTTTGATTTGGCTGATATGGTCAGAGATATTAAGCAACACCAACGATGATAACTTGAACTCACAGGAGGTCGTCCACTGTGGCACAATATTCGTTGCCCAGTGCTATCTCAGCGATTTGCTCCCTTATCTCCGCCATCATGTAGCGAGCTCGAGTGTAAGTGCTGGAATGAGATCCGCCTCCTTTATCCCACCCTTTTTCGTCTATAGTGGTACGAACCTTTTCAAGGAGTGATTCTTGATCTAAGAAAAGAAACTCATCTTCGAGATCCAGAGGCATTGGCGTTGTAATGAACTTCCGAAATAATAGCGGTGGTCGCCCCGTAAAAGCAAGCTGGCTAATCGTATAATTTAGTACACAGTGGATTCTGTCAGTAATTTGAAGGGCTATCATGTTAGAGATTTGAAAGATCATATTGACGTACACCTTGTCTACGGTAAAGATTGGCAACAGTATTCGGCGGCTAACCTCCGAATACAATGTCGGTTGATAGTTCTCATCCGGTGCTTCTGCATGCATGCCCAGGAACGTGAGGCAAGCAACAGTGTCCGCAAGATACCTCCATGTTTGACGACCTGTCGTAGAGAATTAGTGGAACATCGCTCCTCCGCGTAATCAAAATCGGGGATTGCTGTTGAACGTACTGGCATCCCCAGATATGAGTGATTCAAGTATAGTTTTCCTGAAGCTCAAGTAAACTATGAAGGGATTTCCGTCAGAAAATTCCTGTGCCAATTCGTGGCATAAAATAATGGCCTCTTGTGTAGTAGGCGCATATTTACTCTGAGGTATACGACCATCTAGAGTCTCGGGCATTCCCGGATTGTCGACGAGATCGAAATAGTTAAAGATCAAGCCTATAGATTCCCATCTTAGGTCCGGGCCGCTAAACTGATCCAACCAGGCAGGCCCATCGACCTTGTTTACGGCTTTAGTGGTATTAATACATATCTTGCGGGCCATCTCCTCCAGTCTCGGTACTGAGCGATTGTGTCCAAGGTAGCTGCCCCATTCACTATAGAGCGATATCAAGAAGCGCCAGGCGATGAGACGGAGCCATTGGTCATAGAGTGTGGAATCCTTGCGAAATAGGCGCTCTCCATCTTCAACCGATGGAACATGTCGTAGTATAGTCACAGCAAGCGTGAGAGTCTTCGGAGATACGTGGACTGGGCAGTCATCTATGCATGGACTTGGAGGGACATCTTCCGGGTGTCCATTCAAAATGCTTAGCGTCTCTTCGATTACCGTACAATAGCTGGTGTAACCAAGGTAGCCACTTGCGCGCGAAACATGGTTCCGAGTGCTCACGGGACTGTTTGTGAACGGTGATCTATCTGTGCTTGGGCTGGGCAAGTTCGGGCCATTTTTGGCTATGCTGGTATCTTGGCCATCTATTGATGTCGAGGTCAATGGAGCCGAAGCCAAGTTCTGCGCTGTCGCCTCAACTGTAGTCGAGGAAACTGTGTAGATACAAAGCCTGTCTTGCTTCCTTTTCCTGCACCTCAAACACACTGGCCGTGTATGGTCGCAAGCCACCTGTCCAGTGTCAGTGCCCGTTCTTTGGGCTGACTCGACAGGTGGAATGAATAGGACGCACCTTTCGGCTTCGGCAAGGATCACAGGCTTGGAGACGGCCATTGAGCCGCCGCAATACTGGTGTGCTTGCAGTGCTCATTTCGGTTTCTGAACAATGCAGTATTGGATCTGTCACTCGGATCGATGAGGTGTCTGAGATAAGACAGCCGAGATGTTGTAAGCCCTCACGTCGATCTAATCATGCCACAGGAGTGAGCCGAAGCCGATGCTTCGGTCTCGGATTGAATCGTTAGCCCAATTTCTGAAATTTCGGGGTGACTAATCCGGCTATGGTGGGCGAGCGTCTATCACGCAACAGGTAGAATACGTAGTGCGGAGGTTTAGCTAACGAGCTCATTGGCTAAAAAGCTACCGCTACAGGTCTCCATGGGGTTCGGGGACGCTACAGTATCTGAGTACCTAGCCCAGCTGTCATGTGGGTTTCGGCGTCGCAAAACTGTCGAAAGTTGGCTCCAATTGATTGACGTTGCTTGGTATCACAGAATGCAGAGGCTGACCCAGAGTGCATCGGCGAACAGTCATTTCTCTTGGTCATGAAGAGGTTCTGCACTTGCAAGTCCGAACCAAGTGGTTCACTACCGCTCGGGACGAGTATCCGGTGCTGAAGCGGTCGCAAAGGTTCCCAACAGCTTGGTGATGTGACTCAGCCTTAGGCCCTGCTAGGCATCGCGTCCAACTGCCGCTGGCGTGTTTTTAATATGTATGAACCCCGAAGCTTCAAAGCATTAACCAAAGATGGATTGCCTGCCGGCCGTTCGCTTGACATGCGCCCTACTGGTGGGTCGGAAGTCAACTATGTTGGTTGATGGCTGAATAATTGGATCCGAAACATGGTCGAAATAGGCAGTGACTCAGGTAACATAGCATGAGGTGACGCCGAAGCCGCCATTCGTCGATCCCTTCTTAATCCGATTTGTAAGATTATAAGTGATTTGAGAATATAAGTATTTGACCTGACCCCCACCAGCTCTGGTGTTGTTGCCTCAGTCATCTGATAACAGTGTGTCTATCCTCATTCCAAATATTCATTCATCAGGCTTGGAAATATTAGCTTGGAGAAAACCGAATTTAGAAAGCGCAATTCAAGCTCCATCGGCACTTGCCTACCGTTATATCTTCATACTTGTTGTTCGTACCAAGAGCATCAACGCCGACGTCACAGGGTTTTCTATCTACCACTTTGGAAACGTTCTTCAAACCAAGTTCAAAATGCCCAGCTCCGAGTTCGCCTATATCTCTGGCTCATCCCCGATTGTTCAAATGATGCCGTCTAAGCCATCGAAGACTCCAATTGTCCAGTCAGAGCCTGCAAAAGTTTCGAATGACTACGACTATGGTATGTCCACCACACATCGAAATTCCGTCTCCAGCATGACAGACCCGCTAACGTGACCAATTTGATGCAGACTCGGACGACGAAATAGCAGTTATCAAGGCAGAGCAATCAACACGAGCATCCTCCACAAAGTCCTCGATACTATCCAAAGTCAAGGCGAAGCTGCAGTCGGATAAACAGCCGAGGACAGCGCCATCAACATCGTCCTTGGACCGACATTTGAAGAAGAGACAAGCGAGGGCAGAGACACTCTTCGCTTACAAGGTTCTCGCAGAAAGCCGAATGTAAATCACGGGTTTTTCATGCGTGATGGGGCTCGGAGGTTATATGGTAATAGGATTGTCGGTCTATCACGGGCGGGTTTAAAATGGTGTTGGTTTTGGATGCAAGGATTGACTTTAACATGGCTATTTTAGAAGGAAGCAGCTTTGAGCACATCATGGACAAGCCTCCTGATAGTCTCTATGGTAAGGGCGAGATGCCAACTCAAATTGATACCCTAGGAGATTGTTGTTTAGTCAAGATGTTCATCGTTCTCATCATTGATGTCTCATTAATTGAGTCTTATATATCAACATGGACGATATCGCACTCTTAAAGTCTCACAAGGTCTTGGTATCACCTAACAGAACACCCAGAGGACCTTTGTAAGGGGGTGACTCATCTAGACGCGTAGGGTGGCTGGCAATTGTGCTTGAATTGACCACGATCTAGTGCATTCCGCTCTCTATATCGAGTAATTCAATAATCGTTAAAAGCTTCTGGGTTTAACGTTCAGTATTGTTCAAGGGCGTGAGAGAACATGTCACAGACGCATAATGAAGACTTGAACGCGCATTCAAAACAGTCCGACTTCGGAAATCCGCCGAACCAACACGAGGTGATCGCTTCCAAGGAACTTGTTGACCTTAGCTCTAACGAGACAAGGGTTGTCAAATAGCAGAATCAGCTTAGCCTTCATTGACGATGCAGCCGAGGACCTGAGAGCGGGCCCTACATTAGTGCAGGTCACAGACTCATCACAGGTATGACTGTGCTAGGTTAAGGCACTTCGATAACCGCCCTAGTTTTGTAAGCCACATTGCTATTCTTTCCCAATGCCACTGAGGTCGCCTTCCATCGTGACATTACAAACTAATTTTGAATTTTACTACAAAACATACAGCAAATCTTAAAACGAACACCGAAGTTACCCTCTATGATGAACAGCTCCAGTGATGCACATCACGTAAGGAAATAGCAAAATGTTGAGAGAAAGGATACGAAGCAATTTTTGGTAGACTCCGTAACCTACATACTAGTCTTAGCCGATGAAGTTCGAAAATGGGCCATCAATCGCTTCGTGACATGATAGGGTTTTCAGGCTCTCCGCTTCCTTGCTCAAAATGTCACGAAGAGAATTCATGTTCAAGGAGTCAATAGATGGGTAGACTCTCTCCGTAGGTGGAGTATGACCACGTTCCAATAACTTCTCGTCCTCCATCCACTTCAGCAAGGTGGCTTTCATCAAATCCGGGACGATCTTCGAGTGATACAGCATGTTGAGTGCCTGAGCGCGCATGCCGCTCACATGCTCGTCTCCTTTGTTGTCGTGTAAGTGAGGATTGCGTGTCTCAACCTGAAGAATATGTATCTCAGATGTCTGCGATAAAAAATCTTCCTCCACTTTCTGTTCGAGCTGGCCGCCGAGCTGTTCAAGTAGAAACAGATACTGGTAAGGTTCGACGGCAAACCCACCGGCCATCCTGAGTTTTTTGGCTAGTGACATGGTCATGGCGTGCTCGCCTGCATTCCCTGTGGTGATACAGTCGGTGCCGTAGCCTGAAAACTCTTGAAGAAGCTTGTTCAACCACTCGTTCACAACCCGTGAGCTTCTCCCCTTGCGGTCGAACATGAGCCGACCATTACGCTCCTTGGGCTTCGAACTCCAAGATACACGAATCATGGCGTCCTCCACCTTCGCCAAGTGAAACCCCGCGGCATAGGCCTTGCAGTATTCTAGGATGGACCCAGGAATGTAGTTATCAGCATCTATGAAACCGATATATTCGCGGTCCATTAATGCAGCCAGAGCCATGCCCATAACCATGCCCTCGCCCTTGCCGCTGTGGACTAGGCCGTCAGTGGCGATCAAATCCGGCACTCCAGCGGCGTTGAATGCCTTGGCCGCCCCCGGGTCTTTTTGGTGGATCGCAATGGCACTGCGGTCTGTATTACGGCAGAACGCTTGGAGAATGGAGACTTCCGTTTGGTATTTGTCAACCCGTGATCGGCTACTGTTGGAAACCAGAATGATAAAGCAGTCGTGGGGTATGCCCGAAAAGACCGACTCGAGAGTCTTGAACTCTTCGTTCATGCACAGAATAATAATGGCCATCTTTGATTCGATTGCCAGCAATGCGTCCCTGGAGACTGTCAGGCTGGATGCGGTACTGCATCCAGACCCAGCGTCCAACTCTATAACGCGCTGGGTCTCATGAATCTGGACCGAGCCGAATTGCTCAAAGCGGGGAGAAACTGTTAACCTCATGATGTATGATATATGGTGGAAAGTATGTGACGATGATAAGCACTGTACTGTGCTGACCTTTGTTGATGTATGCTGATTGAGCGAAATGTAATTCTATGACCTTGGTTAGAGCCTTGTATTCGATATTTCCTGCCGTTTAAGTAGTTTATCGTGCTTTGTGGATGTCCTCGTGATTCACAATTGATTTGTACATATATTGGATAGAAGTCATCGGTTCCCACTACCTAAGCAAGGTGATACTGTTTACCTGTTAAACACATCGAAGTAATTCAGAAGTAAGGTGGGTCATTGATAAGGCTGAAAACGGGTTACGGTGAGCCGCATCAGCTTCAGAAATAGCCGGGGCTGAATGGACGTAAAATCACCTCGGACGTTGGACCCGGGGACCTGGTAAGTCACCCTGGGCTGACCGAATTGGGAGGAATCCGTGGATATGTTTTAAAAAAACAAACAAGAAAAGGTCATAGGGTCACATTAAAATGTCAGCACCTAGGACTCGATCGGTGGCTTGTTACCAGGAGAGTGCTGTTTGATTCGACGCTATTGTGTAGTCTAGTATATATACGACCAATCAACTCGCAGGAATAGCACGCCGGGTTTGTGCTGAGTTTTATACGGGCCAAACTCATTAGCAGCCTTGTGGGGTTCTTGCTCGGATTCACGTCCGACGTGCATTAGAGCTGTTGGTGGGTGGGGGGAGGGGGGTGTAGAATAGGCATTCAAGACCATCATTGTAGATCTAAAACATGCCACCGAATGACAAGCTAGTCTAGTTGCTGCAGCTGAAAACGCCTATGTGTCAGCAATCTCAACCACAATACTTAAAAGAGCCTTTTGTCACGAGTGGCATTGGTAGAATTGACAATGGCATTGTTCCTGACCGACGGACGTCATGATGGCCGATCATTCAATTCACATTGTTTGCAAAGGTCTCGAAAGACTGCTGGTCTTCGACCTCAAAGCCATTATAACAATTTTGAATTTCCACACACGATGAGACGGCTTTTTGTGACAATATGTGCGGCTCCTTGTTCTGCCCGCTTATCAATTTCGTACTGACAACTGAGCCAAAAATGAATCAGCACCAGGACTCGATCTCTCGACTGCTTACATGAGACTAGATAATCTTTACGAGTCACTACATAATTGCAGTTTCACGCATTAGGAGCAAATTTTTACCGGCTTACCTTGGTCAGGCTTGGCTTTTCCAAGCCAAATCAGCTGACTGGCTGATTTCTTCATCTCTCACGTTGATGATCAACGCAGTATTACAATGGGGGCTGTTCTTTCTCATAATCACCTCAGGGATCGGCGGGGGCTATATGAATTTCTAGGACAGCAAGAAAATTCCGCGCTGAATCACACGAGCGCCTTGCGATGACGACCAACCATACCGACCCACTATGAGATTTACTCTGGTAGTTAGAGTGCACCTGAGTAAAAGACCAATGGAGTGTTGACCCTCTTTTCCACGGAAACAGTAAATAACAACAGGACACACATTCCCGTTCTGACTTGTGTCATATGCCCCTAGTATGACAAAATAATGTCGTACTTTGTCCTGGAAGGACTTTCTGGTTCAGGCACTCTTACCTTGATCTACGAAAAACTGCCCTTAAATCTGCTATCATACTGACTTTGGGTGATGTCACATATGATACGATCATGTCAGGGTATTGCTTTTTGGGATGAGCCTGCTGAATCGGAGCATCCGTTGTTCGTCAATCTCTAACATCAGTACTTTATTCAAAGATGTTCAGCCATAGCCACGAGGTGAGCACAGAAACCGCCAAAGCATTCTTCGATATTGTGGCAGGGCCCCCAAAACAGCGATTAAAGACATATATGCTGACTTCACATCACACCTACAATAGTAGCCATTTCAGTCCATATGTAGGATATTCTACCGACAAATACCGGTGTTCGGAGATCAGATCTCTCAAAGATGAACAAGCGGATATATCCGTCGCCATAAACCGACAAATAAGTCAAAAGTAAATAGGGTGGCGCTATAAGCGCGTGCCACTGTTCGTCCCATCAAATTGCTTCTGCGGCAAAAAGTCCATACACATTTTGATATTTCCCGACGCCTTTTGCTGGATTATAATAAACCATTCCGGGCAACGATGCGGGAAAATAGAGACTGAAGGTGCCCAAAGAATTGGCGTCGCACCGGAAATTCACCCATTATACAGGGATCCGACAGATCCTGCCAATGAGCTTCAACCGAGAAATGCATCCGTCGGCTGACAAGCATAAGCGATGCGAGAACAAACCGACGGAAAATTTCATTCTGAATCCATTAGACTATTAGCGCATTCTATGGGTTTTTTTCTCTGCCCAGAAAACATTATAACCTTTTGCATGAGAATGGAGTTCTGAGCATACAAAGATATCAAATCAATTAGGGTGAATCGTGGGCTTTGCTACCACTGCCGAAAGTCTCTGCGGATATGTATATGTAAGTACATGTGCCATTGAATTGAGACATGGTCATATCATATTTGACGTAGGGATTCATATTCTAAAGATGGGATCTTGTCCTTGGTTTGTCCGTCTCATCAGAAACTACATGTTCGATCGTTTGATGGCGGTGTTTCTTGTTCTTCTGGAAAGTTTCTAATCCAGAATTCATTGGTGATAATGATCGTCAGATCTAAACCCAAGCTGCGAAGATAAATCATGATTTAGAGGTTGGTATTGGGGATTAACGCCCCCCTCCCCATGACTTCCCCGCATCTCGCTAACTAACCCCCAGGCCCTTCCCCGCGACTTACGGAGTTGTTGCTGCATTTGCTAGCCAAGTTCTCCAAATATCGGTACATAGACCCTGTCTCGTACTGAGAAAACCTTGTAGAACCGGGATTGAAATGCACCCCGTGTGTATGATGACACGAGAGGAGCATGATGACTCCCCCGATGAAGGGATTCTGGCTCGCAGTACTTAAGGGTAATCCGGTGCACCTCATCCTACAAAGCGGAGCTGTCGTCTAAGACTTGTGTCCCCGCTACCGGACTATATACTGTCCGTGGATCAGTCATTCACCTTGTACTAAAGTGCAATCTTCCGGCCCGGTTGGTACGGATCGAAACGATACCATGGGCTTTAAAGAATATGTCAAGCGTCGATCGCTAAGGGCGAGAGACGATGCGAGGACGAGGGCGGCAGAACTCACGCTTCGAGAGTCACTCTACCCTATCTGTTTAGTCACAATTTTGTTTTTCCTCTGGGGGTTCTCATATGGCTTGCTAGACACATTGAACAAGTGAGTACGAACCTCAACTTTGCCTCAATAATATTTTGCGTCGGCACCACGGGCAAAGAATGCATTTTTATTGACCTCCGATCAATGTGGGCCTCAACAGCTAATCAACATGAATAAGGCATTTTCAGAACACCCTTAATATCGATCGCACGAGATCAAGCGGTTTGCAAGCTGCATACTTCGGGTTCGTTTTCTTAGCGCCGATATGGTAGTCCGGTATACACGACGGGCACTAACTTCTCGGGACCCCATAGCGCATACCCCATCGCCTCTCTCGGCCACGCGAACTGGATCCTACGACACTATGGCTACCGCGCAACCTTTATCTGGGGACTTTTTCTCTACGGCGTCGGCGCCCTGATTGCTTTCCCTTGTATCCAGGCACGATCTTTCGGCGGCTTCTGCGCATCCATTTTCATCGTCGGGAACGGTCTCGGTTCCCTTGAAACCGCCGCAAATCCCTACATCACGGTCTGTGGTCCGCCCAAATATGCTGAGATCAGGATCAACATCTCCCAAGCGTTCAATGGCATCGGTACCGTGATCGCGCCAGTTCTGGGTTCTTATGTTTTCTTTAAGTTCAGCGACGACGACGCCCTGCGCAATGTACAATGGGTTTATGTCGCGATTGCCATCTTCGTGTTCATTCTCGGTCTGGTGTTCTTCATGTCAACAATCCCGGAGATCACCGATGCAGACATGGCTTTTCAGGCCAACGAGACGCATGCCAATGCGGACGATAAACCTTTTTGGAAACAGTACCGCCTATTTCATGCGGCGTTTGCCCAGTTTTGCTACACTGGAGCGCAGGTCGCCGTGGCTAGGTATGTTGTGGAATCACTTTGCAAGAGATCATGCTGATCGATTCGTAGCTATTTCATAAATTACGTCACAGAAAACGGCACCACTGACGATTCGTCATTGGCTGCCAAATACCTCTCGGTTGCTCAAGCGGCATTTACCGTCGGTCGGTTCGGCGGCGTGTTCCTCATGAAATACATACGGCCTCGATGGGTTTTCCTTTTCTTCCTGGTCATGTGCATCATATTCATCGGCCCCTCAATCACCCAGCGAGGCGTCACGGGAATGAGCATGCTCTACGTTGTGCTGTTCTTCGAGTCCATATGTTTCCCCACTATTGTCGCCTTGGGCATGCGCGGTCTCGGCCGTCATACTAAGCGAGGTTCTGGGTGGATCGTGGCAGGCGTATTTGGTGGTGCTATCGTCCCGCCATTGACTGGCGCTGCTGCTGATGCTCACGGTACACCATTGGCACAGGTGGTGCCAATGATGTTCTTCATCGCGGCATTGTCATATGCCGTGGCGGTCAACTTCGTTCCAGCTTACAGGGATGTTGCTGATGCATTTTCTACCACTGACGTAGGGCTGACGGGACATCACGATGATGTCGAAACTGCTGGTGGTGTGGTTGCCGATGACAAGGCTGGCGAGAAAGGTCTCGAGTTGGAGCACGCAAAGTAGGTAGTTGGTTGGTCATTCAGTTCGGAGAAAGGTCTTAATCTCAAGATCAACCAAAGAGAGTCCTCGGGGCCGGAGTGAGAAGACGAAGGATCAATTGTGATTGCTTTTGCGTGGATACCTAATTAGCCGAGTAGTAATCATACACCATTATTCCAATCGTTTACGTTTGTCTGGCAAATCCGAGTGGGTCCAAACACCACCATCATGTTCATTTTTGCTAGGACCCCGGCCCGAGACGCTATCGGCAGCAAGGTTCCATCCTTTTTCTGCTAGACGAGTATGTATAATTTTTTCTTTTGATGTGGTGAAGCACAGATCTGTTCACATCACTTGAAGCCCCTTGTCTAAGCGCCCGATGCGCCCAACTATAGTTACCGGCGCCCCGGTGCCATGGTCATGGGCATGAACATGGACATGGGGAGGATGTCGATCCTGTAGCAATCAGACCAAAGGCTTCTTCTCAAAAGTACGCTATTACCCACGAGACTCATGTTTGTGTGAGTTGGCTGTTGTTAAAAATTGGTTGTTATTGGACAAGTTCACCAAGGCATCCCACTCTCCTAAGCCTTGCGTGGAGGTATTCTGTTATTGTTTTACCCTGTTAACCCAGTTGGCGCGTGAATCTCCCCAGACTGACCCTAACGAATAGATTGGGTGAAAAGATGGATACGTTCCTCTGGGCGGAAGGGCTTCTGACGGATAAGCTTCTCCCGAGTTGTGACTCGTTTCACTACTTCGCATATCTCCCGGCGGAAATCCGGCATGAGATTTGGAGCCGAGCTCTACCTCATAGGATCCTCCGTTTCACCACTATCCGCGAGATCAGTGCTCCTGCTTATAATCACTTGTTGAGTGCACCACCCGTCGCCCATGTGTGCAAGGATGCCCGCCGAGTTGCGTTGCGGACTGGGGCTTGGCGGCACATTACCAGTCCGAAAGTTTCGACGGGTAATCTGGTACGGGAAGCACTGGAGATTGAGGTCCCAGGCGGGAAGATGCGCACCGGTCAACAGCGATGTACGTATACATGGTTTGACACGGCGCGGGACGCTTTGTTCTTGGATAAACACAACCTTTTAGCCCAAGCCCAAGAACTGAGAGAGCTAGCGGAGACCGTGATTTACGCAGGTTTTAGATGCGATGAGATGTCAATATTCCATATGGACACGTTCATCAATAAGCACCAATGGCCACGTTTGAGATCTATTGAGGTGACTTTGAATGCTGCGCCCGAGGTCAAGTCCTCATATATGCAGCAATCTGTATATATCATCCGACCTGTTGATGTACCAGGCCTGTTGCAATCACTGTCGGTGTTTCCTTATTGGGGTGCAGACCTTCAAAGTCTCGATGAGGAGGTCTCGCTTCAATACTTCCTGGCCTACACCCAACCGTCGTTTGGTCAGCATCCAGGCACGGAAGTCCCGGCGTCTGCGATCAAGGGACTGCACTACACAGCTGACGGTTTTGCGTGTAAGTGCAGGATGAGGAGCTGGAGGAAGTTCAAGAGCGATGTTAGGTTCATGTGGTTGTGGTTCCAGAATTGTTCAGAAATTCTGAGTCAAGTGCATGAGGGCGAAGAGTTGATGACAGTTCCATTCAAGGAATTGAAGAATCTTGGGTGGACAGAAAAGTTCAACTATGGGCACTCATGGATCCGGATGCATATGGAGAAAATGCATGATACCAGACCCATGTTGCGTCCTGTCCTCCAATGGACAGGGGCGGTCATCGATGGAGTCTGATGAGAACGGAAGCGGAGTGAAAACGTCCTACAACTAAATTGCGGGATGATTGCAGCCACCTCGGATTAAACGCAGAAGACTACATTGGGCGTTGGAATAACAACACAGCTTGCATGTTGTTGTTGTTACCTATGCTTCATGGCTCTGCTAAAGCCTCCAAATTTAGCGGCTTTCCGGTAGTCTTGAGCATGTTGAATGCTTTCAAGATGGTTAGCCTCTGGTCTTCGCTGATCCATTGGAATTTGATATCGCCATAACAATTTGCGAGGACATCCTCTTCGGTAGCCCAGACAAAAGCCTCGTGTTCCTTTGGGTCGAGCACTACGTCGGGTTTCCCCTTCCCCATTTGCTCAACCTCAACCAAAAATGTCAGCTTCCACCAAATAAGTCCATCGTCCGACCAATGGTGAAGGTCGTCTACAAGACCCACCACTGCCGTTGCTCGTAGGCCCGCCTCTTCCCACAGCTCGCGAGAGGCCGCCTCTAGTATGGATGAGTCGTCCTCGTCGCACGAGCCGCCGGGTATCTCCCAGCAAAGACCGCCGTAGTCTTCTCTACTACGCTGAACAAGAAGAATTCTTCCTTCATAAGCTACTACCGCGCCTGCTACGAGACGGTCGATAGCAGGTCTGCGCTGCTCTATGTATTTGGCTGGAGATATTTGAAAGCGTGTAAGAGAATCTCGAATCAATAATGTTCGTGGCCCTGCATTTATCGAAGTCTTCAACGGTAGCGGGGAGACTGGTGTCGCTTCGTTGACTTGATGGTCTGGCGAAGAGCAATTAGACAGGAAAGGCGCCATATTGCGTCCGGAGGGTCGAAGAACTGTGGATGCTTTCAGGCCAATAGGCAAAAGTCACGCGACATTGACAGAATGCAAGTGGCCGTTGCAATATTGAACTTTAATAGAGACCGAGAGCCTCAGTTCTTATGCATTTGGCACTGAACCTTTCTGCCTGGATGCTATCCTTGCTGGACCTGATCTGATCTAGCTTCATTGCTAGTTGGTAGACGGTCCCGACTAAACGAAACTGGCCCCGTCGCCAATTCCTCTTTGGGCTTGTGACGGGCGTGCATTCTTCACCACACTTGTTGGTTTCTTTAGTTTCCTCTCGACTGCCGGGGGCATGCTAAAGCATGACTCAAAGTATTGAGGCACTGAAAAGCAAGGAGAACCAACTGCAGCTAGCCCTGCTGTGTCATGTCAGGGGGCATTGGGGACCCACTGGGATGTTGGGCATATTAGTTGGCCGGATCCCACTCGAAAAGCAATTGTCTCTGAAGGGCAAATGATATGTCATAAAAATACAACAGTCGTGTCTTTCTTGTGTGTGATGATCTTGTTGGTGTTGAGGCTTGTTTGGCATAAGACACAACTTGTGCATTGGTTCTTGTGATACGTCGGAACCACGGACGTCTGCGGGTGCAGGCTTAGTCTAGAGCTGACGTTACGGTTTAGCGGTCAAATGTGCACATATTTTGGACTCGCAAACTATAACCGTATGAAGCGCGCTGTGATATAACTGAGAAAAGCCATATATCTCGATAGACATGGGACTTGAACTCCAAGAATTCGGATTTTCACCAATATTTTATGGCCCTGAGGAACTAGTCCGACATTTGACTTCGCGAAAGCAACCTCGGCTAGCATCGTCTATAGCATTCTTCTCGGCTTAAAAACTTGCGAACCATGCAAACCTCCTTATTCAGATGTTCATTGGCTGTGGTTGCTGGAAATGAACGTGCTTCTTGTTGCAGCTCCTTTTGAGCAATGCTGACTAATTGCTAATCGGTGCAGTTATGAGCTAACTGTCTAGCCGAGAGGCGTTCTGATGAAATCCAACTCCAGTCGATACCGAAGCACCATTATTGCGATACACACAAGGCCATGGAAGCATTGTTAAATGCGACACCAGTGGTCTCTGTCCCAGCATATCCCCCGCCTCCCTTCCAATTCCCTGATATCTGCGCAATGGACTTGTCAAACGATGAATTATTTTTACTTTCTTTCTTACATTGTCTTGATTTGGTTACCTGCAGACGTAATCTGCGACATTGGCGCTGTGGTCAGCTGATGTTATTCAGCCCGTCATCGTGGTCTTCTGCCATGTTTCATAGGCTCCTCCTGATATATTCAAATCACCCGACTCCTTTTCTTTCCTTTCTAGGTTTAAAGCAATTGTAAGCTTTTTCAATATAAATCTCACAAGTCATGATTTTTACTACGTTAGGATGGTTCGTTGGAATAACATACAGACGCTTAGTGTTCAAACTTTGCTCAAGCAAAAGAATATTCAATGGAAAAGGAAAGGGCGAAAGCGATTAACCGTCTGAGATGATCCGGATGTGCTCTCTATACCTAAACTCCCCATGACATATGTAGACAGGTAACCTTTGCTCCTTTGCGCATTTTAGCACGCATGTGATACAAAACTCCTCCAATGCAAACCGCGGCTTTTCCAGCACAAACAACAGGGGTATAAAGTGGATATTCTCAGATGTGACAAACGTGGAAGTAGGAAAGGGTTATTAAAAATGACATGGTCATGAATCCTCCCAAGCGACATTCAGTCTTGTCTCGAATCTGTTCAAGTTCTTATTTCTCAGGTGTGCTTGGCGAATATCCGGAGTGCGGTCTTGCGGCGGTCTGCCCGACTTGCTTGTTCGAGGGACCGTAGTAGCCGTGAAGTTCATTAATTTCATTAAGAGTGGATAACAGCGCCACCGCTGGCCCATTGCTCTCGCTGCGTCCCCGTTGGTGAGGATCACTACTGCGTCGAATATGGGCAGCGGCCGGCCTCATTGCACCACTACTCGCTCGCCTCCTTGCAGCTGCAGCCTGGCTTGCGTCGAGTTCGGAGTATCCATGCTGCCCGTCTGCACTACCGCTGACTTCACTAGCATAACTCCAGTGCCTATTGGTATGAGGACCTGAAGTTTGAGAATCATAGCTAGTACGATGCAACGAGCTTTGAGATACTTGATACTGGCTAGCGGGATCGTAGTGGCCCTCAGGTGCCGAATCAACGCTATGATGCCTCGCCCCGTTGTCTAAGTCTGGGACGGGATTGTACTGGCCTGGCCATACTGGTGGAGTTGAGGGTCCTGAACCCAAACCTGTACTTCTAACCGGCGATGGGTATCTACCGTCGCCGCTTGAGTCAGAACGTGTACGGAGATGTACGGGACGAGTGCTTTTTGGTGGTTCGAGCATTAGAGGATCGATCTCGTTGCCATAAACATCAATTTCCGTTACCGTAGTCGTCACGGCCACACCAGGTTTGGAGGAAGTTACGGTCTCGTTCGCAGCTGATGTTCCGTGCCTCTCTTTAAGGATCTTGGCATTCTTTCTCAAGCGACGCATGATAATGATGGCGGCCACGATGATGGCAATGATAATAGCCACCACACCACCGATTACGCCCCCAAGCTGGGCTTGACTCAAGCCTCCACTGCTCGTAGATGTTTCGATTGCTACCATCTTCGCAATTGTACTCTGCTTGTAGCCCGCGACAGCATCCGCGGTCGTTTTCAAAACAGTGGCTGATGGTGTTATGACAGTAGTGTATGTAAACAACGAAGTGATTTCACTTCCAGCCGAGTTAGTTGTGGTGACTTCTTTGGACACAGGATAAGTGCTAGGCTCTGTTGAATAGCAACCGTTCCCGGGTTTACAGCCCATACCGATGGGACAACAACCACCATCCAGAGACGCCGGACACATAAAATAACTTTGTGGACATGTCGATGTGGTAGATAGCCCCGCAGGCGGATCGCACAAGCCGTTTTTAAGACAGATATAACCGCTTGGGCAGCACATTCCTGAACGCACAATTAGTATGACAATCATGCCAGTTTCTGTCGCACTCACCTGGAGTATCATTTCCGCAAGCATAGTAGCCGGACGCTGAGCAGGCAGTTGTTGGTCCAGCTGTTGTCGCATAGCAATAAGTTGATGCGCAAGCATAATTGCTCGGGCAGCAGTCGCCGCCTTCTGCTGCGGGGCATAGAGACCACCCAGCTGTGCATGTGGTGTCGCGACCGCGCAGAGCACGATGTTCTTTTTCTAGTCGATGAACTTGATAATGGCCATCTTGACTTGCACACAACGGTTCTATTGTCGCGAAGAGCACGAATGTCACGCAATTCCGGTAATCCCGAAGTCCGCGCATTGTATCGAATACACAGCTGGTAATTATCTGTCGAACGGGTGAGATATATCCAGTCCGCAATTCGGCCAGCTGAGGAATTCAATGCACCTCGAAGACGAGCGAGCCGAAATCTTCGTGGCAATTTGCGTATCAAACAGAACAAGCAGCGACGAAGTCTTGCGCAGAGGCTGCATTCAAGCAACCGCTGTCCCAGCCCAGACACTGGCGTTCTCGATGGGAACTTACTGGTCACGATAACGGCGGGAGGATTCGCGGGCTGATTGCGCGGTCGTGCTCCGTCGAAGATAAAACGGGCAAACCTTATTCGAGATAAGTCGGGGCTGGGAACAAGTAAGATGGCTACATGTGCTACCGGTCTTTGTGAATTACTACCGCCGTGCGTCCGTTTCGATGTGCTGGTTTTTTCTTGTCGGTCGATGTAATGTGCCGGAAGACAAAACGATCTGAGGCGGGACGGGCACTTCAGCAATGGGACTTTTGGAAGCAGATCAGCGGACCGACTGCTGAGAACTATCTGATCTGCATGTTGGATACATGGTGTGGGTAGGCCTGACCAACAGCAGCGACTGTCCAGGCTGCGATCACGACTCCCCGGTTCAGCCCCCAGTGGGCAACTGCAACCCTCGACAAAATGCAGCGGGTGAATCGCCAATGGTGGACACCTCCGAGACAGTGTCAGCATCGGGATGCCCTACGATTGGTTCGGGTGTCAGAAGTGCTCACACCTCTATGGGACAGAAATATAGTCAGATCTCGATGCCATGAAGGGACTCGCACACCTCACCGTTTATGGAAGTCGCAGTCCAATCCATTTTGACACATTGCAGTCTGGCTGCCACGAAATTCATCTGCCTCTCGCACGTCGTGGTGAAAGTCAACTCGAGAGCACCATGCCACTTGTTCAAAATGTAGCACGAAATCCCTTGGATGTATTCTCGAGGCTAGGTCAGCTGCATCTATTGAGCTATGCAGGTAAGCAGCATGGTGCTGCGACAACAAATCGTGGGGACTTTAAGATCTACGATTGGCGTCGTTGTGCTTTCGGCGTTATGTATGTCATCAATGTGATGGTATCAATGAGTACGTAGTACAAAAGAAGTGATGGCATTGCCGCAACACTAACCTAAAGCATGGTTAAGTCGAGAATGCCGTGGCATCACATTCACAGATATTTAGTACTACCGCTGTGTTAATCCACGGCTAGGATGATGGAAATTGGTTTACGTTATGACCAAAACGGAGGTTATATTCCGGGACCTGATGCGAGATCTTGATTTCCTAGAGGGAAATATCTTACGTGACCAGCACTTAACTAACCTATAGTTCTCAAATCCTTGAAGCCAAATGGCATAACGTACTTGCTGCTTCACTCGCCTGGCTTTTGTAGATATGAGCGAAGCAGCGCAACTTGTCTTCTTTCTTCTAATTCCAGCGGTCTGGGACACCTTCGGCAGCTTCCGCAAAGCTGTGGGGAGATTTCAACAGATGTCTCACCCCCAAGCGGGGAATCTGAATCCGACTCCAGACTCCGCTCCGCAGCGCATGCGACGTGGTGCAATGCAATGCAATAAAACCTTTTTCTTCCCTGTGAGCTGGCGATACAGAAAATACGCTGTTGGCTACCGAGAAACCCCATATCAAGACCCCAATTCGAGGCTCAAATTACGGTACGAGGAAATCAGAATGAGTCCCAAGAGCCAACTAACCTTGGTTACATGATTATTCATTTATTCTGCGGCACCCAGAGCGGACGTCGTTTGTAGTCAATGGTCCGTTGGTGGGCCTTTTGCATCCACCAGGAAGTCCATCTCACCTGAGTCGCCTTTAAGTGACCAGATCTCCCAACTGCAACTGATCATACTAGACTAGACCAACCTAGGGCAGATGTGTTCAATTAAAGGGGTCCGGAGCCGCCCCGCGTTTTGTCTTTTAAGGTTCTTCTAGAAATATTCCAAGATCGTCAAACAACCAAGGTAAGGATTGAAGGCAAGGTGGACTTGGCACTTGTTTGGGAGGGAAGCAGATCTTACGCCTCCGGAAACTGTTGGTCTAGGTTAGGTCATTGTGTTACTTGACAAGGGCCCTTTACACTTTATTTCAGGTGTGGTGGACTGCTGGAATTGCGGAGAAAATAGGCCGTAATCTCCTCCGCACTCAGAATGCAACCCTGCACCAGGCGTTGGCGGCTAGCGTAACTGGTAGCTGGTCAAGCTCAAGTTGACCTGGAAGTCTTCGCCCCAGCAGTGAGCTGTGATAGGCTTGTCTGGGATATTTATCGGATAGCTCCCACCGGTTCCACCGCCCCCCTCCATCCCCTCACTCTAAGCCCTTGCAGCTTTCCCAAGAAGGGCCTGAAATGTGGTCACGATGTTGAATTGGAACCGCCTTGGCCTTCATTGGAAATTTTTAGCTTCTGCCATGGCTCGTAAAGGGAGACTCAAACCCTTCGCATTGCATCTGCCCCCGTCGTTTCAACCTCTTATTATTATCTGATCTGCACTCCCCAATATATACCGCTGCTTATTGCGCCTCTACGACTGCTCTGATCACTTTCTGGCTCGCTGACTAACTTAACTTAGCCCATGTCACATCGTATTCCCCAGATTGATCGTCCAAGGAACATTGTAGTCGCAAAACCCCAGCCATCATCTCTCTGCAGAGCAGCCTTCGGATGTGTGCATTACCTGAATTTGTACCACCAACGTTAAACCGTCACCTCCGTATGACGGCTCCTAGTTCCGCCTGAATGGAGACAACATTAGTACTGCTTGAAAGCTGTTGGGAATTTGGATAGTCGGCAGTCGGGCATCATGTTGCTATACACAAGAGTGGCAGCGCCAAAGCAGCCCAAAAGACGCTCGCGCGCCGGTGAGTTGACCTCCACAACTTCGATCCGTAGAGTTGGGATCCTTCGCTTTCGAGGCAATGCTAACTGAACATGTGTATGTAGGCTGTACATCTTGGTAAGCCTTTTATTACTCCCCCCTCCTTCTTCGCTATAGTTGATTGCGACAAGTGGACGCTAACACGCTGCGAAGCAAGGAAAAGGTGAGTGTCCTGCCTTCTACCTGCGCTCTTATCGTGAATCATCCCAAGCACTGTTCTAACTTGTATGTTTCGCTTTAGAAGAAGAAATGCGACGAACGCCGGCCGCAATGCGCTCGTTGCGCGGAAAGATCGCTGCCATGCACTTATGAAGCAGTCAAGCCTCGGCAACGCAGGAAAAGAGACTCGGACGCCGGCCTGACTTTGGAAACCCAATCAACACAACAAAACGAATTTGACGACGAACCATGGCAGGTTGAGGACGACGTGGAAGAAATATGCAGAGATGATATTAGTCTCGGCGGTAGCATACTGGAAACCTCGTCTATTAGCACCACGGATATCCTCTTGTCACCGACGACCAAGAGCGTCTTTAATTTCTACGACGACGAAGGCAGTAACACAGGAACCGCCAGCCGACACGGTTCTCTGGTACGCCGGGGTTCCAAATTCAGTACCACCTCCTCCAATCCGCTCTGTCTGCCTCCAGATTTGGCGCTGATTGCGCCATGCCCACTGAGCTCCCCAACTCTAGACTTCTGCATCCCTGCTTTTGCCGAGTTCTCCGACCGTTCGAACCGGCGAGCTCTCGTTGACCACTTTTGCAACGTGCTCTCTCATCTGATAGTGTTCAGGGAAGAGTCGGGCAACCCGTTCCAGCAGCTCGTGCTGCCGCTGTCCTATAATAGCACTCCTGTCATGAATGCCATATATGCTTTGGCAAGCGCCCACCTTGAGTATCGAGGTGTTCCGACTGGCGAAAAATCTCTGTACTTTCATAATGAGGCCATCCAGGGTCTTGCGCAACTCATCGAGGGGGGAAACAAGGCCAACCATAAGAACGAGCTTCTTGCTGCCATCATGCTGTTGGTGTACTACGAAGTTGTAAGTTTGCCAATATCTTGGATCGAGCGTTACACATTTTAATACTGCCTAGTTGGTCCAGAAAGGGCGTTCCAACATAGTCGACGGTCACCTCAGAGGGGCGTTGACGATCATGGAGTCGTCTCCTGGAGACCTCAGTCCAACGAGCATCTTTTTAGAACGAGTAAGCTGACTGAAGTCTACCCCCCCCTGTTTGATAAGTCCTTAACCATAAGCCAGGCGTTTCGATTCTACGATGTGATTACAGCCTTGTCGCTGGGCACAGCACCAATCGCCACAGCACCTGCTGCTGGTTGCTTGATGCCACTGCCTCCTCTTGATGCTTCTGCGGCATCGCCCTTGAGTAATGTTGACACATTGCTGGGTATGGCAACTACCCTGTGGCCAATACTGCACAGGCTATCGAATCTCTTCTCGTTGAAGCACGAACTCGACGTCGTCAAATCTTACCAAGCCTCCAAAATCGCAGTGCTGCGAACGGAGTTCGAGACAACATCGAGGGCCATTGAGACCGCGCTAGATCGCTGGCAGCCAAGCCTTCCACCAAAGGTTATTTTAATAAATGGTCAGCTGGGGACTGTTGATGGCCAGGACATGCCTGAGCGGGATCTCCTTCATTCGATTTTCTATAATGCAATGGCTTACCGCCACAGCGCATTCGTCTACCTATATCGGACCATCTATGGCTACTCGCCGAATCATGTGCTAGTACAAAGGCATGTTCATGACTCACTAGTGTACTGCTCGCAATGTGTTTCCTTCAAAGGGCCAATGGGCGCTCTTCTTTGGCCGCTATTTGTCGCGGCGTGCGAAGCCATCACCGAGGAGGACAAAGCGTTGGCAGAACGGACATTTGGCGAATACGATACCCATCAGGGTATGACGAACATCGACAATGCCTGGGGAGTAGTTAGAGAGGTTTGGAAACAGCATGACCTCTTGAGCGTAACTCCGTATGGCGCGAAAGACGCAGGTCTGTGGAGGAGAGTGAGCAAGGAAATGGGCATCTGTATTGTTCTTGGATAAGGCACATAAACCGGGGCGGCTGGGCTGATGTGGCGTTGTTTCAAAAGTTTCGAGGCGTTCTAGGGCGAATGGATACCACGGGCTCGGTGCAAGATAAAGTTCTAACTCTCCAGAGGCTATTGAAGTATGAGGACCGGCGTCACGATAGGTCATGAACACATGGTACAGACAAAACATGAGCTTGTCAAAAGCAAAATAATTGAGCTTGTATACTACACAACATGTACTATATCCTTAATCTCGAGCGCAGTATTGTTAGCTCGGGCACGGGCATATACTTCTTGTGCTGGGAACCGGTGCGTGTTTCCGCTTTACATTACTCTTTCCTAGCATCGAAGAGCGCCGGGCACCTTGTCTAGGTTCCTTTCGGAGTCCTAGACTTGCTTTTGATCTCTCGTAAAAACTCTCCATCGTTCGCTTGGTGACTTTTGATAACGTTTTATGATCTTGATAGGATTGGTAACTCATATAATTCCTTGTCCATACCATGTAAGCTGCCATCGGCAAATATGTCACCTGAGTGTCACCCACGTTATCTCCTCATTTCGTGGATGGTGCAACATGCGGCATGTGCCTTTACCCCATCTGTGATCCTCCGGGAGAATGCCTACACTGCACTGGGAGAGACTTGTTCTATGTATTACACTCTCAGTTGTTGCAACCCCGCACCTATTTACCAACTCTGCATTGTGTGGGCAGCAAAAAAGTTCACATGCGCAATTCGAAACGCATACCTTCGTGCATGCGCGCAATCGAAAAAAAAAAAAAAAAAAACCACTTTTAAAAAAAAAAGTTTATGTCACTCAACGGTGGGACGACGACTCGTACCTTTGTGCCCGTCGTTCCATGAGATCGTGAGCGGTCAGGTATCAGTGCCCGTTAACTTTTCAGGCGCCGGTGTATTGGTTGGAAACCCGTTCTGGGGACGGTAGGCGAGCAATTGACATCACATCATGCCAGATAACGTCCCCCATGGCAAGCACGGCGAGATAAGACTCACGATAATTTTGACTTTCGTGGCAGGGGAACAGGGTCGAATCAAGATGCACACCGTTGGTGAGGACGCTCCACGCTATCCGCATGCGAACTGACGAGGCAAAAGATGTGCATTTAACCTAGTAGACTAGCCTAGGTCGCGGGTTGCGGATCTATCCTCTCAAGCCTGTCACACTAACCTTAGAGCATTGATTTCCCATCCGAAATCCGAATGAGCTTCTGTCTGCATGAGGCGTATTGTCAGATTTGGCGGATATAATGTTTGAACCTGACTCTAAACTGAGGTAAGGTTAATATAGTCTGTCGACGGTTGCATGTGCGAAGTGGACTGCTTCAGTAGATTCGCATGGTGGCTGCGCCGCCCCCCACCAAACAGGCCGGGACTCCCTCCGTAATTGCTCCTGCTTACATTACATTACAGTATTGCAGCACCACGGCATGCATGCGGCTAAGGGGTCGTAATGCTACTAGACGGCAACTATCACACCGGGGACTGGACTGGGGTGGGACTCCCCATCAGCACAAGAAGTAATTTGTTCAATAATGCGTGCAACCTTGCCAATCCGACGACAGTCCACAACGCCATTTGAATGGACTCCCTCAGCTCTTGCACTTGCATTGCAGCTAGACCAACTGTACTATGACCTTGGGAAGTCCTAGGTAGGCGGAACAATTGCGAGAACCCCCCGATCGTCCATCTTTTGCGAGCAATTCCCAGCCAATTGGTCGTTCCCTTCATTGTCCATAGAGTCCTCACTCCGCTAGGGTCTTGGGCCTTGGATCTTCTTTGGACCTTGTTCACCTGTAAGCTGCGCTGGCGACGATCTCTCCAAGAGCCCTTATCTTGTTTGCATCCCTCAGCACTTGATCGCCTACTCTTCACCCTAGTTTCTAACAGCATTCTGATGTAGCCGGTGGCTTGTAACGGTACATTAGCATCACGGCGAACGGCACAATTATATGACCACACATGGCACTTGTGCATGTCATTTCTTACATGAGTTTGCCCAAGTCACCTGGTTCCTCAAGAATTCATCAACAAGGCATCACCCCCTAGACTGCCTGTAACTTGCTTTGTCAATTCACCGACCGCCGGCACCTTTACATAACAAACCTCAGTGCATACGTCTTGCTGCAATGATTTCAATCACAATCATCCGCACAAACACCTGGAGACGACGGGGTCTTTAGCCTTACAGAAACCTCTGCACCGTCAGAACGGGAGGGAAGTCTTCCGAACTGAGCACGGCTGCACAAGACTTTTGCGACACAGGCCCACGAGCTATCCTTGACGACCGAGGACACGGCAATACACAACCACGAGAAACCGCATCATTGCCGGTAGGAGGACAAGAGTCCTGAGGGATCGACAGCACGGTTAAGATTGGATGCAAAACCCCACACTTTTCATCATCGCCTAGATCTAGCCTAGGTCCTCTGGGGCCTTAGTATCATGGTGATTTACTAAGCTCTCTTCCAAGAGCTCAACTCCAATCCCTCTAAGCATCATGGCCACCAATTCCAATGGCAACCCGGCGCAACCCAAGACAATACGCTTTGTTAACAACCAAGGGCAACCTCCACAAAAGCGCAGGAGAATCAATGCTGCGTAAGCCTTTGACATCCCTCTATATACACGTCATGACAATGTCCATTGATGAGCTGCTAAGTTACCTTATGGAGCAAAAGTGATTCTTCCTTGCGCCGGCCCTGTAGTTCAGGCAAGCTCATGCAACCTGAGACCCACCTATTAGAGGGGCAGAAGATTATATAGAAAAGCGTCCACTAACTGTGCTCTTCATCGCGACAGTTGTTTGACTTGCCGAAGACGGAAAACGCGATGCGCAGGCGAACAACCCGAGTGCACGACTTGCATCAAGAACGGCCACAAGTGTCTTGGATATACAGACCTGCCAGTTCAGGAGAGGAAGAGAGACTCGGTTAGCGGGGTAAGTCCCCATGATGCCGTATTCGACAATCAGGAAGGGGAATATCCCAACGACGAGACGGTCAATGAGCAAAGACACTGCCAACAGCCCAACAACGTCATCTCGCGGCAGACCACAGAGGCCGGCGCAACCTCGTCTCAACGCTTGTCAGATTCCCCTCACCAGAGTACTCACGGACCTGTACAACTGAAGTCTGAGATCATAGACTGGGAAGAGCCACGATCCTTTACCCAGCCTGGAGCCGGCAAGCCTATTCGACGATCAACGAACCCACAACACTCGTCATTTTCGACTCAAGATGGACGCAGCCCCAGCATACGGTCTCCGACGGCACACCACAACCACAATCAGACCGAGTCTCATCGAATGCCCTACTTCCGATACTTCGGCCCAACAGCCATCGTTCCAGGCTTCAAGCAAATGGTTGTCAAGGTACATGATAGAAGGCGCAGTTCTATGTCCGCGACATCCCCTGGCTCTGGTATATCGTTTCCAAGCTTGAAATCGATACATTCCGAACACGACTATGACCAATTAGACGATGTCCCTGTATACGATCCGCATGATTCCGGCCCAGTGCATCCGCTCATATTGGAATTGATCGAGGGTTTCTTTACCCATCTTGGGTGTAATTACCCGTTTCTACAGCAGGAGAAACTCGTCAGATGGGTGAAGGAAAAGCGTGAAGAGCCAATCCTCGTGGATGCCATCTGTGCCCTGGCAGCACGATTCTCTGACTCGCCCATTCTTAATAAACCAAACAGCAAAAAACCCTCCAAGGCTGACAATGGCCATGTTTTTGCGCAGCGAGCCAAGGCCGCCACTGTTGACACTTTCCCTTGCCCTTCTGTCGCAGCTGTCCAAGCATGCCTGCTCATGGCGTATGAAGGGTTTGGCGCAGATCAAGACAGTGCTCTGTGGATGTATCTTGGTCTGGCTATCCGTATGGCTGTTGACCTGGGACTTCACAAAAAGGACGGAGTGAAATACCAAGGTGAGAAAGATGCTTGGTATACAAGGTCCTACAACAGGAAACACGCCGAGCATGATGACGACAATCACCAGAATAAGCCTACTGAGGAAGACAAGTTAAGCGAACGAGAACAGAAGCAGCTGGAGCAGGAAAGAATCGACACATTATGGGCCGTATTCATGCTTGACCGGGTCATCTCGTCTGGCACTGGCCGTCCAGTGACTCTTCGCGATGGCGATTTTGAGCTCGAGCTGCCCAAAACCCCCACAGGTACTGATGATAAGTTCTATCCAGATCCGTTCCCGGCACTGCTTCAGATCATACACCTTTATGGCAGGGTATCTGATGTGCTCAATGAAGTGGTTAACCCCAACGACCTCACAGACGAGCGAATGAACAAGCTCTTTGTGTTGGAGCATGAGTTGACCAAATTGCACCAAAACCTTCATATCAACCTCCGATTCGATGCCTTGCGTTTTCAAGAATATGTTCGGAAACAGCAAGGAACGACATTCATACTTCTGCACCTTTGGTTTCACGCGATGATTATTGTTTTACACCAACCTGCCCTGCTTGCACCTTTGATCCAGTATGACCAAGGGCGCGAGCTGGGGTCTCAAAGCCGGGAGATATCCATGTCTAGTGCAAAGACAATCGCCGACATTCTGGCATTTGCAAATCTGATTGACGCGAAGAGCTTCATCGGCAATCCTTTCACATCGCAGCCGATATATATAGCTGCGTGTGCTTTCCTGGTTGAGTCAGAAAAGACCAATGCATCCCAGCCTGTATCGAGAAATCCATCGCCCCCTTCAGAGCTTGGCATATGGGCTGTGGCTCGGGCCTCGAACGCGAGAAATGGATTTTCAGCCGAAGCACGGACGTCGAAACGGCATTTCTTGTTGGCTTCAGCTGCGAACCAGAACTACCAAGCTTGCAACAAAGCTTTACAGCAGATGCATATGTATTGGGGAGGAATCAGGTACATACTGACAGCTTTGGACCAGAAATCCGAAGGCATATGGGATTGCGAGACATACACTCGCGAAGAATATGAGAGCACCAGATTATCCAGGCATGGTGACTCTTTGCAACGTTTGATCGCAAAGGCAGAGCAAGGTGCATCTCCTACACCACAGCCACAACCGCCACCATTGGCATGGTCGCTAACCGGCACAACCAACACACCGGGTCCGAGTCTATCCCTGTTGTATCCCGCAAACAGCGCTTCGGCCACAGCGAACCCTTCGGCGACACCAGCACAACCATCCTCGGCCCCCAGTGCCCCCACAACTCCGGGGAACATGATATATGATCCAATCCGCCAAAGCCTGCCAGAGGCACCTCAGATGTATCCTCCTGCATATGGTCAGCCGAACACTTCAGCCTTGAGACACTCCGTCGCGCAAAGTCGTCCACGCCGACTGTCTAGTGTTTCAGGTACAACAATTCAGATCAATTCAAGGATCCGATTTGATGGTATGCCCCCTGATGTTGTCAGTAAGACACCAACAACACCGGACTCTAGCAATTTCCAGATTGCCCCATCCTCACAACCTCCTTTCCCTGTTCTTGCAAAAAGTTCCTACACTGCATCATCACATCCGTCTTCAGGATATGGTCCGTCTAACTACCAAGCAGGAAACTCTCCTTCGAGCACAATAACAGAGTTGAACTTGGCCAATAACAATAACGGAAACGGTACCGGTGCAAACAATGTATCATCTGGACCATTTTCTACAGATGCCGGTCCATCTAATTTCGCCCAGAGCGGTCTTGCTTCAAGCGGATACTCATATCTAGAATCGACAGGCCAAGGACTGGATATCATCAACATCGAGAATCAGACGGAATTTGGTCCAGCTCTCACTAGCTTCGGAACAGCAGAAATGGTCAGCTGGTTTGGCGAATACATGCCCAGTGATGTTCTGAGCAATCTTTACGATGATTTGGGATCATCGATGGGCCAGTAAGGCCTGATCGCTAGTTGCGAAAACCTCTACACGAGGGCTACTGCACTATGTGCTCTGGCTGATGTGCTCTAGGAAGAGGATTCGCAACTCTCACTTTTCTTCACATCCGTACATAAAGCTTGACAACGTTCTTGACCCTCACGACTAACGAATCGGCGTTTGGAGGCGCAGTAAACAAATGGCGGCCTGTTCCTTGAATAGCGTTTGTGTGGATTTTTATCACTGATCCCGGAACTTGGTTATGTGTCAGGCCGTGCAACAAGCAAATGATGTTCTATGGATTCATTTTGTTAGTACTACTATATCATTGCATGGGAGGCTGCGGAAGTCATGTTGGGAAAACTTCATGTCCACTGCGCTCTAGACAATAGTTCTTGGTTATTCGCATAACGACCAAGCGTTTGGTGTCTTATTTCCTGGGTACGACAACTTCGATATGAGTGACTCTTGGTAACAGGGGGATTTTCGAGCCCTTTCATTTGGGATCCGCTTACGACTGAATTGGATAGCTCATTTGCAGCAGTGATTGACGATGTTTTCAATTGAAATAGGGTTATTGTTGTGTTTTTGTAGTGTTTCCTGGTATCAATGAGGTAACTCATGCAAGTGAGCGCACCAGGAACCTTAACTTTGCCCCTACGTGGTCAGCCCCGTTGCTGTGGTTCGAGTCTGGGCCGGAAAGTGCACAGCCTCGAGGACGCGAGAGCAATGACGTCAAATGATCGTACCTCTAGCCTAGCGTCAACTTAGTCCGAGCTTCATCAGCTTCTATTCCAAGCTTTTTGTCCCAAGCGTCTAGATTTTAGGTCCCTCAACCTCAAATACTCAAGAGTTTATTCATTTCCCTTACTTAACGACACTGTATACTGAGTCTTGGCACTCACTTACTACATTTACAGCTTTATACATTATACTCTCGCGACAATGGCTCCAACACAGCCTGAGAACCCATCTAGACTTGCTGGCAATGAGCAGCGTCAGCAATCACCACAATCGCCAATGGAGGAGATCTCGCTCCAACCCATGGCTCCTCAACCTATGAGTACGCATTCTCTCTATCTCTCTTTCGTCCCGTAGGATCAGGTCTGGTGCCATCCGCCGGCTAACATGAAGACAGACCCTGAAGCCCCACATCCCGAGTCGCAGGAGATGGGTCTGCGTGGTGGTGATCGGGGCGGCATGTGCCCCGGACGGTTCTGCTTCTGCGTTCCTTGCCCAATACCCTGTGACTTCTGTATCATCTAAGCAGGCCAGGTGTAGAAATTGATGTTGGAATTGTTGGCTGCCGAACTGAGATGGTACGTGAGGCTTGACAAAAGAAGTTAAGGGGGATGGTTTTCTGCGGAAGCAATACAGGCAATCATGGGCTTATATCACGGGAACACGGCGAATCGATTGTTTTGAGAGGCCTGGGTGTTTTGTTTCTATTTCATGGCGAATACATTATTCTATGTTTCCTCAGTCGCTCTGCCTCACCTCGTGGTCCAAGCCCGCGTCGGTGCGACTAGCGTTCCGTGTCATTTCGTTGTTGCAACCGTAACTGCGTATTTTTAAATGCACAAACCACATGTATGAGAGAAGCACAAGTACAATGAGCTCGATGCAGGCGGAATCACTCTGCTCGAGGTCGGGGTGCGTGAGTCAGTAGATGACTTAAATGTATTATTTTGATCAGATGCTAGTTTCAACTCCGTCCCAATGCAATGCTACTTTGAAATGGTCATGGAAAAAAAAATTACTCCTTAAATATCCTTCACCTTGAGTACTGCCTTGCCAAAGTTCTCACCCTTGAAAATACCAACAAGACCCTCAGCGGCCTTGTCGATACCCTGGGTAATGTGCAACTTGGGCTTGAAGTCACCCTGAGCGATCCACTTCTGCATCTGCTCCTGGTGCTCCTGGTAGTAGGCGGGACCATAACCTTCCTTTCCGACGAGGAAACCAACGACCTCGAGCGTCTTGGCAATCAACTGGAACATGTTCTTGATGCCGTATCTTTCGGCAGGAGGGGTGTTGTAGTCACTAATCATTCCGCACACCGGAATACGGCCGTCCTTGTTCATTACCTCGAGGGCAGCCTCCAAGTGCTCACCGCCGACGTTCTCGAAGTAGATATCGATACCGTTGGGAGCGAGACGCTTCAATGCATCGGCGGGCTTCTCCGTCTTGTAGTTGAAGCCACCGTCGAAGCCCAGGTCCTTCAGGATGAAGTCAAGCTTCTCGTCTGTTCCGACGGAGCCAATGACCTTGAGACCCTCGTGTTTTGCAATCTGACCCACGACCTGGCCGACAGCACCCGCGGCCGAGCTGATGAAGATGGTCTCACCCTTCTTGGGCTTTCCGATTTTGTACAGACCGGCCCAGGCAGTGAGACCGGGCATACCCAGAGGACCGAGGAACAGATCTGCGTCCAGGTTGTGGGGGTTGTGAATCTTTCTCACACCGGACGCCTTGGGGTCGGGGAAAACCTGGTACTCAGCCAACGGTCCATACACGAGGACGAGGTCGTCGGCCTTGAAGTCGGAGCTCTCGGACTTCAGCACGCGGGAAACCGTGGCGTTGACGATGGGGCTGTCGATGTCGAAGGCGGCAGAGTAGCTCTCCGTTCCCGCCTTGCGCATCTTGCCGCGGAGGTAGGGGTCGAACGAGGCCGAGAGCACCTCGGTCGTGATGCCGCCCTGGGGAGCGGGTGCATCCTTGTCGAAGTCGCGGTCCTCGACTGCCAAGTGCTCGCCCGCGACAGGGTAGCCGACGGGGATCTTCTTGAAAACGAGAGTCTTGTTTCCAGGCATTTTCGCTGTGCTGATGTGCTAATGCGGAACCCTAGAATAAAACCGTGGATGGTGGAGTATATATAATTTGTCACTGGAATATTTGTACTTAAATATAGTAGCTTCAACGGGAAACCACAGAAACTGCACTGTTCCAGAAGGATTTACCGAGTACTTATAGATAAGAAACAATCCCATATTATTATCGGATCACAACACATCATGACGTACGCATTGTTGTATTACTAATTCATCGCTGAAGTCAAAATTTCGAGACTTCGTCTCTACCTCGGTTTCCCCACCGAGGCGGAACGCTACCGCATCGGACATTGACGATTCTGGAAGGCCCTCCGGGTGCTCAGGTACCTTCAATGGACCAAGCTTCCACCGCCGTGCGTTCTTTGCATCGCGTGCTCCGGACGGTTCTAGATCCTCCCTCGGCAGCCTCATTCATACAGTCGCAAGTCGGTGTGCCTAGGCGCGGGGTCCTGGGAACCATTGTTTCATCAGAGTGCATAGCTCATACGCGGTGTGCGCAGTAGCACGATGCGGTGCAGCAGGCAGTGCAAGAGGTTCAACCATACTCTTCGTGCGATTGGGTGCTAGAAATGCCGGTTTAACAGGTACCGGAGGACGGGGGATTTGCCCTTCGGATCCTGGAAATCGGAGGCATACCGTGGGGCGGTTTCTTTCAGGTGTCGCGACTCGTGACACATATTGATGAGGATTCTCACTGATTCGTGCGTAGTACCCACAGGATGCTCTAAGAAAAAGCCGCGCCTGAAATCTTCGGTACTTAGGTTATTTTAAATTCTGAATTCGCTCCGGATGCGAGTGTGTTTAGAATTCGATTGCATTCCACTAACACTACTGCCGCATTATTAATACAACATACGGAGCTGTCCTATGTCAGACATATTCCCGATATTCGTGAAAGCGGCATATGCCTTGCCCGCCCTGACTTCTCCTATCTGCTTCGACACCTGATCCATGAACTTCTTCTTGAGATCAGCCTCTGTCAACGGGTTCTTTAAACTGCCAATGGCATTTTCGATGTGCCTCTCGAGGGTGCTTCCGTCTTCGAACTCCACGGTGACTAGTGCTTGCGCTGTGTTGTACTTGTCGTCGTCAGTGGTAACGTTGACCTTCTTTCGCATATCGATGACCGTCGAGTTGTTCACGACATCGTCTGTGAACTGGCTAGGAGTCGCTTGGCCATAGAGATATCCGACAGCAGCTGCATGATAGATGCTGAATTTGCCCTCCAAGCCTGTTGACGGTGTTGTCTTTCCGGTCAGGACTAGGACCTGGGAGTTGACGATCAAGTTGATGGTCTTGACGGAAGAGATCGACTTCCCCTGCTGCGTGGTTTCGTTGTGGAGCTGAATAGCGCCGTCGATGGTAGGGTGCATAACTATGCCACAGGGAAACGGTTTGAACGTGTTCTTCTCGATCTCCCAAACCTCGCCCAGCTGGTCGAAATATGCTGTCACGTTCTCTCTTGTCGAAACGACATGAAGCCATCCGTATTTCGCTTCGAGTGCCTGCAGCGAGCTGGTGTAACCATTCTTGGCAAGTAGCGCGCCAAGCATTCCGCCTTGTGCGGCGCGCCCAACATGAAATGATTTCGTCATTGACCCGAAGAACTCCTGCATACCGACTACTTGAGTCGCTGCGACTCCTATGGCATTCTGCATTTCGGTCGTGCTGAGGCCGATCAGCTTTCCGACGGCGACTGCGGCACCAATTGACCCCGTCGTGCTGGTGATATGCCAGCCGACATCGTAGTGCTCCGGATATACGCTCAGTCCCAGCTTGCATTCCGCCTCAACTCCAGCAACGAATGCAGTCAGAAAGTCCTGGCCCGTAGTAGGACCCTGCCATTCAGCTACAGCCAGCAGAGCACTGGCAACAGGGCCGGCCGGGTGTATGATAGTTTCAAGGTGAGTGTCATCATAATCATCGATGTGCGATGCGATGCCGTTGACCAACGCGGCCAGCTGGGCATCCGCGTATGTCTCTCCGATGGACCCGTTCGAGCCAAGAATACTCGAGGTTGGTGGCCCGCCGAAGAAAGCTTGTGTAGTGGCTTGCGCAATGCCGGGGGCGTCTTGGCCGTATCCACCTATGGCGCATCCAGCCCAGTTATAGACACTTTTGACAGCCGAGTCTACCACTGATGGTGTTAGATCGGCGTATGTCAGGTTTGTGGCCCAGGAGGCCAGTGTGAGAGTTGCCATTGCTATTTGTCCAGCTTGTCATTATTGCTTTGACTGCAGCAAAACATCATGTTTGCCCCCTGGTACAGCTCCTGCCAGGATTATATATTCAAAGAAACGTCGAAAGCGGAGAGATCCTTTGACGATGCTCCAGAGTGCTAATCTTTGCTGTAATGATGTCAGAACTCCGGGTTTGACTGCCCGTGATCGTCACCTTAGCTCCGCGCCGAGCGACTCCGAGGCCCTATACAACTACCCCGCATCAAGTATAGGAGTTGTGTGGAAGGCATCTCACGAAAGCAATGAGCGCATGGAAAATAGCTCTTCGGATAGCAGTCCCGATAATGGGCGGTGAATGACGGACTCCGTAGGAACTTACCACAAAGGGATTGCAATTCAGTATTTGAGAATAGTGCGAAATCAGTTTCAAGAAATATCATAGGCTGGCCCAACCAATATTGTGGCCTCAAATGACCATGTTCGCTACTCCATATCGCATAACTATCACAGAGAATTGGCAGTAATCGTCCATCTCTATATCGATCGTGTCGAGATACTTGCCACATATTTAGCATGATCGAAACCTCATTTTCAATACACATGAGGGGCGCTCTGCATCGGATGGTTCACGATATGGGCTGAATACACACGATCAATACGAGTAGGTCAGTTGGTGCAGTATGATTTTTGGCGTGTCGTGAGGATGATCCCAGCCCGTTTTGAGATTTTACTTATTTGAATGACGCGGGGTCGCTGATTTTCACTTATGGTCACCATGAGATACGTTAGAATACGAGGTTGTCTGATCAAGTAAAAATGAATGATACTGATCATGTTACTGTTTTGGTCGTACGCAGAGCCAGCACTGAGCGATTTGTCGTACTCCCATGATTTCGCACAGTTTTCGAGGCATTCTGCATGGAGCATCGCCTTCCCTCCGCCTCAGAATTGTCTCGACAAGGCAGGTTTTTTTTTTTTTTTTTTTTTCTTTTTCGCATATTTACTTTTGAGAGGTCCTGCTTCGACAAGTCGACACTAAGAAACTGCCTACCAGTCCCCTTAGTCTCGAGTTCTAGCCAGAAAAGAAATTTGCGAATTTAGCTTAGACGAGATGTTCACGCAGAGAGCCAGAAGTGTGAAGACAGTCTGATTCCGTCATCAAGACGAACCCCAAATTCCGGACGTACATGTTTGTAACTATCGTTGTCAACCACGAACGTCAAGATGGACCCAGTAAGTGCAGTTGATATGACTGCCGGAATTCTCCAATTCGTGGAATTCGGATCACACTTGATGTTGAGATGCATCAGGCTGTATAAGTCATCGAGCAGTGCCGGTGAGGACAATATTGGCCATGAAAAGGCCGTTCAGCGCACGAACACACTTCTGCGTTTATTCAACGGAACGTAAAATGGATCACCATTCGCATCAAATCTCCGAAGAATGTGGAAAGCTCAGCCACGAGCTAATTGTGCATACGCACCTTGTTCGTTGACAAACTGAGAATTAATGAACACATCCACTTATCAAAGATTACACCTATCGATTATGCTAATTTGTTATACGTCCACTTCTGGGATTGTGTAGGCTTATTCATACCTTCGCTATCCTTTTGGCATAACTTATTTAAGTTTGCACGAGACAGAAGTAATAGTATGTAATACCAGGAGTTAGTCGAGCGTGGTATTTGCTGAACGTTAGGTTCCTAAAGGTTATGTCTGTTACTTCTAGTTATTACTCCTGCAGAAATTCGAACGCTTGATTCTTAATAGATTACTGAAACGATATATAGACCAGTAACCTGCCCCCCGGGCGCTAGTACAACGTTACTGTTCGAGGACAATAAAGGACAACGACTCAATCACTCTAGTGACAATGGTACGATTGTGTACGTGAAGAATAAAAATTAATTGCTCGTATCGAAACGTGCCAAATATCGCCTGCCTCGAGCTCGGCCAAGCTCCCAAGCTTTGAGGTCCAACTTCGACCTCTCCCTCTCAACATCTCGCAATATGTCATCAAAGTTGAGCGCACTCTTAGGTCTCGGCGGCATGTACGACCCTAGCATAGGTGTTTGGGCTTCAGGAAAACATACAATCTTCTCATCACATGCCATGATTCTCAAGGAATGATGAGGCATCTTGGGTGTAGGTCTATGGTCGACTGCTGGATTAGGAATAGGCGACAAAGCTGGCCTCGAGGTAAGCTGCTGCCTTGACATATGCACGGGAAATATCTCGTCTCCTTCCAGCTCAGCTTGACCCTGGGCGGTTTCGGAAGGGACGTTTCCTTCAAGCTCGGCGGTGTGCCCGCTCAGGCATGGTTGCGCCGGTGCGACTATACCGGGTACTTCGAGCTCGTATTATGGAACACAGATTCTCTGCACATGAGTACCCTCTAACTCAAATCGCTCACTGCTAGCAGTGGCGGTAGCCTTTGTATTTCCATAATTTTTGTCTCTTGGCGTTTGAGTATCGAGGCTATCAACAGGTGTGGATATCTCCGAGTATTGGTAAGCGTATGGGTCTGTATAGAGCCAGGGCGCATCGTTGCAGGCCATATTGACTAAGGTTAGTCTAGAAAGAAGAGCGGCTACGGAAATTAGAAAGTGTAATCTTACGGTGGCGAAAAAGAGGTCAGATAAAAGAAACAAATAATCGAACGAGGTTGCGTGGAGCTGTGAATCGATGTTTGTTAATAGTTCTGAGGGAGAAAGTGAGGACGGCGCACTAGCTTCGAATGTTGGCCCTCGAACAAACTTCTACAGTAGCCTCGTTCTCTTTTACAATGTCAACAGAGTAAACTAATTAATGCGAAGAGTCTTTAACGGCAAAGGAAGCCAGAATATGGTTAAGAACCATGAAATGCAAGAACCGCGGTAACAATCTAAACGTCAGGGTAGCGCCAATCTACAATTGCAAGGCTACATAGAATATGGTTAGAGTTAGCTTTACTCTATACTATGTGTATGGCTAGCCACGTTAGATACCTCTTGAGGGGTTGTAGCGCTTACAGCCGCTGAACGTTAAAATGAATCCACACACACATATTACCATTATTTTATGATTCGCTTCCCACAGCTTTTCGCGTTATTTCTTTATAGAGATTCATTATTACAAACTCGCCATATTACATTCCGTTTAAAGCCTCATACCATTCAGTGTGCAGTCCAACCGTATGATCAAGAGTTTGAAAGTAGTAATTAATGAGCGACTTATGTGAGTACCAAGCAAGTTCGACTGACTAGGATTCTACACCATTCTTGATGATAAACAATCACCCTTAGTCGATGGCCATCAATAGTGCAGTAATTATATGAATGCCACTCTAGTTTTTCATGTCCGCATCTAGGACTGCCGTGGACGGTGCTACACATTTCGGGTCGATGGTTGCTCAATCGCCTGGCGGGTTTGTGGACAGCACAGGCATAAGGAATTGAGACTATGTAGAGCAAGTCACAGTCAACGCCAGGCCGTGGTCGAGACACGCTAGAGATGTAAACATATATATCGGAAAGACCGGGCAGTGCTTACCTGCCACGGTCCTGCGAGGGTATACAACCTCGAAATCTCAGCACAACTTTGATGAGCTGGGCATATCAGAATGAGTTCAATTCATTCTCTGATATTGTTCCTCAGAATCGGGCGATTGCTACATACATGACCGACAAGTCATAAAATTATAACATGAGACACTAGGTATTATTTCGACGATCAAGTGTCGATGTACCGTGCGGTATACTATGGTCCCGCATTGTTGAATATATCCCGTACTTAAAAGCGGTTCCATAGCTTCTGGTATAACACCTTGCCTCAGCGGATGCGTTTGGAAATATGCACTAAGCCAATACTTCACACGATTTGCAGAAGTGTCCCAATATTTAATTGTTGCCAAGCGGCTTCCGATAGACTGTGGTGCTGTGCTGTAACGCATCCGTATGTTGGCTAGACACAACCTAGTGTCCTGTCCAAGCGGAAGCAAAGTACATTTAATAAGACCAAGGAAGCCTGTAAGGTGTTACCGGTAACACCTTGGACGTATTAAAGCGCGAGACCTAGGTTGGTAGTTGCGCGTACGGGGCGCAATGAAGCAGCACAAGTATTGGCGGAAACTGGAAATTTTGGAGATTTTCCTGTTTACTGAATCGATGTGACGAGACAGTTCAGTCCAGGATATGGCCAGACTTTCCGAGGGCTGTAACTATCCGTCAGTGATTAGAATTTAGATCGTGGAAATATTTCAAGGCCATGTCAAGATGGTGTGCTCGTCGACTGCAATGAACCATGGAATCGAGGGGGAACATTAACATGATTATGTACCTAGCACGCTTCAGCGTCTCCTATTATTGGAACAGGTCCAATAGATGTAGGTGCTCCACTAGTCTTGAATGATGAGCAGGGTACTTAGGCGCGTTACGTCAGTTAACTTACGTAGGAAGCCTGACTTCACTGCATCTCACACACCAAAGCTAAATAACATCACGATATTTGGCTTCCAGACGATGCGATAAATACACTCAGACATTAGTGGAGCGATTTGCAATTTCTGGTGTCACCAGGAAGAGGCAACCAAGCTATTCTTGATTCGCCCTAAGCAATGCCACGACGACTCGCCGCAACACAAAGCACAATCCCGTCTTCTCGGCATCGACTTGGCTGACGGTCTGGCTCTACTTGGCGCAATGACGATGGAAGATTGGGAAGCTTTGTTGGAAGCGCAGCTGGCAAATGGGCCGGAGGGTCCCATTATTACATGAGACCAGTGGTGGGTAGCTGGGGGTCGGAGCCAGCAAACGGGGACGAGACTGGGGCTGATAACGTCAGTTGGTCGTAACTTAAATGATGTTGCGACGACGATACTAGTATTGTAATTAGTGCAGCGCAGTCAACAGTCCAGCTCTCCTGACGGCGACGGCGAAGTACTGTCAAGCTTGAACCGAGTTGCTCGTGACACAAGTGCAGTTATAATAGTCTTCCTTTTGGCCTAAACTAAAAGTAGCCTTCATTGCTTGACCGTCTTAGTAAAGAGTCAGTGAGTTGTTGCCATCATGTTTCCCACAAAGCTTTGCAGAACAAAGTTCATGACGCGCCTGGGCATTTCGAAGTGCGCACGTAACACGGTAACACACACATGGAATCAGCGTCAGTGAGAAAAACCTGGACAAATGCACCGCCCCCAGCACTTTGGCTGCCGCCCATTCGGGCCCAGGCGCTGCTGGCTGTGCTTGGCTTTAACTACGTACCAAGCAGGTTAGCAGGTTAGTTACTAGGTTACTGCACTGTAGGCAGTGTGGCAGTCTTGTCACTGATGAAGGTCTGCAGCGTGGCGCCCCTTGCGACGCTAGTAGTGCTACCCAGGGCTGCCAGGGTACCTACCGGGCCTGTCGGAATTTGAAGTCGAACTCGAAATGGCACTGGAGGGCTGGGATGGGATCTGGGGGGCAACTTGCAGGGCCTGTCTCGGGCCTGTTTGTTATCAATCAGTCCAAGCCGCCTAAGATCTGCAGGCACCGAAAAAACGCCACCGGCGCATTGCACGAAACAATCTCAGTCCGTCCTGCTTGCTGCCAAGGTCACCGTGTATGTACACGCACTTCTGGTTGCCATCTCGATCTGTCCCACCATCTTTGTTCATACGTTCCACGACAGTGAGAAACATACCAGGCGTCCTCGTGGTTTTCCAGAACAATTGGCTCAATTGGCCAAATCAATAGAATTACTGCCTCATAGCCCTCTTCCTTTTCTTTGACCTTTCAATCTTTGTCCTTAATTACTTATTTTCACAGCTGGTCTGAAACCACCTCAATACGTCACTTTTCCCACGGTAGCGCGAGAGCACATATTCGACAAAGCTCAACGCAAAATCCACTCGACTTGTCCTCACTCCCTCCAAAAAGGCATCCAGGAGCTCCTCTCGAGACCTACGATAGCGAACAGCTGTTTTAATTCTGTGGGTTGCCATAGCAGTAGTACCTTGAAACGGAAACTTTGGCGACAAGAGCACCGAAACCAAAGCCATCAGGAATTCGGCGCGCGTCTGAACCACAACCATCGTGAACCTTGGCTGAAGATCACCAAACCACAACCCAGCTTGGATCATTTCTTGCTTCTTGCTTTGCATCTGATCAGGGTATACAGACGAGTTCGCACACTCACCTCCCGACGAATAAATAGTACACCCAGCGCCCCGATTTACCAGAGATGGACTGGACGCTGCAAAACCCGGCGTCCATGCGCGCCAATAACGCCATGATGGGTGAATGGGCAGCAGTTCCGGATATGCCTTCCTTCATGCCTTTTAAAAAGAAGCAGCCTCACGAGTCGCATCCTTCGCTGGGTCATTTGACCCTCTTGGTCTTCGAGGCCGTTATGGAAGTCGTCTGCGTCGCTCTTCCAGGGTATATCATTGCGCGCCTGGGACACTTTGATGCCGAGAAACAGAAGTTCCTCGCCAATCTCAACGTTCAGATCTTTACGCCGTGTCTGATCTTTACTAAGCTCGCATCCCAGCTGAACGCTGACAAATTGGCCGACTTGGCCATCATCCCCATCATCTTCATTATCCAGACACTTGTTTCCTATGTCGTATCCCTCGGTGTATCCAAAGCTTGCCGGCTGAAGAAGCGCCCCGCCAACTTTGTGACTGCCATGGCCGTCTTCGGAAACTCGAATTCCCTGCCTATATCGCTCGTTCTCTCCTTGTCGCAGACAATTCAGGGATTACACTGGGACCGAATCCCCGGCGACAACGACGATGAGGTCGGTGCCAGAGGTATTTTGTATCTCATGATCTTCCAGCAACTCGGCCAGCTGGTGAGGTGGACATGGGGCTACAATGTCCTGCTTGCGCCAAGAACAGTGGAAGACCATGATGGCAACGACTACGACAGTAGTCGCACGTTGGAAGAAGGCAACCAGATTGACGAGGCTCCGCCAGGAGCTGGAGGAGTTCTCATACCCGGGCTTGATTCCGGCATTGTCGACCAGGAGGACGGGCACAGGAGTTCGGACGAGTCGGATGCGTATGAGCCCGCCGGCCGCACCCCAGTTGCTGGCACTTCCAGAGCTTCACCCAATGACTCCGAGGATGAAGGGGAAAACTCCATGCTCATTAAAAAGCCTCGCGGCCATGGTTCGAAATATAAGACTGATAACGCACCATTCGCCCTACCTCACACCGCATCCGACGACGAAATTATGTCTTTCCCTCGGATGCACGAAAGTGATGAGCTTGAAACCTCCAGCGGAGTCAAGGGCCTGATCTCGCGGACTAGTTTCAACGCCAAAAGAAGATGGGCTGTTGTCAAGACGAAAACCACTCGTGTGTCGCAGCGCGCTTTTCACGGGCTTCCTCTACCTTTGCAAGCCGTTCTGAACAAATTTGGCCACGCGCTGTCACGTTTCTTCAACGGACTTGCTGAGTTCATGAATCCTCCTCTATGGGCTATGCTTATTGCTATCATTGTGGCTTCGATTCCTGATCTACAGCGTCTATTTTTCCAGGAGGGGTCCTTCATCAAGAACAGTGTCACGTCAGCAGTGTCTTCTAGCGCAGGCGTTGCCGTGCCTTTGATTTTGGTGGTACTTGGCGCGAATCTCGCTAGGAACACCCAACCCCAAGAATCCAAGGACCCAGAGGAGGAGCAAATTGGAACTCGGCTGCTTGTGGCATCCCTGATCAGCCGCATGCTACTACCAACACTTATCATGGCACCCATCCTCGCCTTGATTGCTAAGTTCATCCCTGTCAGCATCTTGGACGACCCCATCTTCGTTATTGTGTGCTTCTTGCTCAGTGGTGCGCCAAGTGCACTTCAATTGGCACAGATATGCCAACTCAACGAGGTGTATGAGCTTGTTATGTCCAAGATATTATTCCAGAGCTATGTTATTTGGTAAGTATAGATGAACTTGCACCGTGTTGTTTGGCCGTACTGACTGTATTCAAGGATTCTACCATCGACCCTCGTACTCGTTATGCTTGCACTCGAAACTGTCGAGTGGGCTAAATAAACCTGATCCGATTGGATTGTTAAATGTACGATACAGGAGCGTTTAGTGGTTTGAAAAGAACTTCAGGGGATCGAAACATCAAAAACACACCCATACGATCCATTTGAACGGATATCGATTTGCAGCCTAGCATACGTTACGTGGCTGTATGAACGCAGTTATGCTGAAATTGGCCCCAGCCGAAAGCCAGCCTGCACATTGCAACCTCACTACAGTTTGTTCTAAGGTCAGCTGAGCACGCGAATCCTAGAACAGGACCGCGTCTATCGCAGTTCTAAACCTAGAACATCCTACAAAAACCACAAGTGTGGGTGGTGAGTTGTTGAAGGTATGAGGTTGTCTCTGAAGAACACAGCAGCTCTCATTTGGGACAGGTGCAAGCAGTAGTAATAGTCGCACATGCAAAATGCAACGCAAAGGTATAATAAGCTTTGCTACCTAGTTTTAGTGTGAAGCAGCAGCAAATAATCATGGTTCATTGAATTCGGGAATCCTTCCGATCTGCAGTGACCTTCAAACCGGGATGACTCCGACGGTCATTGGTACATGGGCCTCGGCTTTGACCACATAAAACATATGGAAGCTCTTGCGTTCAAGCATGCCACACTCAAATCTGGGGCAGACCATCCCCAGATTGGTAATATTTGCATCTGCGATTGACGGCTTCCATTGGTTGTATGGCGCCCATTTCGCGGGGTCAGTCGACCAGCTGCCCAACAATATGTCGATCTTTGACCATAGTTGTGGCTAGAGCTGTTCCTGCCCGTCGGTTTGCAGGCACATCAAGTTGTGATGAATGGGGATAGATAATCACAAGTGCCGAGAAGGCCCGTGTATAAAACTACCTCGCTCCGCACACGAGTATGGTGCGGACCCTCGTGACCGCATCAATACTTCCGAGACTGGACAATTTTTGGAAATCCTCCGCTGCATTTGAGGCCTTTGAATTGCCATAGCCCTCATATTGAAGACTATTTGTGCTATATCATCTACGATATGCTGACACAATTGCATCTCACCTTCACGAATCTGATAGTGACATTCGGGGTCTTATTGTTGTTGAGTGTCGCGTACTACTACGTCCAGTTCACCAGACATGAACTGCGCATCCGCAAGATAGGTGGTGTGCGAGCGCCCCTGCTCGCTGGTAATCCCGTCAGCGGTGAGTGTCGCCTTCTCTCCCACCAGAAACCCATGCTCGAATTCTAACTCTGCTCGCAGCAACTATATGGTTCTACCACTGCGCTAGAGCACAGATGTCTAACACCCTCCTGGACTATTTCAATTCCATGTTCGACTACGCGAGCCGACCCTCCCAGTACGGCGACGTCGTCGAGATCCAGATCAGGCCCCGGGAGCGGTACATCATCACCCGCGACCCGGAGCACATCAAGACCGTCCTCACGGGCAAGTTCGCCTCCTTTGGCAAGGGCCAGCGGTTCCACGAGCTGTGGCGGCCCTTCCTGGGCGACAGCATCTTCACGACGGACGGGCCGCAGTGGCACGACTCCAGGAGCCTGATCCGGCCCATGTTCGTGAAGGACCGCGTCAGCGACCTCGCCATATTCGAGAAGGGGGTGGGTGCGCTGATCGGGCACATCCCGGCGGGCGGGGGAGAAGTAGATCTCATGGACCTGTTCTACCGCATGACGCTGGACGTGACGACCGATTTCCTTCTGGGCGCCGGCGTGAATAGTCTTGCGGACCCGAGGGCGGAGTTTGCCGAGGCATTCAACGAGGTCCAGAGTATCCAGATGTTGGTCACTGCGCTGGGACCGTTCGAGGCGCTGGTCCCTAGAGGGAAATACCTGAGGGGTGTCAAGACGATTGATCGGTTCGTGATGCCGTTCATCGATGCCGCGCTGACCCTGCCGAGAGAGGAGCTGGATAAACTGGGTGGATCGGACAAGGAGTTCACATTCTTGCATAGTATCGCGAGATACACACGGGATCCAGCGGTCTTGAGGGATCAGATCGTGGCGGTGCTTTTGGCCGGGAGGGACACAACCGCTGCGACGTTGAGCTGGGCCTTTTATGAGTTGAGTCGGTATCCCAACAAGTTTGCGCGATTGAGGCAGGAGATCTTGGACACCGCCGGACGGACAAAGACCCCGACTTATGAGGAGCTGAAGAGCATGACGTACCTGAAACATGTGCTCAACGAGACGCTGCGTCTCTACCCGGCTGTGCCGTATAATATCCGGACAGCTCTGGAAGACACCACCATCCCAGGTGCACCAGGACAGCCAGGTGTGAGCGTGGTAGAGGGTGACTCGGTCATCTACTCCACGCTAAGTATGCAACGGTGTGCCGCACTTTATCCAAGTCATAACGAGAAGGGCGAGGGGTTGCCAAACCCAGCACTATTCGAACCTGAGAGGTGGGAGAAATGGACGCCGAAGGCGTGGAACTACGTGCCGTTCAACGGAGGCCCGAGGATTTGTGTTGGTCAGAATTTCGCCATGACTGAGATGGCTTATGTTGGTAAGTCTACGTATTTTCCTCTTAACATTACGGGATTTCTATCTAACTGCCTGCTAGTTGTGAGAATACTCCAAAAATACGATCGGCTTGAGTACTGTGGGGATTGGAGTGCTCAAAGTCATGTGGCAGAGGTCGTTGGAAGACCCGGTGAGGGTGTAAGAGTCAAGCTTTGGGAGGATCAAATTAGGTTTGCCGAGAGCAACAAAAAGCTTACAATGGTTACTTGAGGAACAATTGATATTACTGTGTTTAACACCCACATCCGCTCTGAAAAGTGAAAGAAAGAGCTGACTTGTGCGGCCCTTTAAATTACTTGACAGGTCATTAAATTCTCACGGGTGGGATGGCCGACGCTTCATCGAGCATGAATCCTCCCAATTAAGAATAAGGTCTATCGTACAGGACTGACAGATTACACAAGTCCTTCAAAAGCTTTCGTCAATGACTTCTTGGTACCCAATGATGATGGAACGTCACATGCACCAAGTACCAAGCGTGTAAATGAGGTGCGGCATACTCTAGCTCTTCATGTAAATATTCCGAATAGTCTGAGTAAGGGCAAAAACCCACAAGAGGAAAAGGATATAAATTAAGATGATTATTGCATCACAAATGGCTATCTTAGTCGCAGTGTGCCCATGAGGGAGTTCTCACCAGAATGAGATGTTTGGTCTTCTAATCACATTATTCACCCACAATGAGTGACGTCGGCATCTACACAGTTTCTATGCCAGAGTGATTAGCCATCAAGTCTAGGATATTTAAACCAAGCTCCGACATGATACTTCACATTACTAGCCAACCCATCTTTCGACATCGACCACAATCTACAGCAATTCATAAAAGTAATTTGACAGCAGTAATGGCGTTACCTGAATCGGCGAAGACCTTTGGAGGTTGGTTGGATCCTACCCTTCACTGGGACAAAGTAAAGGACGAGGCAGATATCCGTGAGTATTTCCCACCCGTATCTTCAACTCACTCTAATCCCTTTGCGCAGCTTTCTTCATCTGCACACGATGCAGAAAGCCCAGGTCCAAGAAAAGTAAAGGTCCACTTGCAGACGGATATTGTTTATGGTGCACGGAAGAGGTGCACCGCGGAACATACGCAGCCACACCACCCAAGTTGCAGTTTTGCTTGAACCCATCTCACACTGCGGGGGACCGGGACATGGAGGAGAGCAGATACCCACGGATGGAGGCGTACGGTCGGGTGACTTCATGTGAGTCGTGCCTGGCATTGGTGGAGCGTGGTATCGTCGGTGTTAAAATGGAGCCCGATGTTAAAGAGGAGCCTGATGTAGAAGAGGAACCTTATATAAAAAGGGAGCCCGATGAAGAGGAGCCTTATATAAAAACGGAGCCTGATGAAGAGGAGCCTTATATGAAATTGGAGCCTGATGAAGAGGAACCTTACATAAAAACGGAGCCTGATGAAGAGGAGCCGTATATAAAAACGGAGCCCGATGAAGAAGAGGGGTCTGGTATAAAGAGGGAGCCCGGTATAAAAGAGGAGCCCGGCATAGAAGGGGAGCCCGGTATTAAAAGGGAGCCTGAATAAGCAGCTTCTAGTTAGGGCTTTCAGGAATATAGAGGACCCAATGCTTCAAACTGGAGTGCAGTAGTTTTGCAAGAGGCTGTTTCTCCTTATGTCCCACCCTTTACATCGCCAAGGAGATCATCAAAGACAAGGGCTAAGGTCGTGTAGAGGAGCAAAATGTGGTCAAAGTCTCAAATGACTAGTCTACAACCGAGTCGTTCTCGCTGTCTACAACTTCTTATTCAAGTGCCTCTGATAACCCTCATAGCATTTGCCATCTACATATCTCATTGTGTCCATACCTTTTATATGTTGGGTTAGATCCGGATGTCATTAGTTCCACTCCAGCAAATCACATACTCATGACGAAAACGAAGGTTGCCGGGGTACATGGATGACGAAAGCAAGTCAAAACGCCTAAATGTGCTATCTTAGCCCAGACTGAGCTGCGAAATTTGATGGGGGTACACCTACAGGAAATACAGAAGAGTACGATCATCGAAATCTCCTACTGGCTCTGACACGGGAAAATGTTTGATCAACTCATCAACATATGATTTTGTCATTTTAAGACGAGCGGCTTTCCAAGAGGCAAATTCAACTGTTCCACGTAATATTAGCAGTGATTCGGTGTAGACATATTCCTACAAGGAACACCAGGGGATGGACCAGTTGGTTCCGTACATTAATTGTGAGCATAGAGACACAACGGGTCGAAGATCATAGGGTTGCCGGTGTTTACTTCCGCCGATGCATTACCGTCCCACAGATCTCCGTGTACAAGCCTAGGGATAATTTTTAACGGGCTTAGTAGCCTTGGAATGACCTTTCCTATTATAGCTGTTTTGAGCTCCGTCAGTTCGTCGTCCGGGCCATGCACAGATTCCTCCTCGTCCATGTTGAATTTGATCATGCTGGTGAAACATTACTCCTACGTATCGCATGGAGGTGTCGGAAGAGTATTCGTGCCGCCGTGTAATAGGTGTGGGAACCCGTATTTGCCATAAGAATTATACAGACATCGGTACACGCTGTGCGTTTTCCACTAAATTAAAGTTTGATGCCGAAACTGCGATCGAAGTTCGCTCGCGTGCTATGTGAGGCATTGTTATGCACTGGGGTCACTATAAACTGAATCAGACAAGAACGTGAAAACATACAACACCTGGGATTAACTAGTGGTCACTCACCTGAGTAGTAATCCAGCGATTCTAGGACATACCTACCCTGTGCGAAGTGTTCACGCAAACTTGCGACAACACTGCAAAGCGGGAAACCTCGTGTCTGTAGGGATCTGCCCAAGAAGAGCCGCATAGGTGGGTGGTGATGTATGCAGGGGTTTTCAAATAGCGAAATTTCCATCTCCGATAGAAACTTGAGACAATGCCCTGGTGTGATCCTTGAGATCCATCTTGAATGTTGCATTTGTCAACATCGATATGTAGTTAGCAATGGAAGTGGCATGCGAGGCGGCCAAACTCACCACTAGATCCTTGCAGCTCTGTAGTCTTATTGCACCAAAAGCTTGTTGAGTTCCGCTTGTTCAAAGTAATGTAAGGATAGAAGGCATCCTGGGCGCCTCTGGATAAGGAGAAATGTATAATAACTACGTGCTTGATAATGCCTGCAATCGGTTCGTACATTAGCTGTGAGATTCATATATACCTGGCTCAATGGCACGGTCCATGTTGCAAGTCAGACGTCAAAATTTTGCTAAACATAAATAAATCACATGTAGGCGATAATCGAGTTTGTCAAAAGGCTTAATTCAAAGATTGTGGATTTTTTTAATCTATTAATTGAAGCCTCTGACATTATTTGCACTGATTCAAAAGAACCGAGACTTTTTCTTTTATTTTCATCGGCGCCGCATCAGTACTGCTGATTCATCCAAAATGCTTTACATCCCTAGTCCAACGCGCAAGAAATTACCAACTGCAAGTCAATTTGACATATACCACAACCTCGTAAACAGGATCACCCTCAAAGCACTGCAGCTCGTCATAGGTCGTTTCCTGGCATTGTATGGCATGCGTCAGGTCAGGACAGCTCAGGGAACCGGGGGAGTCCGAAGAGCCTGTGTATGAACAGCCTGACGTTCCTAATACCTTGAAGTCGAAATCTATCGTGCCGTCAGGAAACGGTATTTTGGAAAGATCATAGTCTCCCGCATCGGCAGTGCCTATTGAATCGAGGCATACGTCGTATGTTTCGTCTAGTGCGGGTGTGTAGAAAGACCAAGAACCTGGCGAAAAGTCGAGAGTGTTACCACTCCACTCATATGCAATGACAAGTCGCGCTGTCGGCTCGGCGGGCGGTGTGCCTGCCGCTTGTGTTGAGGTTTGGGTAGTAGTTGTTGATGCTGCGGGTAGAGTGCCCCCAGTGGGGATCGGTTTTTCTATTGTGATGGTCAAGCTAGTAGTGTCAGGGTCGTATGAGGTGAAGCCCATCGACTCCAAAATTGCTGGGTCAATGACGTTGCGCGTGGTGGGTGGATAAAGTGTGCCGGTCTTGCCATCAACTGTAATGACCGTGGTGACTGTAACACTAATAAGACTGATGGTAGATCCACCTATCACAACTGTGCCGCTCGTCGCGGTGTATACTGAGCCCCCAATGATAAGAGATTCTGGCAAAGCAGTGGTCGTGTAAGACGGGGCAACGCCATTCAGCCAACCGTCTCCAACGTCCTCAAGAGCAGCATCATAGGTGGGCCTAAGAATCATGATCAGCTTGGAATCCTATTTGCAGTGAAGTTTGACACTGCATGTGTTTATGACCACACTAAAATTTTCAAATAGCACTTACATGGGGCAGTATTCGCCTGTCGTTGTCTTCGTTGCAGTGACGAAACAGCCGGTGATAACATCAGAACTTGTGGCTGCAGAGAGCATGTTAGCTATCATGAAAATGGAGCACGACAAAAACACTAATAGGTCGACTTACTGCTACAATCATCTGAGGCACTGCAAGAAACCCAGTAATCTGTCACCGTCGAAGTGACACAATCGCATCCTACGTAGGTGTTGCATGTCTTTATGCCACTCGTCGTACGGCAGACAGAGTTCGTCTCGGTTGCACAAGTACTCGTGGACTTCTCGTCCTTGTCATCATCAGATGTATCACGTGCTCCACAGTTTGCTGTGCAAGTAGGCTTTGGTGGACCGCTGATGAAATGTGTGGTCGGGTTGTTGTGGTTAGGGGGACAATCGATTGAGAAGATGTCCAAAAACTTGAAGCAAGGTGGAGACGGTATGGGAGGTGGCGAAGGAAGATTTGGGATGCGAAACTTGGGACCGGTGGGTAGCGGGATTGGCGACCAGTAGAATCCACCAGGAGCAATGATGATTGGTACGACCGTTGTTGAGGTGGAACTGGAGTCTGTCTCAGTCCATGTAGTCGTACTAGTGGTTGTTCCAGTGAAGTCGCTCATTGTGGTAATCTGATCTTCCGAGAAGGTCTGAGTAATACCACCAGATGCATAGACCGTAGTTGGAAGACTATAATATATCACGTCGTTGCTTGAGCCGGGTATTACTGTCGATACTGCTAAGAATTGGACAGTGGTGGTCACTCCTCCTACAGTCAGAACTGTAGGACTTGGCTTTAGGCTTGAGGTCAACACAAATGTGGATGCCGTTTCGCCGGAAGGAATCGGCATATTGAAATATGAAATAACACTCGTTGTGACTGTTCTTAGTTAGATTATATCACATAAACGAGGTGTAAGTCGCGAGGTAACAATCACATACCTGGTGGCGGTGTCAAAACCGTAGTGACTACCTGAGCGCCAATTGTCAAAGTTGTGGTGGTCGCCGGAAATGTCAACGTCGTAGCTGTAGGCATTGTCGAAGGGGGGAAAATGAGAGTGCATGGCGGGTAACACTGTACTGTCGGGCTCGGTGTCACGAAGATGGTGTTGCCAATATAAATTGGCCCAGAACCCTCACCATTCGAGGGTGCCTCCAAACACGGTCCGCTTTGACAACCTGTACCACAGTGAGCATCAGAACTGCCACAAAATCCCGAAGAAGAACAGCAACTGCCTTGCGACCATAGGCCGCAGATGATATCATTATGGCCAGCACCGCAGGTCCCGTCCGTTGTTTCGATTCCTGATAGACACTGGCCACTTTGGCACCCGGATCCACAATAGGCGTCGGTGCTACCACAATAACCATTGGCAGAGCAGCAATTCCCGAAGCCACTGCCCTCGCACACCTTACCGCCGTTACTAGAACCGCAAGAGCCGTCTGTCGACATAGGTGGACTGTCTGAATCTCCGGTCCCGGAGTAGAAATCGACGCTCCAAGCCATCGTTCCACCAAAACAAAGGTTGTTGGCGAACTTGCGCTTCAAGGCATGTGTTTCCTCATCATCGTAACCAATCCATTGATCGCCCCATACTAGTTCTTTCATCATGGTCTCTGAATTAAGTCGAGGTGTGAGCCCCTTCGAAGCTATGATTTCTTCGATTTCTACCAGTGAGAGGACGCCTGCTTGATTGGTACACTTTCCCGGCTTGCTTGGTCCCGAAAAGGGACAGAGCAGCTCAGTACAGCTTGTGTCTAGTGTAGTCAGTATAAGACCCATGTTAAATCCGATATCGATACTTACCAGCAAGGGTGTATCCTCTGCCATACCAGGCGAGACCAAAGTTGATCTTGGTCGCATTAAGACCATCATAAAACAACGGCAGTGTGTCATTGTAGATTTCCAAGACGTTCGCCTGGCCGCGAACAAGTGCTCCCAATGTTTTGGTGTCCGCATCCCACGAACCATGAAGATCGTAGGACATGAAACCAAAGAAATCAACATGTGGCTCCATTGCTTTGGCGTCGAAGTACCGAAGATACCAGTAATCGGGTGCCAGGGTAAGACTGATACCATAGTCGGTACCATAGGCCTCCCTCATCTCCTGCACGAGTGTCGCAAAATTGGCCGTGTCGGAAGGTTGCCCTCCACGATCAGACGCCACCGGATATTCCCAATCCAGATCAATCCCCTGGAAGCCGTTTGCACTCATAAACTCCTTTGTTGAAGCTATGAAACTGGCACGATGTCCAGCGTCTGCACAGAGGTCGCTCCAGGTGGTATGGGTTGATGTTGTGTTGTCGTTGAAGTCAAATCCACCAACAGCTATCCACGTCTCAAGAGTAGATGTCTTGAGTGCTGTGAAATCAGCCATGGTCTCTATTTCTGACTCTGTCCGCACTTTGATCTCATAAGAGTCAGGATCAATGGTAGCGAATGCATAGTAAAGATGCGTGTAACCATCGGTATGGATCTGATCTGGGGCGATGCGGTTACAGACTCGATTTTCGACATTGTCCGCTTGGTAATAGCCAATAGTACGACCGTTGGACATGCCCGAGTCTTCGCCACACGGCGAAGGACGAATGATTTCACAGGCACCGAAGTTCGCTTGACATTTGGTGAAGTCATTGACTCCGATGCAATGATCCGTGGATGTTCCACACCAACCACCTATCCTGACAGTTAGTACCAGTCGTCTCAATTCTGGAGCTCAGCCATTTACTTGCCCCAGCTACAGCAAAGGTTCATGCCGCACTTCACGATTCCGTCTAATGAGTACTGCCCGCACATGGCTGTGGCATCACACTGGCTGGTACACCCATCACCGCAAAAATCTGGGCCGTAACCACATTTGCCTTCAGGTCCACAGCAGCTGGTCAAATATCAAGTCAGTCCTGTACAACCTAGATATTGGGAACTCAAAAGCAATCTTTTCTCACCTCCCGTCAGGGCAAGGCCCACTGGTGCAAAGAAGAGCACCATTTGAATCCACTTCCCTTTGCCTCTTGGCCAAGAACAAATTTGTGGAAAATGGATCGTCGACCAGGCTCATGTCACGAGCGAGGTTTTGGTTTAGGAATTCAACATTTGGGACATGTTGAGGATTCTGGTGCGTAACGGAAGCCGTACCAAGCAGAGCCCCAAATTGAACTATTGAAAAGGCTGAAAGATATCTTTGATAGCCCATGATCGTTGGTATGTACCAAGCAAATGACTTGGAAGCTACCTTAGAAATGTTGGCAAGTTATGAATCGCACCATCGTCGGGCGCACATGTCCATCAGAACAGTGAGGAATGCTTGTGTTATATGCATATAGCAATGGGCGAATGGCACGCATCGAAAATTCGATAGCAAGCTGCTCTAGCAATAGTGTATGCCAATAAGTCAACAATGGTATCTCCGCTTCCGCAAGGACCAGACATAGGTCTGGTCCATCTCTCCCCATCCATTCCGATAGACCCGTCATCCACTTGATGTTGCGCTGCTGACATCCTCAATCTTCACCAAACCAGCTTAACTCATCGACCCATCACCTAAGTAGGATAAAAATATCCACAATATACGGTTTGCGCAGTGATTGGGGATAGCAAATTTGATCTGGTCGGCATGTAAAGTCAAAACGAGCTGGAAACCCACAAGCGTAGGATCCAAAATTATACCTAACAACGCTCGTTGCAAAGAACCTGGTACGGAGCACCGACCAGGTTTATTGCTTGTTCTGGACCTGCAGCGTACTCGAGCTTAGCCTGCTGCTCGCTACCCGTCAGGTGGGTCGCCAGATCGCATTGCCGAAACACCCTTGCAAGGACTTCGCCTCCGCAGTGCGCCGCTGAAGAAGTTGATAGGGTGGTTCGCATTCAGAAGCCGTATATGATCGTTAGCTCAAACTTTCTAAAATAGAAATTGATTTCTCTGCGAAGATTTCCGGGAAATATCTCAATTTCCACCAATGGGAGGCCGAAGGACCAAGAAATAATCACTTCTACCAACGCCGAGCCCATACGTGTGCTCGGACATTATAACCGCGAAGGATCAATCCTTCGAAGTCTAGACGATGAAAAGTTGGAGTCAAGTTGTGAGCTTTAGAAAATCTCTCAGTGTTTGTTCAACTAATAAAAATAATGGGGTTGCCTAGAATAGTATAAGGGGTGCTTACCTATATAATTCATGCTTGTAATCCTTGTTCGGGTCACATGGGCTCTCATCAGGCTTCCTCGTAACACCAGTACGTATAGTTGACGGATCCCGAGCCATGAAAAAGTGGCTTGCTTGAATCATATCCGTCAAGTCTCTGATAATATGTCAATGGAAACGGATCTACGTAGTCAGAGCGGAAGATAACCATGAATAAACAAGAAGCAAGACTGTACTTTACAGGTTGTAGTGTCTCCGGAGCCTAATGAGCGTCGAAATCTCGTGATATCATGGAGGGGCTTCTTTGCTTACAAGCTCGACTCTCCGGCCTGTGCGTACTACCGATCGAGTCATCTTCCCGCCGGTGCCCGCGCGCTGAAATTCTATCTAATATTCATTTGAGAAGGTTCTTCATTCGTTAGGTAACGTTCTAACTACTTAGATTAATGGAATCCTGCAAGGGCCAGCCGCATACCACGTGGCGAATGCAAGGCAAGACATGCCATGCAAAGACCTCGCACCTCGGCGCTGGATATCACGCTGATAATCGACATAATAGCAAGGGCTAACATTAAGCGAGATTCTGTGCCGAATTGCTGGATTCACATGACCTGGTTAAGTGGATAGAGGCCTGTCCAAGCTTACGTTAGAAAGCCAATTTCGTATGTCCCTGGTTCTATTTTGTGGAGCAATAACATAGCGCCGGAAGCTCACAAACTGTGCCAATATATCTCCACATTCCGGAACAAACTGTTGAATTGTTGCATATACGGAGGTGAGCTCTGTCATACCCATGATCTATAGCATGCTGTCGCAGTCGTATGCGTCAGTGGATACAAGGTACAAAGCACGCTGCGCAACATCTGACTTCAACTAAGGCGATTGCTTTCTGATGCCCCCTGTTGTGTATCTGAAAGCTTCCACTCCATCATCCAATGGACAGTGCTAGATTCGTCCGAATACGCCAGGAAATATGAATGACTAGTAAAACCGGTCATATCTGCAGAGTACCCTTCAATGTGACCCGTCTTGGTAAGCGATGGCCACGGGCTTTGAATTCTGCTATGACAGGGATGACTTGGGTAATATATTTCATTGCCTTTTGCCATAGGTGGCTTCCGGTTTATCTTAAATACTATGCAACTCAACAAAAACGCCATCATTGCAGTTGCCAGTACTTTGCTCGAGTTCTCTGATTCATCATGGCAGTTTCGGATCTCTTGAGCGGAAATTCGCTCTCGTTCCCGCAGGGGCGCGCGAAGAATCAGTCTTCACGTTTCAATTTTGTGACCAGTGCCCTGTTTCTACTTCTCTTTCTTCTTGTTGGGCATTCAATACTGCCGACTTCTCAAGTAACACTCGATGAAGTCCATGTCGAAAAGCGAGAACCTATCCGCTATGAAGACCCGGTAGCTTTCAACGAGTCTTTGCAGTCACCCAAACTCGTGGCCAGAGCTGGTGACCCGAATGATCCGCCCTGGACGAAAAGGGTTACAAATGGCAATAGGTGAGACCATCCAAATCATACCTGTCGATGCCCATTGCTAACGCAAATGTAGTAAGCGGATACAGGCCTCATAATCCTCCCAATCCACGCCCCCTGATATTGATAATTACTTGCGATACGAGTATAAAAGCGACTAACGTGAGAATCTATGCCAGTGCTCTATTGTATGATGGGAAACGACGGTGCTACCCAATCTCTATTTGCCACGAAAGATCTAGCAACGTCCGGGTGGGAACGCATACCTCTGACGAAAAGGAATGCTGAAGATTTTCACGACAACTCCGCAGAGGCATATGCGGATGAAACTCTAGGTACAGACAAAGAAACGGAGGAAGTACCTGGGTACTTGGCAATGGACTCCTGGATTGATACGAGTAATGAAAATACAGAGGTGGATGTACGTTCACAGTCTTTTTTTCTTTTTCGTCTTGCTTTTCCTTTTGTATCACTCAGTCACGCAAGGGCGATTAAGACATTATCGACGTCATGCATCAGACAATACTACTTACTAATACATTTATCACGCGCCAACAGGGGAGCTGCGCCAATTACCAGAATCTTGTCAATAGAGCCAAAGGGTATATATTAGCAGGCAATAACGTAAGTTCTTCTTTGTTTTTGTTTTTAAATTCATCCCCGTCCAATCCCTCCCCCCTCCTCTCTACAACCACCTTCATTAGATATGTAAGTGCGAACACAGTACTTATCCAAGTGTTAGGTGAGCCCAACGGATATCGAGAAAGATGGAGGACCCAAGGCGCCACCACTGAAGAGATGGTCTGACATAATGGCTATTGAATGGTCAAGGGAAGAGGCTGCATCAGCATTGAACTTTGTCATACGCTCTGGCATCACCAACGATAACACCAAAGCTATGATCAAGCAAGCATATATCAGCACCGGCCGCACTAAGGTACCGACGTACCCCGGAGTTGACTTTGCAATGGCAGAGGGCAACACGAAGGCACAGACAGAGGCATTCTACGGGCTGTTGGGCACCTACCACGGCGCTGGTGTAGCGTACATGCTGGCACAACATCGGGCCGTGTTTGGGAAGAGGAGGATTGAACAAATTCGAGCTTGGGCCTTGACTACTGAATGGGACCTTACTAAAGATACGCTTCAGAATGTGGGGATGATCGTTTTTATATCAGCCGTTCCGTGATTGGTTTTGGGACGGACCCTCTATCATTCCTTTCTAGCAGCTCAAGATAAAATCACTTAGAAGGCCTTCGCCTCTGACCTGCAAGTTCCGCTAGAAGTTATTTATTAGTCGATTTGACATTTTCGGCGTCGTCCTATAATGTTTGTTTTCCTTGCTTCCAGAATCCATGTATCACCAGTGAAGACGTAATACACGATCGGCATTCGCCGCAAATGTTGCACGTTATTGTCTACTATCGTTCATCGGGCCACTTCGCTTAGTCCATGATGGTTCTGTGAATGTTTTTATCATACAAAGCATCTTGGATTGGTTTATTCCTGGCACTTTGGCTATAACTAGTTCTTACGGCTCAAATCCCGTTCCTCTTGTGTAAGAATACTGAACCAGCTGTAATGATACTTAACAAAGAAAGCCAAGGCCCTCCTATTGGCTTCAGCCAGACCGAGGTCTGTCATACGCTGGTCATCGAATATGGCAAACCCAAATTTCCTGTAAGGGTCGAATGGTAACCCAGGCAGTGGCGACATATTGGGATTACGCGCCATCATATACTGAAATGTGATAGATGTTGGTGATTTGTCCAGAAATTCTTGGCCTTGCTGATAATGGTCCTCGTTCGGGTCAAAGAACATTAGCTGGGCACAAGGGCTAATGAATGTGTTTTCAAAGGCCTCGGTGGGCAGTCGGTATTGTTGTAGCCAAAGTGATCCTGCTTCTTTATGTCCATGTGTTTTGACTTGTAAAAACTCCATGACTGTCAAGAGCTGCTGCTGCTCAAATCTCTGGAGCGTGAAGAAAGTAGAGAGGCCTGCGCACTGCAGAGACTTCAGATCTTCTGCCGGCCAGTCCAACCGGCTTTCCTCACATGCAACCTGAAGCTCAAAGAAATATTGTATGAGCCATAAAGCCTTGATGACACGATGTTCTTCAACCCACGATGACGGGCCAGTTTCACGAGGCTGATATGGTCGACCTTCAGCTGACTCAAACTTATCCCTGTATACAGGGGAGTGAGGACCTAGTTTGACTAGGGAATGTGGGCGTATTGCTAGAGAGGCAGCAATGTAATGGTCGGTACATGCATGTGCTAGCACGTGAATATTGTGTGCCTGTGACAGGAGGCGGCGCGGCAATCTGGTATGCTGCACCGCCTCCACCTCAAAGGTGTTGAAATTCAGCGGCATCGAGATCAGTAACGGGCGAGCTCTCCTCCTATTAATGTCGATATCTTTGGCGACATCTCTGGCTTGTTCTAGAGTCGTGTGTTGTAGTCCAGGAGCTTGACAGCGGAGTGTAACTCGCATGATATGCTGGATCGTAGTGGGGACTGAAGCCAGCATCACGGCCTCTATAATCTCGAGTGCGCAGTCGTCAAACTGGGCAGAGCAGACAGAGGAAGCGTTGATGAGGCTCCATAATGATGGCAAGCTGGGCAAGAGCTTCAGCAGTGCTAGCAGAATCTCACAAGGCAGACAGCCAAATATATCGTTTGGCGATGATAATTGAGACGAATCTACTGCCATCGCTGAGGTAGTGTCGAATGGTGGACCGCGTTACTCTGAGCGGCGGTGATTCTGAATTTGTCACTTTTTTCTGCTTGAGAATGAAACTTATCTTATAAATATATAGCGGAAATACCACAGTAGAGGCTGTCGCGCCATGGCTTTAGTGCCGGGGTCTCTTCCATTGTGCAGGCAACGTGGCGCTTTAAGTACCAGGTTAAGCCTGTAAGCGGCCACTGTACCTGAGTTTCCCGTTTGCCCCATTGATCAAAGAAGAGCTTGGCATATCTCCACAGCGCGAATCCGCATGCACCAAGAAGGATTCACATGATGTACATGTATGAAGTTCCGCGTGAGCCTTCCGCTTTCTTTTACTGGCTACCCATGCTGTGGTTCCGCTTCTTATAGCCCGCAGGCTATCGCTAATCGATGCACGGAAAGTCCGATGCGTGCCAATATTTCAGGGGTACCTTGCAGGTTGCAACACGGCAAGTTGGTGACATTCCATCTGCATCGCAGGCGCTAGCTATTGATGATATTAATGTCGACCTCTTCGTATAGCTACAGAGTATATGTATACTCAAAGTCATCTTTTTTCCACCAGTCGCACGCCAAGGCTGTTTCGTAGGACCTAACCATAGTGTACCTTGAGCAATGCTAATTTGGATGGAGCACTGTTGCACGGATAAAATCTGCATAACCCCTGTATCGCTACAATTGACTAGGTTAGCATAATCAGACAAGAAAGTGACGGCAAGAACACGATCGTAAAACAACTGTCTTCACGCACTATACTTAGACAACTTGGAGACCTTCGAGTAGAGGGTCCAATTGGTCGCCGGCCTCCAATGATTTGTATGGCAACACCCCTAATAGGTCTTTGGAAACTGAAGTCTGACGCAGAAGATGTTTTTGCATTATATATATTGTGCCAGCATGCAAGGTCTGGCACCTAAAAGCACCAGAAATAGAGACCAGCAATATATCATCAGGCTGAAAACTAGCCTACGAGCCCGAAATCCATGGAAATAGCGAAATGACGGCACCCATGTCGCACATATGCGGATAGTCAACCATAAACTCAAACCAACTGTCCTCCAGGATCGCCTGGTGACCACTTTGGGCTCGAACGTTGTCTGCGCAAATGACCACAGTTGTCATCGGGTCTCAATCCTTGTCCTGCCGCTCACAGGCTTCAAGAGACTGCTAGCTGACGCTGTTCTCAAGGATTTCAATTTAGATGCCCTGATAGGTGTAGCAAGTGGACATCAGTCAGGCGTTCCTTTGTACAGGTCAGACACGTAAAGCAGCGGCGATACCGGCGTCGACCTTTTTCCTTGCATATTCCCATCAGATATGGTTACGGGACTTGCCAAGACGATGCGGTAAGTTGTGTCACATGCATGGTCAATCTATATTGGTGGATACGCCTGATGTTGGAGCCGCAGGAAATCTGGCTCTATACGGAAAACATTGCGAAGTATACAGACCGCATTTGATAGTGACGCCTGGGCAGACGCCTGGGCACTCTGCGATACCATCATCCTTGCATATTTGAGGTACGCAGAGACTGGCTAACGCTTAACTCAAAAGCACGACTCTAAACTCATTTTGCAGGTACTAGAGGGCAATTCTCGAGCAATAGCTTGGAGGTAACACGCTCTGGTATTGAATCGACTGGTTTGATTCGTGCTACGAGCCCGTCGGGCTTCAAGACAGAGTTTGAGAAGCTTATAATCGGACCCATGATGGGTTGGATTGCATGTTAACCCCTTTACGACTATATCACCTTGATCCATCAAGGCTAAGCATCTGCTCGCGTAGATACATGGATCGATGTGTGCACGCGAACCCACACATCTTGAGCATTTAGACTGGCGGCCAGTTCTCCATTCTATGATCGGACTAGACCTTTCAGAAGGAGAGCAAAATCACGTTGTGCTCGGATCCGCCGCCTCCAATTTTAAATTACTGTAGGAAGATGCATGACACAATAACTAAAAGTTGCACGGTCTTGAAAATATATGTCGAGGATATCGAGCTACGGTGTCATGCCCTCAAAGCTGACACAGCGCCATGCCTGTATAACTATCGCCGGCTCATTAAGCCGATGTGTCAATAACAAGATCGCCTGCTACACAAGGCGATAATAAGCGAATTCCATAATTATTTTCTACCCTTTTTCAACATATTCAAGGAGCGTCTAATGCCCGTTAAAATCATTCATTTCTTTATGACTGTTTCAAAATGCACCGGAAGACCCTCTAGTCAATCGTGAAGAAGTAAGTAATAACCCCAAATGTTGCAATGCCATCCGAACTGCTGAGAACAAGTAATGTGGCGCAAACAGCAACATGTCGACTGTTGAGTATTGTCTCATAAGAAAAGTTTTCAGATGACGAAGGTGTTAAATTGGCACTATACCAAAGAACAATTTCCGATAGCATACAATCGGACAAGATCTTGGCCTTTTACACAGCTGAAGATGTTCCCTACGGACTCCATTCTTTCAAGCACTAACACCTGGTTGCGGGGGCGGAATCACGCTGCTGACGGTGATAAATGCTCCATCAGTGATGGTAGTGACAGTAGAATGTTAGTAGAAGGTTGGAAATACCAGGCATAGCTCGACTTCTTGCCAGACGTGACTGCTGGTGTTATTATTACTTTGTGGCTTCGTAGCTGATCCAAAGTCATATATGCCCATCGAAAAGAAAATTAAGAAGCGAATCTCATGATTGACTGCTTCACTGTATAATACCGACTATACTTTTTTAGTGCTGTTGAATGAGGGATGTTAAGATGAGAAATCTCAATTAAAAACCACTAGCATCAAATATCTATAACATTACCAACTTTGCAAGGGAAATATAAAGCGTGTAGGAAAGGGCAGGCATTCACGCTTGCAACTTGCATGATTTCCTTCTCCAATAGTCATGGCAACTTCATATTGACAACATGTAAGCTCTGAAAGGATATCCGATCAAGCCGAAATTCTTTCAAATACTCATGGCCGCAGCAGGAACTTTGCCTTTCTCACACCTGATGATGATGATGAGATATGGCGATCTGGGTACGACTCGATACGAGGGTTTTCTCATCAGCATATCATTTTTATTCATCGCCCTCATCTTTAGTACACAAGTCATCAACCACTTTCATATGCTTCTCTTGAGACGAGTGGGAGTTGAATGGCGGCTTCTCTAAGATTACATGTTCGACGAGGCACGGATGGTCTAAACAGAAGATCGTATTGTTTAAGGAATTTTCTGATCAAACAAGGCCCTTAAACTCCCAAGCACATGAATTTTCTAGGATTTGGACGACCTACTACAGGTAGAAGGAAAGCAAACCTAAGAAATCAGAGAACTAAGCAAACAACTCGCATAGTCAACACAATCCGAATGAGACTTCTAGACTGATTACAGAAGCTTTTCTTGTGAGAAACCAAAAGATTTTCCTGCGAGACAATCTGCCGATGTACAAATACGATATATGCTTGCGTAAGCTTAACTGCAACTTCTAGATTATTCGCAGAGCTTCACCCCAGCACGAAGAACCTCAGCATTCCATACTCACAAATACATTACTGGATACCGGGCTATGCATTAGTTGAAGCCTACTATTTCATCGAAAGTTGTCAGCTCATCCAACGATAAGACCCTAGCCACTAGCCATTCAAGGCCAATTATGGTGCATATGACAGTGACCGACGGCATAACGCATGCCATCTTTCTGCGTTCAACAGAAGACGTAGCTCGATTAAGCGGTGTGATAGAATTTTCACAATTAAAATGCATCAGACTATACATGTATTTTGTTTGGACCATTTCATGAATGAGTTCTTGGAAAATCTTGTTTAAAAGAAAAGAAAAAAAAGGAAGAAAAAGAGAAAGAAAAGCCTTGCCACTTTTACCTGACAGCAGCACTTCCGCGGCTGAAGGCCCTCATAGCTGAGTGTAGTGTTGTATGATCCTTGCATGTATTCATTCTCCGCAGGACCCGGCGCGGTAGCAACCATACCAGAAAGCTTCCTTATCGATTCTTCTTTGGTCGCGTCTGCAACTAGGTTCACACATCCAAGGAACCTGCAGACAGAATGAAGAAGTATCCATGGTAACTGAATGAGCCTTTCAATTGTCGACGCGCTTAACAAGCATTGAACCAGTCCTGGCTATAGAACATGATGAGAGAACCACTAAACAGCAGCAAAGCAGATAACCCGGACTTCCGTCTGTCAAGTGTTAGAGGAGCGTGAAAGTATACTGGTCTTTCAAGGATTCACATAGAGGGACGGAGGGGGTTGCGGCAGTGCTAGTTCTAGCTGTCCCTTGAGTCTTCATTTATCTTCTGAGCCCTTAATGCACCCGACGATAATCCTACCAAATCTTTTCGGCGTCATCCACGAGTCAATGCTAACTGTGCCACCTCCAAGCCAGGCTCAACGCGTTTGTGCCACCGTGCCTACCGGGTCATTTTTCTGTTCAACGTTGCACATGTCTTAAATAGTCAAGTCAACGCACCGCTATTCGATAGACTGGTCTTCCCGCACCAAGGGTTCATCAAGCAACGTCTCGCCGTGGTTGAGAGACGATAATCTCAAGCACACAGTGTGTTTGTTCGGTGCTATTGTCCTTTGGATGGTCATCTATGTCATTATCTACGCTCGCCAAGATGTCGCAGACGACACGAGTCTGGGGCTGAAGAGCACCACTGGACTATTCAGGCAACTCGACCAAACCTTTTCTATGGGTTTTACTCAGCATTGCGATTTGCGCTCATGGGTACTCGCGGCTATCTGACGGAGCTAGAGGGTGATTGCGCAGTTTCTCTGGGAGTCAATGATCGCAGCAAGAGTTCACCTTGCAGACCCATACAGTCAGTAGCGGTGGTGGTTCAGTTGCGGATTTTGGCTCGCTGGGGGGAACCCTAACCATTGGCTTGCTGCGTCAGTTTCTGTCTGTGAGTTTCGCCTCATCTGCGCAGCACGCTAGGATCAGCTGAACCAAAGCGACGTATCAACAAGGGCGAGGGATGCTTCAAGGTGTTAGCATTTCTTTAGAGTAGACTGTGATCCGATATTGCGAGATGGACGATCGTGATTGTGGCATTGCCGCGCATTTGACTGATTTGTTTCACGGGGCTAGCGGCATGGAGTGTTCAGTGGGAATCAATGGATTTATTTAAGCTAAAGTTCTTGCACACTAAGTCTGCAGTATTTGCATATTTGAACCTGGTTCAAGTAACCTTAGCTATCATAAAGTGGTGGTGGTATCTTCTTATATGCCTGAGAAGAATGATGCATGGGAACCGGAAAGTCCTTCGGGGCCTCACACTCGTACTAAACATCCAGCGCCCACGGCAGCAACGAACAGGGCTCTACCTAGCAGTATTCTTCAAACTTATTACATTGCACTGCTCTAAGGTCTGGCGATACCAGGGCATTGATCATGAGGTTCTTGTCTGGTGCGCCATGTTTCCTATGTATCAAAACTTTGGATCGTGTGATTCTGTTCTATCTGAACCAGGAAATATGTCTCTTTAGTCTCCATGACGGAAAAGGGGGGGGGGGGGGGGGGGTACGTTATCCTAGTCTTTGCCTTCCTTTTTCTTTTCTTTTCTTTTCGTTTCTTCAAATTGTACCTTCCATATAAGCAGTGCCTCCTGCGTCTTGAGCAAGTTGGCAAACACCTCATACACTCCGTACGTACAGCGCCCGAGGCAGGTACCACTGTCATAGGCTGCATAGAGCATCATCGTTGCCTAGGCTTAATCTTATCCGTTCACGGCCATATTACTTCGAATCCAGCAAGTGCATAACTTTGTACCAGAAAACTTCAGGTCTGTTGACTGGTACAGGATTGTTGTAGGTGAAGACAATTTTTGGGACTCGTCCCAGACTAAGCTGTCTACGACGACATATGCTGATTATCGAAAGAAACGGCAACAATGTTAGCTTTCCTATATTTCGTGGCTACTTATAGCGCTGGTGTGCTGGGCTTGCAGACAAGCCGACTGTCCTTTCGAATTCTTTTGGCCACCCTGCAAGTCCTCTTGGGATACAAAATCTTTGTCACATTTGCACAGATCTATACTTTGCCACAAATGTTGGCTTTTGGGCCACTTTGCATTATAGGAACGGCGCATTCCATCACCCTCCTGCTCGTTGAACGATGGGAGCTCCCGACAATAAAGACTGGCAAGCAACGTTTCGATATCCCTGGTGGAATCAGAATGCTAGCCAATGGACGATACATTGGGACGCCTAGAGCGGTAGGCGGACTCAAGCAGTGGCCATCAGATGGGAGCGGCTGGGTCCAAAGGTGGCTTCCTACAGGTCTGAGAAACAATCCGAAGTGGGCTTTTGTTATAGAGCGAGCCGTCACGGTTTTGGTCATAGTAACAGTTCAGAAGTGGCTACCAGAGTTGCCGATCGATCGACGGGACCTTCATCCAAAGAAGAGTAATTTGATACGGCGACTTGGCGACGTGAGCTGGCGCGAGGTTATGCTCCGAAGTATCTTGGTCCCAGACTTCATCGCCCAAACTTGGCTTTTTGTCAATTGCACATATCAGACCTTGGCTGCAGTGACGGTAGCACTGGAGATATACAGGCCGGAAGATTGGCCTCGATTGTTTGGCGACATAAGCGATGCTTATACGATTCGACGATTCTGGTCGAAGTTTTGGCATCGCTTGGTGTACCGACCATATGGTGGACTTGCTCGTATGCTTGCGGAAAAAGCACTGGGCCTTAAGAAAAGTAGTCAAATTTACTGGCCGGTCGAATCTTTCCTCATCTTCACGATCTCAGGGTTTGCCCACGTGGTTGTAACGATAGCATTGCAGTATCGATGTGGTTTGTTCTCAGATCTTTACTTCTTCTGGCTGCAGTTCCTGGGTATTGCATTTGAGGAGACGATTAGGCGCCTAGCAGGAAACAGGATACCGAAAAACCGTTGGCTTGGCTACGTATGGGTATACGTCTTCTTTTTCTGGTGTCTACCTAAGAACTACTTCCCGCTTTGGAAGTGGAATTGCGTACCTCTCGGCGTTTGAGAGGGATGGTCGTGGTATGAGCGAGCGCATCTAGTAGGCTCATTGAGAAGGGTTTCCTCAAGCGACGTGAGGTCCATGTTGCGCAGAACTTGTGTTAGTGAAGGACGCAGGCTGGGAATTGGGGATTGTGAGCCATAGGTTTGGTCCAGAACCAAGTGGTGGGGGGGTGGATACTGGGATATGTTGATCCCATAGAAAACTGGTCTCGAAGTACGGGTACAGTAGGTGCTAGCAATAGTGCACCACGACTTGAATATAGGTTAATTGACTTGTGTAGGTATCCTTTGATGAGGAAAGCAGAGTGTATTTATTGGATGTAATATCGTACAGAGTTGAGATTTGTATGAGAAGCGCTCAGTGCCTGCCAAGACCCCAAGACCCCAAGACGCCTCAATGGCCTCTAATGGCCCCCCCAATGACCCCTGGAACAAACTGCTGGCCAGCGGAGAGCTCAGGCCGGTGATCCACTGTTTTTATTCCAATCTAATCGCTGACGTGCAGGCATAGATAACTTTCAGAAAATGTTCCTCCCGTCTTGAGAATCTTCCATCGCCACGAGTTCGTTCATCCTTGCGCATCACCAACCTGTCGTCGCAATGAAGTCACAAGCAAGACTGGCCGTGCGCCTCGTACAGGCCCGGCCATCTCTGGCTGCGTCCTCGGCTGCCGTGCTCCCCCGTCAGATCCATACGACACCTGCCTCGCCCGCGACAGTCTCCTCCATCCACGGCCAGGGCCCGCCGCCCGAGCCCCCCTTGCCAGCCGCCGACAGCATCTCGCAACGCATAGACCGGCGAAAGAGGCAAGCTTCTATGCTCCAGGCCGCCCAGGAGTTCCGAAAGTCCAAGACATCCTCGCAGTACCAGCCCCTCCGCAAGCGCTTCTGGAAGGATGTATCCGTGAAGGAAGTCGACGGCGCTCTGGAGGTGCACCTCGATGCGAGACCCCTGCGACATCCCACGACCAAACAGATTGTGCGCCTGCCGCTGAGCAAGCCTCTGCTGGCGAACGCCCTGGCGCTGGAGTGGGACCTGCTCACTTCAGTGCAGCAGGCGACGAAGCAGCACTTGATTCCCTTGACAAGTCTGGTTTGCCGGGCGGTGGACATTGGCGCGGATGATGCCGCAGACGGACAGATCAGGGAGAACGTCGTGAATATGGTCATGCGTTACCTGGATACCGACTCTCTTCTGTGCTGGGCGCCGCCGCCGAACAAGTACGATGACGTGCCGGGCCAGGAGACCCTCAGGGAGAAGCAGGAGAAGGCTTACAATGAGATCATTGGCTATCTCACCACCCGAGTCTTCCCCGGCGTGGAGATTATACCAGTGTTAGACGGCGAGTCTCTCATGCCTAAGAGCCAGAGCCAAATCACGACACAAATCATTCAAGGATGGGTATCCGGCCTTAACCATTGGGAATTGGCAGGTCTGGAAAGAGCTGTGTTGGCCGGAAAGTCGCTTCTCTGTGCAGTCAGGCTTGTTGTCGAGTGGAGCGAGGGCCCCGCCGGCACGCCCTCGGGTGTTGGTGCAGTCCAGGCTGGCACGAAGTTTGGGATCGAGGAAGCTGCCAAGTCTTCGAGTCTTGAGGTTGACTGGCAGATTGGTAACTGGGGTGAGGTCGAAGACACCCATGATGTTGAAAAGGAGGACATCAGACGACAACTGGGCGGCGTCGTTCTGCTCATTTCCGGCACGGGTAGAACGTAACCATGGCTGTAACATGAAAGTACAACTATTGTAAAAACAACAAGTATTATATTCAATATATTTGTATCATATATGGATTCCGCAGTTTTCTTCAATTTTGGAATAGATGATAAGGGTGTTAGATGTGTTTTGAGATCAGAATCTATTATAATCAATGTATATCCATTTTACCTTTCTTACCATTCGCAAAATCCACAAACTTGGCGGGCTCACTCGACTCAACTTACATTAATGTAGGCAGGGTTTGGCCGAAAATATTTGGCGGCGCTCTCATGAATTCGTCCCAGTCGTCCCATCTCCCTTCATGGGTCCAGTACTGTATCAATCCTCGGGCACTCGACAGGTCGTGAAACCATGTAGGATAAATCTCCTCGGCGTCAAACTCTACACCGAAGCTCAATGGATTCATCGTTTGTGGTGGTTGAAGGGCTTGCGCCTGGGCTGATACAAGGTCGGTTATTACAGTGTTAGTTCCATGTTACGCCCTGAAGCGCTGGATCTGACGGGCCCGTTGCCGCAGGTGGCCGGTGAAGCGCGACTGGACGACCTTGAACTGCCGGGAGTCGTACACTGGTACCGCTGCCCTCCGGCGCTGTCGGGCAGCGGATACTGGCGCGGGTTCCAGAGGCCCGTTTCCAACGGCCAATCCGAATTCTTTCATCTCAGAGTCACTCGCAGGCGGGGCCGTTGGATGAGATTGCGGGCTCCCGAGATCAGTCAAGGGCGCTTGTTCGAGGGGAGTATACTCTCGTCTCTGGTTGCGTCGTGGCGACGGCTCGGGACTCAATAAGCCCCCTCCTAAGTGGCCTCTAGACCCTGAGTCACTAGATTGGTCAGCACGACCAATACTCATGTTCTGGAAGAACTGGGCAAATGAATCACTTCTGCCAGCACCAGCGCGGGAGGCGAGCCTGGGACTATTTGGGTCCATTGCATCGATATCGGCTACAGGAACTTCGACAAAGGCAGCCTCGAGATCTTCAGCGTCTGTTTGACCTGGGTTTCTGAATCGATAGCTTCGCAGAGACGCATACGTGGGCATACTTCTCATGTCGGGGACCAGATACATCCAGAATCCCGCGTGAATGACTATCACGATCTCTACATCCTTATTGTTGGTTGCATTAGCGGTTTCTACCAATAGGCGGCGAAGACTCCGACGCACAGACCGAGCTCTGTCAAGGCCATCTCGATGCTTATTGGTATACTGTGTTCCGGGCCCTGGACTTCGGTAGTCGCCCTCGAGATACCGAGCATCAATCTTTCCCAGACTGTGGGCCATGATGGTGTCTCTGTCAGCCGGAATATTGCAATGGAACGCACTCATATCTTGTAGAGCTGGTACAGGAGTTATTCTGACGCCCAAGTTTCTCGTCTGGCCATAAAATGCCAAGTCGGCTGTTCGTATCGCACTTAGTGACGGTGAGCATAATAGCATACTCATTCGGGACCTGATTCCAGCTGTGTCGGCGCTCAGAGTACTGCATTGATTCCTTCCGACTGCGGACAAATCTGGATCAACCATATCATGGTCCACGCCACTGCCATTCACATCAAAATTCGCCGGCTGCGCGTGGCGTACCAAGTGAATTATGGGTGCCATCTTTCTTTTGACGGGTCTGTCCCCCGAGGATAAAGGGACAGATAGAAGTTACGGGATTTATGTTGTACTTAATCGTACAGGTTGAGCTTGAGTATTCAGGAATGAACCAAAGTGAGAAACGCGGTAGTTTATACTTAATTGACAACATGTATATTCGAAGGAAAGAAAAACAAACCCATTGTCTTAGCCTGGCTTATATTTTGGAAACCCCGGTCTACAACATTGATTTTGCCGTTATCGGGCCTTTCTTTGTTCCTCAGTGCCACAGTCGTAGAAGTAATACATTTCCTTTTTTTCTTTTTTTCTTTTTTCACTCTTTTTTTCTGGAATATCCGGTATTGCATGTCTTCAATGCAGATTGGTCGGAAGGGCGACCATTCGTTCTTAACACTGTTTCCACTCTTGTCCACCATAACAAAGGATCACGCCCTAGCAATCGCCATCGGTACAAGCGTGAAGCATTTCGAATGCCTCCATTCGAGGTAAAGATTGAGTTGTTCAGTTGCTGTTTACCAGAAATCCGGCAAATAACATACAGTCTGGTTCAACTCCTTCATGCACAGATGATCAACGTTTGGATTAACATCGGTAAGTATCGGAACCAGAGTGAGTTAAGATACAAATATGACGTATACTGTCCTGCGCCAGCAACCTGTCTGGGCAAAGTACACGTGAGCGAATGCACTTCGCCTGAAGTATGCATTCTTCATCAAAAGTTGAATCGCCACCATAGAAAATATCTGAATAATTTATAGCACTTGGATGAATTGGTTCCAGGAGCAAGGCATATATAATGGCCTTTCATCTCGATATCAAGCATTTGCGATCGGCGAATTTCTAAAGAGTCATCAGGGTTTATGCTTTGTGTTACAACGTAGAATAATTCCGGCCGCTTAGGGAATGGCTCACGCTTTTGACTAAGAAGTCCCAGGCCAATACTATCAACAAACAAATCCGTTTATTCTAGGATGTTCTGCACCAAGTCTGCAGAATTGCCTTATCCCTCGCGCATTTCGCGGTTTGGTCGACACACCGGAGGCAAACCATGGTCAAGAAGTCCAGAATTATAAGTAATATGGAACAGCTTGCGCATAGCCTTTAGAGCAGTAACTACTCAATTCGGGACTGCTTGTCAAATCATTTCGCAAATTACCACATACAAACACGCTCAAGGCTTCATGGATGCCTCACCATCTCTCAACAATCACCTGTTTAAGAATCGGACCGTGTGTTGCCATAGATAATGGATGCCGACAAGTGGCGCCCCGGTGCCACAGAAGTTCATCACATGTCGAGTAGCATGATAGAACTAGGTAGGCATACAAAAATCAGTCAACCCATTTACGTAGCAAACACTGCATAAATACCGGCAACGTCTCTCAGTAATTCATTGACCTATTAATACCACAGAAAATGCGTAAAGATAATTAATGGAAGTATTAGGGTACGGAAAGCAGATACCCGCCAGTGATTGTGTTCGTGTCTGGAGCTTGAACCCCACATTGCAAACAGTGGTTCCGGCAACAGCATGAATCACAAGAGATCCACGACTACCAAATAATTCTCCAGCTTGTAGAATTCCCAACAAGACAGTGCATGATATCATTTGGCTTCTGAGAATGCCCCAATACATACCACCTCACCGTCGCTCTCAAGCAATAGGCGCTAGCGCCTCCGGGGCTCCAGCAGACACTTCTCTAAACGCTCCACCACCCACAAGGCCCCACAGTAGTGATCCACGAGACGGGCGAGGACACCGCGGCCCTCGCGAGCAATATCACGGAAGTCATCGAGGCGGACCTCGTGGAGGTTATGGTGGTCGAAAGAGGCTTGACCGTCCAATTGTTGATGATGCGGACGCCATTCATGGCTATGACATTGCCCACTACTTCTGGCCGCATGGCGACGAGCAGTTTGTGCCGGCTATTAAGACCTCAACTTTCCATGACTCTGCGGCGCAGCTGGAGCAGCTAAGCTACATGATGCTTTTCTGTAATGCAAATCCCAGGTGGGATAGTGGGGGCATTGTCTTTGCGAAGAGCTCTCGTAAGCAATTTTGAGGAGTCACTTTCTGCCCTTACATCATGTCTCCGGAGTGCAACATTGCCCATCAGAGGCAGGGTTTTCCATGATTGTTTCAATGATACTCGGGGAAAAATCAATTTCTGACTCTAAATAATATAGTGAATTTGCTACCAGAGTACTCAGAGCAAAAGCTCCAAAATGGGTTGTGGGTTCTACCTGCTACAACTAGAAAGTCCAGTTTTCACGAGGCGCCGCTTCCAAAAAGAGATGACACTGAATCACAAATCACGGAGGGAAACACTTCAGAAACTCCTCGACAGAATGATGAGCAACGAGCCAACACGAATGAGTGCACTCGACCCGCTACGATTACCACCAGTTTTCAGGATATACCACAGACGACCGAGCTTGTAGAACCTCCCGAGACTCACAGTACAGACGATAGCGAACGAGATACCATTTTGAACGCATCACTGACACGTTTGGGTGTTAGGACCATCCCGGCCAGCGATGTCTACAGTGAGAGTGCAACCACCAAGTACCCAAGCATCATGCCCATCGACTACATTCCTGGCACTCATCCACCTATCGCTGTGTTCGAAGAGTTGAAAAACACCAACAAACATACCTTCATCTTCTTGGGCTGGTACAGTATCGGCCGTATCAACATCATCGCTCCCCACTCTGCAGAACTTGTACGCATGTTGCAGCAGAAATGGGAACGTCGGGATCGTTACGGCAATGTCATTTCAACAAAGCCGAGAGACGCATCGGCTTGGAAATCTTCGATGACTCATGAGTGGGCGATTGTGAAGTTCGACAAGCTACCTGCAGACGTTGCCCCTCCAGCACCCATTATTCCGAAAAGAGAGAATGATTTGAGGAGAGGAATCGCTGGGGCGCGCAAGGGCGTCACAGAGCTGCTGCAGGAGATGCGTCTCAGTGATGGAAACATGGCTTCAAGCGTTGTGGGAGAAGTCAAAGATAAGAGTGATATACAGCAACAAGGCGATAATACATCCACTTGAGGCGATAGTTTAGAAAGCTTACGTTAATTTGTGAGGTTAGAAGATTCAGACACCTTTAAGAGTAGGTGTATAGAATTAGCTCGATAGACCTACTATGTAAGAGCTACCACACTGTAGACCCTCAATATAAGACGGGTGAAACATGACCCAGTGGGATAAATTGGAACACGAAAAGCAAGAAATCGAACTTCATTAATTTAGTGGATCCACATTGAAAGCCGGTTCCAACGTCATTTGGACCGGTCAACCCGGCATACGTATGCCTTTTCGCTCCTCATTATATGGCTACATGCCAAGTTTAGAAGTGTTTGCCCAAGAACTCGACAACGGTCTTGAAACCGCGAGTATATTCCTCCTTGACATGGGAGTCCTCCAAGTCCGATCGAGCACCCATCCACCCATGGATCTGGTCACTAAAGCTCTCCACATGCTTGGGGCCGGAGAGGTTGGACTCGAACTTTTCGACATCCTCAGGAGGCTCATCCTTCGATGCTAGCAGGCACAAGGGAATCTTGATCTTCTTGGCATCCTCAGGCTCGACCATGGCCGGGTGGCATTCAACAGCAGCCTTGAAGATGTTGTCCGAGGATGAAACCGCGAGTGAGACGACCTTGCCGCCCCAGCAGAAACCAATGATGGCCCACTCCTTGATCTCCGGGTGCTTGGACTGAGCGGCCTTGATATACCCAGGGATCTTTTGCGCAACACCAGGAGGAGGATTCTTCTGGAAAAAAGCGCCCAGCTTCTTCTGCTTCTCCTCAGTGTCTGGGGGGAAGCTGAGAGCGGCAGTATCAGTACTTCGTCCCGAACCTTACACGGTGATGCCACTTACATCTCAATCGGACAAGGCTCGCCCTGGAACCAATCAGGCATGAAGACCTGATATTTCTGCTTTGCGTCTGAGCTGCTCAGGATATCGGCTCCTTGCAGTGTCTGAGGGTAATATCCAAAGATATCGAAGATGCTTAGGATGCCCTTACTGGCATCCTTGGGGCCAGTGACGTCTGATCGGAATGAGCGGGGTTCGGTATCTCGGGCGGAGCTGACTTACAAGTCTTGAAACCACCAAGTTCCTCGTAGCTGCCCTTCCCATTGTAGCCTTTGGACTGCACGGGAGGAATGTTGCAGCAAGCCTCAGAGTGGCCGTGCGATGCTGGCATAGATGACATCGTGGCGTTTGACTGGCTGAAATAGGTTTGACTGAAGTTTCAGCTTCCCTGTGGGATTTTCTGACTACAGCAAGCGTTTGAGTTGAATGCGCTGTTTGCAGCTGGTGAGATGGAAGGAGTAAGATGGAATGGTGAGATGGAAGGGGGTTTGGAGCTTTGGCGAATTTTTAAGATTTGGCGGCGACCTGCGCAGCTGTTCTTGTACTTTGAGAAAGACATATGCAACTTAATGACCGACCCCAACTAATCTACCTATGCACCAATGGCCAACCGTCCACTCAAAAGCGCCACTTAACATTCAGCGATTCCTATTCGAAGATCTCTACCGTGTGCTTACCTCTCTGTTTGGGCCGTCTTTGATGAGGGGTAGTTTTCAGGGGTGAACATCAATGATGCTAAATCTAAACGGAGGGTGGGGTTGGTGATGATGTCACTCAACGACTAATTGATAAAGGAAGTTGAATGGTTGACATAGAAAAAGTTAAATGACGCATTAGATATGTGCTAGTATATTGTATAAGATTCTTATTATCGTGAGACGCATGTGCGCCATAACGTTCGGAATGAAAAGGTATGTTTCCCACAAGCACCTGTAACAAGGGCATCGTCGTTCTGCTCCAGTCACCATTTCGAGATATCCAATCTCGTTCAAGGACTTGTACAACTCACGAAATTTGAAAAGCCAATCGAAATCGCATTTTCCATCCTTCCTTGCTCCGCTCCAGCATTCACCACAACCTGGTGTAGTGGCAGTGGCCGGCTACAGCGCAAGGGAATATCCCCACTCCTCTTCTGTCATCTGTTCCGCATAATGAACTGCCAGTGCCACAGCCTTTCTCTCGACAGACATCTTAAGACGACTAAGAGCTTCAGCAGCAGTGAACCACTGTGCTGTCATGACGAGACTGTCTTGCTGGCCCAGCAGAGTTTCGTCAGGTGATATACCTCGAAGAGGCTTTGCGGCATACCAGTAAATATGTCTCATAGCCCCTGTTGCCGGGTCTGGATACTGGCTGATGCAAAATATGTCTCGGTTTAGAAGATTGATGATACCATTGTCATTATTTTCGCTGTTCTTTGTTGGTACACTTGACTGCTGCCTCAACATGAGGGCGGTCTCTTTTTCTGTTCGTTCCGGCAATGTGAGCCGCGTGCAAAATCTCAAATACAGCGGCTGGACAGCCACGCCAGTTTCTTCCGCAGTTTCGCGTAGTGCTGCATCTGAGAAATCTTCGTGGACGTTCTTTCGACCTTTGGGGAGTTGCCACTGGAACCGATCCCCAATCATCAGCGTTTCGTCCGGCAAACACCAATAAAATAGCCCAATGATACCGGTGCAGTTGTCATGGCAACCTGAAGGAGACATGATTGTCAGCGTCACTTACAGCTCTGGTGTTCTTGTTCCATATAAGCAGCACCCTCCTATCGGAGTGTGCAGCATGATCCATGGTAACGGTGCCGCAACTGATCATCAACGATTGGGTGTCGTACCCTTCCGAATGACGCTCAAGGAGGTTCCATTCCTGATCATTCCATATGACATGTCGCTTGTACCAAGGACGGCTCAACATTCTAACAGCATTTTCCTTAGCTTGGTCCAGCAATGACAACGTTCTGGTCGCAATCGTCTGCGAGCGAATGTTAGGACCATCCTCGTCCTCTGTGGACGATAGTCTGAGCTTGAGAGACCAGCCTTTGGTGGTGGCTGTGGAACATTCGCCAACGATTGTTGAGTCGATCGCCATCTTTGTAGAATTTATGGTGCGTTAGAATAGACAGTATCATGGCTCGAGAAGGATTCCTCGGAGTTGGTGCCATTTGTATTGGCGCGCAATATGTGGCAAAGAACAAGCCGCGAAATCGGTACCGTCAAACTTAAGGTCCATAAGTCTGCATTTATGGTGTTTATAACGAGTGTACAGGTAGAGCAGTAAGGGGCTCTTTGGTCATTCTAAGCACCCAGGCGCCACATACGAGTCAGTCCTGGAAAGTATTGATGTTTGCTTGATGGATCTCCCTTAAGATTGGCCTTGTATCAAGTACTGGCAAGGACTATTCAGGTTTATTTAAGCTCTGAGTGGATATTTTGGTTGACCGGCTATTTTCACGCTATTCCTCTCGTTTGATCGGTCACAATTTAGAAGTCAGGACTCACCCTCTGTGCCAATCAAATGACGTGTTACTGGCAAAGTGCAAGGGTTTGCCGAGCGAATCCTGGCTCCAGGCTGTTCGCTAGAGTGACAATTTCAGGTGTCGGTTCTATTGACAGGCTCCAAGCTTGTACCTTTATGGTTCAACACTAATTCAATAGGTGGTAAAGCTCAGCCAATGCTGACACATGACCGAACCGGTCAGGCTGCTGTAAAAGTCTGACCCGCATGATGAGTATTCAGTGTTTCTGACAAGTCGGCCGGCGTGGTTCAACAACTTGGTCGGTGAGGCGCGCAGTTGCTCACCGCAAATATCACACCGCGATCGATATGAGTTTTTCAACTCCACCCTGCCGGACCCTGGAGCAAGGTACCGAAGCACCCCACTACCCAAAAGGGACCCTGTGGAAGCTGTGCGACAAGGAAGACATTGATAATGGATTGGCCGATTGTTGGCGAAATACGAATGCCAATCTGCTGCATGTCAGATCGCTCTGCTACAGCTTGGAAAGGCTCTTGCTGCTACTCGCGATGGAACGAGCCAATTCGGTCGACCCCACGCACCAGTACCACCTGTCCGGATTTTGTTAGGATCGGAAAACATCTGCCGGATTTTGCTTTTGCCTTGCATAATGTTGTAGCACCTATAAAATACCTACTCTTGCTAGAGTCATTTTCGAGAACATCTGCCAGGCGCTTCTGTGCTACACATCCGCTCGTCATGCGCTGGACGCAACTCGCGTCAGAGTCAACCACAGCCACGGGTGAGACATGAATGCGGACACTTCCACACCCATTCGGGATCCTGATGATACTACATGTCCATATTGATCAGGGATGCCTCTCGGGTCGATTGCCGAATGGCATGCGTGAGATGCCTTAGCTCGCACATGTCCATGCAGTCAAGTGATGTTACCATGTTCAGCTCGTAATCGTGCGCTGCAAGCCCTACTTTAGGAATCTGAATTGTTGCTTTCGCTAGATAATCCTCGTAGCTTTCTGCGTAATGTCTGATGTCAGGTCAGGCCATTGCCGACCAACTCCAAACCTCGATTTTATACAGCAGCGCTAAGCACTACACAGCGAAAGCAACACTATAAACTGAATGTATTTCATTGTGCACATCCCCCTGTGGCAAACGCGCGTCGAGTGTGACTTTTTTTTTTTTTTCGTCACAATGGTGCTCTTGTATATGACTGCACATAACGATTACATTTATACACGTAGCGACTGCATACATGCCAATGCATCCACGTAGACCAACCCGGATTGGGGAGGTCAGGTAGTAGATAGTAAATCAATATGGAATGGCTATGTATTCCATGAAGTGGTGGTTGATCAAATGTACACTCGATTGATGATTGCAAATGGTACCGCCGATCACTCCGACAAGGTTCCCATCACCATGTTTGAAGGGTCTGAAACGAAGCCTGGGCACATATTATTGACACCAGGATATTGGCGATTTCGACCGGGCTATTGATCCTCTGAACTTGTTTTTGTTCTGTACCCCCAAAGCATTTGCTACTTAGCAGCTACTCTCAGCTACAGTCTCCAATACATTGCCTTGTGCCCGTCACTGCCCGTAAACCTATGTTCAAGAATTTTAAGCGTGCATATGGTGATGAGGTTGGCAAACACTATTGGTGGGCCGCTTGGTTTTCAACATCTATGCGTATCAAAGACAGCCTACTTCTCCAATCGCAGGCCACCGACCCAGAGTTCTTGCGCATGGTCAGGCTCCGAAGGCATGATTCAATAACAATAGTGATTCCCCTTAGTTTCCCTGTCAGAAAAAATAGAAGTCTTTCTTGCACAATCTGGAAAGACAAAACATCTACCAGGACGGTACACTTCCTTAATACTATTTCGTCACTATCACATCAGTTGATAAGCTGACGTCGGCTTTATTGGTTGCATGTAGATCGCGGATGAATAACGTTGACTATATGACGAATCATGAACTAGGTTGCGTCAAAGCGACGACTACCTTAGCCGGCTCCTATCACAAGACACAGAGTCATTGGGAGCCTTCGTATTTACTCCCAGTCTTTGTATTGTTGAGCTGATAATTCATTGCGCACAATCATGCCCTTATAATACCGTAAGCAACTAGTTTAGAAGTCAAGACTCATTGCACATGCTCACATACAACATCTCTTATACCCTTCGCGGTGTTGCAGCCATTTGTTTAAAAGTAGATATTGTGACGCCTTTCATGCGTTATGTCAAAGCCTTCACTCAGGCTCATCGATTCCGGATGCCTGGTTCTGTCGCATCCGTGGTCTCCTTCTTATGCCCTTCAACCTCGACATCTTACTCGACTAGCCCCCAGTGCCGCTTTTACTTATACGTTCCTTGACTTGTAAACTTCTGCGGGGGAAGTTTTACAGAATCCTTCGTACAGTAACACCCTGGTACCATCAGCACTAGCAATATCCAACTTCAGCTGAATCTCGACGTGATTTGCTGATTTTTTGATAAGATGATATTTTGAATTTTTTTTGGCCTCAAATGTAACTCTATATATCGTTACACTATGACACGATTGTGAAATCTCGGTAACGCCGGATATTTGGATACACCATGGAAATCGCTTGGAGATAAACGCTCACAGGTCAAAAGATGAGCTCCTCGGACTTAGCGTACTTTGGTACTTATGATGCCTCTGATATACGCAACTTAAGTGGAAGATTGGCTTGAAGGCAATACCACTTAATGTATCCAGTAGGGGGAACCTTGGTTGAGAGTACAAGACGTTGGGCTCATCATCAACATACCGAAGACGCATGTATCCCACGGGAGATCAACTAAATTTCGAATTCTCTATCGATACTACTTCGTCCCTAGCATTAGGCATGTACCCTAGGACGTCGCATGTTTCAATATCGTAGCAATATCAATCGTCTCAAATGGTCCCAATTCCCAACCCAACGCAATCCCCTTGTCTGCGGGCGTTCTCACAGCTGTGCAAGTCATGTAGTCTGCTCCCAGAGATCTGAGGCAAATATTCGCATTGTCAACCTTGTCCCCTTTAAACAGTACCTCATGCTTGCGGATAATGGTGTTTTCCGGATCTCCCGCAGCTTGTACATCCGCCAATGCCGGGTCTGGTGCCCTAAAGTCTTGGAATTCAAGTTCGTGGAGCCATGACGCGAGCAACGCCTCACCGGTCATCTTGACATAGGCTTCACGAAGACACCACAGCGCGTAGAATCTCCGTAATTGGGCGTCGATCGCCCCCTTGGAACGTCTCACCGACGTCGTGTTCCTGAGATCCTCGGTCTCCGAGGCTCCGAACACGTCTGAGTGCATATCCACGAATTTGACCCAGCCCTCTGCGTTGATCATCTGATGGTCCCGTGCTTCGCGCTCGTTGACACAAACGACGTCCACACCGATCTCGGCTGAACCCGGACCTTCGTACCCTGCTACAGCAGCTAAGGCCACAATGCCATTTTGGTGCGAGACATTGAAATGAACGGGTTGACTGCCATCTGCTGCGACATATATGGGCTTTCCGTTTAGGCCCCGTGTGATCTTGGTAGATGACCATGGGATTCCCAAAGTTTTGCTCAGAACATAATGTTTGAGAAATTGCGAGGCAAGGGACATTTTGGCATCTCGAACGAAAAAGTATTTCAGCACACCAGTTTTCTCCTCTGGTGTGAGAAGAGCCAGGTACTCAGCGGCCTATTTCCGGCGTAAGCGAGATGTGTCTGTGAAGAAGTAAGACAAACCTTTTACCTACCACATCTTGTAGTTGTGCCGGCTTCTTAGCCTCTGGCCAGAGGTTGCGCGTATCTACGATCCATTGGATCACCTGAGGGTTTCCTGCCGCCATAGTGTTTACCAGTCAATTTGTCGCAGTGAGAGAAATAATGTTTCCTCAATCCTTCACGGCTCGGGGACCGGGATACTATCAGTTCTGTACAGTCAGCCCACGTGATTATCCCGCCGAGCCTTGGCCACAGCTGCGCGTCGTAATAATGCAACTGCTTATAGAACTCTTTGCATAATATTGAGCGCCACTGGAACCGAAGCGCAAGGGATGCTCGTAAAATAGCGGCTTAATTTCGATTTATAAACGCTCATTGGGTGCCTAAGGCTGAATACCTTACCATTAGATTCGCTGGACGATAGATTGGGGGTTTCCGGGCGGCTCACGGCCCCAGAGGCTCGCTTCCAAAATTACTTGTCTAGGTGGCCCCGACGCTGTGGAGTACTGGCTCGGCCCGCACGTTTAGTGGTTGGCGGAGACCAAGTACGTCTCCAGCAATGTTGCGCGATTTTGATCTTCACACTCCACAATGAATCCAGTAAGCAAAGACACGCGGTGTTACCTGAGAGCCTGGCAGGCACGCAGGCTATTCGAATAGTAGAGATCTTTGAATCACAAATCTTGGCACCTGAGCATTGGCTGGCTACAGTTGGACCTTCCCTAAACATCATGGTGATTGGTGTGGATGGCATTATCTTTTATAGTACAAAAAAGGTCGGCGTAGCTTTTGGGGGCCTTGCGCGCCCCATCCCTGGTGTCGTTCGGAAGCCCTGACCAGCGTGTTAATAAACATCGGCTTTTTCTGACTTTTCACGTCCGGTTGAGGTTGCGTGTTATACAAGATCTGTTCTTTTTTATATTCCTCGGTAAGGGGCGGGGGAGATTCCCCCTTTCGCTACGTGATAAAACTAACCATCTTTACCCCTTTTATAAAGGAAGTTGATGGTAATCTTTATTACTAAGTAGCTTTTTCATGACGTGAGTACATGTTCGAAGATACTTGAAGTCCTCCTGAATGGTGCGGATAGAGGGGATCCAGTGTTCAACTTGTTTGAGATTATGTAGGATCAGCTTTCTTTGATCTCCATCGAGCACGTTTCTAAACATGATCTTAATCCGGAGCCCAAGTTCAGCATGACGTTCATCACAATAGGATACGCCTGGGACACGGGACTCAAGCTAGGCGACTCAGGACCTCGTAAATCATTCACATTCCGTTCTGATGGCTGAAGAGAAGCCTGTAGCACGCCTGCTGAGATCTTTCCAAGAATAAAATGATCGGGGTTCTGGCGATCGCATCCCATTTGTTTGAAAACCTTCTAGAGATGGTCAATCTTCTTTCAGTCGGGCTCCTCGTCCGAGTCGAGGTCTAGCTGATTCAAGGAGATCTTCGCATTGCTACAAAATTTATTCGATAACTCACGACTGAGCTTTTTTGACCGAGCCTCTCAATTGAAGAACACCGTTTGGATAACATAGATGGTAACCTCTGATATTCAACAGATGTTTGATGCTTCGAATTAAGGCACAGATTTAAACCAAAATAAGAGCGCTTGTAGTGGCCATTTTTTTATGATGAATGTTACATGTTACTATCAAGAAGCAAAAGGTTGGTGGTGACAATTCCGGCCTCGAGAGTTGAGCATTGGCTAAAAACGGCCGCTCGTGTATATCTATTTATATATCGGCACCAAGTCGTCTTAAGCCTTGAAAGTATAGTTGTGGACTCCCTTATAGCGTCTTCTTTTCTTTAAAACTCAATTAATTTTGAAATGGCGTTTCTTAACTGATATACACTCTTCGTTGATGATGCCTCGCTAGACGTCCTTGAGCGAGAAGCAACAATTTACGAAAGAGTCCCCCACCAACCACCCACGAAGTGTTAGTGGTAGCCACATCACCAGCATCCCCGAAGATAAGCCGCCACCAACCGCCCGAAGCGATTTCCCGTCAAACCAACCGCTGTGCACTCTCCGTTCGGATATCTTCTAGTTATTTAATTGTGGCGTCCGCTCATCCAAGCAATAATTCCTATACATGCCGGGTTAGTACTCAGATGGGTGACCACTGGGAAACCCCTGGTGTTTTATGCTTTTTGTCTATTTACTTTTCATGATTTACACTTTGATGTCTTCCATCAAGTCTATCATCATGTATTTTATTATTAGGTTAGGTAGATACATACGACCATAGCTCTTAGAAAACTCGGCATCCCGTCCGCTCTGCCCTAGATAAACTGGGAAGCGCTGGATTAGTACTCAGGTGGGTGACCACTGGGGAATCCCCGGTGTTGTATGTTTTTGGACTCCTTTTTGCATTTTTGGATGATTCTGTCTACAGTACTTTTTTATGTTACATATAAGATCTCGCCCAGCAGAGGCAGTCTCAAAGCAGACAACAACACGACCATAGGTTTCATCATCACCACAGAGCATCTGCTCGACTAAATTGTTTCTAACCTCTCTGTTGCAACTGACTCATTCTACCTTTGAGAACATACGTGTTACCGGCTGGTCGTGAGCTTCGGGCACGTGTGCAGCAGCGACGGACATACGCGAATATTGCGATTACAATAGTCAGAGGGACCGAGATCCACCAGAGCCAATTGAATGGAGGTGTAACTTGCACTGTCCATAAACCGTCTTCGTTTATCTGGGACATGAAAAGCTGACTGCCGAGCACGGCGGCTACAGCACTTGTTGGTAAGAAGATCATGGTAATCGCCGCGATGATCTTCATCGAGTTGGAGTCTCGAATCATGACCATTGAGTCTTGTTGAGTGACGAGATTGAAGGATAAAGTGATTGCGATATCGATACGCCTCTGCAAGCTGGTCTGCCGAAGCTTGGTCGACTTGAATAGTGACCGGCGGTACTCGAGGGAGTCCGCAAGCTGACGCTGCAATGTCTCTCTGGCTGTGTCAGTATCTTGAGCATCTCTTTTAACCAGAACGAGCATCCTATCTACAAGCAGCAGCATGGAATCTACTGCTTCAGCGATGTAGTTGTTGTGCTTCGCACAATCGTGCAGTTTGGCGAAATCAATGTTTTTGCTGATATTCACCACATTTTTCGAGTTGGCTAAATTCAGGACGTCCTGGTATACTGAGTCAGAAGGGGCTGAGATTTGTCTGGTGGTAGCCTTACATGCTCCATGGGCCCGAAGACGTCGACCATGTTCCAGAGGGCTGTATCTACGTCGAGGAAGAGACCCTCTAAAGTCAGATCGAGCAAGACCAGGGGTTCAGATTGAACGACGTGGACATGGTTCGTCTGCAAAAAGTCGACAATCCTTGAATACACATTGGGCGTTGCCCCAAAGATGGCAAGCGTCGTCCTACCATCGTGCGTTGTCCTCAGAAAGAAGCCGGATCGATGCCAGCCATACTTTGCTTGGAGAAGTGCGGACTCTCCGACCAGTGTAGTTCCTGACAACTTAGGATCGACGTTACTGCTTTCGCTGAGTAGCTCGATCCTCTTGCATAGAAAATGAAACCATGTGCTGGTGCCGTCTGTTTCAATTCTCGTGCCGAAACTATGAGCGACATCTTGAACCCTTTCTATTGTAAATTCTCTTGGGACCGAGAGGACCTGGAATAGTTCCAGCAATTGTTGTAGTGACTGGGCTTGAGGAAGGTCAAGGGGTGCAAAACTGATTCTAGGTTAGCATGAACGTGCATCTGACTGTGCTGAGATTTAACCTTACATAACGCGTAGGGAAGCTTTAGTGTCCAAATATATCGAATTTGTTTCTGGACGACGGCGCATAGCCTTTGTTACTGCTGGTTGTCAATAATTACATCAGTAACATCAGGGCGTTGTTCTCCAAGATACCTTCATCTAGCTCCCATATTTCAATGTACTGTTGAGGCTCAAGCACTGGGGTAGAGTAGCCAAGAGCTTTGTGGCGGAAGGTTGCGTATGGCTGGGAGACGCTGGTCCAAGACATGCTGCTGATCTTCCGGGAAGAAGACGAAATCTGATTGACTCCAACTATCCGCAGGTAATTCACTCATATAAAACCTATGTACGCAGGGTCCAAAGTGGCATGTATCGTAATTTTCAGCTAATTGAACACTACCACTGTGATATGACTGGGTATATTTGAGTGAGAGCAGCTACTGGCTGGTGTCTCAACTACCTTCGGGTACGCGTCCCGTGTCTCGCATTGAACTTAAGAGATAACGTGGACATTTAAGCTTGGAAACTATTGACGTGGGTATTGATATAAAAATATCAAGTTTTCGGCACTATCAAATCGAGACCTATCAGGAATCATATCTGACCAACGCGGCTGGAAGCCATGGCTCATCGGTGCTGAGCAGAACGCGTAGGAGCGTTTTACTAATTTAACTTGTGGTGTCACAAGCTCAGGATGCCTGACTTGTCTCATGAGACGGGGGCCCAGACTGGTCAAAAGCCGGTTGCCAAGAACGCAGCTGAAAGAAGCCAAACCATGAGGCGCCGTTCTGCGACTCGTAAAGGTTCAGGAAAGGGTCGAGCGACAAGCAATTTGACGAGGCTGTGGGCGAACATATTGATTTCGGTAATTGAGATAGGTGGAAGCTTATTTTGGGGGGGATTCAAGGAGGAAGCGGCTGAGATCGCGGAAAACTCCGTCCGTCTTGTCAGGCCAGTCTGATACTCTTCAGACATGCGGCTGAAAGGAGCATGATCGGCGACTATAAAGAAGATACCAAGAGCGCACTCGCTCAAGCATCGGCAGCGATCCCAACCCGCACCAACGAAATATTTTGCCTTTAAACCAGATCGTGATTGAGAATGGTACGTGTCCAGCTCCGGTATACTCAAGCAGCTGCTGATATACAGTGCCTAAGTCAAGGCACGGAGGTAGCTACGACCCTAACGCGCACACTCCAGTTCAACTGCAGGTAACTTAACAGCCTCGCATCATCGTTTCTCGTGCCTGATAAGTGTAGCGTCCACAAGCGACGGCAAGCCCTTCAAGTTCATCAAATGGAAGACCCCCTATGATTGTAAATGTCCTGCAAACTCTTTTCTGCTTGTTTTGTTTAACAGTGAGCGCAGACACCAACAGGTACATCCAGTAGTGTCCCAAGCTATCATAGCCAACCACCACCAGTGCCGTCGCCGCCAGCATTTCAATACTATCAGGGACATCAAATCCCACAACAGCCAATGGCGCAGCCATATTATCAACATGGCCCAGTAAATATAAAACCCATAAGTCAGCATACAACGTATATCGACTAACAAGATCGACAGATGTTGGCCAATGCAGGACATGACGGACATGTATACCAGGAGACGGGAGGGAATCAGCAGGTATCTCGTGGGTGTTTCTGTCTCTGAGACAATGATTGATTAGGGATTAGGTTCATGCTCAAGAAAAACAAATAGAGGTGCTGCGAGAGCCAGGCTATAATCAAAATGTATGTTCCACTATTTATTCTTGTACCTGAGCCTATGCTGATGAATTTGATCCAGGGTGCTGAGTATCAGGTTCCTACGACCCAGGAGGAACTACTCAACGGTCAGACTGGACCTATAGTATACAGTGCGGTACGTGAAATCCATGATATCTAAGCTCAATACCAGACTAACGAGCCACAACCAGAGAGCAGAGAAGGAGTTCCCAGTGAATATGAAGAGTACAATGCATGTCTTCTCGTCTCACCCCGACTTTCGATGGGGAAGCGTCCACCATTATCGAAAGCCCGGGCACGTTTACAACGACCAAATGAAGTTCCGCCATCGTGACTTCGCGGACCGTGTGAAGAACAAGCCACAGAGTGACCGCTACTTGCATCACGAGCACGGCTATCTGCGCGATCTTATCGTGCAGACTACCGACGACATCTTCTTGGCCAACAGCAACGCGACCTGGATGCGCACGTATATTCGCAAGCAGGCCCCAATCAGAACTCGTATGGCCACTTGGGTCATTGATTTCAGCTATGATCCCGAGAGCTGGGAGGATTGGTGGATCATGATCCTCCGCGCTCTACCCGCCGCAATTGGTATGACGTTCATTGTAAGTCATGTTTTAGCCGTAAATTCGCGAGACTCCTAAAGAGAGAGCTATCAACTAACCCCGACAGTTCTGGGAAGTCTCAATCACGGGCCAGGAGAGATTCAACGGCCGCTACGCACCAGTTCCGTACAAGTTCCATGGACACGCCAAAGCCTGGAGTAACCATCTCGAGAACCGCCTGCATGACGTCCCCCTCGCACCTAGAAGGCCCAACGAGTACCATATTCTAAAGCCCAGGCATCTATGTTTCCTTCGCAACCCCAAGGAGTCGGAACTTCGCGGCTTAGACATCCGCGAGGTCAGCGCCTGGGAGGCAGACGAGGGCCCGAACGAGAACCTCAGCTACCTCTTCGTCGCGTATTCTGCAGACCACTTCAACCATGGTTCGGAAGAGGACATGCAGGCCCTGCATTCCATTGCAGAGTTCGCCTGCCGCCAGGCCCGGCTCCCGGCGTACTGGGTTGCTGCCAGTTGCCTGAGGGACGACGCGCAACTCGAGGCTGACGCAAGCAACCCCACAATACCGTGATGCACATGGTCATGCTAACGTTGCTTAGGTGTACCGAATCTCTGATATCCTTCGTGGTGCTCAGGACCTGATCATCGCTGTCGGGAACAGCTCGACGCGCGCCAGCCTCGGCAAGAAGCCCGACACCGAGGCTCTGCTTCGCCACTGGGGCACCCGAATGTGGACGTTTCCCGAAGTGCTCCTCAGCCCCGGAAAGCACATCACAGTCTACACCCGCGATGGCAACCTGAACTCGCCCCTGGTCCTGAGCAAGAACCAGTTCGCCGGCCGCGTCTGGGCCGACACGGATGCGGAGACCTCGCGGCAGCTGATCGATCACTACATCGGCAGCCTGGACCTCAGCCGGCTCGAGCTGGCGGTGCTTCTCCTGAGGTGTCTCTACGGGCGCCAGACGACGCAGCACCTGAGGGGCGACCGCGCGTACGCACTGATGGGCCTGCTGCGCATGCGGCCCGAGATTGACCGGACGGATTCGGAGTTCCAGGCGTTCGCGCGGCTCTCGCTGGCCAACGACTCGGACCAGCTGCTCGAGCGCTCGCTCTGCACCCTGCCGCTGTCGCCCGGCCAGCCCTGGTACGACATGACCGACGCGTACCAGTCGGCCCTGTGGGACATCGCCCCGACGTGCCAGATCGCCGCCATCTGCGACAACAACACCGTCATTGTGGACGGCGCCTACGGTGCCAGCATACGCTGGAAGTCCTTCTACCGCATCCGGTTCCAGCGCAATATGTCGTTCAAGAGGTGGGTGTCGGCGTTCCTCATGGAGTACAACGGCTACAACCTCATCATTGCCAGCACCTTGCTCGGCATCGGCTCCGGTCCGCCGATCAATAGCGCCGCGGTCGGCGTTGGTGTCATCTTTCTCTTGATCTTCCTATACTTCTGGTTCATGACTCCCAAGCTCGTGCGTGTGCTGCTCGGTGGCAAGTTCATAAACGTACAGGTAAGTTTCCTAAGGCAGACATTCTTTTCCCTTCCCAGCCGCGCAGAGGGGCACCAGAAGATAAATTCTTTCTTCTTCTCTTTTTTGGAAAAAGAAAGAGAGAAAAGAAAAAGGGGGAAGAAGATAGCAACAAGCAAGTGGTCTAACCAGCACTCCCAGGCCACCCTCTTCGGTCTCGAAGGCCACCTAAACGCCGCCACCATTGAGCGGACGCTGTTCGGGGGCGCCTTCGGACGCATGACGTGGTCCGTCAACGGCAGCCCGCTGAGCCGGTCGCGGCTCAACCAGTACGGCGAGCGCGAGGGTATCGACCCGGCCAAGGACCCGGAGGTGCGGCACAAGATCGAGGCGGCCAAGCACGCCCAGCCGGGCCAGATGAGGGTGAGTCATGTCTTTTTTCTTCTCCCCTCTCCCCCCCCTTTTTATTTTTATTTTTATTTTTTAATATCAGCTAATAACACATCCACCAAATCAACAGATCTTCACCCTCGTCGACACATACAACATGGAGCTGACGCTGTTCGAGGCGGCGAGGCCCCCGACGTGCATCTTTGTCTGCGCGGCCGAGGGCGGCATGAGGCGCGCGGTCGCCTGCTCCTACGACTGGGTGACGCAGACCATGTGCCGCGAGACGGTCCTGCGCATACCCACGAGGAGCCTGAACAGGATGGACCGGGTGCCCCGGTTCAGGATGGGGACGAGGTGGCCGGCCGCAAACGACGAGCGCCCTGATCTGGCTACGCGCCCCTTCTACGGTGGTGGCGGTGGTGGTACGGTCTAGCTTGCTTTCCTTATCTCCCGCGAGTTGGGCGGCTTTTCTTTGGGAAAGTGCTAGATTACTCGGTATATCTAAGAATCAGTTAGTGGGAGCAAGTTGAGATAATAGTGCGTTGCACAAACATTTGATGGTAATGTAATGATAGACTGGCAAGTTATGTGGGGTCTCTGTGAAATACCTTCGGTGCTTGCTCTTATTCGTAATGGATGGAGTGACGGATTGCTTTTATACTTTTATCTACCTGAGGTGTCTATGGATTTTCAATGGCCACCCTTATGATTGTCTGCTCTATCATGCAACCACTCGTTATTGCGAGGCTTCTTCTGGTGAATCAGGTGCTTCGATTGTGAACCAGAAGACGGTCCTTGAAGCCTTCTTTTTCTTGTCCTCCTTGGACTGTATTTTCTCGGGGCCTGCACCATCAAGCTGAGTCTCTTGGATCTGCTTCTCCTCTGTTGGCTTCCCTGTCTTCTCGCCATCCTTCTTCTCGTCCACCTTTGACTCTTCAATCTGCTTAACCACATTACCCTCGCCGTCCACCTCGACGACGACGTCTTGCTTGTCAAGACTTCCATCTTCTGTGTAGATCCACATTTCTTTCAGTTCGCCCCGAAGAGCACCTGTGAGCCACACAACCGACACCACACCGGGGACGAGGTATAATAGCGCTGGCTGGGCATGTTTGAAAACGAGCAGCATCACCAGCGTTGTCACCATAGAGAGTAGGTATCCAACCATGGCAGCTTTGAAGTACGTCTTGGGAAACGCAGCAACCTTCAACGTTGGGGTATTGCGCTTGCTCCAGAACATGTTGCCCCACTGGCCCTTGGGGTCCATGTATTCCGGTTTGTGGACTATGCGCTGCGTCTCCTTCGTGGCCAGGGTCCCCTTATCTGAGATTGTCTCTGTCTCTAGCTCCACGGGCAGAAGCTTTTGCTGCCGATAGTAGTAAAGGAAGAGATCAAAGCGGAGACAGAGTCCGATGAAGATACCTGGGACGACAATGTCGCCAAGACCAAGCATGCTCGAACGCTTATTTGACTCGAATACCAGTTTGATAGGGACATCGAGTTTGGTAGCAACGGTAACCATGTACGGGCTGTGTCCAGTAGTTAGTTTGTCTCCAGAATGTTGTGGCTTCTGGGCTGGAATACTTACGTATAGAAAACCATATAGATGTCATAAAAGAACAAGCCAAAAAGTACAGAGCTCCCAATCATAAAGGAGGTCGGCGACAAGGTAATGATGCCAACGTATGAGAATGCATAACCCATAACGTTTGACAAAAAGGTCGACTTGGTGTTGTGGTAGAGAATACTGAAGCCAATCGCCATCAGCCAGCCAAAAATATCATTAAGCTTGACATGGAACTTCTCGCGTCCGATACCATGCATTCCAATGCGAATAGTCCAGTCCTTCTTGAGAATGTAGCTTACTTCCCAGAGTGTGTTGCGCCACTGCTCCGAGAGCTTCATGCTGGAAAGGAAACCGGGAAACGGCGTCTTTCTGGTCTCGTCAGAGATATGCTCGCCAGATTCGTTGACATATGACTGGCACTTCTTTGCAGTGTCGAAGGTATAGAAAGTGCCATCACGGGCCTCCCAGTTGTCTGGGAAAATGAAACCAGTGAAGAAGTGCAGAGTGTCCGCTAGGAGCTTACCCATGCTACCAAGTGACATGACAGAGAAATAAATGCCCATGATTTTGCTGATGATGGCGGGATCTTCCAGCCACTTGATAAGGTAGTAGAGACCGACGAGGACAGTTCCAGCAAGGATAGGAAACATGATAGCATCCGATGCGACCAAACCCTGAACGAACGGGTCATCATTGTCGTCATCCCTCTTTCCTGACGTGGACTTTTTCTTGGCGGGAGGACTTGCACTAGGAGGCCGTCGCAAGGAGGCATGTGCGCCGAGCCAGATACAGGCCAGAGCTGAGAAGACGATCTTTGCTTCGATTATGAAGAGATCCTGGTGCTTCAGTAGGGCTGCAGGGAGCTGAGACAACGACTCTATCAACGTCAAGTTGCCAGTCACGTCCAATCCCTCAACGGGAACGCCGTTTGCGGAAGAGTTTGCCATGGTCGTGGCGTGGCGGCCGAAGATTTGAGATAGATGATCACAGGTGGGGAATGATGGTATTTGGTGATGCGTAGTTGTGCGAGAATAGTTCCTCTGCAAACCTGTCCTAGGAGTCGTAGGTTCTGGGTGCGTTCAATGTTTTATGACTGTAGTAGTCGGGATTGAGTGGGTCTGGTGTCCGAGCCTATGCATCTGCGTTTGATAGTCGCCGCAAAGCCTCTGAGAGAGGGAGGCAGGGGGCTAGACTAATAGGTGAAAGAGCGTCTCCGAGGTGCCAGTCCAACATGCATCAACAGAGGGCCGTGATTGCTCCCAAAAACTTGAGATTTCCTGGGTGGGTGGAGTGTGACGTGTTCGAGGCTGCTTCACCAAAAACATGTGTCGTGAAATATGTCCTGAAGATCTTTACAAGGACGTCACTTGAGCCGCAACCTTATGACCTGAAATCTCGGAGACGCAGATCGCCCAAGGACTGGGTAATGGATGAGATCCGGGTGAATTTCCCCGTTGAGAGTGCTGGTTTTTGCGGGCGCAAATTCTAGTCCAGAAATATACCCAAGTGAGAAATTACCACGTAGTCTAGCATGTAATTAATAAAGCTGCATGTGTCAACAACTCAAGCCATCGGATCGTATCGTAGCCTTGCAGCAGGCCCTCTACGCTACCAGGCCACCTCATCTTAGCGGGTAGCCGCCGAATGGACCCCTGGAGGGTCCCCGGGCTGGCTGGGCGTCATTTGCCCCACGGCAGCAGAGCGATTGGATTTGACAATTCAGCAGGTGCACCGGCAGGCCCCTCCGCCCCCCCTGCCCCTCCCCCTCCACAGCCTTCACAAGCTTCCACTGCCAGCCACTGCAGGAGAAGAAGAGGAAGAAGAAGATTGAGCTCAAGCCGAGCGAAAAGCTACTCCCAGTATACTGTAGATTACATACCCAACTTCCCACCGCGCCAGCACGCCACGGGGCCGACACGCCCACGACAGCACACAATGGCGACCAACGTCCACCTCAGCACGACCATGGGCGACATGGTCCTGGAGCTGTACACGACGCACGCGCCCAAGACGTGCAAGAACTTCGTCGAGCTCTCGCGGCGCAACTACTACGACGCGTGCCCCGTGCACCGGATCATCACCGACTTCATGATCCAGACGGGCGACCCCACGGGCACCGGCCGCGGCGGCACCAGCATCTACGGCGACAAATTCGACGACGAGATCCACGCCGAGCTCCGGCACACGGGCGCCGGCATCCTGAGCATGGCCAACGCCGGCCCCAACACCAACGGGAGCCAGTTCTTCATCACCCTGGCGCCTACGCCCTGGCTCGATGGGAAGCACACCATCTTCGGGCGCGTCAAGAGCGGGCTGGGCGTCGTCAAGCGGATGGGCATGGTCAGGACCGACAAGGAGGACCGGCCCGTCGAGGAGGTCAGGATTTTGAAGGCGAAGGTGGTGGACGAGGGCGACGCATTTTCTTGAAAGGCCATGACCGTCGCTGGATACAGATTTTTGAACAGGCGGTTATATGCACGAGGCGAGCGGCGTTACGGCGTTGAAGATTTTCAATGGCCCTCCAAAAAAAAAAATTTGCTTGGGCCGACAGGCTGATGTTAGTCCGTGGGTTTTGGCAGTCAACACCAAATCACGAAGCCAAAGACTCTTATTCGTGGATATTGTCACGAGAATCGGATTATACACATGTGCGGATTTCACGCAATCGGCTACGTAGAATACAAGACTGGTTGGCGTTGCTGTCAACCCAGACGCCGCTTTCTCTTTTTGATCTCCTGGCAATGCGTGAAATCCATGCCCAACGCCTGACCCCCTGGCAGGACCATAAGTTATGTCATGCCAACCGGAACCCCTGCCCATGCTTGAAGTCCGAAAATATACAGAAGTGTTGCTAGTGGGGGGAAAACAAAAACAATACAAAAGCAAAAAGCCGGATAATAGGCACATGCCCAAGCTGGCTGCAGCCTGGGCACGTCTTCGTAGTAGAGGAATGCTCTCTTGAGCCGATGAGAAGGGGGGGTATCATGCGATATGCTTGTTGGTTGTCAAGACTGGTTCGTAAAGGATATCATTGAGCAGGTGGAGATGACAAGGTGCCCGAGCTCTCGCTGCCCGCATCATCGCCGCCGCCTGCTCCGTTCGTGCTCGCTTTGCCATTCTTTGCACCCGACGAGGACAACAATGGCTTGGAAACGCCCAGCTTGAGCTTCTTGGCTGGGCTGATATGTTTTGCCATGTTCTTCTTTGGCGCGACCTCGACCGTGGAGCCATCCGCATCGCCATCATTCATTTTCATCTCAGCGCTCAACATGGAGTTCGTCTTGACCTTCTCCTTCTTGAGACCTGACGAGCCTCCTTTCGTCTTCAGGATGACCTTCTTGGGTGCCGTGGCCCCCGACGACTTCAGCTTCTTCTTCTTGGGGGCTATCTCGTTCTCTGAATCGTCGTCGCTGTTCACTTCTTCGCTGGCTCGTTTCTTGGGGCTGTTCGCTCTGGAACCGGGTCCGGGGGTTCCCTTTTGACTGTGGGGTGGTGTGTTGTCGTTCTGACTACCGTTGTGGCCGTTGGCTCCGTTGGAGATCTTCTGCGCAGCGGCTCGACTAGCATTCCGGCCGCTGTTGCCGATGCATGAGCCCATGTGATTGTTCAGCCGTGTGACAAGAATGCATCGTTTGCATTTACTGCAAGTGGCCGAGGGGAAAGAGAGGACGTTCGGTGGTCGCGAGGCAGCACCGCCCTTGCCGCCCGTATCGTCCGGCCCGGGTGTGCCGCCTGGGGTATCCTGCGGCGTCGTTTCCACCTTCTTGTCCATGTCCTTCTTCTTCTTGCCTCTACCCGGCCCCTGCGGTACCCAAGTTTGTCCATAAATGTCGTAGCCAGGCTTGTCAATGTAGGGGTGTTTCTTGCAATATATGATACTCGGGTCTGGTTTCCTGGCTCCCTTGCCATCGGTGGGGTACAGTAATCGCGGCAGATGGCATCTTGGACAGAGGATATCTTTCGTAGTGGCCAACGGGTTTCCCTTCAACAACACCTTGCCGTCGTCGTAGATGGCGGCATCGGTTTCGACTCTGAGGTCCGGCCTCGCGTCAGGTTGTGAGGAATCCGAAGTGTCGGCAGCGAGCTTCTCAACACGAACGGCAGCAGTCGAGGCGCGGGCGATCTTCTCATCTCGATGTACCTTTATTAACAAGTCGTGGCAGATGTTGTACAACAAGTCATCGAGCACCGAGTTGGCCTGCAGGATTTGCTCTCGTGGTCAGCAATCTTTGTTCCCTCAGCCTCGCTCGCAAGAGCCATCGTGAGGCGTGTGGTCGTGTGGAAACGACGGGTCTTGGGGTCTTGAGGATTTGTGCATATGGCTGTGAAATAGCACGATGCGACGGGATTTCCTTGCAAGCGCGTTTGACGGGGTTGGCGAGCGACGCAAGCAGGTGAAAGGCAACACAAGAAGTTGAAGCTAAGATGAGAAGCACTTACAAGCTTGCCCAAGGTGGAAGTGCCACCTTTGATGACGCCCGCCTTGCCAGTATTTGGCTGAGACGACATGTTTGAGATTTGTGCTGTATTGTGCACAAATGTCGTCTGCCAGCTCCCGGGAAGGTTGTTGAAGGACAAACACTGTTGAGGCGACTGGGGGTGGGTGGAAAGGGTGTTGTGTAATGGAGATGTTCTGTTCAGTGGCCTGGGGAATTAATCTTTCTGCAAGTAAAGATTACAGTATGGAGCAGACGGTTCAAGTTTCCCGTAATCCAAATGACAATTCGCCTGCCGATTAAAGCCTCTGTACCGTAATCCCCGATTGCTCAAGCTCCAGTGCAGGCAAAGACCTGCAGAATGTGATAGTGTGGCAATGCGATTCTGCTGGAGGGTTAACTTGACACAATGGCAGCCAGAGGACAATGGAAAAAGAAGAACTACCTGACTGCCGTCACCCAATAAAAAAATAAAAATAAAACAATCGCCAGACGACGATTGCAGCCTTTCACCTTCAGAAAAGGAGTGACGAAAGATTTGAGGGAGCGAACAATTCTAAAGTTCGAGCTTGAACCCGGTTCCACCCTACGCTACGATAGGTAAAGTACTCACCTCTCGCTGATTGCCCACTGCAGGCCGCCACCAGCAAGAGAAGAGAAAGAGAGGAAAATAAGTAAGGAATAGCGGAAGGCGGAAGGCCGGATGGTTTCTCTTGGGTTAGTCTAGGCGTGTTTTAAACGTTTTATAATCTTGGCTTGAAGTAGATAAATAAAATAACATAAAAAGCGATAATCTCAAAACGAGAAACGGGATTGCACCTGCGAGTATGGTCGAGAGCCTCTCTGAAACTGGGTACAGTAAACGGCAGAGAATGGGACGGGGTCTTGGATTCCAACAAAGCAAAATATAATTGGAATTGGGATCCGAATGCAACCACAGACTGCCACCTACTCGACCGGATTGCTTACAGCGTAGCATACCCTACATACAATGACCCAACCTTTATATACAAACAGGACAGCTCACGCCCAGGCATGGGCCGTGACATGTCTCCCACGCTCTATACCATGCATGCCATGAGCATCGGGTTTGTTCTTTCTTTTGTCGACCTGGCTGCTCCACAACAAGCTTCTGCATAAGTTACAGGACAGTACAGCAGAACGAATGCAACGTGCCTGGCTTGGGCCCATCTCGCATCTTTATTAGCTGGTCCCCTCTGGGGTCCGTCCCCCCTCGGGGTCTCCCTATGGGTCCCATACGGGAAGCCCAGAGGTCCCCCCATCCAAGGTTAGATGCGATGAGTGGAGAGTGTCTTTGGTGCTTTCCCGCGGCGCGGCGGGAAGCGTCAACGCGCCCCGGGGTGATGTCCACGCTAAACTACAGTTAGGTACCTTGCCTCGTAGGGTAAAAGGTACAGCACGGATCCGTAGCAAGCGTAGGTGCAAGTTTACCATACTTGTGCTTGATTTGCAAGGGGTAAATCCCGTAAAAAGCCCACATGCCATTCCACTCCTCCATGTCAGTTGTTTGGCTTGGCTTTCCCTTCTCCCACTTTCGCGATCGTCACTTGATAGCAACCTTTTGCTTTTCCAAGGGGTTCCTCTCGTTCTCTTCCCACCATGTCGTTCCCTTCACAGAATTCTAATGTTAATTCCAGCGGTGGGCCACCACGAGCTCAGCCGTCCATACGATCCTTTTTCCAACCCACCGCCCCCAAGTACGCTGCCCCTCCATCTGCATCACCGCCAACACAGCTATCATCAGCAGCATCATCATCTCCGCCTCCACCACAGCGCCAGCCGACCCCATCGCAAGCACAACAGATACCACCTCCCCCTCCAGCAGCTCCTCCCCTGCCCCTACAAGCCACTGCCAACGGTAACCGCAATGGCAATGACAATGACGACAGTACTGGCAATGGCAACCCGCCGCCGACGCCTGTGCCGGTTCCCTCTCCGAAACCAACCCACCACCCGAACATAACATTATCGCCCATCCTGCCATCACACCTCCCAAGCCTCAAACATCTCACCGCTCGTCTACTGCCCGTGCGATATCCCGAGTCCTTCTACCTCCCCCTCAACGACCCTCTGTCCTCGGGCGCATTCTCGCGCGTCCTCCTCTGGACCGACACCCCCACCCCCAGCAACCCATCGCCGACCCCAGCCGTCATCGGCGGGCTCGTCTGCCGACCACAGTCCACATTCCAGCCTCGGCCCGGCTCCGCCCAGGACATCATATCGGACGCCCTGTACATTCAGAGCCTGGTGCTCCAGGAGCCCTACCGGGGCCTGGGTCTAGCGGCGCGCATGCTCGACGAGGTCTGCGCTCTCGCCAGCGGGGACGAGCGCTTCAGGAGCCGGACCGTGTGCGCCCATGTGTGGACCGAAAACGACGAGGGCTGGGAGTGGTACAAGGCCCGTGGCTTCCAGCGCGTCGAGCCCGTCATTGATGGCTATTACCGCCAGCTGCGGCCGAGCGAGGCATGGATCGTGCGCCGGGAGATCGGGGCAGGTGCCGCAGAGAACGGCAGAAAGAGTGTCCTGGACGCAGTGAAGGCCAACGGTATCGGCGGCAAGACGCGGCGGGAAAACGAACACGCCGGCACGACGGGCGCAGCGCCAACACCCGCGGTAGCTGGCTTCACAACGCCGCCACCGGCCCCGTCGGCGATGTCAGGACCACCCATATCCGCAGCCATGAGACCCACCCCTCCACGTGCCGGCATGTCATTCCAGCAGAAGGGCCCCGAAAACGAGTGGAACGACCTGCCAGAAGACATGGTTTCCATCTCGCGGTCTAATACAAATGGCCTATCAGTCCCAAGCAGCGGCGCCAACTCGGGCGCCAGCTCACGGAGCAACTCTACCGTGGGTCGGAAGAAAAAGGATCGCAAGTACGCGGCGGCCGCGTTCGGTAACTAGGGGGCGGCAAGGCAGAGATCAAAACAAGGAAGAAGAAGAACAAGAGGAAGAAGAAGAAAGCACAAAGGGGAAACTACCACAGACTTCTTACCTCGGATATGCAGGATAATTAGTACGCTTATTAGAATAGACTCAAAAACTCGGCCAACCTTGTCCCAGTGTGTCCTGGGCTCAGCACATGGTTACTGGGCAGCGCGTTTCTCTGTCAATGTCCTGTCCGCCCGGGCGAGACCCGCATCTCATGATGGCGACGGAATAGTAGCCACAGAAAGGAAATATGTGCCCGGCGCTCCACCGAAGCATTTCGAATAGCATTTCTATATTGGCCCGCTGTGTGCAGTTCACGAATGGTACGGCAGGTTATCGATGGAACGTATTCCATCACGTCAGTCGTCACTTGACGACACACCAAAGGTATCGGGTATCGTACAGAAATAACTTTTTGGTCTTATCTGGAACTATAAAACAAACATTTGACGTATTTCCCTCTGAGCCCAATCAACAGGGGCAGGTCGCCCGTTCCTTCACGCCACTCCAATCATCCCATTTATGTCAAAGACACCCCCAAAACGCCGTTCCGATGGTTCATGGGCAAAACAACAAAAAAAAGTCGTGACCTCGTATAAGAGTCATGCCTTTACATCAATATGCATTGAATCATTAACAGTACCATCCATGCTTGAGCCGAGACTTTCGCGGGAGGAGACAAACGGGTTCATCTAGACAACCGTCGTCGAGCTACCGGTATCTGGGAGAGCGTTCGCGACCTTGTCCTTGACGTCGTTCACAACATGGCTCGCGGCTCCTGCAATTCCATGCTTCTCCATACCAGCCGCAACCAAAGCAATGAGAGCTGCACCGACACCGCTGCCATCCTTGGCAATGCCAATACGGATCCTCTTCGCGCCCTCTGGGCCGATACCCTTGGTAATACTTAGAGCTTCGTAAATCATGTCTCTGAAGTAAGGGTAATGCTCGACGAGAGAACCATCGACACCGATGTCGATGGGCTCATCAGTACCGTCTCGCAGTAACCCGCTTTGAAGGACAATGGCGCCAATAGCAACGGCCGAAAGTCTAGCAGCCCGACGACCAACAGCATATGCAACATCCTTGAACGCTTGTGCGTCCTCTAAAGAAGCAGAGTAAATCTGAAGCTCCTTTTCGAGCTCCAGTCGCAGGGTTGAGTGTTCAGGGGTGTTGTCAGCAGCAGCGATAGACATGATAGAACTGTCCAATCCCCACTGCGTCAAGATGCTCGATTGGCCGTCAATGGTGGTGGTAGACTTCCAGTCATTGAAGCTCGAGTTGTCGTCCCGGAATAATGAAATCTTGGGGTTATTCAGCATGTCAACAATGACCAGACGCACGATCTCACCCAGGAACATTCCTGACACACGCTTCTCAAACATCTGGATACCAGGGTTGACACTGTTGGTATCCAGCTCGATATCCCACTTGGTGTTGGGGAGCACATTAAGCTCGTTGTCGAATGAGCCCCATTCGGTGTTGATTACCATTTCACCAGTCGACTTGTCAAACTCGCCCTCAACGTTCTTCTTGATGTTCTTAGTCTTCTCCACATAGGCACCGTTGGTACCGGTACCAAAGATGGCTCCCAAGAGAGTGCTGGACTTGCCTGGCGACGTATACGAGCGTGCCATCAGTGTACCAACAGTGTCGTTGACCAGAGCAGCCACCTTGACGGGAAGGTGCAGTTTGTCGATCTCGGTCTGAAGCAAGGCACAAACATCCTTACCGACAGCATCGGGAATGTCAAATCCCTTGGTCCATCGGATGAGGTTGCCCTTGTTGATACCGAGTTGCTGAACTGGGAAGCTAAAGGTAAAGCCCAAGCTGAAAATATGCTCATCCTTGTATCCATCTGACAAGCTCCCTGTCTGTCGTCTGCGAATATGGGCTTCGAAATGGTCCTCGTGGTGAGTCTTCAGGAACAGCTCGATCTGCTTCGCCAGAAAAGCAAAGAGCTCTTGTGCTGTCTCCGCTACCATAAGCTCCTTAGGAATAGCCACTTTGCTGTAGGTAAGGTTGAAGGTCGTATCACCGTTCAGGTGAATGGAGCACACGCGGAAGTTGGTACCGCCGAGGTCGACGGCAAGATACAGTCCCTGTAGAAGGTTAGGGCAAGTTTGGCGTGAGGAAAAAGGGTATGAACGTACCTTCTCGGTACCATTGGGCACATCAGTGACGTATGTAGGGATTTGGCTGAGACTGGTGCCATCTTTCTCCAGTCCCTCGTCTGTCTTCCTGTTAGCATGTTGTGCGGGGGTGAAAGCGAGCTTGGAAGCACTTACTCATTTGCCGCAGGAACTCCTGGACGCCCTTGTTTACATGTTCGTCCGAGTATTCGAACAGCGCAGTGAGGCGCTTCGTCTCCTCGACTAGAGCCATAGTGCGAACTTTGGATACCGGCGGAGCTGTCGGAAAAGGTTGAGGGCTTTCGCAGACGGGCTCGTGAATTGTGGCAACTGGGGAAGAGGAAGTGATACGCGTGAATGGGTGAGAAGGGAAGAGACGCGAGTATTGAAACTTGGCGTCAGTGAGGAAGAGTTGGGCGATCTTTATGGAGGGGTCAGCAACAATTTCATTTGGCCTGTGACGAAGGTGGATGCGGGGTGGGAAATAAACAGTGGAGGAGAGGTACCCGGAGAATAGGAGGGGGAGGTATGGGATGGGATGCGTGGGTTAGAGAAGACGAGCCAGAAAATAACGCGCGCATCCACTGCGCAGCTATCCGCAACTTACCAAGACCAGGACAAGGAAGGCCAAGGAAACGACCTGGATGAAATACGGAAAGCCTTGTGCTACCTTGTCGCCTTGTCGGCCCTTCTCCACGAGTCCAGTAGGTTTCATGGAGTCGACGGCAGCGGTGTCGTGCCACGAGTCCGAGTCTGAGTCTGAGTCTGAGTCTAAGTATGAGCTTAAGCTTGCGCCTGAAGCTTGACCGTGAGCATGCTTGCGCCAAGCGGCGCCTCTGAAGTATTGGGACAACAGTTTGGCGAATTGGCAAGCACCTACTGCGAAGCTGAATCTTGTCCTGTGCAATAATAATAATCAGGATTCAGGTGACAACTTTGTCACCTCCTGCACACACCTGGGGCTACCTCGTGCTACCTCGTGCTACCTCGTGCTCTGAAGAGCCCGCCAGGACCGTTTCAAGTAACCTGATGAAGCTATGATGAGTGACTGGAGTACCCAGGAGTTGACGATGTCGCTGAGACGGCCCGTCTCGACGCTGCAAACAAGCCCGTCGTCAAATCTAGACAGTCTGATGGAGTTACAATGAGGTCATAGGCCCACAAATGCAGGTGAAAGTTGAGTGACTTGGGTGCAGCATACAAAAGGACCAATGCGTTCTAGGTCGTATGCAAAAGGATATGCAGGATCTGGTTGGGTGACGATGGAGTCCAGATCCAGGAGGAATCGACCTTGTCAAACCACTGTCGAACGAGTAATGGGGCCAGCCACGCAGTTCCCAACACTGCAAGACCTGAAATACAAGATTTGCTCCACGAAAAAGTCTTCGCAACGCACGAATAGCTGTAAGACAGTGCAAGGAACGAAGACTCCGGATTGATAGGTTTCGATATCAAGCTGGTCAATTAGACGATCACAAGCGTGAGGGACGACCTGTAAAATGTGCTGATGCGCTGCGATGATGAAGCGACTGTAGGCAAGATGGATAACAAGGGGAGATAGTAAAGATCTTATTAATAATTTAGGTTCGGCGTGACGAAAAGCTGCTTGGGCAATTTTCGTGAAAATGAAGTTCCAGAGTGGTCGAGGGGAAGGACAAAATGTCGTTGCACTTGGATCTGGATCTGGTTCTGGGTCTGGTTCTGGTTCTGGTTCTGGTTCTGGTTCTGGTTCTGGGCCATGTGCTAGCGGAGGGGCTTCAAGTTTCTTGAAGGAGGTCGCGACTCTCAAGTGCGGGATGGCTGGGTGCTAACTGCTCCTTCCACTTTGGTAGGATGGGCGAAAACGCGGAATAGAGCGATGTCTTCACAGAGGCACAAGGAAACCATGAGCCCGGGCGTTGAGTTATCGTTTCAGCATTTAAAGCTGAGCGATCGTTGAAACATCGGTGTGCTTCCAGGGAAAATCTCCATTAAAGCTTGAGAGATTTGGGTATGGTTATCTCCAACAGTCATGCAAGATATAAGAGCCCCATAGCACATCCAGGTATTGATAGGTCTGATATGCGGAAAGGGACCCAAGACATTCCAGTCAAGAATCTTGCATCTCCTCCTTTTAGCCCATAATCATGCAGCTAATCAGCTGAATAGTCGAGGATTGGTCACTAAGTAACAAATTAACTTGCCATGTGTCAAAAGCCTGCTTGTTTTCCCCATTGGAGAACACTCCTGATAATTACTTCTAACGCCGATGTCCAACGGGGCATAGTTATTTAGAGGAGCGGCCCCGCGCAGTTCTACCCGAGGACCACATGCGCAAACGACCACTGGCTATGCATGTAGATTGTGCTACTCAATTGTGAAAACAATGTAGCGGCCCATTGCGGATTCATGTTTCTCTGGAATACTCGGCCATGTCTATCGGGCAGATTCATCCCCATATAATGCATCTGTTAATTTTAGTCATGTTCGATTCGACGGACGCCTGAAACACCGCTTCTCGTTTAATGCCAAATCAACACTCCAAACTTTGAAATGTATACTAAGTTGGTATAACGTGGCGGCGGCCCAGGCAATAAAGACGAGCCCCCGCCCAGCAGCAAATACCTCTCACATACAAGTGCTGTAGCGGAAGTGATTTACAATATTCCTACATTATGCTGTCCAGATTGACCCCCACAATTAGATACACATACTCGAGTCCCAAGGCTTCCCATCCTGCTTCCAATTTTGCTAGCTTCAGGTCGGCGGCGCTTGGTATCTTGCAACAGCCTCGGTTTGTGACTGTATATACCGATTGAGGTTCTCTATGGTTGCGTCTCTAGTCCTCATTTGTTGCGTCAAGGACTCAATATGCTGTTGCAGATTTGTGATAGTCGCATCTCGTTTTATCAATTCCTGTGTTAAGCCCTTTACCATGGCTCTTTGAGTCTCGATATCCTTACCTGATTTGGCCTTCTTGCGCCGAAGGTTAGCTGCCCAATCGGGTCGCTCGTCTGGCGCAGGTTTCCGTTTCGCCCTCTTGAGCTGCGCTTCTGCTGGCAACGGCGCTGGCTCCTGGATTGAGCTCTGTTGTGTGGAAGATCCTGTCGTTGTGTTCTCAACCTGTGGTTGCGGAGCTGGGTAGTCAGCCGACTCTCGGCGCGGTTTTGCATTAAGCCACTCCTGAAGAGGCACCAGCGTGGTGCCCTCAGGCCCGGGTTCGATATCGTGCTGCTGTCCTTCAATATGGACGTGCTCTGAGGGGATATCACCATCTTGGCGGGCTTTCCCTTGGGCAGTTTCTGGAACTGCGAATAATCCACCCGTTTCAACATAAGGTTCCTGTTCATTTTCGATTTCAACCAGTTCCGTCTCGACACCTTCAGGCTCGCATGGCGGATCATCCTCACCGGCATCTTCTGTGTCAAGTACTACGTACAACTTGCCTTTGATATTATGTGTATTCCAAGGGCCGGCAGAGTTCGCCGGGTACACGTTGGGCTTCTTTCTCTTCATATACCGTTCCACGAGTTCTGGCTCAAGATCCCTCTCGTGTTTCCAGCTGGGCTTCTGTGACCTCGCCTTGTAATTAGATACTCTGAACCATCGGCCATCCCCTGGTATATCAGCATATCCCATAAGGGTAATACGAGGCTGCGGCTTCGTTCCAAATCTGCTTTTCTGAAACAATTCGTTAACAGGAACTGGCTCCTCCTCGTCCTCTTCCGTGTTCTCCTCGTGCCGAATGGTCTTCTTTCTGGCCGCTTTCTCCCTCATATAGCTCACGACCAAGTACGGTGGGACTTGGCTTTCAGGTAGCCAAGCTGGCTTCTTGTGCGCCTTTTTCTTGCCTCCTTTGCTCTTCGCAACAAAGTGACTCCAGAACCAGCGTTCCTTTCGACCTTCCGTATGAACTGCCTCCCTGTCCTCTGTGATGACTTTTACAGAGTAGGAGTTATCCCACCAGGGCTTTTGTCCAGCAGTCTCATCATTCTCTACTGCCGGTTCTTGTGCCTGCACCATCGATTCTGCCCTCTCCAAGTACCGCTGTAACATTTCAGATGGGGTGTCCTCTGCCAGTTCCCAGCTCGGCGGTTTATAATTTGATGACAAGGGAGGCTTCTTCCAAGTCACTTGATACCTGCGCTCGGTTTTGCCGTTCTCAAGTTCAATTTCTTTGTGGGCTCTGATCTGGTGAACTCTCCAGTTTTCCATTTGTAGAGGAGTGGTATCCTCTTTGATAGTATCAAAGACGAGCATCTTCATGCCCTGACGCGTTCCCCTGCTTGAAACAATCCGGCGCTGAACTGCAGGACGCAGTAGGTCTGTAGCCGGTGAGGAAACGGTATCGCTGGTCACATGCAGCGCATCGCTTTGGGCATCATGACACTCCTGGTTTGAAGGAGACCTGGTCAGCGCAGAGTCGGTCGAAACCTCCTGTTCATTGACCTCAGTATCATCGTTGTCTTTTTCATCATTGTCCAATGACCTATGAGGGGTCATATTAGCGGCCAACTGGGAAGTACCACTTCTGTTATCAAAGCCCAAGTCATGGGTTCCATTGCTGGACAAAGTAAGCATAGGTCGTTTCCCAACAGGATTGCCTTGCATGTCAAATGCGACGAGTGTAATTTTAGAGTCCAGAAGGCCTTTGGCGCGTCAACCAATGCATCCATCAATTCTGATGGCTTGTTACAAGAAGGGATGAGGACTTCTGCGACGAGACCTCGCGTAGCGCTGCCCCAAGTTATAAGCCAGGGCTTGGTGTAATGCATAGACGCAATCGCATTCCAGGTCACTTTAGTTACCACTCACGTCCGTTGTTGGTGGTTGCGTCTAGAACATGTGGGCAGCCGCCGCTAGTCAATGTGGTATGCTCTACCCCACCAGTACGCTAGACCTCGATCGGGGGGTTACTTAAGCCAACTCTCGTATTAAGCATATCTTCAACGAACATCGTTTGAGGGTATATGAAAAAGAGAATATGACCCAACAAGTGATACTGCTACGTAGAGGTTATTCAGCTTTCCAAGCCGTTGTTCAGGTGTGCAGTTGCCAATTGATGCTTGACGTCGATTTTATCATAATGGTCGCCAATGGCTGAGAAAGTGAATTGATCGTGCGAGAGCCACCTATCTGATGTAATGATATCTCTACAAGGTGGTGGTCATTGATGTCATAATTTGACTCACATGCCTTTCTCAATAATTATTCCTTCTCGTATATCCTAGGTTTCATAACTCTCATGGCTCCATTGACAATACCCGAGATGCACCTCCATTCGCTCGGGGGCTGTGTAGTCCAAACGCACTTCACCAATCGGGGTGTCTTTTCGAGGTATCATAGGCAACTGACAAAAGCAGAAGAGGAAAAAAAAAATTTCACAGCTGATTCTATACCACCGCCTGCAAATCAGGTCTTTATCTGAACCGAGATCTACAACGGCCCATAACCTCTCCTTGACATACTAACTCAGCACTGAACTCGGAACCATCGAGTGTCAAGTAGATGTCGAAGTAAACTCTGTAAAAGGTGCCTTGTGGTGTGTCCATACGCTCGAAGTCCTTTTCCAGATTCTTGCGTGATAGATCAGAGGTAAGAGTAACAACTTCTTTTATGCCTACAAGTCTGTTAGTAAAGATTCATAAATAAGCATGCAAAGTAGTTCTTACGTGGATCCTTGGTATACTCGGGGCATACGTCGTCGTCGCAAGCATATAATATGTCCTCGTACATGAGAGTTGCGCCAGGCGCCACTTGTCTGAAGAAGCTGACTTTAACGGGTTCGCCAATCTTGACCTTCTGGCCCTTTTGCACAAAGATTTGTCTTGTAAACTTGCATCGATCCTTGCCGTCGAGCGACGGCACCCTGTAAGCCTCGGGGTGATATCCCTCCTTGAAAGGCTGCAAGGTAGCCATGAGATAGTGACGACGGGCAACACGATGTGTAATAACGCGCTCGGTGATACCAGCGGTAACAGCTCCCTTGACAATCGCAGCGACGGAGTCCATGGGCCGTACAACCTTGGACTGGAACTGCGGTGGAACATGCAGTTTAATCTGCTGGAACAAATATTCTGAAGCACCAAAACCACCGACGACAAGGATGTTCTGCAGGGCCCTATTCTGTGCCTGAATTGCTATGATCTGGTTTCGAACGAGCTCCAAGATTCTGTTCACGACAGGTTCGAAGCACTGGAGGATCTCCTCGTTAGTAAAGGTCATGTAGCCTTCCTCGATGCCGGCTTCGGGAAACTCAGCCTCGATACCGACATCTACAGCCCACTTTTGGCCGTTGTTCCGGAAATCGGCCTTGATGCGGTTTTCGAAGTCCATGATGCATTTAGCGTACACACGGCCAGCTGTCTTGGATCCGTCGGGCAGTTTCATCTTCCTGATCTTGGTTCTCAGGATATTACTGAAGTTTCGATTGAGGGCTGTTGAACCACAGGAGTCACCTGATCCAGCTGTGCACTCCGCCACAGTAAAGGGGTTCTCGTCTTCGACTTCATATGCAATCAAATCAACAGTACCACCACCACAATCGACGATAAGTAGGGCATCATGAACCTTGAGATTGAGAAGTCCGGTCTTGGAACAGAACAAGGCGGCAGCTTCGGGCTCTGAAACCAGGGTTAATCTGTTGTCGTTTTCATCCCGCAGGAACCCGGCCTGAATGGCTGCAGCTCTCGTAGCAGCCTTGCCGGCATCGTTCCAGATAGCCGGCACAGTCAAATAGTACCGAATATTCCGCTCCTCTCTGTTAAAGACTTCGCCGAGGGTTTTCTGCAATGCAGCTCTCATGGCCTGCCTCAGCTTGAAGAGATAGTCGGCAGCTACATCAATCTCGGACTTTCCAGGAGGCAGAGGCGGTAAGTTGATAGGATCGATATAGGTGTTCCCTGACAACATAAGTTGAAGCTTAAACCACTCAACCTTTTGGACGCCTGGCTTGGGGTATCCAGTAGGAGCCAGTGCATCAGCGATATCCGGGCCCCATCCTACGACTTTCTGGTACTGATCATAGTAGAGTACTGTGGGGATCTGTAGTTGAAGTAATTAGCAATCGTCTTTTTCTCAGACATGGCCCAGTTTCTCCGCCGCACCTTTTGCTTTGTGTATGAACCGGCACCTGGCCATTCCGTAATGATGTCCTCTTTCGCTTCGTTGTTGGTTGCGAACGCAAATGCAACACCAGAGAAAGTGGTTCCCTGTGACATAAATGGTTAGAATAACTTTCATGGTCTGTGGCACGTTATTCCGGCTTGGGCTGCAACTTACGAAATCAATTCCGACAATCAATTGTGCTTTGCTCCTGCTCTGACCCTCGACCTCGGCGGCTGGTCGACCGAACTGCTGCAGGGCATTGCCTGGATTCTGAGGAGGGGCAGGCGGGGGATAGCCGGTAGCGCCAGCATATCCAGGAGGGCCGCCTTGCATGCCCGGAGGAGGACCGCCTGCCATCTGCATTTGAGGAGGGTATCCTTGAACGGGAGCACCAGTGTTGATAGGTGGTGGGCCGCCTATCATCTGCGACGGTGGTGTGCGAGCTGGACCTTGAGGAGCCTGAGGGCTCATGCGCTGTTGAGCGCCGGGAGGAGCAGGACCTTGGGGATAGTTTGCGGTATAACTCGGCGGGCGAGGTCCAGTGCCGGGATGGTTCATCGTCGGGAGGGACTGTTGTGATGAAGAAGCAATGGAAGGTGCAGGCGCAGGGGCAGGTCGGGCGAACTGCTGCGGTATTTGAGGGGGACCTTGACCTTGGCCTGCTGGAGGTCCTTGAGGTGGTGGGGTTGAAGCCGAATGAGGAACGTCTGGCGAAGGGATGCTCGCGGTGGACTTCCGTTTACCAAACCCGAAGTTCTTGAATCTTGAATTCACAGAACTCATGTGGGCGGGCGCTTAGGGTGGGAAGAAGGGGAAAAGGGAAGAAAAGGACTTTTCAGTCAGAGATTGGTGTGGGATTGGAGATTACCACCTCGCGCATGCCCAAGTGTGCAGAGCAGGCGGGCTGACAAAAGCGAGGGACGAGAGAGACGAGGGGTCGTTTGGTGTAGGTTCCCTTGCCAAACAGATCAGATTGCTGGAGGACTTGGCCGCGGGAATGGGAATGGAGGGACGACACCAGACCCGTTTGGGGCTGTACTATGAGAGCAGCTTGAAGGTCCTGGGCTGCGAGTGCGAGTGAGAGTGAGAGGTAGGGTACTAAATTCGAAAGGCCTGCGCCCGGCGATGTCGCATGTCGCAGCAGCAGATGCACAGCAATATTGCAGGTTGCAGTGCAAGTATGCAAGTTACTTATTTAGTCTCTCGTCAAGGGCAGGACGGTGCAGGTCGACACCTCCAATGTCGACTGTACCGAGACGGCGCTTCTCGAGAAAAGCAGCAACAATAACAGCGGTATGCGAGGTAAGGTGATCCCGGGAAACGGGGCTGTAAGAAAATAGACGACCAAGGTGGGCCGGGTACCACTCAGTCCAACCCAATTCAAGCAGCCTGCAGCTCTCCCCAGGCCTTGCTCGAGCTCGTTGACTTTGAGCTTTTGCACCCCTCTTCGCTAACTGTCCAAGCTGACGGCGCTAAGGGGGAGGACTGGGAACTGGGCAGTGTAAGGCTGAGGGTTGCTGCTGCGGATACCGTCCAAAAGTCCTAGACTAGTGAGAATGCAGATCTAAGTTCTGCTGCAGGACTGTCTCTTTTCCACGAGATATTGCGAAATTGGCTATGACAATGACCTGGGTCGGTGTGTCTAAACGACCCGGGTCAGTGCTCCGGCACACGCTTCTCGACAAGAAACATTCGATGACCCCCGCGAGGTACGGTATTGGGCGACGACGGCCATGGCAAGACAAACAATTGACAGTGGATCGGTTGCTCAAGGAACGACTTGCTCAAGACAAAAGCCTGGTGCTATTACATAAGTACATACCTAACTCCTGGATTTCATGTAACTACTACATAGTACTCGCCTAAGGAGCGCCTGGACCAGTAATGCCCCCAATAAAATGAATTCAGGGTCCTAAGTGGAAGTTACAATCAAATAATTATGGCGCTTGCTGATATATGATGTTGCATTGAGCCATCGAGTAGGTCCTCTATGTACATATGCAGTGTCCTTTTCTATGCAGCTGAACTTTACGTGCACTTCGTGTATGTCCCGGAGAGTGCCAGTGGTGAAAAATACCTACATACTCAGGTGTTCTACTAGAAAAAGCAGTACTTGCTAGGTAACAGAATGGCCCCTGGGTTTTTGTGCAATAAATAATTTCGTGGCAATTCTCAAGTTGGTATGGTTATCGGCCTAGACTATTCGGATGGAATGCATCTGAAACAACTGTTGATTTTCAAACTGTTAGGACTTTAAGGAGTACCTATGTATCTAGGATTGCAACGAGTCCTACGCATGGGTATGCACGCTGGCAGGCTGGCACGTACTTTGCTAGCACAGGAGCGGGTCCAGCATGTCAGAAGGATTCCGCGCCACTTGAACGACCCAGAATCCGTCTACTCTGGCCAGAGTCTGCTGCAATGTATGACTAGAGACTAACTTACCTATTGGAGAGTTGAATGCTGATCTTTGCACAAACAGCTCGATTCGAGAACTTCGTATATGCTATGCTACCAGAACACCTCCCCTACCCCCCGGTGTAGACTGATGCCGCAGTAGGTACTTCCAAGTGAAAGTTTCCGACCCGGGCCGTTGCTTAGCGGAAGTCTGTGTACAAGATCACTGCAACTACTGTAGTTAGAGAGCTTAAAGTCGCATCAAGTGGGGTCATCACAAGCGGGGAGTTCTAGACAATGAGATCTCTCGAAATTCCATCTCGTGCAGTTGAGGCAACATTCGGGTCGTAACAGCACCAACACGGATCTCTTGATGCCCAAGGCCGGCGCCCATCCTGTATTCGATATCATGTCTCTCTTTTCGCATGTCCAGTAGTACTCCCCGCCCTTGCGTTGCAGCTCGATTTGTCCTCCGCATATTGTCTCCTCCACACTTCTCAGGGTCCCCATTTTCTTGAAAAGGCTGAGCTTGCTGAGCCCTCTTCGCTGGCGCTTGGCGCTTAATGACTTTGACGAACAGCGAGCCAGCCACAGCCCAAATTCGCAACTTCCCCCTTCCGAGCCCACTGTCAGGGACAATCCTTGTTGTCACGGTCCTAAATTGGAACTTCCCGCTGCCAGCCCTCAGCCGCCCTGAGGGAAAAACATTCGTTGTGAAAGTTTCACCATTCTGTTCTCTTCTGCCTTTTGTCAGGTTCATCGACATGCTGCTTGTAAACTAGTGGCACAAGGTGGACTCGGTTATTCACCCAACCAGGAGCGTCTACGACACCGCGCCGTCATGATCGTTGCAGTGCAATATATAACCTTTTTCCAAATGAGGCTCCTCACGTCATCAATCCGGCCATTGGCCGGGGAAGCGCGCTGACCATGTTTTTATTCACTGCAACCCCACGCATTCCCTCGTGGATTCCCAGTCATTACAGCTGTCTGGTCGCGATGGAAAGCTGCGGTGGTCCCCCAGACACTGACACCCTCTGCTCATGATGGGATCCCCCTCGTCTCTACCCTCAAAGGATCCAATGATTATTGATCTTGTCATTCTGCGCAAATCCAGAACTCTTCGAGTGCATATATTGCATTGGGGGCTGGTGGCACTATCTTCAGAACCACGTGGACTGGCCTAGTCTGCTAGTCGCACCGTCGCATTGCAAATCCGCGCACTCTCGGTTGCAACTCTATTCATATGGTATGTTTTATTTAGCCCCAAATGTATACTTGCTGTAGCATCCAAACTTGCAGCCATCTTCTTGGTCCAAAATTAATATTGTACTCGGTTGCTCCGGAGTGGTGGCTTCGGTAGCTCGCGCTGCTCAATCTCATTCTGTGTTGTAGCAATGGTTGCAGTCCCAGCCTGATCACTCCTGCGACGTGAATCTCGTCTTTCACATACGACAGAACAGTTTGTCGTCACTATTCAGACGGGTATGGTTACATTGCAGAAAGCTGTCTGGGTAGTCCACGCATACCAACTATGCCTTCCTTCTTGTGGATGCGGTTGGAGCTCGTCGGCTGCAGTAAATGATGTTTGTTACTATAGAAAAAAAAATAGTCTCAAGTGTTGATATCGACAGAGATTGGATGTTGTTATCTTTTATTGCCCACTGGACTGAGTGCTGAATGATCAGCACGTGCTTGTTTTCCGATGGTTGGATCGCTCCGACGAGATATAGGTAAAGGTCTGTGACAAACGCACTTATATCCCTTGCATGAAAACTTTGCTGATAGAAGGGCAAACACGGGTCTGACTAGGTTCCCCTTCGGCTCGTGGTTGTGGTCTTCTCATCCTGCAAAGCGCGCAAGGGTTGAAGCCAGTTCTGACAAGCTTGGTCGCAAACGCTCTACATACTAACATGCGCTTCCATGGTTTATACCACGAGAGCGCGCAGCTTCGCAGACCTCAATTCCAATTAGGTGCAAAGAAAGGGGTTGTGTGAAGGCCTAAACTGGTGCACTGACAGTAAAGCGTCAATCAGCCACCACGGCTTACATTGACAACCACAGTGCAGATGCCAAGCGCTACGAGAAAATGATTGACCATCGGCAAAAGTCATCCTACAAATGACAGCGTGGGGAGTCTGGTAGGGTTGTAAGTAATGTGGTTTCATTTATTTCAACTCAAACACAATTATTATACAGTAAACATCACGTATCAGTATATCGAAGTTTAGCGCAGTTACTGGCAGGCAGTACACAAATTTTGAGTTCATCTCAACCAAGTACGAGATCGTTCAGTCAGAAATGATAATTGAGCGGCTTACTTGGTGGTATTACAGGGATTGCTTTCTCGAAGCTATCGATCGCACCAGAAAAAAGAGGATTTTAATGGTTCCTGTTCCAATATTTGATATTTACCCAACTGAATGGCAATATTTGTGGAATGTGGTGGCCACGTTACTTTGGTCCAGCATACCCGAGCTTTGTTGTCGATATCGCATGGGAAGAACAACTTGTGACGATGGAAAAGCCGACTTATGATAGTCTGCTAAGAGAATGACAATCCCAGAGAGCTGTTTCAGTTTCACTACCAAAACGAAAGACAGTGCTTGAATCAAATGGGCCGATAAACCCCCAATATCCACTCGTCTATATCAAATGGTGACTCTCTCCTACCATTGATTCAGATAGAGATCTACTCAATGCTTGATTTTCTCCAGGCGTTTGTTCACCTTCTCGATGTCCCATTCGCCTTCTCTGTCCTTCAGCCCAGTAGGGTCGCCATTCGGGCACTTCTTTTCGTACCACTGCATCTTATATCGCTGTTCTTGAGACGGGCTGGCCGCGCGATAGGCTTTGATCAGTTGGGTCCAGCCCCGGTCGCTACCCACATCTTCGGCAACACCATGGCCGGAGCCTTCTTTGCAGACGAAGTGTTCCGTGGAGGGCTGCCGTCCAATGACCTCGATACAGTGGTCCCAGTGATCGCCAAAGTCGTAAAGGTATTCGAAGGGGCAGTTGCTCCACTGGGCATCTCCGAAGACCTTGGACAGCTTGGTCTTGCCCGCTGAAAGTTCCGGCGTGCGGGAATGCACACGTCGCCCGTTCTCGGTGGCGTCCGCGCACCTCCAACCGGTTGGCCCTCCCCGTTCGCCGGGTGTCCAAGGCACAATTCGCAAGTGATTGAGCCGTTCGCCGTAATCCGCATTCTCGACGCTATGGAAGCGTCCGAGGTTTTCTATCGTCGACAGAAGATCGCCTGATGGTTGTTGGTTGACAGTATGGTCTTTAACCACGAAGTCGTAGCAGTGGTTGTTGGCCCATTCGAAGGCGGTCTGGATAGCGGTGTGGAGAGAGGCGAAAGTGGCATTGGCGGGACAAGAGAGTGTCCGGTGAATGGGGGGGTCGGTCAATTCGGTGGGACAAAGACAGATTTTCAGAATGAAATTCTCGGATTTGCAGGAAAGCTTGTGCTGTGGCCAATGTGCTGCCTGGCATTCTGGGCCTGAGTTGTCTTAATCTACTGTTTCCCTCCGTGAAGCTTTCGGGAAAGAAGGGGAACTTGCCGCAGTAGGCAACATTCTTGCATCGGGCGCACCGACTACAAACTACACCATCTTGAGGCTCGTTAGAGCATGAAGCACAAATATTCAATGACATGGTGTGTGTTGTCAGCAATTGGGTCAGGAGGTGGTGATGTTGAATTGGAATGCGAATAAGGAGCCGGCGTTGGGGAAGTCAAGTTGTGGTGAAATGCCAGGTTTAACGGTTGTGGTTCTTTAGGAGATCCTAATCTTCGGAAAATCAAGCTTGCGGACTTTCGTCGGCAAGTGCTTAGCATAGTTCCGACATATGCTCAACATATGCTGAGCATAAGTTGAGGGTATCACCGTTGTCTGGGAATAGTAAAAGGAATGTCCGGTGGAGAAAGCGACGGTATTTCTCACCCATTAAATAAGGTATGTCAATGATATGAATAAAAGACCTTGATATGATCACAACAAAGAAGTATCTTCAATATTTCCATCTTATATAATGCGCTCAAAGTGCATTGACAATTAGTAACAAACATCCGGAGGCTGCTATCAGGTGTATTGCTTCGGAACACTGCAAATATGCATTGTCGGTAAGAGCGTCCTTCAATGCAAAAGCGTAATGAATATATATTAGGCTTGAATTCTGGTAGCTCCACAGTCTATAGTCCTCAAGAGTTTTGCATTTGAGTGTGCCGACTGTTGTACATTGGCAGTCTATTGTCGTTTACTGTTATCCCAAATGCCATTGAGACTTATCAGTCATCTAGTATGGGGTTAAATGTATTGTTGTTTGAACTTTTACTATGTTACATATAAGCAATCTAGTAGGCCACAAAATATTCTTTGTCAGGTAGTTGGCCCCGAGATTGAAGCCCCTCCTGTCGAAATAGTTCTCATATGTCCGGGTTTTATCCTGTCATAACTAAGAGAAATACTCCCAGAATCTGATTCGTACGCAATTATTTTGTTTCGATTGTAGGACACATGAAGGTGTTCTTTGAATTAGTTGCTGTCTTCGTAGTTTCTCGTCAGACAATGTTTCGTTGTAAAAAGTGATCGTATAGGTCCAAGTCAATCTCGATGTAATTACATAGAGGAAAATATAAAATTATATGAGAACACAGAGGTGACTCGAAGCGAGGCTATAGTATTTGAGTCAACTTGCACCAACCGTATGAGCGCACAAAATAAGTCCAATCTATAGATTCTACTTCAAGGAAATGTGTGTAGGTTTGTCTGACTTGGTCTCAAACTATTTCATCGTGTTGCCCCTTTTCAGTGATGTTCCTTAATCAAGTAATCATACGTATACGCCACGCGTCGCTTGCCACTTCTTTATCGACTCTATTATTGATATGACTGGTATATGCCTCACACTTTCCGACCAGGTAGGGAAAGGTGTTTTGCCGCAACTGTGACTGTATAGCCCTTTCAACCTGGATCGGGATGCATATTATCATAGGTGGTGAGTAGAGTCTTATACTATAACAATATGCTTATACAAAATCTTCCAATATAGTAAGCGTGTCATTACCGTCTATGCAGAATCATTAATAACACTTATCGTAACGTAAAATGTTGTCTTAATGAAGCTAGAGTTTAATTCATGTTCTCTTAACAAATATTCTAATGGGAAAGCTATGCAATCCTCCACGCAACTCTGATAAATTTTCGTGTGGAGTAGTTTCGTATGGTAGTAGGTTTGCCAATTTGAATGAAAGGTCATATACAAGGTGTGAGGAATCATGGACTCCTTGACCACCACTGTTTAATGGCGATGTAGTTGGGACAATCGACTAACTACAAACGTCATGGCCATCTGATCAGCAGCTTCTGCGAGCGCCGCTTCCAGATTCAGCTGAAGCAGCTTTCGAAGAATCGTAATAGACAAGGGATGATGGTTATTGTTTTTCTCGTCTTTCACGGACTCAAGTGCACGTTTAAGATCGAAGTTTAATTTGCAATATTATGTTTTAAACAATTGATTGCAATGATGCTAAAGACAATATGTCCTTATCACATGTCAAAACCTTTGTTTGAAGCTGTGCAAATATCTAGAGGCGAATACTGCGAGCCATATAGTTGTAATTATTAGGCTTTTAGCAAGAGCTATAACTCCAGACTTGATCAGCTAGGAAGAACATATATCAAAGCCTTAAAGAGATATTTAACCAAAAAAAAGTAGGACTTTGCGCTTAGATTGAAGAAATATGATATAACGCTGTTACAAGCGGTTTTATAGGATAAGAGGCTGGGACCAATAGGAAATCATTAGGGCCTTACAACATACGGCCGCCTCAGGGCGTAACGTGATTGTTTAGTCATCGGTACAACCGCTGTTTTCGAAATTACACCCTGTGTGGTTTGTCACTGTATCCATATTCCATGCAACAAGTTGCCCTTATCTTCCCGAACGCATAACTTCTTACTATAATTGTCTCTTGTAATGATATGCTTCATATCATACCATCCAATTTTGTAGCATCCCAACATGCCCCATGCACGTTTCTGCAATATTCCAATTGTTCTGATCCAACTACTAATCCCTAGATTTTTCACCAGGCGAATCGCAACGACTAAGGGTTCATGAAGAGTCCAACTGTAGTAAACATAAATAATGCACCTATTTTCTAAGAGATTGTTAGGCACTACCTGATGTTTGATATTTTGGAGCAGGTATTCCCACTTTTTGAGCAAGATAATGGCTACTTGGTATGCTAGACACAGCTTAATGGCGTTTGGAGTTTATTCACTGGAAGGAATATAAGCAGTCTGCGTCCACAGCAGTATACACCTGACGATGCCGTGTAGATCGCGATTAGGTCCGTTGTCGACACCATAACTGTCTCATGACAGGTCATACAGTTTTGAACATGGTTGCGGTCGATGCCGAGTTGTATCGACCTTGAGTCCTTTACTTCAGGGTGTCGTTTTGTATAGACTACGAGGATTTCCACCTAGAAACGAGTCACGAATGCGTAGAGACAGTTCTCTAAGTTAGTTCTAGTCTCACATCGCCAAATCAGCACTATGCCATGAGGAACAATGGACGATTGGGATCGAGGCGATTCAATTCGGCCATAGCACGGTTTTACCAATTTCGCAGACAGACATTCCTCGTTGTGCTAGGCCGCAATGGAGAGGGTCTCCATTGCAAAAAGACTGTGCTTCGGCTGAGATCGGCGGTCAAGTCCGGGCGTGATCATGCGTTCAGTCTAACGGGACGGCTGTATGAATACAAATGGATGTTGCACCCGAACTTGCAAGACAAATAAATCAATTCTTTGACGGACTCCGGATTGGGTCTAATTTGAAAAAGCGTTCGAGCTGAAAGCTCATGTATATCGCCATCCAGTACCCACATTCCGATTGTTGTTAAGTTCGAACACGAGGTGCGGATGCCAAGCGCTAGCATAGTTTACTCAACGGGCAAGATAAGACAGATTTTACCAATACATAGAGGAGTTCACACCGTTGCGCTAGCCATGTGTTTTCCGCTAACGTTAGTCGCTAATAAATCATGGCTTTCCCATGCCGTAGACCATCGTTTCGCTGTTTACGCCTCTTTGATGTGGTTGACGCGGCCTCGGTTCTAGACTTATTGTCTCGGCATTAAAATATTCAAAAGCTTCTGGTTTGACGAGTTGGAATCCATTATCTAACCATGTGTATTACACAAGGTAAGCCCTGCTCAATCATGACAGCGCTCGGTATATGTTAGCTGTAAAGCATCATAACCAGGAGGCGTGTAAATCTACTCTCTTGGGCCATCACGACCTGAACGAAAGGTCGGGGTTTGCCTAATGTAGTTTGAATTGCCTCCGGTCAGGCAAACCCAAGACAAAAAGGCCGTTGACCACAGAACAAGGCAGGCTAGGCTGGTGGAAAGGCCAAGAGTTGTTGAAGCATCTCCTCCAAAGGTTATCCCAGTCCGTTATCGCTACAAACAGATTATAAACAGGCACTTTGATGAAAAGTCTGGAGTTTTCCGCTAATTAATAGTGATGAAGGCGCCAATTACCGATGATTCTGATCCAGTATAAAGGCGGAAACTTTTTATGACAGCTGTCGTGTGTCAAGATCACGACTACTGTGTAGCTGCTGCGATGAATCTTCTGGAATCTAAACGGTAAGGTCTGCAGCTCTAAAAAAAAAAAAACCACCCTGACCTTTCAGCTAGCGATAAGCGACCCGGAGGCTCGGTAGACACATGCAAACAGAGTTTAGATAGCACCAACGCTATGCAAGTTTAGGACTCGACGCTAAAACGAAAACGTGGCCTGCTCCGTCGTCGACCAGCCTCGGCGCAGTGATCCTGGAGCTCACAATCCAGCTACTGCAGGGTCAATATCGATCATAAAGACAAGCTGACATAGTTCGGATGAAGCCGATCTCTATTCTTTCCTACTAAAAGATGTTCCACCTATCAAATCCTGACGTGGTGTCCGTTATATCCACACAAATCAGGGCCCAGTGTCCAGCTGAGCTTCGCGCTCCGGAGTATCGAAAATGAAGTGGCACTTTGACTCCTCCTTGGAGATCCAGAATACTGGGAGTAGTAGGGCGATTGCGAGAACCGCGATGGAGACAAGAGTCAGCTGCGAACGCGATATCGTGAAGTGGCCCTGGCCCCGTAGTTTAAGATACTGCTGGTCATGTCCATTTCCAGGTCGTCCATGAGTTTCCTCCTTCTTTGTTCGAGCGTTGAAACGAAGTGGTATAGCACTGGACCTCAAGCGACCCTGCCATTGACAACAATATGTGGTCGTTGTTCCTTTTAGGTCTTGCGCCAGCTTTGGCGGTAGCGCAACAAGGTGAGCAATCAGTCTCGGTTCGCCGTTGTGGCCGCACAACACCATCATCGTCGTTCAATGTCTCCTCGTCACTCGTTACACCTACACTCGTTACCCCTGTGCTTGCAATTAAACCCACGCTCTCTATCAATTCAACATTATCGGCTTCATCGACGATTTCAGAGACTTCACGGTTCACTGAATTGGCTGCCATCTTGCTTGACAATGACGTCCCGGATTCGTCGTCGGACTCATCTTCTTCAACGACAGCATCTACTTTGTCCACGCCTATTAGTCCGGTAGCCATCTTGGTCTCGGCAAGCTCAACTTTGGCGGACTCGTCGAATACGTCCATACTGACAACATTTTCCAATCTGGCAACCTATTCCGGCACATCAGTTTCATCAGTTCCATCTACTTCATCCACTCCCTCAGCTTCTTTTGATATTCCTGGTTCACCCTCTGTGTCTGTCTCATTGACTTTTGTTGTCACTCCTACAGGGTCCGTGACGTTGTCTGCAGATAGCACGTCCACAACCGCATCCAGTCTCGATTCCTCGGCGGTTTCTATTTCTTCAACCTCTACTGGTGAGTCCACTTGCTTTGTGTTTCGGGAGAACGAAGCGTTAGCGTTTGAACATTATAAAGAACGTGGAGTGCTGATAACTTTTGGTCTAGGGTCTTCATCGGTTGTCACTGTTACACCAGGTGGAACTGCTATCGCTTCTGCGATTGCCTATGCTCAGAGCAATGGTTACCCAACGGTATGCAAGCAACACAGCTTCTTAGTCACTTTTATCATGTGTACCCTTATCATTTTCAGACGCAAAAAGGACCTGGCCTTGTAATGACTCGAACCACTAATCCGTGTTATATTACATAGGTCACCATTAAAGCAGGTACCTACACAGAGGCTATTACAGTCTCGGCTACCGCTGCTGTCACTATTGTTGGCGAAACAAATACATTAGAAGCTCGTGATGGCTCTGGCTCAAGTGACTACACTCGGAACTTGGTGACTATCGTAAACTCCGCGGCCGTACCCTTGACGATCTCGTCAACGTCTGTCAAAGGTCTTACGTTTAGGAACATCAACTTCAGCAACACCAACTCCGCATCAAATTTGGGCGCAGTTTCACTTCAAGGCTCTCAACATGCGTTTTATTCCTGTCAATTCGTTGCAGCTGGTGCAGTTGGTATTCAGGGTAAACTTTCGTCTGCTTTGATTGCAGACTCCTACATTGAGGCACCGGACAAAGTCATCTATCAATACCCGTCCTTGTATATTTACAGCTCGACAATCGTTGCGACTAGCAACAATGCCAACCTTATTTACACTCAAGGGTCCACCTCCGGCACGACACAGTACAATTCGACAATTGTTTTCGACTCGTGTAATGTAGCACGGAAGAACGGATATACCAACACCTACGTTTACATGTTTGCGGCAAATGCTGTGGGATCCGTGGCTGTCTACAGAAATACCACGATTGGTAGCCTTGTCGCTGCCACAGGCGCTCGTGTTGACACCAAGACACAAACTGTTGGGAATACCTATATTGAATTCCTGACTTCTGGAGCAGGCAGCTACTCGCAAAACAGTGCTGCTAGATCACCATACGTGACGCTTGCAACCTCTGGATCCCAGTTGTTGTCTTACGAGATCCCAGCGTTCTTCGCAAATGTCAATCCCTCTGTTGCCACATCTCAGACCTCATGGGTTGACAAAGGCGTGCTTGGCAGGATTGTAGCAGGAATCGCTGCACAGGATAGCTCGAGCCCTGTCCAATCCTCCAGCAGCTCAACAGTCTCGTTAACAAGTTCGAGTAGCAGTGTTGTGCCATCATCGTCGTCCGTCGCGACCATCCCTTCCACGTCAACTACGAATTCAAGCACATCCAGCAGCCTCATCTCCGGCACAGCTTCGACAAGTGCATCGCTCACCCTGTCATCTAGTGCGACCGCCTTTTCGACTAGCTCTGTGCCATCGGGCTGTGTTCTCCCAGCGTCGGTACCTTCGTCTGCAAAGGTAGTTGGTCCAGCAGGATCTTGTGCTACGTATAGCAAAATCGCAGACGCCGTGTCTGATTTACCTTCTGATTCCTCCACTCAGTATATTTATATACTTGCTGGAACGTACAATGAACAGATCACTATTTCTCGCAGTAGTCCTACCATCTTCCGCGGCGAAACGACAAACACCATGTCATACACCTCGAACACTGTCACCATCCAGTACTCTGCTGGTGTTGCATCAAGTGCCGGAGGCTCCGCCGGTACATCGCCATTCCAAGCGACACAGTATTTTACAAAGAGCATCTCGTTTTACAATATTAACTTTGCCAACACATTCACGGCCAAGACGAACTACAATGCCGTAGCATTTGTGGGCAAAGCCCTTAAAACTGGTTTCTACGGCTGCAGCTTCCGGTCAAGTCAGGGCACAATATTGCTTAATTATGGAGCTTTCTACTTTGCCAACTCTTATGTTGAGGGAACAAGTGATTTCATTTGGGGCCAAGGCGGTGCTTATTTCTATAACTCTAAGATTGTTACAATCGGTACCAGTACTGGTCAGAACATAGCGGCTCAGGACTACCAGAACTCATATGGCCCGTCCATCCAGGTCTACGACACATGTGCCATTGTGCCATCCAGCAGCAGTGTTGCCCAAGGCTCAACCTATCTAGGAAAAGATTACTCGACCTCATCGACTACGACATCGTCGCGTGTCTACTACATCAATTCATACCTAGATGCGCACATTGCCTCTGTGGGATGGAAAGTATCGGGCTCTTCCGTCAACGTGACTTTTATCGAGGCAAACAACACGGGTCCCGGCGCAGCGACTGGATCTCGTAGTTCTTATGCTCAAATCAAGTCAGACAGCTCCGCATACACCGTGGCGTCCGTTCTTGGCGACTCTAGTTGGCTCGACACCTCTGCTATTGCCCCTTTTGCCGGTTTCCCAGACTCTGTCTATACTGCACAAGTAACTTCCTCGTCTTCATTAGTGGCGTCCTCCACCATGAGCTCCATCTCGAACTCGACAAGTTCGTCTGCAACTGCAAGCGTTACGGCCTCTTCAACTGGTGCGGCAGCTACCTACACGGTAGCACCTACCCCAACTGACTCTCAATTTGGAAGTGTCATGTCTGCTGTCGCTGCGATACCCGCAGACGGTAAAGCTTACGAAGTTTACGTCCTCGCTGGTACTTACATCGAGCAGGTCTGGGTCAATCGTACCGGATTGGGCAAAGTCACACTGAGGGGCGAGACGCAAGCACCAAATGACTTCACCGGCAACCTTGTGACTTTACAGTTTTCCTATGGTGTTTCAACAAGTGGTACAGTTTCCAACGAGAACACCCCGATTATTAACTGGAAAAAGACTGATGGGTCTGGACTTGCTTTGTACAACATTGATTTCGTCAACACTTATCCGCAGACAGCAAGTACGGCAGCTCTTGCAGCAGATTTCTATGGAACCAACATGGCGGCTTATGGCTGTAGCTTCAAAGGATACCAGGATACGCTGCTCGCCAACCAAGGTGTACAAATATTCAGCAATTGTTACATTGAGGGCAGCGTTGACTTCATCTGGGGTTACAGCAAAGCGTATTTCCACCAATGCTATATCGCCTCCAACACAGCTGGTGCATTCATCACGGCCCAAAACCGTCCCAATGCTGCCTGGGCGGGAGGCTACATTTTTGATTCATGTTATGTGACTTACACCAGTGCCTACCTTGCTGGTAAGAGTTCTGTTGCTGCTACCACCTACCTTGGCCGACCTTGGTCCCAGTATGCCATTGTGGTGTATATGAACTCTTATCTCGATTCGCACATCGCTCCGGCTGGATGGAGTCAATGGTCAACCAGCTCGCCACAAACGGCCAACGTCGTGTTTGGAGAATATAACAACACTGGTCCAGGTGCTTGGACAGCTTCCAAAACCCGTGCTTCTTTCGCTACGAACCTTACAGAATCTCAGGCGGCCGCTTATTCTTTGAGCACATTCATTGGTAGCACCTCCTTTATTGATTGGACGGCATACAACTATGCCCCGAGCTACTCTATTGGATCGACTCCGACAACGACTTCATCACCGACCGCTTCGTCGTCAGCTAGTGCCACGGCCTCCGCGACTTGGGCACATCCGACTAGTGGAACCGTACCTCCAGCTGGGGCTGTACTGGTCTCTCAAAATGGTACCGCCGGCTCATTTAGTAACTTGACTGCCGCTCTTGCGAGCTTGCCTGATGATGCGACCACCCAGATTGTCTTCATGTACCCTGGTACATACAACGAGCAAGTTCCATCAGTGGATCGTGATGGTCCTGTTATGATTATCGGATACACGAGCGGGAATCCTGGTCAATCTTACTCGGATAATACGGTCACCATTACTCATGCTCGAGGTCTTTCCGTCAGCCCGTTGCCTACCGGCCACTCTGACGCCGAGACTGCCACGTTCTCCACCGCTAGCACAAAGATCTCGCTGTACAACATCAACATCGAGAACTCGGACAACCTTGATGGAGCACAGTCAAGCTATGTGACCTTAGCTGGAAGCATATATGGCCAGCACATTGGGTTCTATGCTTGTTCGTTTGTTGGATGGCAAGATACGCTCCTTACAGGAAACAAGGCCGGGTACCAATACTACGAGAGCTCTTACATCGATGGCGCTATCGACTTCATCTGGGGTTACTCAAAGGCGTACTTCAAAGGGTGCACGATTGGAGCGAAGAGAGCGAGTTCAGCCATCACTGCACACAGCCGTGCTTCGTTAACAGCTATCGGAGGCTACATTTTTGACCAGTGTCTTTTCACAGAAGCAAAGACGGCAACGGTGGACTTGACACAATCAGTCTATCTTGGTCGGCCTTATAGCGCGTATGCCCTGGTTGTGGTCAAGAACAGTTATCTGGATAAAATCATTGCTCCTTCAGGATGGAAAGTCTGGAGCAATTCGAACCCCCAGACTGATCACATCACCTTCGCCGAATACAATAATTCGGGCCCGGGTAATTGGGAAAATAATGCCGCGGCTAGAGTCGCTTGGCAAAATTGTACACTTCTCACAAGTGACACTTATTCGCTTGCAAGTGTCATGGACAGCACGGACTGGATTGACATGACATACTGGGCAAGTATTACGGTGCCGACGCCCACCGCTTCCACAACGCCAACAGAAACAGCCACCGTACAGTATGATGGTACAAAGCCACCAAACGGGGCTTACATCGTCTCCAAGACGGCAATTGAGGGAGTAACGACATACGACACTATCCAAGCAGCTCTTGATAAGCTCCCCACGTCCAGCAAGACTACGCCCACGGTTTTCATTTATCCTGGAAAATACCAGGAGCAGCTCGTGTTGAACAAGTCCGGCACTACAATTTTCCTTGGTTACAGCGAAAGCCCCGAGGATTACAGTAAGAACCAGGTGACGATATCATTCAATACTGGAATCGACACTCAGGCAGATGCGTCTAACTCGGATTCTGCAACCGTCTACGCCACGGGCAACTATTTCCAAGCTGTGAACATCAATTTCGCAAACACATTTGGCACAGCCGATGACTATGCTTCTTTGGGTTTCGCTGTGAAGAGCAGCAAGTACGCTGGACTTTACGGTTGTCAGGTCTACGGAAATCAGGACGCCTTGTTAGTAAACGGTAACCTCTTCGCATCCAACTCATACTTCGAGGGCAACATCGACATGATTTGGGGAAGTGGAGCCGCGTACTTCTTGAACTCGACCATTTCACCAAATGAGGATAAAGTATCCCTGACGGCTGACAAGAGAACTACAAACACCACTGCCGCAGGTTTTGTTTTCGACCAATGTATCATCACTCCTGCAAATGGGGCGTCTTTCACTCAGATCTCCCTAGGTCGTCCGTGGAACTCTTTTGCTAGAGTTGCTTATGTAAGTGGTTTAAATTTGCTCCATTTCTGAAGATCAGGGCTGTCAGGATGTTTCTATTTATCAATGACTTGAGAAGGAAGAGCTAACATGGATCATCAACAGATTGGCAGCTACCTGAGCTCATGCATCGAAGCAACCGGTTGGGACTACTGGTCCAAATCTAACCCGCAAACGGATGGCGTTATATTCGGAGAATATTCCAACTATGGTCCAGGAGCATCAGTCAGCGGACGCGCCTCTTTTGCCACACAATTGACCGCCACAGATGTTGCACAGTTCCAGCTTGCCAACTTCTTTGCTTCTACTGCTTGGATTAATCAGACTTTCGTTTGGTCGACCCCATTCACGGCAAGCAATCTTACTGTCCCTAGCTCGACAGTCACTGCTTCCACAATATCGTCTACCTCGTCTACCTCGTCCACCTCATCTATTTCGTCAACCATTTTGTCGACTTCAACCATTACCTTGACCGTCCCGACCACAGTAAAGACGACAGTTTTTGCTACTTTGACCGCAGCAGATGTACTGGTAACGCAGACAAGCACGTCCACCCTTGACGTTGGGACAACAATTACACCATTGCCAACTACCAAGACGGAGACAGTCAAATCCACCTCAACCATTACTAACACGGTAACGGAGGGAGACAACGTTGTCACTGTGAAGTCAACGTCTATTGTCGACGTTGGGGCTACGATAACTCCTGGTGACTCGACGAAGACAATAAAGACCACTTCTACTGTGATCGAAAGTCGGGCCATCACGACCACTGCTAAGGCAACAACTGTCAATTCCAAAACAACGATCACAAGCACAGCTACTTCAACCCCCAAGGGCTCAACGACAACTCTGTCTGAAGGAAGTACTACCACAGTCACTGCAACTGTGACTCCTGGCACTGCCAAGGTTACAAGCACGACTACTGTGACAGTGGGGACAGGTGGCACCACAACGACCTCGCTTAAGGCAACTACCACAACGTACCTGGTCACCACCACCTCCACTAAAACAGTCAAGACTACGACTACCGTCTCGTGTATTCCAACAGCAGCGAAGGAAAAGCGCAGTGTTACTTTCGGAACGAGTGGTGCTCTTCCCATCCTTGTCAGGGCTACAGTAGTGAAGCCTGCCACTACGGTGACAGTGTACTCGACCGTGGTCAGCGCTACAACGAAAGCCACTACTGTTGCAGGTTTGACGTCCACCACTATAGTGGCTGTCACTCAGACAACTGGCAAGACGTCAACGCTCAAGCAGTCTACTGTTGTTGAGACTGCGACCTCGGTTGCTCTGAGGACTGCGGTTACCACGCTTCCTGGCTCCACGTCTACAACGACAATCGTCACCACGAAGGCAACCGGCAAGACGACTACACTTCCGGTAAACACTATCACCGCTCTCGAAAACGCGCTTGTAACCAAGACAACTTATACGACAGTGGTTGTGCCGGGATCGACTGTTACAGATGTTGAGACAGAGACGAAGAAGGTGACAACCACACTGGGCGGCCAAATTATCACCGTGACCAAGAGCCAAGATTCAACCATCAAGACCACTCTGACACTCGCCACACCCACCACGACTGTTTGGAAGACATCTACAATTTCTGTTCGTCCCAGCGTGACCGAGTCCGTCCAGGCCACGTCGACCAAGACCAAGACCACCGCAGTCGTCACCACCTTCACAAGCACTGCAACCAAGACGAAAGCCGGAGCTACAACTTGCGCGACCCCTTGAAGAGGGAAAAATAAAAGTGATGAGATATTATAATTTATGAAATTGGCTATAGTAAAGTAATCTATTAATATAATTTTCCATTCTATGATCCAATATTCCGGGCTTGCCTAATGACCATGGCTGTATACTGAATTAGTATTTATGTTTCGCCACCCCCGTCCAGTCTCTGGAGCACTCCTCTTAATTTCGTTGGAGCATCATTCAAGAGGTTTCTCAAGAACTCGTTCCCGTCCAAATTGAAGGCACTGAGAAATAATGGTACAAGGTCTCAACTCACAAGCCACCAATGAAGCTATGTATGGAACCACGCAGAATTCGGTCAACTGTCGTTGATCAGTATTACCACACAACTCATCACATTATGGGCGAGATGGCTTCCCAATTGCGAAGCTCTATATGTTTCAGAAGCTTGGCCAAACTGTGGGGTAATCTTTGTGCGTTTGTGGGCAGCTCCTCGACTGTGAAGAGCATCTCCTGTATCGTGAGGACAGGATGAAGTTGTGGAAGTTTCTTGAGGTTCGCGGAAGAGTCTGGGCTGAGTATTTCATTCGCGTCAAGTGGTCGCAACCAGTCCGAGATGAAGTCTAGCCATTCGAAATGCAGTCATTCTAGATTCGCGGCCATGTCAGGGAGTGAGGCAAAAGTGCGACCGCCGAAGTTCAGAACCTCTGGCCCTGCACGCGTCTTGACCTTTTCCCATTGTAGGTCGGATACTGGGTAAGGCCTTCCATACGGGGGTCGAGTCCAGTCCTGCCAACTGCCAGATTTGTCAACAGACGAGGTAACAGCTGAAAATATTCGTGCATGTCCATATTTCCACAGGTGAACTCAAGAGCATTGAAGTTAGACAGGTCCATGCCAAGTTCTTCCAGCTTTTCGTGGTCCGTTGAAATGGTCACAATAAGCGCAGGATTACCATTTAACACTGGCAGAAGATCCATCTCCTTTCCTTGTGCATCATCTTTGTTAGCTTGAGACGGACGTCCCAATGGTTTGGTTCCCGTTGTAGAACACCTTGAAATCTGGTCTAGTCACGCTTCGCAACTTGGATTGACGGCTCACTGAAAGCGACAGGATAATGTCCGCATATAGACCTGCCATGATCCTCGGAACGGATAGACTTGTCATATCATAGTCTTTGGAGCTGCTATAGTACCAGGTGATCTCTGCATACACTAACCTAGTCTAGTAGAATACAGAGTGGAAGGCGCTGAAAAACTTCCAAGCGAAAGGGTGGGGCCCCTACTTAGTAGGCAGTAGGTGGCATTGCATGGACCCCTGAACTCTAATCGCAACCCTGGTCAAACAAGGTAATTGCAATCAAGCCTTCGTGCGTCATCGTTCATTCCCCATGGAGGCAGAAGGTAAACGCCGCTGCGTTGGGTATTGCATGTCATGTTGTCTCAGCAGAGAGGATTCAAGCATCGCGAGATGAAGGCCTCATTACCAGCTCTCTTTACCTCCTACTGTCCTACTTGACACTGCATGTTCGCCCTTTTAGTTTTACGCCATCCGTGACATTTCCGTCATTCACTCGCATGCGTCCAAGGGCATAGTCTCTCGCCGTTTTTGGGCCGGTTCCTGGTTTCATTTCCTTGACCTGCATCCACGAATCGCGTCTTGCAACCCCGACCGGGATTGCTGGACGGGTGGACCTCAATCTATCAAGGCGATCATATCTTGGTAGACTCGCCATTCGTCTGTTGCTTCGAGTCCGCTACGTCATTGGCTCCATTACCAGGTACCTGGGCACTGAAGTTTGTCCATTGGGGGCTTAAATCACGGCCTCTCTCGACATAGCGCTGGTTCGCATACGCAAAGCTGCTTGAGAGTTGGCATTAACCCTGCTATTGGATCATACCTCATTTTCGATAAAGCTTGAGGAAGACCTCTGGAGCATCTTCAATCTGAAAATATACCATGCACTTTGTTTCCTCCAGGATATACTTACTACCGAAGACGCCGATCTGCAATTAGTATATCACTGGGACGAAACGCGACTATACGCGGCTCCCCCTCCTGTAAGCAGGGGCTATACTTTTTTTTACTTCACAGCTACCTAGACAATGTCACAACACACAAGGACGCACAGGCGTCCGCCAACACCGAAAAGAAGCTTCTGTCTGGTTACAGCGCTCCTGTTGTCATCCCATGTTCAGGTCGCCCAAGGCGTCGTATACCCGAGCAGCCATGAGCTATACAAGTTCGACTACCTTAACCCACGAGCGGAGGCCGATGCGATCGACGAGATATCGAAGCGCGTCGTCTCAAAACGTGAAAATCCCATTCCATTGATCGTCACAAACAGTTGTGGGGATACAATCTGGCCGGGCATAGCTACACAGGGCGGCGATGGGCCTGAGTCCAGTGGTTTCGAGTTGGCGTCGGGTGAGACGAGAGACTTGACTGTGGGACCGACCTGGGCAGGCCGAGTTTGGGGAAGAACGAACTGTACCATTAGTAACGATACTGCTACATGTTCAACTGGCGACTGTTTCGGGATGCTGGAATGCGGCTATAGTGTAGGTCTTGTGTAGCAGCGACACTTGTGTATCGTGACAGCTGACACGTCTGCAGGGAGCCGTGCCAGCCACACTTGCTGAATTCAATCTTGCCGGAGGTACGACTGGAAGACAAACTTTCTATGACATCTCACTGGTTGATGGATATAATCTCCCAGTTGGTGTTGTATATCATCCCGCAGATAACACGAGCAACATCCCGCCAAACTTCGTCAATGCTGCCTGCATAGCGACGTCTGGGTATCTTATGGCCCCCAATAGAACCGGATACTATTATACCAATTCGAGCTACCCCATGCCATACGAATCGCAAGAGACCAATCCAGGCATCAGCAATTGGTGTCCATGGGACCTTCAGGCCTTCCCACCGGACAAGCCAGGCGACGGCATTTACCCATACCCTGACGACAACATCGAGCGTCCAGTCTTTGATCCCTGCAAGAGCGCTTGTGCCGCCACCAACTCCGAGAGTGACTGCTGTACCGGCGATTACAACGACCCAAACAAGTGCAAGCGCAGTGAATTTTCAGATAATGCGAAAGCGGTGTGCCCCGACGCATACAGTTTCGCCTACGACGACCAGACGTCTACCTTCATCATCCCGAGTGGTGGGGGCTGGGAGGTCGTCTTCTGTCCCGAAGGACGCAGCACCAACATTTTGGCGACTTACGGCGCGCAACTCTCGGCACTGGCCTCTACTGGAGAAGTGACGGAAGAGATGCAGATGCTCGCTATGAACACCACTTACATCGACTCTGTCTCAAATGTTGCCGTTAGCACCAAGAACCCTGGGCTGCTTGTCACCTTCACGGCTATCCTAGCTGGACTCATGCTGTTTTGAACGTCACATGGTGTAGAGCGCGGCTTTCTGGTTACGATTAACGAATATGAGACCTTTGATTAACGGGCGTTTTTGGTAGTTTTGGGTATGCAAAGGATTCGGCTAGAACGTACATTGACATTCATGGCTCCTTCTGAGGGTTTGGACAGCTGGGCTGGATCCATGCCTCGACACGCTGTTGCATTGCGAGAAACTTCGTCCATTGACGTAGACAGACTACAACACCTGATACCCTCCTTGCATAGTATTTTTCGATATCCAATATATTGCATTATTTTCATATGGCAGAATACCGTGAATGCACCACATGGCTTGGGCTCTTGCCATCAACTAAGAAGCATTCAAAATACTCCTGTACTTCCTGCTGGTGCCATTCCATGGGGTTGTCAGCCTTTCTGACCAAAGTCTTCTCACCAGGCAATAGCCTCATCCACTTGTTACGCCAATCTCAATCAAGCTCGAGGCGTCCTTCGTTGTGTATTGGCGACGCGTCGCGGCCCTTTCCTGTTGGGGTCTTATGCACCCTGGACTCCTCTCCCGACTCCTCTCCCGACTCCTCTCCCGACTCCTCTCCCGACTCCTCTCCCGACGCCTTGACCCGTTTCGCCTGGCGATCGCTGTCTGGAATCGGCGAGTGCACCCGCCTTTGCTTTCTGGTCTCTAGGTAGCTGCTTCGCCAGGCTCGACAAGCTTGGTGTCATATTGTCAGCCATCGTACTTAAATTGAGCAGACTTTGGGCCCTCGCTCACCGCAGCATTTGACGGCGCCCCACTTCTAGCTCGTGGCATCCTGGGACGAATGAGTCGGGTATTGTTAATCAGGTGCTTGGAAGAGAGAAAGACCCGGGCTGAATCAAATTGTGTGCCATTGATATGGGCTCGAATATCTGAGGTTAAAGCACTCGACCTGCGAACGCTCCTTCACGAGACGCTGTACCCGCAAAAGCTTTGCACCCATGACAACATCTTGTCATTTTGGGCATGGCCAAGGTGGATGCATACCCCAGATATCTCAGCTGTCTCCACGTATAGGGCTTAGCAGGATGAAATGATGCCTGATAACAATGGCATTATTTCAGGTGCAACTATCATCTGAGATGTAAGGTGTGCACGGGGACGTACATGTTCTTTTGAAGATTGCCTCGCTTGTTGTGTGAAATGTATTGCTTGGTAGTCACTAAACCACACCACGAACTATGTTCCTCGCATTATCGTAGCTATCATCATACAATCCCGACTCCACTTAATTCATCAATGCGTACCCGAGGACTTTTTGATGTACGAAGTCACAAACGGCTGTGTAACAAGCCACAGTCTTACAACGCAGCGACAACACCCAGCACGCCGGCTAGAACACCCCCAATAACCTTGGCCGGTGCAGCGGTTGGTGCAGCATTCGTACTGGAGCTACTAGCACTAATCGAAACGGTGCTCGCAACCGTAGGGCTGTTCACTGTGCCATCGAGGGTCTTCGTTCCCGAGACCGAGACGGTTTCACTGGTCGAACCACTGATGAGCGTCACCCCACTGCGGCTCAACGTATTGCTCAGGCTGCCACTGCTTGTGTCACCGGTGCTTGCAGTGCCCGGTGTGGTGGTCGTAGCCGGGCTGGTGATGCTCATGCTGCCTGTCGTGGTGGCCGATCCTGCGGCCGTGGAAGAGATGGTAAGCTCGCCTGCAGAGAAAGACGAGCAGACGGCGGATCCGGCGCTCTGGGCAGCAAAAAGGTCGGACGGGTTGGTGCATGCTGAAAGTAGACAACCGAGGGCTGCAGAGCCGATAGAGGCTTGAGTGGGGCCGCATTGGCATGAAATGTCATTTAATTGACAGCCAACCTGGGTTATCGCCACACTCAGACAAGGTGTCTGGAGATGGTATTAACATGCTTGTTCGAGGTCGCGGCTTGCCTGGCAAAAGGAGCCTGCTGGGGCTTGGACATTGCTACGTTTGACTTACAGCGCACGAAGGTTGTCCGGGGAAATACTGAGCGGCGGCAAGCGCTGCGCCAGTGAGGATGAGTGTAGATTTCATGTTGAAGGTGCTTAACAAACGAGTCCAATAAAAAGAAACCAGGGATGGGTCAATTGACGCGTAAGTAGATGCTGTTCGCCTACTATGTGTGTCTGAATGGACTGGCGATGATGTGGGAGAAGAGAGGGGAGCCGGAAGCTACATATACAAATAGCTGAGAGTGCCCAGCCCAGGGAAAAAAGGCATTGTCTCAGCAGCTACGTTTTCAGCTACATTTGGGGAAGCTATCAGCACATTTGGGGAAGCTATCAGCGCCGTTCCAGGTCGCCTTTACCGTTTTAGCTTATGGTTGAAAGCATTTACCATCCCAGGACACGCCACCGATTGGGAGCTTAATTGCCATTGGTGAGGGGAGCACAGTGCGCTGCCAAAGGAGATCAGTACTGCAACCCTAAATACTAGAGCGGGGGATAAGGTAGTGCTTAGTTTGGCGGCCACCGGGGCAGTTCACGGGCTCGACCTGGAGCACTAATCTTTATGTAGCTTCCCGCGTTAACAAAAGTGGACTTCAATCTTGAACCCTGAATGAACCAAAGACAGTGCCGTACTGTGTAAAGTACGTGACTCGATCCTATGCAGGTACAAAGATCCGGTTCTTGGAATGCTCACGACTGCTTCAGTACCTCTCAAGTGTAGCATGTTTGAGAGTCATAATATACACATAACAATAGAAGGGTGACATACTTCCTTGTTCGGAGAAAGTTCCTGGTGCCGCAGACGGACAATGTCTGTTATCTTATAGTCCCTATTTCCCTCAATTGTGCGCAAATTGTTCTCGCTGAAATCGAATTAACGCCATTGATCCATGAGGAGATTAGCCAAGTGATAAATGGGAAGCTTTCCCACCAACCGCGTCCGCTTTGATTTCCTCAATGCATCCACCACATCCATCATCACTATTGATACATGCTTTCTGAACGATGTCAGCCATACAGCATGGGGATCAAGACACGGCTTTTCATAATCTCTGACACACATGGTGGAGTATTCAACGTTAATGATGCTCAAAGAGCAGATGTCGTTATCCACTGTGGTGATTTGACTAAGGAGTCAAAGATCGACGAATATCGTAACACCCTCGATCTACTACGACGAGTTCCTACTCCTCTAAAACTGATCATTTCTGGAAATCATGACTTGACACTTGACGAGCCAACATTCAGAAAGCAATTATCGAAAACAACACAGCCTATCGAGCCAGGACTGGTCAAAAGCAAATTTGAAGATTATGGCGAACCAAGACGGCTTTTTGATGAAGTAAGGGAAGCCGGCATTGTGTTGCTAGACGAGCGCAACTACGAGTTTGCGCTGCAGGATGGTGCCCTCTTGAGAGTCTATGCAAGTCCATTCACACCTTCACGAGGTGGTTGAGATTTCCAGTACTCACCAGATACTTGACAGAATTTTGCCATTGCTGACAGTACGCATGTTGCCATTACACATGGCCCACCCCATGGAGTCATGGACTATATGGATGCCAAACAGAGAGTGGGTTGTTCTCATCTGTTTGGTGCTATTGCTCCGGCAAAACCTTTGCTGCATTGCTTCGGCCATGTTCACGAAGGATGGGGTTTGCTAACTGACTTGGTTCAGAACTAATTCAATGATGAGGAGGCCACCAGGGCAAAGCCAACGAAAGCTCGAGCTTACGTTAGCCAAGGCTTCTGTAAAACTAGCCATTGCTCAAACGACATAAACCCATTTTGACCTAGTTTCACAAACTCTATTCGCCAATGCATCTATCGAAGGCAGTAATAATGATATGACAGTACAGCCTCCATGGATCCTTGACGTCGAACTTCCGAAAGGCGACGGGGACAGCTTGTAGTCTTCTTTGGGAAGTCATGTCAATTATACACTCAAAACCCTGCGTCCCTGCCGTATGTCACATATTATAATGCGTTACACAAAGCATATATAGAAATGAAGAGCTTGGAGAGCAACATGACGTGTATAATTAGGGAAAGAGGACCCAGGTGCATAGATAATTGTGCAAAAGTGGGGCACGCTTAAGATGGGCGAATACAATTTCCGTACAAGACTCATTAGCCATTGGAAATTTTTATTGTTAAGTTTTGTCCTCGTGAAGACATAGTAACGTTATATAATACTAATTTATTGAGTATAATCCCGCTCCCTAAATTTGACCGTCATAGTGCGGCCTGCTTTATTCTAAATTCTTTTGATATACAGGAGGATATACCAGAGCAGATGCTGGAGGGTACTTGTGCTGCCCTTTCGCACTGATTATTATTCTGGACAAGTATGCACAAGCGCGTTTGAATATGCTCTAAACACATATAAATCTCTCTAGAAACTATGGCTATTGAGGTCAAATATATGCGCAAGTATAAAAATTACCCATCACACCCTATCGTGATATGGTGAGTACCAGGTAGACAAGGACACAAGTGGATCATACAGAGCAGTGCATACTTCATAATGTAGTTTTCTGGTTCAGTCAAACCGTGGCTTCCTGTTATAGAGAACTATGTTCATCACTTCTCACTTGACCATATATGGAGAAGATGGAAGGCATAGTCGCTAAGACTAGCTAAATATACAAGCGCTCGTATCGCTATTTGCTTCGACTTTTCTTTCTTTTCTTCTCTATTTCTCGATAATCACGGGTTTCGTCAATGCAACACACATTGCCGAGTATCAGTAGCGGCCATCCGTCTGCTTCAACTGCTCCCCAACTTGCTTCACACTCACAGCCCCCTCCCCCTAATAAGTCTCGCCCATAACTCTCGCCCGCCTGGTATTCTCTTCGGTTCTTTCTAGGGCCTCTCGCAACATACACGGGACCTCATCTAATCCAGCATTATCCCCGTTACTTTCAGGTTCTTCAACTCCTAGGCATCGATACCCACCTTCAGATATTTCTTTTGTCGTTATTTGTCATAATCCTTACTTCCTAACCCTATTTCAAGGATCTCCGCCCGGTCATCCATTAGAATTCCATTCCGTCCCTGATTTCTATCGGCGGGCTATGGACGTTCTTTCTTGACTCAGACGGTTTTTCTCGTAAAGGCCCCGTGATACTCCACGACAACCTTAATATGATGGAAAATCACATACGCACGTCCCCGTCACTCAAAGAATAACCAGTAGACGAGAAACGAATTGAACTGGTCAGCATACTCACAATACTCATCCATGTCAACCGAGCGATCCGCCACTGGCTGCTGGCCGACTTCATGATAGGGCATGGTGAGGACGACGCTGCCGAGGTAGGGGTGACCACCCGACTCCATTGTAGCGGTAGCTTAGAGTGATATCGGTGTTTGAGAAGCAGAAGAAGAGGCTCGCCTGAAAAAGGCTGGCGACGAGAAAATATGTGAGAACCCCCAAGTAAACTGAGACCAATATCACTAGCAATCAGACGGGCGCCGAATCTTGGAGCGGTACGGACCCGTAGAGCTCTCGGGAAAGGTTGAGAGGTCGTTGGTAGGATAGCCAGGTCACCAAGTATCTCGGGAAAAATATCAGCATGCTGGTTCCAGCACTCCAGTCCTGCGCCATCACGGTTGAATGCACAACGTCTCACCCCTTTTCAGCTCTGCTATCATCAAACTATCAAGTGGCTCACGCACTCCACTCACTGCTTTTGAGCCGAAATACAACGCACGGAATGAGCGGGAGGGGAGCGGTTGGCATGGCAGAGGAGACCCTGTAATAGAATGTATGCTCTTTCATTTGTACCGGTGGCGGAAAGGTCTACGCAGAATGCGCAGCTCTTGTGTCTACTTGCCCCCTCACCGTTGCCAGATGAGACTCTATCATCCCCAAGTGGCTCGGTCGTGAACCGCAAAAATGGAGTTTCTAACGAAGACTTGCGACATTGCTCGTACGAGAACAATGCTCACCGGGACTTCTTGGCAGCTTTCCTCCTCTCAAACTCGGCCCTCTCCTCGTCATCACTGCCACTGAACTCAGCGTCGTCATCGCTCTCGGGACCCGGGGCATCGGCAAACGTGTTGCTGGCATAACTCGAGCCACCCGTTTTAACGTCGCTTGCGTCCACGAAATCGCCCTGGTTTAGGCTGGCGTATTCGTGCTTTTGGATGAGCTCCCTCAAGGCCTTGTTCGTTGGGTCTACGAGTTGGAGGGCTGTGAGTTTGGCCTTGTTCTTGACGCGCGGATTTGAGCCTGCCTCGAGCATCATCTCGACCAGGGCGTTGCCGAACTCGCGCTGGGCGGGGGGCTCCGAGTTGATCCAGCGGATGGCCGAGTGAAGGGGCGTGTCGCCCTCTTGTCTGTTGACGGGATCGCATTCGAAGTTTGGCTGATCGAGGAGGAGGTCTATTACTTCGTCTATCACTCCAAAGTTAGCAGATGCGATCCAGGCTCTCGTGCTCGTGCTCCTGCTCGTGGATAGATGGCCTGCACGTCAAAGGAGCCGTGTCGAAGAGGGGCGAACGGCAGAGGGCAGGAGGCAGAGGGCAGGAGGACAGACGTACAGTTGCCTTGCAGCGCGGCCTCGTGGTACAGATGGTTGCCCATGACGGTTGTGGTGCGGTTCATTAGGTTTGAAATCTCATCGTCGTTCTTGCACTGGGCAATGATTTCTTGCAGCAGCTCGACGTTGTTGCGACGACAGGCCTCGACAATCTGCTCTTTGACAGAGGCACCCTATGAATTGTTTAACCATGGTGCTCCTGAGTGCGCAGGCAGTATGTAGTATACCTCGTGCTCGTGGTTGTCCGCCATGTTCGGGTGCAGCGGCGGCGGGTAAAAATGGTGGGCGATATCTGATCTCTGCCGTCCCTAAGCAGTTGGGAGAGAGTCGCAGGAGGTATGGGTCTGATTGTGAATTCGAATCGGGAATATGGATTTTGCTCTTTGCTTCGCAACAGAATGCAGCGCCTGAGGAATGTTCCCGGTGATTGAAGCCTTTGGGCACATGTCCAAGTGGTTGTCACAAGCCCACCATGGCCCCCGTTTGGTGCAACGCGGGGCTGTGTTCTGCGCTTTAAGGCAGTAATTGACTCCAATGGCACGGGCTGCGTGCTACGGGCTACGTGCTAGACTAACCTACTGGCTACATGCTGCTCGGAGCTCTGGGCAGCCTCAGGATTGACGTCGGTACCTGGCGGGGCAATTCGCAGGCTCGAGGCGGGGCTGTCGTTCAGTCGTTTCAGGGACTTTTCTGGCTTTTGATTGGCAGGGCAGCTGGGGGCGCCCTCGCACGCCTGCGGCAGTACCGAGTACTTAATTAAGCTCCATCAAAATTTATGGCTGGTAGAGAATCGATAAGACTCACGATCGCATTGCGAAAAGCTTCACCATTTTCGTCCACTGTCTTCTTCTTCTTCTTCCCACCGTCCCACCCCAAGCCAAGCGCGCCCACCTCTGTGACAAAGGCCATACGGCCCAGGACCGCCACCATGCTTCTCTGTAAGCAGTCCAGACCCCCCTCCTCCAGTATCTGATCACCCCTCGAACGCCAAAAACTAACCACCGCCGCCATCACAGTCTGCCCCCACTGCTCCAACATCCTGACCGTCGGCCCCAACCCCGAGTCCGGTCGCAATCGCCTCGAATGCCGTACCTGCCCCTACCAACACTTGATAACGACATCCATGTTCAGCCGGCGCGACTTTGCGCGCAAGGAGAGGGAAGATGTCTTCGGCGGCCCCGGCGCATGGGACAATGCCGACAAGACCCCCGTCCAGTGTCCCAAGGAAGGCTGCAACGGCAATGAGGCTGCCTTCTTCCAGGTCCAGATTCGAAGTGCTGATGAGCCCATGACCAGTTTCTACAAGGTACGATGTGGCAACCTTTGGCAAAGATTGAATGAATACCCACTAACGAATACCACAGTGCATGACCTGTGGTGGACGATGGAGAGAAAACTAGCCCGCGGCGGCCAAACCCTTTGGTTGTTGGTTGGCCTTTGCAGGCCGCAGCATCACGAATCATTTGTTTTTGTATTCATCTGCATGGCTACGGCGTTGGGCGTCACTTGAACCTTTGTTTAGTTCCGTCTTGAACCTCGAAATCTAGAAGCACCCGCCACATCGCATCCATAATATACGAAAGGCATTTCTCTGCTTACAATGGATTGCTCTGATCACTCTTCTTTGCTTTTGACCTACTAATTTGCCAGTGTTGCATCCTTGTCTAGCCATGTGGGCAGCTTGCTCTACAATACCCCGTCTAGCCTTCCGGCAATAGATGGATGGGGACTGTTGCGCCCTGCCCTCTTCGGATTGGCCGTGAGTCTGCTGGCATATACACCCGCGTCAGTGCCAGTAGAGGATCGCACGTAGCAAATGTGTCCCTTGGAAGTTACAGTATGGTATCGTGCGGTCAACTGGTGATCAAGTCGTCAAGATGGGAAACTTCGTTGTCGGGGCTGTAATCTGCCTTGTCTCACTCGGTGTCGTCCTTGTGCCAGTCGATGCTTGCCTTTTGTCCCTCGGCAGCAAGAACCTGCACGAGCTCGGGACTAATGATCTCTTGCCTGAACCGTTCTTGCTGTAGAAGCTCGAGGTGCTTGAGCGTGGGGCCGGGATATGTCAGGTATCTCAGATACGGTGGCTTGCTCCAATACTGTAGGTACTTGAGGTATTGCACGAAGGCTGGCTCGGAAAGCAACTTCTGCGACGCCAGGTGATTTAGATAGAACGGATTGGCCAGAGATTGGACGAACTGGAACCAGGTCAGCCACGCCAGTACGAGTGGGATGCATGTTGCCCGCCCACGAAAGCCTCTTGCCAGTAGAGAGTAGAAAACACCAGTGCGAACGTACCTCGAGCTCAACCTCGAAGCGTGAGAAGCCTCCATAAAGAGGCTCGCTATCGGCCGGCAGGCTAGGTGGTGATTGCGACATGGCGACGATGCGACAAAGCTCGTTCTCGGTCTGGCAGCAGCGGGACTCGATCCAAAGCAACTCGGAGAGGAGAGTACTTAATTACGTAGAGACGTTCGTGTTGCAGCCCCAGAGTGGGATTGACGCGGTGCGAGATGAGGGCCGCGTCGTGGATGTTTGAGGTTAAGGCTGGAACCGGACAGGGGGACAGTCGACGTCGACGAGGGAGTCCAGCAAGCTTCGAGCTCTGACCCTAGACCGTCCATGGAATTGCGATCTCTCTCGGCACAGGAGCTGGATCGGTGGTCTGGACACCCGAAAGGAGACGTGTAATTTTAGGTGCAGAAAAGCTTGGCTTTCTAGCGTGCTGTGCTCTGCTCCCCTGGCAAAAATGGGGGGGCCACCAAGAGGCGCATGCATAGTAGGCACGCAGAGGCACGCCAGGCAAGATTGGATTTCAATATTTCAAGGTTCAATTTCTTTAGGCTGTTCTTTTTTCGTCCATCCAGGCACTAGGGACCAGAGCATATCACACGTGCAAAACTCAATCAAGCAAATCATGATGCGTCCATGATAAGAAATGACTGCTTGCTCGGTCCAGGTCCACGTCCATGTCCATGCCTGCTTCCCTGCGCGGTTTGGTCTGCATGCATGCATGAGATAAGGTAATAAAGAAAAATCTGTCTCGACCACTCTCCCGTGTGTTTGTGTCTGTGCTGGTGGTGGTCTGTTACTGTCACCAGTATTCGACGTGATGATCGTTGGTGGATAATTGTCTTGTTCGTGTTTGCTTCCAACTTGAGTGCATGGCACGACTCCATTCCCTGGAATCCATCAACAGAACGCAGGGCGCCGATACCTGATCAAATCATAGACCAAAAGTAATGAAAAGAGCCTCAATCTTCCACGTGTAGCTGGGGACTGGAGTCGATCCCTCCTAGTGCCAGGTACCCAAGTAGTCCTGACCCGCCAGAATACCCAAGATTGAAGATACATAATACCCTATTTCGAAACGACGGACCATAAATGAGAAAAGGGGTTGCGATGATCCGCACTCCGACTGCCGTAACCCACCTTCCCGTTTCCACGAGATGACGAAACGGCTTCCGATACTTATCGCTTGGCCTGGTCGGCGCCAAATCTGCAATCCACGGGGGGGTACTATGTATGTACTCCAGAGGGCAGTGTAGCCAACCATGCGCATCCTTACCTTTTCCTGGGCCGGAATCAATTTGATTATAGTCGCAATGCTGGAGCAAATCTTTTCGGGCCATTAAATTGAGTCGCGTCGGACGTCCACATTCGCCAGATGCAGTCCACAAATCCACTCCTCCCTCTTCACTGTCAATCGCCATCCAGGCCGGCCAATCCAGCACTCCCCCCGGTCCACTCTCGCCTAAAAAGCGTCCAACCCCTGTGTCGTAATCTGACAGCACCCGGCCAGAGCCCAGCACGCCGCAGCTTTTAATCTCCTGAGGACATCTGGTTAAACTTTTGAACTTTTTCCTCCTCGACTTCGACGACTTTCCCTAACCGCAACACGACAAGACACGCCCGTACCGGCCATCATCAGATCTTGTACATCTCACCATGTCCAGCGTTCAGCAGGACAAGTCCGCTCAGGATGAGCGCAAGCTCGAGGGAGGTGGTGTCGCTACACCCGCACCCAGCACCGGTGTACACCCTGCGCTATTCATCGCGTAAGGAGCCTCGTTCGCCCAAAAAGCGAAGCCCGTACCTTGGGGACTGCGAATGCTAACCAGACACTTAGCCTCTGGATCGCCATGAGCTCAAGTGTCATTCTCTTCAACAAGTGGGTTCTTGCATCAGCAAAATTCGGTATGTCATCCATCCGGCAGACTATTCTGAGATGTTCTGAGACAAGCTAACCGCGTCAATTAGATTTCCGTGAGTCGCACCCGCGCTCTATACCGCGACGCAATTATGAGCTTCGTTGAACTGACAAGGCCCGCAGCAATTTTCTTGACGACATGGCACATGGCCTTTGCGACAGCAATGACCCAGATTTTGGCACGAACCACGACCGTGCTAGATTCGCGAAAGAAGGTTCCCATGGACACTCAAACCTACATGTGAGCTAACCCCCCCAGCGCTTTCCAGCTACCGCCAAAAATCGCTTGGGTGCTAATAATGCAATAGGAAAGCCATTGTCCCCATTGGCATCATGTTCAGCTTGAGTTTGATTCTCGGTAACGTCGCCTATCTGTACCTGAGTGTTTCCTTCATTCAGATGCTCAAGGTCAGTTTTCTTCTCACTTGAAGAATACGTGCGCAAGTTTCTAACCGGGACCACATAGGCCACCAACGTAGTCGCTACACTGCTTGCCACCTGGATTTTCGGCATGGCAGCTCCCAACTCCAAGGCTTTCTTGAATGTGTCCATCATTGTCGTTGGAGTCATCATCGCTTCTTTTGGAGAGATCAAGTTTGACATGTTCGGCTTTTTGGTCCAGGTTTTCGGTGTCGTCGCCGAGGCTGTGAGACTCGTCATGGTGCAGCGTCTTCTCAGCGGTGCTGACTTCAAGATGGACCCCCTTGTCTCCGTCTACTACTATGCGCCTGCTTGCGCCGTCATCAACGGTATCATTACAATCTTCTGGGAAGGAGGTCGCTTGACCATGGCCGATATCTACGGACTCGGAATTTTCACTCTCATTGCAAACGCCTTTGTCGCATTCTGCCTCAACGTTTCCGTTGTGCTTTTGGTATGTTGTCACATTTCGGCATCCCCTAGGATGCATCGCGCTAACTCGGAATTCAGATTGGCAAGACTTCCGCTGTTGTTTTGACCATGGCTGGTGTTCTGAAGGACATTCTTTTGGTTGTGGCTTCTATGGTCATCTTCGGCGACCCTGTCAGTGGACAGCAGTACTTTGGTTACGGTATCGCTCTTGCTGGCTTGACTTACTACAAGCTGGGAGCTGAGAAGATGCAAGCCATGGTCACCGATGCCAAGCTGTACGTCAACGAGACCCGCCGAAACAAGCCCGGCCTGACCAAGGTCGTCGCGCTTTGCGCTGTTCTCGCAGTTGTGACCATTCTAGGTCTTGGCTACTGGGGACACACTCCTGGAGTGGCTCTGCCCGTTCCCTCGGAGTAAGAGCAGGTCACGATTTGGTTGGTTGTAACGATGTTGTGGGTTAGAGGGGCATTATGTGCAATTTATGCGGCTGCTGCTCTATGTACTCTGAGGCTTATGGTTTGTACATAAGAAATGATGACGCACTTGTATTTTTTGTGTATAGAGGTCGGAAAAGGAGATTGGGCGTTGGTCGGCGGCAGGCAGTCCGCTTATGGTGCAGGAGCATCTATCTTATTCATGCCTTTCGATAGAGCAGAAAGGGGCACGTAGAAATTCGCAGCCAGTTTCTTTGTTCACAGCTCAGTTCATACCAAATCACCTAACAACTTGCCTATTCTCTAACCCCCCTATTAATACGTATTATCAATTTCCATATGCATTACGGCATCAGTGAGAGTCAAGCTATATACCTAGACACTAAGCTATGACCTGTAGGGTTGCAAGTTGGCAGTCTCAGATATGAGAGACCGTGCGTCTTGGATGGACGTTATGTATATCACAAAGTCGTCCGCTCTTTTAGGTGCCCCATCGCGAGGTCCATCCATTTAACATTATGCTCCCTTTACCCACCCCTCCCAACTAGTAGGGGGTTTTGCCTCTCTCTCCACTATCTTCTCCATCTGCAACGGCCGACATCTGATCCATCGTTGGGACAGCGATGCGGCTTTCCCCCGTAATAACTAGTCCATCACAACTAGACAGAAAAGGGCCCCGGGGGGGGGGGGGGGGGGGGGGGAGGATAGTCCGGGGCTCACAAGGTGTGTTTTCGGAAGGGATTCGGGGCAATCTTTTCTGCCGATTTTGACTTCTTTAAATTGGGCCGTTCGAAGCGTTTAGACAACCTTGCGTAGGTCTCCGCCCATTCCTCTACCTCTTCCTTTTCCTCCAGATGTGGCTGAGAATCTGGCGATCCCGGGGCGGCACCGCTGGCCCGGTCTTGCGCTGCTCCGTTCTGCCCGGTCGAGGAGGCCGAGGACGGGGCCTGCTGCTGTGTGGAGGTGATGGGGTCTTCGGTGTTTCCGTTGTCTGGCATTTAAAATAAAAAAATTTAAACTAAATATATCTCTCTTGCGTCTGAAGGCTTGGCGCACGAGGGTTTCGTAAGCTTAGCTTTTCTTGACGACGTTGATTACCATATGACGCTATATGTTTTGTTATTGCTTCGGGCTGAGAACAATCATACAGTTTATGGTCCCGACCATTCCCTCTAGGCGATCTTTGTTAGCACTTTTCGAGACTGTCGTATCAAGGCTGCAGGGCCGATATTTATACGTCTCTGCAATTATTTTCAGGACTTATAAGCCAATCGTGTTTGAAACCTGGATTGTTTGTCTTGCTCATGATGCATTGTCAGTTGCCACCGACGAACTTGCAGGTGGATGGACAATGGATACATTGTTAGGCAACATGATTAGTTTCTTTGTCTCGTGTACGAGAAACGGATCCTGGCGTGTAATTATTGGCGCTGTCGAGAGACGCTGGTCGCTCAGCAGCAAACGGCATTAAGCCTGGCGCCTAAAACAGATTTTAACTTGGAATAGCTGGAAGCGACCTATTCATCCTTGGATAAGGTTGAAGGAAAAAAAAAAACATACAACACCGGGGATTCCCCAGTGGTCACCCACCTGAGTACTAATCCAGCGCTTCCCGGTTTATCTAGGGCAGAGCGGACGGGATGCCGAGTTTTCTAGGAGCTATGGTCGTATGTACTGTCTAGCAGCAATAATAGGATACATATTAGATAAGTGTTTGAGAGGATCCGAAAAGTCTAAATCACAAAGACCGAATGCTCAAAAAAGAGAACATACAACTCCAGGGATTCCCCAGTGATCACCCACCTGAGTACTAGGACTTATCATTAGGTAAGCAGACGCCATAGTTAAAGAATTAGTGCTCTGAAAACCGAATCCTCGCGACCCTCCCACCTTGGCCTGAAGGATTGCTTGGCAAAAACTATACGGATTTAAAACGTTAGATTTGACCATATCTCAATTAGCGCTTTTATCTTCTTACGTTTTACCTTAATATGCCGTTTCTATTTGTACCTCGATTGCGTTAGAAGCAGAGTCTTGTTTGCGTATAGCCAATCCTACCGGGCTTCGTAAAACGCCAGTTAATCGACACTCGTCGTGTGTTCAAATGGAAGAAGGTACCAGTGCAGGCCGTTAGCGGCCCAAGGTGGTCCGTCTTTGATATGCGCAATGTATGTGTATCGGGCCACTATTCTCAAGTTTGACGGGGTCGTGGAAGAAAGCTATGCAGTCACACCTATCTATCCGACACCGTAGTGGGCCATCACCAATAGGAGTTGTCGCTGTAAGAGATACCAATGAGCGGCTACGAGCCTCCAAATCTATTTACACGTTAGTATGATAAATTGATAATACGTGTATTGTAATGCAGAACTTCTGGCTAGGACATGTGGTTGTGAAACTAGTATGCATACTGTCGAATCCCTTGCCCAAGACATGGTGATTAGCGGCGTGTTGTCTTATATACACGTATCCGGGGGAAAGCACCGCTGGCACGATTTGTCTGCAGACTGGCTGTGGCGGATAACTCCGGATGGACATCACTTTATGCTGCTTCTAGCCAGGAACACATCGAAATGGTCAGGCTGCTTTCCGAAAGCAGTCCGGACCTATGATACGACCGCGCATACTTCCTTACTCGGTGTCACCATTAAGACAGCGAGAGAATCATCTTTAGGTCGAAAAACATATATAAAAACAGCAACCCTAAGATAGCCAGCGAAATTTTCCCATATTATAGCTCGCCCCGGGGCAGGAAATCCCTTGGAGGTAATTTTCTGCGCCAATTTCCTGTCCCTCAGTGGTTCGGGTGTTTAACCTCATCCTCATAACAACCACTTTGTGTATCTTGAAATCGATCTCATGGGTACGTGGCCTCCTCATTGTTGAGAGTATCGGGGTGGCTTTATGCTCCATTGTGATACTAAACTGGATACCCTCCCTATTCAAGAGTTACCCTCAGGATAGCAGCTGTAGCTAAGCAGAGAAAAGGGAACCACAAAAGCAGTGATGACGAACATCTCGGGAGGTTATCTTTGGTTAGTTGAGAAGTGTCGCAATAACGTAGCGTTAATCAACTATTAGGATGTTAATGGTTATAGAGGACCGACCGACTTCTAATTAGAAATTGAATCTTACACCATCTCGATAGTTTCTGCAATCTTCCTCCTTTGAGCGGATTCTGTCGAGTAGTTTGGCGTGTAGCCTGTCTGAGTGCAATATGACACGATCCCAGTTCTCCAGAATGGCGACTTGAGTAAGCCTGTCAAAACGTTCAAGCCGATCCGAGTACCTCCCTTTATACGCTTTCGCCCATTCCTTCTGCATTCTCCGAATGGTCTGCGAAGGGGTCGAGATGTTCTTACGAAAATTAGCGAAAAGTCGTAGCACTAAAAACATATGTTTCGTCTTGGACATTCGCTCATCATCGAACATTTGCGCCTCGAGAAGTATCTCATTACTTAGGTCGTCAGACTAATATCGCAATGTTAGTTGGACCACATCCTCGACATCTTCCCTATAGGGCTACATACCTGAAAATCAAGGAGGGCATCTACGGCGTCCAAGCACTGGCTCCACCCATGCTCCCATAAATCCAAAAGGTTCCATATCATCGTTTGAAAAAGGGTGACGCCGGAGGCCTCCATAGGAGATTGCAATCCCCGCCCAGTCCAGTCTGTTCTCGTCGTGTGAGTGGACGAATGGCCGGCATCCGTCATAACGAAGCCCACGGCTGAAGGACTGGGCTCTTCCGTGGGCGATTTGGTGCCGTATCTAGTGGCAACTCGCATACTAACTAGAAGACGCATCTCTTCAAGACGACCAATACCAGGAATTGTCATGTTCAAGCGGTCACACCGAAGACCTGACCTACTTGCGTCCGAGGCTGCTTCAATAGGCGTTGAAACCTCTGTAGTGTCCAGAAAGAAGTAATGAAGAGTGAAGTGGAAGTACATCCAACGGTCTGGACAAGTGCCAAAAGAGAAAGATAGGTCGCGTTCACCTATTGTTGGACCTTGGAGTCGACAAAATGCTTGTAGAGAATCTAAACACCAGAAAATATCTTGATCAACATAGCTGTTATGAGAATCTAACTCGGTTTTGTGTTTGTTTGGATTGCTCATGATGCTTAGGATGAAAGCCAACACTGGGAACGAGATGATCCATCGCTCTGGACCCTTAATAGACCTATATGGGTGTTGAATTAGTTGTGATAGTTCGGGATAGAGAAGCCATTTTCATACCATATTTGTGCATATCGGGATTGTTTGGAAATAGGTTGTTGGGTAATAAATGTCTCAAGGAAAGGTTGGATAGTCTCCGGCGATACCATCGGCAATAATACTCGCTTTCTAACAATTAGCTCATGATCATTTACTTAAAGAATAGGGACATAAAGCAAAAACAAAAATCTTACAGATTCCCCTTGCGACTGCAAGTAATAGCCACTAGGATGATGTAGAAGCATATCTAGACGCACAGATTCCAAATTCACATCCTTAGAGGCAAGCCAACTTATCATACGATATTCGACCGACTCCGAATCATTGAATCGAGGACCAAGCAGGCGACGGCTCACAGGCGCAATATGACTATCGGGCCACAGTTTGCATATCGATTCTGCTACCTCGAGAACTCGTGATGGTGTCAAATCAGGATGATTGCCGATACGGTCAAGAGGAACAACTAGTGGGGACAAATGTTTGGTGCTTCTATCCATCGAATGAAGTTGCAAGAGGGAAGACCAGGCCGATAGATCGTACGTAATAGATGGTTCAGCGTGGAAGTCATTGCCTGGAATAGGATAGGGTTTTGTGCCAAAGGGGTCTGTATCAGTTCGATCGGGCTGAGTGAGGGTTGAAGGAAGTTTTTCGCTAGTGAAGATTGCTGGGACGTCGAAGATGGATAGAAATTGCTCTTGTATCGCTGTCAAAGTCGTCTGACTAGTTGGAAGTAAGACACCAGGTGAGAGTTCCAGTGCAGTGCCAACACTTGGAACTTCTGATCGCCAATCTTCTGTACTGTTGTCGTGATAGCTGGCTCGCAGAACGTTGACATGACGAAGAAATGGCAAGAGCTCTCGTGCCAGACTTGCAAGCATTTCATCATTAGACAAAGGGGTAGCTTCTGCATCCATAGCACCCAAAGTTTGCGGTAAGAATAATGCTTAGGAAGGAGACAAAGAAAAAAGTAAGGCTTGTTGGTTATATCAATGTGATTACAACCAACACAGGTTATAACTGCGAAGCGGGGTATGAGGCGCAGCTTGAGCGTTGGTAGTTGGTAGGCTTCGCCATCTAACAGCCAAGCGGGGTATAGGCAGCTTGAGCGTTGGTAGTTGGTAGGCAGAAACAGCTTTTTACTGCGTCTTTACCCGGATTCGGCCACAGTTGATGCAATTCAGGTGACCTGTCTTAGTCGTCGTCGAGTAACTGTATAACAAAGACAAAGAAGAGTCCTATATCACGAGATCTGACGTTTAACCAACAGGCATGCTTGATTTTTTTATCTGGAATGTGAACAAGGTCCTTAAAGAAGGTCCTCTGGATACAAAATGAAGCAGTTTATCAACAAAGGATATAGTCCAGAAGCTCAAAAGACATTCACAACATCTACAGCCATCAATATTCAAAGCCTTAACAATTATTATCGTTTGCTGCCTTTGATCTTTATTTTACTTGTAAATAAGGCGCTGACGCCTAATAATAGAAAGAACTAACAAGGGCAGGTCCAGCAACTTGATCCATTATAGCTACCACATTTTGCCCCAAATGCAATAATCATGTCCAAGCTACCAAGTACAGCACTTGCCCAGTTTGCGGAGAAATGTTCACTTCTTAATATGGCACATATCTCTGAAGGGTACTAGATGGAGTCGAAAGATACACTGATTGTATCTAGCGAGGCGGCGAAGGGAATAACAGTTCTGCGGATCTCTTATGCATACTCATTTATTAAGGACAGATTTGCTACTTAATCTTGGTCAAATTCTCGTTTTTCACATCTTTTCAACTAAAAACATTCGCTATAAAATTAAAACAAGCATTTCAGCTGACTCTATCTTCCGTAACTATCGTCTTTACATAAAACATTCCATTTAAAATGTAGCGGGGGTTCGAGGCAGCAGTATTTTTTGACTTATTGCATTAAGTACATGCTCCCTATGCGTAACGAGATTGTCATTTCTATCAACTAACCTACCCTTGCGATTCGATAATTGCGCAATTACATTCTTCTCCTCTATATTAGATTTTTATAGATGACAAAGCCTTAAAACAAGTGTAGACACAATGCGAAGCCAAGCCATTTTAACAATACTATGCAGAATTTTGCCAGTCATCTAGTACCGATCGAGGCAGGTTTCAGGTCTTGCTCGATCTCCCGATTTACCATCTGGCGTAGGTTTGCGGTGAACGCTCTCCAAGCCTCGGCACGCAAGGAACAAGGAATGCTCCGAAATTTGCTGGATGACCCCACGGTATATAACCTCAAAATCCGACGACGACGGTTGTATGATTCCATCGCCGTAGCGCTTGATGATGTCGGTTGCCCGCCAGCTCTCCTTGTCCCAGAACCATCGTAGACCGAGGGGGCTGCTGATCTCGCAAATGACGTTGGATATGCCTTGCACATCGTTCTGGATAAATGCTCCCCGCACAAACCTATTAGGCCTGTCGTCTCGGTATTTGGTGCTTGCTTTCGAAGTCGTGCTCCACCGTGCCGGCACCTCGTCCGGCTGGTCTTGGTCGCTAACACCGTAGAAGATCTGCAGCCAGGACTCACCGTTCTGAAGTCGCAAGGCGTACCTGAGGAGGCTGCACCAAAGTCGCCACAATTCTGGATCTTCGTCGATTGTAAAAAAATCGAAACATCTCATCAAAGCGTAGAAAGTATCATCAACCACGAAGGGAACCCGAAGGGTAAAGCCCTCACATTGGAGCGAGATCCTTATGAATTTTTTACATACGAGTCTAGTCCAATCGGAAAAGTCCGTTCGGTGCCGGCTTGGCGGTCTCTTATATCCGGCATCAAGAATCAGCACTTTGGTTGCATCTTCCAACTTGTGCATGAGTAGGTAAAGCTCCTGTATATGTCACGGCACGTCCAATGCTGCGGCAACGTCTTTGATGCATTGGCCCTCCTTCGTAGCGGCCTCGGTCCTGTCAAGCCAGCAGTCGAGTTCATGGACCACCGTCGGTAGTGGTTGGAATGCGTAGCAGCCAATGTCCCGCCCGTCGTATGTCTCTCGCATATAACGCATAACCAGAAGGAACAAACGAGTGCTTAGTATAGTACAGTCCGCAGATAGAGTCTGCGGCATAGTCTCTGACCTTATCACCAGCCCCAGCAGCGCATAAATGCGATCTCTGCTGTCCGAACATCTCTTCTTCTTGCGGGAGGCTTTGATCAATCGATATAATTCAAACCCGCCCAGGAATCCTTCCTCGGGATTGACCTGTGACGATAGGTCCCTACGGCTCTTAGTGAGAAATAAACGATGCGCAGAGGTCCTCAACGCCGGCTATCGAAAAAAGCTCATGCTTGCTAGGCCAGCCTAGGAACAAGTTCGAGAACCGCACATTAATACGAGGTCCCTCGCCAACACGAACTCCTGAACAATCCGCATCCGCTGGAAGTACGGGCGCCGAGAGAAGGCATTCAACGCGCTGCGATGGTCGAAGTCAGCCAGGTTTTAGTCTACACGCACAAAGATCGGGGCAGATTTCGGGAAGGCATCCATGACGACGGTCAGTCTATATTCTTCCGGCTCATGGTTACTCTGTTGATTGTTCACCTTCAGATCGCTGGACGTTGGCGACAGGACGTCCATGGCTAGGTTTGAGTTCTGTGCCTTATTTCCGAGCCACGCGATTACCGTCTCGCCGGCGCTGAAAATATCATGCATCATGTTAACTTGGTGCCCGCGCTCATGCACGTCTTCCTGGTCGATGCAAGGGGCGTCGATCCAGAAGTAGGAGCCATTGACGCGTAGACTGGTATCTGTCTTCCTTGAACCTTTCCCCCCAGCCGCCGCCGTATCGGAATTTGCCAGTTCGTATAGGGCAGCCCAGAGGTTGTCGCGAACCAGGAAGAGCTTGCCATTTATTTCGATACCATTGCTCGGCTCATCGGTCCCCCATACATACGAGAGCGCACAGTAAAGTGGGCACTGGTCAATCGTGCGTGTGGGTTGAGAGGCTGCAACGGATGGTGCCATCGCCGGCCGGGGTCGGGTCATGCTAACCATACTTTCGGAGGCTAATATGAATGCGAAGCTAGCCAAGAAGTCTTAGTCTATAAATCATTCGCAGTCAAACGCATTTTTCATTATTCCAGACTTTAGCCTGTAGGCTTCGCAAATTCCACTCTTCCTCTTATGAGCACACTAAATGGGGAGGCGTGACATCTAGCCCAGTTGTGGTAGCTAGCTCTCCTTCGTGTGCTCTCCAACCACTTCCAAAAACTAAGAACATTAAGACTACCTCGCATAGCCGAAAGCCGTCCATTCGTGAAAGGTTCAGGCATATTGTCAATTATCTACGGCTTCGTCCCCCTCAGCCGCAATAACGTATGATCTTGAAAAGACGACTCGAAGTCAAATCTGGAGCGAGACCTGCCTAGTTAGAGTCAAGAATACTTCAACTTTAAATCCAATTTGTATTAGTGAAGGAGAGGGCGTAGTTACTAGGTTGGGGATATATGGATCTTAACAGAATTAATAGTGGCTAGCTAGGCTTATGGTATACGGCGTTTTAGGGTTATTAATCATAACCATATAACCTAATGCTTTGTGATATTATCTTAAACCACGCACTTAAAAGCTTGGCCGTGCTATGACATAATTTGGCTGGATACTATATAAATCGGCCCAACTAATCTTTTCTCTTGATAACTACACGAACAGATTCCTCGGTCGATAAAGCGCAGACCATGGTCTTTGTTATATCATCCTTCTTTCTTTTTGTCAGTTACTTTGTGAGCTAACAGGCAATATTTGACTAGAAGCTTGGAGGCAGGCTGAGACATGTCTCGCTCCAAACACACCGGCGGCACGAAGGTCAAGAATTGTGCCCGACATTAGTCTCTGTGCAAACTGTAATTTTCTTGATTAGAACTGTCCGATTCTGAATTATAGCTCTAATAGCAACATTCTGTCAATAATTCTACGCGGAACACTGTCAGGTTGATAAGGATGATACTACCAACGGCCTATACTGCTCGCGCTTAAACCTAATGATAGTTACCCTCTCTAAAATGACAGACGCATCCCTTGAGCGCATGTGGACTAGTGCGCAACGTATACCAGCTACGCCAATTCTGCCAGCTGGGGATCGGTCTAACAGACATCTAGAGCTTCTTACCCTCTTAGACGAACACTTTCGCGTGCGGTTTGCTTTGTAATAAGACGCAAATGTTCTGATAAGTTGCTCGGTTAGAGGCAGTCTTATCCGAGGTCTGTTAGCCTTATTAGAGACCACTTCGCGCTATGATTGGATTAGAGGACAAGGGCGCCTAAAGAAATCTCGGCATGATTAGGACCTCCAGCGCTTACGCCACAACCATTTGGTGGGTGAATAAATATACTAATGCACTTTAACATCTCGATAGCTTCAATTTCATTTTCACTTCGGGCGAAGGAAAATATAAAGTGAGGTGCAAAAGACCAAGCCTGGCAAGTCCGCTAATAAGTTCTTCTCGCAAATATATGAGCTTGTTTACTACTACGCGAGCTAATAAACAGTTAAAGTGGCTCTACCTATGCACAATCTGGATACCGATACGCTAAATGCAACAATATATCAGATTCTAAATTAGAGAAACGAACGTATTATGGTAAATACACGTAAACAATGTCCGTTTAAGTGCGTTTTAAACAGATAGCAGGATCCAGAGCTTAGCGTGGTGAGCTAGCGACACGTTATGTTATATGTTCTCTTTTTTGAGCATTTAGTTTTTGTGATTTAGACTTTTCGGATCCTCTCAAACACTTGTCTAATATGTATCCTATTATTGCTACTAGACAGTACATACGACCATAGCTCCTAGAAAACTCGGCATCCCGTCCGCTCTGCCCTAGATAAACTGGGAAGCGCTGGATTAGTACTCAGGTGGGTGACCACTGGGGAATCCCCGGTGTTGTATGTTTTGCTTTTTGGAAGTCGTTACAAATTGGATATTTAAATTTTCGTGAAGCTGTGGTTTATTTATAAACTTCGCCGAGTAAACCAGTCTTAGTGTTCTTGCGCGCCCCGGCGAACCAGCTCTCATAGCGTATTGCAAAGTGCCTCAGAACGGCTCGCGTCCTACGATAGACGCCGACTTTCTTTAAGTAATAACATTACTGAATAAATAATTTTGCTGTTAAGTGCGCAGCTTATCAGGCACGCATTGGCTCTAAAAATGCCCTTTTCGGTTGCAGCGGGTTGTATGGCCATCTTTCAATCGATCTTTGCGAACCGGCCGGTACTTTAACGCTCATGCTTCGCCTATAGACCAGATAAAGAGTCCCTGGAATCCCGAAAGGCAAAGATCTCGCCCAATGTGCAAATGCTTGACAATAGCTATTGCCTAGGTTTCAGGGTCTTATTATATCCGCCATAGACCATTAAGGGGATTTGAAAGCTTCTAGAGAAGGTATTCCGTAAGTTTCTCTAGCATTTAAGCGCACTCTTACAACGTGAAGCCGATTCGTAACTTTAAAGACCGTGATCCCGCGAGCAGAACGGCCAGCTCATTAGATTGATGGTTAGCTACTACCTAGTGACAGACTATCTACAATCCCATCACTCCCAACTTACAGCCTTCCATTAGTACTACCGCGTCCTGGAGCTCTTCCACTACATCGATGTCTAGTAGCCTAATGTAAACGATTTCCGGTGCCTGAAAGAATCCGAAGCTTCCTAGCCTATCAGGACGCGAGTCCAGCACCTCCAAGGACTTACGCCGTTACTACAATAAGAGCAAATATACTATGTCGATCCCAGCCATTTGTGTTAGTGCTATTATAGCGCCTAGAAACAGTCCCGTCGGACTACTACCTCTACATCTATTCTAGCAGTATAGGGGCTTGTGAAAATTCCAGATACGGCAGAGGGCTAAGATGTAAACGAACATAAAGAGCGCTTTGTATATCATGGCCGCCGTTAGCATCTCTCTTCACTACACTCGAGCCCAGCCTATAGACAAATGGCCATTCAGACAATTCCATAACTTCTTAGCTTGTCAGTAGAGTTTGAGATATTGAGTAGTGACTGCTTTAGTGTACGAGAAAAAACATCCAATAAGCTTTAGCCGTGAGTGGTCTCGATGTGCCGATAACAACGACTTATCGAGATTCGTATTAGATAGCTATATGGGCGACCGTCGTATAGCTGTCGCCCTGCGCAAATCTACTGAAAATATGCGACAACAAGTTCCGGGTTGAATACGGGACACTTTACCACAGTCTACGACTATAATTCTATACTGCTTGTCATGTATTGAATCGGAAAAATGATTGAATGTTGAGATGTAGAAAGAGGAACCCTGCGGACTCAGTGTAGTATAGAATATGAAGAAAACTATATGGCAAGAATTGTACCGTTGAAACGGGTTGTTTACCTACGATAGTGGCCTTAATGTATAGTTTTTAATGACTCCAACCTCGACCTCTGGTAATTTCAATAAAACATAATTGTGGTGGTGTATAGAGTAATGTCATCTGGCCTATCGTCGAAAAGGATATGGTATGAGGTGTATTGGGTAGCATACCAGAGGTAGTTATCGCAAGGATAAGAAGAAAAGAAAATGGATATAGGGATTTGACTAGTACTAAGTTCATTAGTCGATTAAGGAGTATCGATTTGGTTGAAGGATAAAAAAGAAAAGAAAAAATAAGATTGGGAAAAATGGAATGTATTATGGATCTGCTGCCGAATTTGTACAATTATCTGAGGTGTCCTAAACGATTTTAACATTCGACGAAATTTATATCAAGTTAGATGAAACTCTAAGATTCAAAACTTCTGAGTGTATCAAACCTCCCTAGGTTCGTAACTCTGCCGAGTCCTTCAAGTACGGCAAATCTAGCGAGGCCTTGAGACTATCTCTCAAGTATTTTTTTTTTTTAAATCGTAGAGCGTCCTAAATTACTATTAACCCTTGAGTATTCCAATACAGTGGATCGGAACCTATAATACGCTGGTGTACAAAGCATTCGTGCAAGTCTTCTCTTTGAAATTTCTTTTTGCAAACGCACACTTCTTTGTTAAAGCCCAGTACTACAAGCGAGGGCTCATCATATTATCCTTGAAAGTACCATAGAGGCTTATATGATCGGATTGTACTAATAATCAAGTGCTTTTGGCTTATAGTAGCAGGCATACTTTCGGCACCGTTGTGCGACGTATTCTGATACTGACTATTCCAGCCTCTCGGGCTCGATTAAAGCCACGGTAGTCCCGTATTCATCTTGCATTTCTCAAAACGTAACTTGGCTGTCAATGGAATTCGAGGACCGAGAAGGCATTAGAACATCCGGATGTAGACCCCAAGAAAAGTCCTATTGATTTTCCCCTATACAAAACCTGTTGGCAAAGACTCCTCCTATTAAGTGAAAAAGCACAATCATGCTAGCCTATTATAACGGTCTTTCTCGTTGCTCGAGCGAACCAGAGGGGTAATTCTTTAGGACAATTGAACTTTTCCTCGTCGATAAGAGTGTTGCCGGCATCTACCAAAGCTGACTGATTATCGCAATGTAGAAGACCTTATTTTGGATGACCAAAACTTAAGTAACCCACTCTTTCACAATAACCCTCGTGTTCAAGAAGAAGTGGCAATTCCCCGTGTTTAACGGCAGGTGCGACACCATGTTCTGCCCTGTCGCTAATGCCAACGACGACACAAACAACATGGCAATTCAGATGTATAGGCCCATTGAGGCGGGGGCATAACTACTGGTCGAACGCAGATCGTGATTTCTAGCGAAATATATAAACCGTCCGGTAGCAAATCATCGTCAATAGTCTGATCGCCTGCACGGAATCTTCTCATCTCCTCCGCCCATTTGATGGTTTGGATATCCGCTTCTATGACGGGTGCGGTGATGTGAGATAGCGAGCTGGACTCTTTCCGAAGACTCTTATATAGAAATCGAATTCGGAGATCTGAGCAACCGTAAATCGGCCCTCCGTTTGACTGCCGACGGATAACTCATATGTTGGTTTACTGAAGCGATGGTAACCACATCCAACTGACACGAATTGAGCCCTTCCATCCGAGACAAGACTAGCTCGGAAACTCCCGGCGTCTCTGACAGGGTTCATAATGGAATGAGTTGATCATTGTATATGGCTTCCGATGTCTATTGTTGAATGGGTTGATAGGCAGTCCCCAAATGGACTGTATAGACGTATTGTATTATCGTAATAAGTTAGCACATACGACCATAGCTCCTAGAGAACTCGGCATCCCGTCCGCTCTGCCCTAGATAAACTGGGAAGCGCAATCATTCCTGTTAGCCGCCCGGTGCAGTGGCTTTTGCTGACTCACCCACCCCTCGCCGTAACGCCAGCGTTACGCGCCGGGCCCGCTTTTTCGAGCTGTCTTCCCTCAACACCAACATCCTCCCGTTTGTCCTTCATATTGTGTCCGTCTCGCTGGTCTCGCAGTCATGGCGCGCCGGTCTCCGCCGTGTCGGTTTGCCTGCAGCCGCAGGCATGCTAGCGTCCTCTCCGTACATGCATTCCTACCTTGATCGCTCGTCTCCTGATCCCTCCTTTTTCCTTCCCATCCCTCCCCCCATCATCTAATCGGTCACCCTCTGGCTGCCGTCCTCGAACGACGACGAAACGCGCCCGGCTCGGTGTTCCCATCCCGTATGCCCTACCGACTGAGCGAACTGCCCGAGGCTCTGCGGCGATGTCGCACCGTAAAGAATACAAGAGGCCCCAAAAGAGCCGTTTCCGAGAAAACCTCGCGAGAGACAAGGAACGCAGCCGGCAAGAGGCACAGGAATTAAACAAGCAGCACGAAGGCCGAGTCGAGGAGAAACGTGCTATCGCTCCGAAAACAGAGTACGAGCAATGGCGCATCTGGGATGCTTGGTTGATGTGAGTCTCGAGGGGTTTGGCGTGGTAGTCGTGGATGGAGAGCTGATCACTACAGGTATGTCGAAGAGATCCAGAAGCGTGACCCGCGTCAGCTATGGATCGACCTTCTTGACAGACGACCGGTGATCCAGATTTTCAAATCCTTCTGGGAGCAGTATGTGAGGAGCTCTACTACGCTACGGCCTGTTCTGGGCCCAGAAGAGTACGAGGAAGTTCGCGGGGTGAACTCTGCTGTCTCTGTTCTTGGTTTCTGGAAGCTTTTGCTCGCAGCTGCCGACAAGACCGTCATGGAAGAGAAGAGGCGGTTGGAGCCCGAAAAGCTGCACCATTACACCACTCTGATATCCACAAACGGGTTGCATGGGAAGGGACCCCTGTATGCCATCGCCCAGGTATGCTATCTCGATCCTGTTCTCCTGCTTCGCTTACATGTGCATAGTGGATCGAAGGAGATCTCGCTGATAAACTCAGCTTGACCCGTCGACAGACTTTTGACAAGGTCGAGATGGCTTCGGACGACATCATAGTTGTCTTGATAACGCTTTGGTTACGTGGAACGGACATACAATGTACACCTGCCAACCGTCTTGCATTCCACACTGTCATCGTTATGTCTGGCATTGGGGGCTTTCGCTCTGGTACTCTGCTGGGTTTGCGTTATCGCAATGTACGTCTAGCTCTAGTCCGAGATCCTTGTGACTCGACGAAGAGAAGGTTAGTGGCGCATGTCAAGATCGAGCACAACAAGCAACACACCAAGAAGGTCAAACACGACCAGGCAGACACGTAAGTAAAGCATTCATGTGTTCTGAGGGCGTGTTGCAAGTGCTCCGAGCTGATCGTGATTAGGCTCACCTTCTCGGTAACGCTAGTTCCTTGCCAACTCCTCTGTTTAGTGAGCCTCCTTGCGACCCGTGCTCTCGCGGATAATGCATTTGAGGTAGACTATAAGTCTTTGCAAGATATACTTGAGAAGCCTAGAATGGGCGACGTCGACTACGTTCCTTTGAACTGGAAGGAAGGCTTTGACGAGAAGGAGATCATACCGCTCCAGTATTTCAAGTACAAGGAGCTATGGGACCAGACCCTCCTCGTTGCTGGTTCTCGGGAGTCACAACGGCCTCATTCCATGAGGGTTGGCGCAGGTGGTCGCCTTGACGGTATGCACGTCTCATTAAAGGATGGAAGGACATCAACTGACGGCATCTAGGTGCATTGGAACCGGCTGTCCGGAGCTATGTTCTATCCAATTCTGAAGACGTTTTTCGAGACTCCTATCAGCCACAGCATGTGCGCGAAGAGCTGTCGCGTATTGCATTCGGTGAGACGTTAATGGGGAGAAACGACGCGCTTTTTAAGCTGCTCGGTCGTTCTTCCCTACGTCGGGATGAGAATGCCCCTATCTATCCGACCAAGGAACAGCTCCAGCAATTAGAGAAGCGTCGCGATCTCACGGAATTGCGCGCCGAGTACGAACGCGCTGTCGCCGCAAACAAGGGCAAGTCGACCAACGCGGAAGCGAATCGTATTTCAGGCCGAATCCAGTGGATCCGTGACTCCCTCAGCAATCTACTAGTGCAACAGCGACGAGCCGAGTACTTTTCAACGGCGGACAGAATGCGGGCTCTTGGACAGAAGGTACCGGAGTACGCTCGGGAGACCTGTCCCTTCAAGACGTACGAGAAGCCAAGTGGTGAAGCGTCCGAGAAGATCGGGCAGTTCCTTGCGTTGCGCCTTGTCAATGTCCCCGAAACGGGTCTCGATGACCGGTGGGCCGCAGCCTTCTCTGACATGCTGCTTGCGCTGCTGAGCAGGCTGCATGCGCGAGTCAATCTTCTTGGAGCCCAGGCGATAGCTGAGCTGAATAACGCCCAGCTACCCCCAACACCGGCCAAATCAATATCTAGGGCGCCTGGGCCGCATCAGTGCCTCTTGTGTCTCGAGACTTATGCTAGGCGAGGCACACTCACGAAGCACAATACCAGAGTACACTGTAAGGAGGATGGCATTCTCACGAGACCATTTACATGTCCGGAGTGCGAGCGCAAGGGGATTCGGCATCCAGCCACTATTGACGGCCCTTTACAATGGAGCAATCACGTGGAGAAGTGCCACGGCAGAGAGAATGCACCAAACCTGCCCAGTGGTCTCGTGAAATGGATGGCAGAAGTGCGCGTACCCGCTACCGACCTAGTCCTGGCGAAGCATCAAGAACGTTGCCTGATATGCGAGGACGTGTTCGAAGCCGGGTCGGGATTCTCTCGTCATGTCACAATGATCCATGAGAAGACCGGTTTCTTTGATAATCCCTTCGACTGCCCAGCCTGCAAGAGGGCTGGGACGACTGTGCTGGTCGAGGACATCTTGGTCTGGAGAGTGCATCTCCTGAAGGTTCACAGCGATGGAGGCCGATTCGGCCACCTTTTGGTCCCTAAACGCAAGCTGGATGAGATGCGCGACCGGGATTTGGATGAGCGTGCGATTCGCAAGAAACAACGGATTGAGCGTCCTGACGGTAATCCGATTTCAGTGCCCGCTCTCTAGCTTATCACCAGACACATTATGAAATCACAGGGGTTATACTGGTCATGACTGTCCTGTAGCCTCGCTCTAAGCCTGCTCCAGCTGGATATCCGATCATCCTGTCTTATATAGCAACCTCCTTATACGTTGCATTTTGAATAGTGTAGAGTAGAACAAGGTAAGGCAATGGTTCTGTTGGTATTGAATTTGGGGTCTGATTCGAAGGGTAAGGACAGAGTTGACGTGAATGTTTGAGGCCGATATGGTGATTCCTGCAAAGGAGTCTCGGGACTACTATGATGTAGTTGCTGTTTTGACCCGAATATGTAGGACTTCTATCGGCTATTTGGATTCCCTAGAACTGGCTCGGGTGGTAACGGAGGTCAGCCTTAGTAATATAAGAGCGTGGGCTAAGAATGAAGTTTTGATGGTTGCAACGGCACTGTTAACAATAGAATCATGTGCCCTTGTCCATAGAAGGCACGTTATAACCGCAATGGTTCTACCATTTTCCAAGAAGCTTCACTGCTTAGCTTGATCCATTCTTCCTTCCATGAATATATTTCAATTAATGAATCATGTTAGAAATGATATCGAAAGGTGTTTGAGTGTTAGAGCTGGACATTGGCCAATCTGATCAAGGAGCTAGGAGATGATAAGCCAACCATAACGTGACGCAGATGTCGTCTGGATAAGGCTGAGTATGGTTTACAACGTGGGTGTGGCGGAATTTTGTTTGAATTGGTGTATTCTTATAGGTATGCTCCCGAACTGGAATTAAACCCACCGAAACAGTATAATCAGCGACTAGGACGTTGTTGCACAGCTGGAAGCTCTAGCCTCAGAGGCATAGACTTGTATAAATAGAAGTGGGACCGGTACACTACGCTAATAATTCGTCCTTAAGTACTGCACCTTGCCTATGGTTTTAAACAGACGGTCATCAGATAGTAAGGACAAAAATAAAAGGCTTGTGAATTTGAGCATAGTGGCGGAGACCCCACTTTTACGAGTCCGTGTAGTTTGAATCTTCCCTAATTAGTGCAAGCTCCAGGTCTATTCACCGCGCTTCGGACTAACCTACAGTAGCCATCAAACTATGGGGTGCACCAGCCTCAACATGTGGCTTGTCAACGGTGGCTGGCATTAAGCCAGGACTTTCGCTTGTTGTTATGCAACAGAACTCAACCTGGACCATATTAAAACGCGACCGCAAAATTATGGCGTGCCGTCATGGCAAATCAGCTCCGTGCAAGAATCATTGCAGGAAATCCTATCGGCGCTGGTCTTGACACCTTTCGTGCTTCATTTGCGTCAATATGTGCCGACAAAAGCATCACTTGTCTCCCAGACTCACTTGGACAACTAAGCCCAGAGGGTAATGTTATCACCAACTCTACTTGCTCGCCCTTCTGACCATTGTAGACATCCAGAATTTGGTCCTCGATCTTCTCTCAGCGCTACAGAGCCTCCGCACCTCCCGTCTCCTTCCCTCCAGTAATAGGGGCAAGAATCTTTTCAGCGACTTAACGACCCTCAGCGCCGCCGCGAATTCCGACGACTTTGACCTAGACCGCACCAAGCCTCTCTTGCGAACAGCCCTCTCTGAAAGTCTTGTTGACACACATGTTTGGGATCAAGTATATATCGCTGTCGCCGAGTCCACACCTGCCCCTAGACTAGTCGCGTCTTCCCTTCAGCAAACCCCATGGATACGAAACACAAGCAGCTTCGTCAACTCGTCAGAACACCGCAAGTACATGGACGATGTACTTAAGGAAGAACTTGGCTCCATGTACGTTGGACTTCACGAGTTTCAGGAACGATATTTTGAAGATGTGCTCAAGTTGGAACCAGCATCGGAGGCATTCTTGGAACAGTGCAAAGAGAACAGCAATCCAATTTTCGACACCAAATGGAAGGGATGGCCGGAAGATGCCAACCAAGACGATGTGCTGAACTGGTTTGCCAACTTTTGCGAGAAGCTATCGGAATTTGCAGGCAGCTATGACTTGACCAGGACGTATCAACGGCGACCTTTAGCGAAGCCTAATGAGCCGATTGACGGATCCACAGCCAAACGCAAAATGGATATCGGATTTGCCAGAAATCCCGACGCCAACACGACTTCGAGATGTCACTGGTCTCAAATTCTCGTACCAGGAGAACTGAAGAGTAACCTCTCCGCAGACAAGCCTTCGGAAGCCTGGCTTGATTTAGGGAGATACGCTAGGGAGGTGCTTGCCGCTCAAGACAATCGTCGTTATGTCTTGGGTTTCACAATCTGCGGGTCTGCAATGAGATTATGGGAGTTCGATCGGCTTGGAGGGATTGCGTCTGACCAATTTGATGTTCACAAAGATGCACTCCGATTCATCCGTGCAATTCTTGGGTTTCTCTGGATGAGCGAGGAACACCTCGGATTCGATCCCACTATCGTGACAGTGGGTGACAAGCGCTACCTCGAGATTATGCGCGACGGTATCCAAGAGCGCCTTGTAATTGATCGAGTAATGAGACGCGCACCGTGTATTGCCGGGCGGGCAACGACCTGCTGGAAGGCCCACCGCGAAGGAGAGGCTCGAACACCACTCGTTATCAAAGACTCTTGGCAGTATACTGAGCGGGAAGAAGAGGGAGAGCTGCTGCAAAATGCGACGGATAAGGGTGTGGTCAGCATAGCTCGATACTATCATCATGAGACTGTTCAGGTGGCTGGGAAAGACGATGACATACAACTTAATGTTCGCAAGGGGCTGGATATCTCAAAGGCAGAGAACTACCGACCTGGCCGTTTGACCATGCCACTAAGCACAGCTGTCGCTGGCGCTTCACGAAAATGTCACAGCACCATGGATCGGAAGCGGTCATCTAGTCAGACCAACGCATCTCTGCCACCGAACAAGCGGTCTCGCTCAGCGTCTCCAGCCAAAAAGGACATCCGTATGCCGGTCAACCGTGTGCACCGACGTGTTATTGTCCGAGATTATGGAAAGCCTATTTATCAGGCAAGCAGTAGAACCGCTTTACTTGCTGCTTTGGAAGGGTGCGTCCAAGGGCACGAGTCATTACTTGATGCTGGCTTCCTTCATAGGGATATTTCAGTCAACAATCTCGTAATAAATGAGGACGATAGTAACCCTTCCTTGGCCTCCTTTTTGATCGACTTTGATCTTGCTATCGAAGAGACACGCACAGGTGCTTCTGGGGCACAAGGCAAGACTGGTACAAGGGCTTTCATGGCTATTGGAGCACTCCTGGGTGAACAACACTCTTTCATGCACGACCTTGAATCTTTCTTCTGGGTGTTGCTTTGGATCTGTATTCACTATCCTGGCCCAGATAAAAGTAGAGTTGTGCGCAGATTTGATAAGTGGAACTACATGGAAACTGAGGAGCTGGCGGTTTCGAAGCTCGGCACTATAGGCGATGAGAGCATTTTTCTCAAGGTTGCAGAGGAGAATTTTACTACATATTATCAGCCATTGATTCCATGGGTCAACAGATTGAGGAAAGAGGTGTTTCCAAATAATGAGAGGTCGAAAATGGATGATAAGAAGTTGTATACTAGAATACAGCACATCCTTCGAGAGGCACAAAAGGAGGTAGACGTGTAGCACCGGCCAAGACCTCGTGCTACATTCTGCTTGGTTCTTGCGCCAGCAGCTTTGGTTTCTAACTCTAGTCGAGTATCTTTGCTCCCTCATACACCCATGTATTGGGTGGGGGAGGGATATTCCGTCATGTCATTACATGTTGCGCTTCGCTGAACTTGTCCTGCAGCAAAAAGTGATTCTTGATACATTAGTAACCTCACTGGCTCAACATGCGTGATGCAGTATTCAGGGTAAAGGCCAAGGCTGATATGATACGAAGGATTCTGACCACGACCAAAGCTAGCTCTACTGGATATAAAGTATCCAAGTGTACTCATTGTCCGGAGTTCCTGTGCCCACGTTCAAACATTGAAAACCAAACTTGTGCTGCTAAATCGAAGGGCTAGTCCACCGAACCACCGAAAGCTAAGAACTTCTGTACCATTTGGATCGTTAGTACAGGTTTGTGTGCAGACCGCTTGACCAAAACAGGTTTCATTCTTTGCGTTATATGTAAAATTCCTAAATTCAACTCTTTCTTTGCTCTAAGACCTTGCGCTTCATTACGCTATGTCTGGGAACGACACAAAGGACCACCGGCACGATGAGCAGATCAGCGATAATGCTAATTCGGGAAACAGGGTGGCAATTGATCAGAGGCAGAGGAACTGACCGATGACATCTGTGGCAATGTCGAAATGGACGTCGATACTTCATAGATCACCAATTTCGGCAGTAAATGGCGCTACTCCTACTGTTAAATTTGAGAGAGGTTATTAGGAAACGCAGTAAGGCAATCTGCACAAATTGAAGGGATGTTCTTGATAATGGTAGCTCAGCCCGTATCAGTGTCAATTGATGTCTATTCATGATAGTCAAGAGAACCAATGAAGTGTTTGGCTATCGTGCCGCGAAGTTATTTCCTTACCGATAACCATGTCATAACTGCAGCCCAAGCAGTCTAGACAAACAACTCGTCTCACCAGGCTACATCATAGAGCCCTCCATTGTCTGGTACATTGAACTAAGCCTATTGAATGTAGTTTTTGCATTTCTCAGCTCTTGCGCTACTTCGGTCTGCAGATCTTGAGGATCAGGAAGCCCAGAAATACGGTGCCACAACTCCTGGTGTACCTCGATGTTGGTCGCGCTGAATAGGTCAACAATACTGTGAGCCTCCTTGAGGGACATGACTTAACGTACTAAGAGGAAGCAACTCCAATATAGGAGAACAACTTGCTTCTGGAAAGGAATGATATCCTCACTTTCGCTGTATGGTTTCCTCAGGAGCAGATTCTTCACAGCACTTCAAGCCCAATACTGACTACCCTCTGGATGACCTCGTTCGAGGTCAAATCGTGCGTTCAATACGCATAACGATATCCCGTAAGTCGAAGACATATTGTCCGGGATATTTTGAGATAATTCCAGACGTTGCATGATTCTGCTGCGGTGCTGTAAACAACGACCACTTAGCTCACGGTTGCTACCAAGTTGTGCACCTAGTGCAAGGATCTTAAAGGACATATCAGTCTTCAAGGGACTGGGGCTTGGTTTCAAATGATCATCCAATAGTCTTTGGGGCAGATCCTGTAGAACGGCGTCAACAATACACGGCATGAGTAGATACTCATGCTTCTTTCGGCCGAAGGCTCTGAGACATTCATCAACTTCCCTCAGAAGGATGCTTGGAGGATCCTGGGATCGTTGTGCACTTAAGGCTCCTGGGAATTTGGTCAGAGCATTCTTTGGCTCTGACTGCTGAGCTCCTATGACGTTAGGCTTATCCGGCGTCTTGTCACTCTGACCCGTCACTAGCGCATAGTCAACTAATGAAGGGCAAGGAATTTACTTCAAGGAGATCCTTTGGTGAAATTACCTTGCGTTGTTTCGCGGTATTGGAGTTTGATACCTGCGAGTTCCCTTTTGAATGCCTCACCCTCTTCCTCTGATAACCTGTTACAGTGGGACAGCGCCTTCGTAACTTCTTTATCGCTTTTGCGCTTCGGCTTAGTCTTCTGGCACCGATTTATGATTGAGTCAGTCATGTCATGAACTTGCAATTGTGTCCAATCCGTGGAACCGGAACACATGAGCCCACGCTTCTGGCAATTGACGCAATGAGGCTTGGTCTTATCGCACTGCGCGATTGATTAGATGATGGAAACATGATGATCTTAAGGCTGATGACAACGCACCTTAGTTTTCTTTTTGTAACATTGATCGCATGATGTTCGTTTTCGAACTGGTCGAGAGGATGGCGTAATGATTCCTGCCATTCTGCGAAGCCTTGGATTCTTTCGAACAAACCATTCTGCTTGACTCAGGGACTTATATACGGGCGATGATTCTTGAAGAGTTGGTGGAGTCAAAACGGCACAAATGCCAACTGCATTATCGGTACGATCGGTACATGCCCTCAGGACCTTTCGCTTGGCTGCCTAGTCCATTTCAAGCTTTACAGCAAGTCACAAACATGCATGCTTCATGGCCAAGTGGTGCTGCATATCAGGAATGCGTGATATGATCAACTAGGTTAGCGCTCTTGGCGGATCGCTAGGACGTTGTCATTGGGTGTAGGTTTGAACCAATAGCTCCTAGGCCGCATACCTGGCCTGCGACGTGGTCAGTCGCGCGCTCTTTGACTAACCACACTACAGATGAGCCACGGACATAAATACTCGATGATAACCCTTGCGCGAGCGCGCGAGCTCGCGCACTTCTTTCCTAGTGCAACCCCAGTCAAAATGACATCCACGCTCAGTGAAGACCACGCTACGCTCGGTGAAAACCACGCCACGCTCAGTGAAGAACACATCACAGTCGCAACCAATCTCCAAACAATTAATCAGAATCATGATTGGAACAGAACACCTTCTGGGCTTGACAAAAAGCTCAAAGAGCTAGGCTCGAATACGCCCGAAAATGCACGAGACAGAATTCTGCTACAAGCCAACTTGGCGGCATGGGTCGCTTATTTCCTCGCTAGCACACGTCCTGAAAATAACGACTTAGTACTCAAGATTCAAAGCTTAAACGTCGAAGAGCTACAAACTATAGCGGGTGCGATACCAGATACAGCCCTGGACGTGACTAGTTCTCTAAGCAAAGCTATCTTCAACACTTCCCGAGGCTTCAATCGTAGACGTAAGTTTGCCCGTCTTTCCGTACAATCACAAGGCTCATCGGGTTACCAGGATTGCTATCAGCAGCTGGAGCAACAAGATACGATCCCGCCGACTTACCACCCCCCTCGAAACGTGCGCGACAAGAAAGTCTACAAATCCCAGAGTCAACCCCTCCAGTTCTAAGCAAAGCCAACTCGGTAGATGCTACAACGCCTGAACCACTAGCGCAACCACCAGTATCTGATGTTCCGACACAACAATCGCAGTTGGTTAGGGAGGCTCCTGGCCCAGGCGTTCATAAGTGGCCATCAGCACTAGGCCTGCCGGAAGTATTCCCAAGTTATCTAGCTCGAATCATTGTCAAGGAGAACCATAAGGCGGATGTTACAGTCCAGTTTCCTGATCACCCGAACACGGAAGGATTGCTAGAGTGCCGTATACTCGCCGCGCATGTGTCACACGTTGCCAAGGAACTTTTTGACGCCCACATACATACCGACGCACCAAACAAGCCTCGATGCTTAATCATTAAGCATGGGGTTGAGGTTGAAAGCAGTGGTCAGATAGTACTACGTCGCGCCTCACCTAGGGGGATCTTGGAAATTATAGGGCCCTCTCTCAGCCGTACCTGTCTAGATACACCCCGAAGTATCTGGGAAAATTGGGATGGTGAAGATCGCTCAAATTCAGTTTCTATGACTATTGACCAGGATTCTGCTCAACCTGGCACATTGAGCATGGCTATAGATATCGAGACATGTACATCGATCAAGAACAAGCTGTTCCCACAATTTAGTGTAAATTTCAACTCAATCTAATTGTCGAACCTGTCCTCCTTCTCTGTTACTGATGAACAATTTCCAACGATATCCCAATATTACCTGGCCATCCGCTCGCATGGGTATCCAGTCTTTCGTACCAGGAATCATGTAAAATGCATTACATGTTTTCCACATTATTGTTTGGCCTTGTCCGTAGAAGACACTAGACCCCACATCACGAGCCTTTTCCCAATCTGAGTCGTTGACAGATTCAATAGTGAGGCTCTACGTCAGGTTTAGCAGCATTTCAAGATTCAAACAGGGGAGTCATACCATATCTGGCGTTCAAAAGAACCCGCTTCGTGGCGAAGGGTAACCTGGACTAACTTGATGCTGAACGGCCCGCCCCGCGCAGGGTTCTTCGGGTCGTTGATGTTGCTTGCTCAGATGCGTTACTTGTAGAGGAATATTGGGTTGGTGTGTCGGGCGTGAGGAAATTGATGCTTCGCTATGGTTCGTCATGAATGAAGCTCAATTTCAGCCCCACCATACTCCCTAGCCATAAGGCACTCAGATTGTGGCTGTGTTCACACCGCTTGCAGAAATATAATGACGGATTTACTCGTACGAAGGGCTGTCATTACAGCCAGGTGGCCCCAATGCAGAATCAAAGTCATACCTGCAAGCTTTTCTCGTTGGAACAGCCTGTCGTAAAGGAGGGGTTGCCGGATCAGCTGCGCCTACCCCTCATTTCATGAAATACTACTAAGGATTAGTGCGCATGCGCAGTCTTGGCTTCGCTGGCGCGCAATCGAGCTTTCCTGTGCGCACAGTCCAGTTTCTGCTGTTACGCGCACACGCTCTCTAAATTGCCTGTTAATGTATACTTGTGTGATAAGCTGAGCTTTATAACGATGCTATGCAGGTCTGTTGACCAAGAGCAAGCGTTCATAAATAGGCTTGACACTTTCCTTGCAAAAGCTTATAATGTTGTTAGAAAAGATAGAGCTCGTTCTCGATTGTTCAAGACTCTCGATTACCAAAGCCCACTGCTTACAGTTTTATACTTGACGTCTAATCATACACTGTATGGACATCTTGCATGGATGTCTTGATCAGAGGCTAACAAAGCGGTAATAGGGCATCCTTCTAATACAATGGCCGATGAGGAAACCAAGCAAGAATCAAGCAACGATTCTCAGGTGAATGGGGAATCGACAGAGGAGAAGGATACGGAAGAGGCATCAGCCACGGATTCTCAGGATACTGCGCCATTCGAGATTGGTGAGGGCGGACATGAGGGTCAATTATGAAGTCTTCTGGATTTATTACAATGTGTATGCAGAAATGACGTATCATTGATTGGCTGATTTGAGTCGCATGTTGGGAAATCAATCAACGTGACCGAAAACACCCGACTTTAGACCCGGTTCTAGAGATTTTCCGGTTCCGACACTGTACATGTGATCTTGGACAGCCTGATAATGCACAGACGATGCCCAACACGAACCGTACTGCAAGGACACAGTATTACTTCATAGCCTGGTGTTAACTTCTCTTACATCCCATTTTTATTCCATTCATCGGACACCATGACTGCCGAGCCAATTTTAAGTGAAGAAAAAATCACCGCCGAACTTACTAAATTTCTGATCAAAATCTCTTCAGTGGATATCGATGACGCGGATATCAAGGACATTGTCTTTAGAAATAAAGATGGGAAGATCCTTGAGGATGTCCGGGCGCAACGAGTGATTTGGCCTCCTGAACTTGATGTTGAGGTCAAACAAGCAACGGAAAGGGCTATATCAGAAGGGGTAATGCCACCGAAGCTCCTATTTGCTTCATACTGACTGACGAAGAGCACAAAGATCAAAGAAAGAAGGCCTGACGTCAAAGATTGGAGTTCGAACACGTTTATACTCTACTCAGGTGGTTTGTACCCTGACGAAGGAAGTGTTATCATGATAGTACCATTAATCCGACCCTTTGATGTACAAGCAAGAGTCGCCATTCATACTCGGGAACAAGAACGTATCCCCGAACCATGGAGCTCGAGATTATATATACTCGAGCCAGGGCAGTGTATTCGGGTCATAGAGGGAGTCATTAGATTCATAGCGGTCAAATGTGAATAGGACTATCAAACAAGGAGGGCCGCTCCTCCAGCGTTGTATATATTCCACAAATCGAAATTGGCAGTATCCATGTCCCAATCATTTATGCCCACATAGGTCTCTTCTGCAGGAGCGAGTGGCCATGCTGTTTGCCATTGATCACTCACAAGTGGCGACAGTGGTCTCTGAGCTGTACAAGCGGTCTCTCGTGTATCTGATGATCCTGCATACGCAGCCGTGTTGTTGTCTAGTAGGCTAGTTCCCAGACAATCCGATGAAAATACCGTGAGAGACACACCAGAGGGAGAAGGGACCTGCACCATTCCAGTTGCGTCGCTTTGGTTGCCCTCTCTACGGTTGGCGGACTGACAGCCCCTTTTTCGCTTCAACGAAGAACGCCCCGCGGGTTGTGTCCCTCCGCACACAAACGTCGTGTTTGCGGCAAACTCCTTGGCACGATCTTTTCCAATCGAAGTTAATAACTCACCAGCTTTCCTGAATATATCAAGAGACAGCAGGCCACTGTCAGACACCGAAACCAACCCATTTTCAGACGCCAGTGTTGACTGGATCTTCTGGATATGCTTGTCAAAGGATCTGTTTAATGGTCTCTTCTCATAACTGCGATATACGTGAGCTGTGGTTTTATTAGGAAAGAAGTTTTGCTTACAAAGATAAATTTTCATAGGTAGGAAGGACAAATAGTATACCGGAATCCCTGAAAGCTTCTGTGTACTGGTTGTATCTCTTGCCTGCATTGCCCAAATTTGTCGAGCGTGTTTTGGTCTTCTCGTAATCTTGGCTAGGATCCTTACTACAGATATACTCAGCCATTTTTTCATGGCAATAATAACCTAGTTCTTGGTGTAACTGGTGAAGTTGGCGTAGGGCATATCTCCGCTGGATCGTACTACAGACATGAACGGACTCAGATTTCTCGATATAGGAGTATAAAGAATATGCATAGTCTTCGCGGGCGACCCCTTTTATGTCTTGTTGAGGAAAGAACAGCACGGGGTCCTTGATACACTGCTCTGCAAGTGATCGAATTTCATCCTCACACTTCTTGGAGTTGTCTGCACGCTTCTTGGAGTCGTCGGCACGCTTCTTGGAGTTGTCGGCACGCTTCTTGGAGTTGTCGACACGCTTTTTGGGTTTGTCGGCACGCTTCTTTGGGTTGTCGGGGCTCTCATTCCAACTGTTGGTGCTGTCGCATGGCTGTATAGTGCTGCTAGAGGCACTCTCGCCCGCCCGGCCGTGGGCATTTGTGTTCGCTAGTTTCCGGAAACAGTCGTTAACAAGAGGAGTAAACTAGATTGTGAGGTCAGACTTGATTTCGGACACAATGACTGGTCATGACACAATAACAGACCACTTTGTTTTGGAGGAGAGCAGACAGCCCGTCAGTCGCCAAAGCCATGAACTAATTGAGATGGTTAGACAATGCCCTCCACGAATACCTCGAGGTTTCAACTCACTTCTTCGTCGTTCCATACATCATCAAAGTCACTAGGTGCGCCCTCACATTTCTCCCACAACTTTACACTTACTTGTCGAGCAAGAACAATTCCCATTTTGCCTAGGAGTTGGAAACATAAACCGGGCGAATACTAGCAGATCTCAGATATCATTGCATTCACCTGTGAAGGTGAGCGTTCGAGGGCATGCACCTTCCTTGCAAGGCCGCTAACTGGACTTGGGCATAAGATGGTACCGTGAACTATCTTAGGCCCACATTGGGTATGGCGTATACAATCGCGCACGAGCATTGACTTCAGCTATTCGCGCGCGCGCGCGCACTCGAACCGACCGCAATGCTGCCATGGTATAAGTGGCAGGCATGTCTCGCTGCAAGGCGTACAATAAGCCTGCTAATGTTCACGTTACATTGTCCTTGATCTCTGTCCATTGGCTCACGTGAAGTGCACTTTCTTACAATGGAGACTACGACGCTCAACATATCTGCATTGATCATTCTTTTGGTTGTCGGTGTCCCCTACATAGCCATCCTGACCTATGGCGTAATCAAACTGTGCAGACAAGGCTGCAGCTGGAGGTCGCACAATGCCTTTCTCATCCTTGCCCTGATTTTCACTGTAATTTATGTTATTACAGGAACAGTACTGTTCGTATTTGCTGAGCGATGGCCAAGAGGATTTGCGGCCTGGATCGCATTTGCCATCCTCCCTGATGTAGGTTCCCAAAAGTATTTCGCCGGGTTGCTGCTAACGTCTGCAGTCTCTTTACGTCCTTCATCAACGGCCTGATTTCTTCATGGCTCGAAAGTTTTCTGCATTCAATAGCATGTTCGTCCTACTCGGAGAAGTTATCAGCATTATTCTCTTATTCTACTTCGATGGGCTACCACAACTCATTAGTGTGATCATCCATTCCTTCTGGACAATAGCATGGGACCCTTATTTTCCAAGGTTTCTCGTCTCTTTCATACAGATCTGCTCTGTCGTCCTCATTTTTCTTGGATATAATACGGTTTGCTCTATGGTACGTTGGTATCCCATCTTGAGTTATTGTAACTTATTTGAAAGATTATTATCGTTTCGCTGCCATGCATTCCGTTCTACGAAATACTCATCGTTCATCACGACTCGTGCGAAGACGAGTCACTCTACTCGACCACACCGATGGAGCCGATCCCATTGATGGTATCTAACAATGCACTTCCAATATCCCTACGAATTGTTGTGGTGGGCATTGGAAGCATTGGAAAGACAGCGTGGATTGAGAAACTTATGGGAATATCACCAAGTCCAGTGTGTCTAGATCATCTCTTTCCGCTTTGCACCGGCTGACCGAAAGCTGACAGTACACACCAACCACCCTCGACATTTATCGCCTTCAAACACGCGTTGATGAGACCAACCTGTTGGTTGAGATAAGCGACACTGGAGATTGCTCCATCGGTTTTGAAGAAGAGTTGAGGCAGTGGACAAAGAGATCCGACGCTCTCATTCTAGCTTACGCACCTGAAAACATCAATTCCCTTTGGAGATTTCAGGATGCAAATATCAACAGCCTTTGCGGAGGAAAAGAAGTGATGATGTTGGAGCTCGACACACTTGGTGAATTTGTATCACAAACCTCTGTTGTCGCTTTGAACCTGGCACGCGCCAAGGGATGGATGCATCTGAGAGCCGCAGATTGCTCGCAGTGTATAACTCCAGTGACTGAGATTGGCAGGCGTTATTTGCAAAGAAACTCTCCATACAGTACGAGGGGCAATAGGTAAAGTCTCGGAGATGAGATCGAGCGCACGGTGCCCTTAGTTTTCTTTTGTCCCAAATGTACATTAACTTGTTTGATTTGCATGTATATCAGCTCGTATGGATATATAGCTGCATCGAAGTCCCTCCGACTCAATGCCAATTCCGATCAACTTCTCCCTGCTAATGTTTCCTTGTGTCCTGACTCGGATCTAAACGTACGACTACAAATTCGTAAGAGCCCTTCCTGCTTATCATATTCACCACTCATACTTGGTAGATCGGACTCTTTGTGGCGTTAGTCTATGGCCTTGCCTCAAATATCTGACACTATGGGCCAACCACAAACGCCCGTTGCTTGTCCCCTTCCACCCCTGCCTACTACATCACTCATGCAAGCTGTACAGACCAAAGCAGGGCAGACGCTTAATCAGTTGCTTCTGCGGGCCAGTTGGCACAACGGCGTCTGCCACGTCACAGCTAGGAAGGAACTTGACCATACAGAGAAGCAGAAATGGAAGGAGTTCGTGAAGCCACACTAGATAAGCTTCATCACTTGGGCATCTGTTCTCGGAAAGCATCTACAACTTGAAATTGGGAAGAAGTGCATTAAACTGAGTGGTATAGATGTCATTTACTCATATGGCGACGTCCTTGACATAGTTACCTTCCGTGTTTACTCAAGAAGCGGTAGTTGTGATTTTGACGGAGCTCCTCGGTCAAGCTCTACTCGACGGGTCTTGCGGCTGCCGAGCACTTCGAAAGTGCGGAGAGTAGAGATTGTCTACTTGACGCAGTGCCTATTCTCCGTAGTTTCGAAAGTATCCATGGGTAGTCCGACGCAGTGTGGTGTCACGGCAACAAACTAGCACATTGTAATCAAAGATACGTGCAAATGACTGAGAAGCAAGGTCGGACTTGGCCACCTTACACGTCACCAATCACTATTGTCTAATTGAAGCTTATGCAATGTCTCTTTGACCATGTTGTTCGAATTATACGACGCCACTGATTCATGCCTTCCTGAACCGTGTCAATGGACTTGGTCCGAACAAGCCACTGGGGGTATGTCGACCTCGTATTCATCCTTGTCCTTCTGACCATATGTCGTTGCACTCATTTGAGTGATCTATTTCAAATCACAGAGTGAGCTGGGATACGGTTGTGATTGCTAAGGATTCATACAGAGGCGTAGTGGGGCCGTATGGTTAGGCAATACGGTCCTCAGAATCCATGCCAATCGGCGGAGTCTATCCAGTCACATACTCGTCGTTCAATTTGTGCACATGTCAACACTAAGATTAGTTTACCAAGAATTCGCCGACGGCGTAGGCAATTGTCGTATAGTATAGCTCCCCTAACTGACCGCATCCTGGCAAAAATACTTAACCTTGCTCACCTTCCACATCTTCCTGTATGCGTGTTCCTCATCAAGTACATTAGTATATCATCATAGTAATCGTTTGCTTCGTCAACAAAACATAAAATGTGTGATTATAATCAGGTACGACAACCACTCTAGCATATCATCACTTCTAATTTTTACAGATTCAATTTTCTAAGTGTGGACACTCCTACTCTGAGGCAGCACGCTGGTGTAGTGGATATTGGAGGCAAGGATTTTGTCATGAGAAACAGATAGTTGCGAACGGCACAAAGTATGTGTGTCATTAGGCTTCTATTCTCCAGTGACTAATTTGATACAGTGATAAATACTGCTGTAAGTCGTGGGAATGAAAAGCTGAGGAGTTACTGACGAATAATCAGCTGAATGTCGTAAGATACACTTTCCTGAGTACCCTGACTGGTACAAAAAGCATTATCAAAAATGAGCTCTATCATGTGTAGCGTAGGGTAGATACATACAATTGATGTCTCCGGGCCTGTTATTCTATATCTGGATATCTGAGAAATGTACATGCTAGGCACGTTTGACTTCGTAGTACTCGCCTATAAAAATGCTTCAACATCCTCGACTGCTGCGTCGATGAAAATTCGACCCTACCACGCATTCCTTTCTATCATGCCGATTAGCATTAACGAATCAGACCTAAGGGAATGGGGCCTAACGGCTACCATGCATCCCAAGGATGGGACATTCACGGATAAGCTCTATTGTGAAAAGATGAATTTCTACTTCAATATCCCCGAGGAGATACTCAACTCTGCTATGATCAACGTCCTGCACTCAAGTCCAAACAAAGCGGTCTGCGTCGATGCCGCGCAAGCAGCTGCAGATTCTTTGGAGCCCTGCAAAGCCATTCCCCCCGTCCAGAGGATGGAATGGATCACTTCATTCCTCTGTGTTGTAGATCTCTTACTTGCAGAGCCGAGGGAGGACGCCGCTACGAGAAGATACATATGCCGGATGGTTTCTCGATTTCCAAACCTTTGGTTCCCTAAAGAGTAAGACGCTAGACGATGACATCCATAACAGCTGACTAATGACATAAACAGTGGCGAGAGAGACACAATGGCAGAGTGTTTGGCGTCTCTTCTCCTGGACTCAAGACGATTCGCCTTCTTGGACCCCAATAATGATGTATTGGTTGCAGATCTGAATTTCGGCAGCTTCAAACCAGACTTGTATTGGGTCGTGTCTTATGTAGCAATGCACCTATGTATCCACCGCAATAATCGGGCTAGAAGATTTACCTTGGCGGGTTTGTTTGACTAGGGTAGCTGTATCTACAAACATCGCTGTAATAATTAAGCTTCCAAGTTCTTGACTGCATAGACGACCTGTTAGTTACGCACAAGCAGTCCCATGCCCACTGGCGTATTACATCTAGCCACCGGTTTCGTATCCAAGCGAGGCGCTCACCAAGGTCCAATTTTGAGTATAAGTATCCATCGGTACACCCAGTTCCTGCCGTGGGTTAGCTTAGCTTCTAGGCTGGCGATTCCAAGAACCCTTGAACATGTCCGACAAAGCTCTCCAATCCGCTGTTGAGCGGTGGCAGCTTAAAGCTGTTACAACCCAATCCGACGATACAATTGTGTATTCCAAGACAATCTACCACTATTTCACTATTCCTACGACTCTGCTCAATCCTGATGTTCCCAGTTTTTTGGCCTCGCATACCATGAAAGATGACGAACGCCAAGATATAGTATCAGATGGGGCATTTCCAGGCTCTTGTGTCCCGGATGAGTCCCGGGAAATATGGGTTGCTTACTTAATATGTTCTCTCGATGTTCTTTTGGCTAAAGAAGTGGATGTCGTTGCGGCACGGAAGTACTTACACCAACTGGCTACATCGATGCCGAAAAATTGGTTCCAAGCGATGTAAGAAATCAAGACGAGCATATTTGACAAATGCTAATTCCAGACGCAGCGACTGGGGAAAGAAAATGTGTGAGCTCTTACTGGGACCCAATGAAACAGCACAATCGACCAGCAATATGAAAAACATCGTGCGCTCGTTGGAGTACAATGTGGAGCAGCTGTTGGTAGGCCAGGTGGCAGAAGGATGTGACGCAAATATCCTGCGGAAGGTGGCATTTGAATTGGGTTGCGAGCGTGAGTATCGCGTCACAGGGTACTTAAGTCATCATCCTTGAATTTCTATACTAGCTTGATGACTCTTAGCACAATTCTCATGTATAGCTACTGTTTCAACTACACGTCTAAAGTGTTGCATTCCTGTCTTTGTCTTCTCTTATTACGTTACACGCCGGAAAATTCTTACAATTACCAAGGATTCAACTTACAGCGCCAGTATCACTTATGTGTGTGGGGGTCAATGTTTCCTCAGGCCCGCTGAAGAATTATTGATTGATTTCACAGGGAAGTATTATGTCATGTCAAAAAGAACAAGTTCAGTCTCATTGCATGATATGAATCCACAATGATATAAGCGCCAATCGCTCTTCCACAAGCTACTGTACAATCTTTATGTACTCTTCTGGGTTTTTGAAAAGTCTCTGCCCAGCTTTCTCAAGACCGTGCTTTTCCAGCACACCGTGCCACTCATCTACTTCGTCCTGAGTTGGAATACGGCGGCCTTTTGCCAGTCAGCCTCTCCACACATAACTATCACGGGGTACTTAACTTGCAGCGCTATCGTCCACTATGACCCCGCGGGCTTTCAGATCACGGCAAGCACCAATCATAGAGAAATGAAGACCGTAGCCAAGCTCGTTCACTGCTGCATTAAAAGCTGGTAGGTAGGCTGGATCTGAAGCTGCATCCATAAATTCGTTTGGTGTAGCCATGGTTGATAATGAGCAGTAGGGACAAATTTGGCGGAGCACTTGGAGTACAGTGGTCAGAGTACGGAGGGAGGTGAAGGACTACTTGTATCATGCAGTAAAAGTAGTTAGAAGGCCTGCTTTTATGAATGCAACCGTCAACTCTTTTGAAGAATCTTCGTATGCAAGTGGCTGGGGTTTCATGCTTCTCAACTGATGGCTTGTTGCCTTTCCAACGCATCCCTGCATGGAAGCGGCTGGACTTTCAGGCAACGATGAGACAATGTGGTTATAATGTAGGACATTACTAGCGTCTCTAAGGCACTCTCTCCCTGCTAGCGTATGGCCGACTCCTAATGACGCCTCAGGGTCGTATCGAAAACTTATAATGTGTAGGAGCGGTGTGAGTTATGACTATCTGGGTCAAGTGAAATGCAGAATTCTTACTGTGGCTAGAGCTGTGATCACACATGAGGAGCAAGGCAATTCACCTAATCGGATGAAGTACTTTTTTTTTCTTCACCTTCACGCCGCACCACCACTTGCCGTCGAATGGATTTACAACAAGTAGAATGGAAGCCCCGAGTTTTCAGGGACTGAAACTTTCATAAGCTCTAAGAAGAAACACTGCCATTCAGTAGAAATGGATAACCCTCTAGACCATCTCCTTGCGGCCACGACCATTCAGACCCTCAGGAGTACTGAGAAGCACACTCTTCTCAACTGTCTCGAGCTCTTGCCCTTCCGGATTAAGGGGAACGCTGAGCGCTATGACGCGCTTAAGATATTGTTGACTCAGCTCTACCTAGCCATAAAAACAGGCGACTACAGGTCAGAGGCTCAGTATTGGACGGAGGAATTGAAGAGATGGTCGGAACTGAACGGCGACCTACCTCGCAACGTACGTGCGACTCTGGTGAAGATATACTACCAGTTGGCGTTATCACCCGGCATGGACCACATCTCCGTGGGCACCTTCACAAGAATGGTCCGCATCCTCGTTCAGTAAGTCTTTCTGACCCTGCAATCTCTGATTAGAAACTTGGTTAATATAGAATATTATAGCGGACAAAACGACGACAAACTTTGTCGAAAGGATTTGACACTAAACTGGCGGCCCATGTATGATCAACTAAAAGCCATCTATCTCAATACGGCATCTTCTTGCATCCTGAGTTCCAATCGGCCTGTAGAAGATCCATCTTTCCTTTGCTGGATTGCACGAGATTTCTTTGACCCGCAGGACAATTACACGATATTGGAGCAGATACTACCACATTTCAATACGGCGGATTCAGACGGCTCCGTGGGTGTAGTATCCATGATTTGGTTGATGGTGCCGACCAGCCCGGCTCCCGAGACAGCACTTTATAGCCAGCTTTCCGACATTTTGCCGGTATATTTCCAATTACATGCTTATGAAGCGCTATCGGTTGAGGGGAGCTTTGAACTTGTGGAGGTATTCTCACGGCTCGCTAGATCGCATCTAGAGCACTGGCATACTTCATTTGCAGCATACGGTATATTCGACAAGACGCAGTCTAGCGAAATATTCACGGCCGTCGGGAAGCTCCTTCTGTCAGACGAAGATCCCGAGATACAGTCTATCAGCAAAATCAGGCGGTTTGCGCTTACTACCAACACTGCGGTTTGGATCGTGTATTCATTATCGCCTTTCTGCAATGGACAGAATAGCTCTATACTGTCAGACCTAAGCTGCTTCATCGCATCTGTACAGGCTTTCTACAATCCTGCTGTGGAAGAACCCCCATGGCTGGGTATTGTGGCCCTAATGCTTCAATGTTTGACGCAGGAATTCTGTGGCCGTTGGAACAAAGAGAAAGAGGAAGCTCTAAGCCCGCCACCGGAACGGAAGATCGACGATGAATTAAAACGACAATTTGTCCTTCTACTTCAAGGGCCTGTTCTCTCTGGATGCTTCTCAACTAACAGGTCAGTGAGCGGCTGTTGCATTGAAGCTACCAGAAACCTGGCCTATCTCGAGCCTGACCTAGTACTTCCCGCCGCTTTACACCGATTTTATGCTGGTCGAGATAGCAGCCAAATTGACGCGTGTTGGCAACTTTCCGCCCTTCGATTACTGCATAGGCTTAGCAGCATCATTTCGAAGCAAAAAGGGTTCAGATGCCACGTACCGACGCTGGTCGCATTTGCATTAGAAGGCATTGGTGCGTACGATCTGAAGTACACCAATGCTTGCCTGCAGCTCATTCGCACTATGCTATGCAATCCGTGGACCCAATTTTCGCAGCTTGGCGGATCGCAGGACATGATTTTAGTCATGACAGCAGAAGGTCCTGATATCGAGATGGACTATCATGCTGGAACTTCCGACGAACAAGAGATTGAAATTCTTTGCTCTTCTGCATCAGGCTTTGCGAACCTGACCTCGGTCTTATTAGACAAAGTCTTTGACTTCATGATGAGCAGCGGTGCCGACCCTCCCACCACTGAGTTTAACCAAATTTTGAACGGTCTAATTACTGAAGTTTGTATGGAGTGGCTCAAAGCGCTGTCTCCCGAACTGCTCGACAGGGCCATCAAAAAACTTGCGGAGTGCATCTCTTCCACCGCAATGCCTTCTGCAGCAACCGCCGCCGGTCTTATCTGCAGTGCTGCTTGCACAGCGAATCCTGAAAAGGCCCTCAAATCATTTATACCTATGCTGATCAGGCTCATCCGCCATGAAATTGCCGCGGAAGATAATACGATAGCGAGCGTTGAAGGTTTACTCTCTAAGAAATATCCATATCTTTCTTGGTATGCCGAAATCCTGCAGAACTGCCTACGAAAAGGCGGGCATGGCCTATTGCAATACGAGGCGGATCTTCTGGGCCTTGCTCGGTTCGTGCAAGAAAAGTGTCTTAAGAGGAGGGGTTCCACTTTCGTTGGTCCCTTTATCTCCAGCCTGCTACAAGGACTGACCGATATCTATGTCGTTGGCAGTTCGTGGGGCTTCCCGGATAGTCAAATTACCAAGGAGCAGCTTCTCTCCCAGCACTGGGACAAGATGGCGGACGATCTTTCGGCCCGGGAGATCAGGTGGCACTGTCCAACACCAATTGAGGTTCGGTCTGCCTATCGAGTATTCATGTCGCAGATCACGGATCTCGGGAAACGGCTCCGAAACCTGGTGGAAAATGATAAGTTGGCGAGAAATACGAATTGGGCTCTTGATATTTCGGACGCCCTATCGCATGCTCGCGAGCTCTTTTGTGGTGTGGCAACTTTGTTCGACCCTTACCAGACGTTGGCGGCCAAATACGGCGATGACGATGAAAGCGACCGCGTACACGCTCGTGGTCACGGTTTCAAGCCTATACTTGAGCGTAGTAGCCCGCTATATGCAGACATCCAAAAGCTGAGGCAGGAAACTGGGAGTCTTGTGTCCAGGGTTCATAATATTCTCACAGACCTTGGAGAGGAGAATAGGTCATGTTTTCGAAGTCTGTACAGTCTATACAAAGTACTTGTAGATTGCGTTGGATTTTGTAATTGTCGGAACCTCGTAAATGAGCACCGAGAGGTGTACCTGATCTGGGCGAGGGACTTCAAACTCAGTGGACTTCAAAAGGAGTGCTACCCTCGACCTCTGCATGTTCAACGGGCTTTGGTTTATTACCAAATGTGGCAAAAGTTTAGGTCCGGATGCCGGCATATGGACAATCTGGAGAAGCAGATACTGCGGGATCTGGTAGATGGTTGCACATCACGATACGACGATGTCAGAGGAGCGGCCGTAAAGGTTTTGGTTTGCTCACTGGCAACCTTGACTGGAAGTGCGCTATTTGTCGTTCCTATGATTATCAATAAGCTTGAGAGCCTGATCGAACGCGGAGATCAAGCACGAGTCAAAAGTGCGTTGAACACCCTGCTAGAGAAAGACGTGTTTCAGGCATTGCATCGACATTGCTGCCTCGAAATACCCCGCTTCATACGACTGTGCATGCGTACGTCCAGTATCGATTGGCCTTGGGTTCGTGAATTGTCAGAAGAAATCTTTGATTCGCTGGCAAACTTCAACAGAGCACTTGAGGAACAAGCTTTTGTAGATGAGAGCATTGTGGACGTTATAAGACCAGCCGGCGACTTTTCAGATAAAATTCAGGCTAGGTGCAACGCTATCATATCCATGAGGGCAGAACTCAAGAAGCAAAAGACAAGCCTGGGGATTGAATTGCTGAGATCGGCCGCGGACTCGCAATTCTACCTGCCGTTGATCAAAATTTTTTTTTACGACTTCGAAGGGGATATACCGCCGGAATACATTCATTTCCTTGCAGAAGGGGCCATCGCTCGCGATAGCAAGCTCCGCTCAGTCTGCGGAGATGATATTTCAGATGTCATCGATCTATCAATCGCAAAGTGCACATTTGCTTATGATCTCGAAGCTTATCTCTGTACGCAGGGAGAAAATCGTAGCAGTGTGGCCATGATCGCCCCTGGCAAGGACACGAGCTGGACAGACAAATACCTAACACAGTTTAGAGACTTTCACGACATTAGGGAGGATGAAACCTTTGTGGATGATTCTCGCTATGGCTCGTTTGTATGGGGTACAGAACTCGAAACCTCTCTTGTTGACGTGCCATCGATTCCAGACAATTGCGAGTTCGGCATTATTGGAAGCTATCTCACACGGGAATGGTTCGAAGCCTTTTTTCGACACATGCAGGAAGAGCCCGAAGACAGCGACGAGATAGCCAACCCGAGGCTTCGCCCCCATGACGTAAGGCTACTGGTGCGGGTGTTCAATCTCATGGGTGCTGGAAAGGCGGTGGCTCAGCTACAGGATATCCGAGAACTAGCCATGCAAGCTTTTGGTGATGGTGAGAGTAGCTGGCAGCATGTGGCGATGGCAGGTATCATGCTGGCTCTATTCTTGTCGAGCACAACCGGCTCTCGCGCGTTTCAGCGGCAGGTTATGGACTTTATCACAACAATCGGACTTCACATTTTCAAGAACAAGCTAACATCGGAGAATATTTTCCCGTGGCAAAGACTCTTTTGGGAGCTTGGCAACTTTGATCCTCGCCGATATCCCCAGCTGCTCCAGGACATTGTTTCCTTCCGCCTCGATCCAGAGAAATCTTCCTTTCAAAATGCACAGCAGCTTCATGCAATTAGGTGGTTTGTTGTAGGATTGGGTTGGCGTTTTCGTCACGAAAGACCCATTGTAGCCGACCTTCTTGCACACGGCAATTCGGACCGGGGGGTTTGTTACGCAACTGCCGGCCTTTTGGCAGAAATCTACAACAGACGACATCATGATTCTTTCTGTGACGTCCGTACACAAATGGACGAGAATCGAGCTCAATCATCTATCGGCATTCGCTCGTATTCAACCGGTCCACAGATAGCGATAGCAGTCTTTAGAAAACTTGAAGAGCTGCGCCGAGAGTGTACCAGTCAGGCGCCCTCGAAGACATACATATATACTTGTCTTATGGTGCTGGAGTGGTTAGGCCGGTCCATCCGTGACCCCCTATGCGGACAATTGATCGAGTTTGTGCCGGTGCCGATTTTAAACGAACTTTTCCACATGATGAGTTTGCAACACTCGGACATGAAGGAGATTGCTGGTATTGCTACAATCAACTTATTTCTTCTCGCCAAACTCCCGTTCCAGAAAGATGAGTGCCAGACATTTCTTGAAGCACTTATCAACAAAGCGAAGTCTAGCGATAGCCTGCGACAGCGAAAAAAAGCTCTGAAGACTATAAGACTCGTCTATCTAGAGAGACTGCTCAAGAATAACCAGCAGGAACAGATATTTGTCTTGAATAGTCTCAGTCGCATGCTTGAAGATTCACAAGTCGAGTTTCGAGAACAGGTGTCCTCTGAACTGTCAACACTGATCTGCCGGACCAGACTTACTGTAGCGGAGCCGATCATTAATGCTTTATCAGAACGCTACGCAAAGATACTTGGAAAGTGGAAGCAAGCGGTAGGAACAACCGGCGGTTGCATCAAGCAGCGCCATGCCGCTGTTATGGGGTTATCGTCTTTAATTGAGGCATCCCATCACATAACCCTGCCACCGCCTTGGGTGTGCAGGCTTTTGCTCGCTCTTGGCAATGTAGCCCATGCTGATGATTCCATGGTGGGTAAGTCGGCCGACGCCGTAATTGCAAAGTTTCGGGAGGCGAGACGGGCCAACTGGGATGACGTTTCACGGGTAAGTTCTCCTAGTACAACATTGGCGGAAGGCAGCCTCGCTAACACTCATCCTCAGTGTTTCACGGCAGAGGAGTTAGAGTTGCTACAGAGTTCACGGGGACGGTCATATTTCTCATAGACTTAGAATCTAAAAGGTAATTTTAAAGGCAAGCCCTGAACAGCAGAGACCATAGGTCAGATACCCAGTATATCTGATCCCACAGTGTCTATACTCTCAGCATATAGCCTTGATTCTTAATTGTATCTAGCAGTGAAATATCCACTGACAGAATATTTGGCTCTGATCTAGCCATCGTCATGTGTAGTGATGTTGTCCCAAAGAATACCAACCCGATCAGAGTTCAGTCGATGGAAGCATATCCATATCTCCCACCAGCTGTACCTCTGTTGCCAATTCTCGGATAGATTGGCAGTCGTTGTGGTCATCGTCACCAATTATCCAATATTCTACGGCCGGCCTCAGAAAAATGTCTGCAGGTAAGACGTGCTCTGCCGTTGATTGATCAGTGACGCATTAGACTGAATCGACTTCCCAAGACATTTGAAACCCGGCACGACAATGATTAAACATGTTGAGATAGAGATAGACTTCTGTCCTCTCGGTGCCGAGGACAGCTTACCGCGATATTCAAGCCTTACGGAATGGTTCAAGGAGTTGCGAATGGCGCATTGCCTTAAGCCCATGGCGAGGACCTGGCTCCAGCAAGCTGGTTTCCTGGACATCCAACGAGACATCATTGAGATTCCTTACTATCCTTGACCCTCAGATGAATTCCAGAAGGACGTTGGGAAATGGTTCAACCTGGGAATAATCCATGGGTTCGAAGTAATTACGATGGTAGCCATGACTCGACGCCGTGTCTATACGCGAGATCAACTTGCTTCGCTCCTCGCGAAAGTCAAGAGAGAGATTTGCACCCGAGCCTTCAGGTCTCATTATATAATGTATGACGATCCTCAGATCATCTAGATTCGGAATTTCTGCTCAGGTCTATTTATACAGCAAGAAAACCTAACTCAGGCCGTGAGTCCACCTCTTCCTGACACTTCGGTTGGTGATTACGATGTTTTGACATAGGTGGATGCATGAAACGTAAGCACAGCCTGCAATTCCTAATGATTTCTCTCACCGGCGCACGAGAGTGAAAACCGCGTTATCGCAGCGTTCATCTGTGTCTGGACTCCGAATCAGAGCAGCTTCCCCAGCATCCTTCAAGGGAGTTCCTCCTTTAATACAGTGACCCCCACTTTAGGTTGTCGAATCACTGCCCCTTCCATTTCAAAAACTCCAATCGAAAATGGACCCTGGGTCTTCGCCGTCTTCGTCCGCTGCCGGAAGTGTATCAGTTGTATAAGTCTCTTGCGGAAAATCCATCCAAGCAAGGCTAAAACAAGGATTGCTAGTGCTCCAACAGCTATAATCAAACTAAGGAGAGAAGTTGCCGGAGGTTCAGGAGATGTGTCTGAAGCTGCCGGAGTTGTCGCTGTTGCGCTGTGCGGCATTGAGGTTGCGGGCGCCGTAGTGGCAGTTTTAGTGGAAATGGGCTCGATCCAAGTGCTAATGGCCGATAGAGTCGTGGTGCTTGGGAGAGCTAGGCTAGTGCTTGAAGATCGGGAACTTTCTGGGCAACCTTCCACGGAACTGCAAGGGTCTGTTGAGCAACAACCATTGAAATTATTGAGAGAACAGACATAGAACTGGCTATTTGCAGGACACTCAGTGTCCCGAATCTGAATTATCATGGTGGAAACTACCATCAATAGCGTTAGAGCTGTCAACCACAGCCTTTTAAACATGACATCCGGACTCCTCATCCCAAGTTTACTGAAAACGGTTTTGCGTAGCACGACAGCGCTTAATTTAGTGCTCTACCATGTGGCCAGAAAAGGTACTAACTTACTAGTGTCTAGCAAGCAATTGTCACCAAAACGCCGGCGGCTCGACGACCCTGAGCTTCTACATCTACTTCAGCTAAAGTTAGTGGTGGAGTCTTGGGAAATATGGTTTGTTTAACATTTGTTGAATTTGGCACAGGCAAACTTTAGGCTCTATTCAGTATACATAAAGCGCATGGCGAGATCGGTCCTTAGAGCAATTTGAGTCGAATGCGCTAGCAGTCCAGGCGAAAGGCAATCCAGTCTTTCGCCAACGTGTCAGCAATGGCCCTGGGCAGGTTAGAACGCAACTTATTATACTAAAGACTCATGTCGGATTACATCTTTTCTCATTGATACCTGAGAATATCATGACTGTCATTTGGCGATGGCATCTGTCGGATCACATGCGCGACTCTGTCTGCACTGCTACTCATTGCGTGTATTGCGTTTAATACGTGCAGGGTGCTAGAACGGCGCTTGTGCTATATGAGGACCCTTCCTGGTTGGAGACCCTTCCTGCTCGGAGACCCTTCCTGGTTGGGGACCCTTCCTGCTTGGAGACCCTTCCTGCTCGGAGACCCTTCCTGCTTGGGGACCCTTCCTGCTCGGAGACCCTTCCTGCTTGGGGACCCTTCCTGCTCGGAGACCCTTCCTGCTTGGAGACCCTTCCTGCTTGGAGACCCTTCCTGCTTGGGGACCCTTCCTGCTCGGAGACCCTTCCTGCTTGGGGACCCTTCCTGCTTGGAGACCCTTCCTGCTTGGGGACCCTTTCTGCTTAGGGGACTGCTAGTGTGCTAGATAGGCGCTTATTCTCGTGCGGTGCATTGCCGGCGAGCTAGATCGAGGATCCTCCTTGCTACGGTATTCCAATGCATAATTTTCTTATTAGGCTTCGAAATTATAAAGCAGTGTAGTAGATTTCCCTGATATTTAGCTGTCTCGTTGTTAACTTGAAGTTGTACGTTGATTACGTCCGTGCTCAAAGTCCATCAGGTAATCCATTTGGCTGTCGCTACTTCATAGTTGCAACTCTCTAATCACGTCCTTTTCAACCTGCTCGCGGTCGAATTTGATCCCATATCCAACCTCTTCGTCCACGATTTTTTGAAACGCTATAAAGACTTTATGAATGGTGGGATTGATCGCTCCAATCGCTGCGATCGCGCTGGCTGCCAGTGATCGCAACGCAGGCTCATTCATACGTGCTGAATGTGTGCTAAAGGCTGTTAGCGTAGTCGTAGAAACTACGGTGAATATCTTACACGATGGGTTCTACCCTCTCGGAATATATCATGAGGAAAAACACTAATGGACCTGCCAAGTACTTCCAACGTCTCGCCCTTCGTCTTAATTCTATGACTGCTGACCTAGGCCAGTTATGCTCTCCTGAGATGGCCCTGAACCTGTCTATGGCAATTTTGGTGTCTTTCTCTGCGGGATGTATACCCAGCCTCCGCTCGCTTTTGATCAGCAGTTCAAGGGAAGAGAAGACTTTCAACAATGAACAATAGCCCAATCTGGAAATAATATCACCGCTATTGATAGCCCTCATGGCAATCTCGAAAGCATTGCTTACTCGAGGGTCAGTGCTAGAGATATTGGCTGGGAAAGCTGCAGCTCTCTCCAATCGAATCCAGGTTTCCATCATCAGACTGTAGTTCTGGGCAATATGCAGTGCTGGTGTTGTTACAAGAAGGTTTTCGGCTAGCACTTCCATAGTAGGTTGTGCTTGTTTAGTCTTCTGAGGGGCATTGGAGCACTGTCGTCTCGTAGGTGCACTTTGTGTGGGGTGCACCAGGTCTTGTCGATCAGACAGTTGGGGGCACGCCTGTAGGGAGAGTGGTGACATCAAATCGTTTGAGGAGTCCATGGTATAGATAAGGAAAAGTGACGAAAGATCTATAATCAATCCTCGCAGGCTGGACCATGCTCTCCTTACCTGAGATATTTATACATCTTAGAATGTATCGAAAGAAGTTGTTTTTGTACTTAGTTGACTTTGAAAACTGAAAACTGAAATAGCAACACAGCGATTCACCCATGTGCTAAATGAATACATGCACAAAGAGTCAAAGTTCTGCGGATTTGATCTATGACATGGATCCCCGCGTGGCCATAGTCATACCAAATTTGCGATTGCCAAGACTTGTGCGCTGAGAAGTTCTAAATGTTTGTGCCTAAGCGAAGTCAGGTTTTCTGGTTTTCTTTTTTTTGGTTTCTGTTCAGCATGTCATGAAAAAGGTCCTAGATTTTGACCAGATTCTAGCACCCAATTAGCGGCTCATTCTGATCCACGAGTGTCGGAAGGAAATCTGGATTCCGTTTACCATATTTCTTAAACAGCATTACGTTGTCAGCCTACAATCCGGAACCAGCAATTGGTCGGATGTCTTCGAAAATGATATGTTTGCAAAAGACCTTATTCAGTATTCTGTAAACTGAATTGCGCGCCCTAGCGTGATACACTACTCGCTAGGACTCCAGTGGTGTTAATGTCACTCGATCGCCGATATAATTGCATTTATTTGTTATTACTAGTTTTTGAAGGAAGGTACGTTTCGTAGTTATTCTCCTTTTCTACTATTGCTGAGTAAAGCTTGTGATTACAGATAAAGAACACATATATGCTCTCCATCGATTGCTGCCGTTATAGTCGCTATCAGTGCAGCCAGGAATACAATCATCACTTCGAGCATCTACCATGATGGCAGCTTCGAACAACGGAACGTTCAGCTACACACGACCTTCTGACGCTTCATCAACACCGTCTTACGTGGTGCTGCCATCTGCTTCTTCAACCACCTCGTTCAAAATCCTACGCTGCTTGAAGTGCGCAAAATTGGTGGAAGCAACTTCTACAGATGACCTTGAATCCCTCGGAATGATCCAGATAGGATACAATCTTCACTACTGTAAAAGATGTGCTGATATAGTTGGTTATACGTCATTATCTGAGTTAGAGGGCGTGGGTAGATGACTTTTGCTCGACAATGGTAACTAAAGCTCGTCGCTATAGTTCACCTAGTGCGTGAGAGAACAAATGCTGTGTCTAAAGGGTCAACGGGTATCAGCTTTGATAGAAACAGTATGGAAGGCCATCAATTCATTAGCCCAAGTTTCTTGACTTGATAGAAATTTTCATCCCTCATTTGATTAAAACTTCGTTTGTGATCAGTTCGTGCGTTGGCCTAAATAGGAGGCTCAAAGTACCTAGTCACTGGCTTTCGTGTGCACTTACGTAGTGCATATATAGGTGTCTCTTAGTGCCTCAATATAACTGGCCCACTATAATTTAGCTTAACTATCAAGCGCCGTACTCCGTAGAGGCCATCGAGTCACCACGCATTATTGAGATTATTTACGGTGAAGCTCTTCACGAAGATCGTTACGGCGTAAAAGTTCTACGTTAGTTATTAAAAGCTCTGTCAATGCCTTTTTTATATGAGTTATCGTACTGGATTAAGTAAATCTAAAAGCTTACCTAAAGAGATTTTCAAGGTGAAGAACTACTCCCAGCATGCGTAATCTTAGTAGCATTATATATTTGTTACGAATTTCGGGCTCTCACCCTACAAATCTACACCAAGATGCAACGTAGCGAATTCTATGCTCTTCAAGAATCGTTAGTCACATCTTTAGACCATTTTAAAGACCTCGCTGTTATTCGTGTCTACATTGATACAATACCAGATGAAAGCATGTGCGAGGGGTATAATATCACAAGGTGATCATGCAAGGCAGCATGGGCTCTTTGCCAGAGTGAGGCCCAGTGCATTGTGGGGAAATAAAGGATAGAACATCTCAACACACAGACTATGCATCACTCATTCACTACAGGACGAAGGCCATCGCACTCTTTTTGCCGACCATGGTACTATCCGTTGTCGCGCGACACAACTGCATCAACCCAAACCAAGCGCGCAGTTGTTGGTGAAACCAGACCCGAGGCTGATTGCCGTCAAGTAGACGAAGTCAAAATGAGCCAATGAATGCATATTGCGCCAGGGTGGACCCGTGGCAAATCCGATCCATTCATGTCAAGGATTAAACCGGTACAATATGTGGCGCCGCACATCTCCAGACAATGGCTTCGTACAGATTCATTCATGCAATCGTAGCTGTGCAACGGTCAGATGTAAGGTTTGTCCTTGAAAGTTGCGAGTAGGCCCGGAGTGCTGCCGAAACCTCCACAGTAAACTGGTTTCAGTGCCACTGGTGACGGATGTGACAAGCTAGCTTTCCGGATCACGTTGACAATCCAGAGCTGAAAAGTCCGGACAGGGTGTCGCGGTTGCACTGATCGACACAAGTCCACATGCCATGACATCCAACTTTTGGAGTAAATTTGAATCACCTCCCAATGCCTTCACTGCGTAGCTCAACAGAATACACAAGCAGGCAGCGTCGGCCCAGCTCTAGCCCAATGAACGACGACCCGACAGTCTGGACGGCTAGTGCTACGAACCCACATTGTGTTAGTCCTTAGTACGAACTGTTACGCCACCAGCGGTAAGAGCACAATTACAGTAGTATGCTAGCACCTTAGCGTCGCCTATGCGCTACAGAGTCCCCTGATTGAGTGATAGTGGTCCGGTGCATCCTTGTGTCTCTATTCTGGTAGCTTGTACAGCATTTCCTCCATGACTCGTATGGTGCATGTCGCTAGTTTCGTCATACACAGCTCGTATTCGAGAGTGCGCAAGTACTAGCATTGAAGTCCCTCTTGTCTGTTCCTAATGGAAATAGATCATCATTATGGGTCTGGTGCAGTGAGAGTGTTCATCTTGTATTGTACAGAATGTTGTGCCACGCGATCCCCACAGTTAGCGACCAGAGCAGGTAGTCTGCACAAAGAGATAATTCCAAATGCTTATGGTACACTTGTATTAATCGGTATGATGCTCACATCCGAGCCGGCGCTGGAGCTCTGTAACTCAAGTACAATACCAACAAGGGGTTCTCTGGTAGCCATAGGTACTGCGCATGTATACAATTAAGCTACGGCCTACCTGATGCCCTTCATCAAGTGTCCCATAGTCTCTTGTAGTCTGTCCATTTCTTCCGTCACAATTTCCGTTGCCAAGAACTCATCTGTAACCACCTGGTGATCCTCTCGACCGAACACACAGTCAAGCTTACTGTCTCGTACTAGCTCCCTCAAGATATAAGGACAATTACTGATGTTGCATGGCCTATAGCCCCTGGCCCGGATTTTTACGTCAAGTCTCGTCCGGTAAGACATGACTTCGACCTTGATCAACCGAGAAAATATCCTGCCTGCTTTACATCGTTCCAATGATTCGACCGTAATAAGCTGCTCTTCTGTACATTTGGAAGAGGCCGTCTGATATATCATGGATACCTGCGCTAGTCGCAACCTATAGAGAAGAGTCACAAGAGGCAACCCAGTCGGCACGCGGCACCGCAGACGTAAGTAGAGTACTTCTGGTGCTGAGTGAAAATTAGGCACCTGAAGCAGCTCAATATAAAATAAAGAGGCTATCATGCGATCAGCGATAGAATAGATATACTGAGACTCAAATTTGTCACCATTGCAGTGAATGGTTACATCGGTCGAATGGCTCCTCTTCAAGCTAAAAGCGGATTAATATTATCACATCACGCTGGAAAAATTCGCTTACTAATCTGTGTTATTTGTGTTGGAATAGATCATGTCTTTGACTTTTAACGTCACGTCAAGTTCGTTAAAGAGCCGTGTCGTTTCCAGATCCCATTCAAGCCCTTTGCCGAACGAGATGGTTGAACGCTTCGTCAGGTTAGGTTCGGCTAGTTTGTTGACATGATGTCCGCTCTCCGCTATCGTCCAGCCCTCGAGGAAGATAGTCTGAGCAAAGAAAACGCCTTTTGTCCATGTAAATAGAGCCACTCATCGGGAAGAGGCGGTTCATACCTATATCTGATCCAATCACCATGTCAAATTGTTTACGAAGAGCGTGTAAGGGTAGACCGATATGATATTGCAGCTGTCGGAGGAAGTCAACCATAGCAGCTGTTGATTGAAGCGTTCCTCCCAACTTGAGCGCTCGAACGCCAGCGGTGGCAGGTCGCAGAATAAGTTCGATACTATTCTTCTTTTGGCAGAGTGGACAATAATCTCTCGGCCAGTCAGCACTAGGCAAAGGCACCAGCTCACACATGATCACACAGGCATCACATAGACGATGCCCACATGACAGACGTCTTCTGGGTGGACGAGCCAGGCAGACAAGGCAGATCTCAGTGGATTGACAATTCATCCAGAGACCCTGCTGTTTCGCGATGAAGGAAACATGTTGCACATGTGTAGACTTGTCTCGCCTCTCCTCCACGAGTTGGATGAATCGGGCACGTGTAGAGGCAGATAGAGACAAGCCGAGGGCCGCGTCGACCGAGGCAAGAATGTCATGATAAAAATGATCAAACATAGAGCCAGGAAGGAATGCTACTTGGCTTTAGCGCATTTTCTGGTATAAGACAATAACATCCTTACCGTGCATCCCCGGAGGCAAGGCATCAAGCACCAACGCCGAGGCTATAACAGATGGCCTGTCAAAATGAAGATTTCGACTGATAGCTAGGAAATGGGTAATGTTCGAAGCTAAGCTTTTGGATACAGGATTACATCTTCTTGCTGTGGTATAAAGATCAAAGGGAGCTGGTTCGGCTGCTGCAAATTGTTTAATTGACTGATGCAGGAGGTCTGTAAGGTGTTGTGAGCGGAAAGCAAGACCCATCTTCCGACGTATGGCCGATGCTCGATCGATGTGAGAAAGGATATCTACAGCGGATGCATTGTTGATGGGCAGAAAATGCACACTCTCAAATGGCATTCGCCGCCGCCTCGGTGAGCCTAACAGTTCGAGCTGTAGCAGTCGGGCACCAAGCTTCCTTAACACCATCGTTTCGAAGTGTCCTTGATTAACGCGGAGCTGAGCATCGTGAAGGACGACAATTCTGGGCTGGGATTGTGTAGGTCGCGCTGCCCATGTAGCTAAAATATCACTCAATTGTACCAGCCCGCCTAAGTCGTCCATGAACACTACAATGGTCGAGCTGAATGGAACCAGTGCTTGCCACACGAAGTCGAAGGCACATCTTGCGATTTCTTGCGGTGTACTGATGTCGGAGATTGTCGTCGTCAATAGGTGATGTCGGGGACAACTCTCTATGTATGGTTCAGCTTTAATTCGGGGAAGCGTTGAATCGTGCAATTCGCAATCGAGCAGGATCGTGGAACTAAGAATTTCTTCTATAATGACCCCGTTGTGTTTGACACTAGGTCCTGCCCGCAGACGCCGCAGAAAACGCCTCTTGGTTTTGCCTCCAATGGCAAGAAACACATCTGGCTGCTCAGCTCGTTCGTCGAATATTTGATAGCCAAGTCGGCGCTCCAGAAGAAATGGTCCGTCAAGGCCTGGCGCACCTGATCGCAGTTCCAGCCACGGCTCCATTGCGGTTTGATGCCCTCCGGGCCATCGCTTGCGTTGTCATATTCGTATGTGCTTATACTTCGGAGACGACATACACTGCGGGCCAGGTTTTACGTCGAATTTGCAGGAAATCGGTTTTCAGTTTTCGTGCGGTTCAATTTGCCCAGTGATTTGGTACAATAACTTTACGAGAATTCTCCCCCGCGCCTGCTGGGCGGCAAATCAATCGCTAACTGCTAGTCACGTGCCTACTAGAATGGAGCTAGTCGGCGTCATCCGCTGTCCTCTCAATTGTCTAGTGCCGTATGGGGAGGGCAGACAAATAGACGACCGCATTGTCGATCGTCTTGTTCGACGATTCCGTAAAGCTAACTGCAACTCAAATGGCGAAAATCATCAAGTGCACGGAATTATCACGTACGAAGATCTGGCCAGCATACTTAATGCGCTACAAACCACGAAAGAGAGCCTATACGAAACGTTGGAGCGAAACGCGTATCCTTTATTGTCGAACCGCACAATTGCCTATTTTAGAGGTCGCCATCGTATCGCAGCGGCAACCGCACTGAGCCAGAACGCTGTTTGGGCTGTACGACTCTATTGTGCAAAGGCGAATTGGGTCTCCTTCCCTGCGATCTTATCGTTCGAAAGTCCTCGGCATGAAAGTCACGTTCAGGATGCAGTAGAATTTTCTGCCTGTGAAAGTGCATACTCCGATGGAGAGATTTATCGGTTGGTTCGGAAATATACAAAAGCGAATGACACATCTAGGCTTGCTGAGGTCAGGAGCCGGCTTACGCCATGTAAGGAAGTGAGTCTCAACGGGCTTCTGCAACGCAGCTCCCTAGTCACAGCTCTAGACGCTTTGCTGGAATTCCCCGGCATGCTAGGAGGACTTCAACTGGGCAACATCCACAAACATCTTGCTCTGCATGCAGACTCACACATCAAGTGGAATTTTGAGCACATCTACAGCACATGGTCATTCATCACAGACGGTATCCCGGAAGTGAAACAAGGTGTCGACCTCATCACTGTCCGCGCATTTCAGTTGCGGGCGCCCATCGCCAGCGCTTCAGACAGAAGCACGATCAAGCAGCTATTTGAGGATCAAGTTGTCTTCAGTAAGGTCGCCAATATGCAGGTTCGCAAACAAGTGGAACAACGAATTCTTTCATTGAAAGGTGTGATTCCCAGCATTGAGTCTTTTCATGAGAATATGAAACTGGTCTCGGTCGGAATACGTATCTTACGAGACTTGCTACTGGAAAAGAAATCAACTGGGAGAAAGAAGCTGTCGCTCTATCAGAGCCTTTCACTCGATTGGAGGATCCCCGCTGGACCGGTGATGGAAGTGGATGATGGCATTTTTCGAAAGATTCCAAACACGGACTTCATGATCTGCTATGTTCATCTGCTGTTGGCGGCGATAAGGCATTTCCCCAGACTGTCTTCCGTGAGCCCTCGACAGGATTCGCGAGGAGTATCAATGGCTGCTTTTGTGGACAGCCATCGGGTTCATTCTTTTCTCAAGCTTGCCTCTAGCCAAGGTTTTGAGAATGCTAGGATTCGAGAAGGCCTGAATCGCCTCGAAAATCAGTCTCAGAACGTGTCGCTAGAACCGATCAACGGCAAACTTGCACAGTGGAGATGTGGCCGCCCATTCACAAGTTCATATCTTTCACTCAAGGCGAACGGATATTTGGCCAACATAGTTCGGCCACCAGAGAAAACTGACGTGCCATCTCCTCTTTTTATTCTTCGCGATATCTTGCAAGCCTTTTTCTGTAACCTCGAGTCATTCCATACTATAGGCTCGCCTCACAACGATGTATCTGGGATGGCTGCAGATAGAATTTCATTGCAGCAGGACATCGGCATGGCTGATGTGCCAAGTGACCCAGCACGTGAGGCGCCTGATTCATCCGTGTCATATGCACAAAGCCTTGAACCCCGTAGGGACAATGACGAGCCGGTAGCAGGGCAGCTCTCGGATATTGAAGAAGTCGAGGACGAAAATGTTGATATGACTGACAACCCGATTAGGAATTCGTTCAAACCTCAGGCCCCTGAACCAAAGAACCCAACTCGTGCCAGACTTCGAAAGGAGCGACGTTGGGCAATAGTCCCACGCGCTGGAGGCTCATTGGGTCAGTCACCCGGCACCATTGCACGCATGTCTGGCTTTAATTCTACTTTCAACTTCACCTTGCCGCGACGTGGACAAGGCATCAACAAGATAACTTTACCAAATTTGAATGACAGACGAACCCAACTATTATCACCCGAGGTGCAGACAGTCATTGATGATGCTGTTGGTGCAGCTTCTTTCCAAGTTTCCATGGAAAGTGCCACCATGACATCAGCTTTGCCGCTGAGTACTCAAGCAGCAATATCATCCGGAAGACCAGATGTTCTCGACAATGTGGCCTTAGTAGCGGAGCAGGTCTCGCCTGTTCAATCTCCTACTATAAACAGGATACTTGAGGAAGAGGCTTTGTTTGAAGGCACTGATGATGAGGGTGATATTAGTGAAGCGGACGGTATAGCAACGACGACGACTATTGCTCCGATACGTCGTATGAAGCGGCAAAGAGAAGTCGATCAGGAAAATTCCATCCAAGTTCGGCGAAGCAGTTCCCGTCAGGTCAAAAGACTGAGATTAGATTTGGCGACTCCAATCGTACAGACTCGGAGACCTCGATCAAGAGCTCGCTCACCTTTGAGAGGCCGCACTATGCCTACACACGATCTTTTCCCTGTACAGAACAATATTTATACTTCCTACTCGGCTGGCCCCGATTTGACTTTCGCAGAAAATGTACTTGGGCCGTCACAACAGGGCCCGTCTCTGAACGAGCAGTCACATGAGGAGTTGTAGGTGATCATTCTAATGACTACTTAAGGTACAAATTCCCTTCTTTTTCTCAATTCCCCAGCTTCTTCCTCCTGCCTTTCACATACAAATTTCATTCCTTGTGCCTTTGTATTGAACATGGCCAAATCAGCTTACCATGATTGTCGACAGTCTCCCGACACCTTAGACGTGATATACATTGGTCACCGGAAGCTCCGTGATCACAATGTCATTGACCTAACTGAGCCTGCACCCCAATGCCAACAGTGCCATGATGCAATGAAGGACAATGAATGTTATTTTCTCGTCTTTTGCGGATGCGTAAGTATGACTTTTTCGCTTATCAGTCATAGCTGACCTTCTTAGATGACATGTGGCAAATGTGCTGATACTTTTGCTATGGAAGGCTTGTGCCAAACACACGATCATCCCCAGGCAAGATCTAAGCAGAGCATAAAACGTCTGTTCTATCAAGACACTTGCTGCATTTGTTTGGACTCCAAAGAGCACTCCACCTTTCTCAAGCCTTGCGGTAAGCTTACAAAAGCATCTTAATGCAAGCCAGGCTGACTGAGGTCTAGGGCATATGTTTTGTGACGAATGCGTTGTTCAAACATTAGACGCACAAGCGACGTACCAGGCAAAGTTGGGCCAAGCTGTCATTTTGACCTGTCCTATATGCCGCACATCTCTTCGTGGTACTATCGATGACGAATTGCAGAAAGTAGAGATTATGGACACAGGTCGTGAAGTTGTAGAAGCAATATGGATCTATGAGTTCGCATAGTTACTTAGCAGGGCTCCAAATAGAAAGATACGCTTAGAACACAAGTTCATATTTCTTCTCTCAAAAATGAGTAATGCTGTGCCGCTTGCCATATCACCAGTCGCGAAGCTATTAAATAATTTAGCGCATGTGTAAGGTACTGTTATTGTAGATATTGGTGCGCTAGGGAGGAAGAGGAAACATCCTTCTCCTTTCGTGCTACGAACTACCATCTGTAGGCAGTACCAACCAGCACACAATGGGCACGAACTAACAGTCATGTGACCGTGACAGCATGCTGGGCACTAAGGAGTTTTGCGCACCAACACCTCGCCGCTCTAAGCGATTAGGCGCATTTTTAGCGCGTATGTGCAGGAAAGGTTGCTATACATGGCATGCAGTGGAATACCCGGCTAGTGCCCCCGAACTCCACTCGCACAAATCCTAGAATCACCGTTGACAGGCATCATGAATGCACGCACCCACTTTATCGAATAGCGCGATACTGTAGAAAGACTTGGTACAAGCAGTATTCTTGTTTCTGCTCTACGTTATCTGTCTTCTGCAACTGTCTACGCGCGGTGGTTCGTGGCAGCTCCCCAAACTAATGCAGCCGTGATTCGCTTCGTAGTCTAGACAGCAAAGCACTATTGGCGCAAAACTTATGCAACGGGAAACCTTGACTTATTGAGCTGATTTCTCTTTTCGTCAAGCAGGGGCACAGTATCCGCTTAGGCGCTTAGATCAACGACTCATGATTTCCTTCAAGCGACCTGTAAACCTGGTTTTCCTCCCCAGTACCAAGGATTTGTCGTCTGTCCTGTTCGGTTCTTATCTCGTGGCGATAAGAAGCAAAGACTTCTCGGATTGTGCGGGCAATATTCGCTATATGCTGGTTCTGCTGGTCTATTCTTCGTTGATAGTCTCTATTCTGTTCCTGTAAAACGGACATGATATGATCCTTTTCCTTGCGTAGAGATTCACGGCTTCTAGCCAACTCCTGACGGAGAAGGCCGTTTTCTTGCTGAAGGGAGCTAATAGTTTCCATCATCTCACGCGCGTCGTGGTATGGTACATATGCGTGGCTTGGTGTCAGCAAGGGTAGTGACGGAAGTGCTTTGTCCTGCATTGTTGTACGGCCCGAAAGTACTTTTGCGTTCAAAGGCTTCCCGACAGAATGGTTCGCTGTGGGGAAGGCAACTCCTCATTTATACCTGCTTGGGCACTCGTTGCTCCACATCTTCCCGAAAGCAGTAAGTTGTGAGCAGGCTGGGATCAATACTGTTTTCTGCTAGCGTCTCTATTCTACAGGGTATCTAGCTGATCAACACAGGTTCAGGCTCATCCGCTCCTGCCGTGTCCTCTTCTCTTTCTAGCCGGCTGATAACATGGGACATGAATTTTTCCAGTCCATTCTTGAGCTTCTCGATCGCGATGGCGTTCTGCTCCCGATCGCGTCTTGCTTGCAGAAGCTCTTCGCCGAGCGATCTTATTCCAAGCTCCACATTTACAACATTTAGCCGTGTTTGCGCCATCGCAGATTCCAAGTGGTCTAGTCGTGAACATAACACCAACAATCCACTAACAGGTCAGCGTGTCATTCAGACAAGGTACAGCAAATCTTACTTCTGCGAATTAATCGGTGGTTGCTCAGGCCACATGGAGAAACTCATCGGCGAAGGCTTCTGCGCCCTGGAGGGAGTCGCCGTTGGCCTCAAAGGGTCCAAGTCCATCTCAGTGTTGTTCTTCCAGTAAGGATGTGATCCACCATTGTGCTCTTGGCCGAAAAGCCAATTGTCATAACCCGTGTTTGATGCAGTGAAATGGTTTGCGAGCTGATTTGGTCCAGACATACCCAATGGCGGAATCTGAGTGTCATTCCTCTCATTATCACGGATGGAACTTCCGCCGAATATGGAAAAATCCTCCGAACGCATACTACTGGAAGCGTTCATGTCTTTCGTCTTGTAATTCTGGCAGTGGCAGTCGGACATGTTTGATTCTGCTAGGGGCAAGTCTTGTAAGTGCATGTATGCTGTCGCTTGACTTTTGCAATAATAAGGTCAGACCGATGGCTAAAGACAAGAGTAAGCATGCCTTGGAATTTAAGTAGGCTTTACAGTATACAGTGAAGTACGCTTGCAGGAATTCGGTTTTCTGGTTCCTGTACTATATCCCTGTTACATCTGTGGAGACGCTAAGATAGGCCTGTCGCCAAGCTGTGAGCCTTCTTCAACTTATTTTGGTGTCCTTGCAATACTTAAAAGTGACCAGTCCGTAGCATTAGATTCATCAAGTCACGCCGATACCCTTGTTGACGCCAATACCATGTTTAGATTTGCCGTCGTCATTTCATTGTTGGCTGCGCCAGCACTATGTCTTAGTGGCTTTCCATCTGTGTGTCTTTCGGAGCCGCCAGTCAAGTTACAGGCTGGCATATCCGAGGTATCCATTATGTTTGTTCACGACGAACCCAGTATAGATCTAGGCTAACATTCTCAGCATCGAGCGAGACGTTTCTGTCCAATGCCAAGCTTCCATTTATTTCGAGGACCTGTCTCTCCCACTGCGGTTTTCCTTCCCATCAGTTCAATGCGCGGGCGCAGAATTGGTATCATTTTTGGTACCGCTGGGAATCACTTCCGGAAACGCAACCATTATATGGTACCCACCCCTTTAGCTTTGTGATATCGCTCCACTCATCATAGTTACAGGCAATGTGCAGGGCAGGTTCCAACCTGCAGTCAAGCTATGATATCTGATGGTGTTGCCGATCAGTCAATGAAGCTAGACTGGGCAGGACAAGTTGCTTGTGTCAGGGAGATCCTGGAAACTAGCACATCCTTGTTGACTGAGATTGAGTCGTCCAGTACAATCGTCCAGACGCTCAGATCACTGATCGTCGTGACGACCACCTCGTCGTTTATGGCACCAACCAACACTCCAAGAGAAATAGGCGCGCCGTGGATATCCTCGAACGCCTCTCATGCAAGGTGTTCCGGGATCCCTATCCAGACCACCTCAGCCTACATACCTGGTACCTCGTTCGTTCCCAAGCATAACGTTACATGTCTGATACTTCTGCAGAAACGACAGGCGCCAAATCCTTGCGATTAATTGCCAACGACTCAATCACAATTGCCCCCTCCGGCTCTGCAGTCAGCTCGGGGACACCTCAAGATAGTACCATTCCGTCCCTTTTGCCTGTCACCGCCGGTACTCGCAAGAATATACCTGGTATGGCATATGGAGTCGTTGTGTTCTTTATATCACTACATGCCTTTGCAACACTACTGCACGATCCAGAATAGAATGACATGTAAGCACATGGTCATTGCTTATCGTTTAGGACTAACATCCCTACACCGAATCTTTTGCTGGATAATTTCGCCTGTCGCAAGTGTTTTTCTGTATTTATAAACAGTGGTTCAGGGTTGTCATAGTTGCAATTTAGTTGTTCACCAGCGCGTATAATTTTACTCAATTTTTCCAAACTCATCATGTCTAACATGCTCAAGAACTCGTCTTTTGATCCTCGGGTCACTAATACCCCAAAACTTAAAGTTGTGGCTATGAATATCCAAAGTCCTAGAAAATCTATTCTTTCATTATTCGAAGTACACAATCTGCAACTCAAGCTCGAAACATTCTTGCGTAATGCTCAGCTTCCTGTTGCTGAAGCTCAATCTCCGGTATGATGTTACAACTCCAATATTGGGCCAAATTGACAAGTTAGCACACACCAAAGGCCATGAGTGTTGAAGAATTCCGCTTCGCCGACCAAACACCATCAGAGGACTTCAACGATAGCGTTACACAGGTGGATTCAATGTCTGGATCGCAGGTTACAAACAAGGACAGTTGTGTAACCCAATAGTGGAGCAAATAGAACGTGGCAAACAATAGTTGTTTATATTACTAGGTTTGAAATAACCAATCATGTCTCTCCTTTCATTCCTCATCAATCCCCGGGCGACGAGTCCTTAGCACAGCCACTTCTTGTGACGATGGGCCAATAGCAATTGGTAGAGGATAACTCATCTCCTGTTATGTGTTAGAGGATTACCACATTTATAGTTTGGAGGGCCGTACAATATGCTCCTTTGAAGGTGGCCACGCAGGGTTATCGGTTGATGTGTAAGTGAAGAAGCGTCCGTGCTTATGAATCACAATATAAACTTCTGCATCGCATTCTGAACGCAATTCGTCTGCTTTCTTGAATAGTGTCTGGCGCCTTCTGCGCGCTCGCGCAAGCAGAGCCCTGCGACAAACTTTGGCTTCTCGTCGCTCCATAATAGTTGGGGGTAACAGTAGGTGCGTAACGTGGTTAACAGAAGAAATGGAATATCGGCTTTCTAGACGAGACAGCACCCTTGATCCCTTCTATGAACGTGTCTTGTCATGCGCACAGATTAGAGAAGGAGCTTGTTTTATTATAAATGCATTATCACGGGTGAATAAGAAATATGTAAAACATGCACTAACGTGACTTGTGTCGAATGAAAGCTGAAAACTGAAAACTGTTGAAGTGCAACTGTTTAAGAGCGAGTGAGATCCCTGGAGGGTTAGGCAAGTTGGAAAAGTCTAAAATTAAACCAGCATGAACTGCTTGCCACAAGAAATCCTGACAGCCATAGCTGAACAGCTGCCCACCGCTGCTGACGTCTGTCAACTTCGGTTGGTCGAAAAACGTTGCGCCGTCGCAGCCTTCCCCGTCCTCTTTGAACGTGTTCAGATTCTGAACACATCTGAATGTTTGCATCAGGCTGAATCGTTGTTGCAGTCTCCATACGGCAGCATCGGGGCAACCAAGCATTTGACCTTGTACCAGGGCACGTGGCCTTTGACCTTATCGCTATCGGCGTGGCGCGGCCATTCTTTGAGGCTGCGCTACCACGACAACGACACTCAGACATTTGAACAGTACACGCGATTCAGCCGTACAGAGTTATCACGGCACTTCGGCGACAACTCCGCAAAGTTTTGTGGCCTTGTGGGCCAGTTCTCGCAACTTCAGAGCCTCTGCCTAGCGGATGTACACACACGAGCGCAGGGCTCTGCACGAAATAGCCATTACAATTCACTGAAAGATCGCATTCAAATTGTCCCTTCATTTCATGGGAACGTCAATGGTATCCTGACCCAATTCTCCACGGTTCTCAATTCGATGCGACATTTAACGACACTATCACTTGAGGGTTGCTTGGATACAAGTGGCCTTGATTTGCACGAATCGTTCTCGGGCATTTTAAGTCTAGAAGTGATTGGTTTGCTCACCACTGCCTACCTGGGGGAACACATTTCACGGTTCCTGGCTTCGTTCCCTCATTTGACCCATATGAGGCTTCGGCCAGCATTGGTTGGCTGTCCCAATGAACGAAAGCTCCCCCTATCAAACATACAGTTTTCCGATTTATGCCACGTCGAATTTCATGGTATCTGGACATCAGAGGAGGAGCTCCTCGATTTTGTTTACCGCCATGGGCTGATATCTCTGTCTTTGTCGGAAATTACATTTACTCAAGGTTCTTGGGAATCGTTTTTTGGACATTTGCGTGATCAGCTCCCGGGTATTCAATTTCGTGGAGATGGGATACTTACAACCACTCACTCAGAAACGTATCAGCTGAACGCCTTTTCCGTTCGCCTTCTAAGGCTTTTCTTAGCTACAGACACTTTTCCGTGGCCCCTTGAAATTTCGACTTTCTGGTAGTGCCAGAAAAATGGTCGTATGGGTCTGATAGCTAGTGTCACATTACAGTTAACTGAAAACATGCTTTTGTTTCCCCATTCAACATACTGGTGTCCAATTCTCTATGCCTCATAATATATACCCATGAATCTGCCGTTGCCACATTCTCCTTGTGTGAGTCAAATCGTAGCAGAGTTAAGAGAATAGAAGAAGCAGTGCTTCTCATCTTCTTTAGTTATGTCCCCTTTGCTAGGAATGGCCCTTATCAGTCTCTGGACGTCCGGCAAACATGGTACCGCAGTGGGAGGTGCTGCTGTCAAGCAAATCCTCGCTGGTACGCATCCATCATCTATTCACGACATCATGTGTAATACCCCAACGCATGATATCAAACTAGCTATTCAAGCCTTGCAGGAAGTCTGGGATCTCCTTGAAAAGGAAATCTCAAGCTTTCGACACAACAACAATGTCTTCCAAAACGCCTATCTTTCAAAGGATGAATGCTTCATTATTTCGACGATGGTACCGACCCTGCTGTCACCGGGCTTAGGTGAGGCAGCATTCCTCGCAAGCAACAACTTCACAAACCGCCATCCCGCATTGAAGCGAAAACGGCCGGATGAAAGTGAAGATGGAGAAGGATCCAGAGTGAAGAGATTGTCAACCAAAAACCAACGAGGGGAAGAGTCTTCACACTTAAAGCGAAAACGCTTTAGTGAAAGCGACGGCGAGGAAGAACCTAGAGTAAAGAGAATGGCGGTCTTTCCCGACACCGCCCCTCCCTTATTTTCGCCATGGGCCAGGAGAGAAGATCTCGCGCCACCGTCATTGCCAATTGATGGAGTTGCACGGTTGTCTGTGGGCGACAATTCAATTCCGCGCCCTGAAAAGCGGAAACTTGACAGCTTCAGGGAATTGGTAATGCAAGCAGATGAGCAGCTATTTGGTAAGAGAGCAAAGCATAAGAACAGCAATGACCATCTCGAGCCAACGCCAGGACCAGTGATTGGTGATGCGGAACGTCGTATCAAGTTAGAGCAGGATGAGAAGGGCGAAATCAAACCTAAGCCTCTATGGGACATTCCTCGTTATACTGGCGGCCAGTAATTTCAACGAGTGGTCCATATTATACAAGTAGAGGTGGATCCTTTTTTTTACTTTTTTTTATACAGTATCGCCTTTTTTTCTCCCCTTTATAAATTGATTTTCTAAGCATGCCCTGTGTACTATGTGATATAAACCCATGGTTAAAGTCCTAAGCACATTTAAAATTGAGGTATACGGTAGAGAAATAGTTGATCAATCATCTCATAACAGATCACATCTATAGCGTCGCAATGTTGAATCCCACTAATAGAGTTCCGTACCCGTTGCCCCGTATCTCACTGATCGATACGCCTACTGGTTGAATCCCACTTGACGTGCGACAACATGCAGGAGTCAAGCCTCATCTATCCAAGATGGCGATATGTTAAGCATATCAGGGTTTCGACCACGCCAAGAAAGCTATGACGGCACAGTCAAACAGATGCACACATTTCGCAGCACAAAAGTTCGCTGGTTACAGTAGAGATAGTCAATTATGGTACTATTAGCGTAGAGAAAACGGCAGAACCAAAGACGAAGGTCCAGTTACAAGAACCACTATGTTATGCTCTTTGTGACCCTAGCATCCTCGGACACAGTAACAATATTGCAGCGCACATAGTCTTGGTTACATGATTACTTTACTTAACCGTCTGAGCAAGTGGGATAAAGGTATTACTGCACAGAATTTGCTCCTTGAGTTGAGCAGATAAACATCTGCCGCCATCCTCGATTAATAAAGCAGAAGAAAGAGAGCAATTGTCTTGATCTGAATTTACAGCAAATGGCCTCGAGCTAGACCATAATGCTTCAAGCTTGATCAGAGCTACATTTTACAGTTTTCCCGTTTCCCTTTTCAGTTTCTGTCAAGGCTATGCCAACCTAGGATATGCACGTATTCGGAGCTATAACAAATTCGAAGTATAAATGCTGCTAATTTGAATCACCTCAGAACCTGATTGCGATTAAAAAGCCATTCGCAAAGAGTTCCTTGAACCGACCGTGTTCATTATTTGAGTTCGCAAGTATGGCGTCCTTGTTAACACCGCCAGGGTCTCGAGACACAACCCCTCATGCCCCAGGCAAGACCCCACCTCCAGCTTCCGAGACTCCAAGCTCGGACCCATCTCCAAGCACGGGTAATCCCGAGTCAGAACCCTCGAGTGAATCAGCACTACCCCAGGAAGCAAACGAGGACGAAGCAGGTCAATCATCATCAGCTAGGCACAAGCAACCATATGTCGAAAGTGTCGAAGAATCTACGGTTACTACCGATCGACGAGGACGCTGGGCTGATGTGACCGACGAAGAACTCAAGTATGTTCTAAATAAGATCAATTTACCAACCGACGGTCGGAAAGAAGAAAAGATACAGAGACTGGAAGCAGAAAAATGGACACAAGAAGACATCGTCGACTGGAAGAACACCGGCGGCAAGCAAGGGAAAACTTTGAAACCTGGCAGAATCAATGAAATTCATGAAAAGGTTAGAGGAAGGTTTGGACACGGCAAGCGCAAGAACCCGGAAGGTCCTACAGAGGAAGCTCAAGCTTCTGGCACCAATCAAGCAGAGAGAAACCCAGCTCCTAGCAACGCTCAAGCAGAGGAAGCTCGAGCTCCTAGCACCAGCCAAGCAGAGAGGAACCCAGCTCCCAGCAACGCTCAAGCAGAGGAAGCTCGAGCTCCTAGCACCAGCCAAGCAGAGAGAAACGCAGCTCCCAGCAACGCTCAAGCAGAGGAAGCTCGAGCTCCTAGCACCAGCCAAGCAGAGAGAAACGCAGCTCCCAGCAACGCTCAAGCAGAGGAAGCTCGAGCTTCCAGCACCAGCCAATATGAACATGTCAGTTCTAAGAACAGCACTAGGCCTTCACCTACTGAAGACCCAGAAGGCGCGACCAATCTTCCAGAAGCGTACCATGATTTGCTTCGCCATGAAGGGGTCGCAACGCTCCTACCTCGACTCGCGTTTCTGCATAATGATATGCCCCAAAGTCTACGTAACAGCTTCCAATCATTTCGAATCTCTGCACCCGAATTCTGCGTGCTGTTCTGGGTATGGCTTGAGTACGAATTTGTTGTAATAGACAATGAGGACGCCGCAAAAGCGATGCTAGAGAAACTGGGTAGCATTGATTCTCTTTTGGCTAGCCTCAAGGACTGGGATTGGGCGCTGCGCAGCAAAGATGGAAAGTTAGCACACAAGCTTCAAGGAATAGCTGAGGAAGTCCAAGCATTTTGGAATATTGCTCACCCTGCGGTACCGCAAAATTTAGGGATCCATCTGCCCAATCAAATTGGACATCCCTTGCTCTGGAGCCTGCTGGGTAGGCAAAAGGCTACCGAACTGACGATCGAAGATCCAGAAGAACCAGGTCAAATCGTGAACGGACAGATTATAGGTAGAAACAGCAAGAAGTCGGCATGGTTTGGTCTTGTATTACCCTCCAGAAAGAAACCTGGCTGTTGGAGAGGCTACTGGATTGCAAGCAAACGGCATCAACAGGCATATATGGACTACGTCAAGACTGCGACTTTGACACTGTCAATTGCTGGCGACTCCGATTTCCTCGACGAGTGTCAACCTGAGGACTTCCAAATCATTGCGGTCTTTCAGATGAAATGGGGCAAGACCTATCATACTCATGCACTAGGTGTTCCGTACTATGACCAATCTCGGGTACCAATGTTGTATTCGAAATCCATTCTAGCCAGTGGTTGGGGAAAGAAGGACACAGAGCGAGTCCTCGGTGGGCACATGCGCAACGCTGGTCAGACAAATTACCTCGCAACTGAGTATCACGCGCTTGACCGTGTAAGTGCTAAAGCATGGTAAATTTAACTGTTGCTTTACACCTATTTAGCTGTTGGATTTTCCATAGTCTCTCGTTCTCTATTTGCTATTTCTTGACTTCGCGGTTTATCATGTATCTCATTGCTAGAAATAGAAATGTGGGGAGCTCCCATCTTTTCCTGTCATTCTTTGATCCAAAGCAGGTTGAATGAGCTTGAAGTTGTGATCTGTTGACCTCCGTTGGTTAGAGGATATGTCTGGGAACTGATTAATAAGTCTTGAGGACCTCTCAGCCTTTAGGTTAGACGTGAGCACTGCGAAGCAAGCGAGTACAGAATGTTGCTTGCTTTCAGCCTTAGCTTAATCTTGAAAATTACTTGAGTCCGCGCAGCTAAATCTGAGACCGCCTTGACAGACCTGCTTCCCTTCTATTGCTTACCAGGCAGCGACATGATAGCATTGTATAAAAGCTCAGTTTTGCTCTTTCGTATTGATGTTCAATATCATCCGCATCTGCCTACTTCCATCGAAGTCCTCTGGATAATTATGAAAAAACTCCCAGCTGAGCTGATAATTAGAATCGCAGGTTCTTGCGACCTTGCTTCCATCGCCAATCTTTGTCTCTGTTGTCGAAGTTTTTGGCAATTATGTGAGGCTATACTTTACAAAAAAGATGTCAAAATCTATAATTCCTCCCTCGTTTTACGTACAATCGAAGCAATTGATTCAGGAGACGATGAATCATACATACTCGTCAGGGTAGAAAAGGCTATACGTGCTGAAGCGAACTTTAAGCAGACTCTACCCATGAAAATTCGTACGAAACGTCCCATGTTCGCACTTGAGCAATCCTTTGTTGGTGATGGCTATCATCAGGGTTCTTTACTGCACTGGGCTGCAGCCAAGGGTTATATGGAAATTGTTGTCCTGCTTCTCAATGACAGTTACTGTTATTTTGAAGGCATCGAATCCACAAGTAGTATCACCAGTTACTCCCCTCTTTTTGTTGCAATTCATTTCAATCAAGAAACTGTCGCCATGGGCCTCCTAAAACGAGGAGCCCAGATATCTCAAAACACAGGGCATGCTCTACATCTGGCTGCTGCAGCCAACTGTCTGAAAGTAATGGCATATTTGGTTCGGAAGAAGGGTGTCTGTATTGATGCCACAGACACAGCCGGATATACAGCTTTGCATTATGCGCTGTGCTCATCGACAGCAACGACAGACACAATTGCTTGTTTATTCATGCTAGGGGCAGACATCAACAGAACAATATTTTATGGTATCCAGCAACACAGTCCTCTTGATATAGCATGCGAGTACCAAAGATGGACAATGGCGTCTGAGCTTATTCGACTTGGTGCAGATGTCAACGGCGCAATTCCTTGCACTCCTTCGTTCTCTAGCTCTTCCCTTTTGGACTTTCCGAAGCAAACTTTACAGACTGCTCTGATGGACATCAAGACGGATGTAAATAGGGAGCATGTAATTAAGGATTTGCTACGCAAAGCAGACCTTAATGCGATTGTAGTCCTGGGTTCATCACAAATCGTCCACTGGACTGGCTCGCTTCTGCACTGGCTCTTACTTCATGACAAAATTCGAGACATGGAGCTGCTGCTTCGATATGGCCAGATCGACATTGAAATCCCCGATTCCAAAGGCAAAACCTGCCTGGCACACGCGTTGTCTCTTTCGCAGTGGCAGCCTGAGGCAATTAGGCTATTAATGCGTTATGGCGCAAATGTGCCGGCAAGGACCACCAGAGAGATAATTGCTGTTCTCGAAGATCTGAGAAAGTCCAGAAATATTGGAGAGGCAGTGCAAGTCATTGAAAAACATCCCTATGTGTTGCAGGTCTCTAGATGTTTATTTAATGGGTGGAAGTGTCTTGTTGGACCACATGACGCCGTGACCACACGATTCATGCGGCGATTTGAGGAATTGGCATATGTCTAGAATCTTATACACTTATATCATTGTCTCTGTGTAAGAATGGGATTCTCGTATTTATTTCGATGTTTCTGAACGTTGGTCCTGAGATAGACCCTACGCCTTAGAAGGCTCCTCGTCAAAGACTCACAATGGCGTAACTCGTCTAAGCGCTTTCAATCTTTAATCTCGACAGGGTAGCCTTCCCGGTTGAATATGAAGCTCAACAGTGTTACCACGTAGCTTTATAGAAGTGAAAGTTTCTATCTCATAAAGGTCATAACAGTTGTCGTCTAAAACACTGCAGTTATCATTAACAGGGCCTTAGTCTATCACTAGAACCCCATGTGACTTCCTAGTGAGTCACTGCTACCAAGCAATTCCCTCCCTGACGGACCCCTGTCTGGACGACTTCCTAGGTAGTCATCGCTACTTCGAGAATTTCATTTGTATCTCTGACATCAAGGCTCGCATCTAGACGAACTCCTGAAGAACTATATAATGTTAAAAATGATAGCATGTGGTATTTCAGTCGATATGACTTTGCCAAAACAGAAACTCAATCAAAGTATAGGACTAAACAGGCCAGGAGTGCCTAATAGAACTACTTCATTCACCCCTCCTAATACCCCATCAGTTGAGTATTTTAATTATAGTGATAATGTCCGATGAACTGACGGGGTGCCCGATTTAAGCACCCCTATAACGTAGAGCACTTCTCCTCAATTAGCATCACTACTCATTCAACAGGACTTCATGACTGTACTACCATGATTGTTTCAGCGTGTGGACGAATTAGCAGGGTGGCAGGATAGAACCATAAAGCAGCTTGATCAGCCTGATCTACATACTGCGCTTGCCAATCATCCACAGATTAGACTGATGGCGCACATTCAAGGACATGAATATTTCAGGAAATCATGGCTGTGTTCAAGTTCGGCTTCGATACAAGTGAGCAGCTTCACTCAATGACACAAAATATGCTATTCGGGAAGGGCGAATGTTATTTTCGATGTGATCCGTTACGTACGTGCGATCTTGGTGGCATGGACAGACTACATTCTGAATTAACACTTCATTTATCATACCGCTATCAAGCAATTATAAAATTAAAAACGTCTTGAGTCGACATAGATTTATAATGTGCTGTATGTTATTAGTATATACATTCCCTTTAAGATCAAGAGCTCTTATCAGGCTGCTAAGTGTTTCCGGCTCAATCACATTCTTCGTCACCTCAAAAATCTAACAGGGCTACTATGGCTCATGACTACTAAACAATGGTTCTGGTGTCTTTGGCAAGAGCTCAGTAAACCGTTCACGATAAAGTTGCCTGTTGAATGAGATAAATGAACGAGAAAATATAACTCAAACATCCTTTATACACAGAAAATGGAAACCAGGTTTACAGCGTAATAGAGATTCTTCCGTCCAAATGAGTCGATATTTCTTCGATTGTTTGCCTAAGATTACCCTCCCCCAAATTGCAGTGTTGATTTCTTGACTTCAGTGGGTTTTTAAGATCTGTCAGCCGAGGGTGTCCGGTATGTCAATGTCCCTTTGTCTTGTGACTTTTCCGGCAACGACACCATCAGAATCCGATTGATCCAGCAACTGGTATGTGTGACGATTGAAGTAGCTGTGTATCTTATCAAAACATTTATTGAATATGACCATTAGGCCTGACTTTTGTTGAGACCGATCTGCGTGGATTAAGCCGGGCTCACATGGAATTTGTACAGGCACAAAATCCCACTCATCATCTTGAGTAGCGAGCGAATAATACAGGAACATGATCTGGGGGTCTTTGTCGCCAGACATGACTGCATGGGTCTTGCGACTAATTTCAAGTTATTGTAGTCTTGTCTAATGGATGTTCGAAAAAGCGCAAGAGTAACTTGACATGGCATTTTGTGGCTTGATATTAGGTGGAACGTCACTGTAATAACGATGTGTGCTAAAGTTCATCAAGTAGAGCAAAGGTACTAAATTTAGTGTCAGCGCGTGTATTCTCAAAACGGTTTTCCGTAAATCAAGCGTATTTCTACGAAAGACCCAATTTCTGCGTGCGCTTAGCGTATTTGCTCAATTCAGCTAGATCTGTAGCTTCAGGCCCGCCGACTGACTTCCTTTGGGGGTTTACAGTAGCTGTTGGTGCCCTCTATGTGAAATGCGTTTGAACCACAAGCTTTCGTATTCAAAGCTCAAAGATGCACTACGAAAAATAGCGTCAATTTGATCATTTACTCAGCCTTGTAGCCTTGTAGCTTGAGTAATGGATGGTAAACGTGTCCGGATATAGTAAGACATGTGCATTTGACCAGTCAACCCAGTACTGTACTTTGCAGGAAACAGATTTCAGCCCTAGAAGATATTGACGAATGGATGTCGAGGCGATATATAAAAAGGCTCCTTTGTTCATTTAAACAGTATTGTTGGGGTGAATGCCAGGGATGATTACAACCAAGCCCCAACACTTTCACATGCCAAAAGATGATCGATACCTGATTCCTGAAAAGAACCAAAAACTTATCAAGGGTACCCCTGCTTCCCTATGCGGCAGTGCTAACGCGCTAGAAGCCCCCAACCAACAGCCCACTAAAATCCACTATGGTCTACCAGAGCTCTGTGGGACGATTCCAATATTTTTATTGTTGTAGTCTTGCTTGAATGATTGTGCCCAAATCTGACTGATGTCATCAGATGTCAGCAGCATAGATGTTGTATCATGAAAATTAACAGATCCCCATACAACCAGGATCATATATATTGCTTTCGTTACGAGCTTCTTGCCACAAGACGCCCGTATCTTGGAATTAGCTAAAACATCGTATGGTGAGATAAGCGTGCTCTTTCTGCGACAATAAACTTTCAGACTGTCATTCCAGCGAGCTTGACTCGCAACCATGAAGAGCTGGCCCACTAGCTCTTTGGCCATCCAGCACGGCGATTTAAATCATCTACAGGCAATGATAACTGCTAAAGATTCTGCTGAAGATTATCCTGAGTGCTATGGAATGGGCGATCCACCATCAGGCAACTTATGCTCAATGCAAGGTCTATTGACACCAACTGTTTTCTTTAACGATATGGTGCAACTGGAGCAAATCGGATCTAGTTTGGAGTGGGAAATAGATTCCAACAGTGTAAGTACAGCTCTCTTGTCTCACTTTTCCTTGATTACCTTTATTCCTCTTCCTTTTTTGACAGCTAGTACTCGTTATAGACAACATATTCGGGGAACATGCCTCATTCCGATATCACAATAACTGCATCGTCTGCGAGGGTCGGACAAAAGAATCGGCGCAATACTTCAAAGTCTGCATCGTCGAACTCCGCGACAAACCATCTAGGCAACTGAGCAAGGAGAAGAATCGCATAGCCGCTAGCAAATGTCGTAGAAAGAAGGTGGCAGAACATCAATTGGAGGAGGAGTGGGGGATACTGAAAGCCCAGAATAACATCCTCAAAGCCTTCACGGGGCAACTTCAAGATGAAGTCCTGTACCTGAAGGATGAAGTTCTAAAGCACGGCACATGCGACTTTCTTCCTATTCAAAGCTATATCAAACAGGCGGCGACATCAAGTAGGCTAATCGCAAATGAAAATGACACGCCCTCGCAGCCCGTGTCAATTAAGTCGGGCCAGTGATTCTGCTTTTCCAGTATTATTGACAATGCAACCAAGCGCTAGGGCGTTATCTATTCTTTATACTATGTTATCAAAATCAGCTCGAGGCACGTTCATCACCAGTCAATCAATCAAAGGTCACGATGTTTTAGAACCGTGTGGTCTGGGATAATACTAGATCATTTTGTTAGTTAAGGCGCTTCACGGAACATGGATCGTTTAACCACGAACGAAAGATAACTTTTCGAAAGGCCGTGTTATTAGTGATGCTGTAGAAGACTAATTCATTGGCTTTCATGGCGAAGAAAATAGCACGGCAGACTAATCGCATTAACGCGGCCTTTAATACACAAGAAGGTGACACGCCTTGAATCATCGTAAGTGATGACCAATGTACATGACTGCTAGACATACACTTACCTGTACCTAGTCCTTATGCCAGCTCCATCGTCGAAGTATGCTTTAACGATGACATTGTTTTCAGTGTCCGAAGCTCTTTGCTTTGCAAGAGCCCGAAACTATCACCAAATATTCTCTGGCCATATTCAATGATTTAGCTAAACAATATTACTTCAGCGGTTGGGCATGTACTCTTCTATGACCTCCTTATTAACACGTATCTGTGCCTCAAGCCGAAAGGAGAGTCTCTGGAGAGACTTGTCGACGAAGTTACAATAGGAATCCATGTTTATATGGTTGCTTCAAAATACGAACTCCCATCTTTGCAGGAGCTTGCCAAAGACGAGATAAAACGACTGGTAAACCATATGCCCTTTCCTCTTGTTCCAAATCTGTTCCAAAGCGCGCGTATAGAGCTAACTACAGAGGACACCTGGATCAGTGACTACGTACAACTCTGGCTCAAGAATATTCTCAAGAACCCCAAAGTATGGTTGGGGCGTAGCGCTTCTTGGAATGTCAGCAGCATAGTTTCATTCAGTGATGTTCTCTTAACAAACCTAGCTAAGCTGCTCGCAAATAGTTCGACTCCAAAGAAGAGTAGGAAGAACAAGAAGAAGACGAAGCAAAACAATTTGATGAGCTGGAACTTGCAAATCGCGAACCTACATTCGAAAGCTCTCCCAGCACGACCAAGCAAAAGGCGAAGCCTACGGAGAACGGTTAGTCTTTCGTGGAGAACAAAGACATATGCATATTCCGATCCGAGCACATACTTGGCGATGGATGGAAAGAATATATCAGTTACCACGAACACGTGGACCAATTATCTCTACAGTATTCATGGCTCATACGAGACATGCTATAATCAAGACGCGCAGGGCTAACCATGGAAGGAAGAGCTAACATTACGGGATATATGGGTGGTTTTTGTATTTATAATATCTAATAACTTACAAAATGCACGACGACAATACGCCGTGTCTTGAACAACTACATTCTACTTTTATTACCTAACTAGCATAATGTAGCAACAAAACATCACTTTCATATAGAAATCAGGAAAATATTTGCACGGGAAATCACGGGATTATTAGGACTTTGACGTTAGGTGTACTATAATGATCAAAAGGAAGATCTGACGGTATCTGCAGGCGGTTTAGGTTCGAGTCTATTGCCCCGTCCATAACGGCTGTGATAGTTAGAGCTGACATCTTTATCGGAAGGACTATCCACATCAATTCCAACAGCCGACTCCGCTGACGAGACAGCACTCTGAATGGTCTCAGTATACATCTGCGCAATATCTTTCGAGATCTGTTGTAACGAGACATCATTGAGATGACCTCCGACTTGCTTCGGTCTAGACCCGAACCCACGATTTTTGCCATGTATAGTCTTGCCGTCAGTCGAAACCATGTACTGAATCGCATCATCACCTGTAGCGTAGTTCTCAATAATGCTGATGTTTTCCTTTAGAGTCTGATCTGCCTCAGAGCAGAAGTCTATGCAGCGCCTAACAGTCGTCCACTCTTCACGTAGTCTTTCCATATTCTTAATATCATCGTCAGAGACGATTCCATCTTTCGACTTAATCACGTATTGGTCAATGATGTCTGACAAATTCTTCTCCAATTGTACAGCAGTGGCACGAAGCTGAGTCTGACATTCTTGTAACCCCTCATGAGTAATTCGTTCTGAAAAAGATCCTAGGTCGGCTCGCGTATTCGCTTGGACCTGGTGGATGTGCTCCGATAGCTGTCGGCAGATTAGTAAACATTTCTGTGTGCTTAAACGTTCTTCCTTGAATGACAAAAGCTCAGGTGTGTCGTGACTGGATGCAGCAGTGTTCCGAGAGATGATCGTTTCGAGCTTCTCATCGATACGGAGTAGGTGGTCTTCGAGGTCGCTTGTGGTGGTTGTAACCAGTGTCCGGTAGCTTTCAAGCTTTTCGATGGTCACTGTGGAGTTCTCACTACATTGCATTAGATGAGAAGAGGCGTAATTTCGTAGAAAATACTTACAGGCTAACCATAGCCAGCGCAATACTTATCGTGGATTTGTAGCCAGCTAGCATCTGCCTAAACTCGTCGATGTCATCACCCATGTATCGTAGCCGAGCCCAACCTCGAAAGGTTTTGCGATCGCCGCCCGATCTTGCTAAACATTTTGCTAGTTCCTGTTCGAATTTTGTACAAGCAAGGCCGCAACGCTTTAAGGGGACTTCGAGTATGACGAGGTTTGCCACTGCGTCGGCAATCTGCGCAAGGTTACGTAGAACGTTGCTTAAAGCTTCTAGCTCTTCAATGAGATCACGAACGCGTTTCGGATGGTGTTCGTATTCTTTAATTGTAGTGTAGAGCGCAACACTAGACTTCAAAGCGACCGAAGCCAGTGCCACTAGGCCAGAGGCTACGCCTATTGCTTCGGCCATTGTGTTATGATGGTGTACAGAATGAGCTATTCTAATGGGCAAATGAATGGTGTGGTAGTTCTAGAGTCGGGGCCAGGAAGTCGAGGGCAAAAGGAGGGGCATGAATTGGTGCGGGGCGATATTCTGCCCCGCGGTGCTCTTTCTTTCTCCAGGTACAATCGCACATGACCATTTCGCAAATTACAGCGGTTGGTAGCGCTATTCTGATACGACAAGCACTTACTATGCTGAGATCGTGATGCTCCGCTCCCACCGTCCTACCTGAGTATCATTCAAGATGTACAATTCGCATGCTATTAAGAAAGACATATTTTTCGTGGAGACAAGCATTCAGCGGAGATCGTGCTAAATCATGAAACCGAAAAAAATAAATATTTCAGTGTTGTGAATCGTTCTGGCAATAAAAGTTAAACTTAGAGTACAACAAGATTTGCCACCACATCGGCAGTCTGTATAGATGTACGTAGAAAAACGTTTAAAGTATGTAGCTCTTCCATGAGATCGGGAACGCGATTCGGTCAGTGTAGAGCGCAACATTAGACTACAAGGCGGCCGAAGCCAGTGCCGGAAGGTTGCTGAGACTGGTTCCGACGGCATGCAACCCCGTCACGACCTGGCACATCATTGGTGCAATTGCGACATCCTAACCAACAGCATGTGATCATGATCCATGCTCGTGCAGATCGATTTATACGATCACACGAATGCATTGAAGGTACAGTGAATAACGAAAACCCCTTCCCCTTTGTGGATCGAGATTCTTTCTTTGGGCATCCAATTTTGGCGCTGACACAGTGTCATTCCTGCTGACCAAACAGTGTACTTCCCGCTTACAGTGATTACAGTTGGCCCTCCTCCAGTCAAGCTGACCTTATCAATGCTCGTCTATTGTACATAGCTGACCGGCAGCCCCTCAATATAGTTCAATCATAGCCTATGCTATTGTGTTCCACATGTTCCCCAAGTCAAAACACGATGATTGTTGGGTTTAGAACTGCCAGCCAGTAGTCACCATAACCTTTCATCAGCCCTACCAAGCATACTAGATCCAAAAGCGGGCTCCATCATGGCCCCTGCCAGAGGGGATGCAGCATGGGAACGAACTACTGGCTCGTGCAGCCACGTGGCTATTTTTGCTCAATCTGGCCCTGCAAATATGGCTGACTTTGGCTCACAGAGCATCTCATTCAAGAATGTTGATGGCTGGCCCTCCTTCCTTCAAACTCGCACCCAGAGAAACACTCCAGAGACGCTCACTTCGCGGTCGTCGCAAGGATCCTTCATCGAGGCGAATGACGATTATCTCGACTTTGAACAGGAACAGGAACAGGACCAAGATGACCAAACAGGTATCCAGTATTCAATCGAATGGCGAATCACCTACAATAAGAAGAAACTCCCTAAGGATACCGAATCAGACGTTACGCAAGCACCTGAGACATACTGGAAAGACATTCTTAAGCACAAGCTAGAGAAGCATGCGGCCAAAAAACTAGCGTCGATTGCAGACTACCACGTAGAAGATACTAACATCAATGTGTCTGTTCGCGATCGCTCGATCCGTGACCTCACCAATGCTACGACGGTCTAGACATCAACTGGGACGAGATAGATAAGCCGCTCCGTTCTTGGGCTCCACTGGATAAGCCTCTAAGATTAGACATCACGTTTAACTACGTGGACACTAACCAGTCCGATGACGAGATAGCACTCGGCCGCCAACGTGGCCGGTCTTCTGCCACCAAAGCTATGCTCTCCAGACGGGCTAGACAAATTGATGCTGAAGAGGCTTCCGGTCAGTCATCGATATGGGTGCGACTCTACCATTTGATGCGATGTCCAGGAGCACCTTGTCAGCTTGGCCCGTATTGTTGGCAGGATAGTGTTACCAAAAGACATTACAGGCTCAAATCTCATCACCTTAGAAGACTCATCAAGTATATTGAAGAGGGCCACGTCTTTGAGAAGCATGATGGTATGCCGGATGAATTTACGTGAGCAGCTATATGCCGAGGAGCAGCAGCTCTAGAGCGCAAGCGAAAGCGTGGAGACTCGCCAGCAGGCGGATCCCACCTATCCAGATCACTAATGTTTTGCCGGGTGGATCTGGCGTGTTAACAACTACGCCGCGTAGTCCTATCGAGATACCCGGGCTCCGAGACGTAAACGTTAGCAAATATACTAGCTGGCACTATTCTCAGGTGGATGACGAAGTTCTGAAAGCACAATTCAGACGATGCGGGACCTTGACACTAGAAGAAGGATACGATCTTGAGCAACTGCACGAAGAGCAGAACTTTCAGTTCTTGGTAGATGGTGGCGTCAAGGTTGGAGTAGCCAAAAGATTCATCCGCGATATCCCGAAATGGGCCAAAGAGCATGTTGGTTAGGTGTTATATTAGATTTCGTTACACGTTCCTCGTGCTTTGTATATTATGGTTCTTCAATAGACAGCCCGGTATGGCGAAAATGACCTTCTGCGCTTGACTTTCTTGATCCAACTACTTCTACACACCATTCCAGAAACGTCGCAAACCCACCGCGTGAATGATCAGCGTATATGCACCAGTTGCGTCTAATGAATGCTTTTAATTCGGCGAAGAATTCCTCGATCGGGTTCAGGTCCGGCGAATAGGGCGGCAGAAATAGAACTTTGACACTAGCTTCTCTACAAAGCTGCTCTATCTTGTCTGGCTGATGGAATTGTGCATTGTCCATAATGAGGACAGACTTTGGCTCAGGCCATTTACCACACAAGAGCAACAATTCACGTATAAAGTTCTCGAACACGGTACTATCAGTTGATCCTTGAAAATCCTTTGCATGCACTATGCCATCCTGTGCATACCCTGGCAAGATCTGGTGTCTTTGGTCACGATGAAACGGAGCCGTTTGCACAGGAGATACTCCTTTTCTTTCTCTTGCAACCGGTCTAATCGTCTTTTTGTTCCATCCGATCGATGCAAGAGCTCGGCTCACACTCATCTTTGTTACTTGAGTCTCGAACTCTTCGGCGATGAAATCGACCATTTCGTCTTGATACAAATATGGTTTGTCCCGTAAGAGATCACATAACGCACTCAGCATGGGCGGCGTGATGCTTCTTGGACGTCCAATGGCGTTTCGAGGGGCTCTCGTTGTTCCAAAACATCGGAGGTTCGCTCGCATCGTTCGAACGGATCGCTGGCTACAGCCAATCGTGCTTGCAAATTTTTCGTCGCTGCATACTCTGCTTTCGATCATACCTTGGGCGAATACGTGCTGAGATTCTGCGAGGTTGGGCGCCATCTTGACGACTTAGCAACGCAATAGAACGATAGGGAGCGATTCCGTTGATTAATTGCGTGAAGGAAACCAGCACATAGCGCCGTGTCCGAGACCCGCTCCCTGTTTTAAGCCGCCCACTACCACAAGGGCCTTCAGCACCTTCTGCTACGACAATAATCTCCTTAAACATTCGAGACAACTTGGCTTTGTCGAGCCACTCTGCCAAATGTATGCATAGTTAATATCAAGCTCGACGCATACGCAGACCATTCTTATCGATATGAGCAAACCCCGCGTTTCGTGCGTTGCTCGTCAAACCACAACACGAATGTGATTGGCGTGAGCTGCAGGTCGGCTCAGCCGCACTGCAATCCCAGTGATGAGGCTCTACTCAATGTTGTGGTTGCCAAATGTTTCCATCATGGTCAAAACCACCTCGCTCATCCGCTTAACGTTAATATGCGCCTTCTCTATATCGGGCCACAGGCCGAGTTGACTTTCACTAACGACCTTATCCACGGGAAAGACGAAATACCTCCTTACGCAATTCTATCGCACACGTGGGAAGCCGACCACAATAATGAGATCACCTATAAAGACATCATGAAGCAGAGAGGGAGCCAGAAATCTGGGTATCGAAAAATCCAGTTCTGCGCGGACCAAACCAAAGCCGATAGCCTAGAGCACTTCTGGGTCGATACCTGCTGCATCGACAAGACAAACGCCGCCGAACTCGCCGAATCGATTAATTCGATGTTCCGCTGGTATCAGCATGCTGCGAAATGCTACGTGTATCTCTCCGACGTGTCTTCCGGTCGTAATCAGATACATGAGCCCTTACGATCGACATGGAAGCAAGAATTTCGAAGTAGCCGATGGTTCAAAAGAGGGTGGACACTACAAGAACTTATCGCACCTGCCGTCGTTGAGTTCTTCTCCTCGGAGAGACAGCGGCTAGGTGATAAGAAAACGCTTAGCCAAACGATCCACGAAGCGACCAGCATCCCGAAGCACGCCCTCCAAGGAGTTCCCCTTTCAGAGTTTACCGCTGAGGAGAGGATTTCATGGTCAAAGACTCGGAAGACATCGAAGACAGAGGATAGGGCATACTCTTTGCTTGGATTACTTTCTATTTCCATGCCGATCATATACGGCGAAGGCGAAGAGCAAGCATTTGAGCGACTTCGCAACGAAATCACCAGGCGCTCTCCATTAAGGATGCTCACAAAACTTCCTGTAGCTGACGGAGCCGCCTTCGATTCCCATGGGAACGAACACACACAATGTCTTCCAGACACTCGAACCGATGTCCTGGATGAGATCGCGCAATGGGCGAACGATCCTCATTCAAAAATCGTTTACTGGCTGAACGGAATGGCCGGGACCGGAAAGTCGACCATATCGCGTACGCTCGCCCAGAGGTTCTTAGAAGACAATAAACTTGGAGCTACGTTCTTCTTCAAAAGGGGCGAGGGCGATCGTGGCGGCACGTCAAAATTTTTCACAACAGTCGTCAGTCAACTTATTCAGCATGTACCAGATACAGCCAGGCATGTGCAGGCTGCTATGGAAGTAGATCCTGCGATTATCTCGAAAGCCATGCGAGAACAATTCCAGAAGCTGATTATTGATCCTGTTTCCAAGACCACAACCAGCACTAATCAGTATCGCATGTATGTGATCATTGTTGACGCATTAGATGAGTGTGAACGGGAGAAAGACGTCGAGAGTCTAATCAACCTATTGTCAAGTACAAAATTGACCAAAAACCTCCAGCTTAAATTCTTCCTTACAAGTCGCCCAGAACTTCCTATCCGGGTGGGGTTTCAGGCTGTGAGCGGGACATACCAAAATTTCGTGTTGCACGAAGTGGTAGAATCAGTGATCGAGCACGATATAAATGTATACCTGAGGTACGAGCTCGGTAAAGTCAGGGAAACCTTTAATCGAAATCCTATTAGCGGCCAGCCTTTGCCTGCGAACTGGCCATCCCGAACAGCCCTCGAAACGCTAGTCAGAATGGCTATCCCGCTATTCATTTTCGCAGCGACGATCTGCCGCTTTATCGCGGACAGGCGAGTGGGCAGCCCAGATGAACAACTTAAGGAGGTGTTAGAGTACGAAACGAAGAGCCAAGAATCTCAACTAGACGCGACTTATCTTCCGGTCCTCCAGTCTATGCTTACTGGACTTAACCAGAGAGCTCGCAGACGAGTTCTAGATCGCTTCAACACTGTCGTTGGACCAATAATCACACTTGTCAACCCATTATCTACTCCTGCGCTTGCTCAGCTGCTGGGTATCCCACAGGACATGGTCGATGGAGCGCTTGAGACACTTCACTCCGTCTTGAATGTCCCCCGGACCGCCCACCAACCAATTCGACTTCTGCACTTATCTTTTCGTGATTTCTTGGTCGACCCGGCAAGGCAAGGAGAGCCATTCTGGATGAATGAAGAAGACGTCCACCGACAGCTTGCCGGTCGCTGCCTTTATGTGCTGAACAATTCGCTAATTACTGACATGTGCCAAGTCGTCGCCCTTGGGACGCCAGCCTCTTCTATTTCCGAGATGGAAATCAACAAACACATATCACCCGAACTGCAATATGCATGTCGCTTTTGGGCATATCATTTTCAAAGGTCACTGCCCACCGCATTGAACATTGCCGGTATCAGGCTGTTCTTATCGTCGCATTTTTTAGAATGGTTAGAAGCACTAAGCTGGATAGGCAGACTTTCGGACAGTCTAATCATAATCGAGTCTTTACGATCAATTATCTCAGTAAGACAATGTAACAGCTCTATCATTGTACGAATGCACTAACATAGCATAGTCAGAAGAATGCGAAGAGCTTGCGAATTTTTTAAGCGACTCAGTGCGATTTATGCAAGCCATGGGGCCGAATATCCAGGCAACCCCTCTTCAAGCGTACTCATCGGCATTGCTATTCTCTCCTAAGGGAAGTGTCGTTCGCAATTGTTTCAGGCACAATTTGTCGAAGTATGTGGCTTTGGAACCTGAAATGCCATTATTTTGGAGCCAGAAGCAGACGACGCTCGAGGGGCATACCGGTCCGGTCAATTCGGTGGCGTTCTCGCCGGACGGCCAGCGGGTGGCGTCGGCATCGGACGACCACACCGTGATCCTCTGGTCGGCCGAGACGGGCGAGATGCAGGCGACGGTCGAGGGGCATACCGAATGGGTCACTTCAGTGGCGTTCTCGCCGGACGGCCAGCGGGTGGCGTCGGCATCGGGCGACCACACCGTGATCCTCTGGTCGGCCGAGACGGGCGAGATGCAGGCGACGCTCGAGGGGCATACCGGACCGGTCACCTCGGTGGCGTTCTCGCCGGACGGCCAGCGGGTGGCGTCGGCATCGGACGACCACACCGTGATCCTCTGGTCGGCCGAGACGGGCGAGATGCAGGCGACGCTCGAGGGGCATACCGGTCCGGTCAATTCGGTGGCGTTCTCGCCGGACGGCCAGCGGGTGGCGTCGGCATCGGACGACCACACCGTGATCCTCTGGTCGGCCGAGACGGGCGAGATGCAGGCGACGCTCGAAGGGCATACCGGACTGGTCACCTCGGTGGCGTTCTCGCCGGACGGCCAGCGGGTGGCGTCGGCATCGCGCGACCACACCGTGATCCTCTGGTCGGCCGAGACGGGCGAGATGCAGGCGACGGTCGAGGGGCATACCGGACCGGTCACCTCGGTGGCGTTCTCGCCGGACGGCCAGCGGGTGGCGTCGGCATCGGACGACCACACCGTGATCCTCTGGTCGGCCGAGACGGGCGAGATGCAGGCGACGCTCGAGGGGCATACCGAACCGGTCACCTCGGTGGCGTTCTCGCCGGACGGCCAGCGGGTGGCGTCGGCATCGGACGACCACACCGTGATCCTCTGGTCGGCCGAGACGGGCGAGATGCAGGCGACGCTCGAAGGGCATACCGGTCCGGTCACCTCGGTGGCGTTCTCGCCGGACGGCCAGCGGGTGGCGTCGGCATCGCGCGACCACACCGTGATCCTCTGGTCGGCCGAGACGGGCGAGATGCAGGCGACGCTCGAGGGGCATACCGAATCGGTCACCTCGGTGGCGTTCTCGCCGGACGGCCAGCGGGTGGCGTCGGCATCGCGCGACCACACCGTGATCCTCTGGTCGGCCGAGACGGGCGAGATGCAGGCGACGCTCGAGGGGCATACCGAACCGGTCACTTCGGTGGCGTTCTCGCCGGACGGCCAGCTGGTGGCGTCGGCATCGTACGACCACACCGTGATCCTCTGGTCGGCCGAGACGGGCGAGATGCAGGCGACGCTCGAGACCGGGCCGGTTTACGATTTGCGTTTTGACTTAAGAGGTACACGGCTCCTAACGAATCGAGGATCGTTCATTATAAATGCTGTATATGACATTAGCTCCGAGACTCACGGCGACTCACCCTTCGTTAACCAGGTTTGCATAAGCTATGGGATTAGCAAAGACAGTTGCTGGATCACTTTCAACGGGCAAAACCTCTTATGGCTGCCCGCAGAGTATCGTCCCGCGATGTCTGCGGTCTTCGGCAATACGCTTGCCATTGGTTGCTCATCCGGCCATGTCTTTATCTTGCGGTTTGCATATCAACATTGAAATGTGTACAGTAGGCCACTTTGAATCCTTCATTTTTTCTTATCTCTTTGCAAAGCATGGTACTAGGGTAGGTTTAATATTTATCTTCAGTTGTCCTACTGTGTAGAAGGTTCTAGCATTTTCGAGGAGATGCATTGGATGATTATTGTGCCATTCTCTGTATCTTCTCTTGTTGGACTATAGCGATCTCAAATGATGGTACTGTAACTGCAATATTAATGTATATAGTTTAATATTGTTTGTGGTTTGGTGTACACTGTCTGTCCTGTCTAGCATGTGCCTCAAAAGTATTGTACTGTGTTCATGTTACAAGTGCTTGGCTTACTAGCACTGTACCACAGGATTGTGGGGCAGGTACCGCAATCAGTCAGTCACTAGAGCGGCACTGTGTCAGCCTAAAGCTCCAAAATTGGCTGTCAGGAATTGAAAATCTACTCCGCAAGACCGGAAGGCGATAATGTTACTAACTGTACGTTAGACCCGGTGGGGTCCACATGAGATTCTCCAGGCCTTGCTTAGCCCGTTGATGGGAGACGCGGCAGAATTTATTGTTCGAGAGTTGAACGACAGGTGGTTGACACAAAAATTAGCGCACTAGTAAGTGAGCTACAGTGGCCGCTGCACGGCCAACCCTTGTGTCACTCACCTGAACGATTAATGCCTCAACATGACTCGTAGACCAACCGGATCAGAGCGGCAACATGCATACTCAACATCAGCGCGGATACGCATCGCCATATCCGAGCGGCTCCAGGTATGTGAAGGTACCAACCCAACAGCTCGCTGCTTTGAACTCCACAGCCGCGCATTGAATTTTAGTGAGCAGGACTAGCAGCGTTACCGTAAGTATAGCGTACCGATCCTTCGGGACCAATCATAGCTTTACCCTTCGTGATTCATCTTGGATGGCATAAGGCCTGCCCAGTGGGGACTATACCCCTTGTTCGTGATAATTACGGCCACTACCAAATCCCGTTGGACGTACCTTTCCATTTATAACAAGATAGACTCAAAGTGCGGTCTTGATTTCCAGGGATTAGTGCAAGTTACGATAAATAGCGTGACATCAGTATAGTGACTTGAGGGTGCTTAACCGACCACTATGACAAGGGTAAGGACCCTCGACACACTCCACGCAATATGGTTACTTCGCGCGACCAATGACAGCTTTCAATATATTGGATGGAACCACAGTTATTACGATAGCTAAGCACGACAGATTTGTGGATGTGCCTTCAGACATTACGACAAGCTACTAGTACCGAACTAGCTATCCTATGTACCACTGCATCGTGTAATTCACCCATGCTTACCTCATCTGTGAAACGGTATAGGTAACTCACGTCGTTGATTTGCAGATCTCCCTGATGACCATGCTCCTAAAACGAGACCCGGTGGATGCAAGGGATATTGTGAAGAAGCAGGGGGATGAAATCTCATAGAGGCAGATAGATAGACAAATAGATAGATAGACAGATGGGTAAATCATCCTCCACAACATAACTATCTTGAACCACAGCTACCTTAAGTATATCGCTTTAATCATTCTCGGTAGTAACTGTGTTCGCGCATCTCTTATCATACCCCGGGCCTTTATTAAGCGCCAATCATGTGTTTCTATGATCAAACAGTTTGGGCATGTGGTTTTTGGAAGTGGGGGTCCTTCCGTTCCCAATGCACCAAAGAATATCGAATTGGGGAGACCTGTGGGATGAAGCTGGTGTGGTCGACGGACATTCAAGAGGCTGAATGTATCACCTGTAACAACATCTCTAAAAAAGGCATCATATCACGAAAATGGCTCGAGACATTGAGAGATGGACCGTAGAAGGGAATCGGAATGCAACCATTGAAAAGACTGAGCGGGAATTGAGTGCGACCAGGAGAGCTTTGACACAGTTATACCGCGACCATTCTAAGATCCCGGTTGCATCTAGGAAAGTACGATTGGCTAAGCGAAGGACAAACAAGAAGATTGATTAGAGGCCTTGGCTGATTGACACCAGCGTTTGCAGAAAGTGACGATTTGCCTTTCAACGAGCACTTGCAGGTCTGATCGTGCTTTGGAGCGCCTGTGATCGCGTCGCATGGATTTTAAAACAGCATGCATGCGCTAGAAACGGGGTATGTGGATATAGCTCTGGTCTGCATGGGTGCTTAAACCTGCCCTGAATATCTATTTTAGCGCCGAATGAATTCAGAAAACAGGAGACAGCATTCGGGAATAAGCTTGTCGTTGATACAATATAGACAATTATTCATGGATGGTTATTTATACGGAGCGTAGAAGAGTCACCCAGCTCCTCAGTAAACAACTTTTTTTTTTCTTTTTCGAGCCAAAACTAAACCCACATTTTTGAATCAGAGATGCCGCTTCCTATCGACAAATATCTGGCTTTTGGCAGCTTGTTAACAGCTATCAAGTCAGGTTGGGAGCTTTCTCGCATGATTACCAAAAAGCTCGAAGACATCGAACTGAACAAGCTAGTGACCAATGCAAGCCGAAGCCTCAGATCTGCCTTTAACTCTGGCTGCATTAGTCACTACGAGTACTACAAATACAAGGAATTGATCGCGTTTGCCGAGGCCCAGGAAGATGGTAGGGCTACCTTGATGATAATGATGAACATTACTGACAGTCGCAAGTGAGGCAATTGCTTAACATCAGGAATAAATTGGCGAGGCTCCGTGCATCCTCAGATGCATGATTAGGCACAAAAGCAAGTTTTATTGGTCCGGTATTCAATCGGATATCTACTAGAATGAAATATCTTTAGATCAAAACACTTTTCCAATTCTCGAAGCATCCTGAATTATTTTAATGAACTCCTTGATAATAATGTAATGATACACCTTTAACTGAAATGCTTGTGGCACTGGTTTGCGTGTTTTGCTGAAGACACGAAGAGACGTGATATCTAGTTCTACAGGCCTGTTAGTGGCTGCTATTAAGTAAGCTCCACGGGTAATCATCTATTCCACGGATCGTTATGTAGAAAGTGACTAACCTGGTTAGGACTGTTATGGGCAACTGGCAAGGTTAGCATAGGTACTTGCATTTGTGTAGAGCATTTACCGTCGCAAAAATGCTAGAAACCCAGGTTTTAGTGGGGGCCTATATTAGACCTACTCAACTTTTTAGAAAACTGTTTTCAGAATAAGAAATATTGAAACAATAGTTTTCCGAGAGGAGAGTTCCTCTTGGTATAAAGTAAAACACGAGTTTAACTCTCAAGGCAGGAAGAGAAGTCAATAGTTCAGCGAGCCATCATGCGTCGCCATCGGCCAAACAACCTCGAGCCATCATTGGTGCATACCAACCAGCACGGTCGACCTCCAACTCCGTATCCGTTCAACAAGGATGGTACCTTGCGTGGCTCTCGATTTGAATCTAGAAAGCGTGACTCGTCGATCCAAGATGACCGTGTTGGTGATCTTTCTTATAAGCACGTGCTTCCCACTTTTCTGCGGAGGCAAGACAACGATCGCCCGCGCAAATTGAGCTATAGTGAAAAACAACACAACCTTCAACGAGCAATTGATGCGGCGAATGCTAGAATCGATCGGCGGCCAGCCATCCCCCGCCAGCATGTGTATTTTCCAGCAAAAGTCGAGAAACATGTTCGCTTTAAGCTACCGAGAATGAAAGACACTCGACGATCGTCACCTGATGATGAATTTCTATCAAAAAGTATGGCAAACCTTGGGATTGCCGAAAAGCGTTCACATTTAAACCGTCAATCACATTGTGAAGCATGCGGTAGACGTCTTGTCAGGCTTAGCACATGCGACAAACGCGTGGAATAGGTACTACAAGGCGGTTGTCGCTGTACGAATAAATAATGGACGGGTGCGGGACATCTGTATCTAAATTGATAACCCTTGTATTTCAGGGAGGCGGCGCGAATAGACTCATTCGGCTCTAAATAGCTCGTTTTCGTGACAACGACGGAACATCATAACGTGGCTTGAAAATGTAACATTCTCATGGCTCTCATTTCAATCAGTACGTAAATAAGGTTTTCCTAGTGATTCTTGCAGGTTACTAGCTATTTTAAGGAACGTAGCTGAAAGGGCGGAAAGGGTTTGTATAAAGAAATTCAAAGTATATTTTGAGTCCAAGAGATACCCGATTCAGGCTTCTTTCTTTGTGGCTTCGCGAATTACGATAAGACCTATGGAACCGCCGCCTTGGACTTCAATCTCTATACGCTAATGCATGATATCAATTAGTACCGTGGTAAGATTGACGTGTAGGAAGTATCCTGGGTGTACAGATACCGAGTAGATTTGATTCTGAAGCAGTCACTCACAATTATTGGCCGCAGGAAATGCGTTTCTGAGATATGTAAGTCGCTCAATCAGATTCTATCTTTCCGTTCGGACGTTACATCTTTTTGCACTCGATCCTTCTGGGTAATATAATACTTGTATGTGCCTACAAATCGGCAGGTAGCGATGAATGTCTGTACTAATATAGATCTCTCCAGCGAGATCATGTGACGGTACATTGTACTCCAGAAGGGCCCATATCTTTTGTACTTCGCAACTCCACACACTAGAACTATAACGAATGCAATTTCAACATTATAGGACATGCCAATCTAAAATCCTTCCGCCTTCGCTTCCCGTACGCACCAGCGCGTTTCGCAGTAGGCTCTCCCTAACTGAGTCATACTTGTGCCACCGAATCAGAGGGGAAGGTTTTGGCGGACCGCCGAGGACGGTAATCGAGCTGCTCGAATGTGATTACTCGGCCTGGCGAGATGTTGTCCATTGTAGCGCTACGGACGCCGTCTACAAAGTCCTGGTCGCCACAAGCTATCCAGTATTAGCGGCAATTATAATAGTTGGACTGTCTTACCTGACACTATCATTCTTCCAGGGTACCTAGCCTCTTGCCTGATTTCCCGTGAAAGTGATATCTTATCGAAATTGTACAGCATTTGCCAGTGGTCATTAGGTTTGAACGGTGGCGGCTCTCTTCGCGGAGCTGGATAAACACACCAAACAACGAGGAGTTTCTGAACATATTAATCGATGCACTAAGGGGGCTTTCCATACAAGAACTCACATTATCCTGGTCGGACGCCTGTAGTTCCCTGAGCTGATCTGCCACCCAGTTTTCTTGTTCATTGTGATCCAGCCACCAGATAAGATCAACCTTTCGAGTAACGTCACGAAACACAGCGTCGTCTGAGTCACGGAGACGGGACTCCTTGTCACGTACCACGCTATCTTGCTGTTTTCTTCCAGCAAGCTGTAACGCAAATGGCAAGACTCCAAGTATGCCTATACCGCGCGCAGTAAGGATGACTGTCTCAAAGCGGTGAAGCTGCAGGTCTTTTCCATACGGGCCAATTAGGAGGAGATCCTGTCCCTTTCGTACGCCCATAATAGATCGGCCATGTTGACCTGTATGTGAGATCAAGAAATCCATAGTGCTTACTTTTCCAGATATGGCCTCCTTAGCATCGGGCATAGGCATCATGCGATAGCCGTGTAGGAAGTTTCTCAAAGGCAGCGGGCCTCGAAAATAAACATAAAAGTAACAACCAGGAAATACGCGGACGGCTTGGCCCGTAAGCTGGATTCGCGTCACAGCCTCGTCCATCCATACGGTGTCTATGGTCTTGGCCAAGCCACCACTATAATAACAGACAGCCAACGTTATCAGTTGGCGCAGATGCATGATCAGCCATAAGCCACCAGACACACCCACAGTTATACTTGCAACAGTAGACTTCGGAAATCCCACATGCCACAATAACCCGGTCATTGTGGTCACATAAAAAGCGGAATGCAACTTATCAAAAAGGTTTCGCAATTGGCGAGGAAACCATAGGGATGATAACAAGATGGCTAGGAGGCCACCTGCAGCCTGCATTACTGTCAGTAAAGCCTCTCACAAAAGAACGCAGGGCGACATACTATACATCCTGACTTGAAAAGATCGTCAACCACTTGTCGGTGAATGATAATGAGGACCATATGCAGAAGAGCCTCGACAATCATCACTCGACCAACCCAACGATGAAGGAAGCGATACATTGCGAGAGAGAGACCAGCCATTTCTGCAATCTGATGAGCATGTCCAGAGAAAGACAACAGAACGAGGTTGAATAAAGCGATTGTTGAACTTCTCGTCTCCAGTGTGACCAAGTCCCTGGTCTTGAAGCCCAGTGCGATTCCGTTGGCCATGAGATAGGGAATGATAATGCATATTTGCAGGAAAGTCAATCGAACCCAAACATAACTTTTGAAAATAAAGGTATTCTGAACAAGTGCAATTGAAAATGTGATCCTAGGCTTGACCCAGCGATGGTAGGCAGACTGCAGGACAACACACAAGCCTGCGGTTGCTAGACATCCATAAAGTGTGATCACATACACGGAAATACTGATGTCCATAGTGGGTTATTCCAAAGTGCTAAATTGTTGTGTGGGGCTGGTTCTTCAAGCCGCGCGCTTATATGTACACTAAAGCGCTGGCTGTTCAGATCGTGGAGAAATGTAACGACTTTTTCAGGGCCAACGTCTTCACTAAGAAGAACCTGCAGGAATTCTGTTTTCTGTATTCCGGCATACATGCGTAGAACTAAGCGCTCGTCTTCCTGCGTCTCGATCTGATTAAGCGCTCGTCTACCTGCGTCTTGATGTGAGGTGAGCAAGCGCCCATGCTTTGTAAAAACGGCCATTGGGTGGATTTTTATATAGTTGTAAGTTTCAGCTAGGAATATAAGTATCAATAAACAGAACAGAACAGCGACAAACACGACTACCACTCCAGATCACTTTCCATTGACCTCTCAAATTGTCAAAATGCTTCTAAAAAACCGAAGAAGAAACCTTAGGAGGATCCATTTGGGTGTAAAGGATCCTAAAAGAAGTTTCAAGCTGCGAACTGAAGGGCTTATGAAGAAAGCCATGGATCTGCGTGTTTTAGGCGCATCTGTTGCTATATACATCGACGGTGTAATTGAGGGCCGACGCGAAGAGATCGCATTCAAGACAGACCCCAACTTTCAGCACCCTCTCTGGGACACTTTGTCTGCATCAGAGCAACTTGGCCCAGATGATTTCGGTCTTGAAAGTGGGACTAGTTTGAGCTTCCCTCCGCTTGAGCGACCCACCCAGCTTCATGTGGACCCTATTCCAGCTACACTTCCTAGAGGACCACAATCACACACAGAGAGCGATTTTTCAGGGCGTGCTACGCCTGTTCGGGAGACGTCGCCCGAATTTGACGATTTTGTTGCCCTGTTTGGTCCGCAGTCAGACATTCTGCCTTCATCACCACATCTCCCGCCCACTGCCTGTACAGAAACCATGGTACATGGAGAGCCATCGACGCCGTGTCAAAGGCGAAACCGCGCACAGTCCATAGTGTCGTCACGATCCGAGCCCCGAGCCCCAACAAAACCATCACTGCATCATCCTCAACCCCGTCGACCGTTTGTGCGCTGCCAATCATCGCCTGGATTTCGAGCTAGGTCTACGAGATTATCGCTATCAACTATCAAGTGGTTCGAGGATTAAAGCAGATCTTTGTGCTTTTTATTGCCGCGCATTGGTGCCGGAGTTCGCGGCGCAGGTGTACATATTGTAGAATAGCTGGCATATCGACAACCCAACGAAGCGTCGCGAATTTACTACAGTAGAAGTACCGTGTTCCATGCAAATCAGCTAATCTTCCTCGCTTTGCTCCGTGTGACTGGCATCTCGCATGTCATACTGCGTGTTACTCGTTTCCTCTTCTGACTTTTCTGGTCCACGAATTCGATGTGTTTCTCGCCTGAGTCCATATCCTTCATACGCTCAGGACTTGGAATACACAAAAGCTCTGTGCTCATTGTAACATCGTCTTCCGCTTTGTAGTCATCACCGGGTTCCGGGATGAGTATCTTGCTATCCCAGGCCCTTCGAATCAAACTGAGGGCATCGAATCGTAACTGTTTAGCGTCGTGGCGAATCAAGCTTTCGATAGACCGGCTCATCATGCGTCTGCGAGCAATTGCGACGACTAGCGGGCCACAGCTGGAATTGTCATCTTGATTGAGAGTTTGCTATCGTGACCATCAGTAAACCTTCATCACCAAGGCCAACATACGAACCTGGTCCATATAGCGTAGATGGGGGAACTGGGCCTTACAAGCCGCCTGCCGAGTCATTAGCGTTGAGGCTGTCAAGAAAGTCTACAGTCTTACTTTGACAGGGCGACTGTTGTATTTAGCAGTGTCATAGTGGCTCACGGAGTCATCGGTTTGATTTATTTCGAGCAGGGTAAAATGATCGTTCTGCAAGAAGAGCGGAAAGAAGCATGTAAGGTGACCCTCTGCTTGTTCAGCATTCCATTTCTCGATACGTTTCTTGACCCATTTGAGGGGGTCGACCAGTGGCTTCCCCGTGTGTCTATCATGTATTGCGACAGGAAATCCAACGCGCACGTGAGGTAATCTGTCGGCTAGATGTATGCAAAGCTGGACCAAATCCTCGCCAAACCATTGCGATGGGTTCAGCCTAGCGAGCTCGTCGATATAGAAGCCCCATGTTGAGCCCAGTATATGCAGTCTGCCCACAGGACTTGACTTTCTCATTGCCGTTTGGAGACGATTCACTTCTACCGATATGTCGAAAGACTGTGGTGAACAATGCAAGAGGTTCTCGTCTTTGAGGGCCTGCTTCAGAGCATCTGGATCTGTTCGACCTCGCGATAAGAACATCTCTAGCTGTGTCTCTAGAAACTTCAAAACTGACAACTTCGCAGGAGAATTCTTTAGAGAAAAGATTAGTTCTTGAAGAGAGGATTTGTCGGCCTTTCCAAGAGCCCTGTACGATATCAGTTGCGAATATGTACAATCACGGACAGAAGATTTACCAAGTGTACTTAAATAAGATGCCAAGGCTGAGCTCCTCTATCAGCTGAGACCACTTCCTGCCACGAGTAAGGTGTATATTGAGTGATCGGCGTTGCCGGTCTCGCGATGACGCGAGTTGATCAGGTGCGGATGCCGAGAGGATTCTTGCCGTCACCGTTATCTTGGCTGATTTCAGCGAGTCCCCAGAGCGTTGCGATTCAAGCTGCGCTTGGTGTTCGTGCCATCGGCAAAATGCTATCGCGGTCATGGCGTATAGAATAGAACTTTTGTATCGGCCTTTGTAGCTTGCTTCCATGAGATCCCTCCATTCCGAGCCGTCTGAGTAAGTGGTATTGTCTTGCCCTTTTCGCCACGATGTCAATACGTCTTTGTAAGTTTCCGGGGTATTTTCGGCCATATCGAAGCCCTCTATTTGCTCGAGGCTTTCGGAGGCAAAATCGACATCCGATTGAGTGACAAGCATCCAGTAGGGTTGCTCACCAGCGCTGTTACCGACGCTCTCTTCCGTTGTCGCTCTTCCTTTGGCAGGAGTGTGACGGGGACTGCTGTTCACTAGTGTTGTTGCTGTATATTTGGAAGGAGAATCCTGATTATTTCTTCGAACAGCCTTTGTCAACTTGTTCAAAGCGTTTGAGGAGTGCGTACCCCAACTCGTGACGCTCTGATTATCAGTTTCTGGATCACTTATGGGGTAGGGTAATGCCAACGGCGGATCATGAGATTCTCTGCCACCGCGCCTGTTTCCGGCTGTACATCTCATGGTCAAGAGAGGATCAATGACTGTTTTACTGATCTGATCTGTTTCGACATTAAGACCATCATGGCTGAAAGTCTGCTCAGATTTTGGTATCCCTCTAGGCTCGTCGGGTACTGACTGAGAATTAGACTCAACCTCCTCAGCAAAGCCAGCTGTAGGTTCCTGGTCATTGTCTTGCTTATCCACAGGTTCTAGGTGAGCATTTCCCCGGTATAACTCCATGTTACCGAGTTTTCCGTCAAGTTTGTTATGCATCTCAACTGCAGAACCTTGCAGGTCGTCAGATATGTCTTCAGACTGGATTTGAAACTCGTAGCGTGATTGATTATCACTGAAATGGTTGTCAGTTAGTACGTCTCTCTCAAGCCGATTTCCAAGCCCAGCTGCGTCCGCAGTCTCTGGGCGGAATTTAGCAGAATATGGCATGTTCGGGAGTCTTTCTGATGTGTCGTCTGGGACTTCATTTTGAGCACAGATTCCAGGTACAGTGTAATTCTCTCCACGTGCCGTTGTTAGTCCATCTTCGCATCGATTGGTGGTGTAAAGACTTTTGCAGCACCGGACTAATATCTCCAGCGATCTTAATAGACCGCCCCTCTCAGCCAGGGGAATATTGATCAAAGATTGCTTCAAAGTGTCAAGATCCTGTGATAGGCTGACCAATTCGGTGATGAGCACAGGAAAATGCAATTTAGAAGCCGCCAAACTAGCATCATTCTGCCCAGTCTGGATGGGGACCAGAGTCTCAAATGAAGGTATCTCGTGATGAATTGCACAATACCCGGGCTCTAGCAGAGGCTGATCAGAGGTTGCAGAGTTGATGGGTTGTTTTGGTTGATTCTGAATATTCTGGGTTGAATATTGAGTGGTCATCATGATGGTAGGTAGAAGTCAATGGTAGGTAGAAGTCGATGGTGGGTTTGAGTCTGGCGTGAAACTTAAGAAAAGAGGAAAGGTCGTTCAACTTTCTAGAGTCGAGTGAGCTTTTTATTGTTTTGCCAGCCATACCCATGTGATATATAGTGTGTTGTCATCCGATTAGCCTGTGTCGGTACAAACCTCTTCGCTTGCGAGATATGTAAAGTGACTTAACAGATAAGTTCAACCCTCTCAGAAGTCTCAATAATGAGTTACGAGGAATTCACAGTACCACATAAGTGATGCCGTGGGTCCTACAACAATGACCTATCATATGGGATTCCTGAGGGCTTCCTGGAAGGCCGTCGATACCAGATAAGCTGTCTCGACCATCACTGCCACAATCCTGAAGTTGACCCTTGTCCGGATGGTTTTCTAAGAAGTCGTCGCTTCTAGAGAAGGTACCTCAGTCAACGCGGTACCAAGACGTACTCCTACACCGCAACTTCTATTACGAACGACTTGCTTCTTTATCACTACTAGATGGACTCCTTTCTCTTGCATCCTTGTCTGCATGATTTCCTAGGAAGTCACTGCTGGTTGATAAGAGTTCGATCAGCACTACGCTCGCCCATTGGGCCCTCCTTATGCACATCGTGGCTGTATTGTATCATGTTGAACGGTCTACGACCTATCAAGATTATCTCTTGACGGAACCTGAGACTAGATAACCATATTCTGCCTTGCTCACCGTAGTGTTGTTCACAAGCTCGGCCTCATAGCGTCTCAACTGCGACTCCATGGGTTCATTGGGCAGCGATTATGGTTACTTGAAGGAACTTATGCGTCCAACGTATCAGAATGATCAGGTTGACTGGCCAGCTCTCCTATGAAGCATCTTTTCGCCGTTTATCCGTACGTCAGTGAAAGGAAATATCGCAGCACGGGCTGTGGTCCTGTGTCGAAACAAGGGTGTTCCACTCAGTCGTATCCAACATATTTTGACTGTTAACTTGATACAATGACAACACCGTAGTGCTGATTTCGCGTCGACATCTTAAGTCCTGAAGTCGACACTGAAGCATCATTTGTTAACATTGTCCTCAAGTTATTTGTGAGGCATCTGATAGGTCTAGCGACGACCCCAGGAAACTTATTCAGACCCTTATTCTAGTTCAGCAGTCTTCCGGCTGCTTTATCTTGAACGAAATCCGCCTTGACCTCGACGAGGAGGTCTGGGAGGAGCAGGGGAGTCCTGTTACCTAGGAGGCTGCCGTCGGGGTCGCCGCTCCTGTCCCTGCCATGCTGCTGCCCCCGAGACTCAGGAGGAGCCATTGGCCAAGCATGAACCAGTTACAGAGATTTTCCTTCCGGTATCGTCTCTTGACATCGCCGCCGGCGATCTCAAGTTGGAGAACATAGTCAAGACCCTCTGTCGTATGATGACTGGACCCCGAGCTCGAGAGAGAGCTTGGGCGATTGCGACGTCCATGGAAAATCTGCCTTGCTGGCGCTTATTACGTTCTGATGGACACCCCTGGTTACAGCTATGGTTTGTCATATGCGGCCATGCATCAAATTGAGTAAACCAGCGAGTAGTGTTGATCGCTGCTCTTATCGACGCTGTGATGTAATCTACTGTGCATAAGTGTGCCCTGAATATTGGCCAGCAATGTATGTAGTGGCAAAGCCTCATCGAGACACTTCAATCCTATCAGAGGCAGCCCGTTGCAGGTCTTTTGTCAAGGAAGTCTTGTCTAGCCCTCAGGCTATATATAAATCCGGAGTTCCCTCCATCTAGGCTTTGTACAATTCAGTAGAACAAATTCATTTTACATGCAAAGCCAGATCTCTATCATTGCCATCTTTGACGTTGCCGATATGGATTTTCTTGAGAACTCTCAAATTCCTTACAGAAGCCTCTTTGGGTGTGATCATGAAGACATAGATACAGCAACATTCTGGCTTTCAATTATTTCCGATTCCTTCCCGGAACCTGAACTAAACCTGTACGACGAAGAGCACGAAGGCATCTTTCAATTCCTAGCCTTGGACACTACAAATGGCCCTTTTGTTTCTACCGCGACCGAGATTACTTCTTTGGCCAATCCTTGTGTGGACTCTGGGGATCTCCAGGATACTCCCGTTAGCGGCTCTCAAGCTCAAGACCTCAGCATTTGGCCTGAAAACAACGAGCTTGATAAAGGCAAAAAGCAGGTGGAGCCACGCTTGCAAACACTCGAATCTACAGAGCAGGTGTCTCAGGGCCAGTTTACCTCCAGGAACAACGTGTGTGCCGACAAAGCGGTCGAGGGATCCTCGGGCAATATTTCTGGATTTCCCTTGACCGTGGCAAATGCAGAGGATGCGACATCTGACATTGACGATGCAATAAATGCAGGAAGTTGTCAGAGGCGTTACTCTGTGACTTCACAGAATCACAAAGCAAAACCCAACCACGACCGAATGTCGGCCATCAATCCTCATATTCGATCCTCCAATTCTGAGCGCGACAATTGCATGAAGCTGGGGTCACTCATTTCACTTGAGACTTCACAAATAGTGTTGCGTGAAGCTTATCCGTTAGCTTCGCGCAAGCGCAACGCGTCTCAGTCCATTCGAAATGGTGCCAAACGAAGAAAGGTTACGGTTGAGACCACTAATGATGTTATCCGCCACTCGCAAATAATTCTTGAGCGCGACAGCGAAGTTTTTGTGAGATTTACACATGGTCTCGTCATGCTTGCAGGCGTTGCGACGAAGGGTCCTGTTCCCATTGTATGGAACAGGCGGGGGCGAGTCTTCGAGGCCGAAACAGCAGATGATTTCTGGAAGTCTACAAAGCCTAGTGATTTTAAATGGGTTACCATAACGCTTCAGGTTGGTGGTGACGGGTATGCAGTCACTTTGATTTACGAAGATGACGGTGCGCTTTGGGTTGGATGGGATGCGGAGTCTGAGGTGACTATCGCCCTTCCTGCTGAAATAGTTGAACAAATACTACTAAGACCTGGAAAAAGCACTTGCGTTGCTTGGAAGAAATATGTCCACACTACGCAAGTTGTATAGTAATGGGAAATGAATTTAAGCGCCGAATATTATATTATCTGTTTTCTTTCCTTTACTCTCGTGGTGTGCCACTCCTGATGTTAGCCAAATGGACATGTACTAACATGATTGATGGTGCGAATTATGTCCGATCATAACATGTTTGCATTAAGATTTACCAGGCAAGGTTTTTATGCTTCTTGCGATTGGCTATCATTTACCAGTCTACGTGCTAGTGGCTCGAATGGGTGTTGATGGTGACTAGTAAATCCGTCTATAGGGAGTCCCGAATGACCAGTAAACTGGTATTGGCAAATCACTAGTAGGTTACCACCAGATTATTACTGGTCAATCAGTTTACTGGTCCGCTTTCCGGATTTTTGTGCCAGTCAACCAACTGACCAGTACCCAAACATAGAAATCTTACCAGCCTAAGTCAGCAGCGGGGCTGGTTCTGACCAGTCTAAAACCAGCGTTAGATGAATTTTGTACCGCATGTGCTTGAAGATTTGCTCCGTTGTTAAAGTACGAAGGCCTGTAAAGGGGCTGTAGCCTGCAAAGTCCTAGACTCACGTACTATGCCTTCATGGAATATTCTGATTTGTTAGAGGGGAAATAAGAGGTAGCACGGCCAGTTGCCTTCCATAGAAACAGAGAGTCTGATTCCGGATGTGCTCACGGGCATATCGAACCCCATGCAGATTGCACTTGGGCCCGAATAACCTTAGAATGTGGACCTATTGCAGACGATACTCATGACGTGCGACCGTTGTCAGTCGACAAGGTGTCCCACTTGTTCGATATCCACTGGGTCGTCCAACCAGCGTTATTATAGGTTGAGTGAGAAGAGTTATTAATACAGTCTCTGTTATGCGTTTGATGTACGGCACGAGAACAGAGGGATCTGGCTTGAGCAATACCGAATTGAAATAGCTACGGCAATCTAGGGCTAGACCTATCATTCAGAAATGGGTGGACGTTGCAACTCTCGAATCCCCTTGTCCCCTGGTTGACGCCGTGACCGATCCAGCCCAATCGGTAGTAAACCTGGTGTTCCAACAACCTCGCCCGCAATAGAGAAATCACCACTTATCCTGAACACGTTGGCTTGTCATTGACGTAACTTAGGTACACACAGCTCGAGTATCTGTCCTCTCGTCGCTCGCATGCCTATAGACATTCACTGCTTAATGGCATGAAGGTCAGCAGTAGTGTCCAAATTGAAGATACGATCTTGACCAGCCGATCGGCGGATTCGACAATCCAAGTCTGGCAATTTCTTTGCTTTATTTTCGTACCTGATTTGGTCTGGTATTGACAAGTCAGCCGCTATATTCGGCTAAAAGGTGGGAGATAGGGGCTTGCTTACGCTATCATTTGCAGCATTCAAGGACTTTTCTGGAGCCTTAATCTTATACGCACTCGCCTCGAACCCGTAAACTGGTGAGTAATCCAGCTTGTATAGCCCACCATTGAACATGGCTTCCTCGTTAAAATGCGACTTGTCGACCCACTGCAGCGGAATCCTCTTGTCGGGAGGGTTGCCGGTGATTCGAAAATCATGGTGTCGCTTGATCTCAAATCTGAAGCCGTTCATCACATCGCCGGCGGCATGAATCAAAACGCCTACGGCAGAGTTGACATGCGAACGCACCCAATACGCCCAGTGGTCCTTATACGGCGCTCCGTCCACATCACGAGCTCAACCATGAACGCCCCGGCCGGTCCGGTCGCAGTCAATTTTGGTGGCGTAGGGGCTGGAGGCGGGGTAGGTGCCTTTTTGACAGCGGGGTGGAGGCGGCAGGGGAGGTGGAGGAGCGGCACCGAGCCTTGGCTTCGCAGGCATCGAAGGCATAGCAAATGGCACGACTAATGAAATGGCAGTGAAAATTGGCAGTGTATGTTGTTGGCGTATATTGAGATTGATGTGATTTCAGATAGAGAGTATGTGATGATAGAGTCTGCGAGACAATTGAGACCTTTTATACTTGGATTTTTCAAAGCAAGAACCCATGAATTACGCCAAGCTCTTCATGACTGGGTCCGGCCGTTTAGACCCCTTTGTTCCATCGTGATGTTACCGGATAAAGGATTGCATGTTGGGAACTACCCAATATTGGACGGCGCGTAGGACATGGCGCTTGACTTGCTCTCTGTGGGATCGTGAGTTGACTAACAGTGGTTAACGGTGGTTGGTGCTTAGCTCGCCGACCACGGCGAAACGCCTTAGTAGGGTTTTACAATGGATATTGCTCGTTAGCGACCTAGAAGTAATTTGGGTATGTTAGTGTACGTTTTAATTGAAATGTTATTTGTAGTTACTTGCACTCACTAAGCCCCGCTCGAAGATTATCTTCGAAGTCTCAACGCGCAAGGAGATTTTTATTCAACTACAGTCAATCCTCTGCATCTTCTCACAATTTTGAGCGATTTGCGCCGCTGCAGCCGAGAGTAATACATAGAGATAATTCGTGAATCCAGGTTCTTCAAAGAACGAGGAGCACTTACGCTCCCTACGCCGGATAAGGTGCGAGTACTGGGTGCATCGACGGGCGATTCACGCAGCGAAGACTTCAATCGGCCGCCCCTTGTGATCCTTCCATCGCTAGGACTGCTTGTAAAGTACGGTGCCGATGTGACTATAGTTAAAGCTAGGACACAAATGATAATCCACAAGCAACTACAGGACCAAGTACTCGTTCCTGAAGTCTTCGGTTAGGCTGAAGACGGAGGTCAACGGTTCATCTACATGTCCTACATCGAAGGCGATACGTTGGCAGAGAGATGGCCTAGTCTCAACGAGAGGGAAAGACGAAATGTTTGCAAAGAACTCAGGCAAATGGTTTATGCCTGGAGGACACTGGATCATGGTAGACAAGGCCAGTACGTTAGTAAGTCCACTCGTCTCTGCATCAAATGTAGATCACTGATACGAAGTTCGACTTCGAAGTTAGTCTGGGGGGACAGCCGCTGAACGAGATATTTCTGAGAAATCACCCGGCACTTGCTAGGCCGTTCCAAGGCGCAGGCGCGGTCCAACACTTTCAAGCTGGTTGCGGGATTGCCATCAGTCCTGAAGTGGACACTGTGTTTACACACGATGATCTGGTTCCTTGTAATATCATGCTGTTATCCGGACCTGATCCAAAGGTGGCCGCAGTTATTGATTGGGGCCAAGCTGGATAGTACCCCGCGTACTAGGAATTCTGTAAGGCGCGGCGGGTCAAGCTACTGCCCGAATGTTTCGACAGCGGCTCTCAGGAGGAGTGGCATGCGACGTACTTGCCACTGATAGTAGACGCAGTGGACGAGGAAACCTATTACCACCCTTAGCTTTGGTTTTTCCTTTCCAAGGGCATATGATGAGGAACCCGATCTACGTAGCATAAGTCTATGTAGCTATCTCGCACCACTAGGTTCTGAATCAGCCCAAATCAAACCCACCACTACACAATTAGAGAGCTCGACTATCACTATATTTTTGATAAGATACACCAAAATGATGTCGTAGCCAAGTAGGATCTACGCTGTCCAACAGTTCACCATTTAAGGAATACATATTTAGCTTTAAGACCGTACATACATAGCCCTCATTCACAACTGGCGTTCGCTTTAAATTGAGTTAGGGGTGATTAACTTAGAAACATAGATGCCACGTAGCCATTCGGTAACCATTGGTTTCTCACAAGTCGTTGTAAGCACGGCTTGACAAATCTTGTTATGTTGAAAAGGTTATAGACTATTATTGGAACCCATAGTCGGTATACGTAGGATAAACCATATTAGTGCGTAGAGTGGATCCTCCTCTTTCTGCCACTAATGCAGACCTCTTGGTACTAATTTCTTAATCATGCCTTCTCCTCAATATGCTTTTATTCCGTCCGGAAGCGTTACTATGGCGATATAAGTGGAGTGAATAAAGGGAAGTTATACAGAACTTCTTAGCAAAGTCCCAGTATTAGGCAGCGAACCAAATTCGTACTCGGCGCACAGCCGATGGATACTTCCCGCCAATGGCACACCAACATTCCGTGCTGGTGTGGTACAATATCACCAATACGATACTCGTCGGATGAAAACTGGGGACTATATGGCGAAGAGGACTAGAAATGGCATCTGAGGTCGGCTTTTTAGACACGCCAAAGGCAAGGGTGGAAATCGTGCCCGGTTATGACATGAAAACTAAGGGGTTACGCGCCATTATTGTACACTCGTTCGATTAGCTGAATGCGCTTCTTCTGGTGTTTAATCGTGCTTTCGTCGATAGTCACTTTCGAGCTAATCCGTTTTCGATAGTGAGTACAAAAGAGGAGCACATCGTACGGATCATATTAGCTAAGAACACTTAATAGCCTACCTCTGTAAGGGTCATGACTAAGTCATGTCAACTAACAACACTTAATAGCCTATCTTTATCGTGGTAAAATCGCTTCCTATAGCTGATTAGATACGATTACTAATCGTTTGTTAAGATCTTTTTATCTTAGTAAGATTTTATAAGGATTCTTCTTTGTTCACTGCTATTAAGTACAAGTTAGCAAGTCGCATTTTATATTCTGTGATCCGCTCATTACGGTGATACTCTATTAACATCAAAGAATGTGTACGTTCTAGGACTAATACCTTGCCTTATTTGGTAAGATCAATATTCACGCCTTAGCCTATACGGTAGGACACAGCCTGAAGCATAAGAGTGACGACAATAGCAGGTAAAGTATATATATCAGTGGCTACGAGACAAAATGAGCCAGTTGGAAAACCACATCGCAACTCAAAAATTGTCCCACTTTATCGTAATCTACCAAGGTCCATGATTTTGAAACACGCCCAGAGCGACGACAATTACAATAAAGTCTTTCATCAGTAATATCCTTTTCGCAAAGTCGTTGCTGTTCGCTCTTAACTCTTCGCCTGCCTCGGCAGCAACAGAGTACGTTTGCCAGCCTAGTGGGGCCGAAGTTACAGAAAATGACTACACTCTTGCATACCAGGCTCTCCTCCTAAGCTAGAAGCTATGCTCTGGCAAAGCAAAGGTCACCCAAACCGCCGTCACGGCCAAACATGGCGGATGCTATACGTCCATATACGTCGCGAGCTATCCCGTGCCTCCTACGGCGACGTTATACCACAGCATTAATTACCTTGGACTCGAGTTTACCAAGGGCATCCAGAAATGTTTAAGAGGCGTCGTTGCTTTTGACAATAGCGTCACTCTTGTACATAATAGGGAAAGCTATAACGGCAATTACGTGGGTAAGCGAGGTGGCGCTACCTTCCCACGTACCCTAGCAGAACCGCTAGAAGCTAGAGACAAAGACGACACCGTAACACTCGAGTCTACTAAAATCGAACCGGAGGTCAAGGGGCTCGAAGCACGCGCTAGTATAAACCTTTGCAATCGTGTACCTATGTCAGCTGTCATTTCTGTTAATCGGCTTTCCAGCTCGACCCTACAATTAGTACGCTCTACAAGTGGTTCCTAGTCTGGAAAGGAATTAAACGCCTCCTTTATACAAGGAGCCTAGGCCAGCCTATTCACAATATTCAAGAGCAATCAAAGTAACGGAAGCCGTTTACATTGGACCTATACAACGAATAGCTGGTTTTATTCGGTCGCTATGTTCACTAGTAGCGGATTAGCAACCTGGGCTACAGTAAAGACTATGGTTAGTAAACAAGCAATCGACGAAATAATCCACAAGGTTGTGGAAGATGCCGCGTCTCTAGGCGTTGCCGCGGTCACTTACGTCATTAAAAACGAGATCACAGGCGTTATTCTTGTAAAGTTTTGGGTGTCAAACATACCATGAAGCTAAGTGTACTCCTACTAATACTCAACACGGGGGCACGGATATCCCTTACATCAGGATATGTTACGTGCCGCCGGGGGTATAAGTGGATAATCGTCGAAACAATTGGTCCAATACATGTATTTAAAGAACTATGGCTTAAATGATAACCAAGTACGTGTATCCCGTAAGTGTACTTAACAGTGGCCTAAAACATCCAGATTTTAGACCGAGTTAATGAAGTGGTATACAAATCCAGTATATACTTCGTAAATAGTCACACAGTAATCTATACTTACGGCCAAGCGTTCCGTACGCAACTCAGCTGCTCTCTGGCCAATCGTGGGTACATAAGACCCGCCAGCAAATCTTCAAAAGCTCATGTCAACATGACATAAGGCTGCTACTCAGTCATATATACGGTGTAGCACTTACTGAAGTTACATTTATCAAAGGCCTGTTATACTTACGAGGTGAAAGCCCCGAAACTAGCCACCCACTCGAGGCACTCCTGTTTGATCTCGGCCGTGTAAATGTTAAGCCGACGAGGCCATAACTAGCCGGCCTCCAGATTAAGTAAATAGACGGTCGTGGCCATGTTAATCTATACCAATGATGCCGATTAGGCTGGCTAATTTGACAGGATATAGATAAATGCTGGGTTAGAACACGTTGTCGCCGACAGCTGTAAGAGGCGCAGTCAATGTATGTTCCAATTAACTATCTTATTAACGAGCATCTAAAGCTTGAAAAAGAATAGAAACACAATCTTTCATCCATATGATAGCACAATTTGTAGTTGCAGATTCGCCACCTCGCCAGTCCGTCGAAACCTTATTGCTTAGGGAAGTGCACGCCGTCAGCCGTGCCTATAAGCTAATCGGGTTAAGCTCCATAGTCGCGCTCATAGTTAAAGGCTTTGGCTAACAACTAATACACGGCCCATAGCCCGTAACATTCGAATCAACAATGCCAAGCAGTGTTTAGTATTAAGCCTAATCGGTGGCGGGGTCAGGTCTAGGAGTTAGTATCCCAGAGTCTTCTTTCGGTTATGACAACATTCCGACCAAGTCCAATTTAGATAGCACTTAAGAGGACAAAGGCATTGTTTAGGCCGTTACTGCTAGTAGTTACACGCGCTGGCAAAGCGCATTGCTGCCTCTCTTCTATACTAAATGATAAGTGCCTTAAATCCATCTTCTTGTTCGTCCTTCGCTTAGCCAGTCGTACTTTCCTAGCTATAACCGAAATCCTAGAGTGGTCGCAGTATAGTCGTGCTAAAGCACTCCTAGTCGCACCTAATACCCGCTCGGTCTTTTCAATAGTTACACTCCGATCTCCTTCTACGGTCCATCTCTCAATGTCTCGAGTCATTTTCGTGATACGATGCTTTCTTTTAGAAATGTTATTACAAATCATGCAATCAGCTCCTTTAAAACCCGTCGACCACACTAGCTTCAGTCCACAGGTCTCCCCAATTCGATCTTCTTTAATACACTAGGAACGAAAAGATCCCGACTTCCAAAAACCACATGCCCAGACTGTTTAGTCGTAAAAACACATTGCTAGCACCTAATAAAGGCTCGGGTATAAAAAGAGATATACGAACACAATCACTACCGAGAATGATTGAGACAATAAGCTTAAGGTAGTTATGATTCTAAAAGTTAGTAATGTAAAAGACGATAGATTTATCTGTTAATCTGTCTGCCTATCTATCTGCCTCTTTGAGATTCCATTTCCCTGTCTCTTCACAATACCCCTTACATAAACCGGGTCTTATTTTATAAGCGCGGTCATCAAGGAGATCTGCGAATCGACGTGAAATACCTATACCGCCTCGCAAATGAGTTAAACCATGAGTGGATCCCACGATGCTTTGGTACATAACTCAGCTAGTCCGGTACTAGTAGCTTATCGTAAGAGCTAGAGGCGCTTCTATAACCCTATCGTACTTAAGCTATCGTAGCAATTATGGTTCCATTCAAATACTAAAAGCTATCATTAGTCGTACGAAGTAGTTACATTACATGAAGTGTGTCGAGGGACCTTACCATAGTGGTACACCACAGGCAATGATCTTACACCGGCAATTGTCAAGTAGTATTACCGGCTGAGTACCCTCAGTCTCCGTACTAATGTCCTGCAAGTCATTGTAACTTGCGCTAATCCCTGGAAGATAAGAACTGCACTACAGGTGTCTCTTATTATAAGTGGAAAGGTACAATGCAACGGGATTTAATATTAGCCGCAATTATCACGAACAAGGGCTACCTATCCTCGCTAAGCAAACCCTGTGCCATCCCAAAGCCTTTGTGCTTTTCTTTGCTTAGATAAATCCCAAAGCTTAGAGCTATGATTGGTCCCGAGGGATCGGTACGCTAAGCTTTACGGTAACAATGTTGGTCTCTATTCTCACTAGAGTTAGATGCGCGGCTACGAGGTTTCAAGCAGCAAGTAGTAGGCACCTTTACATACCCTAGAGCCGCTTGGATCATGGCGATACGTTATCTCCGCTCATGAAGTGCCAACGGCCCTCACTCCGATCTCCTACGTGGCTGAGATATGAGTCATGTTAAGGCATTAATCGTTCGACCCTTGGACAGGAAATTCTGCTACGTCTCCCATCAACGCGCTAAGCATGGCTCAAGAACTTCAGGGTGACCTTACCAAGTCCAATGTACCTTTCATAAGATTAGTGCTTTCGTATAAGACCATATGAACCGATCTGCACGAGCATGGGTCATGATCACACACAATTAGTTAGGATGTCGCAATTGCACCAATGGTGTACCAGGCCGTGACGAGGTTGCATGCCGTCGGAGACATTACCAGTACCTCCCGAATTCGTTGACCAGTTGAACAGGCGAGCGGATTATTGCTATCACGGGCCCACATATGGGGTGATGGCGACTTGTCTCCAGTGTAAAGAATTACTGGGCATACATGTGTGCTAGTGTCAGCCTCCACCCTAACCTTTAGGCTGCAATTTACCATAGTCCCTTGCCTTTAAGTAGTTCTCATCCACAATCTCTAAATATCGCCATCTCCCTAAGCCTCGTCCTGAGAATACTTATTTTCAGTTCGGGAGGTGTTCCCATTCCTACAGCCTTTCACAAGACGATGCCGCTATTTTGTGTAAGCAACGACTTCCAAGGAAAGCGAGCACATATCTCACTTTGAGTGCGTCCTTTCTAGAGAAACCTTTGTTACAGAAGGGACAGGGGAACGGCTTTATCGCAAGGTGTATCCGCTTGTGGCGCTTGAGATCGTGGTTGCGGACAAAACACTGGGTACAGATATCGCACAAGAATGGACGATCTTGCTGGGCCTGAGATTGATCATCTGTACGCATGTAACGCCTAGACTTATGCGCAGGGTGTCCATGTAATGTCGAATTCACTCTACCCGCGAGCATCATTTGTTCGCCTATATTCGTCATACTCGGATATATGTCTGCTGTCATGGTTGGGTATAATTGATCGCTGTTTGAATGGCTCTCGAAGCGCTGCGACGCTTGCGGCCGCGCACGTTGATCGCTCATAGCTGAGACTCCCTTGAAAAGCGAGCTTGTTATAGTAGGTGATGTATGGATCGGCGGTGATATGGTAGTCGTGGAGAAAGTCGGTTGTAACGTCCGACGAGGAGAGGAGGAGTAAGGGGCAGAGTACATGGTTGTAAGTGAAGCTCTTGTGTGGTTGTCGGTGGGTACTGCTGTAAATGGTGGAAATGGTGTGGTTGATTGAGATACGAGAGCTTGAGAATATTGGTTCTTGTTCTGCAAAGATGGTGGCCGACGCGAACTGTGCGATAATATTGAGTGTTGGTAAACTTCTATTGCATAGTCAGAAAGCGGCGAGGAAACTTTTCATTGAGAGGAATGGCTAGTTTCGTCTCATTGTGGGCGGATGCGAAAGCCAGCTGTTGCATGTCGTGTACGTCCTTTAATATGTTGAAACAAAGGTAGCTTAATGGCATCAGGACTCTCTGACCTTGGTTCATGAAGCCGTATGTGTACGATGGAGTACGCCCTGGAGAAGGGCAACTGTCATAATAATTGTAATGCGCAACACTTGTTTGGGAAATCCGTGGGCCTCCGCCAGTGGTGTGAAACGATAGAGGGCGAAGACTGTTAGTTTCAGTCACTCCTGGAAGCTGTCAGATTCCGGCTCTTATGGACAGATATATAGTCCATGAGAACAATCCAGTAAGACACAGCTTCTACTTGAGAACGAGAAAGGACGAAATCATACTTGAAATTTGATTGAACGATAGGTTTGGGAGAGGAGACTGAAGGTATGGGAGATCGCCAGATGCTGGTCTGCTTGACGCAGAAATTGCTTCCATGGTTCTATTTGTTGCGGTCATCCTATGTGATCGATGGTGCAGAAACCGGTATCTCGAGGTTTTGTTTTCATCCGGAAGTTCGTAGAGTTTATTGATCTCCCACGTTAACGTCTATGCGTTGCTATGAGACAAATCACACTCAGTAATCTCCGCGTGATGATTGTAGTGTCTTTCATACGCCTTAGCAACTCATCTGAGCTCGATTTAGTTTGCATATGAAATTGACAACTTAAACAAATCAGACCCATAGAATTCACAGTACAGTACTTCAAACCCTAATGCCGAATCTGACACTGGTATTATCGGAAAACACCCCCGTCCAATGCTGTCCGACCCATGAGTCCGCAGTCCTCCGGTTTGGACATCGTCCTAGTAACCGTTCAATGTCCGTCAAATTGGTGAAGATGACAGCAGGCGACGTTGCTTCCGCCAGCCTTGGATACGCGAGGAAGACTTTTTGGTGGTCATCTGGCTCTGCGATAAAGCCCGTTTCACAGTCGTGTGTTTAGTAGCAACTAGCACAAGTTGTAGCGGAAATGGAACCATCTACTCTCGTCGCCCACCGCAACAAGTGCAATACCAAGCGCGCCTAACAACTCCGCCATACGAGTCGGCCGGGCTGAATCTCATTCTTATCTTTCCGTTCGATAAGCTCAGTATACTCATCAATTCTGTCTTGCATCTTATCCATCTCGGGAATACAAGATCCTCGCTCTGGCATGACCCTAGTCCACACCACTTTCCATGAAGTGTTTTTACCGGAAATATCATTCATGGGCTGAATCAAACCGAAGAACTTGCGCTCGCCTCGAACTGTAGGCCCTTTGTTCATCTCAGGTCGGCGGGAGCGGAATAGTGCGAAGCCACTTCCAAACAGTCGGCTCACATGACCCCGCGATATGCAGGAGTTTCGTATTGAGTGTGCTGGATTGGAGGCAAGAGTCAAGTTTCTGACACTAAAGGGTTTCCGCTGCGAAAGATTAAGAACGATAGATTCCTGAACAGGACGCTCAGTAGCATCCACATTGGGTGTGATCAGGCTCACCAAGAGATGCGTACTTGCTAGCTTGTTTGACATGATCGTGTGGCCATTTTGTGAGGAGAGTTCCATAGTAATGGTAACTTCGACAAGACGGATGGGGGATAGGACGAAAGTAGGGCATATGTAGCCGGCGCTACGTTATGTGGTGCTTCACAGACCGTTTTTGAGGGCCAAGTATGAAATATTGGGCGGAGTGTATAAATACAAATTACAAACCCCTTAAACTTAGACGACTGTCCCGCTCTCTGGCCTCGGCTATCTATAGTAACTTCACATGTAACCGGCGGGTCCGTAAGCGAATGACATAATTTCGGTATTCCGGCGTATCCCAGATGGAATGTATTCGTCAATGCCGCACTCGAATCATGTATTACTCCATGAATCATTAGTCACTGGTGTACTGTACGAACGGTTGTGACTATCGCCACTTCTTGGCAAAATCAACGGAACTTTGTTATAGACACGTGGTTGGAGACCGTTGACTGGTTAACCGAGGAGTTATGCGCTACCAGCCTGAGAGGGTGGTATTAAGTTGACTAATGATAACCTGATTGAGCTATAAAGCTTATTGGCTAGAATCATGGTTGAGTGATAGCCGGTAATCCCCACATCATTTCCGACATCTACATAATCTCTTTCACAGGATCGATTCCAATGGTCGAGCAACGATCGATCATTGGTCTCAATATGGTAGAGTTACGATCTGCCAAGATTCTTGGTCAATGTCTGCGTAAAGAGGTATAATCCTCCCGATTTGGTCCCTTCTGGTCTCATTGGAATCTAGCTGTGTTCTCTAGGTACCTTAAAAAGCGGCCTAACGTACTATTGATCCTGCTAAATTTACTTGAGACTGAGGTGACCTCAGTAGAGCCGGAGCTTAAATATGTAGATCTCTCCCTGCCAGGACTGGCTTCTGACTGAAGTCCGCCTTAATATCTCCTGTGGTGGTAAAGGCGACGATGGGTCCGATACAAGCGTTAGATTTGCCGCCAGGATCTGACATTTATTGATTATGTAACAATACACAGTAGCATCTATCACAAAATAAACCTTGATCCTGTCCCATAAATCTGATCCAGTCATCCCCCAATCACCAGTTCGTCCAACCCAGCTTGCAAGGTTGCACCTAGAGCAATTCGTTGTTCAATAATGGACTAGAAGTCTCGACCCTGCCAGCACCTTTAGGGCCAAGTCTCGTTGACGGGTTGGCTCATCGATATTACTCGAGCTTGGTACCGGGCATGAGGGTTGCGAAATGCTGGCGCGGAGAGGATGCTCTTTCCCCGTTGTGATAAAACCGGCATCTGACGATACATGAGCCTTCGATAGTGCAAAATCACCGGAATAAAAAAATTGCTTTTCCTGTGGGCCATTTAGCTGGTTACGTACCAGATAGTAGAATTCAGGGAAGCCGTAAGTACTCAACTCTAACTGGCGTTGGAGAGGGTTATTTTTGCGGGACAGACAATTATCTCATTCTTCGAATTTCTCGGATATTGTTTAGTCGTCGATTTTGAGGCCGCACCATATAGCTGGAAATTGTTTGCGACTTACTTTTTCAGAATTCATCTCCCGATATATGTGGTGGCTCTATTGGTATGTGATTATCAGGACGTAGGACCGAGGAATGACGGGAGGAAGAGACTTCCGCTAAGCTTTGCATTGGATCAGTCAATGAGTGAGGCTATGTAATAGGTAGCTAATCTAGCCATGTAGCGTTATTATACCGAACCGGAAAACAGTTTTGCAGGTTATGAACCTTGTCTCGGCTTTCTGGTTAAAGAAATACATGTAGCTAGCGCAACTAATATAAATCCCCGATGGTCTAGATATCAAACCGAGTTTTAACAAACTATTCCATATAATCAAATACGATAACAGATATCTGACGGTATCTATAATAGGCCACAACCTGGACCTTATGAGACGACATGAATGCTTCAGTTATAGTAGTCTTTTGAAGTTTAATGTTTCTTGGGCCCAAATACGATTACACCATATACCTAGGAGAATAGGCTCCGCCGTTCGGTTTTCAAGCCGGATGACTGTGAGCTGTAAAATGGTAAGTAAACTCTGCGAAACTGGCGTAACTTTGCCATTGCCCTTTAAAGTGGATTATGTATGGAGTGGTAACTCTAAACACGGTCGGTGGCGCATCCTGTACTATGCGGTATGGAATACTCTTTTGCCGATTTCATGGTTTTCTTCGGGAGCAACGAAAGAGACAATGTCTCTGTTTAATATGGATTTGAGTTTGACGGAGCTCCGATAAAAAGCGAGTCATTTAGGGTTGCGGGGAGCACCAAGCGTTACGTCGCAGATTGGCAGTGAAAGTTAATAAGATCGAAACCGTGCTTTCCCCACTAGTAATTTACGCAACGCATAATACGAGGAGATACATAATTCCCAGGGGGAAGTGCTATACAAGTGTAATAATACCAAAATATTGTTACTCTGGACGCATTCCAAGGCCAAAAAATCAATGCAGTTAAGATTGCAGCATATAATCATTACTGCTCGATTATCTATTAGTGTACGGTTCGTGTTCTATGCCCCATTAAGGACATAAAACCATGAAGTCACAGCGACAAGGTGCCAGAACTTCATGGAGCAACGTTAACGCGAGAATGCAGTCTCAGCAATGGATGTTGGGATTTGAAACGCCCTCATTTAGGGCACTCTGGTTTAGCGAGCAAGATTTTGAAGAGTGGATTCAGACGCGACTTTCTCGTTATCAAGAAGGGATTCCCATGGATCTGAGAAGACGTAATACAAAGGTAGAGGGGACAGTGGCAAGATGGTCAGAGGAGTACATTATGATGGCCGTCTATGTCAAAAACGCTCTCGGCTTTGATAACTTACGCGAAAGTCTAGTAAGACAGTCGATGCCGGGGAGGACGCTCTTGGTTGCAGGAGGACTTAGAAAAGGTCACGGGGGACCGGATTTGGCGGGAACGGATTGCATATTGATGCTCGCTTTTTTCAGCCGCGAGAGATTGTGGAGTCTCCTGGAGCTGTGTTTGGGAGGGGAACTGGCGGACAAATTGTGCCTTCTGTTTCCGTCCGTTCACTTGACCCCGGTAACAACAAAAGAATTTCGAAACATTGTCATGCAGTCGTCGCTATTTCCAGGGATGAACTCGCACTCAGTTCAAGGTCATCTGCTATTCGAGCTGGGCATCCCTCAGTGGGCACAGAAGCGGCTAGTAACATGATGGTGGAGGTTTGATATTCAAGCAAATACACAGGTGCAGTTGTAAGCATCGTCCAGTTTTGAAGATCGCTTTCCCCGGCGGCTCTATCGAATATGTGCTGTCACGCAAAGTCTCATGACATCCTGAGGCAGCCGGGAATACACCCAACTCTTGCCAACTTGTGATATAAGCACAGCTGGCATCAGATCTCAAAGTGTCGACCTTGTTGTAATGACTTCTGCGGGGCTACCAGGCATCGGCCTCGAACCAACCCCTCCTGAGCGCGTCGCCTCACACCGCAGTCAGCATGGTGAAGTAATTTGACTCAGACGGAAGGAAGCAAAGATACATATCGCCATGGCTCGCAACGTTACGCAGGATGGGGTATGGTATGATTTGAACGATTTTAGCAGAACTACACCTGATCTGGTCTTTTTCGAATCCGCCTTTTCATGCGAACAAGTGCCCTTTTATTGCGGGATAATGTGATCTTACGTTGCTAGAATCTTCAAATACTGATACACTCGTAATATATCCGAAGGTTAATGCCGGCAGCCAGCAGGGCCAATTCTGCATCCCACCCACGACGGGTGGTGTATCTTTCTTCGTAACCTTGGGACAGTTTGGTCACGCAGTGGTTTCTTAACTTCTATCATGCAAGTTGGGGTTAAGTGGTAGGGAGCATGGTGCAGTCAGTTTCGGAAGCCTACGATGGGCTGTTGGCGATATCATGAAGCCGAACTTCACCGAACCTGATTAGGATACCACGGCCGCTTGCTTCTTAGAGAACGTAGGAAGTGGAGTCCATTACATATAGCTTCCTGATAAATTAAGTGATTAATGAATCGAAGTTGTAAAGTACATCTAAGCAAGAGCATGTTCCTTTTCAAGAAAGTCCATCTAGAGCAGCGATCCTAACAGGTTATGATCCGGGGGCGTAACTGGCGCTCCCAGAACGGGCAGTGGATCTCAACTCTAGGTCATCCTAGGGCCTGCATGCTGTAAGCGACCACCCAATCACATTGTGGCACTGTATGACCTACTTCGTTGTTCAATGTCAAGCACTATGGTACTATACTGTACCATGCCGTAGACTCAGATGCATCGTCCTAATTGCTCTACTCTTCTATTTACGCCAATGCGACCAACAAGCTTCGCTCGTAGTGGCTCTCGCCTATGCTACTACACCAGGTGATTCAGCAGTGGAATACTAATACGTCAACAGTTGCTAACATTTTTCCGTTTCAATCAAACGATCACAGCAGATGCCCCCAAAATTACCATCGCCCTCATTTGCAGGCCGAAATTCGTTGTGGTATAATGGCCTCATTTCGCTGCATTGTGTGGGGTTGTGGATGCAGCTTTCCAGGTTACATCTGTGCACTCAACTCACTGTCTAACTACGGCCCTGCTTGCTAATTAGAGTTGGGTCATGTTTGAGACGAAAACGCAATCATTTGAAACTAGTTGAGAGTTTGCTGGAAAGTCTGCGACAGGGCTAATGGCGGGGTTGGTGTCTGTCCACCGAAAGCAAACAAACTACGCTAGAGCAGGGCGTCAACAGTTGGCGTTCATGAGCCATTCTGCTTCATCACAATGGTTGATCGCGTGATCCCCTTCGTAATATGACAAGATTCGAGATCAAGTACAAATTTTGCTTTTTGCTAGAAACAACCCAGGACGGCAGCAAGGAGATCCGCAGTCTGGAGTTCTCGGACGAATATTGCCTGCTTCCTGTCCTTTTCTTGGTCATCATCAAAGTTTGCTAAGGACCTCCCTCTGGATTGCATTCATGGAGGAGTTGGACGTGCTAACCGAATGCGGTCTGGCTTTGGAGGCTACAACATTCGTATTGAACTCTAGGTTGACTTATATGGAATGTGGTATAATTTATAATAGGTCCCAGTAAAAGACCGAGGGTTATTCACACTCAACCAGTGATATAAATGTTTAAACGAAGTATCTTATGCGTTGTTATACTGCTGTGTCGCTTCCACGGCGAGTGTGTGATTGGCCCAAAGGCCTGATCATATTCGCATGAAATGCCATGTACTTTGGCTTCGAGATGTCCCATTCAAAAGTCCTGACCCCCACCCTTCCCTGCCCCAGAGCCCTTCGCCAGCGCTATACCAAGCCCATGCAGTTCGCAAGTCGCCAGCTGGTGAGTTAAACCAACTTAATATTTATTAGACATTCTATTTGACATCCTTGACATCGCGAGACTGCCCGTTATGACCAGCCTATACATAAGATTGTATAGTAACAACATCGTGCGCTAGGGAATAAACTTGTGACCTCTTTAATATGGCTTCTACAGCCAATATAACCGTCTCACCAAGCACAGTATGGAGAACACTAGGCAGCCTAGGCTTTCACATGACCCACCCGACGAGGAAGCCTGCGTTGACGAAGATGAGGAACGCGAAACACCAATGGTGTTTGGATCACCGTTGGAAGTCTGGGAAACTTGTCTCCCGCTAAACTGGGATGTATAAAAAGCTAGGTGTAGCAAGCAGAGCACATTCCGACGCATAAGCCTCTCCAAATGATTGCGATGAAGAATATATTATCATGATATCACACAGCTTTTTAGAAGACCCAATCGTAAAATAAAGGCAATATTACGAAGGCGACTAATCATTATTTTAACTAGAATAGCGGTACGACCGCACGAAAAGCGCCAAGCCCGGAAAGCCATATATGAATCTGCCACCCAAATGTATTCCATACTATCGCAAGTGCAGTCATGGTTCTTGTTTCGGTTCTTGAATGAGAAGATACCTTCCTCCATATATTGAGCAGTCTCCTTCTCGAAATGATTTAACGTTAAATAGTCCTCCAACAAGAAGTATGCAGCTTCATCACTTAAGCGGGGACCACCAGATAGGTCTGCCGCGCATTAAAGTTGACAGAGCAGATCGGTCAGAAGACCCATTCATCAGCTTCTTATTGAAATACCGTCCCATTCAAAGTTTGAAATAGTTTCGATGGAAGAATTCCATCCAGCTTCAGGATCTAAGGCGATATGGACAATAACGCCACGCGGATCTTCATCGGCCGCAGGCCCTGGAGGAGTATTAGTTGTTTCAGTGAAGCGCTGCGGAAGACCTACAAGCGGATACGTGGCGTTGACCTGTCCAACAATTTCCGTCCCAATCATTGTTATGGAATGCGGCATCGATTGATCCAAGACCTTGTGACAACGCCATAAGCCCGATTGATAGTCCTAATTCCCCTCCGAGTCCTCTTGACCTGGGCGCGTTGTGGTTGTTGTTTTGGCATACTCTGGGAAGTAGCGCATCGATAAAGCTCGCGCTTGGACCAGCAACAATCGTGTGACTGCCACTTGAGCTCGCCTGGCTTATTACTTCCTTATGAGTGAAATGAAGAGCGTTCCATCCGCTGAAGTCTTGGAAGCCCTCTACGGATGGATCCCCATGACTGAGAACACATGGCAAGAACGGTCCACAATTGAATAATGTTGTCGTGGAGTATTCGTCCAGCCCATAAAAGTCCTGGATAGTAAATCCCATCTCATCCGACACGACATTGCCAAAGGCATCGTACCTGGCACCATACCTGCCAATGGTCCCTGGCAATTCAAGTCTCTGGCGGAACCAATAGTATCCGGTCGCAGCAGTCACCGTTCCGTTGCTGTATCTGAACACTTGTCCCACGGTCTCTTGCTTAAAACCGCGCGAAGTTAGAGGAGGAAGGAGATTTCCCCATCGATCCGCGGTCGGCGGAAGATCTAGGTTCAAATTGATCTCGTTGACGATGAACAGAAAGCTGACGCTTGGAGAATGCGCGTTCATGGGTACTGGATTTTCGTGTTGGGATTATAAATGGCTTTCCCGTACATCTCGAGGTAGGTGATCGCTGCATATTTCTTGATGTTTGGTGCTTAACTTGTCATGCTATGCTCGTAAGCTGTGGGACATCTCCTGTATGTTGGATAGTCTTACTGAACGGTATATCCCTGACCCTGCAACAGCATTAGAAATCACAGGATGAACTCAACTGACACGGGTCCGAAGTTAGCTAAGTAATGAAGCCTAGTACATTGGTATTATGAAGCGGTATTATAATGGCGAGCGTACGAGGTATGACCCAATCTGATTATGCGTTCTGGTGGAACTCAGTACTAAATAATATTTTCCAATATTGGAACAATCCAGTACGACACAGCTTCTACTTGAGAACGAGAAAGGACGAAATCATACTTAAAATTTGATTCCCGGAATTCAGGTACCCGCCCGCACATCACGTTTCCGTCTTCCTTCAGCCTGGAAACTAGGAACAATTGGCACGCGATATCGCACGTCGGGAACTCGCCGATCAGTCCTCTCAGTCACCTGCCGGCAGGAAGCGCGTTTCTCCTATCCAGAAGAGATTGCCCCTCTCTCCGCCGTCTAGTTCGGTATCGAACTCTGACATACCTATGGCATCTATCGAGTCCAACAAGACTGGACGGGGAGGTAGTACTACCGACTTCACGCCGGGATTGGCAGACAGGACGCCCTCATACTCATTTCCGCGAATGGCAACAACCGGTCACAGGCCTTCGGCATTGCGGGGGACTTTCACTCACGGAACAGCAGGTAGCATTTTCAATGCCGCCGATGCTCAATACGACAGTGCTATACATGATCAGCTTCGTTCGGACCCTTCCAACCCTGCATCAATCATGACCTATTAACCTCCTTGGGCTGCCCCTTTGACAGATCGCGACTTTCCCACACCAAATTTATATGAGTTGGCTCTAATGCTTGGCGCTGAACCTGGACTGGATGCTTGGTGGTGCACAGTGGTTCAAATAATGAAGGAGCATTACAGGGCTGAGCGGGCAGCGCTTTCAGTATCGGCTGATACGACGGATCTTGAGAGTGTGCCTTGGGCCCAGAGCCAGCATACCTTCACGTCGTACGAGAATAAGAAGGAGTCAAGAGCAGCCCAACCTGCGGAAAACCCAAGCACCACAACACAAAGACCTGCTGTGATGCCACAGAGTAAGAGCTACTTCCCAGCTGGCGAGAAACGAGTGCCAAGTTCACCTCGGCCTGTTCTTAATAAGCAAGCGCTCGAAGAGCACGATGCCGTTGAACAGCGACAACCAATTCCAAATTGGGGGGTACCAGTTGGCTTGCGCCCTGAAGCAAAAGGCCGAGTACTCCCTATGTTGCAGGAACTGGAACTTGAGGCCGATCCACTCATTGATCATAACGGTATCAAGAGTGTCATCGAACGCGGTAAAGTCATTGCCTTGACTCGCAGCTACCCTTATCTTGATCCCGCCTTCGACGAGAAATCCAAAAAGAAGTCAAATAGGCCCAACCCCACACGAATTCAATCAAGCGCGAAGTTATCTTCTTTTCTGGCCACTGCAATAGAGGCGCGGCCACCAAGTCATAGGTCAACGACAACAGGTGGCGATAGGATGTCCAAGCGCTCGAATTTACTCACAGTACTCAATGACGAAGTGCCTCGTCCTCCACCACGAAGATATAAGGAGTACGAACAAGCGCCACCATCTCCTGGTCGCAGTTCCCGACCCCTTCACCTGCTGTCCGGGTAGACCCTTCAGAAATTCCATTTTTCACGGATGCGATGGTGGATGAAGACTCGTTCAACCCGGGTCGCAGTCCTATTGATTACACCAACGTTCAACCTCCTACTATAGGCGTGGACAATTCGTGGACTGTTCTTCATATCCCATCAAAACATATATTACTCTCGAAACCAGCTGGAACCTTCAAGCTGAAATCAGCGGCGTTAGCACAGAAGACTGCTTCCTGTGGTCGTGCGGACACGACGGCAAGGTGGGGCTTCTCCGCGCCGCCGTCTCGATCCGATTTACTTGAAGATAGTCGTCATTACCCTGTAGCTATCTTATCTATTTTGAGTCCTCTCATACCCTATCCGTCAAATTTGCGATATTCTCTAGAGCACCTGGCTTCTCATCTTGCAACATCGTTCTCGCTGTGTCAGCACTACTCCGACTTAGAGACCAAAGTATCTGGGCTGCAACGGAAAAGACCCGCCACAGCTGGTTTTGGTGTACTTGGCCCTGTTGAGCGCCCTTTCGCGGGTCCTGTTCTACATGCACAGATGAAATACACGCCATCAGACCATCCATGGCAACAATCTATTGCTGGGAGCATGACAAGCCCCAGTGAGGCATCAGGTGCAACACGCAGTGCTGCTCATTCACCCGGAGGGTCGATCGAGTGGGACCCAAACTCCTTCGGTCTGGCGGTGGAAAACCGGACAAGGAGCACAAGTCTTGGTATGGTTGGTGGTGACGGCTACTTCGCCGCTGCCGCTCAGTCAGTAGCTGCAAGCCAAGATGTCGCGCCAGGCACCCCTGGCTACCGCCCTGGACGAGGCTCTGAGGAAACTCCGCCGTCGCTCAAAAAACCAAACGGACAGACAGGCAGTGGACAGAGCATTCAACCAAATACACCTGCGGGCGTAGACTTCACCAGCGCTTTGCATATTCCCCACGAAAGAACATTTCATTATCCCGCAAAGGAACAAGCCGCCCTCAAGGAGATCGGCCAAGCCCTGCTCGGATCCAATAATGGGCAAAGCAGTCAGAGACACACGAAATTGCACTCATACGGTGCTGATTTTGCCACAACCTTCCAGTCCTTACCCTCAGTTACCTGGGTAAATCAAATACCGGCGCGGGAAGACAAAGTCAGCATGTTGCCTCCCTCAGATAGGTTGAAGGGTCTCATGTTGGACTCCTTACCGGTTCACGTCTTTGTGGCCTGGCCAACCACGGGAGAAATAATGTGGGTCAACGGCAGATACCTGTCATATCGAGGTAGGAGAAGAAGAAGTGGTGAGGCAAAGGACCACCACGCACCCCGCTGAAGGTCTTAGGTGATGGAAGCGCACGTACGCAGTCGAAGGCTCGTCTTAATTGTGCCACAATGTGCTTTTTTTCTTCGTCAGATAGAGTCGACCATATATCGCTAAGGGGTACGCCAGCGATGAATTCCATAAAAAGAAAGAGCTTGTCTCCTTCTCGATACATTGCATACAGGCGGGGAGTGGGGACTTCCATATTTTCTAATAGCAAGAGCGCGTGACCCTCGTTCTCAAAAACGGCAGGACCGTATTTAACAACAAAAGAGTCGTTGACGAGAACGGTTCGTCGCGCAGTCGAGTCAAAGATGCTGGGGAACTCTGCAGTTGCCGCTTCAATTTCAGCCGTGGTTGGAAGGGGACCTGGTATCCCTCCCTCTTCACGGATCCATGGAAGCGTAAGAGGAAGAAGCGACATGGTCGCCATCACGTATGGCTGTCTGAGAACGATGAAAAACAACTGTCGCGTGTCTGAGCTCCTGGCTGTGAATACTGCCGTCTTCATTACAGTCCTTAGCGAAATCAGTCCCCTAACCTACACCAACAAACCCAAATTGCTTCTACGGCACTAATGAGCAATATCCACTGTAAAACCCCACCAAGGCGTTGCGCCGACTACCTGCGAGCTGAGCACCAGCCACTGTCAACCACTGCTAGTCAACTCCGTCACGATCCCAATGAAAGCAAGTCAAGCGCCATGTCCTACGCGCCGTCCACTATTGAGTACCAACATGGAATCGTTTATCCGTTAACATCACGATGGAACAAAGGGGTTCTAGACGGCCAGACCCAGTAATGAAGAGCTTGGCGCAGTTCATGGGTTTTTGCTATGAAAAATCCAAGCATATAAGGTCTCAATTGTCTCGCAGACTTTATCATCACATACCCCCTATCTAAAATCACACTAATCTCAATCAACATCAACAACATACCACTGCAAGTTCACATAATCACTTTATTAGTCGTGCCATTTATTATGCTGTCGATGCCTGCGAAGCTAAGGCTCGTTGCCGCTCCTCCACCTTCCCCCGCTGTCCAAAAGGTGCCTACCCCCTTCCGCCCCTAACCCACCAAAAGTGACTTTGACCGGACCGGCTGGGGCGTTCATGGTTGAGTTCTTTGATGTGGAGCGGAGCGCCGTATAAGGACCACTGGGCGTATTGGGTGCGTTCGCATGTCAACTCTGCCGAAGGCGTTTTGATTCATGCCGCCGGCGATGTGATGAACGGCTTCAGATCTGAGTTCAAGCGACACCATGATTTTCGAATCACTGGCAACCCTCCCGACGAGGAGATTCCGCTGCAGTTGGTCGAGAGTCGCATTTCCACGAGGAAGCCATGTCAAAGATGGACAATACAAGCTGGATTACTCACCAGTTTGCGGATTGAGGCGAGTGCGTATAAGATGAAGGCTCCAGAAAAGTCCTTGAATGCTGCAAATGATAGCGTAAGTAAGCCTCTATCTCCCACCTTCAGCCGAACACAGCGGCTGACTTGTCGATACCAGACCAAATCAGGTACGGAAATAAAGCCAAGAAATTGCCAGACGTGAATTGTCGAATCTGCCGATCAGCTGGTCAACGATCGTATCTTCAATGTGGACACTGCTGCTTACCTTCATGCCATTAAACAGTGAATGGCTATAGAAATGCGAGCGACGAGACGATGAGTACTCGAGCTGTGTGTACCGAAGTTACGTCAAAGACAAGCCAACGCCATCAGGATACTGTGTGTTCTTATGATACATTTTGACGGTAGCCATCAACCTGACTTCTTCAGTGTTCTTGTCACCACTTAATTTCAAAAGCGCCCTTCTCACTATTTAAATGTTTCTTTAGAAGCGCCTCATCGGCACATCATAGGTTCTAGCAAACAGGCTTGAGCAACCAATACCGAATGCAGTATAAATATAGCTCACCACCGCCGGGTTGTCGAGATCACCTGCGCCGATTGCCCTCAACAAGCTAATCCGAGCAATTTTAGGGAATATCCAACATCAGTCACCTTACGCCCTATGTATTCAAAATCCTGCTAGATACAGGACGCCAAGAATGGCGCTCACGGGGATTTCGAAGCAGAGGTCCGAACCCAACTGCACTCTATGCTTGCCATGAGTCTCGCATTCATACCCTAAGGCAGTATATCAGTATGTAACACCGCGACTTGGTTACTAACATCCTCTACATAAATCCCGGCTGGATATACTTTAGCTCAGGCAGGATGCATCGGACAACGTAGAGAAGCTCAATAGCCTCAAGACTTGTTATGGCGGTCAACTTGATTCAATCTCACAAGTACTTGTTGAAGAGGCAGAGTGGGGCACCAGAGAGTATTTGCTCGCCTTCTTCGGCATCTTGAATAGCCTCGATAGAGTTCTCGTCATCATAGACCAGAACCTATTATTAGAACTCGGGCACAGGCAGTGCAAAGTCACGACAGCCGTGCCTGTTGCGGCTTCGGCATATATCCGGCGCCAGGAACTCCACTGATCTGCAGGTAAAAGGTGGAAGATCGTGTACAAATAACTTGATTCAAGTGGCGAGAGGGAGCAACGGTTTTTAGATCTACTTAGAGATGATGTGATTAGTCCCAACGCAATGGCACGCTAAGTGCGAGGTTACAGTCGTAGGCAGCGCGCAAATCCGTCAAATTGTGGTGCTCCTCCAATGCGAGCTGTGCCTTGGTCGGGTAGGTAGTGACATTTTCAGAATTGGGAACCGCGCGGTTGTCTAAACAGGCACAAGCGAGGCCCAGCTGACTCGGGTTTGCTCCACCAAGGAAAGACTGGAATCTTTGGTATCTCCGCGTTGTGTTACGCTGATGCTTTCGTACAACAGCAAGTAAATAGACACAATTGAACCACTATCAAGCAAGCAATATATTATTGATATGAACTGCCGTGGAGCTGTGCAAACCATCAAATTGTAGTGTTCTAGCTTCTCTAGAAGAAAGGAAGAAGAAAAGCGCGCCGGATCTTGACGGTGAGTCATTGATTAGGGGGCAAGTGCTAGAATCGAGTGAGTGGCATGAAGTTCATCAGGTGTCCTACTAACCTTTGCATGTCAGCTAGATGTTCAATTCGTAAAGTTATACATCTTCTACTAAGGCGTATGAACACAAAGAGAGTAGCATCCTTTGCCGCAAAGCTCTTCATCGAAGATCCTTCATACCATCACATTACCATTCACTGAGGCAATTCAGACCTTGTATGTGCGATGCAGATGCTGTCTTCATCTGAGACCCTCGAGATCGTCAGGCATCTCTGGTGCAAATTCTGCCCCTTTTTTTATGACGCGATTAGCAATGTTAATAATTGTAATGGCATTGGGTTTCAAGTTCCGGAGATCTACGAAAGCAAGATGTCTTGAGCCTGCATCATAGTTCAAACTATATTGGTTTCTTCACACTTCGCTCTTACCTGGACGCATCAAGGCTTGGGAGGAAGCTCAGTTCTGATTCGTCCATGTGCGATGCGAAACCGCATTGGCGCTTTTGCTGCTGATGTCGAAACTGCTTTACAGATTTTGCATTATTTGCATTTCTGCTTCCGCGATATGAGCGATCTGGGAAAACTACAACTGTGTCTCGAGAGGAATCTCAAAAGCGTACTCCGTCCGATCTATCCGAGCAATCAGACCATCCAACATGCAGTCTCAGGATATCCCGACACTTGATGTGGTCTTCTCTGACCAAAGTATTGACGTAGTCTCTGCTTTCAAGCGTGATCCTGAGGACACTTGCGAGGCACTCTTCAGGACTCTGCTCTCTCTCCCACTAAATCTATGCACTGCAACTCGCATAGAACTTGGAATTTATTTTCGCGGTTCGCTTCAATCCCCACGCTCAATCACACCGTACAGGCTGCACACCATTGTTGCTGAATGTAAAGCTGGTAACATCAAGAGATCTACACTAGAAGCCAAATTCTTCAGTTATGGTGGTACCAAGGCAGTCACTTATCTGGCTGCTGCTACCACTGATAACAAAGCAGTCGTTGGTCTTCTAAAGAATCTTGAAGATGATCAATTGCGACGCTTTGTGGAGTCAATAGGAACGATCGAGCCTCATCAGGATCTGCGGTACATCGTCGACACGCTCGAAAGGAAAAACCCGGCGAGGTTGTCGAAGCGCAAGCTGCTGCCTTCCAAGCCGAGGACCTGCAAGAAAAAGCAGAGTCGTCATTCACGCGTAAAGCTATCTTCTTCGAATCCAGGCCCACAGGAGTGTACCAGCTCCGAAGCACAGCGCTCTGACACCGATAGCCATGCATGGCCGAACCATTTCGACAGCAGTCCAGGTTATGACTTCTTATCTGAGTTGACACATGGTCCCGCCTCTGGACTATCGAAAATCCTATATGAAGAGGAGACCGCATCTATTGAAACGCACATTTCCGGGCCAACTTCACTGGCATTTGTGGATGACACACATAGCACGACGCTGAATCTTCCACTGATGAAGAGACAGCAGCAGCAGTCAATCGATACACGAGTAGCTCTTCCTTTAACCACACAATCAGAGCAATCGAAAACTTCAAACGATTGTTCACAACCTGCAGGAGTCATGCCCCAAGAGACTCGTAAGAATCGCCTCCACCTCAAAAAGCCAGTATGCTAACACCATTTCCTCATCTAGAAGCCACGTATATGAGTCTTGAAGATATATCAGCTGCTGCGACATATATAAACTCGAATAACTTTGAGCATTATGGTATCGATCTAGATATGTTCAATGTTTTGTGAAGACTGCAAGCAGAAAGACTACAGTCTCTGTGCTGACAACTATGCTCGGAGGCTGTGTAACTTGGATAACATCACCCACAACCAGAGATTGATCATTCAATGTCGGTACTTGAGTTGTATCATGGTAGAGCAATACAAATTCGGCTGGAAAGGTTTCTAGCACAGTCGGCTGGATCCGCACTTCGGACGGACCCTGGATGCGGAGAAGAAACGCCATTTTCCCATGGGTCTACACGTTCAGTTCTTGTTTTTAACAAGCTTCACATTATTTGACTTACCGGTAGTGTCTCCGACGCATACAGCTTCTGTAATTCACAGGCCCGATCTGGGTGTTTACACTGTTGAACATGGGCCATTCGGCAGTATGGTCGCCAGAATTCGGTCTCGGGAATTTGGCGTAACCATGCAACCAATACCCTGACACGGTCCGCAAAAGACCTGCTCGTGTCCAATTCGCCCATGGGTTTCATATCGGTCAACAATTGAGGTCTGCCCAGAGTCCTACGTTTCCACAATACGCTTTGCGAGAACCAAAGATGAAAAGACAAAAATGGCCACCACAACTGGAGAATATGACCGAAGTTTTCCCGAGAGTATTGAGAACGTGGCGTCTTGGAACTCCTCAAAGAGGACTTCAAATCCAGGTCTGAAGATCTACGACCACACTTGCATCGCCCATCTCTGCAACCAGAAAGGATCTCTTGCTACTGTGATCAATGAGTTGAGAAGTTGTGGCCGACCGATCGATGCCACATAAATGTTATCTCAAATTGTGGCTGATACATGCGGAAGATATTCCTTACCGCCTTTCAGAAGTTGCTGGATAGGCGGAATCCGATTCTCAATCAACAATGCAACCGACGTTTCTACTCTTTATTTTATATTTTAAACATCAATTTAAACCAAGTCGAGTTCAGTTATAAATATGCCTGGCTGTGCATTCTCTCGCAGGCCTGATGCAGCGTCTAACAAGGCCAGAAAATCGAAATTTCTATCACCCCACGGCTAAAACCACTGCTAAGCTTGCGCATACCACCGAAACGGACGAGCATAACCAAGGAATTATCTCGAAGGCAACCCAGCTCCGTCTCGATCATCTCCCCTGCTGCACGACCCAGCCATTTCCCTCGAAGCTATTTCTGACAAATGTGCTTGGAATTCCTGTATAGAATGTGACGACGACTTTTTTCAAATTCGGTATTGCTTCAAACTGAGCCTGGACTTGGGAAAGCGCAGATCCGACAAGACTTGAGTCCAAATCATCAGACTCGACTAGTCCGAAGGAATTTTCGGCTTGAACGATGGTTTCGAGAATTCTAAGATTGGTGCATTGCTCCTGGAGCAATTTGACGGTCCACAAGCTCCCGTTCACAACATTGAGCTCTGCGACGTCAATCCCTGATAGGTTCAAGGCTGGAAAATTTATGCTAACATGTGTCAATAAGCTCGCATTTCGAACTCCGATAGCTTTCAAGAAGGCACATAGTAGCTCTCCTTGGTATTCTGTCGTATCCACGAAATTGAAACAATTACTGCCGTAGAGTATTGCGCAAGCCTCTTCCTGGACACGCCGGTTCGTACGCAAAAGTGGAAGTGCCCTGAACGAGTACCCAGGCACAAACACCTCTACAACCTCAGAGCCCCTGTCTTTGAAGAGCATTAAAGTCTGCTTTGCAACCAACAATTGCCGGTATATGTTGTTGCGAATCTCGACAGGCAAGTCTAGGAAACCCATGGTGTCGAAGTTTGGTTGTTCCTAGGGGTATCGATCAGTCTGTATGCTGCTGAGTCGCTTTGCAGATTGATTGCCGTCGAACACACGTTGCGTCATTTAAAAGTGCGGAGTAACTGGGCACCGTCATTCGACGAAGCACCAGGAGTGCTTCCAGGTACCTTATTCCTAGTAGCACCCAAAAATAGCGCCAGCCATTCGATATGGTCTTAGACGTGCTTTAGCAGGAGGGTCTTTCCGCGGACTTAACCGCACTGGGCGGCACACAGCGGGGAAGCTCATTCACTCAGACCTGACCCACCCCGAAGATGCAGGATGTCTCGCTTGCACAGCCAGAGCGGTTATCTGATCGCCCTGATTGGAACGAAGCTTGTGCTAGCTTTCTGCAGTCATGCGTGGTTGATTTTATCGGGGCTGTCGCTGATGATTGGAAGGCGTATCCTGTACCAGTAGTCAGTGACGGGAAAGAGAACAATTTTGTCTTTGCTCAGATTCTGTTCGTCCTTCAATATATACAAATTGTTTGGCTGTGTCACAATCGCACAAAGAAGCGGTAACCGCGGAACTTGCTCAATCAATGTATTCGAATCTGGTCGATTATATACGTGAAAAACTAAATTCTCAGGTCCTCAATGGCGTTTCATCAATCGGATCATGCCAGCCCTAAATCATGCGAATCGATGAGGGAACCGCGATTTCCACGCCGGATCTGGAATCGAATTCGAGGGAAAAAACGAGATGGGTCAAACAATGTCCAGCATAGTACTGATGTGCGAAGCTCCGAAACTGCGGAAAGGTTAGTGCTATGCAATGTCTTTTAGATTATAAACCGAATAGTGACAGTCCTAGTGATCAACCTTTTGATAACTCGTCCTTAGAGGATTCATTTGAATCCCTCATGGGGAACGAAGAATCAAAGGGAACAGCCTATGCTCAGAAGATCAGCTTTGCCGATGGCCGTGGGAGCCTGGTATCGCGCGAGCTTTCCAGTAATAACACAACAAGTATTTGGAGTCGAGCCTATACGGAGGCAGTTCAGAGCCTTACCGGTGATATTAATTCAGCAATTCTAGAAGGACAGAATATCGAGTGGCTCTTCAAACAACTACAAGAGGCCGGAAAGGAGGCGAACGAGGAATCCCTACTAAGAAAGGGCATCAAGTACTTGAGAAAGCTGAAGGTACCTCTGGAAAAGTTCAAATTAGCCTTAGACCTCACTGCCCCATTAGCAAGCATGGAGCCAATCGCAGGCACCGTCCTGGGCATGGTCAAGAGCGCTACGGCCGTGAGTATTCCTTGACGAGTGATCGACGGACGAATAACTAAACGGGGCCAGATTGCTATCAGTATATCTACAGCCGACGAAGAGTTTGCGAAACAGATTGGGGATATGCTGGAGCGAATATCATACATCGACGACTGTGATACCCTAGGCCAAAAGTCTGACAATTCCTATATTCATATAGTAGGTGGATCTTGACGCTTTGCTTCAACAACTCTAACGAAACTTAGACACTCGTCAAAGTATATCGCAAACTCCTGGAGTTCTATCACGTGGCGTTTGAAATGTTAATCAAGAGAGGCACAAAGTTGCTCATAAACCTGGTGATGCAAGACGAACGCTTGCCAGATATTGTCAAGGAATTTTTGAACCACGCTGGTCAGCTTAGGGATATTGTGCATAATGAAACACTATCAATCGTGCAGGATATGAAGGTCATGCTTTATGATGAACAGAGTAAGCAGCAACTGCACAGATACATCTCAAGGAATACACTAATGGGTCACAGTCGGCCGGTGGCTCGGGAGCGGAAATAAGATGCAGCAACGTAATCAAATGCACAACAGCCTCCAGGTACTTCGAGCTGACGAAGCTTGCGAATGGCTCTCGCAAGAAGCCCATTTCATCGAATGGTATCATTCAGAAAAGTCACAACATTTGGTCATCCTTGGTACCATGGGTTCTGGTAAAAGCGTTTCTATGAGTTATCTCATAGATAAAATCATTAGTCACAACGAATATCGGATTCCGCAGTCAAAAATTCTTTATCACTACTGCCGGAATGACGAGACCGGGAACACAAGTTTCATATATGCGACAATCATCCTATCTCTTCTTGAGCAGTTGCCCGGACTAAAGAAGCCATTCTTCGAGTGGTACAAGAAAATCGTTGCTTCTGGTAGTCCTGAACCAGCAACTAGTCCAAGAAGATTGGAAGAATTTCTGAAGGAAAATCTGGAGGCCCTCGAGCGCCAGGTCTTCATCGTTGTTGATGGTCTCGATGAATGCGATGAAGCCTCTCGCTATCGTCTTATCAGACTTACGAAAGACTTGACTGACAGGACAGTCAATCTTAAAATCCTGCTCTCAACGCGTCCCGAAGAAGATACATTGAAGGAGCTACAAGATATGCCTAAAATCCTCATAGAGCCGGATCCTCACAGGGATGCGATCATAGTCCAGAAGACTGTTGATAACAGATTGTCTGGTTGGTCTACCGAGGCCAAGAATATCATCGTACAGGAACTCTCACAATTATCCATGGGAAGTGCCATATGGATAAAAATGGCTGTTGAGTTCATCTCGATCAAAAACACCAAAGCGCGCGGGCCTTTGGAAAAATTCTTGAAGGAAATGCCACTATCTACTGAGTTGGGAAAACTTTTTGGCAATTTGTTTTCACAATATGCGAATGATGATTCCGAAAATCGAAGACTCGCTGGGAGAGCTTTAGAAATACTGACCATGGCACGAAGGCCATTAAGTATTCCCGAGCTCGCGTGGGGTGTGGCGATCAGTGAAGCGCCCTCTGATCTGTGTACGGTATCAGCTCTTCAGGAAGACTTTGTGGATTGCGCACGAATCATGCATTTTGTTCAGCCATTTGTTTCAGCAGTGGATTTCCATGAGCCACGCAAACGCCAATTAAGACTTGTCCACCAGTCTGTTAAGGAGTTTGTCATGAGGGAGACTCCTTCGAGATGGTCTGGTTGTGAATGGTCAGATCACAACCTCAATAGCCAAGAGTTTACGGATCGGCGTGTTAAGAAGCTGGAGGCTGCAAATCTGGACATGTGCCTAAGGTATCTTCTATTAGATGAAATAGGGCAGTGTGACCTGTTTTCTGAAGAGCAGATAGGCATCATTGAATTGCCACAAGGTGAAGACCTTTTCAGCGACAACCCAGAACCGGAAGAGTACGATCCAACATGCACATGGGAAAAATGGGAAGAGGATATGCCCCATTACGAGGTCAACAATAGCGGCTTAGGTGAATTCTTCGTTTACGCTTGTGTCCATTGGGTGGATCATTTTTCTGCTGTAACCACCGAACACCTACCAGAGCTTTGGAAGATAGAGAAGGTATGTGAGAAAGGTTCGAAGCGATTGCAGAATTGGACAAGACAGAACTGTCGTCCCAACTGTACATACAAAGAACAATGGGACTTTGACGCCAGATTGTTTGATCCCCTTGTCGCCATTTCACTCTACGGTTCGGATGCCATGTTGTGCAAAGTGCTCGACAATGCCAGCTTTGAGAAACAGATATATCATGAAGATACATTCCGCAAAGCTGCTGATCAGCTGCTTACTTGGTTTCAGTTTGGCGATGTTTCCCGAATTGGTCAACTGTTCAAAAGGCAGCGCTCCTTTCCTCAGTTACAGAACTTCGATTTCTTTCGGGAAGTTTTGAGACATTGGACAACCGGAAGCAAGGAAAGACGGGGTTGGAAAGATGTCTTTGATCTTATTTACGAAGTAGCAGACATAATGGCTGAAGAGCAGTGGGCCAATGAACTCTTCTGCATTGCTGCACGATGCAATTGCTTTCCGATGGTTGAACGTCTTCTGAAATCAGCCCAAAGCAATGAACACCTCCGATACCAATTGGTTCACGGATGCAGGTGGAACAACGACTCTTCATACGGTAGACCATTGCATCAATCGATTGGCGAGGCGGTGTATGAGGATCATATCGAAATGGTTGAGTTCTTGTTGGCACAAGAAGAATTGAGGTCACACCTCGAGCATCGCAACTCGAATGGTGAAAATGTCCTGCACATGGCATCACGATTTTGCAACCCCGATATGTTCAAGATATTAGTCGCAAAATTTCCTGAAGGGGTCAATCAGGCAGATAGGTATAACAACACCGCCCTGGCGCAAGTCATCACTGCGCCTGTTTATTCGCCTAGTCATCGATACGAATCAGCGAGAATATTGCTATCGGAAGTACATGAAAATGACCAGCGCTTGGTCTACTTCCATGCAGCTGTTCGCTGTGGACACTTAGATATAGCTCACCTTCTCAATGCGGACATAGCTGATCTTGCCTCAATCGTCTAATTTGGAAAAGGTGAAGAGAAAGTTTGGAAGATGAATTATTGAGAGGGATTTTACGACGAGACTGATACAGTCTCTGGACTCGTACGGGCTGAGTCATTATTCGTCAGAATTAGTCACGGGTAGTCGTAACTATAACTATGTCGCAAATATCTAGAGATGTGTTACTCATAAAGTCGTAGAGATCGTAGTGAGTCAGCCGGGTATTTGTGGTTATTCATCGGTCTTCATGTTTTGCCTCTCTAGGTAAAAAAAACATGCCCAACGTAATTCCCATCCTCATCATGATGATGTAAATGTACGGTTTGCGACTTACCTTCAGCTGCCTGAGCCTCCGTCGCCAACAATACGTACTCAGCCTAAGGACACCTGCTGCATCCTCTTCTTCGGCGCATCAAAGTAGCCATTTGAATTGCGGTGGTGTTTGACCACCAATGATCAGGTATCATGTATGTATCGGTTACTGTTTGACAGCATGGAGAACAGAGGCGGATACTGTTGGCAGCAGCGAAGGTGGCAAACCGCTGGCGCCACCTTCTGCCCCCGTCGATGTAGATTTCTTCTGAACTGTACTGGTGCTGTTGCTACTTATCGTCCTCTGCGAAAATGAGTAGATGCCGAGTTTAATGGTAGGGAGTGCTAACCCGTTCCCAGCTATATCACCATAATGCTCGACAAGCTCTGACACTGCTCCGGTGACATGTTGCCCATTATGGAATTGAAAGGCTTAGATGTAGGAGGCGCGGGGCCGGATTCCCAGTAGTGTTGCGGTTATGGGCTGTCAGGACCAAACTCGGCTTGTGCGCATTAAAGATTAAAGCTTACCTGTAGCTGGACTAGACATATTTACGGCAAAGCTGTTTCACAAGGCCCACTGCATCCTATAACTTCCGGCATCAAGGACTTCTCAAAAGACTTGCTTATCACACTCGTAACCAAAGTCCGTGTCTTTTAATCTATCGTTGTTCGTCACGCCCTGATTAATAGAACTTAATTAATGCATAATCATATACTGAGAAATTGGCGGGCACGGGGTATCGTTTCCCGCATTTTCTGGCTCCACAGAACAACGTTATGCTGATAGCAGGGGTGTCGCATATGACGATATGCCTAAGAGACAAAGGGGTAACATTGGTATGCTACTTCGTGGATACAACCATTTGTATTCTTAAAGCAGACTAGATGCAATTTATCTTCTCGAGTGTGCACGGGCGCTCATCTTCATTGTCGTGTGCGTTGGAACTTTGGAGCCCATAACAATCTTTTTTCAAGGTCTTCTGGTGCCAATATCTTTTTGCCTTATTCCGCTTGATGACTCTCCCATGAAGTCTATACTGCAGGAAATTGACTATGAATTTTTATTTCTGGATTGAGCGAGAATAATCTATAGGCCGACTGGTTTTTCAGCTTTGACAGTGACAAACAACACTGCACTCTCATAAACTGCGCCACGCGGGATGCTTGCTGCCAGAGTCCTACGCTACACAGGTTCCTCCCGCCTCGTTGGGTGTGCAGCCCCGATCATGTCGATATCCTCCCCAAAACATCCGTATTTATGACGAAGAGGTAAATGTACGACCGTCTTGCATACCGACAATGGCCCACGACGACTGAGCCTTTGAAATTCCACGATGGCCGCGACAAGAACCCCCGCCAGCTTTACGGTGGGCTGGGTCTGTGCGTTGCCCGTCGAGCTGGCAGCCGCTGGGGCGATGATGGATGAGGAATACGAAGACCTGCCCCAACCACCGGCCGATACGAACATCTACAGCTACGGGCGCGTCGGCGTCCACAATGTCGTCGCGGCATGCCTGCCGGCCGGCCGGATGGGCAACAACCCGGCTGCCGTCGTCGCCAGCCAGATGCGAAGCAGCTTCCCGTCGCTGCGCTTTGGAGTGCTCGTCGGCATCGGCCGTGGGGTCCCGAGCGACGAGCATGACATCCGCCTAGGCGACGTGGTGATCAGCCAGCCTACAGGCCTGCACGGCGGCGTGGTGCAGTTTGATTTTGGCAAGACCGGGTTAGACGGACGAATCACGCGCACTGGTAGTCTTAATGCCCCCCCGACGATCCTACTCAACGCCCTCGCCAAGCTACGTGCAAATGATCTCCGAGGCAAGACGCACGTCGGCAACCACCTGTCTGCCTTTTCGACCTTACAAGAGTTCGCCTGCCCAGGATGGGAGCAAGACACACTCTACGCTGCATCGTCGCAGCATGTTTTAGGTCCTACGTGTGCCCAGTGCAGCCAGGATGACATTGTGCCTAGACACGCCCGTGCCACACCCGATCCGGTTCTCTTCTTTGGGACCATCGCCTCTGGAAACCAGGTCATGAAGGATGCGCCGACACGCGATCGCATTAGCCAAGACCTGGGTGGCATCTTGTGTTTTGAGATGGAGGCGGCTGGTCTGATGAACAACTTCCCGTGTCTAGTCGTCCGAGGGATATGCAATTATGCCGACGCGCACAAGAACAAGCAGTGGCAGCCGTATGCAGCAGCGACGGCGGCAGCATGTACAAAGGAGTTATTACGCATTATTCCTCAGGTCGTCTCGACTGGAGACAACCAAAAAGAGGATCGTAAGTGATATTTCAACACAATAATACATCTTTACAAGGCCATAAAATAATCTAATTATTTATAGTCGCTCCTGAAATCCATTTCATGGTGCCGTTTGGAAGAAATAGTAATTTTGTGGGGCGCGAGACTGTCCTTGAGAGAGTGCTGAACTAGCTCCTCAAGATAGCAATGTGCACGACTGCCAGCGGACCGTCGTTGTGGGCCTAGGTGGTGTCGGCAAGACCTAGATCGCCCTCGAGGCTGCCTACCGCATAAACGAGAAGCACCCAGAATGTTCTGTCTTCTGGGTGCCGGCGGTAGATAGGAACATATTTGAGAATGCGTATAGAGATTTCGGCCTGGCACTTAGACTTCCCGGGATTGACGACGATAAGGCCGATGTGAAGAACTTAGCCAAGACAGCTTTAAGCAAGGGTGCTATTAACACGAAGTGGCTCCTTATTATCGATAATGCACACGAAACGGATCTGTTCCTCGGAGTACCTGACGCTCCAGGTCTGTGCGACTACCTACCTTTTCATCGGAACGGTTCCGTTCTGTTTATAACACGGAACCACGAGGTCGTTATCAAGCTCGATGTCTTAGTCTATCAAATCCCCCGGGTCACGGAGATGTCAGAGACGGAGGCAGGCTTGATGCTACAAAAGACGCTCTGGGTCGATCAACAGGAAGACAAGCAGAGGACGAAGGAGCTGCTTAAGCACTTAGCATGCTTACCGCTAGCTATCAAGCAAGCATCGGCCTTTATGGCAGAAAGAGGCACGTCGACGACCAAGTATTTAGAGCTCTGCCACGAGTCCGATGAAAGCCAGGTCGAGCTTTTAAGCATAAACTTCGAGGATCGAGGGCGGTATCCCGAAATTGCTAATCCAATAGCTACGACCTGGCTTATCACTTTTCACCACATCGCACGTAGATACCCTCTAGCTGTATACTACCTCAAGTTCGTGTATTTTATGGCCCAAAAGGATATTCCTAAATCGCTGTTTCCACACGGTCGGAGCAAGATAGAAGAGAAGCGGGCGTTCGGTGTTTTACATGGATATGCATTTGTTTCTTTGCGTGACGATGCCGAGTCGTTTGACGTTCACCGACTCGTGCGACTAGCAACTATGAACTGGTTTAAAGAAGAGCGCACGTATATTATCACGGGCGTTGTCCGGCATCTCGCCGTTGTTTATCTTTCCCGTCGACATGAAAACTGAGCGTTATGGGTGAGGTATATGCCGTATGTGTTAGTCGCCGTAGATGTCGCTGCGGATTGTGTTGAGAGGGAGGCTAGTGCAAATCTTTCTTTTAATATAGGAACAAGCTACGATCTACTCGGGCGATACGCAGAAGCAGAGCAGATACATCGACAGACGCTGGAGCTGAAGGAGGAAGTGCTGGGTCGTGAGCATCCAGACGTATGTGATAGTATGAACGCGTTATCTCTCGCACTAAGCAGTCAAGGAAAATACGACGAGACTGTTGTGTTACAAAAGCAGGCCTTAGACAGCTATACGACTGTATTAGGGTTTGATAATCCACGAACGCTTGAGAGCATGAACAATCGACAAGCAGGGCAAGTACGCAGAAGCGGGCGGATGCATCGACAGACGCTAGAGCTCAAGGAGGAAGTACTGGGTCTGAGCATCCGTCCACGCTCGACACATGAACAATCTAGCCAGTGTGCTCGACAACCAGGGCAAGTACGCAGAAGCAGAGCAGATGCATCGACAGGCACTCGGGCTGAGAGAGAAATCCAAGTCGTAAGCTTCCATCTCCGCTAGGGAGTACAGGCATTACTCTCGAAGATGGCGTATTGCGACGACGAGCTTTAAGGTAGCTATGGTTCTAGAAGTTTGTGGTAAAGAGGACGATATATCCATCTGTTTGTCTGTATGTTCAACTCTATTAGATTCCATTCCCCCTGCCTCTTCACGATATCCCTTGCATTGACCGGGTCTCGTCTAATGAGCATGGCCATCAGGGAGATCTGCCAATCGACGTGAGATACCGATACCGTTTTGCAAATGAGTTAAAGCATGAAGTGGATCACACGACACTCTGGTACATAGGACAGCTAGTTCGGTACTGGTAGCTTGTCGTAATGCCATTACCCTGCGTGGAGGGTAGCGAGGGTCCTTACCCTTGTCATTATGGTGCACTACAGGCAATGTTGTTGTACCGGCTATTGTCAAGTTACCGTACTAACATTAATATCACGCTAGTAATTGTGACTTGCGCTGATCTTTGGAAAAAGGACCGCACTACGGCTGTACCTTGTCATAAGTGGAAAGGCGCAATGCAACGGGATTGGTAATTATCACGAACAAGGGCTACGACTCCTCACTGGGCAGACCCTGAGCTATGATTGGTCCCGAGGAATCGGTACGCTAGGCTTACGGTACGCTGTTCGCCTCCTTGCGCACTAGAGTCAAATGCGCGGCTGCGAAGTTCAAAGCAGTGACTTCACATACCCTAGAGCCGCTCAGATCATGGCGCTGCGTTAAAATCCGCGCTCACACATTCATTCAACCTTCGCTTTCTCTAGGAAGAGATCGCTCAAATCGATCATGATATGTATCAAGCAGGCCTCGGTCTGGGGTATAAGCCGTCTGTGCGCCAGTGACTAGACTTGATGGATCCCTAGATGGCTAATTGGCTCCCGCCCATCGCTTTTCTCCTTGACCCAATACTACCAAGTCGAGTCGCACGCTGTATAGAACAAGCGGTTGACATCTCTACCCATAACTTTGTCCTTATACTTGAATTGAAGAAGTCGGTACGCACCAATGAGTCGAGAATTTAGCACTTTGAAAAAAATATGGTCCAAATCGGCTCTATCGTTCGAGTACAAAGACTTGTAAAGGGGCGTAATCTGCGAAGTCCTAGAATAACGTACTAAATTATGGGCTTCGTGGCGAATTTTGATTTGTTAGAGGGACATGAGACAAACGGCAAGGCTTTTTGAGTAGGGACGGCAATTAAACTGTAGTGGTGCCGTAATTGATAAAACATCCTACCGTTGAAAAACGCTTACCAGGCCCACTTGGCTGGGCGGTTCATGAATGAATGTTAAGCGTAAAATCCCGACTGAATAGCGGGGTCTGCAGCGGGAGCTGCCGGGGCTAGCTCGTTCAGGTATAGAGTTGGCCGCTCTCAATGCGGCCACATTTTTGCAGAGAATCGGGGACTAGGCCGACGGAGGCCATAATCTGGCAGCCAGAAACCAGGCAAGTATATTGGGATTGGTTCGTATTATATAGAGATGGTGGGCCGGAATCGTACCTGGTTCGCCGACATTTCAGCTCGGCGCACCTCCATCCCGCATCGTATGCTGCAAGGCTCTTTCAGTCCTTGCTAGCCATTCAGGTCTCCGCATACAAACTGCAGCATTGCCACTCAGGCGTATAACCTGACGAGGCTCGAGAATGCCTTGGGCGTCAAGGCACTCTCCGAAATATCTCTGTTTTATCGAGCCTGTAAATATCGAATTTCGTTGCAGCTTTCGAAGTTGAATGATTACTCGAGCATCTCCACTATTAACGATAACGCTCAAGTCTGCATATCAACTCAGACTGCCGACATGTCAGATCCCGACATCTACACAGTCGGCTGGATATGCGCGATTACCACGGAATTCGTTGCTGCGCGAGCTTTCCTCGACGAAGAACATAAGGGCCCGAAACACGTCGCGCATCACGATAACAATAACTATATACTAGGCCGGATCGGAGAACATAATGTGGTGATTGCGGTTTTACCGGACGGCGATTACGGAACAGCCTCTGCTGCCGGCGTCGCTCGCGATATGCTCCACAGCTTTCCGAACATCAGGATTGGTCTCATGGTCGGGATTGGCGGTGGTGCACCGTCTGCAAAGCATGATATTCGGCTCGGCGATATCGTCGTTAGCGCTCCTCGAGGTAGCCACGGCGGCGTGTTCCAGTATGACTTTGGCAAGACGATCCAGTATCAGGAGTTTCAAGCGACAAGGTTCCTAGATCAACCGCCGGCTATCCTACGCGCGGCTGTCAGTGGACTGAAAGCGCAATTCGAGGCCGACGGCCACCAGATTCAGGAAGCTATCCAAGCTGCTTTTGTGAAGAAGCCGAGACTGCGACAGAAGTATGATCAGCTGGACCCGAGTACAGACAGGCTCTACCGTGCCGATATCGTCCATCCACCCGAAGCTGAAGTTGAAGCAGCATGCTTGATATCTTGTGGCAGTGATACCTCCTTGCTGGTGGCACGCCCCGCACGAGATCAGGATGAAGATAACCCTATGATACATTATGGTTTAATCGCTTCTGCGAATCAGTTGATGAAGGATGCGGTCATACGAGACAAGCTGGCGCAAGAGGAAGACGTTCTCTGCTTTGAGATGGAAGCTGCTGGGCTGATGAATCACTTCCCATGCCTAGTAATTCGCGGGATCTGCGACTATTCCGATACCCATAAAAACAACCTGTGGCAAGGCTACGCGGCGATGGCCGCGGCTGCCTATACTAAAAATATCCTTAATAGGATTGCTCCAAATAGGGTAGAGGTCGTGAGGAAATTAAGCGAGTTGCTTAACGAGAGTCAGTAGTCTTCCGAGGTAAAAAAAATAGCATACCGTACTAATACTCAAATGATAGTGGATTCTACGCTTACTAATATGCACACGGATATAAAAAGCATTCGAATGGACAAGTATTCCGACGACCTCATGCAATGGTTAGCCCCACCTCACGTTTCCTTCAATATGAACAAAGCCATCGAGGCTCGTTATCCAGGCTCCGGCCGCCGATTGCTTGAGAGCGAGGCATATACAACCTGGAAGAAGGGTGACAACTCATTCCTTTGGCTTCACGGCATCCCTGGATGCGGCAAGACTATCCTTGCGTCTACTGTAATTGAAGACCTCCAAAAAAACCAAAGCCAGAGTGCTTTACAGACGCTGCTCTACTTCTACTTCGACTTTACCGACAGCCGGAAGCAGTTATTCGAGAATACACTCCGCTCCCTCGTTTGGCAGATATATTGCCGGAATGAGAATTCTCGACAGCATCTCAACTCGCTTTATTCGTCGACATGCCGAGGCGGAAAGGAGCAGCCCAGCTTCGATTCTCTACAAAGGACCTTTACCGAAATGATGGGCAACCTTGAAGAAGTATGGATCGTGCTCGATGCTCTTGACGAGTGCGAGACACGAAACAAGTTGCTATCTTGGATACGGAATATCGCCCAGGACTCTTCTGCGCAGGTGAACATTCGCCTTCTGGTAACAAGTCGGCCGGAGCAGGATATAATGACGGCTATTCAACGCCACGCCAGTGACGAACAGATAATCGCTATAAGTCATAACTTGCTTGAGTCGGATATCCGAAACTACGTACAGGCTCGAGTCCGTGAGCACGAAGGTCTCAGTCGGTGGCGTGGATATAAGGAGATCCAAGATCAGATTGAGGCCAGTCTGCTTGAGAAGGCTAACGGAATGTAAGAGGCTTGAAATTCAACCCGAACTTCTAATGCTTTGCTAACACTATTGGCACTGGGCTAACACTATGTAGGTTTCGTTGGGTCTCATGTCAGCTTGATGCGTTGGAAGACTGCTTAGAACGGAAAAGTCTGTTTAGAGCACTTCAAAGTCTACCAAAAACGCTCGACGAGACGTACGAGCGAATACTGGCAAGTATACCTTCAGCGCACGTACAACATACAAGACGGATCTTGCAGTTCCTGACATACTCGGAACGACCGCTACGACTTGATGAGGCGGTCGATGCGATTGCCGTCGATGTCGGAAAGAACGTGGCTCGAGGACGACGATTTGATTTCAAGGATAGGTTGCCGGTTCCAGAAGAGATCACCCGGTACTGCTCAAGTCTTGTTGCGCTCGTCTCAAGGCAGGGCAAATACCGCGAAGAACAAACAGTAAAAGAGATCCAGCTGGCACATTTCTCAGTTAAAGACTATCTTGCCTCAGACCGTCTAGAAAGTAAAATTGGTCCGTATTTGCAGGAGACGTCTGCCCGAAGCGCTATTACCGAAGTCTGCCTAGCATATCTCTTGGAACTTGAGCAAAGTAAATCAGCCAGAGAGATTAAGAATACATTCTACTTTGCGCACTATGCGGCTCGATACTGGGCAAGCCATGCTATCATAAGCGAGCGCAACAGCCAATATGCCTTTAAGCTTATGAAAGAACTTTTTTTGAATCGTCCTCGTATCGAAAGCTGGTGCCTACTTTACGACCCAGATAGGTCTTGGGCCGAGGAACCTGAGAAAGAAAGTGTAGCACCTGCCCTATACTATGCATCACTCATAGGACTGCCGCATTGTGTTACGATAGTCCTGGGCAATGGGGATGACGTCAATGCCCAGGGCGGATACTACGGCAACGCTCTGCAGGCTGCTTCATATGGAGGAAATCAAGAAATTGTACAAATACTAGTCGATAAAGAGGCCGACGTCAATGCCCAGGGCGGATACTACGGCAACGCTCTGCAGGCTGCTTCATATGGAGGAAATCAAGAAATTGTACAAATACTAGTGGATAAAGAGGCCGACGTCAATGCCCAGGGCGGATACTACGGCAACGCTCTATACGCTGCTTCATATGGAGGATATCAAGAAATCGTACAAATGCTAGTCGATAAAGGGGCCGACATCAATGCCCAGGGCGGAAAGTACGGCAACGCTCTACACGCTGCTATATCTAGAGGATATCAGGAAATTGTACAAATACTAGTCGATAAAGGGGCCGACGTTAATGCCCAGGGCGGATACTACGGCAACGCTCTACACGCTGCTTTATCTAGAGGATATCAGGAAATTGTACAAATACTAGTGGGTAAAGGGGCCGACGTCAATGCCCAGGGCGGAGTCTACGGCAACGCTCTGCAGGCTGCTTTATATGGAGGAAATCAGGAAATTGTACAAATACTAGTCAATAACGGGGCCGACATCAACGCCCAGGGCGGAGTCTACGGCAACGCTCTGCAGGCTGCTTCATCTAAAGGATATCAGGAAATTGTACAAATACTAGTGGATAAAAGGGCCGACGTCAATGCCCAGGGCGGATACTACGGCAACGCTCTACAGGCTGCTTCATATGAAGGATATCAGGAAATCGTACAAATACTAGTCGATGAAGGGGCCGACGTTAATGCCCAGGGCGGAGTCTACGGCAACGCTCTGCAGGCTGCTTTATATGAAGGATATCAGGAAATTATACAAATACTAGTCGATAAAGGGGCCAACGTCAATGCCCAGGGCGGAGTCTACGGTAACGCTCTGCAGGCTGCTTCATATGAAGGATATCAGGAAATTGTACAAATACTAGTCGATAAAGGGGCCGACGTCAATGCCCAGTGCGGATACTACGGCAACGCTCTGCAGGCTGCTTCATATGAAGGATATCAGGAAATTGTACAAATACTAGTGGATAAAAGGGCCGACGTCAATGCCCAGGGCGGATACTACGGCAACGCTCTACAGGCTGCTTCATATGGAGGAAATCAAGAAATTGTACAAATACTAGTCGATGAAGGGGCCAACGTTAATGCCCAGGGCGGATACTACGGCAACGCTCTACAGGCTGCTTCATATGGAGGAAATCAAGAAATTGTACAAATACTAGTGGATAAAGGGGCCAACGTTAATGCCCAGGGCGGAGTCTACGGCAACGCTCTGCAGGCTGCTTTATATGAAGGATATCAAGAAATTGTACAAATACTGGTCCATAACGGGGCCGACGTTAATGCCCAGGGCGGATACTACGGCAACGCTCTACAGGCTGCAAATTCTGGTAGGTCAATGCCTCTCTACTCTACCTTTCTTAGCGGGCAAAAGGAGTCAGATGAGGGAGAACAGTTACATTCCAACAAGCGAAGACGCATTGATTACGGTCACGAGTTAATTACCAAGAAGCCGGGTATCTGATGATGATACGATAAGGCCTAGCCAATGCTTCGAGGATAGTTCAATTGACTTCGTTACGGGAGCGAGGTCAGAGAGCGATGTAAGCGCAACGATGGCATGTTTGGTATATAATGTTAATGTATAATTTGGCAATTTTGCTAAAGGTGTGGTCTTGTCCTCTACCCTATCTTTTTATTCGGTTTCTTGCTTATTGGAAACAACGAAATGGTCGTCAATAACAACAATTGCCATTGCACAAGACTCGGCAGCTGGTTTCGTTGCATTTGCTGTGTGATGGCGGTATAATAAGCTATCTAATATTTGGAGGCGCGTAGAGAGCAGCTAATATTGGTCCTGGCAAGACGTTACTCCGGATCTGGGAGACTTACATAGATAACGTAACCAATATTCGACGCAGGCCGAACGGCGCTTTCTGTGTCTCATGGCCAGGGTTGCCGAACAGCTGCGCAGTTCATTGGTGTGGGCATGGCTTATGTTGCGGGACTGCCTAAGCTATATGGCTGCATCGTGTGAAGTAAAAGGATTCCACCTTCGACTTTCAATCCTACGAACGATACATTATGACGGTTTATGAGCCATAGGCTCAGCTCTTCGTCAGTTGCAGACTGTCGCACCATACGAGAGACATGACTGTCATGAGAGGTGATAAAGTTCGAATGTATTTGTAGGTGGGTGAGGAGAAGTAGCTGTCTTTACGGCCACAAGAACGGGGTACGACCCAATTTGTTTGTCATTGTCCAGTCAGTGCTCGATAAGAGTAAGAGTACATTAATTATATGTTCATCCCCATATCGTAAAGCCATAGAAACGACCGTGGATCCAAATTGATCTTTGGGAGCAACAAGTTCCACCATCGAAAGTATAACAGGAAATCGAACCCCTTAAGGTGGTAGATAACACAATGCGACGCATCCGGCCGGAGTGAGGTATCGTGAGTTTCTAGCAAAGATCCAGAGTAGTTAGCTTTGGGGGAGAAGGGCAGTGTATTTTGCGCCCGCATCGCGTAATATTTGTACAATCTTCTTGTGTCGCCCACATGAAGCAGCATGCAACGCAATACTATAAAACCCGCCTTGGGCATTAACGTTAACCTTAGCATCAACTAGCATTTGTACGATCTTCTCGTGCCCTTTATATGAAGCAGCCTGTAGTGCATTGCCATACTCGCCACCCTGAATGTTCATGCACCAATGGTGTGCCAGACCGCACGAAGTTGCATGCCGTCGGACTCGATCGGGCCTTCGCCATGCGGGTGAGCATATACACATCTCGGTGAGCTTCGGCCGTATAAAGAAACAACACACGTTTCGAACCTTTGGTCACTATCATCTTAACATACCGTTTGACCTTCCATTTGAGTCACACCAGTATTCTATGACGACCAAGATGGAAGCATTGCCGAGAGATTCTTCACCTTGTGACACAACAAGAGAGTTCCTTGCCCAAACAAGACACGCGGTCAACGACTTACTATTGCAATATGCCAATGCAAAGCGTTATGAACTTTCTGTTTACACGAAACGGCTGAAGCCGCTCCAAAGTAAGCGAAGAGTTCTGCAAGATGAACTGCAGAATGTCGACGAGGCAATACAACATCTGCGAGAGACATGGCATGAGAACCTTGAAAAGCATCACCGTGCCAGTGCGAAGAATATGCATGACCTTTCCCGGCAAGTTTCTGAGTATATGGTAAGGCGAGACTCCAAAACAAATCTTCGTCTCGGTATATTGATGCTAATCCTTGATGTTCGTAGTCAACGAACCGGGCATCACTGGAGATTTCGATGCCATCCTCAGCGCTGAAATTGTTGTTGGAGAATCTCTTCCACACCCCGGTCATGTTAGCATGCCTAAGTCATGATGAAACAATTCCGTCCATTAAGAATGTATCAATGGAGTCCACGTTGCCTTTCGAAACTCTGGAGGGTCTTGGTCGACCACTAGAGAAGCGAGTGGTTTCAAGGCCATGCTCAAAGCAGGGGAAGACACGAAGAGCTCCTACTTCTCTTGCTGTGAGTCGGACTTCCAGATCACGGCACCTCCGAAAGAATGCACGAAGATGCCACAAAGCTTGGCATAAACCGGCCTTAGGCGCAGGACCACCATGCGAAACATACATCCAAAAGCATGAGGCATTGAATTCGGATCTCGGAACATAAGATGATTGTGATGGAAATGGAGAGACAATCACAGATCCTGTTCCCGGCAATGTTTATTCGGTAAAGTGGCCCTACGATCAAAATAAATATGCAGCTGCCGTACTTCCAGCTGGCTCGTTTGAAAGTGTGGGCATCACAGGTACGATTTTTGACACCGGGCTGAAAAGTTATATTCCGGCGTGCTACAACGTAAACAAGCGGATGAGAACCATCATGGGATGGGCAAAGGGCTACGAAAACGAAGGGCAAAAAGCAAGAAATCGCAAGTTTCCTATCTTGTATCTTGATAATGAGCTCGACATCCCATTGGACGGACTTATGACGATTCCGAATAGGCCATTACTCGATTGGGTAGCGGCCAAGGACATTCATTGCATAGATCTACAGAATCCGAAGTCGAACTGAATCAGCGGATACCAATCAGCATTGATGTTCGCGACACGAATGCAGTCTTTCGGGGAGCAGCCTCAAGAGATAAGTTCGAAAACTTCAAGTGAGCATGGATGCCATGCAGAACTGATTCACATGACGGACATGATCAACATAGTGGACCATGGAAGTATAAACACAGAATTCACTCCGCCTTGTGAAACCCTTCTGAGTCAATCGAGCTTGGCAGATATTGTCGGTCAAGATGCAGAGTCATACTGCATTTCGAGTCACACACGTTCTCAAAGTCTCGCGGCTGATGTCCAGGTTGAGAACTATGGGAATTCGGTGTCCCAGATGCCAGATCATTCTTACAGCGCCAACACGATCGCGAGAGATGCAAACATCCACTTGAGGTCGGCATTGAACGGTGTGGGGATTAGCATGCCACAAGCTCAGCATCAATCCGCTGCGGTACATCAGCCATTCGTTGTTTCAAAGGAACTCGACACGCAGGTTTTGGCTCACGAGTTTTTGAATCCAGTTGGTGGCGAGAGCTACGCCCATACACTACACTCTGATGATCATACAAATGCTGAACCGGACGAACATGATTCAGAGACCCGTCGAGCTTCAACACCACCGGGCACAGCGATGAAGCGCTCTGATGCTAAGGGCTTTGTCGATTATCATGCCGAAATGGCAGATGTGCCGGCCATTCCTAGTGATTTGCAGCAACCGCCAGCAGAAGACGAGCGACACCACAAAGGCTGTACCACCAATCCTCTTCGAGCTCTTGATCCTCATCGGATACTTAGTACGGATGGTCCTCTGCCTGAACGAGACTCAAGTGAACCACACCAAATGCACAGTAATTTAGCCCAGCATCTACATGATCCTTGTCCAGAAATCGGCTACCTCTCACGACCGTCTCCTACTTCGAAAACCACAACATCTATTTCTTTACCACCAATATGGACAATTGTAAGACCTTTGCACGACTTAATTCCAGGCGCAACAGTCATGAGGACTCGTCCTCCAAATTCTTTGTAACTTTGATTCATCGGACATAGCCAACAAATTGTCTCCATATTCATTCTCCAAATAAAGCGGCAAACCATAAACATCGTTTGGGGTTTCAGCTCCGATTGTGAGTAGATGTGCCTCTACGTGAGAATGTCCTCCAAGAATAGCCAACTGAAGAGCATCTGATCCAGAATCATTAGGCATATTCCATTCGCAACCGTGATCAAGCAACTTTTTGACCACATCAAGGTGTCCTTCTTTAGCTGCCAGATTGATACATGTGGCCCCTTGCAAATCTGAAATTGAAGTGTTTGCACCTCTTTTGACCAGCATGTCAACAATCTCCACATAACCTCTTTTAGCAGCCCATGCTAGAGCAGTAAGCCCATTGTCATCACAACCATTGATCTTACACTTTTCCGCGGAAATTAGAGCCTTGACCACTGCGATATAGCCTCTGCTTGAAGCGATACTAAGGGGAGCCCATCCGTTATTTTCTGTGATCATTGGGTCGGCGCCATTCTTGACAAGCAGGTATACAACTTCCACGTGTCCATTATATGAAGCATTATTAAGTGGCGTGAATCCGTTATTATCGGGAACCGATAAGTCACCACCTTTCTCAAGGAGCACTTTAACAACTTCAACATATCCGCTCCTTGAAGCACTGTTCAAAGGCGTATCCCCGCGATTGTTTGTTATGTTTAGGTCACCAGCATTTTCGATGAGCAGTTTGACCATTTCGGTATGTCCGCCAGATATAGCATCATGAAGCGGCGTGTCTCCATCCTTGTTAATGACACTCAGCTCGGCCCCTTTCCCAAGAAGCAGCTTAACGATCTCTTTGTGTCCTCCAGACGAAGCAGCCTGTAGCGCGTTGCCAAAGTAGCCGCCCTGAGCATTGACATCAGCCTCAACATCTATCAAGATCTTTACGACCTCTTTGTGTCCTCGCAACGAAGCAGCCTGTAGCGCGTTGCCAAAGTGGCCGCCCTGAGCATTGACTGCGGCCTTGGCATCTATCAACGTCTGTACGATCTCTTTGTGTCCTCCAAACGAAGCAGCCTGTAGCGCGTTGCCAAAGTGGCCGCCCTGAGCATTGACATCAGCCTTAGCATCTATCAAGATCTTTACGACCTCTTTGTGTCCTCGCAACGAAGCAGCCTGTAACGCGTTGCCAAAGTGGCCGCCCTGAGCATTGACATCAGCCTTAGCATCTATCAAGATCTTTACGACCTCTTTGTGTCCTCGCAACGAAGCAGCCTGTAGCGCGTTGCCAGAGTGGCCGCTCTGAGCATCGACTTCGGCCTTGGCATCCATTAATATCTGTAAGATCTCTTTATGTCCATTCCACGAAGCAGCCTGTAGCGCGTTGCCATACTGGCCGCCCTGAGCATTGACCGCGGCCTTGGCATCTATCAAGATCTTTACGACCTCTTTGTGTCCTCCAAGCGAAGCGGCCTGTAGCGCGTTGCCAAAGTGGCCGCCCTGAGCATTGACATCAGCCTTAGCATCTATCAAGATCTTTACGACCTCTTTGTGTCCTCCAGACGAAGCAGCCTGTAGCGCGTTGCCAGAGTGACCGCTCTGAGCATCGACTGCGGCCTTGGCATCCATTAATATCTGTACGATCTCTTTATGTCCATTCCACGAAGCAGCCTGTAGCGCGTTGCCATACTGGCCGCCCTGAGCATTGACTGCGGCCTTGGCATCCATTAATATCTGTACGACCTCTTTGTGTCCTCCAAGCGAAGCGGCCTGTAGCGCGTTGCCATACTCGCCGCCCTGAGCATTAACTTCGGCCTTAGCATCTATCAAGATCTTTACGACCTCTTTGTGTCCTCCAAACGAAGCAGCCTGTAGCGTGTTGCCAAAGTGGCCGCCCGGAGCATTGACATCAGCCTCGGCATCCAGCAACATCTGTACGATCTCTTTGTGTCCTTCAGATGAAGCAGCATGTAGCGCGTTGCCATACTGGCCGCCCTGAGCATTGACAGCAGCATCGGCATCTAGCAACATCTGTACGATCTCTTTGTATCCTCGCAACGAAGCAGCCTGTAGCGCGTTGCCAAATTGGCCGCCCTGAGCATTGACATCAGCCTTGGCATCCATCAACATCTGTACGATCTCGTTGTGTCCTCCAAACGAAGCAGCCTGTAGCGTGTTGCCAAAGTGGCCGCCCTGAGCATTGACTGCGGCCTTAGCATCTATCAAGATCTTTACGACCTCTTTGTGTCCTCCAAACGAAGCAGCCTGTAGCGTGTTGCCAAAGTGGCCGCCCGGAGCATTGACATCAGCCTTGGCATCCATTAACATCTGTACGATCTCTTTGTGTCCTCCAAACGAAGCGGCCTGTAGCGTGTTGCCAAAGTGGCCGCCCTGAGCATTGACATCAGCCTCAACATCTATCAACATCTTTACGACCTCTTTGTGTCCTCCAAACGAAGCAGCCTGTAGCGTGTTGCCAAAGTGGCCGCCCTGAGCATTGACTACGGCCTTGGCATCTATCAAGATCTGTACGATCTCTTTGTGTCCTCCAAACGAAGCAGCCTGTAGCGCGTTGCCATACTGGCCGCCCTGAGCATTAACTTCGGCCTTGGCATCCAGCAACATCTGTACGATCTCTTTGTGTCCTTCAGATGAAGCAGCATGTAGCGCGTTGCCATACTGGCCGCCCTGAGCATTGACTTCGGCCTTGGCATCCATTAACATCTGTACGATCTCTTTGTGTCCTCCAAACGAAGCAGCCTGCAGAGCGTTGCCATACTGGCCGCCCTGAGCATCAACTTCGGCCTTGGCATCTATTAACATCTGTACGATCTCTTTGTGTCCTCCAGACGAAGCAGCCTGTAGTGCATTGCCATACTGGCCGCCCTGAGCATTGACATCGGCCTTGGCATCCAGCAACATCTGTACGATCTCGTTGTGTCCTCCAGACGAAGCAGCCTGTAGCGCGTTGCCATACTGGCCGCCCTGAGCATTGACATCAGCATCGGCATCCAGCAACATCTGTACGATCTCTTTGTATCCTCCAGATGAAGCAGCATGTAGCGCGTTGCTATACTGGCCGCCCTGAGCATTGACTTCGGCCTTGGTATCCATTAACATCTGTACGATCTCTTTGTGTCCTCGCAACGAAGCAGCCTGTAGCGCGTTGCCAAATTGGCCGCCCTGAGCATTAACATCGGCCTTGGCATCCATCAACATCTGTACGATCTCTTTGTGACCTCCAGACGAAGCAGCCTGTAGCGCGTTGCCATACTCGCCGCCCTGAGCATTAACTTCGGCCTTGACATCCATCAACATCTGTACGATCTCTTTGTGTCCTCCAGACGAAGCGGCCTGTAGCGCGTTGCCATACTCGCCGCCCTGAGCATTGACTTCGGCCTTGGCATCTATCAACATCTGTACGATCTCTTTGTATCCTTCAGATGAAGCAGCATGTAGCGCGTTGCCATACTCGCCGCCCTGAGCATTGACTGCGGCCTTGGCATCTATCAAGATCTGTACGATCTCTTTGTGACCTCCAGACGAAGCAGCCTGTAGCGCGTTGCCAAAGTGGCCGCCCTGAGCATTGACTACGGCCTTGGCATCCAGCAACATCTGTACGATCTCTTTGTGTCCTTCAGATGAAGCAGCATGTAGCGCGTTGCCATACTGGCCGCCCTGAGCATTGACTTCGGCCTTGGCATCCATCAACATCTGTACGATCTCTTTGTATCCTCCAAACGAAGCAGCCTGCAGAGCGTTGCCATACAGGCCGCCTTGAGCATTGACATCAGTCTTATCAGCCACCATTGATCTGACACAATGTGATAGCCCACCAAGTGAGGCGTAGTATAGACCAGGCGCTATACGATTACGCAGACCGATGTTTTCCAGCCTATCCATCCACGGCCGGTCTGGGTCGTAAAGTCGGTACCAGCTCTCAAGTCTACTAGCATTCGACAATAAGTATATTGCTAGCGCAAACATTTGCTGGTGATTACAATCCCCGACAGCAGCATGACTCATCCAATACCGCGCTGAATAACGAGAAAAAGGGAAAAGCCCGATAGTGTCGTTTTGGGGTTTGGGCTCGAGAAGATACCATAGGCAGACTATTGCCATAGAAGTACGAGCCACTTTCTGTTCCAGATGCTGGGCAGTCTCTTTTTCCAAACGGTTAGAAGTAAGGTAGTCTTTTACTGAGAAGTGTGCTAATTGGACTTCTTCCACTATTCTTTCTTCGTTATATTTGCCCTCTCTTTCAACGAGGATGATTAGACTCGAGCAGTATCTTGTGATTTCTTGCGGAACCGGCAACCTGTCTTGCGGGTCAAACCGAGACCGTACCGTTGCGTCCTCTCCTATGTCGACGGCAATAGCATCAACTGCCTCGTCAAGCCGTAAAGGCGTCTCAGAATATGTTAAGAACTGCAAGATACGTATCGTATAGTATTTGTGTGCAGAAGGTATGTTAGCTAAAATCCGTTCATATGTCTCGTCCAGTGTTCTCGGTAGATCTTCAAGTGCTTTCAGTAAAGATTTTTGTTCTAAGCACTCTTCCAACGCGTCAAGCTGGCATGAAACCCACCGAAACCTAGGTAGTCTTAGTAGCCTAACGAAGTTCAGTATCAGGCTCTTACATTCCATCGGCTTTGTCTAGCAGACTAGCCTCGATCCTATCTTGGATATCCGATCGTCCCTGCCAGCGCTTCAAACCCTCATGCTCTCTAACTCTTGCTTGCACGTAGTTGCGTATATCCGCTTCTAGCAAGTCGTCTCGTATAGCGATCATCTGTTCGTTATCAGCGTGGCGTTCGATGGCTGACTTGATGTCTTGTTCGGGGCGACTAGTAATAAGGATGTGCACATTAGACAGTGGTTGGTAGTTTTGCGCAAGATCTTGCATCCAGGACAGCAACTCGATCCGTGGCGTGCATTCATCGAGTGCGTCGAGCACGATCCATACTTCCCTAAGTTCATGGATCATGTTAGTAAACGCCTTTTGCAGAGAATCAAAGCTCGGCTGATCCTTTCCGTCTCGACACGTTGAATAGAGCGAATTCAAGTGCTTTTGGGCATCTTTGTTTCGATAGTACATCTGAATGATAAGAGAGCGGATAACATTCTCAAAAGACTGCTTTCGGGTATCAGTGAAGTCAAAATAGAAATAGAGCGGAGTTCGCGTCAGATCTTGGTTCTTTTGAAGATCCTCAATGACTGTGGATGTTAGAATTGTTTTACCGCATCCAGGAATGCCATATAGCCAAAGAAAGGAGCTTTGTCCGGTTTCCCACTTCATATATGCTTCGCTTTCTAATAGCCGCCGGCCTGAGCCTTTGTGACGAGCCTTAATGGCTTTGTTAAAATTGGTGGAGACATCAGGGGGTGCGAGCCATTTCGTAATGTCATCGAAATGCTTATTTGTTTGCAAATTCTCGACTTTAGAATGCGTATTGTCAACTTGATGTGACACATGATTTATTTTAATGTCAACTACTCTACTATTAGCGCAACACGTGAAAAGAGGTTTTTGTGATATAAGATGCACTATAGAGCTCTGGACTACACACCATCTGAAAGGACGTCGACCAGCTTCCTTTCGGCTTCCACCTTGTTCGGCGCCAACTTGTAAAGCAGGTTTTTTGCGTACGTGGCAGCAGTCATCGCCGCATACCCTTGCCACTTTATGTTCTTGTGCGTATCTGAGTAGTCGCAGATACCACGGATCACAAGACAAGGAAAATGGTTCATCAGCCCGGCAGCCTCCATCTCGAAACATAACACGTCCATTTCAGCCGAGAGCCTATCTCGTATAGTTGCATCCTTCATCAGCTGGTTGGCCGACGCTATGAGGCCGAAATGGATCATCGGGTCGTCTTGTTCTTCGGTTCGCACTACTCGATCGACTAACTTCGAGGCGTCGTCGCATGCAGTCACACAATCGATATCGTCCTTCTCGTTGTGTTTGAAACATGAGCTATAAAGTCTGTCTGTGTCAGACTCCGGTCTTCGGTACTCTTTTCGCAGCCTCGGATTGGCATCAAGAACATCGTTAATAACCTTTTCGATATTATGACCACGACGCTTATACTGAGCTTTGAGGGAAGACATTGCCGTCAACAAACACTGAGGCGGCTGGTTTAACTGTCCAGTAACAGCAAAGCTCGCACCTTGCATAGTTTTCCCGTAATCATATTGAAAAACTCCACCATTCCCATAGCCAGGAGAACTAACAACCACGTCGCCCAGCCGAATGTCGTGCTTCGAACTTGGCGCACCACCACCGATACCCACCATTAAGCCGATTCTTATACTGGGAAAAGTGCGTATCATGTCCCTGGCGACGTTGGCAGCACTGACAAGCCCATATTGCCAATGCGGCAGTGCAGCAATGGCGACATTGTGCTTTCCGACCCGGCCCAGAGTATATGTGTTGTTGTCGTGAACAGGCACATCTTCCAAATCGTCGTGTTCCTCGTCGAGTAAAGCCGTGGCGGCGATGAGTTCAGCTTCCACGGCACAGATCCATCCGATTGTATATATCTTAGGGTCTGACATGATCGGGATGCAGGAGGTCTAGTTGAGTTCAGTCGGTTTGGGTCACGATCGGGAACCGGAGGTCAGTTAGAGGTAGCGGGCGCCGCGGAGCGCTTAGAACGAGTCGCAGATGGGCAACGACGTCTCTGAAGAGTCGGTGAAGTATCGAAAAGGTGGTTTCAGTTCTAGTTATCATCGGAATCAATTGGAACAGTGAAGGAGAGTGGCGACTTTAGAAAGCGCCAAACAGGTCAAAGCCTCGACATTGCTGTCAGCCTCGAACCTGCACCTGCAAGGTTGGGTGAAGCACGATTTTGTCAATGCAGAAAGATGAACGGTCGGAAGCTGATTGAACCCCTCACCTGCAATGTAAGGCGTACTCATCGGGGCGCGGATCATTGAGCCTCGCGGGTTCGGTGCGCACTTGACGAAGACCTGCATATCTGCGATTGACGATGAAACCGTGATATCGTCAGTTTACGGCCTTTGGCAAGAAGTCCTTTAATAAGAGCGGAAACCATCACTGTTCAAAAGGTGTTTGTAAATTCCTCTAAGTATATTAACCTAGGTGCTCTCCGCATCTGACTATAGAAAATAGTTGACTCCGACTGTGGAGCAGTTTCATCAATTTTGGCCACCGATGGAGCCAACTAGCCATCTGGGCGTCATTGAATGCTTAGCAATGTGGGTAGAGACTTACCTAAGTGTGTCGGCAATAGCTAGCCACGACGCGCCAGCCCATCTGACGCTTAAAAGACGAGCGCTGCAAATCGCACTGGCCACTATGGTATTGGCTGGGATCTTGGGGAGTGTCTGTTCGAGGTAGATTGTTAACGACCCTGTAGACTTAGTCGCCCAGTCGCTGTCCGAAGTTCGCTACTAAGTTTCATCCATCTGCATGGCGAGATGACCTGAGCTCTGTGAAAGGCGATTCAGCCCAAACGTCCTGCAAACGAATGTACTGGATATACTATAGATATAGCTTTACATGGGTTCTAATAAAGAATGTACTACCTGATGCTGGTCGGCGATTCAGCGGTATTCTCCATTTCTGAAAACCTCCAGATCTTCCTCATCTTAGTAGAAGTCGGTACGTACCAATGAGTCGAGATTTTAGCACCTTGAAAGGAAATATGGTCCAAATCGGCTCTATCGTTCGAGCACAAAGACTTGTAAAGGGGGCGTAATCTGCAAGTCCTAGACTAACGCACTAACATGGCCCTCGTGGCGATTTTGATTTGTTAGAGGAAATGAGAGAAACGGTAAGGCTTTTTGAATAGGGACGGCCATCAAACGGTTGGGGTGCCGTACTCAATTCAAATATGCTACCGTTTAAAACATTAGCTAGACCCACTTGGCTGCGTGGTTTATGGGTTACACGTTTCCGTGTCACAAGCTGCGGGGCAAGTGATCCCTTCTCGCCAGGTAGGTATGTCCTTGAAGCGCTGGATTAGTACTCAGGTGGGTGACCACTGGGGAATCCCCGGTGTTGTATGTGACTTAAATATTTTTGGAAGTTGGTGAAGGTCGTTGACGCATAGAAGCTGTCTGCAACATGGGACAAGTAAGCAAAGTAGGAATTACTTCTCCTTTAACTTACAGGCTCACACCAGTGTAATTAAACTTGATTCCTGGAGCGCCTCATTCCAAGAATCAACATGCATCTGTCCAATGGCCACACGCTCCGCCAGGTTATTTTTCCATCGCACCAACATGATATTCAGGGCCCAGTCAGTTTTGTAGGAGTAATGACGCGTATCGAATATCTCTTCGTAATACTCTACATTGAACGGGTATTCGGGGGGAAGACGGTCCTGGAAGTGTTCAATGGCTGCCTGTGTTACCTCGCCTTGGCCGCTACGCGATAGCAGGACTAAGTCATAACGAGGGTAGTTCTTGCACGGCGTTATCTCTGCGTCTAGCTTAAAGGCATCGAGCGTGCCGCAGTGTTGACCAGAAGAATCATAGATCCAGGAGGAATGAGACATATTATTGCGGAAATAGTCGGACAAGTTAATACCAGCTTTATCACCGTTCCACAAGGCACACTGGTCTATCCGCGGTTCCGAGATGCTGTATGCCTCAATATTGATTGTTTTGGCTTCAAACACTAGTGCAGACTCTGGTGTTATCTGCTCACCAGCTGTGTAACCGGTAATCTCAGCATCAGAGTCCAGAGCCCGGCCTCGCCGAATCTGGCGCAAACCGCCAGAGTCTTGAACCCAAAAGCTCACAATCTCTGTCTTCAAAGTGACTTCCTGGCCTGCGAAGGATTGCAGACGCCAAGGACTCCAGAAAATGTCTCCGCGCCAGCTCGTCCAACACCAAGTAGGTGATGTACAAAAAGACTCTTCGCTTTGACCGGACGACCACCTGGGTCGCATAGTAGCACTGAACATGGGTCTCCATAGCAATGCCAGGTCGAACAAAGATTCTGGCAGGGCGTACGCGAATTTCCAGCCAAATGACTCTGTCATAGCAGAAAGAATCCCAGCAAATGCATTCAGAGCATCAGCAGAGAAAGTCACGTCCCTCGGGGAATACTGCTTGACAAGCGATTCAAATATGTTGAACTGCATTCTTCGATCGTTTCCGGACTCTCTGTCCAGAGCATTGACCCTCCGCCCCCGTCCAAAATCCGACACATCTTGATCATGATCATCTGCGTTATCCTCCGCCTGGTAAGCGGTGCGGCATTGCCAAAATACTTGATGTTCTGCAAAATAAAGACAACGCCTGGACAGGATACCTTCCTGAAATGTCCAAGCCCTGCGACTCCACGCAGAGAACTGTTCAACGAAGGAAAGTTCCGGCAGCCTGGGAACCAGATGTAGGCCATTGATTTCAACGGGCGACTGGACGAGGATCCGCGAGTGGGTAACTCCTGGTAACGCCGAATCGTCCGATAGGCCATTTAGCGTAACGAGAGTCACATATGCATTGCCATAGATTTGATTCATACGTGAAATGTACACATCCTTCGAGCTGTTGTCATCCTGGATGATACAGAGCGCATCTACCCATAGATATGCTTCACCCACGGCGTCGGTCAGGTCAATAGCATCATTAATTGCCCGTGGTAGCTCGCCCCGCAATTTTCGTAGAGACCCATCCTTTTGGAGATGGTGTATGTTTGTCTTTGTGCACACCAGACTCTTGGAGGAGCCCCAGACATAGCTGAGCGCTACATAACGAGAGCCCCAGTCACACTCTGCGAGCCTCATCCTCCTGACATCGACCAATAGCAACCTCAAGTCTGGCCTCTCAGTTATGTGAAGCTTTGGGGGGTTGCAATTCGGCCCATGAAAGGAAGCGCAGCTATTCATCCAGCCTCGGAGGCGAGAAATGTCAATTTTCTCACCAACAAGCTGGGTACGACCTATTACTCCTGCCTCACTCGCAGTATGCGCAAGTGGTTGGTACAGAGGAATAATTTGGCCCAGGGTTGTAGAGTGGCCCCACATGCCGTCTGGAAGTGTTTCGGATGTGGAATTAAACCAAACGTCGAGGACTGGCTGGTTTGACTTTTCAACATGCCATCCCAGGTAGCAAACTTCCACAGGATAGACGCCGGCCTTCCAGTATTGTCTCGAGTAAATGTTGAGTGCCTGGATCACGAGCCTACAAAGAGGGCAGTCACTTTTCTTGGCGACGTCTTGGAAGCGGCCTAATTCCACGGTGCCGGGATATTTGGCTTGGTAGAGGTAGTCCTCAAGCTTAACGTGTTGACATGTGTCGCAGAGTTTCGAATGCGTTTCCATATTCACGAACCTATAGTACGTTGCGCTATGAGATAACCTAGGTTACAGGCAGTGGACTGAAGAACCGGTGATTCGACGAAGTAGACCGTAATCAATCGCAGATATGGCAACAGTCGAAAAGGTTTAGAGGATCCGCCCTACTATGCCATGCAAAGGTCACATGTTTCCGTGCTGCAAGCTACGCGGTAAGTAATCCTTCCTCACCAGGTAGCAGTACTCAGGTGGGTGGCCACTGGGAAATCCCCGGTGTTGTATGTTTTTATCCTCTATATTTTACATTCCTTTTTTTCTTCTTTTTTTTCTTTTTTTGCTTTTCCAACATTGCATGAATCTCTACGTCGCTACCACACAATGTCATCACATATGACCATAGCTCCTAGAAAACTCGGCATCCCGTCCGCTCTGCCCTAGATAAACTGGGAAGCGCTGGATTAGTAGTTGGATCAGTGAGGCTAGCGAATTATCGGCGTTGTATGCTTTGCTTTTTGCTGCTCATCCATGAATGGGACGTGGAAAAAGTCGACGCGAATAGCGAGGTCTGCGGCGGGATCTGCCGGAGCCAGCTCTTTTAGGTGTAGACTTAGCCACTCTTGATGCGGCCATGGTCTTTTGGCAGAGAAGCGGGGATTAGGCTAACTGAGAGGCCAGTAGAGAGGCGCAGCACAGCGGTGGCGGCGGCGACTAATATATATTGTCGGTAGAAATATTCAAGACCTTCGCTATCTATTGCGATAGATGTATACACTGGAAGCTATATACGATCTTCCGAATAGCCATGCTATACCTCGACACCGACCCTAATCTCTGGTTCGTCGGTAATCTCGGCTTAGTACACAAATTATCTCGTGGTACAGGCTACAAGACTCTTTCGTTTCTAGCTGGCTCTTGAGATTTTAGCTTGTACATTTGGGATTACGGGCTTACCGCCATGGCGGCCAGCCTAACAACGTTCCAGGACGCACGCCTTGGGGTCGAGGCATTCTCCTCACACTTCGCTGTTACATTTAGTATACAACCATAAACAATTATCACTGCTAACTCATCCCGGCCACCGGGACCAGCTTCCATTTTAAATACATAAATAAATAAGTCTTCTTAAAGAGAGTTTAAATAAAAAGTAAAAGAGATTGTTTCCCTGCCATGAATATCGCATGTAAGGCCATCTTTATCTAGTAGAGTTGTGTATAACACCTATTACGCCTTTAATCCTCGGGTCGCTTGACAGGTCGCTGTTAGCGATCCATCGCAATTCCCAAGATTGACGTCAGAGCGGTTGCGAGAGCGGTGACGACGAAGCTAATTCTTAGAGAAACATAATCAGCACCGCTGGGCGTACGGTGGTGAGTTGATTCTAGACTAGCTGTGTCCTGTGTCTCTTGCTTGCCTGCCTAGGCTATCCAAGTTATAGTTTGTAGGCAAGTCGGTGAGATAGAGCGAGCGCGTTCAGAGTTGTATGAGGCCTCGAAGCCCGTCTGTTGTCTGCTAAAATCCACGTTATACCTGACTACCTATAGTTACCTAACTGGCAGATATTTGTATAGCTAAAGGATGCGCTGGCGGAATTAAGTACTGGTTTCAATTAGTTCTGCGAAGCGACTACTCTTGGCTCTTAGCAAGTCAATTGGCTTTCCAAACTCTATTAGATTCCCCGTGTCGAAGACTGCGACGTAATTAAAGTCCATCAGGATGGATAAGCGATGCGCAATCATAATGATCGTGTGGTCGCGAAATTCTTCGCGGATGATCCGTTGAATCTGTGCGTCTATGTCTTGATCTAGACTATGAGCTATAGCCGTCAGCATAATCCGTGCGGACAGGTCAAACATGGCTATAACGCGATAAATAGAAAGAAGCCGTCTACGAACCTGCTCGTCGGCTCATCGAGAATTAGAATCTTGCCTTCCTTTAGCATGGATCGCGCTATGCAGAACAATTGACGCTGCCCGTGTGAAAAATCATCGTCGTTGAGCGGCATGTTAAGAATCGTCGTATCTTTATTACCAAAGGCGGCATCATCACTTTGTGTAGTCGTAGCTTTGTGCTATAGCGCACTCCAGAGACTAACCTTTTGTAAGGCCGCTATTATGGAAGTATCACCCGCTCTTGCCAAGGGATCTGCATTTAGCCGCACTGTTCTAGGAAATAGAAAGGGGTCTTGCGTGAGATAGATGAGACGCTCACGGACGATAGAGGGCTTGACTATGGATATATCGATATCATTAATAGATATGCGCCCTGAAGACAACTCGAGTATACGTAGGAGTACGAGAACGGACGAGCTCTTTCCACTGGTGTGATTTTGGCTGTTAACAGAGGTGCGAAAACATTTTCGGAGAATTGATTTAGAGTATGGCTTACCTGCCCGTTCTACCCACAATTCCGAGTCTTTGACCTCCCTTGATGGAGAAGCTCACATCCTTGAGCACAAGTAGAGCACCTACTCTGTCGCTCCGATATCTTGTAAGTCGTAGCAATCGGGGACTCAAACTCAGCAGCAGCGTCCTCGGTCGGCGTGTTGGTGCAGAAGTCCTTAATCCGAGCAATAGCGCCAAGAGAAGTCTCGAGCAGTGTCCATTGCTGGACAAGATTCGTCAGTGATAAGGACAGAGACATGAGGTTGACCAAAGCAAGACCCAAAAACCCGGCGTTAAGCCTCGAGCGCAGCGCAATGGCCAGGCCCTTGACAATAACTGCTAGAGCAGCAACGATGAGGTCCAACACGAATACCAGCCATCTTTGCACACAGAGGAGCAGGTAGTAAGGCTTCTGTGCGGCCAACCACTATCATCAGCTTGCAATCTCTGGCGATCACCAGCGTCACATCCTTGACCACCTGAGGTGTTGAGGTAGACCACCCAAAGCTGGCTTGGGCCAGACGGACGCGGGCTGCGTCAGCACTGGCGTTCAACCACTGATGTTGCAGGTTCTCATTGTGCCTCAATTGCAGCGGCACACCTGTCCTGCCGCCAATAGACGTCACTCCCAACCGTGCGTCCGTAAGCGACTCCTGGATAAGGAACTCCTGAACCCTGCTAAAGCATCGTAGTGCGGCCCAGCCCACTGGTATTCCCCATACTAAGGTAGCTAGTGGGACTGATAGAAGATTCAGCGCTGCGAGTGATGTGATTGCCTGTGAAACTTGCATTCCTTGGGAGCCCTGCAGCTTTGCCACGATCGCGTAGGTCATGAAGATCGCGAGCGTAGATACAATCTGTGGTAGATTGACTAGAGGAAATTAGTATCAGAGCAGGCCTTCCTTAAATCCGGGCGATCGTCATACCTAGTGCGATATTGAGGCATTGAAATTTTCTGTACCGTCGAGAGATATCTAGTTCATCATCTCGCATCTTCTGTGCGTGATCGCGCATCATCACAGACAACCCAAGCATCTTGATGCCTTTGATGGAATTGAGCACCACGGATGTGAAGTTGATGCGGTGCTGTATTGCTTCAAGCCACCGTCTCTGTAGTCCGCTGATGCCGCTGGCCAGCTACGTTGACAATCCGAAGGAAACTAATGGCGATAGTCAGTCGATGGACCGGTGGCTCTGCGACTTCCCAGCAATCAGCTGCTTACCTAAGGCGACGAAGATTGGAGCAACGCAAACAGCGCCTAGCTGCGTGTAAAGGAGGTAGACGGCAATTGCTGTTTGCAAAACACTGGAAACCAGGTTCACCAGAAACAGATGGAACGTCTCCGCGATCCTTTGCACATCGGTGCTAACCAGCGATATCATCGCGGACTCTCTGACACTGCATACAGGCAGCACTATCATCCTGGCATAAATGAGTAAGATCAATTGCCCACGCATGCTCGCCATCATGCGAAATGTCAGCTGTGTCGCCCAGCCTGTGGCGATCTGTAGTACACCAATATTGTAAGCATGGAGGAGGTGAGAGTGTGATTCGACGACTTACAGCCAGACCAACATAGACAAGCGCAAATCCACCGAGCAGCCCGTAGCCCTCACCCATCGGACGAGTATCGACGGTCTGAACGTAGTTGACAGCGTCCTGGATAAGATATGTCTGGCCAAAGCTGAGGCCCACGAGCAATAACTTGGGTATGGTGATGATTAGCAATTGACTCCAGAGGCTTCGCACACATGCATATGCCGAAGCATGATTTCTCGACTGGTTTGCTACAGTGGCTTAGTAGAGGAAAATATAAGACCCCAATGATGATGGCGGGCTGCGTACCGGTATCCCACGTCCGCCGTATATCAGCTGCCACACGCTCTGAGCCGAGCCTTTCGTGAACAAGTGGCAGTTTGTCTTGGGTTAGCACATCGTGTGAGCCGTGGCGCAATAGTGGATTCAACCACCAGAATGATGCACGACTCAAAAGTCCGCTGGTGCCCTCCCGTGAGAATGAGTAGCCTAAGCTGGCAAAATTGCATCTTTTATCCCATGCTTCAAACACAAGCATTGTCGCTGTGATGGCTACTGAAACTGTCAAAAGCCCAGCCGAGGCAACGTGATTGTGAAAGAGCCATTGTGTCCGTGCGCGGACTATGTCAAAAAGAAGCGTGACAATTAAGAAGCTTGTAATAAGGAATGATGGCCGGATGGATCTGGTATGCTCAAGGTGGGAGATGACAAGAAGACCTAATCCTGCTGCTAAAGCGAGTACTGCAGCAGGAATCGAGACTCTTGTCTGGAGCTGGGGATAAAGTGCAACATCAACAAGCACAGCCAACTGCAGTAGCGAGTATAGGAAGACTGCAATCTATGCCGAGATTTGGATATCAGCTGCTGTAGAACGGAGTAGGAAACATACCAGTTTGCTCGAATGTATGGCATTTCGTGGAAGCAGACGGGGCTGGCGCGCCAAGTTTAGCACTCGGAATGGGAGAAGTATGAGCAGCACAGACGCTGGGGCTACTATCAGGAAACTCTCCTCAAACAGAACTATCAATGGTCGTGATCAGTACGTAAAGTGCGGGGGAAGCCAGACTATCCACAATGAGGCTTACCAGTAAAATCAAACCCCCCACGACAATTCGAAGTACTTATTCCCGGACCAATGGTATCGTCACCACAGGATGCAGGCTGGAGCGAAAGCCATTGTCTCGAGAACTGACACCCCGATGGAAAGTACTTTGCGGCGGGGTTGGCTCTTGAGATTCAAATCACCTGGGCAAGCAGTAGACACAAGAATTCGCGCACTGTTAACTGCAAGTTGTGCGATGGTGCATATGATTCGGCTCCTTGATTGGCCATTTTTATTGTGCTAGGTCCCCTTGCAATAGTTACAAACAATGCGGCCAGGTACCGGGCCGATCATATTACAATCATATCATGGGCCGAAATTACGATTAGTGCAGGATGCATGGAACCAATGCACGGGAACCAATGTACAGCCAACACTGCGCGAATTCTTGTGTCCACGGCTTGCTGGGGACACATAGGTGGATCCTTGAACCACGATTGGTCACCTTGTTGGCCCTTATATTGGAGTACTCTCCTCAAATCCCTGCTCATTATATCATCCTCCTCATCGGGTGTTATTACCCCTTATCTATTCCTTTGTTCTACTGTGGCTTGATACGGAGTATTGTCCCGTTACGGATGCACTGTAGCTGCAGTACCCATTAACCACTGCGCAAAAACTTCAAACTTCGAACGCAACCGTGTAGCAGTGGCCAGATGCATATTTCAGCGTCTTTTTGTAGGGATGTTACCATGAGGCAAGTAATAAACGTGTTGATTTCCAAGAAGTTAAGCAGTAGAGAGGCTATTGGTTCATGTCTGGGCTTTGTTGTTCGGTATCTGTCTGGCTCCTTGCAGCTATTACTAAAGGCGAATGAACGAAAGAAAGAAAGAAGGAAAGAGAAAGAGAATGCCAAGGAAGGGGGGAAATTATTAGCTCCACGTTAGCTGTTAACGTAGTACACCTGTTCCGCTCATGAATACAGAAACCTGATATGACCTGTGAATCACTATACTTAATGTAATGTTGACCCCACGGCCCCACTTGTGGCGGGCCGACGCGTTTTCTTGACTTCCGTTGTGGAGTAATGCAAACCAGATCATCTTCCCCTTAGTGAAGCTGCCTTATTGGAGTGGCTCTAGGATGCTGTGCTCCCTTGCCCACCGGATTAGCTAGCCTGCCCAGAATTGTATCGGTTCTTGTGTCTGAGGAGTTGCTTATATAGTGCTTAGCTCACCTAAATGCATCTTGGCTTCCTCTTCAGTTGTGTTCATTCGCAGATGATATGGTGGATAGTACTCTGGATGGAGGGACTAGCGGATCTCGTTAAGACAACGCATCGAGTGGAAGATATCCAAAAGAACCACGTAATGGCCTTCATCTCCCGGTATTTCCATTGTAGGCATATCCAATTTATCAGCCTGCCATTTCGGAATTCGCGAAGGCAGATCGTAGGTTTGCCTCTAGTAATCATCAAGCTGCGGGGACGGATCTCCCATGAAATGAGTGGTCTCCTTGAAGGCATTTGGGAACACGACCGTATAGTACGCATGGATGCATAGTAGTGGAAACATCAAAGTATTGATATCAGTCAGGGCTTACGATTGGCCGTTGATGTCTCGGCCCCACTAAAAGATCAGGTATCCAAGGTGTCACGGAAGGAACGTGAGTGGAGACACATGTGCCAACGTGGGGCATCTTGATTTAGGCAGCATGCCCCGGACATATTTTTCTATGTATTTAGCTAAGATTCAGTGGGGAGCTTTCCCGAACTCCTCGTGCTTGATTACAGTTAAACATAAGCTTTGCCTTTCCATTTTTGTTGCTAGATTGTGATAGGGCTGTGCAGATCCCGGTGTTTCACATTATGGAAAGATAAAAGGCGGCTTCGTAACCTATAACCCATGGAGCTCTTCTTCCTCCAAGTATAATAAACCACCACTTCTTCCTCTACCTTTGGCCCCTCTTCTTTCTGCGCCTTCTCATATAAGCACAACGCTCGAATTGCGCTTTGCACGGTCAGAAACGTCAACCTCGGGCTAAGAAACAACCCTCATCTAACACACAAATAGACTTGCCTCGATCGATCTGGTCTCCCCGTGGACTCGAACAAAGTCAACCATGAGCTCACATGACGAACAGCGTCCACTTCTGGAATCCTCGGATCTGAGCGGACCACGTGCTCCGCCACATCAGCATAATGATTCAACCCGCCGAGCATTCCTTACCGCGGTTCTTTGCGCTTTGATTATATTCGTCTATTCGCTGGGATCCGCAACTATGCTCACTCCTATGTCCAAGATCTTCGAGGACATAATCTGCCACAACCACGCGAGGCGGCAACCGCAAGCCCACCATGCCCTGGGAGAAGACCGCTGCAAGGCTCCGGATGTGCAGTCCGAGCTAGCCAGTCTCCAAGCCTGGTCAGCTACGCTGGAGTACATCCCTGGATTGCTGGTCGCTGTACCCTATGGAACAATCGCTGATAGGTTTGGCCATAAGCTGGTACTGAGTCTATCGTCGACCGGTGTCATGCTACAGATGCTGGCCCAAATCATCATCTGTATGTCCCTCACCCTTTGCCCTAATCCTGTGTCAAATGCAGATGTTTAATCATCCGAAGGTGCTTTTCCCGATACCTTGCCGCTCCAGCTCATATGGGTCACTCCCGTCCTCGGCTTGATCGGTGGGGGTACAGCGGTGTTGATTTCAATGATATATGCTGTGGCCAACGACAACATACCTGACTCCCAACGGTGAGGAACTCATGATTTCCCTGCGCCTAATAGGTATCGAGGCTCACATTGAGCCACCCAGATCGACTGCTTTCTTTTATATCGGCGCATCGGCTCAACTCGGCCAGCTACTATCGAGCCCGATAGCGTATATCACGATGCGTCGCGACGTCTGGCTTCCTGTGTGCTTAGGTTTCGGGCTCTTCGTCCTTGCCACAACGTTGTGCATGCTTATCCCGAGCAATGCGCCCGAGCTAGTGAGGCAATCGCAACGCAGCGTTAGCCCTAGCGCCTGTAATGCCGAATCAATTCATAGATCGAGTAGCTGGGCTCGCAATTTGATCATCAAGTCTGGCGCTGCGCTGAAATGGATAGCATACGACAACCGACCCGTAGGATATATGCTTACAAGTCTTCTCGTGACAGTGACGGCAAAATACGCAGCGGCTTTAGAGCTTCAGTACATTACGAAGCGATACGACTGGTCATGGGAAGAGGTGAGTATAGTGAGAAATCCATCCGGCATATCCCTAATTGGTGTATATAGGCCGGCCTGGTCGTCTCTGCTCGACCTATTACGAGTCTGCTCCTTCTCACTATCGTTCTACCGGCACTCGGTAGTATGCTCCTGCAAAGAGGGTTCACACCTCTGTCGAAAGATCTCTCGATGGCACGCCTAAGCGTATTTATCTTTGGCATAGGCTCCCTGCTTCTTGGTCTGGCCGAAACACGCGTTCTGGCGTCGGTAGGGATTATACTAATGGCATGTGGTGCTGGGTTTTCTGTGCTTGCCCGCAGCATCATCTCATCGCTGGTCGCAAAGGAGCGTGTCGGCTTGCTATATACCGTTATCAGTGTAATCGAAAGTATAGGCTCAATCGCTGCGGGACCGCTCTTATTACAATTCTTTAATCTCGGACTTTTCTGGGGGGGCGTATGGATCGGACTACCGTTTATAATAGCAGCGATATTATATATAGTAGCATTATTTATTCTTAGCTTTGTATAAATCTCTATTAATAAATAAATAATTGACATATTTTAACGTATATATATATCGACTTAATTATAATACCGAGCTAGCCCCATCCCTGGAACGCAGAGGTTCTGATAGGTTGTTTGGCCGGAAGTGGTCTCGTCCGAGGCTTATCCCTGAACGAATTGAGGCGCTAGCGCTTACGCTGTAGCCACCAGTGGACTAATGGACTGGTGGTCTGATGGGCTGGTGCACTTCAACATCTAGACAGCTTCAATTTCAATTCACCTTGGGCTTAGAAAGTGATCAAACATAATGCAAAGCACGTAGCAAGTTTCTTAATGCGTTTATCCCTTAGAAGGCTTGTAACTTTCATTATATAAATCCCAAAGAAGGGAAGTATTTATGCGAAAGCCATAAGCTGAGTACTAGAGAACACTGATTTACTTCTTCCTGTGAAAATGGCGTGCGAAGAGGCTTAAGCGGCTTGTACATGATTACAAGTCCAACTATAAAGCGTTAGCCTATACTATCCTTTGGCAAACTGCTCTTTCTTATATGGCTATAGCAGTTCTTAGGAACACAGAAGTTCTAACCTGACGCCTGTGACTACTGCTTTGTATCTACGAGTGCTACACGCGTTGTCGAACTTTTGTACCTCAGAGGCCATTGGCCATGGTATTCCCATCATTACAATGCGTGACAGCGATATAGCGAGTCCCGAGCGCGCAAGCTTAAGGGTGGTTTGAATGAACGTGGGCTGAATCCTCTACATGGAGTGGTTCGGGCAACTTTTATGGGCGATCTAGTTATGCCTGCGAGTAACCCCGAAGGTGCAAAATGGAGACGTTGGCTAAGGAATTTGATGACAAGCCGTTCTTAGAAGCATAATGATACATATAAAACGCTGTATGAGGTGCATCAGAAACAAATTATGGGGGGGTGAGGAGGCTGAGCTGGCTTACTTACGCGGGCGCTAGTAGACGAACATGATACTCACTTTAGAGGATGTACAAGGTAAGAACACATTTCGCAACGGTCATTTTGTGCGCATTACATCTAGGTCACATTGACTTTTATTTGACTAAACAGTTCTCAAGTTGTTACATTGAGGCAATCCATAAGGCCTGAGCATGGCTCAAAGACTTGCAATTGATGTCTAAGAGCAACCACACCCTCCTATATCACTCCTAGGCCATCAAACTGGCAAATTGCTTGTTTGAAGAAATGAATACGTTAGAGAATGGCGGTTTTACTACCTAATGCCAGTATCTTTGTCTCTGTGCATTGCAATTTCATGGACGGCGAGCGCAAACATATTGAAGACTAGTTGGTGTTTTCGTCCCGGCCTCAAATCGAGAGGGTATTGGCATGAACAACAGACATCAGGGCACTGCCGACGTTATCAAGGTTCAATACAGGCCTGATGTCTCCTTGATATGAGTCCTAGATTGAAGGGAAGGCTGATCCGTTAAAGCCGATTATTAATCTACTGATCCAATCAACAAAAGGAACCGCAAAAACTATACGTACTTGGAATTATGTGACGAATCATTTAGTTAGGTAGGCTCTATTTAGATGTTCTATCCAAGAGTAGACACTAGCGAAATCCCGAGGGAAGTATATGACCATTAACGGCAGCTGGATTTATCCTTTCACCGTCCCTTCAGCCAACTTAATTATAATAAGTGTATTGGCTCGATGGCAAGGTGATGTCATCTTTTCCCAGTTTACCACTCTTTCTATACCCACCAACTAAAACGATTTGGGTGAGGTCAGCCCCGTCCATATTAGCAAGAAGGCGAGCTATATCCAAGTGACCATAACGAAGAACTATATGAGAAGGGCCTGACGCCCTTCATCTTAGTGCAGAACATTCGTGTTGGACCTGCTCTCTAAGACCAGTATCTTGTTAAGTTTGTATCGCTGAGCTGGTAGAAGACTAGTTGCAGTGATAACTGACTGACCCCCTTTTTGAATTTGGCAACCAACATCCAGAATATGGCAGGATTGAAAATCTTGTCGCCAAGCGGTAGATGTTTCTCTGTCCAGATTGCGGTATTCGAGGTGCGTTTCCAGCTCTTCCTGTGCCAGCAGATATTCCACCATCTCAACATAGTTTTTATAAACAGTTTTGTTAATCAATTGATGTAGCGGTCTACCGTATAGAGAGCCATTGTTCCATCTCTGGTTGTAAGTCAATTGATGTCGTAGGTGTCCGTGATTTCGTGCTAAAGTCAAAAGGCGCCGGACCATTGGGAAATTGTTGCATCGGGCAGCAATACAAAAGAGTTCATTGCCTCATTGATCTTCAACCATCTCGTGGAATATTTAGCAAACAAGGTCAAAGACATTGGCCCAGCCCTGTCTTTCCTTGCTTCCCGTGGCCCAATGTCTCAAAACTCCCTCGAAAGAATTGGAATTTTCGCAGTTGTAAGGCAGAATCCCGTGCAAAAAAGAGTCGACAAATCCAAAAAATTTCCAAAGTAGGACAACACAAGAAGCTGCTCAGCAGCTTTTCGAAACGTATCTTCGAGGTAGATGTGCTTCACAATTTTCGGATTTTGCAGGCATGTTGTAGAGTATCGCGTCCGATGTAGACAGGGAGCTGACGACCAGGGCATTGAACAACCCGCCATCAGAGTCCCATTGTCCTTTGAGAGTACAATTGGGGCAACAATTTTGTCTTATCCAATTATCTAATCGCTTTAAGCCTTTCTGACCTATTGTCTCAAGGCCAGAACGAATTATGCATTAATCACAGCAAATGCACACCCCTGATATGTGAATCCTGCATGAATAACCGTGTGCCTTCAATATTATTAATCAGAACCGCAGCGGTGTGTATCCAACTCTATGTTGTAAATGCTCTCGCTATTTTTCGTTTCGTAATCTATGATTTGCGTCATATAATGCAACTTGAAGACACAACTCGCCTGCTGTCAGACATCGCTGGAACTTGACATCTGGTTGGAGTGGTCTTAAGATGCTGATCGATACTTCGTTTGAATAAACACTAGGAATTTTCCGAGTTAATCGCAGGGTCATTATGGCCTGGTGATGATACGTACCTTAAGAAGCAAGTTTGTGGCGTGAAATTCACGTCATGTCGCAAATGGCTTGGAAGATCCCTTTTCCAAACTTGCATGTCATTGTACAACTGTCGTCTCTTGTCGAGATTTTTATTCTCTGCAATGTCTAGAGACTCGACGTTTCAAGTCATGGCCTCATAGAGTTTGAGAGACAAATCGCAAGTCGCATTCAGAGTGCCAGTAACAAAGGGAGGAGAGTTGTCGTTAGTATTGTGTGTGTCGCCGAAAATATCCAGATTCTTCTCAACTGCATTGCATGTGCTCTCGGAGTTAAAGAATCGCTCCACATAAGGTGGTGGAAGCAAGGACTTCTGCAGATATAGATATGCTACTAAACTAGAGTCTGACATTAGCTATGCTGTTGCGAATCTTCTGTTAGCCTCGGTACACACCTTTCAAAGCAGACCATACCCCATAGGGCCTTTGACAAAACTCTTTTTGCAGCGAGGTGACGGCTGTGTTTGTTGGTTTCAGAACTCTGTCAAACTGCAGTCTACGAAGCATTCTACAGCACATGTACCGGTACATCTATAAGTAGTCAGCGTCTTTACACTGCTTTAAGTAAGATGAGGACGAAATGGATTAATAATTCTTGACTCTCAAGCCGCGCAAAGATGTCAAAGCCATATGAAAAGCGGGGGTTGACATACCATACCCGCCCTATCCATACCTTGTTATGCCGTGAAAGAGAACATTAATGCCAAGCCTTGCACTGTCGGCAGTGACGCGCGACCATTCTCAAGGTCTAGTAACTTTTTGGCCTCATCACGAAACTTGCTACCAAGATCTCCACCCTTTATGAACTTGAACATGTCGGCGCGTCTGGAAGTAGTCTGTGACACGAACGAGCCGAGGTTGTTGGCTACTAGAGCAGCCATCTAAACGTACACATCTTGAGGCACAGATGGCGTTTACAAGGAATCACGAGCAATACTTCGCCGTTCCAGGACTGCCATTGCGCATGTCGTCCAAGAATGCATCGCGATCGATAAAGGGTAAAAGAAAAGCATCGTCCCATGCGAAGAAAGATGAGATCAAACCCGACACAATGTCGTCACCAGCCACTAATGTCCACGGTTGAGCTTGGATCTTGAAGTAAATGTCTTCCAAGGTATGCACATCAATGGCCAGAAGTCGCGCGTCTAACGCTATTAGATTGAGGCCGCTGGTGGGTTGTTCAACAGCAGCTTCGCGTCCGTAACAGATTGGAGTACAGCAATCGGATCGTTAGTCGTGCGCAGACGCTTGAATATCTCGTGCGCATTGTGCTCAGGTCGTGTGCAGAGAAGCCCAAGTGCCTCTCGCAGTTGGTTGTTCTCAACTTCCAGGTTGGAGATATCCATTTCCAGAACAGCCAGACCATCTCCCTTGGAATAGCTGCACTCGATGCCTCTATGACTGCAAGTAACGCACATCGGCTCAACGCCGTTACATCTGGTCTTTCGTTTACGGCAGTTCAGACACGCGACAGCAACCGCTTTGCGCTTAGCGATCAGCGTTGCAAGCGCTGGACGCCTCTCCGAGGTATCGATATTATCTGATTCCCAAATTTTGGCTGGCAACACTGGTCTGAGTTGCTTGTTCATGGTCGTTCAGCTCGTCCATCGGGACATCCGTCCGGGGCTTAGGACACCGGACACACCAGACCTTGATCTGTCACCAGTTGGGTTTTTTTGGGGCAGGGTTGGAATCGATACGGTACTCGAAGTAGAAAATCAAATTTACAGTCTGATATCGTCGTTCGCTAGCGATTTGAGTGATCTAGGTATGTTTCTGCGATAGAGATCGTTCGATTGATCTTGTTAAAGTTAGTGGCTTAAATGAACCATCGGATATTCTATTCGCACTTCCCCGATGAAATCAGTAGGCTCGGAGTTTCAGTGTAAGATCTCAGATATGGCGTCGATTGGTCCAGAACTATTGGCGGCGTAAGCAAGCTGCTTACTGGAAGCATTGTGTCTGGATTGCCACTGGTATTTGCACTAAACTTCTGTGCTTGTCATATAACCATTAGAAAGAAGCCCTTCAAACTAGGAGGAGTCTGGAACAATGAGGCAGATGAGTGCATCCACTAGCTAGTATTGGACCCCAATCAGTCACAATTGATGTATGAGCTTCAAGTACATGCAAGGACCAAGTTGAGTCTAGACATGTTCAGGAAGACGGAAGAGCTTGCACTTAAGCATATCGAATAGGATTGCAAAGAGTCAAATGACCTGGAGTAGTTGAGGTTTGTCAGCGCATGTCTAACAAATCCTGGATGTGCAAAGTGCGCCCGCTGATACTAGAACTATCACCAGCTTGCATTATCTAGCCTCATCTGCATTTTACTCAGACAGACCTCCACATCTATCGCACAAATCTATCGCAGCCACACGAGATGTCTGCTATGATTTCCGTCACCTGAATTCGACGATCAGTAGGGGTCGTGCTGTTGATCGAATTGAGAACCACTAATATGAACCATGGCACAACTATCAGGCCCTGATAGTGGAGTCGAAGTCCTTGGTTGAAAGTAGCTCGAAGATCGTGGCAGTTGTTCCATCGTCAAAGAAAACTAGACAAACGGTAAGGCTTTGTAACGTGAACGACTATATAACGGTATGAAAGCCGTAATCAATTGGGATGCCGTACCGTTTGAAAATGTTCCGGGATCCACTCTTCTGCGACGGTGCATGTGTTACACGTTTCCGTGTCACAAGCTGCGGGGAAAGTGATCCCTTCTCGCCAGGTAGCTATGTCCTATGATCGCTGGATTAGTACTCAGGTGGGTGACCACTGGGGAATCCCCGGTGTTGTATGTTTTTTTCTTCTTTTTTCTTCCCCTTTTACATTGTGTACACTACGTTACTTTTTTATTTAGTGGCTGCAACGGAGTGAATGAGAACTATACTTCGTAGAACTCATGAACCTTAAGAACTGAATGTGAATATCGGGTGCTCCCGGAGCTAGCGTGTAGAGACATCACTTTTGAAGTGCCACCAATAAACTTTTGCATGTCAAAAGTCGAGAAGTGGGGGTTCGGCGAGCAGAAAGACCGTAATCGCCAAATTGAAAGAGCTGCATTTGCCAAGAGGCGTACAGCAGTGGTGGTTAACAAGCTGACCTTTCTGAAGCAGCACTTTCCTTGAGGCCGTTATGGCTTTTGACCTGAGATGGGGCATGTTGAAACCCGCAGAAGTTGATGTTCAGCTCGGTGGATCATTGTGAAACGTGACAGAATGGGATTGCCTATTAGATGGATTAATTAAGAAGGATGGCGTGAGCTTTGTAGTCGAGGTACGAGATGGCCTGTAGCTGATGCCATGACAGTCCATAATTGAGTGGAACATTTTATCAAGAGTCTGTTGACTTGGTTGTCATTCCGCTTAGAATGTCGAGACTGATGGACAGAAGTCGTGACATGCTTAGGCGACCCCCCTTCAAGTCTACCATGTGCCTCAAAAGCGAATAGGATCATCGATGATTTTTTCCTCTTTCTAAGCGAATGTAAAAAACGTGGCTGTCATAATCCAGCCAAGTTCTCCTTCATAGCTGCTAAATTGATGCAACCTCATGTTGGCTTTCGCCGAATGCTTTCATTCATTGTTGCCCAACGAACCTAGCCACCTGTGCGTGATATGTCAATCGCTGTTTTGTTTATTCTTGACTTGACGCTGCCAAGAAAGAATGGCAAAGTGGCCCTTTACTTATTCGTGGAGGCGAGAACTCTTTGGCACTCTAAGGCTCACATACTCTGCTGTGTGTGCGTATAGGGGTGAAGTGTGTGCGTGTTACCATCGACCAGCCGTGGTGCCAATTCGAAAGCCACTTTGGTGTCAACCCAAGCAATAAATCATTTGCTTTTTGCCTATTTATTCCTGTCGACGACTCTCTCCATTTTAAACTTTCTTGCTCTTCCTGGGGCATTCAACCGTTGTGTCAATCACAGTGGCTGAGATAACATTATCAATTGTCTGGTTGTCTTTTTTACCAGTTGTCAACCCCAAATCTTTCACAACCTATTGCACTCTGCCAGAAGAGAATATCAACTATCTATCTGGACCGAACGTACGTTCGACTTTGCAGATCTTCTGGAGCTCCATCTTCACCGTCTTTCTTTGTAGCTGGACTGTTTCACACCTCAACATTCCTCAGCGGGAAGCATCGCGGCAGCAAGTGAATTTCAAACAGCAATCAACTCCTGAACAGCAAGCAAACTCTGAACAGCATGCAAATTCTGTACGACGAGCATTTGAAGCATCTGTTATCATCTTCAGACCATAGGAAGATGGCTGTCAAGGAAGCCAAAATGGATGGTTCTTACCATCATGCTACCTGAATTCTGGGTTGGCAAATCCATGGCTGATTTCGTTGCCGCATGGAGGTCAAATAACTGCAGCAATATGAAGAATTGGGCAGAAAAAACAGGAGTTCAATGGACGTTGACTCATGCATTTTCTGCCAACATGGGTGGTTTCATACTAATAGATGGGTCCGAGTGGTGTCCTGCCTGTCGAGATCTGATTATGAGCCATCCCTCAGATCCTATGGAGATTGATCTCAAGTGCAGCCAGAGCCACAGCCAGAGCCAGAGCCACTATCCCGCGACTCGGGATGCACCCACGTTCTCCAGTCATCACAGCCGAGCGTCGACCCAGAGTCATCGTCCCTTTGTACAAAGCTTTCAAAGTCAGACTTTTCGAGCACGATTTGAGAGTTATTCGTCTCAACATGAACACTGGAACGACGCCCGAAGCAATGTCGTGTTTATTTCTAAGCCTCGGTGGAAGGGCGGTATTCCTATTACACTTCGTGCGGTAGATCCCTGCATCTTACTGAGCCACGGGGTAACCGATCGCTTACCAGCTATTACGGAAGACCAAATAAGAGGTCAGAGCAAGCAGGATATTTTTATCAAGAGCTTAACCCTCCTTCAGGTCTCATGACTTTTCGTGCAACTGGTCGCCAGGAAGGTCCAAGGGCTCTCTTCGACACAGCTTGAAATAGCTACTCTCAGTTACGCAATTTGTACCTTTATCACGTATCTGTTCTGGCTCCACAAACCGAAGGACCTGATGTTGACAGCAGAAGTCATAGCAGTGCGGAAGTTGACACCAAAAGACATTGACAAGCTCAACCATCTTTCCGGATACGGTTTTATCAAGAATACATTCGCAGACGAGGACTTCAGCCATCGATCGACACGGATCCCAAATTATCTTTATAACGGCGAGGCAACATTTGGAGCACTCGACACTGATAATACAGGAAGCTTCGCTTTTGGTGCGGAAGATCTAAGAATGATTATCGGTGCTATGGCTTTTGGCTTAGCGCACCTCATTGCATGGAACATCAAATTCCCTATGTCTTTCTAACAGATCCTTTGGAGAATTGCAAGCTTGGTTACCGTAGGTATTATACCTTTGTGGTATATTATCTGGATCTCGTTATGCTTATGTGGTATCTCCAAAAACGGGCAACCTATAAAAAAGTCATGGATTTGGATGCTTAAGATGGCGACAAGGATATGCGCGGTTGTGATGTATTCCACGTACGTTGTGTGTAGGATCTTTATAATGGCTGAAGCTTTTAGAAGCTTATTTCACCTACCTACCGATGCTTTCAAAGCAACTTAAACAGTAGGCTTCCCATATTTCTCTTAATTAGCTGTTTGGATATGGAATGATACTGTCAGAAGATCAAAAATATACTATCCGTTGTATACGGAGTAGTGCATCGAACGAAAGAAGGGATCTTAGCTTATTAGCGTGGAGAGAGTACCTACCAAGGTAGGCGACCTACTACCATAGTATAAGCAGTGGACAATGCAGTACCCCTTCACCAAGTACCTAGGTATATCCTTCAAAGACGGCAGGAATAGTACAGCACCTACTTCGTAGATAGGTGGGTGATCACCAACGAAAACCAGGCGCTATGTATGTCCCTTTCTTTTATCCTAATCCAAGGAACTCTGTGAATATACCGACCACCTAATGCAGCTACTTGTGAATGCATATTATACAGGTAGTATTTGTACATTTTTAAGCCGCCCGCCAAATCTTCAGATTATTACCTTATTGTTACCTGAACTGCGACATGACACACAGGAGCAGCGACAGGGATACAAATGAGAGGCGCGGGGGAATTTGAATGGGCGTATCGAATTCATTGAAGAATTAGTACTTCAGAAAAAGTATATACGAGTTTCGGGGGCCGTCTTACTATGCTGCGTGTATTGGCATGGCCCCCCTCCTTCACTTATTGAACAGATGTATTCATCTGATTGGGGCTATAGCAATATCTATGCAGCCAATTTCGAGCACAGGCGAGGCCATGGCCGATAAAATAACGTTGCAAGAGGCCATTGCTGCACGCCACTCATCGCGCGTCTTTCTCCCCAAGCCCGTCCCGCGCTGCGTCCTCGACGAGGCACTGGATCTTGCGAGGTACGGCCCGTCCAACACCAATATTCAGCCTTGGCGGCTCTTTGTTTTGACAGGATATCCCCTCAAGAAGCTCAAGGCGGCCGTTCTCGCAGCCGCCAGCGCGACCGACGAGCCTTTACGTGCCATCCCGCCGCTGCCGGCCCATTTGGAACCCTTGCGCAAGGCTTTCGGCGCGCAGGTCTACGGCACAGGCTTTGGCGTAGAGTGGAACGATAAGATCAGTCGACGGGCGGCGGTGCTGCGCATGTTTGGGTTCTTCGATGCGCCGGTTGCCGCAGTGGTGTGTGTAGACGAGGAGCTCGGCCGACCCGACGCTCTGAGTGTCGGCATGTACCTACAGACGCTGCTATTAGCGTTGACGGCACGGGGGGTCGGACTCAGCTGCAGAAGCTTTATGTCCCGCCGTGATCGGTCCAGCGGCGGATAGACGAAGTGGCCGCCCATATCGCTAATTCCAGGAGAACAATCAGCGAGTTTCTGGTTTTGAAACCGGGCAACAACTTGATTGGATTGAAAAGAAAGGTCAACTTGTCACATGCTATGTGCCTGAAACATTCTTTGCGATCTGGCTGGTCAAATCGTATCTGCGCCGACCGGGTTCAGTCGAATGCCTCATTGGACCATGTACGTGGCTCTGGAATGAAGGCACGGAAGAAGATATGTTCAAACTCCATCAGAACAAATTTCTAGGCATAAATCAAAGCCAAGTAAATCTTGAGCTTAGCTACACGGTAATTATCACTAGAAATACTGCGTTTGATTTAAGCTCTGGAAGTGGTTGAGTGCACCTGGATGAACTCCCCAACTGATCCAAACGAGGGATACACAGCTCGCACAACGATGGTTTCTCGTCACATATCTTCAATGATGTTATCTTTAGTTCCAGAGCTCTTAAGATATATGGATGCAGCTTAACGGAGATGACCTCTCAAGTTTCGACGTTGTCAACCACAGACAGTAAACGCTGAATTTACTTTTCCTAATGAGAAAGAAATCAACGGATGTTGAGGTCAAACTGGAATGCCAAAGATGTATGTTTCGTTTGCGAGAACTAGATTGTAGTTGGCCAGTCGGCGACAGATTGTTGTTCACCACATATTCACCATTTATGAGTGTACTGTTATATCTCGCCCAAACCATTATGTGTACGTCGTCCTCAAATAACGTTGTGTTGACTGTCAGCCATTTCTGCATTTGTGCGCTATCAGACCAGAACATGACAAAAGTACTGCATTAAGATGTCGAGACTTCGACAGCGGATCATTGCCGGGCCAATGAAAGAAAGAAATTCGAGAACAGTCAACATGATTAATACTGCCATGGTCATTGTGGTCATACTCTACTTAATCGTCATCCCAAGCCCGACGGCTTATGATGATGGGTCTAGCTTGGTCCCATGGTCCATTCATGGCGTTCTTGTACTTTTGCAACCCAATCAACCACCAACTGGAAGCACCCATGGCAAATACGGCGATGAACACACCGACCGTAACACCTATGAGTCCATTCTTCCATGGGAACCCGGGGTCGTTCTTATCGCTCAGGACTAGACCGACCCCACCTCCGGCCCCGATTATCAGCAACACAGACAGCATGACGTGATATTGCCAGCTTCGGTGCCGTGCGTACCTTCGAAATACCGGGAACAATCCAAACACCTCGATACTGAACAACGTTAGGCTAAATACTTGGCCCGTAGAAGGAAGGCGGGACGCGAGCACTGTCGAGGCCATCAGTGCGGCATTGGTGGACAAGGATGCCGGGAATTTAACGGCGACGCCGCCCGAGTAGTCGTAGAAGAATATATTGACAGTCAACAACCAGAATGACATGGCCCAGATACTGTCAGGTGAGGTTGATCTCGTCAGGGATTTGAGTATGGGCGAAAGCCCCAAGATGGTGAAGTAAATAAGGATGGCGGATTTGATGGTGCTCAGCCGCAGACTGAGCCGCCCACTCCGTAGCGGAGACGAGGGGCGGTGTTTGAGCCCATCCTGCAGATCGATTGTGCGCCCCTGATTGCTACTGTGCGATACGCTCGAATGCAATGATATCGCCGACCCGCCAGCAGGCTGCCGCAGTGTGGTGAGATTGCTCTGTGATTGAGATCTCTCTGTTGTGCTTAGATTGACCATGGAGCTCGCAGCGGTGACGGAGGGTGTAGGCGCGGCCGTCGACGACCTGCTATTTTCCTGTCTGGCTTGGTGTCGGGCACCGCGACTGCGCAGACTGTTCTGGCGCTGCAAGACTTCGTCTTCGCCCTCCTGGCCTATCCACCAGTCCCAGACTAGCCAGCCAAGAAAGGTTGCGAAGCTGCTCCATCCCACTATGGTTACAGGCGATACCCTCTCCGTGAAGATGCCCACGAAGCAGACAACGAATATGGTGACGGAACAAACTTGCTGGACAATGACAGTGGTGTCTGCAACAAGCGGCCAGAACTCGTAGGGCTGCAGGCGTGGGTTTCTTTGCAGACTGTCCAAGAAGGTAGTCGCATCGGTATAGTTGTCCGGGAAGGACTGCTTCACCCACAAGATCTTCTTCCAAGTACGCCTCCTCCGGCGGTGTCTACTCCTGCTACGGCTACCGAGCTTCGATCGCAGTCGTTTGCGGGATTCTGCGCCCGAGTCGTACCGCAGATTATTGTCGTAACCATTCACTTGTCGAGGCGGAGAAGTCGCGAAGAAGGCATCTTCCGGTGCCAGATGGGAGCGCGATGTCCGGGGTGAGTTGCTGGCGTTGAGATCAGGTAGGGTGTTTGCGCGCGTCAGGGGTGGAAATGTACCATCCTGTGGCGACGATCGAGATGTCGCCAGCGAGGGTTGAGGTCCCAGACGTGAGGCCATTTGGAAAGGCCGAGGATCGGTTGGGCCCTCGCATCAAGGATGGGCTCTCCAACGCTTGGCTCGAGACACTCCGGGAGACAGTCGGTAACGTGGGGGGGGGCCGGCGGGATTCGATTTGCTGCGGTATCACGCAAAAGGAGTCAACTTCCGGATTTCGTTGCTGGCCTACCACGCACTCTACGCGGATCTCGACCGTCTCCACGCGTGCTGCTGTAGTGTCAGCTCAGAGCTGAGTGACAGTGACAGTGACAGTGACAGTGAGGGCTAGAGGGCCAAGCTGCACCACGGAGCACGGAGCACGAAAGCAGGGAGCACGGCCCACTTGCGGGGCCGTCGGTTTTAGGCAATCCCTTGGATCCAATTGCTTGCATCCAAATGCTTTTACGACAGAGCCAATTGCAAGCCACTCGCTGCCAAAATCTAGGCCCATAACTATACATATACCCGTATTTAGTGTCTGTCACGTAATGTAATGTATGGCTGCAGAGCCACACTGCCGGAATTCTCTCGATATATCCATGCTTGTTTTCCCCAAGGCCCTCGACTGGCTTAGAGTACATGCAGCAGTAGTACGTCCCATGGTACGGAGGGAGCATCACGCCTTGGAAAGGGCAGTGGGGCGAGTTCTTCCGCAGGGGAGGTGCAACTTGGTTCCTCCATAATCCATCCCAGACCGATACATTCTGTAGTAAAACATCACCTGCGACAGATGCCATCTCCCCGCAGTGGACTCGGCGAACCCGATTAAAGCTCATGTTAACAGTCGCAAGACAAACACGACACGAACGGTGATCCATGCATGTACTCGGTAAGACTTGCTTGCCATCCACTGGGCTCCATGATCATACTCAATGATGAAACCCTCATTCTTCGAGCATAGGCAACGACCGAAAGACCAAAACGGCTCTTCGTGGCGAATCACAGCGGCGTCGATCTGGTATCCCTGTCTCTTTTCCATTACTTGTTATGTCCACTAAGACGACGCAATGTATTCAGCTCTGCCCAGGAAAGCATTGCATGTCCGCGGGCTAGAGCCAATAGTTGTGAATCTCATCATTGCTAACTCTTGTGTCTGCATGAATTAGCGTCCTTGACGATTTTTGGTCACCTAAAGCCGTGCGCTATAGAAAAAAATCTCCTACTCTCTGATGGCTCGAGCACGTGGCGTACTATCTGGTCAGCTATACTAACTCATGTAGCCGTTCCTATTCGAGCATACCTAGACTATCGTTTGTTGGCTTCTCTTCGCTTGATCGGCTACCTGACATGGGCTTCTCTGGGTAAAAACACATACCCTATGCTCTCGTTGCTCTTTTCCTTTCCTGCAGATCACCAGGTGGAGCCCCTTAGCTTGTACGTACGGTGTACGGGAGTGAAACACCGAATGCTAGGCATCAACCCAGCGCTGCAACGTTGCTGATGTGTCGGAGAGGATATTCTGAGGCATCTGCGGTCGACGTTTGTCATAAAAAAAATCGGATGACTGTGTTGCACGAGGCACGGGGGAGCATTATCAATTAATATAATGCTAGTCAAGGCGATCCAATAGGATGATCCAGAGTCGAATCACTCCATGGTGCAGATCCAAGATCTGTGGGTATGACAATAAGCTTCAACATGGTCTTGCTGATCCCGAGGTTTTGTCCTGGTGCAACAACATAGTTCAAGCCCTCCCAACTGCCGTCGCGCGCCTCATCTCACCGACGATGAAGCTACCAGATGCTTCAGAAATCACTAGCCGGCCTCTTCTGAACTATCGTCTACACATTCTCCCAGGACACTCAGGCTATTATTGTGACAAATTTTCCCAATTCTTTTGATTTAGTGGCAAGCTATATGCTATAGTCTTCTCATCCTCATAAGAGGCTTGAGTGTCGTGATTGTCCTCCCACGTGCTACCACAGACTACGTTGTGGATTGGTGGAAGGTAGCCTTCATTTCAGCAAACGCCCAAGGTTAGGCGCCACCAAATTTTAGGTGCTGAATCTGTGGCTCGGAATGCTGGGCAGTGGGAATCCTACCAGCGCGACCTGCCCACATCGCGGTTGCACATCTCCACTTGACAGTCGGGGAGCGTGAACTACATCTCATCGCTGATTGACTGTTCTATTTCCCGTTTCATGTGTGGGTTATCGAGTTGTTTCCAATGCCCTTGATCACGTTGTCACATTGTTGTTACACGACAATGCAATATGAACTGTGCCTCTAGTGCGCAAAAATTAGCTTACCGCTGTTGTAAGCACTACCAAATGAACCGCGGCGACCACGGTTTGATTATGCCTCAGTCGACAATTCTTTCATCGTAACAACTACCAAGTAGGAAATAGTAAGACAGCAACGACGCTTACGGTGCGCTAATATGGAGAGATCACTGGATCGACAATGCTGGCCCGTCCTGCCCTGTCGCACAGCCAGCCACTTGGACCACGTTGTCGGAACTCCCAGCACAACAGAAATAGCACATCCTCCTCCGTAGCCTGGCGGCGCACTATGCAGATTGCAACTGCTTGACAAAAAGCAAACCAACTAGCACTGGACTAGGCGGTCATACCGTTACTGTTTTCGGGCGTGCATCGCCTTTTTGGATTCGTGTAGCTACTTAGTATGTAGTCACTTGTTTGGTACTCGGTTAGACTAGAACGTAGTTAGCGTCTCATGCTAGCCATTTACCATGTATGGCAAGTATCGTGGGTGGATTCAAGCTCAGGTCCGCGGCCGCGGGGATTTTGCTCAGGGTCCTCCTAGTCCCGCCATACTTCATGATCCTGGTATGCGACGCCTCTGGTTTTCAGACGAGACCTGAGCAACGTGCCCACATACACTACTTCAAAGTTCGCACTGCGGTTTTGGCTGGACTGGACTGTGATCACATGGTCCATGAGCGAAAAGAGTGTCTTTGCGTAATTGTACTCACACGTAAGTATAAGCTGATCTGCTGCTTGTTCCTGGGATCTAAAATCCTTCAGATCGTTTTTAACCTTGCATGACTGCTGCATCTGTCACCTACTGTAACATTCGGTCGTGCTTCCTACTCGCTACTTTTTCTAGGGGGCCCATCAGAGACCATCCCTTGGCGCAAGACGACCGTTATTGTTCGAATCGTACAAGTACTCCATACTCCAATAACCTGCACCCGACCAGCAGACAGTCGACAAGCCAAACTGTGAAGGAAGCAAGGCTGACTACAACAAAGGGAGGCACAAACCAGCATCTCTCCGACCACCTCGTGTCTCTCAATTATGGGCGTCTAGACTCTAGACTCCTCCCGTACACATTCAGATTGACGCACAACCCCCCCCCCCCCCCCCCGGTGGAACTTTAATTCCTTCTAGCTCCTACCCTACCCATCTCCTCCGACCCCTGGGCCCGGACCATCAATAGTGTCCTTTCAGGCTGTGTTCAGCTCTCATCTATGTGTTAGCTTGCATTGTCATACCTACCACTCTATTCCTCCTGCGCCAAGAGCAGCTGGCATAAGGATCCCATTTCCCGCCATACAAAACTCATCACGAACCTCGCGTCCATCCCCCCCCCGCGTCTAGAACATTGGCAAAAAAAACGTTGCTTGTTGACTGCCAAGAGCCAAGGACCCCTCCATCATTCGGGAGAGCTCACTTATATTTCTCCAACACCCTCCCGTGGACGATTCCTTTGTCAGCCTCTGCCCCTTCCAAGTTCTTATTAGAGCTTTGAACAACAACTAGTCACGCAGAGTTTCTTGTATTGAGCACCGCATATCATCATGAGGACCTCGATCGCGCTTTGCGTACTCTCCATGAGCTCATGGACATTAGCTGCACCAATAGTCTTAATGGTCAAGCATGCAACACCGAAATACTCAGGAGCCCAGATCACATCGTCAGATATCTGGACTATTCGACAATCCAACTTCAAAGTCCCGGGGGATGCCAGTGCTCAAGACGTTTTAGAGGGACGGCCCGACAACAAACCGTACACCCCGTCCGGCGATGTCACACCATCAGAAGCTCTGGCTGCACCTCGCCCACTGAAGACAAGCTATCTGCTGTCCCTGAAGCCAGTCGTCCCGCCAGCGGACGCATCGGTGAAGAACCCAAGGGAGGATCAGGAATCAGTCTCGCAATCGCAGTCACAGCCTGAGTTCCAGCAATCTACCACGGTCAAGGAGGAAACAGGCACTGTTACGAAGCACTTGCCCTCGACTGTGGAACTCGAAACGCAGGGTAACGCGCCATATCAACACAAGACACCATGCCACGGCTATCTGGTTCGGCAGTACGTCGACATGCCTGTTGTCAGCGTCGTCTTCCTCCTTATCACCATTATTGCCCTAATCGAGTTATGGGATTCAATCTGCGCATTGTAAGTGACTGCAGCTACGAATTCTCTGCCCACTCGATATCGGATCACTAATTTTGTCACAGCACTAGCAGACTCTGGTATGGGGAAGGAAGGATTCGCTTAGAGGATGAGGTAGATGAGAAGGACCATCTTAGAATACGCCATTCCGATTTCACCCTGCAGCCGGCCCCCAAGACAAGGTCAAGGTCAAGCACGACTTCTTCTGGGGAATCGGACAACGCCTTATGACGACAGTGATCGTCACTTTCTTTTGTATATCTAAGCATGATACCGTTGAGCGCGGCGTTTGGGGGGCATGATTTATCATTACGAGCATTGCACGGATTATGGAGACATCTAGTGCCAAGTGACTATGGAGAATTCGCATTCACAGGTATGGAACGGGTCACGGCGCGGACGGGACGCGGACGAGGAAGAATCATGTGTTAATTAGGACTAAACATACCGTCCACAGCTTGTCCTACAAGACTTGGAGGGGACTTGGAAAAGAGTTAAATGAACCTCCACGCATCAAGGTGGCTGGATCAACCCGCGTATGTTAGCGCTGTGAATATTTAATGCTGTTGAACCGAATAAGCGCACTTGTTTTGACTTTCTTGCCGGTATACCGACCTCGATAAACCTTGATCAAGTGCCGATGTCAGGCTTGGCGGAACACGGCACGGTAAAGCATAGACCTAAACTTCACCCTCTACAACTAACATTACATACGTAGGCCCAGTCACGACCGTCAGCTGACAACGGATCTCACCTGGACATCGGCAACTCCATCCAACGACTCCATCAAAAGCCCACCTGCCGAGGGGCCCAAAAGCTTAGCATCGGCTTGACTCCCTCCAAACCTGGCCTGTGAAGTTTTGCTCATCAACTACTCTATTATAGTATGGAGGGTCGGAGAGGGCAGGTTTCGGGTTGATTGCATGGGTGAGGCTCCGCCATGTTGAGCTCCGAGCCAGGTATACCTTTCCTGCAAAAGAACTCGCCCCACTGCCCTTTGCTCGGCCTGACACCATGTTATACTATACATACACACATGCATACACGACGGATCTCGTGTTCAGGAATGATATGGTGCAGGCGGTACCCTCTTTCCATATGATTGATGCCCTGCTAGTGTAGCCGATCATGCGAGAATTTAAATTGCTTGACCGAGACTAGACGCAGACTAGCGCCCACATCTCTATGTTCTGACTAATGGGACTAATGGGTCTGACCTAAGCAATTGCCGAATCGACAGGTTTAAAATAAATAAGTAAACGTCTACCTAGATTTGCTAGCGAGTTCCGGTGTGAGCCTGGTTGAGCTGTTGGGCAGTGCAAAGTGAAGATGACGCGGCTGGTCAATGCATAGAGAATCACATGCAGTTATTGCACGCGGCCGGCGGGTAAGCTGGTCTGCGCGTTATTGTTGATATTACAGGAGGAGGAGGAGGAGGAGAATCGTGGCCTGAAATCAGTGTAGCGGCGGGAAATGACCCTGTTAGTTTAAATCTTCTTGGTGATCATATAACTGTTCTCGTCACGTGCGACTGTCAGAAGCGTTTGTTGTAATAGAAACAATATTGGTCTTAGAGTATTGTGTTTGTAATTATACCCTATCCAACTTTCAATTATTTGGCAAAGACGATACGCTCATACTTATGCCTGGAGCGGTCAAGTGTCAAGCACAGTTTTAGAATTATGCAGTATGAGCGAAATTGTGGCGTGCAATACGAACATTCCAGTTTCTTGAACCTCTAAACTGCTTTCAACCATACGAATCATTATTTGCTTGGCTTACCAAAGCGTGTTCGTACATTTCCGCGGTACCTGACAGATTTCTTTACACACCCGACGTATCCTGTGCGTCTTTGGCTGCCTCGATTATGCTCTATCAACCGATGCTTCGAGAACAAATCATCACAGAAGTAGAGACCGTTCGACCCCATGCTATGGTTGTTCCTACAATACGTGTCGAGAAACACCCAAGGCGCTGAACTTGGCTGGTGACGTGGCAAACTCCGTCCCGAGTCTTTATGCCTCTACCGTCTAGCTTGACAACCACCGTAGCGGTATGCCTTTGGGCTTTCACTTAACAAACTATCGTAAAATACGACCTCAACATATCCAGTAGCCGAATAGCCGATCCCTTACATTGATTGCGAATATCTTCAACCTCCCTTTCACGACGTGGGTCTTCGAAGGTGTTGCGTGTGGGCGTCGATCGAAGACGGCGGAGGTGAAGAAGTAGTAGCCCAGTCATGGAAAGAGTAGTATATAGGAACTCCTAGGCTATGGCATCCGAAGCGGACTCCTCGATCATGCCGTTTGCGGCATCAGACAACGAGCATGCCCAGGAAAAAGGAGTCGCATGGCGTCCCCGATCGTTCACATATCGTACAGCATGCCTATTGCGCAAGTCATCACCGCCTGGAAACACGAAGTAGACAATTGCCAACATCGTGCTACACTCAACCCTGTCTATCTATTCACCTAGATTATTATTATTCTCTCTCCCATAGGTGCTCGGTGTGTAAACATGTCGCGCCAGCTCACCCCTCTTCGAAGCCACGTATCGTGTCGACGTTGCCAGGGTCGCCCATAACCCCCGAAGTCGTATTCAGTCCAGTATTTTGTCTTCATGACTAAGGAGCCCAAGGCAACCACTGCCCCAAAACGTGCTTTTTAAATGGCATCGCACATAATTCGTTCTGTTGTCGTCCGTCGAAGTCGGCACCTGGGGTGCGCAAAGCAGGCTTGCGAAATCGTGGCGTTTCCAAGTGCCTGCTCTCCACAATTTTTGCAAACTTTATTTTGACAGATACGAGGAGAGTTCCTCGGTCGGCATGTTCTAGAACCATGACGAGTATTTCGTCCGATGTTGGATGTCTCTGCCCATGGTGGCGGCTGTGCGTAATCAGGCTTGCATTATGCGAAAGCCAGGCACGTTGTGGCAGCACGTCCAGATGTCTGGCATGGTCGAGGATCAACCGGCACCAAGAAGCACAATCGTTTCATCGTTTGGTACTAATGAGCAAGTTTGCCGATTAAACTTTTTCCTCGGCTCCTTGCTTACCACCTTAAAACTTACTTGGACTGAGGTGAGGCACAGTTATACTGATCGAGCAAATGTCTGCGCACGTCAGAGAAGTGCCTATACGCGGGGCAAATAGAAAAGGCTTTACTTCGAAAGGTAACCATAAAGCTGATAGCAGATACGGCAAAACTAAATCACATTGAAACAATACATTTATCAAGATACAAGGACAAATCAATACCAAATCTTTCCCCATTTTTGTGTGGTTTATCATAATGTTTAAAATTGGTAAGTTTTGATAGGGAAAGCGTCTGTGGATGGAGACTTTCTCTCACTCATTGTACCTTTTGATCGATGCCGTTGCAGACGTCAGCTCCTGAAACGTACCCCTAGTCTTACTGGTGAAGCTCCAAAGTTTGGTAACTTCCTATGAAATTACTGTGGTAAGACGTGGTTGGCTTGTCTGAGATATGAACCTAACTCTAAGTATACCTGCGAAGGAAGACGTACATTACGTTAAACTCGACAGGGAGGATGACAGTGCAGTATCCCGGTTCTTTGATTGACACGTAGCACCGGCCACCCTTTGCTATGAGTTGTAATCAGGCTTAGTAGAAAAGCAGTAATGTATAACATTTTATTTAGCTGTAAGATCGATTAACAAGTCACCATTGACTGACTGAATATGGAGCCTCGCGTCAGTTTGAGTGCAAGGCTAAATTCAACCGTCTATAATGAGAAAATCGGTAATTCCACACTTGTACTTAGAATTTAAGGTTCACTCCCTTTTTAGAACATGAGAGCTTGTTTAAATAACATTAGAGTCGGGATGGCTACATCCCGAGGTACGAAGACCATTTTCTCCGTGAATCTGTACTATTATCATGTCTGGAGCTATCTCACAAATTATCGCTTCCTGATCAGTTAGTTGTTACTGCTGAAACTCACTGTATATCATCAGCGGCCACCATTTTGGGCACTATTATTGGACAAGATCCATCTACTGTCTGCGATTTGACCTCTCCGGATATTTGTAACCAGTGCCGCGTTTACCTAAGCATTTCCAGGGATTCAGAAGCTTCACAGTAACATTCAAATCCTGTATTGAGTACCGATGTTGTAACGCTATTGACAATATAATCTACCACGGAAATAATTGCTGAATCATGTTCTTTGAGGGTAAGGCATGACCGAACCAAGTGAAAATTCCCGAATCCGGCCCATGCTAATGTGACAAATAGCAATATACGATGCGTCTGGCTTGGTACTGTTACACCCGTCGGCACCTCGCCCGAAGAAATTGATGGCCCTATTTGTAAGCATACCGACCTGTCGACCTGAAATCATGGCGTCCATGATGAATAGTATTAAATTCTCTATGGCTAGAGGCTAGGTGCTCCTGCAGAGTCCAGCCACAGAAATATCAACGGCTATTGGTCAGAGAGGCCATCAAGCTGAAATATTCCTTGACCAGGAGTAGAAAGGGGAACTCCGAATTAAGAGCATCTTCCCACGTCAAGTCCATGATGTACACGAAGTAGACAGCGGGATTTTTATACTAGGCAAACATTTAGTTGATGGCTTTAAATAGCTCTGCACTACTCGATTCTTCGATGCAGCACATGTCTACCCATGCGTAAATTAGCTTATGTTCTTAAATTCTGTCACAGCACCCGTCAATAATTGGTATTCAATCTTTTCTTTACGAGCGGCATTTCAAGACGCTTGGGACTGACTGTATCGTCACCTCACGTATGTGACAGGATAGCATGGGGAGGACGGGTTTGTCGAAAATTTATTCGAGGTACCGGGTATGTATATTCAAGAGTCGTATGATCACGAACGTGAACTTCTGTGATCAGGGGAAGTCTGGTGAGAATTCTACTCAATTTCAATGAGTGAAACTTTGGGAACTTTGCAAACAACAGATGAGATATTTGCAATTGAAACTTGGCCATGGTTGGATGCTTGGATGACGACACACATGCTGATAATGCAATGAGGGTGCTTACCAGCTTGTCTGACCACATGTGCTAAGAGAGAACGTTCCATTGAGCCTTACACAGGCAGTCGTAATACCTAGTTGTTGATCTGCTGACACACAAGGGATTCTTGATAAAATTTTTGAGCCCATCTTGACCGGATGATTAGCGCTACGAAAGGGGACATGGAAGAGTTATCCAGTCAGCGGCTGAATCGTCAAACTTCAGACCTGAAATCGTAAAGGCACTCTTCATTATCATATCTACATTGAAAAACAACGCAATGGAGCCCATGATTGATACGATTTCCTAGGCTGGAGAAATGCACAAAAAGTGCACACGAGCTTTGCCGCAGCGAAATCAAGGACATCTCGTAGTTCTTCAGATATGAACGAGTTGGACTTGCCAACATGCTAACCCTACGTAAGGAAGGCCATGGCTGGAAGGCGGCGACCAAAATAGCCCCGCTTGCCAACTGGTGGCCTCCCGGTGGGGCTCCATATCGGTCCCGGCTCGGATGCCCATATGTACGGAGAAACCAAGTCGGTCGCTCTGCCGATCTTTCCTTGCTCACACACCCTTGTCCTTTGTGCTTCTTACGTCAACCACTGAGCTTTGGGGACCGTCAAATTATGTTGACATGTTTTCTTTTGTTCTGAGCTTGAAGCGAATCCTCGAAAGATCCGGAAATCTCATTAAGAATCAGCAAGTCGCCACGCTGCTCTTTAATTGAAGTTCATTGTTCCCGCCAGGCACTTCCTGAGGACTCGGAACTAGTAGTCGCCGAAACCCCCTAGTATTCCGTGATCGATCAGTTGACTCACCGACACTCATTGGCCATTGAAGATGGGAACTCCGTTCATTAATCGCCTCGAGCCTAGCAACCTCGATGGCTACGACCGCCTGAAGCCGCATGACCAGCAAGACCCCTCGGTGCCCCGCACGTTCATGGACGCAATGGAGGTGCGGGAGGCCGTCTTCGTGGAGGAGCAGGGCGTCCCTCTGGAGTTTGAGAAGGACAAGGACGACCCCCGGTCCATCCACTGGGTGATCTACGCCAGCTCCCGACGGGTCGTGGAGCCGGAAGTCAAAGACCCGGAGACGGGCGAGCAGATCCAGCCGCGGCGGTCGGAGACGCGTTCCGTGCCCATCGGAACGCTGCGCGTCGTCCCCTTCCCGCACCCGCCGCACCCTCAACCTGGCGGCCGCTACGTCGACAACGTGCTCCAGAACGAGGAGGTCAGCACGCTCACTCCTAAGCAGGAGGACCGCCTGACCTCGCGCCTGCCGTACGGGATCGACCCGCCCACCACCCACCACGACGGCAAGGAGGCGTACGTCAAGGTCGGCCGGCTCGCTGTCGTCAAGGAGTACCGCGGCCATCACATCGCCGGCCAGCTCTGGGCCGCCGCTCGCGACTGGCTTGTCGACCACCCGCACTTCTTCAACCCCTCCGTCAGCGAGCTGGGTCTGGACGCCCTGAGGGCCGAGAACGGCGGCGAAGTCCCGCGGTGGAACGGGCTCGTCTGCGTCCATGCCCAGGAGACGGTCGCGCCGCTCTGGAGAAAGTGGGGCTTTCAGGAAGACGACGCGATGGGCAAGTGGTGGGAGGAGGGGATTCCTCATGTCGGCATGTTCCAGCGACTACCGGTCCGCAGTGGTACTGTCGCCAGTGTTTGAGGCGCAGCCGAATTCCTTCAGCTCTTGCGATATTTCGACGATCGCTCGGGATGGCTGTCTCCCGACCATCGGTAGACGGCTTATATTCTACTCCGATTTGTAAATTATAATTTGTATATATTTATTAGTATAATAAATATCATATCGATTCGGTGCTTAATTATATACTTGATCGTGATCTTACACTCATTGTATATGTATACATTAATGGCAACGTCAGCACATACGACCATAGCTCTTAGAAAGCTCGGCATCCCGTCCGCTCTGCCCTAGATAAACTGAGAAGCGCCGGATTAGTACTCAGGTGGGTGACCACTGGGGAATCCCTGGTGTTGTATGTTTTTGCTTTTTAGGAGTATTTAGTTTTTGTGATTTAGACTTTTGTATCCTCTATGACGTTTATCTATCATATATCCTATTATTGCGCTTTGTAAGTACATACGACCATAGCTCCTAGAAAACTCGGCATCCCGTCCGCTCTGCCCTAGATAAACTGGGAAGCGCTGGATTAGTACTCAGGTGGGTGACCACTGGGGAATCCCCGGTGTTGTATGTTTTCTTTTGTGAACTTTTTAGTTTGTGATTTAGATTTTTTGTATCCTCTATAACAAGTCATGTACTATCTATCCTATCATATTTTCTGTCTGTCAATGCATTGTACAAGCTCTCTGATGAGCTTGTCGAGTCGGCGGAGCCACCGGATCTTTAGCAACTACCGCATTACTCTAAAAAAAACTACTGAATCAGAACAATCTTGAGATTGCTAAAGACGTTGGTGAGAGTTGTTAGATGAGCCTAGAGGTGATCAAGGCATCGTTTGGGTTGGGATGATAGACACTGCTTGAGCTGCTGGACCTATTGCTTGCTACATCTTTGGATGAAGGTGTTAATCGGGTCGGACTGCATTAGACTAGGAATTTGAAGGAACGAGGGATGAGCGACACAAGGGACTCGGACAATATGCATTTTGTTGTCTTGTATGTTACACGAACGAGCCAGGAGATTTATACAATAGATAGCAGCATGATGAGAGGCTTAGACTTATCGGCGATGAGGTAAACAAAGTGACGAACGCTTTAAACCAAATTGAGGATTTCTTCTGAGACTGCCACGTAATACGTGAACACTGAGTGATATCACGAGGCCAGCACGATCGAACGGCGCAAGCTTGAAACCTGGACAGAAGGTATTGCCACCTGGAGCGAGACCATAGCACAGCGCAAGCTACTACACGTGGAAACATGGCAGATACCAAAGATACCGGACTTGCGTCAAGGTAATTTTAAGTTGTGTAGTCATACAGGCATTGCTCACATTATGAACCTTTCGCAGGCCGTTCGTCGCATCACCATCACGCCTGAGTTCTCTCAAGACACTTTTGCTTGTCAGATCATTTTTCGCTCATCCCTGAGCCGAGCTTTTTTCTCATTTGAGCCCTATGTGACATGAATGTCGTAAATCCACATCCCGCCCTTTGACCAGAACGCGCAAAATGCAAGTGATGGTAATAAAAGCCCAGTTTCTTTCCACGCCTGTGAACCCCAACCAAATGAAAACACTTTATCGGTTGCTCTTGGCGACACGCTCCAGCTCGTCCTTCTTCTTGATGGCGTAGGAGTTGCTGCTGCCCTTGGCGGCGTTGATGAGCTCCTCAGCCAAGCACTCAGCAATGGACTTGATGTTGCGGAAAGAGGCCTCACGGGCACCGGTGGTCAGGAGGGCGATGGCCTGGTTGACACGGCGGAGAGGAGAGACATCGACAGCCTGGCGACGGACGGTACCGGCGGAACCGATTCTGGTGGAATCCTCACGGGGACCGCAGTTGACAATGGCGTCAACGGCAATCTGGATGGGGTTCTGGTCGGTCATGAGGTTGACCTGGCAAGCAAAGGTTAGAATGTCGTTGGTCATGCGGGCAAGTAAAAATCAAGACTCGGGTAGTCTTACGATCTCGAAAGCGTGGGCAACAATGCGGACAGCCATGAGCTTCTTTCCGTTGTTGCGGCCGTGCATCATCAGGGAGTTGGTGAGTCGCTCAATGATGGGGCAGTTGGCCTTGCGGAAACGCTTGACGGCATAACGACCAGCGGAGTGAGGAATGTAGACGGGAGATCGGATCTGGATGTAGTCGCTGCAGAAAGTCGTGTTAGTCTCCAATGCCTCGCGTATCGCATGCTGCTGCCGGTCCCTGCGGCCTCCAAGTCTGACCTCAATGGCTGTGGGAGGCCCGGGACCAGCGCAAGTTTTGGAACTTGGCTTCGAAAGGGGGGTTCTCCTTACGTCAAAGAGATATCGCGGATCTCGACATCTGGGCGCAAATGGTCAGCACTTCGTCCACGGGACGGAAATTGGGAACATGTGTATTACCATCGTAGCTCCACTTGTTGAACAGCTTGATGCTGCCCTGCTCGGATGCAACATCCTTGGGGAGGGCCAGAGACTGCTGGGACTCGACCTCAACTTCACCGTTCTCGGAAGACATGTTGGCGGTGGGCTTGGTGGGCGAAAAGGTCTGACTGTTGATGCTGAGGGAGGAATGACCTGTCGTTAGTATCGCGCGTGGTTGAGTGCCTGTTCCTGCGGTTCAAATCAAATTCTGGACCTGAGAGTTTGAAAATCGGCTAGCAAAAAAATGGCAGTGTGGGAAGGTACGACTGGGCGGCCCCACTCTCGAGGCGGTGGCTCGCGCTCTTGGGGCTTCTCATTGGCTGCCTGCCCGCGCCCCGTCGAAAGCAAGTTAGCCAAGTTAGGGCTCGACGGCCAGAATTTTGGAAAGTGCACCCCTCGCTTTCGACTAACCGTACGTCGAGACACTCCGCAACCACATCAACTTCGACGACGAACCATCACCAACGTCAACACCACATATCAATCGTCAAGATGGCTCCCGCTGCTACCGGTGCCAAGAAGCAGAAGAAGAAGTGGTCCAAGGGCAAGGGTGAGTAACGCACCAATTTTTTGGGCTCCAAACTCCCGGCCACGAGCTTTCCCACCAAAATCGGTTCTTGGAGCGCCGCGCGCGCAGACTCGGCCATGATCGATTTGTTGGGCGTTCGGGCGATACACACGAACAGGATGGCTAACCCCCGTCGCAGTCAAGGACAAGGCCCAGCACGCCGTCCTTCTGGACAAGACCACCTCTGAGAAGCTCAACAAGGATGTTCAGTCTTACCGCCTCGTCACAGTCTCCACCCTCGTCGACCGATTAAAGATCAACGGATCTTTGGCACGCAAGTGCCTCAAGGACTTGGAGGAGAGAGGTCAGATCAAGTCTGTCGTCACCCACAGCAAGATGAAGATCTACAGTATGTTTCTCGCCTTCCCCTCCCGGCTGCCGAGGCGCACCCGCTGACAAGAAGATAAGCCCGTGCCGTCGGCGCCTCTGACTAAATTTCCTGCATCTCACGATACCATGAAACGAACGTGACGTCGATCTACAGCAAAATGTTTGGACGATCAGATGGATTGAGGGAAAAGTGAACTCACCGGTTCTGGGCATTTGATCTCCGGCGTAACATCTTGGGAATGACTACGGTTTTCAGTCAAGGCTGCTGTTGCTTTCGACAGGCTTGAGGTCAATAAAATGAAAAATTGATCAATCTGCATGTCGATCCATAATTCTCATGCACCTCTTTCAGTGATTCCTGTCATGGGCCGTGTTTCAATCCGATGCTGCATCTCGCTGTCGGCGAGCAGCCTCATCCCGCAACAGCAACAGACTGGTTTTACAACTACTGGCTTGAGTGAAATATATTGGGACCTCTGGTGGTTGATATACTATGACAGCATGACATCAGTATAGAAACACAGCTCACTGAACTTGTAACGAGCCTATTGCTTTCCACCTGGTGCAGCCGTTGTTCATTGTCCTAAGTACTACCCACCTAAGACTGTAACAAAAAACATGACACGTCTCCTGGCAGTACGCCGCAAGAGACAGTAGTTGATGACAAGACGAACTACCTCCGATATATTGGCCGTCGTATCACCTGTTGCAAAGAGTGGCAGCTCTTTCGTGTGTCTTTTGAATGTTATGCACGCTGATAGCTCGGGAAGCGTCCATTCTGGGCATCGTCAACTCTGGCCTGTCGTTATAGTCAACGAGGTGGTTGCTAATAAGCTGTTTGCAATCACGCCGTCCACTGACGTCGACCTGATCTATATAGTCCGCACAAATAGACGACCGAGGCTCCAGCGCAGCCTGTGGGTTGATTTCAGAGCATCGGCAAGTTCGGAAAATCATTGGCTACCGTGCGAACACACATGTCTAATACTCTCGTGCGGGTTGGCGGATAGCAAGCGTAGGTTTTAGTATACCCTGTCCAGGCGAGGCTCCATTTCGCTTCACTATGATTGGAACAAGAGGCACGTGAGCAACCCATTGCTGCAGGCATTGGTTTTGGGAATGTCGTCAGCGACATGAATTCGTAAAGAGAGCGTATACCTGGTCATGTTTTCTTTCACACGCTCTCTCTCTCTCTCTTCTTTTCATTTCAAATAGAGAACCGCTTCAGCAGTGGCGACACTGATCTACGATCTGGGATACTGCGAGAATTAAGAATTTTGATAGTGCATTTATCCGATAAGTGCATGATGGCAAATTCTGGCTTGTCTGGAGTCTCCGATGCAAGGCTAGCCAGGGCGTAAAAAAAAATTCTCAGATTCGGGGAAGGGGCCCCTGAAACTTCTTGCGTAGCTGGAGTATCAGAGGTGCGCGAAGGCCCGCAGGCCCACCTAGAAGTGTATCCAGCGACCCGTTTACGTTCGCGGGTGATAAGCCCCTTAATCGGCAATTCGGTATAGGTGGTTCACGAAGACTGGCGAAGAGCTTGAGAAATGCGTGTAAAGGTTGGGAAAACGTAACGTGTTACAATGGCCAATCGAGTCAGTGATCTGTTCAAGATGCTGGGCTTGTGCATTTGTATTGAATTGGAGATGTGCGGATCTTTCTATGCAGAGATTGCCAGTCTTGTAGGTGTAGTGGCAAAGGATGAAGCTCTATAACTACAGTATATGGACAACCTCACGGACGAGCATCTACAGGCTACCAACGACTGAAGACTGGTATGTGGCCGGGCGGTCCAATGGTATATGGCCGTATTAGTATATGCTCCGGTGCAAGCGCTTGATGACAACTTGTCTTTGCCAGGAAACTGGTCGGCATCGAATTCTCTAAGGATTCTTATGCAGCTTGCGGGAATTGCAAGTGTGGTTGCTGGCCAGCCAGTGCTTGTCTCTCCCAAGCAACCCGGCTTTTTCCATGATTAGCGCCAGAGCGCACGGGCCAAATACGGGTCAACCGAAAGCAAAGCTGGCAAGTGCTAAATTTTTCCAGACTTCCTATTTATTCTTTCCCATCGCGACTCGTCGTCCATCACAGCGACTCTTTCCCTTTCATTCATCAACTCTCCACTCATATTCTATCAAAGGTCTTCTTTGACAGAAACCGTCACAATGTCTGGCGAGAAGCAATCAGTCATGGGCATGCCGCGTACGTCAATCCTGTATAAATCCCTCGTTCCGTTACTTGATGTCGCCAGCGCAATCTCGGCCACAGGTTTGCGAACCATCATCAACGCGCTGCTGTGAAGCTTCAATTGGCCTAGCAGCCATCAATTGAAGCTTCGCTCAGTAGCCGTGCCTGGTCGGACGCAAACTTGGGCTGGCTATAGTGTCGCTGGCGCTCGAGGGAAAAATTTTCTCATCTGTTTGAGCTTTCGCTAACATGTCTCGATATAGCCTTCGTGGCCGACTTCCTGATGGGTGGTGTCTCCGCCGCCGTCTCGAAGACCGCTGCCGCTCCCATCGAGCGTGTCAAGCTCCTCATCCAGAACCAGGTAAGCAGTTTTTCCCACCCCCTGAACTGATCGGCGCCTGTCGCTGGATATCCGCGAACTATCATACTAATCACATGGCCTCAGGATGAGATGCTTAAGGTCGGTCGTCTTGACCGCAAGTACGACGGTATCGCCGAGTGCTTTTCCAGAACCGCCAAGGCTGAGGGTGTCATGTCCCTGTGGCGTGGCAACACTGCCAACGTCATCCGATACTTCCCTACCCAGGCCCTGAACTTCGCTTTCCGTGACAAGTTCAAGGCTATGTTCGGTTACAAGAAGGACAAGGATGGCTACGCCAAGTGGATGGCTGGTAACCTTGCCTCCGGTGGTGTAAGTTATTGAGCGCCCTATCTGCATGTGCCATACAGCATACTAATGATCTCTACCACAGGCTGCTGGTGCCACTTCCCTGCTCTTCGTCTACTCCCTCGACTACGCCCGTACTCGTCTGGCCAACGATGCCAAGAACGCCAAGTCTGGTGGTGACCGTCAGTTCAACGGACTGGTAGATGTCTACCGCAAGACCCTCGCCTCTGACGGTGTTGCCGGTCTCTACCGTGGTTTCGCTCCCTCCGTTCTCGGAATTGTCGTCTACCGTGGTCTGTACTTCGGTATGTACGACTCGCTGAAGCCTGTCGTCCTCGTCGGTCCCCTCGCAAACAACTTCTTGGCCTCTTTCGCTCTTGGTTGGGGTGTCACCACCGGTGCCGGTATCGCCTCTTACCCTCTTGACACTATCCGTCGTCGTATGATGATGACCTCTGGTGAGGCCGTCAAGTACAACGGTACCATGGATGCTGCCCGCCAGATCGTCGCCAAGGAGGGTGTCAAGTCTCTCTTCAAGGGTGCTGGTGCCAACATTCTCCGTGGTGTCGCCGGTGCTGGTGTTCTGTCCATCTACGATCAGCTCCAGGTCATCATGTTCGGCAAGGCCTTCAAGGGTGGCTCTGGTTAAATACCCTAATACCTATACCCATTTAGACGACGGACTCGGTGCAGTGGCGGGGAAGATGTAATGATGAAGGCTTGCGAATGGCAAGGCTGATAAAAGGATCATTGGTGATGGATGTTGCGGCAGAAGGCTGTTACAGGCATCACATTTGTCAGTGGCGTTCTGGAACATCATGACTCGCGGCGAGGACGAAAAATAGTCCAGCTGCTGTACTTTAGAACCTAGGCAATTCCCTTGACTGTATTCTTTCTTCTTGCAACTGCACATTCCCGTGGATTCGTTTTCAGGTTGATCTGGTCATTCGGTTGTACACGATTTATAGACATCTGTGAAATGAAATGAAGAGGTTTACTGAATACTTGATGACTGCAACGTGCCAACTATTTCAGTTGGACTATTGACTTGTCGCAGAGTTCGGACGTGATGCTGAGAATTTTGGAGTCGTCACGATGGTTGGTCTGGACCACTACGTACCGTGGTCTGATGGCAGCAAGTGCCCACCAGCTGCTTTCCTCATTTGATTACAACGCGCTTCAACACTCGACGCGCTTTTCGCAATTTACCAAGACGCAAATGTTGGACGATTCAACCAAGAACTCGGTCGAAAGCACGAAGCTGACTTGACTTGCCCGTTCCTCCGGATAGTTGTGTAGCCTACCGCCGACATGCCTCGCACACAAGCAAATGCCAGCGCTCGTCCGCGAGGTCGCCCAGCCGGTTCGACGAACAAGCAAAAGAGTAACAACGACACTACACCCAGAGCCCAAGCCTCGACAGGCTTCTCGAGGCCTTCGATAGCCGGATCTTCAACCGCAGCCAGCCGCAAAGCGCAGAAGCAGCCTCAGCTCGACGCCGACTCAGAGCCCGACTCAGAGCCCGACCCATTCGCCGACTCGCAGGACGCAATGGACCTTACGCAAGACTCCTTGCCAGCCAACAACCACAACGGAGAGGAGGAGGAGGAGGGAGAGGAAGAGGAAGAGGACGACATGGACGACGAGCCGCAGGCTAGCATCCCGCCCGAGCTTCTGACGAGACTGCTACATGAATTTTTCGAGAAGGACGGCACGAGGATCAGCAAGGGCGCCAACGAAGCCGTTGCCAAGTACATGGATATCTTTGTGCGAGAGGCCATTGCGCGTGCTGCGGTGGAGAAAGAGGGTGGCTTCCTGGAGGTCGACGATCTGGAGAAGATCGCGCCGCAGTTGCTGCTGGATCTGTGAGGCGCCCATGCGAGTCATCTTCGGAGATGGGGCCCACAGACCACACACATGTTGCATGCTGGGTCGCATAAAGGAACATACAAGGGCTGGAGGGATGTGCTGCCTGATTTTTGTGCTCGGATGCGTCCTCGTTCTGCGAGCGATTCTCCCACGGATCTTGGTGGCTTCATTATCGAGACTGGGCGAAAGACTCGCGACATGATGGGATCTCGCCTTGCCTCTAGCTGTCTATTCTTTAGATGCATGAGTTCTATTCCTCACAAGGTATGGTACATGGCATTGATCACAATAGAACATACTGGCTGACACGCGCAGATGAGATCATTGGCTTGATTAGCCCTATCAAAGTGAAGATAGTCAACGGAGTCTATCAACTGGGTTTCTCGAACACAAGACGAGATATCCGTGTTAGCAGGACTCAAGTCCTTTCGGAATTACGAAATCACCGTCAGAGGCAACCTGTGCATTACGGGATTGCAGCGGAAGCATGATCTACGGATGTGTCTTGGCTTGAAGATCACCCAGCCAAGAATCGCTGCGGTCGGTAGATACTTAGTCTGGAGCTGGCGTGAGGCGTGTTCATGTTGCGAAGAACGTTGTGGCTTTCGTACCAGCGTCTCATGCTGTTGGCATTCGGTACCGCAAGTTCGGATAACGGCATGTCATCGGATTTCTGGGTGCTCCTCAAAGCAGCAAGACGAGTTTGGAGGAAATGTGTACCCTTTGGAGTTAACCACCTCACGCCATGAGGAAACAACTGTAGTCTTGGGGCTGTTGCATGAGAATGTGGGCATGACCGAAGATCAGATGACCCGGAGACCGACAGTCGACCGTTGAATCCCGAATCAGTCACCCCATACATCGTTCGCTGTGTCATTGTTTCAAGCCGATCATTCTGACCATATATCACGATCTGACTGGAACGCTAGATATGTGCTGCATTACCATAGGGTGTATTCGTACACCATCGACAGCCATAATGGAACAATAAGCCTAGGATATTCTTCCACTTTCAGACTGACCAATACTTCCCTTACCCCTAAGGGCCAATGACATTGCGCAACTCGATCAGACTCGCGGCGTAGGTCGTAGCAAGTCACCAACGAACAAAACCTCATCTTAGTCACTACATTACTGTGACAATATCTATTACTCATGCTTTCCATCTCCACCAATACTCCGTCCTAACAGATGCAACCTCAGGAATGTTTGAAGGGTAAAGTCAGCATTCCGGGGTAGCCAAACTTTGTCTCGAATTTTTCTACCATGAGATTCAATTAGTGTTACATAGCCTGGCCCAACCATCCCCATGTGACTCGGAACTCGCTGACGGAGGCTGAGCCCAACGGCTAGCAAGGCATGCTGAGGCCTGGAAGGCTTTAAATATGATCTTATTTTGACTCCTGAGCAGGGTGCGGCTCTCGTGTGCAACGTCGGACGATGCGCAGACAAGCCAGCCGTTGTGCGAGGACTCCCAGGGCAGCACCAATCAGAAGAGCGCAACGACACCCCGAGGCTGCAGGTGCGAATTCTCGGACGTCGAAATCCCAAATCTCTTCCGTCGCTTGAGCAGCCAAAAGAGGTAAAGCGGCTAGACTTTCGAGAGTTGTGGTTGAGATGGGATGGAAACCAACCGGGTTTCAGAAGGGGCAAGATGTTACAATGCTGAAGCACGACCCGTGCGGCTGTACCACCCCCTCCGCTCGCCCTAACGAACCCCTGTATTTCTAACGCTCAACCTTAATTGAACCAGCGACCTGGGGTCTCCCACTCCCGATCTTCGCAACTCCTGGCCTCTTGTGTCGTGACCAAAGAGGCAACCATTGATTCATCTAAGGTTAGTATTGTTGTGGCCATGGGCTTGGGCTGAGGTAGCCCCCTTTTTTTTTTCTTTCTAAATTTTTTTTTTTCTATTTCGTTTTACCATGCTGTGTCTGCCGCGTGGTACCTCATTCAAGCCCACCAAGTGCTCTTCTCGCTGGCCAAGTTTGTGCGGAAGCGATCAGAGTGAACCGGCACAAGCCCTCGTCGGCTTGAAACTGCGCGACATGTACACAAACAGCTGAGCCGCATCGAATTTGCCAATTGGGCTGGCCCTCAGTTTCCGAGCTCCAACTGCAGGCTATGTCATATCGCCAGGAAGCCCGGCATGCTTGACGGACAGGGCTCGTTGCCGAGAACGTGACAAGGTCACAGTTAATCTCGGCAGGGCAAGCGCCCGTCTAATACTCGAAGGACTATAACCCAGTTCTAGACAGTTGGTCGATTAGCCGGTCAAAACGTGTTTCAAGGACCATCTTACATCTCGTCCTTCTCAGCACCAGACCCCTGTCACCTCCGACATCTTCAGACGTCAAGCGCTAGGGTATGGTTCACCATGAGACGATCCTACAGTCGTTCCGGTCTCTTATATTCATGCTGTCCGTCTCGTCCCTTCGTGCTGGGGCCTTCTCGTTTCTCTTTCCTCTGTTCCGTAGTACCTATCAGTAGTTACTCGAGACGTCTTTCGGTAATTTCCTTTTCCTCAACTTCACTTCTAAAGACTTAATATTCTACTTCAAGGCCAGTCCTTTCGAAACCAACGCGCTAGTCGCTTATACTACTATATCAACACTCTTTCGGATCCAACTATTCATCACTTTGGAACGACGTTCTTTTTCGACACCTTTCAGATATTCAAAATGCAGTTCACGACGTTTGCACTCTCTGCCCTCTTGGGCCTGGCTTCCGCCCAGAATGTCCATGTCGTCTCCGTAGCGACAGCAAACAACTCCCTCGTTTTCACGCCCGACAACATCCAGGTGCCTGCAGGCGACATGGTCCAGTTCCAGTTCCGCGCGGGAAACCACAGCGTCGCTCAGTCAACATTCGACGCTCCCTGCAGCCCGATCTCCCAGCACACCAACCAGACCGGTGCCTTCAGTGGCTTCCAGCCCGTCGCTGCCAGCACTTCCACCGGCATGGTTCCCACCTGGACCATTATGGTCGCCAACACGAACCCTCTGTGGTTCTACTGCGCGACTGCAATGCATTGCCAGAAGGGCATGGTCATGGTCATAAACGAGAAGTGAGTTTCCTTCCCCTTTCATATCAGCGCCAGGGTACAAAAGACTAAACATGGTTCTACAGCACTGCTGCTAATGCTACCCGCTCTCTCGCCGAGTTCAAGAAGATTGCCGCCGCTGCCCCGGCCAACATCGCTCCTAGCACCGGTGCCAGCACCGGTGGCAACACTGGCAGCGGTAGCGGTACGGGCAGTGGCAGTGGCAGTGCCACGACTACTGGCTCCGGCTCGGCTACTACTGGGACCGGCTCGACAACAGAAGGTGGATCCGCTACCACCACCTCTGCCACTGCCGTGGCCACTGCCGGTGTCGCTGCCCTTTCCGTCTCGACAACGTTCAGCCTGCTTTCAGGTGTTGCCGTTGCGCTGTTGTTGCTATAAAACAAAAAGGCATTTTCAGAACGGAGCATCGGGTTTGTGGAGTTTATGGGAGTCCATTCTTGACCTCCCCTCCTAGATTGCCAGGCGGGCTTTGGTACATTTTTAATAGCGCCGTCGTGTTGTAGTACGGCGGACGAGCCAACATGAAAAAGAAAAAAAGCAAGGGCTGGGCACGCCGCGGCGCAGTCCAATGCTGTAGCAGGAAAACAAGAAGAGAGAAGTAGCTCACTGAGCCAACGGGCATGATGGTGATGAGGCTAAAGAAAGGAGTTGGGATTTTCAGTGATACCTGCGCCTTAGGGTTGTTGACAACATATACTGCATTAGTGCTACGCACTCTGTTTATCCGACTGTGTCGATTAAGATCGTTTTTTTGTTTGTTTGAGATATAATATATACCCCCCACCTTTTTCAGACAGCTACTCACCCGAGTTCTTATTGTACCTGTGACGAACACCCTACCTTGTGATCCTCTTTATGTTTTGCTCGTATGATTAGTGTGGTCACTAGTCATCGACCCCAAGCCCATCAAACAGACATAGCACGGTTCACGGGGTTTAACAGTCTCCTATTGCGAAGCCATTCCGAATTAGCGAGAATAGTGCAGTATATCGTCAGATCTCTCTGATAGTCTCGGCATCAGCCCTGCCTTTCTAATTATCAATGCTTATGGGTTTTTGACAACGTGCTAGCCTTTTGTGACACTTCCTCGCCGTATATATTCATTCGCCCTTTGAATACGCCGTGCACCTTTGTGCCATCATGGTAACGTGTGCGTCACACGCACCTCTTTGCTTTTCTCTTTTTGATCCTACAAATAAACCTCCCATACAAGCACACGTTGGGTAGCCCGGCCAGAACCGCGCCTAGTTCCCCTCGGGAATCTTCCTCTTCGGCCTGCCCTTCTCGGCCTGCGCGCACAGCGTCGGCACGGGCTCCTTGTCCAGCCAGCTCTTCTCCCTCTTCACCGTGCCGACCCGCGGGTACTTGGGGCTCCGGGCGAAGAAGTTGACCCAGTGGCTGAGCTGGTCGTGGACCTTCTGCCGGGCCTCCTCGAGCTCCCGGCCCTTGAGCGCCTCGAGCTCCGCGGCGGAGAAGTGCGCGTCCACCTCCGGGTCGTCGGCGGGCACGTGCATCTGCTCGACGCCGCGCAGGTCGGCGGTGCGGTCCTCGGCGAAGCAGCCCGTCACGAACCCGCGCGCCGCGTCCGCCCCCGCGAACACGTGGTACGAGCCCCCCGGCCCGTACGTCCGCCGGTTCGCCGACACGTCGTAGATGGTCCCGTTGATCGCCAGGTAGATGGGCGTGCTGGGGTCGCTGCCGTCGTAGGCTGCCAGCTCGGCCGGGGTCAGCTGGATGGGTGTTTTCTGGTTTGAGGAATTCGCATTAGCCCACACCCCCTCACAATATGGGCCCCTCCCCCCCTTCTTGTTCTATTCAATTCTTGCTATCCTGCGCGCGGGTGGAGGTGAAAAGGAAAAAAAAAGGAAAAAGAAAAAAGGGAGAACGGGAGGTCGTACAAATTGCTCCTTCCACCATTCCGTCCTCAGGTACTTGGGCCGCTGCTTGCCCCACGAGAAGGAGTCGCCGTTCGAGATCAGATAGCTCAGGGCCACCGACGCCAGCAGCAGGAAGGTGATGACGCGCAGCACGTCCACCCAGGGGCTGTAGTCGTTGTCCTCGCTCTTGACGCGGGCCTTGGCGGTGCGCTTGGGCTTCGGGTCCTCCTGCAGAGGGCCGTTGAACTCCTCCTCGTCGTCGGAGGAGTTCAGCTCGACCACCCGCGGTGCTGCCTCCTCGGTCGACGTCCGGATGGGCACGGTCTTGCGCTGGCGGACGGAGCCGCGGGTTTCGGGCATGATGGGCTTGGCTACTTCGAGCGGTTTGCGATGTCGAGATGAAGAAGAGCTAGAAAGATGTCAAGCGAGAAGAAGAAGAATAACAATAAAAAGAAGAGGAAGAAGAAGAAGATCGAGGAGGTAAAGAACAACTATAAGACGAGGATATAGACCTCCCCCTCAAGAATGTTGAAGCTGGAAATTCGCAATGGGAATTATTGGGGCTTGTTCATTTACATGATGCGTGGTCTCATTCATACTACAGTACGCCTGGCAGCGGGCGTAACCAGATGCGGCCAGTGGGCCTATGCAAGCTCCGCCGTGCTTATTTTGGCCGTCGCTGGTTCGTCCCCCGGGTTATGCGGCCTGGTCATTTACCGAGACGCTATCGAATGGGGGTCTCTTGCAGAGCACTTGCAGCTTACGGTATTTACATTACAACCCCCAAGACAAACTATTGGCGATGGACACGTGCGAGCCAGCACTATATTGTCAATGATCTCTGGGGTCAAACTTGTCCTGGTTGCTCAAACGTGTACAAGACTCAACTACAAGGACGAAAGCTTATCACAAGCTTACAGCCAGTTCTTCCGTACTTTTCTTTCTCCTTGAATATCTAGCACGGTGCTTCCAAAGCAAATGGTTCCTAATTGTAACATGGGTATCGTAACGGCCTAATCATAAACATGGTCCTTCAACGCCTATTCCCCCTTTCTGACCCCGGGGACTATATTCTCCGTCTTTATTTTCGAATGATCTTGAGCAAGGGCGCTATTCGCGACTTCTTACTCAGCCCAACACGATAGATAGCCTTGCCTGCTTGCGATGGAGTCATTGACTTAGATATTGACTTGTTAGACTCTGAAATGGTTGATTGCGACGCGAGGAGACTATTGCGATCAGCTTCTTTGAGCGGTGATACATCCCTCGTTACAGTCTTGTCAGTGGTGGGTTTCGGTTGTGCATTCTTTGAGTCTGTAGACGCATCAACGACCGGCTGCTTCCAGCTATCTTCAATTGTTGTACTTCCGTCCTCGACTAGGCCGTTTTCGGCAGACGCAGACTTCGTCGTCTTCCCGGCAGATCGCTCAGGGGCAGGCATTGGCTCATCTGACACTTCCACAGGCTTCGCAACATCTGACTTTCGAGGCCTACCTCTTTTCTTCTTTGGTTTCTCTTCTGGAGTCTGGACGTCTGCTGCAGGTTCAGGCATAGCTGTCACTGATGCTCCAGTATCTTCTGCCTGTTCTTCACCAGAAGGTTTTTCAACAATGGGCTGCTTCTTCTTACGTCCGCGCTTTTTGGGCTCTACGACTGGCACGCTTGAAGAATTGGCTGCCTTCTTCGCTTTCTTAGACGTTTGGCGGTCGCCAGGATCAAATTCTGGGTCCAGATCACTAATATTATCTTCGAAGATGCCATCTTCGCCCAGCTCGTCAGCGTCATCGCGTGCCGTAGACCTCTTTCTTTTGACGGATGAACGTCTGACCGGGCTTTGATCTTCCTGAGCATTACTGCCAACTGCTGTGATAGCATCAGGTGACGACAAGGTCAAGTTAATCGCAGCAGCTTCGCTTCTAACATCCGCCGCTTGCTCAATCTCCCATGGGGGTCGCGGTCCGGAAGAAGCATATCTGCTTGGTGTCGAGACTGCGACAGTTGTTGCACAACTTGACTTGTGATTTGAATGTGGCTGCATCAGAGCAGCTGAGTCAGGAATAGTCGAGTGACCTGAGTGCGAACCCGAAATTTGCACTTTTCGATATTGACGTCTTTGACTTGCCGAGAGACTGCTTGGAGCAACGTAAAACTTGCTGGAGTCATCCGCGTTGGAATCTGATTCTCTAACACCTTTCTTTGCTGTTTTGCCATGTTCATCATCGCTGCTTGGTATGTCCCATTGATCCTTGCCTGCACTTTTCCGGGGGGTGGTAAACTCTGTTGCATCACTCATCTGAACCAGTTGGCTCTTTCTGGGCCCCGGTTTCTTCAGAACCAAAGGGCTGGTGATGTCTGTGGCAGTAGAACTTGCATTGACCGGCGTTTTTTTGCCTTTGCTTTTTGCCTTGCCGTTGGCGGGCGATGAAACATCCCGACTACCTGCGCTGGCCTTTTGACTGAGGCGTACGATGTTCTCAATGAGATGAGACTGCTGCATGGCTTTGTCCTGCTGCTCATCGAAGATATTGGCGAAGAATGAAGGATCTGTGGAGCCAGATGTGTCATTTTGAGCATTTGCCACCGCCAGCAATGAGGGTTGCCTCAGAATAGGCCCTGCAGGTTGATGCTGAGGGCTAAGCGGCTCCATGTCAAGTCGCGGATCGTGCGCCTCGAACTCTGCAAAGGCCTTGATGGGACTGAGCCCCTCATCTTCGTCGTCAGAGTCGGCAATGACCCTCCGAGATGCCATATTGCCCAATTGCTTGAAGTGTGCGAGGTGAGCTGGGAAGACGTGTTTGAACTGTTGATACGCGACTTGGGAGGCGGCAGACGCGTCGGGTAGGCACGTGGCAAGGTGGGGCCCAGAAGCATTGCAATTGGAATACGCCTATCCACCACGAGCGACCACACATCGATTCTATTGTCATGCTCTGGACAAGCAGTAACTGCCAGTGGAACATCCATGAGACCAAGTTTGTTTTCAATCATGACATGGAATAACCGATGATTTCGAGGCATTGATTCACGTGAAAGTTCGAGAAACGGCATGGGACAATTTCAGGCTAGGTTGTTGTAGTATTCGCGGACCATGAACGTCTATCTACTTCTCTGCCTTGTCCAGTACGTATTGATGTCTACAAGAGTTACCGGTTTGCTTTCCTTTCCGGGCGGCACTCAAGACATCCGGACGCCTTTGTACTTCGGCCTGACTCGACAGCGCCGACTTAATGCAAGCTGCTTCATCAGCTCATTTGGGCATCTTGGGTCTCGACTCTGCTGTGAACAGCTATGAACTACTATCATGGAGTCGATTCCCTCTGACTCATATTCTTGGCATCATGCCTGGGCCGCTTTTTATTCAAGAGAAGACACCTACCTCATATTCAGGTCGGGTTTGTCGAGATTCAGGTTGTACAGCAGCCCCACTTGGCCGGAACCAAACGCCCACTAAGCTGCTTGAGGAGCTTAAGCTTGATTCTGTCCACCGTGGCTTTTACGGCTTTTAACAGCTTTTACAGGGCCTGTGAGCTCGAAAGTGATGCACTTGGACTTATTAGTGGGCTGAAAGTGACAGTTCTTTCGGACCGTAAAGGCCAGATATATTTCCACGAGCCTAGACTATATACTTACTGAAGGACTTGGACGACTTTCCTAGCTGGCTGGTTCCAATTGAACTCGCTCTTCCACTCATTTCCTTTTCTGATACCCATACTTTTCTCCCCCCATAGATCTGCTTGCATTTGCGCCGACTGGTCCTTCGACATCATAGACAGGCGAGCATCGCCAACCAACACATATCACCATGGTGCGGTTCTTCTCTCCGCGATGGGTAGTGGCCTGCGTGGTCCTTCTCTTCTCCACCAATGCCTTCGCCGTTTCAGCCGTGCTTGGAGTCGATCTCGGCACCGAATACATAAAAGCTGCACTCGTGAAGCCCGGCATCCCTCTCGAAATCGTCCTCACGAAAGACTCGAGAAGAAAAGAAACATCCGCCGTCACATTCAAGCCCGATGCCAGCGGTCCCAAGGCCGGCTCGTATCCCGAACGTCTCTATGGCTCCGATGCTATGGCAATTTCTGGAAGGTTCCCCAGTGATACCTATGCCAACCTGAAGACACTCTTGGGGCTTCCCGCGGACGACGCGGCAGTAAAAGAATACCTTACGAGACACCCAGCTCTCCAATTGGAGGCTACCAAGCTACGTAACACTGCTGCTTTCAAGAGCAAGGCATTTACCGACGATGTAGACGCTTGGCTGGTTGAAGAATTGTTGGCTATGCAACTCCAGAGCGTCCAGCGCAATGCAGAGGCAATGGCTGGTTCAGATGTGCGCTCCATTGTCGTCACTGTACCTCCCTTCTATACGATCGAAGAGAAGCGCGCTGTCCAGACAGCTGCCGAGTTGGTCGGCTTAAACGTTTTGTCTTTGATTAGCGATGGGTTAGCGGTAGGGCTAAACTATGCAACGTCTCGCCAATTTCCTGTTGTCACTGAAGGAGGCAAGCCCGAATACCACATGGTCTTTGATATGGGAGCCGGATCTTCTAGTGCGACTGTCTTGAAGTTCCAAGGCCGCGCGGTCAAGGATGTCGGCAAGTTCAACAAGACTATTCAGGAGGTTCAGGTTCTCGGTTCCGGCTGGGACAGAACCCTTGGTGGTGACTCCCTCAACTATCTCATTGTGGATGACATGATCTCCAAGTTTGTCCAGACACCCGCTGCACAGAAGGCTTCGGTGGCAACTGAAAGCGTCCAAGGACATGGACGAGCCATGGCCAAGCTTCTCAAAGATGCCGAAAAAGTACGACATGTCCTCAGTGCCAACCAAGAGACAGCCACTAGTTTTGAAGGCCTCTACGATGATGTCAACTTCAAGTACAAGCTCACAAGGGCTGACTTTGAGGCTCTGGCTGAAGACCATGCCACCAGAGTCGGTGTTGCAGTTCAAAAGGCCCTGGACGTTGCCGAGCTGGATATCACTCAGCTGGATTCCATTATTCTTCATGGTGGTGCCTCCAGAACTCCATTCGTCCAGAAGGCTCTGGAGAAGATTGCAGGCAGCGACAAACTTCGAAGTAACGTCAACTCCGACGAGGCTGCTGTATTTGGCGCTGGTTTCAGGGCCGCGGAGATCAGCCCGAGCTTTAGGGTCAAGGAGATCAGAATCTCGGACGGTTCCAGCTATCCTGCCGGCTTCAAGTACACAGACGTCAACGGCAAAACTAGGCAGCAACGTCTCTGGACTGAGAGATCCTTGTTAGGCGCAGCTGCAAAGGAAGTTACATTGAACAACCTCGAAGATTTCACGGCCCAGTTCTATCAGCAGGTTCCGTCAGCTGACGGTGTCGTCGATAGAGAGACAAAAGTTTTGACGACCAAGAACCTTACCGCTTCAGTTGCTCAGCTCAAGGTCAACCACAATTGCGCTGATTCAGACATCCACTTCAAGCTCAATCTGCGTCTTGGTGGCGAGGATGGCGAAGTCAATGTCGTCAAGGCTACCGTGGAGTGCGAGGCTGACGAGGCTGATAAGGAGGGCTCGGTCATGGATGGCGTCAAGAACCTTTTTGGCTTCGGCAAGAAGGATCAGCAGCCTCTTGGGGAAAGCAGCGATAGCACCGAAAGCACCGAAAGCACCGAATCTGCTTCTACTACGGCGTTCACTGACACGGCTACCACGTCTTCAGTGGAGACAAGCACAACAGCCTCTGGAGACTCATCAACGGCATCGTCGGCTGAGGCAGCTGAAAGCAGCGTTTCAGCCACGAAAAAGCAACTTGTCGTTATCCCAGTGCAGTTCACCCTCGAGAAATCTGGAGTACCCCAAATCCCGAAGGGGGAACTCACCAAGTCCAAAGACCGCATTAAGGCTTTCGAAAACTCTGACAAGGGTCGGCGAGCCAGAGAGGAAGCCCTCAATCAACTCGAAGGTTTTACATATAAGATTCGCGAGCTCTTGGACGCAGAATCGTTCATCGCTGCATCCACCGAAGATGAGCGTGCTTCCTTAGAGCAAAAGGCTAGCGCTGTCAGTGATTGGCTCTACGAGGATGGCTCAGACGCACCCCGAGATGAGCTCAAGGCTCGTCTCAAGGAACTCAAGGACATCGTCACACCAATCGAGAAACGAATCAAGGAGAACTCTGAAAGACCTGAACTGGTCAAGTCGCTGAGAGGTGCGCTGGACCAGACAGCCAGCTTCGTCGATTCTATCAAGCAAAAGATTGCGGAGGCTGAAGCTTTCAGCGCAACAGCCAGCTCCAGCACAGCTACAGAGGCAAGTGGCACCATCACGGCTACCCCATCAGCATCTTCTGCCGACTTTGATGGTCTCGAGGACGATGACTTCACCTCTTCCACCACAACAGCTACTGCACTTGAGGACCGCGGCCCTGTCCCGCCTTTGTACACGCTTAACGACCTGAAGGAGATCACAGAGATGTCGGAGTCCACTTTGAAGTGGCTGGAGGAGAAGCTTGCTGAACAAGCGAAGCTGGCTGAGAACATCGATCCAGTCATTCTGGTCAAGGATATTATGGAGAAAACTAAGAAGCTGGAGAAGGCTGGCATGGATCTAGCCATGAAAGCCGTCAACAACTTCGATTCGAAGGGCAAGAAGAAGAGCAGCTCGAAGAAGAGCACCAAGACCAAGAAGAAGGCGATCACCAAGACTGATAGCTCTGCCCCAAAGCATACCGTCGATCTTAAGGATAATGAGTACATCAAGTTTGGCGGTGACGGTCAGCAGCCCTCAGCAGAAGAGATTGAGGAGATGATCAAGAAGCTTACGAAGGAGCACGAAGGAAAGCAGGCCAGCAAAGATGAGGTGCCGACTCGCGACGAGTTGTGATTGAGAGTTCCCAGCGTTAGACGTTATACATCCCACGAAATATAACCATGATACCAATGACTATTGAGTTGAACAAAAGCACCATAGTGTTGTACTAGCCAGTCTTCTCAGGTGCATTCTCGCAATTTTACTTTTCTCTCTCGGGTAACGCAGACAACTGCAGCCAAGCCTTACGGGAGCGAGGATACATGATACATGGGAATGCCTGTCGTGGAAGCCCTCGGGAGGTGACATACGATCGTGTTTGCCTGTAGCCGCTTATCATCAAGACAAACTCGTACGCACCTCGCGTTCGTGTTTGTTGTGAGCAACGTGGTACCTGCATCTTGCATCGTGCAACCTCGGTAGCAGAGTGTCTAGTCAACTGGGTATTGTACCAGTTCTTGAGCATTCGCATAACCGGCTACCAACGGAGCTTGCTGAGGCCTTTGATCTCAAGTGTCTGACAGCTGTGATGGTAATGGTGATGGTGATGGATCGTGTTAAGTTTACAGACTCGTGGCAGGAGCATCCATGTCATTTCATCTCATTTCCTCGGCCTGTAATATTGTCGCTATGGGTACAGGGTTGTGATATTGTCCTTGCAGCGTTCTTGATATTCGCCATATACGGTTTCGATCTCGCTTGCCAACATACTCACGAGGTTTGATCAAAGTACCCGGACTTGCACAAGATAGACGGTTCTCTGCCCCTGTCAATTCTAAGATATGCCAGTGGCCGACTTGGCGCCGCCCAACAACCCAAGTCGTTCGTCTATGGGAGTCTTTTCGGAGCTTTCTCGAAATTTTGCTAAATCTGCTGTTCTTCCAAGGTATTGTAAGACTGATCAACAATGTGCACCTTTTTGCTCCTTCCAGTTTACAGACGCCGGGCAATTAACACTGCTCTTACTAGCGCATGGTTGCTTGGGTCCCAAAGTTTTCAAGCAATAAGTCTTTTTTCTTTTCTTCCTTTCTCCCCCACAATCCACAGAAGGCGGTACTTCATCCTGTCACTTTCAAACTTCTACCTCAGGTGGATTTTACTCTTCTTGCCATCCATATTACCCACACTCGTTCCAGGCAGCACCACCAAGAAACACCACCACCGTCGTTGTTTGATCAAGTCCCCAAGGTCAAGATGGCTGGCCGCAAAAATTTCGGTTTTATGGTCGTGTGGTTTGTCTTGCTTATCGGCATCGTCACTGCTATTCCTGCCTCAGGTCCATCACCAAAGAACACAAGGCAGACTGCTTCAATCCCTGCTGCCGACGGCATCTTCAAGGGCAGACACAATGGTGCCCTCGAGTATCACCGTACTCTGTCCAAGTACAACATTCCCATCCCCAGTGGCCTTCAAAGGGTGGTCAATCGTTATTTGGAGAAGGTCCCCAGTGACCAGAGTATGTACTTCACAACACTGCCACCCGGTGACCTCTGTCATGAGACATAACTGACATGGCCAATAGCTGGTACTGTTCCTGCCGTGCCTCAGGATGGCGACCTCGAATGGATCTCCCCTGCAAACATCGGCACGCCTGCTCAGCAGCTATACCTGGACTTCGACACCGGTTCTGCTGATACGTAAGTCTATACAACCGCTCTAGCTATGATCTTACATTAATCATGATTTCGACAGCTGGGTTTTCTCTAATGACACCGTCACCAAGAGTGTCAAGGGCCAGACCATTTTTGACCTCAGCAAATCCACAACTGCTCAACTCATTCCGAACTGTTCGTGGAGCATCCTGTATGGTGACTTCTCCAGCTCCTCCGGCATTGTGTACAAGGATACATTTGCTCTTGGGGACCTTGTAATCGAAGGCATGACCATTGAGTCTGCAAAACAAGTTTCAACACAGTTCAGCAGTCAGAAGGAAATGTCTGGCTTGGTCGGCCTTGCCTTCAGCAGCATTATCCAGACTGAGCCCGTCCAGAAGTCCTTGATCGACTTCCTGCCCGACGTCTTGCCTGATCCTATCTTTACCACGGACTTGCGACACAACAGCAGCGAAGGATCCTACAACTTTGGCTACATCGACCATGATCTGTACGACGACGAGATCGAATACGTCGGCGTTGATGTCAGTGATGGCTTTTGGAGCGTGAAAATGAAGGGCTTCGCCGCCAAAGATGGCTCCGACTTTTCATACGAGTTTGAACAGCCGGCCCAAGTTATTTTAGACACGGGCTCCACCCTGTTCTACGCACCTGACCAGGCTGTTTCGGCGTACTACAAGAATCACGTCCCGTATGCTAATTTCTCGTACTCGGAGTATGGATGGATCATTCCCTGCAACTCTACGCCGCCGAACTTCATCTGGGAGCTTACCGACAAGGACGACAACGTCATTCAAGGCGAGGTACCTGGTGAGTATTTCCCTTACGCAGTACTCGACAACAAGGGTTCCCCTGAAGGCTACTGCTACTCAGGTCTTCAAAGCCTAGGCGACTTCACTTCACTTCAGGGAATACTCGGCGACATTTTCCTGAAGCCCATGTTCGAGGTTTGGGATATTGGTCAACAGCGAGTGGGCTTTGCGCCCAAGCCTCTTCCGCCCATGAAAACGGCAGGCAAGCGCCGCGATTTGATGGCAAACAAGACCAAGAAGGTCATCCTTCAGTAAGGTCTCGGGACTTGGTGTATCTGGCCCATCTCACTCGTTACATAGACACCTGTGTGCATAGGAGGCTATGTATTGTGTTTATCTCAATGGTGGAGCTTGGGCTACCTTCTCTTTGCTTGATTGAAAGATTTGCTGGTCTAAGACTAGAGAGCGAGATTACTAGTAGAGCAATGCAGATGATCTAACGCAAACCTATTGTTGATTCCCGTGAACAATCATTACTCATGACTATATCAAATCAACGATGCTAATCCTGGTAAGTTTAGAAGATGATTCCACAACACAAGAAGACGAGCTGTCGTATATTCCGTTAACCCGGACGTAGCATTCAAACATTAATAAAGTGCGCCCTCATTTTTGGCTCCCCCCCCCCCCCCCCCCCCCCCCCCCCAAACCAACCAAAGCTGTGGAGTACGCTTGCCGGCACATGCTTGGTAGGTAGCAGCAAGCCACACCTGCCGTCCCATCTTTAGAGTTCCCTGGCTCGTTACAAGCTGTGACCCTGCTCTCCTTAATCGGGAGTGGGCCGGGAGAGCCGGCTTGCCATGTGGTACTTGGTATAGGGTTTTGAGCTCCGGATGCGAAATGGGCGGCTGCGCGAGTCACTCTGCGACTTACGGCGAGTCAAATGTCGTTTCCGGAAAACCTACAGAGCTGCTTGCTGGGCTTGGCGCTTGCGTGTCGAATCTCGGCGGTTGCAGTCGTGGGAGAGGTCTCGTGGATTCTTGGATATGGAGGGACAATGAAAGAGGACAAAGGAGCTACGGACCCGTGGAAGACGCAACGCGGGTTTTGTTATCTAGAGCTCTGCATTGGTGATTCCTATGTAAATAAAGTAAAAATCAATGCCTGGTGTGATATCTGCAGCGCAGCCCAACGGCAGCTAGTTCTGTATAAAAAGCATTTCCATCTTAGCTGCCATGCACAAGCCGTTCTCCTGCACCGCGGATTCTCGCTAGCGAACCATTCCGCTTTGCTAACATGCCCGATGCAATCCCCGCCCGCCTGTCGTTAGTCTACTGGATGCCATGTGTTGATAACGATCCAAGAGCGAGTCGTCAGGAAATAATGTGGAGAAAAAAAGGAGAAAAAAAGAATAATAAAAATACGCCGTAAACGCCGGAAGTCAGGTGCTCTCTGCTTCCATTTCTAACGAGGGTATCTATAATGTGTTGGGTCTTGTCGTGAAGTTTGCTGAAGCGCTCGTATCCAAGTTGGTCGTTGCAGGGGATATTGCCGGTGGACGTGGCTGCGTTGTATAGCTTGGAGCTGGTTTTTTTCCCGCAAAGATATGCCTGTCCAAAGATAGGGGTTTCGCGCTTCTAGCTTACTGCTTGGTCGATGTGCGTTCTCTGGCCATGAAATATCGCATGTTGCTGGCACTTTTGCTTTCGCAATTTGGAGCTGTGGGCGAGAAGGCTCCCCCACAGGAGCTATTCATCATTGGTACTTGCTGTGAAGCGGCTTTAAAACTGGAAATCGCATGGGCCACAATGCCAGGACAGGGTTGTTTTACGAATCGGCATCACCATCTTTAGAGACAATCACCATGTCAGCAAAGCTTCGGGTTTCGAGACCACTCTCAGAGTCATTGTAGGTGTGAGTAGAAGAGGACATGTTGGTAGGGTAGCGTGGTTCGGGGACGAGTTCGTATTCACCTTCGCTGGCCGTGGGTGTGGGCGGCATGGCGCCTCCGTGGGCTGGTGCTTGCTGCTGGGCCTTGGCCGTACCTGGGCGAGATCCTCTCTGGGGGAGGTCTTTGTGTAGAGAGGCAGGAGCCCCTTGTCCTGCTTGTGCGAAGGCGCTGCCAATTGGCGATCGCTGTGCACGTGGGCTAGCTCCAGCGGCACCTGTCGCCTGGGTGCCATGCTTGAGACGCTCCTCCATTTCGCGGATGCGGCGCTCTAGAGCCTCGAGTTCAGAGGCCTGCGAGTTGACTTCCTGCTTCCTGAGTTGGGTCTACTGTCAGTGGTCTTTCGGGAGATTGGACGAAAAGCGTAGTGGTCTGATCATACTTGGTGGCTACTTTGTTGTCTAGGTCGGCGATGCTGTTGTCAATCCGGAAAAGATCCTCCAACTCTGCGCTAAAGGTACGGGCAATTGTGCTGGTGGAATTGCCATGTTAGCATTGCACTCTATTCAGGTCCAGCATGTCTTCAACGTTGCGGTCGGTGGTCTGGTGCCGAGGTCTGGCGATAAGGAGACTCACGATTGCGGGCGGCGGCCATTTGGCTTCCAGTCGCGTTCTAGGTCAGCGTCGGTGCGGTCCATATTGGTCAAGGTGTTCCTTGGATTTTGGATTTGTGTGGGAAAAGCAGACGTTAATTGCGAGAAGATACTGTCGTAGCAGAGCACAATGCAAAAGTAGAGGAGCAGCGTGCCCCCGTACGGATGTGTGTATTGCAACAAGTAGTGTAGTAATCTGAAGTTGGGAAAAGACGAAAGGGAGATGTGTGTGCAGCAACGGAAGCGGATTGCAGCAGTTCAAGGCTCAAGCAGCCAAGGAGTCAAGGAGCCAAGGCTTATGGCTTATGGCTCACGGCTTCAGCTGTCGCTGGATCGCTGCTGACCGACCCTGGGGAAAAAGGGGGGGTCAGGCGTCCAACTGCCAATAGTGGGAGGGTCCCTGGCCTGCAGCTCCTTTCGTAGATTGCCAGATATGTGGAACTCGAGTCTTGACCTGACTTGGGTAACTTCAATTTCGAGTAATAGACTGAAACAAAATCCTGAGCCTCAGACGATCCATCAACCGTGGTACTATGTCTCTAGATTATGGCGTGGCTGTTTCGCTTTGCGTATAGTTTCACGGGGGAACAAAGGTCCAACTCGTGGGAAGTGACGCCGGATTCTTTCTTTGTTCAAGGCAGGCTCAACTCATAACAATAAAACAAACATCGCAGCTTTTAACACTTATGCACCTCTCCTGCTTGCAGGCTCAAGCTAGGTGGTGGTAGCTCCCGGTCGAGTTAACAATGTGGACCTCTAATTATAGTGCTAGGAGGCTACTAGCATTTCAAAGGGTCCAGCAAAATTGGAAATGGAAACCCCAAAATGAGGGTCACCACTAGGTAGCCCCCCGCTAGGGATGATCCAAATCAAAGGAAAGTGCTTGTTGTATCCGCGAATAGAGAGGCAACCTTCTCGCGATCATCATTTTAGCCATCGGATCTCACATACTTTGAAGGTGCTCCAGAAGGTTAATCCCGCGTAGCCGGGGGAGCAATGAGACGGCATACCACAACGCCCATGTCGTCATGCGTGAGTGGTGGGAACGCATAATGAAGGTTTGATTAATTACAATCTTTCATAATCCACCATAATGCGTCGTCGGTCCCCGCTGCGGGCTGAAAAAGATGCCCCCTGCAGGTGGTTTGTGGGCTATCTTGGTGGGACAAATGAAGAACCATGTTTTTGCGCTGCACAACGCGACCTGAACGCGACAGCCATCAAATGCAGAAGCTTTTCTATCCTCGCATGATTCCTTCGAATGCTCCTTCGTTCCCCCCATGTGCCCACATAAGAGTTGTCATGCTTCCTTGGAGATAAGCTCATAGAAAAGCAGTCTGGTGCGTAGGCGCCCGACAGCTGCTGCACATGTGAGCAGCGCAGGTCAGCAGCCATGTCCATATGGCCAAAAGACACTGTCAGTAGCCAGCTTAGATTTGACATTTGGATTCTTTCGAGGGCACATGCATGGCAAACCACGCGTCCAGCGTCACAAAACGGTATCCTCCAGCCAGTTGAAATTGGCGGACTACAAGAAACCGCATCCTCGGGGATCATCGTGGAGCGGCAGTGCGTAGCCATGGCCCCAAGCCATGAGTAAGTGAGTGCTGTAAGGGGTTGGACTAGCGCCGTCAATGTTGAAATACCATGATAAGGTTCCAAGCCGTGGTGAGCGAGCAGATACATATGATTTTAGCGGGCGATCAGCACTGGGATGACAGAACCGAGTGTACATTTTGATAGCCAAGCATGTATCGAAAGACGAAGAGATCATAAGGAAGTCTTGATGTAAACCCAAGGCTGGAAGTAACATCCGCAATAATTGGTCACCCCTTGCATGCACCAAGTCTTCTGGTTTTCTGGGTTTCGGAAAAGCCACAACTTCGTGGTTGACGAGAGACAAATTCTGATTACAGGTGCTTTAAATTGATATCGAATTTAGCATACATGCGTGAATGGGCACCGTTTAGTCCACTACATCAGGCTTTTGAGCACATCTACAGTATCCTCGATATAATCACCCTTGACCTTGATCATGATCATGTCCCGACGTCCGACATGTAAGTGAGCACGGACCAAGATCAACCGGCTACAAGTAGACCTCTCTCCTAAAAAGGCCTAGCTTTGAGACGATTCTAGAGCTTGTGCTGGAGCTTTTTGCTGGAGCTTTTTTGCTGGGGACTGTCCCCGCGAAACAATGCAACGAAAACGCAACGAAAAACGCGCTGAAAATTCTGCCATTCAGCAATCGCGATCACGTGACAATTCATCAACAACACGAATCATCATCACCAACCTCATCGTCGAAACTGGCCGTGCGACGCGGTTTTTGTCGGGCAAGTTGTCGGAATAGTCTTAATAGGCTTCCGCAACTGCCATAGAGTGATTCAGTACGTCTCAACGTCCCCGCGTTTGATGGCTTTTTGATGCCCCAAGGTGCTCAACGTCCACTACTCCACCGGACACTGACGCTGACCGTGATACGTAGACGTGGCGCCCGTTCACCTCCTGCAACGACGCGACGGTCCTCTTGGCCATTCGCAACGCGTAGTACGTGGCATGAATCCAAATCAAACGACAACATACACGCCCCTCGAATCGCTGTTTCTATTTCAGTTATTGGCCCAGTACGGGCTCGTCGCCGAAGCCTTTCCTCGCATTTCCCACGATCTCAACCAGAACGGCTTGATCAGGGCACAGGAGAGCTATGATGCTGAAAGACTGAGCCCGGAGAAGCTCGAGCATCTCGCATGCCGACTCGTCCGCGAAGAACAAGTCCGGGAGGCTGAAGCTGCCGACAAGAATGCCAATCGAGCCGGCCTGTCGCCCACGTCCAGGAAACGAAAGCTTCCGAGTCCATCCTTGCCCTCGCTCAAAGAGCTGCAGACGCAATGCGACAAGCTTCCTCAGTTCGTTGATAAACTCTACGCCACCTACAGAGCCGATATAATACGTCGCATCAAGGAGGACGAAGATGTGTTGGAGAAACTAGAAACAGAAATCCGTGATCTCGAAGCGGCCGAGGCGGCAGAAACTACACCTGTTCCAACGGAATCGAACGCCCCTACTCCCAGGGCAAACGGCCTTCCTCCTGCTCCAGCTCCAGCTCCAGCCTTAGCCCTAGTTACCGCCGGGAAACCAGCCCAGCCTGTCCCTATTTCTGTACCTGTCAGGCCAAACGGTCATGTCAACCAAACGCCAACACCCACTCCGGTTTCCCAGACGCAAAATACTGGCAGTGGCAAACCTGTAATCACTGTGCAGACGCCGACCCAGCCGCCTTCGTTGGACCGCAAACCATCGCAGCCTTCGCCGTCCCCCATACCTCCAAGTGTGCGGCCTTCTGGTGAGGTGCGCCAACCTTCGCCAGGCGTCAGGCCCAGCCAGTTCAGTAGACCTCCATCGGTACCACCGTCTGGACTGCAACATCCTCAAGCGGCTCCAGCTTATGGACACCCTGCCGGACCAAGCACCCCTCAACCTCCGGCTGAAGGTCTCCAACGACCTCATGTCTTGCCCAAGAGTCAAAGTCAGAGCCCGGCACCGAGCCCTGCCCATCAACTTCAGCAACCTCAGACACCGGGCAATTACAAATGGGAGCCACCATTCAATCCCCAACATCCTCCTTATAACGGGCAGCCCATCACCCGACCACCTTCATATCCAGGTCCGCCACAACCTGGACCACCTCAACATCCTCATCCACAACATGCCCATTCCCAACCGCCGCAGCAACAACAGCCACAGCCTCACACACAGCATCATCAGGCGCACTATGGTAACAGGCAGACACCGCAACCCTTAACACAACCGGTTCGGACGCCAACACCTGGCAACGCCGCCCAATATCCTCAACAAGTATTGGTGCCTCCACAGGGACCTGCTCAGGGTGTTAGGCAGACTCCGCCGCCACCACGCCAACAGTTCCCAGAGGCTTCTGTTTCACAGACACAGCAATACCGACATCCGGCAATTGCTGTAAGTAGTCCTGCCTCGACGGCTCCTATATCTGCCCCACAGTACGCACATCAGCATCAGCAACAACAACAGCAGCAGCAGCAGCAGCAGCAGCAACAGCACCAGAATCAGCAACAATTCCACCCTGCTCAAGCGGCGACACGACAACCCGTTGCTGCCTCGCAAGTACACACACCAAGTCGTGCATACCCTGTTGCACCGCCAGCGGCTCAACGATCTGCTTTGGCTGCTCCTACACATCCAGGACACCCCCCCAATGTCCAGCCCCCTCATGCGCAGCATACACATTCGTTGCCTTCAACACCAGTTGCTCAGCGCCAAGCTCAACACCCACCACCTCAGAATGCACAGCCTCCAGTTGCCAATAGGCAACCACCGCGACCATTGAGTCAAGTGAATCGGCCAGTCAATACGATTCCACCAATCCATCCATCTTCCCAACCACAAACTCCTCTCTCGACAAGCGCGCCATCACATGTAGTTAGAGGTCATGGTACTAAGTGGATCTCGACACCGACACCGTCAACACCCCGAATGGAGCCCAGTGATTATTTCGATCCACAAAGTCCTGCTTTCGAGCCAATAAGCCCGCCGAGCCGCCCAGATCAGCCTGCAAAGACGTCAGACCACCATTCTGGAAAGAAGGAAGGACGCAAGAATACGCCGAAATCTGACGCGTCAATTCCGAAAGTTCCCAGCAGACTATCTCGTAGTGCACAAAAGCCATCACAGCCCAAAGAATCAACGGAGGATGTGGAGGTTGGACGCAAGATCAAGAATGAGGAATCTACCCCGAGGCCTTTTGAGGACGCTGGTGACACTACTGCCGATGAGAGTGTGCATGGCAGGCAATCTGGCACAACTTCACGCATGAATAACAAGCGCAAGCGACAAGAGACCCCAGTTAACCGCGGCCCACCGGTACCGCCTACACACGTTCTATGGACCCGTTCTTTCCACAAAGTCAGCGCCTCAGCCCTGGAGCAAGTGACGAGTCACCGACATGCAAATATGTTCGCAAATCCCATCAAGCCACGAGATGCCCCAGGCTATCCAGACATTATTCTACGCCCACAAGATCTTAGGGCTATTCGTACCGCGATCAACCTTGGACAGAGAGCAGCCCATGCGCTTGAGAAGACTCTTCCCGATCTAGATCCGAGCGCAATGAACGTATGGCTTCCTATTTCGATAGATTTGATACCGCCAAAGGGTATCATCAACATTGCTCAGCTAGAACGGGAACTTGTCCACATGTTCGCCAACTCCATCATGTACAATCAGGACCCTGACCGTGGTGTCGGTCCTTCGTTTGTCGAGGATCCAGAGGATGATGACGAGGAAGCTGTGGGTTACGAAGTCGACGAGAACGGTATCGTCAAAGAGACTCGCAACATGTTTGTGGAAGTTGAGAAGCTGCTCAGCGACTTGCGAAGTGAGATTGAGCGCAACGCCCAACCTGCAATGGTGGGACGTGGAAGCGTCAGTCGCGGTGTTAGTGTGGCAGGCGGCGATGCAAGTAACGTAGAGGACGATGGCGATCAGACTGGGGATACTGAGATTCAAAGTACCGCCAAGAGAAGACGCAAAGGCTAGGAGCCGGAGGAACATAGAATTCTGCGATCGGGAAGAAAGTCCTAGAGCTTGGTCACGGGTCGTCATCTTTGCAGAATCAATCTGATCAAGTCTAACGAATGACCATATACTTTGTTGGTTCTTCGTTGTGTATCATTGCCTGGGAAAGGCTGATGGGGTATCTGACTTCCCTAGGTTAGCTCAAAGGCAGCCTGGGTCGAGCCCAATAATTTGACGATGAATTTGATCACCCAACGACTGTCTTGATATCACAATAAACCACGTGTGGCATCATGTCAATTAATAATCGCAGCGACGAACGTGGTAAAGGGCAAATGGAGCAAAATGAAAATAACTCTCTTCTCACTAACAGCCCAGGCACTTCCTCTAGGGTCGGGCCAAGAGACTACAATGAACCTATACCTCGTCACCTACCGAACAGCACTCACAGCCCCTGTTTGTTACCGCCCTTCCTGATCAGTCGGTCAGCCCTCTATACTATGTACGTAATAATAAGCAGAACCTTCCTTTCCAACCCCGTTCCATTGAGCTTCTTACTTTAAGGTCATTTCCCCAGAAATTCTCATCCGATCATCACACGGTGATCTCCGCCTCGATGTAAATCGTCGCTCTCAGGGGATGTGGTCTAGTGGTATGACGTTTCCTTAGCATGTAATGAATTCAGTTTCTGAAGCATGGAAAAGGTTCTGGGTTCGATTCCCAGCCTCTCCACCATTTCTTTTGCCTGCTTATAGGCATGAGTTGATACACATCATCGATCGAAATTTTCATTTTTTGCCTTGATGTAATTCTATAGTCGTAGACTTATTTATACTTGGTAACCTTGTGGATTCTAACATGGCGGATTGAAAAGATGTTTCTAGCCGATAATTACAGAGCTCATCGTTCGTGCTGTAATACTACCGTCCTTCTTCTGCCGTTTATGCACTAAAAGACTTAATATCGGTTCTTTGGCGCCAATAATAACCCCCAAACAAGATTATTGGCATAGACGCAAGTGGTACGATGATGATAACAACAAGCGGGAACCGGCGGGAAATTTGTAGGGGGGAACGCTATGTGTCTTGTTCCGCGATACTCTGTGCTCCATCAGCTTAGTGGGATCTATGGTAAGGATCAACATCATTTCGGGGCTGGTAGCCATATGGAAGTCAACGTCGTGCTTGATAAGGAAACTGTACCTTCGCATGAATCCTCAAGAGCCTTATTCTGACAAAAGTCGAATCCGGGCTGACTTGCACACAAACTCTTCTCTTCTTCATCTGGCTAGTTTCTCGCCAAAGTCGAATCCGAAAATTATCCTATCTTATTCGAGGTAGTTGTTAGTGGAAACGGAAAATCTATACCTGTATTTATACATCGACACACCAGCCTGCCTAATAGCATGGCGGACACGGAAAGAAAACCAGGGTTGCTATAGATAGATCCCAAGAAGAACGACTTCGGAAGCTTCTAAAATGATTTTAAGTGCGTAAAGGAACCCAACGATTCAATTTGTTTACGCCTTGCTGGTTTAGGAAGTATCATCGCTGTTCATGGTCTCGATCCCACATCAGTTCGTCCATATCGCGCGTACGAGAATGCAACAGATCCCAGCTCACATCTGTTACACTACATTGGCTAAAGGGCGAAGACAAGCTAGCTCACGTCTTCCCGAATGCTAAGATATATACACATGACTAGAATGCCGCCGATGCTGCTATTTTCAAGAGTCAATGATTTCACCATCATGCCGCAAAACTACCAGCAGATGCTTTCGTGGAAAAGATCGCCCATCGAATTGATAATACAGAAGCTCTCGGAGATATAGTATTTGGGGCCGAATTCTCAAGAAAGAGATGATGTATCGACCAAATGAGACTCAATACTTTGCTCACCATAGAACATATAAGCAACAGTTAACAGGGGGTTCGCCACTGCCATATAGTAGAAGATTTATCACCCGTTATACAAATCACCGAGCATTCATCAGGCCCAAGTTTGATACAGAACATTCCGCTATATCATGACGACGAAGGAACAACAGGAAATTTTTAGCCTGTTACCCGGTTGATGTGACGGCTCCTCAGCAAGAAACTCAGCAAAGAAATTGGTCCAGAGGCTCTGAACTGGTTTAACCAAAAGACAACTGCGCTGCTGAGTTCTTACACAGCGAGAAGACTGGTCTCTAGGAGCTCAATCTCATAGAATCAGCTCCCGGGCACGCTGTAGGCCTAAGCTCTTACATAATGCATTCAGAATTGACGGAGCCCATTAATTTGACGGCGAAGACGCACTTCAATAAAGCACATCCACCGTTTCCGCTTCCATGTCAAAAATGCAATCAACGATGTCCCTGTACATCCTTAACTTGATCATGTTGAAAGAAAGAATAGCAATTGTGAAGCTAACAAGAGGATGTGAATATTGATTTCCAAGATTCTAGGAGAGAATCTATACGGGATCATACCGGCGATTCTCAAACCCAGGCGAGATAGATCTCCACGCCTGACCTGAAACCAAACTACTAACCGGAATAGGTCTTTGGAATTGAGTGGCTAGAGCATTTTGTATCGTGGCGATTGTCAACCTCAAGTTCAAGTAAAGAACGACCCGAAACACGACAATCTTAAAGAATCTTCACACAAGTCCCACCCAATGTTTTTGGGCATTTTATCGTAGTCAGTACAAACTTGGAAAGTTCAGTTTGCTGATGGGAAGGCAAACTATAAATAATACGATTAGGTTAATATCTGAAATGTGTGGCGGCTCATGGACACAAAATAGCCTGATATCGATGTGTAAGTGTCAATGATGCCTTGAAAACGGTGCAACTCCTCAAGTCCATCGGTATCGTTTCCGATGCCAAAGCAAATAAGGAGTTACTCAAATGGGAGCCTCAGCTAGGCTTTCGACTCGTCGGTGTCAAATTATGCAATGCTGCAAGACTGGATCGCAGGTCTTAGATAATCTGTGCTAAGCTAATGACGGTACAGCACAAAACAAAAGAGGTTCATTAGAACTTTGAGGCTTCAGTATCTTGTAAAGGACAAAGGTTTTGACATATAAGCATTTATAAATTGACGATTCGGACTCATATTTAGTCATGTGGTTTCAATGCTTCACAAGTATACGCTCGCCATCTACCAGTGTAGATTCATCTGGTAAAGGAATCTTCTTCATCCAGTCGATGTTTTATCCATAGTGAAAGTAAATGGCAGCAAGCAAGCTTTAGGAACGACAAGGACTCCTGCCAGATTCACGGTCGGCTGGGCATGTGCGCTGCCCATCGAGCAGCCACCGGAGGGACCCTGTCGACCGAGGAACCAAATGGTTGATGATTATTCCTACTCGAGATAGAGAAATGTTCCTAGTAGACTTTACTTCGTATGCTAGGAGGGGCTTTAGAGCTGCTTTGTTATTGAAGGGAGACCTGAACCAACAGGCTTTTGTTATAAGACGTACATGGTTCTATATGATGATCGTCATCGCAACAATGATGGTGTTGCTGTAGCACGCCCTCATAGTCTGAGCTTAGGCAACTGTTTGTGTATGAATTATTGCATTAGGCGGTCTTGTGCCTCACAACCTTTACAGATTCAGTTTGGAGGCCTGTGTCAAGGCTACCTGAACTCTCCAACATTTCGGCTTCAGGAGCGACTTTCTTGCGTCTCAGTGTTGTGCGAAGGCCCACAGCACCGATACTGGCTCCAAACATAAACACGCCGACATATATGATTAGACCCAGCCACTTTCCAGCACCATAGCCTGGCGTGATATCCATGTTCTCAGATGACGCGACTACTGCGGCACCGGTGTAGCCAGAGGCTACGCACGCTATGCCTCTGACTGCAAGGAGAGCGGCAGATACGACTGTTTCTTCATTGGGGTGGTCGGAGTCACCAACAACCGCCGATGCCATGTGACTTCTGACCACAGCGAAACTGAAAGAGAAAGCACCAAATAGAACTGCTAGTATGACCAGCATCCAGTACTTTGAGCCGAACCCCCAAAGGACAAAAACAGCAAATGTACTGACTAAAGTGCTGAGGAGGAGTGGTATCTGGGCACCGATTTTATCCCTGCCACCGAATCAGAACCCAACGAGAGAGCATGTACAAGACAAAGATTGATTACTTACGTCAGTAGGCCTAAAAGTGACTGTCCGATCATACCCGAAAGACTCAAGAAGGTGATGAGGAGAGAGCCTTGGGCTAATGAAAGTCCGATATCCGTGCTATAGCTGGGTAGATATGCCGCCGGGAGGAAGTTGGCAAGACCCTGGAGAAACATGGACAAGGCGAAGATATAAAATCGTGGCCGGCGGAACGGTTGCCACGAGAATGAGGTTTTCGATCCTTCGCTGCTTTGAGGAACTCGTGGTCGTACAAATAAGATGCCCAAAGATATCCCCACACCAGCAATAATGGCCCAAGCGATCAAAACTGTTCGGGAGCCAAACTTTTGTAGAACAATAGAGAATATAGGTGAGCAAGCTGCTGCTGCGAGGTTGTTTGATCCAAAGCTTAAGAATGCGGTGTCAATTACGCTGTCTTAGGAACTCTGCTTCAGTGAATGAACACTTACAAAATACCGTTTGCAATTCCACGTCTGAGCAGGAACCACTCGTCGATGAAACTAATTGAAGGTGCAAATAGCAAGCCACTTCCAATTCCATACAAGACACCTTGTGTCATGATGACGCCGACAGGCTGGCAATAATTATAAGTAATTTCACATCATGGCGTAAATGTAAATGACCTACTGTGGTTGAAAAAGCCGCACCTATCGACGCTGACACGACCATAATCATGCCAAGCCACATCATTCCTTTTCGATATGCTGGCTTCGCGCTAAGGTAGCGAAGTAGAAACGGGGGTGAAATCTGAAGAATACCCTATTACATGGTCAGTGAAGAGGAGCGTGATCTTGAATGTTAGATCACTTACTATCTGAATGACACCTGTAGATACCACAAGCTGATTACCAGCCAGCGGCTCGTGATGAAAATAATATTCTCGAAAAACACCGAAGCAACTTCCAAAACCTGACAGTTTGATTAGTTACTGGTATGGTTAACAGCATTGTCGGATATACGATGTACCCCATGTCAATGTGAGCATCAGCGACACAGCAAGAAGAATCGACCATGCTTGACGTCCTTTGTCCCGAGGCGGTAAACCATCAGTCATCTTTGAGCTCATTGTCACGTTGAATTGCGCTCAAAGACACGTTTAGAGATGCCGATAGTGTCGATTAATTATCGGTCGAGATTGAGAGGACTCTACAAAGCACTCTAGGCTATGATCTGACTTGTATTGTAGCTAAAACGTTAAGTGAAACACTGTTGTTATTGTTGTTGTCGCTGTGTGTAGTCCAGGCCTGGAAATTATCATGATCAGACACCAATGGTCTTTTTCTTTCCCCTTTTTTTCTCCTCCGTTTTTCCCTTTACGCCGATGGTATGCTGGGTAAGCCGTCAATCTCCATGAGAAAACTTTTCTTCACGATTTGCCAAGTTCTTGGCGTGAGTACATTATATCACCAGGGCTGCCGCCAAGGGATGAGGATCTATCCGCGCGGGCTGGCGCTAGCCATTGCAGCTGGTCTCCGATGCAGACCAAAATTTTTTTTTGATCTAGGCGTAGGTTACTAGGGTTTGGTCATAAGATGGCAACTTTAAATCGTGGCAGCTAACAGCCGGATGCATGGTTGTATGTCCGTGCAAGGTCTAGCAGGGGTTGTATGCACGGAACTTCGCATACCCATAGCCGCAAAAATGGCACTGTTTACTTACGGAATCCGATCCGATGCACCTGTGGGGGGAGCATGGGGGAGGCAATAATAATTCAAATGCTCATAAAGGCATACACTGATTAGCGGAGCGGCTATATAGCAGGCCGACTAGTATTTGCAGCAGGTCAACTAACTTAAAACGGATATTGGCTTACTCACGGTTTCTCGGATACTCACACCAAAACATGAGTACCTTGGTACGTTAATAGGGCTAAGTACTGAAACGAGTTAGTCGACCTGTTGCATAGCCGCTCCGCTTATTAGTGTTTAGCTCATCAACAGGCTGTTACGTAACTTACGTAACGACGTCCTAGTTTGCGTGGGACTCGATCTTCTTCAACAGTGATATATTTCTATAGATCGGAAAATCCAGGCCCAGGCTTGAGACTGAATGTCTTGGTCGCACTGGCGCATGGTACTTCTAGACAAACAGGGTAGGTGATACAATATACCATCGTCTTAATGAATGCCTGCTTCTATTATTGGCAAATTGCGTTTTTCGCGCAGTGTATGTATTGCAAGACTGACTCTTTAGTTTTTCAATATTCCGGGCTTTGCCGAGGTATACGAGTTCAAAAGAACATGAGGAATTATTGTCGCTGTAAGATGGTCTTTTCACGGAGTAGAGGAATGGATCCGAGCACGCAAAAATATTTTTGAGACGTTGGATCTCTTGGCAATAACACCGAGATAGATTATAAGTAGAAAGATCTCCCGACAGATTGCTGTGTCCCATCTCAATGCAACCAATTCTTCCTCAGAGAGCAACTTACATTCTTATTTGATCTTTGTTTTTGCAAAAATGCCGAGCTCTACCTTAAAAGCTATGCCTGAAACCACCCCAGTGGTGGTTGCCTCCTTGAGAACCATTGACTTTTCGAAGTTGATGGATCGAGACTCTTTGGAGATGAACAAATTGATTCTAGCGTGTCAAGAAGTTGGTTTTTTCTTCTTGAATCTAAACTCCCCGGGTTGCCAGAGTCTGCTTTCCAACTTGGATAATGTTTCTCAACATATGAAAGAATGGTTCGAGCAAGACAAAGTCGCCAAAATGAAGACGGTAACGGTCAGCAATTCACATGGGTATGCAAGTCGATAAATGACATGAGGGTTCTTAATTGACGATCGTCTAGATATAAGCCGGTTGGCCATCACGCTGGAGTCGGAAAGAATAGAGACGGCTGGGAAGCATTGAAGGTATTACATCTCATCTTGGATGTCTACAGGCACACATATACTGATCCATCACTTCAGCTCGGACGCTCAGAACTGCGTGGTCGCTGGGCTTTGCCGTCAGTAGTCCGAGAGAATCTGTCGCATTTCTCTGACTTCCAAGACGCGTGCCATTTTGTCACCAAGCTCTTGCTTGACTGCATCTCATCAAAGCTTGAACTCCGAGGAAATTATAGCCTCCAACAGTACCATCGCGATGACGCGCCATCCAAAAGCTCTCTGTTTTTCAATCACTATCCTACCCTAGACACGGCCAAGGAAGAGGTAGGCCAGAACCAGCACACTGATCTTGGCTCTCTCACACTGTTGTTTGCCCCACAATGGGGCCTCCAAGTCCTCTCGCCTGTCGATTTTCTATGTCTCGAAACTGGGGAACAAATGCAATGGCAAAGCGTCGAGCCTCGGGCGGGCCATGCTATTGTCAACGTCGGCGATACCCTTCGATTCCTGTCCAACTACAGACTTCGTTCCGCACTTCATCGTGCTCTGCCACTCGAGTCATGTGATCGATACAGCATCGCATACTTCTTGAGACCAAGTGATGACAGTGAGTTTCAAGACAGCATGGGGAAGACTACAACCGCTGTCAACTGGTACCTCCAGAAAAACGAGACATACGAATCGCATGAAAAGCAAGACGAGTTGATCTTGCTTGGTGGAATTAAGGAATTAATTCATAAGGCACCCATCTGTGTGGATGTCTAGATCAAAAGGGGGGTTTTTTTTTACTGATATCTTAACGTACGGAGTTTAAACGAAAGTAGAAATAATTATGAATGACTTGGATGGGACGCATTAAATATTTTTGAGACAGAAACATTTCATTGTTTAGATCAATTCATTTAGATTTTGATGAAGAACTGCTCGAAAAGCAACCGAAATTGAAAGCCGAAGCAGAAAGTGATTGCGAAGAGCGTGTTTTTCGTCACTTTGAGGCTATACACTATGAGAGCGCAGCAAAGACAATCGCTCAAGGGTCTGACGTTTTTGGCTACGATAGTCAGAATGCGAAAGAACGCTCGTGGGTCTGCAGAGTGTGCGTCAAGCAGATTCGGCCCCAGCCTAGCTCTACCAAGTCACAGGGAGTCCAGAGTGCCATGGAGTACGTCTTCGTCGTTTACGAGATTTGAGCACCACCCGGCGAGACACAGTTGGCCGTGAAAAAGAAGGTCTTTGCAGAAGGTCGAGACACTACACATAAATCCATCAGCTAGTCGTTTGTCTTGACGCTACACGGCCTCGATTGAGCAGGGAAATGTTGGAGATCCGTGGGGCCGGCTCGCAATCACGGCGAACTGCTGCAGTACCCCATGTGCGTCCTCAATCTTCAGTCCTCAGTCCTCAGTCAAGGATTTCTGATTATAGTTGCTTTGTGTTAGTTATATCGTAACTTCCCTCCCAAGCATTCGGTAACTTTCTTAATGGGTCAAGTTACTCGTCGCAGATTGTTTTTAAGGCGCGTTATCCTCGACGCCCATCTAGTGCCTAGTTCCGTGCTCTGGTCTCATCGACTTAGTGTTCTAGAATCGGGCTTCTGAATTAAATATGGAATCTGCGCTAAATGTGCGAAATTTTCCATCCGGACCATAGTCGGGATCCAAATCATTGTCGGTTTTTAGAGCTTCTCTGTTGCTACATCTTTGTGTTTCAAAGAAATCTTGCGTTTTATTAAAGCAAGTTGTGATAGCACTGGCTATAACTTATTGAACCTGCAAAATGATTTAAATACACCAGTAGTGAGAGCGATTGCCAACATCCCCGAGCTCAAATTCATACCACATTGGCTTGCTGTTGTCCATAATACAACGCTTAATCAGCCGAGACTATATCTGAGATACTTGTCCCAGTCATGGTCGGTATGAGCGAAGTAGCCGTCGTGACACAAATCCCAGTCGGGACAATAAATGAAGTGGTAGCGCCATTCAGCTTCTGGATATTTTGACCAAGATTCGAGTATAGACGCGCCATCACGAGGGTCACTCGTCTTAGCAAGAATGATTCCGAAGGCTGTTATACGGTAATGTTGGCAATTCGGTGTGGTGTACCACGTGTAGTAATGAATGGTTGAGAACTGGAGACACCTCATGCAACACTTTGGAGAACAAAGCCGATTGGTTGGCTACGAGTGTATAGATGTAAACGCTGTGCTCGGCCATACTCCACTATTCGGGATCTCCTTTAGATTACCTGGGCAACTAGAGCAGTCTGGACAGGGGTCAAGCAGTGATGTATAAGAGAGAACAAGATACAAATATCAGCAAGTTTATTGTACAATAGCATGGAATGATTTTTATGGCTGGATGTAGTTTTTTAATGCGCCATTATAATTCTGTAAGAACTGCCTAAAATCCGTAAAGTCAAGTGCTCATCTGTCGGTATCGTAGGGCGACAAAATTTATATATTTAGATATAGCCGTGGGGGTCTCATTGCCAAGTTCTTAATTCGCATAGTCAACATTATTGGCCTATTTATAAGGGAAATAAAGAAATGGCACCTTCGTATATCGCCTTTACTAGCGTTTCCTTCCTAAAGAGGTTAAGAATTACCAAGCTTCCCACCTAAGATACGGTGATTCTGCAGCTCGAAAATAGAGTCCTTATAATTATATACCTCATCGAACACCCGCCGACTGCCTGGAACAAGGGCATAGCGATCGACACAGGGGTTGCAAAAAAGTCGTGTCGAGCACACGTCTGCAAGTCTCCTTTCCACATAAGGCTGGGTTCCTAGCCTCCGTTCGTAACACGAAAGGTAGCCGAGAAAGAAACGACGTTCAGCGTCAGCAGGAGGAACACGCATGGTTCACGCTGCTTTGGACCAGAATTCAGCAATGAAGTCCTCGACATCTTCCCACAACTCCTCTGGTTTTTCAAGTGCAGCAAAATGACCACCCTGGCAAAATAAAGTCAGTACAAACAATACAGGGCCCAAATAATTAGTCGGAAACATACCTTGCTATGCGTTCTATACCAGCTGACTTTTCCCGTCTGGTCAATCCACACCTTGGGCGGGTTGCTGATCTCTTTCATAAACCAAGAGTACCCCAAGGGGACCTCAACCGTCTTCCAGCCACCCGTGAGCGGCTCAAAGTTGCCACCAGATATTAGCCGATGATGACCAATAGATGTAGAGTAACAACCAGTAAACCAGTACAGAGCCACGTTCGTCAATATTAGATCTACATCTGGCGTCTCGTCGGACCACTCGACCATCTTGCCACCGATCCAGGTCAGCAGTGCGACTGGATTGCTTCCAATCAACAGCCCCGCTGTTGATGGCTCATGTCCATCAATCATGATAAAAGCGGTTCCTGTCTTGAGGAAATCGGCGGTATTGTTGAGAGATATTATTTCTTCAGGGGTATATTTCCCGGCTTTGATATCAGCTTCTATATCAACACCTACTGGTGGTGGGATCTGCAGCAAGTTTACGTGTACAAGTTTGCAGGCCGGATCGACGCTAGCGATAGCTGTAGCTGTTGCAGAACCCAAATCGCCGCCTTGGACCACGTACCCGGACTCCGAGAAGCCCAAGGCATGTACCATACGCGTGATGAGACGAGCATTATCCAAATGAGTAAATTCTCTGTTGAGCGGTGGCGCACTCGAAAATGGGAATCCCACAAAATGAGGTACAATGATGTGATATGGCAAGGATGACGGCTCGTACTGAGATCTCAGCTTAAGAAGAATAGGCAGAAACTCTACCATGGATCCTGGCCATCCATGGAGGAGCACGACTGGGATTGCTGACGTATTTGTTGAAAATAAGCCGAAGAAATGAATTTCATAGCTTTTGGAATCATCGTCGGAGAGGGTAATCTTGTACTGAGGGATTGAGTTGAGGGCAGACTCCCACTTTCTCCTATGGATAATTAGCTCAGATGATTCATGCTATGGGGTAAGCAGTGCTTTACCAGTCGTAGACGTTCTTCCAATGTTCTACCAGATTGACAACCTTTTCTCTGGATATACCAAGCGATCCACCTTCGCCAGAGTTCCAAATGTTGGGCCTTGCGATCGTAGAATGTTTCAGTAGTAAATTCAATCGTTCAAGCTCATGATCGGGAATAGATATGGTGAAAGGTGTCAGCTTCGCTGTTGGGGAAACTGGATGAGGCAGTGTGCCAAATGGAATCGACTCCATATCGGATAGCCTGTGCAGAATTCGTTGTCGAGAAAGGCGTAAGTTTGGTTAGCAAACTCGTTATTTCATGCAAAAATCAACTTTGTAAACATGAAATAGACCGTATTATATCGAACCCTTAAAGGAGGTAGATGACCTGCTTTTAGGCAGCAACTGTGTAAGCTGACTCGACTAACCTAGCTCGGAAGATTGTAGCAGATCTTAGAACACCCGAGTTTGTTCCATGTATGTAAACGTTACATCATCAATACATAGAACAAAAAAGATTGTTCTTTGATCTTGCTCAATATTCCACTGGTATTATTTCTCAGTCACTTCTCCGGTGGAAAGGTCAGAACCTCCCGTCCGCTCCCAAAGTACCAGTCTTTTCTTCAATTCTCCACTTTGCTCACTCATGATCCCAAGTCAGCGCAGCAATACGGTGCGTTCTTCTCCTGTCACATCCCTTCGAAGAAAATCCTATCGCAGACGTCCCACCGCTTGCTTCTAGCCTGGAGTCGCAGACCCTTAGCCGGCGAGGAAAACGCGATATTGAAAATGAGTCATTCTCACTTCAAATTGAGCCCAAGTCTTTTACTTTTATATCCTAGATTATACTCCGACCGAGGGCGAGCTATACACCGTAAAACTAAAGCGTTGGCAAACGAGCGTGGTTGTATATACGGAAAATCCGCAGATAAAACGGTTGGACGACCCACGAAAGCTCATCGCGAGAGTTGATATCCCCGACGTCGGATTATTTGAAAAGAAATATTCTTGGGAAAGATGTACATTGGTTGGTCTTATCACGGAGTGAGTGACGTAGTTTGAACAGGCAATGTGACTCTTAGCTATAAATATCTCATGGTTGACTTTTGGTGAGCTTGTCGCATAAGCTTGTGTTCAAAAGCGTTTCTCGATCCGGCAGGAAGCTAATTGTTTAGTTATGGACGAGAGTGGGAAGGAACTGCTCAGTTTACGAAAGTTAAATGGCTTACTATTAGCGTTAGTGCAAGCTGCCTTATATGCCACGCCACTGCTCAAAATGGCTTTACCTAGGCTTTCGTTGACTTTATGCAGCTGTTTCGAGGTGCCGAGCTGCCCTAAACAGAGAGGTGAGATGATTAATCCGAGCACAGGCCAGATAGAGAAATATAAGGAATGCTAAATTAATGATTTAGCCAAAGTAGGAGGACAGACTAAGTAGGTATTAAAGTGGGTAGAGCAAGGTAGATAATAGAGTAAGGGGAGAGGATTAATGGTTAAGATTATAAACGTGGCCTAGGAAGTGCTAAGAGTAAGTAACGATATTATAATTAGGAATAAGAGACTAATACGGAGGGGAACAAGAAGGCACTTGACGAAGTCGTTAATATAGAGAGGTTTTAGAAACATCTCGGTCAATGCTCCGCTCGTTACCGACCAGATCCGCACAACACCATCACTTGATACGGATATGATGGCTTCAGGGTCGAGGAAAAAACGGACGGCTAAAACTGGTGCCTTTGGAATTTCAAAGCTTTGCCATAGAACCCCAGTTTCGGCAGACCAGACAAAGACTTGACCATGACGCGAAGCAACCATGATGATTCTGGAGTTGTTTGAAAAGACAGGAGGCAGGCTGAGATCCGAGCTCCCAGAGAAATGCAACAACGCGCCGGTTCTCGCCTCCCATATCTGTATAGGCTCATCATCAGCAGCCCTCATCAGTAATTTCGAATCGGGAGAGAAGGTAGCAATGGAAAAGTACTCTGACAGCCCATCGATTGTCTGTCGCAGGGACTTCCAATGAATGTCAGTCTTCACCTTCATTGAGATCCATATAGGAACCCCATATTCAAAGATTTTACGAACAATACTCTCGAGGGGCAAAAAGGATCGCTGAAATGTAAACTTGAAGCGGTATGATATCAACGATCTAGATGTAAGTAATGACAAATCTTTTCGCATCAGATAGGAAGTAAACTAATTGAGGACTTGGCTGGTTAGATTAGTATTATTGCGAAATTAACCATGCTTGCAACTTATTGTAGAGGTCGTACTGAGGTGGTCAATGATGTTTGTACTTGCCACACCCCTTCCAAGCCAGCATAATATCTCAACCCCGTGAAGAAAATGATGTTTCAAACATAGGAAGATAGATGTTTCTATCTCTTGCGACAAAATCTCATTCGGCAAATGATCTGCCCAATGTATACAAGCATACTGCACATGACTCGGTAAACAAGAATTGATTACTTCTATGTCCACGCTGTGGCGTTGAACTCCTGCCGATCGCATGTTGCAAATATCTTGACACAACGATTATGTCATGACTTGAAGACACCTTTACAAGACCTGACTGTGTACAAATTTCTCGTCTGTCCAAAACAGATTGCTTTCTCGCCTTTCTGGATCCGACAGATAATTGCTAAAGGATATGTAGAACAGTACTATAGGCTTGGTTGCGTGGGGCGTAACAATGAGCACGGAATACAAATCTCGAATGACTCCAGCTATAAAGGCATTGTCTTTGTCGAGGAGTGCTAAAGGAGATAAACGGATAGCGGCTCAGCGAGAACTAGAATAAAGCCTAAGACTCCTTTTACTTCTACGATCGAACAAATATAGCCGCTCTCGATTCTCCCCGCAAGGTGTATAAGGACAAGGAGATACGTTGTATCGAGCGCGTCAACTATTCCGTGGTAAAGCTTCGGTTCGTAGTTTAAGATCTCTTATAATTAATATGCTGGGTCGCTAAACTATACGCGATCTTCCACTATACGACAAACGATTACTACAAAGATAAAGAGTGGTACTACTCTATAAACTATAATGTCAACATCTCTTACGTTAGGCCAATTTTAATATATCTTCAGGCCATCTGGTGAACCACTATTTAAAATATGCCTGATCCTTCCGAGGTCTTGGTGCAGGAATGTAGCAATATCATGTGCAACTACCGGGCGGGCGATGTCATGCAAAACAACTTGTTGGCAATAGTTAGTCACGAGTTGAAAGCCGTTTCGAACTCCTGGTTCCGGTCTGCTTGTAATGAATAATTTCACACTTATCAAACTAGTTCTCTAAGTCGAGAGAAAAGTTGTATAATGAGCCCAACTTGCTCCTGGCGATCGCATTCGTCTAAAGCGTCCACTACAATAACGAGTTTTTGAGGCTGCAGTGGTCGTACAGAGAGTGCTTGAAGGGTCGTAAGATTAGGTTCTCGAATTGCTCTCGAAGTCCAGTGTGGACATTGACCGAATCCTTTTTGGTGAAATTATCGATGTGCTGCAATAGATCGGGGGTCTTGACCGCAAGCTGGTACGCGAGAGTCAGGAATAATCTCATTGCGTGTTCTCTATCACCTGTGCCTCGCTTGAAAAAGAAGCTGGCTCTGAGTTTGCTATGGCTTGCGAACGAGTGGGCCATAGTACGGGCTATGGTCGACTTTCCAGCTCCTGCAACGCCATTCAGCCAGAAGAACATTTTCCACAAGTATCGTTTGACCACTCTTCGATCTGCCGTATAAGATCCACACCAGTATTTGCACAGCACCGGGCGTTAGTCTCCTCAGCTTATTGAAGACTGCTCCGTATGCTACAGGAAGCCTATCGTAGGTTGTGGAATTGGTCCTGAACGACATTAGTACTACGAGTAGTGTTACCGATTCTGACATTACCCACGAGTAAAAACTGTGTCCTTGATGTATTTATGTTGGCAAATTGAAAGTGTTAGAGGAAATAGAAGAGATCTTACAACCAGGACCCGCCATGTTTTCCAAAACCGACACTTGTAAAAATCGAGTTGTGAAAATAAGGCCTGGGAGGCTTCGGAGGTAGTTAAGCAATAGCTCACTGAGGGTTTAGATTGCCTTGAGCGGATTTGATCGCAGATATCCCAAACCCAAGGCGTTCAGGGGATAGTCTGAACTGCTGGGGGGCGATAGTTTTCCTTTTCGTTGGTCCTGGGTTAGGGAAGTCGTCGCGCATTTTAGTAGGATAGCCTTGGTGCTTAGGCACTTGGATGCCAACAGATCTGCTAGGCCCCGCAAGCCAGAGAGGGGCTGCCCAGGCCAAGCACTAACTCAAGATGTACTTGATTAGATGCAATCAATCGGCAAGTCGATCAAAAGCTGCTCAACGTCTCTCGCCTGGATCTCCGCCATCCCAAGATCTTTTGATGAACGAGGGAATTCGCTAAGCGAAGCCGATTCGTCTCACATCGTTCTTATGGCGTCGCTCCCCAGCATCGGTCAGATACTCAAAGGCCGCGTGTCAACTTACTCTGTCGTCAAGGAGCTACATCGGGCTGCCGACAATGGTGCTGTTTACCTCAGCTTGTAACACCTCGGATCCTAGACCTTGAACGATAACTGATCCGGCGCGCAGGAACGGGAAGTGTGAAAAATGTATCCTCAAGAGTATCAGACCCCACTGGCGCTTGGCGAACGAAGCCAACGTCCTGAAGCGTTACCAATGTGAGACCCTTTTCCGTCGTCCTTTAATTGGCAAGGTTGAGGAGCCGATTGACCCTCCTTCCATATCGTTGGAATACCGGAACACTGACTTAATGAATGAGTCGAATAGTAGACGGTTATCGCGTCCTGAGATCAAACAGGTAGCCAAGAGCGTGTTAGAGGCACTCTATATTCTTCACAAAGACGGTATGGTTCACACAGGTTATATAGTTCGGCACTCCTATTGCAACTGAGTCCGGCCCTTGGATGACCTGATTCTATGTCCAGATGTTAAATTAGATAACATGTTCGTCGACTTCGGTCAATCTGGCCGACACTTCTCTATGGCGGCGGAGTTAGTCTTTACGGAGTAAGCTTGCACGATCGTTTCCCTTTCTTCCGTCAACTTGAAAGATAAGTGCTCTAGACTAGTATAATTAGCAGTTACAGTCCCGAGTTCCAGAGCGCTTCGCTCCAGGCATCTGGGGCAGCTCACACAGATGTTCCACACCTCCATCTTTTGCGCCATGTACACAAACGCAATCGCTCTTCTGCAGGATTTGACAATGCGTCATACGATGGATTTATACAGTATCCAGGTAGATTATCGAACAGACCAGAGATGATGAATGTGCTTGGCTTCCAGGCTTTATGGCCTTATCTATTGCAGTGGCTAGCTCTGTCAGGCGGCGGCAGCCGGGCACAGTAAGGTTAGTCCATTCGTTCGATATTTTAGATAGCGAAGCTTGCTCAGTGCGAGAATTAGCTCCCGGTTATGGTCAGGTTTATCATGCGCCGATCGGTCCATCGATTAGGGGACTTAATGATATGCCAAATCCCATGCCAGCAGATTGCCTTCGAAACTTGTTACAATCCCAAGCTTTAATTCCATGCCTCCATACCTTTCCTACTACATTGAACAGTACATAGAAGAAGTGCCTTTTCTCGAATCACTGGATTAAAGTGCCATGAATCTGTCCATCATAACTTAAACTATGCGAAGACACGTCATTTGTCTACGAGCTGTAAAAAATACTTTCGAAGGCAGAACGTCACGTTTAGTGTCCATTAATTAAACGTCCTGTTTGAGCAAGAATAGCATCTATGTAGGGGCCAAAACATCATAAGCTTCGCCTGTTGCCTGTTAATCTAATGAGGACGGCTTTTCATCGCATGCTATAAATTAGCGTTTAGCGCTTCGGAATAAGCGACCTGCCGTTATTACAAATTCGTACCCATCATTCCCATAATAATTCAAAGCTTCACCGACCCCAATACAGTATTGCTTCTAATTCGGTAATCACTTTATGCGTGTCTTCGTCAGAATCAGCTGATTCTTGGCTCGCAATCGGACGATGTCCGATTATGCGTGATATCACAGAATTCGCAATATCTGAGATCGATAATGCACGTCCACGTATGTCATCCTGATCACGTTCCGCTAATCGTGTCGCATGCTGAATTTGCATTTGTAGTATGGGAGTGTTTGATGCTTCTTTCGACTGGCTGTTCTGAGAAGTCGGCATGTTGGATAGCGATTGATAATTTGAAGGTAAAGATTCGAGGGCTGTCTTATACCTGTTCACCGGTTTACAATGAGGTTAAGCGCCCGAGCGCCCATGGCCTGGGCCAGCTCGCGGCTATGTTGTAGTCACTGCAACGGAACTCACTCCGTTTGTTGGTTGAACATCGGGCTATGATTTTAGTACGCATTCCATACACATGTAAAGGAGCATTGACCAGCCTCGAAGTATTTAGCCATCATTCATTTGTGTTTACTGTATCAATTTCCGACTACTCCGCAATCGTTAGGGGGTATCGAGATTGAGGAAAATTTGCGTGTAGCGCAAATATTTACCGCAAATAAACAATTAACGGCCGCTATGTCTTCGCCTCCAAAAGCGGGGTCGTGGCTAAGAAGGCGAGGCACCTGGCTAGCAGGCTACGGTTAGCAAGTTGTATCACTATACAAATGGAGCGCCAAGCTCTCATTTCGTCCCTCCATCCCTATCCTACTGCATTGCCTGGCAACAGCACATGTTAGAAATGCCTTTTCTCGAATCACGGGGACTGAGGTGCCATGAACCTGTACATCAGAAAATAAAATCCTGTAAGGCAACATTTTATCAAGAGACCCGTCATTCAATTATGGGCTGTAAAGCTACTTGGCTTCCACTCGCCGACAATCACGTACAGTCACCATGGTTCACAAGCACAGCCTGCATACACCACTAGCCAAAACTACAAGCATACCTCATGCACGCCGATAACAGCTGCTACATATCGACTGTTTAAGTAGTATTTTATGTATAAGGCATATCCTCAAGGCATATTTTGAAACTATTAATATCTTCAAAATGCTCCCGGATATCCGTTTCTTTTTGACCACGAACACAGACTCGGAAAGACGAGATTTTTGATGCGACATGACAGACTCTCAGCCTTGCACCGTTTTTAGAAACTCCTTGACTTTGGAAAGAAGAAACGAGAGCGCAATTTCCAGCTATTGTGACTATCGCCTAGAGAATGGTTTCGACAAGTGTATCATCCTCTGCGCCAAACGTGGAAGACGATATTACGCTACGGACCTCGAAATCGTCCAAGGTGAATTTCTTGACGTCAAAAAATTGCGCAAACATCCGTCAAGCGGAGGTTGGTGGAAACGGTACTCACTTTACTCAGTGAGAGAAGTGAGGGATGTAGTAGTAAGTCACCCCCTGATGCATAGGCGCTGTGCAATAACCGGTAAGCAATGCAGGTTCAAGTTATTGAGTGCCGCTTTGATGCCTCCAAGCCTCGATCAATCGAGATTCATGTGGTAACTAGGGATATGACAAATCTGGAGAGCATTGATATGATAAACCAGGCCATTTCTGAAATGGTGGAAGAAGGCTTCGAGCCGTGTGAATGTGCCATTGATATCAATGGCGATATACATAATGAATCAGTAAACTGCGCAAACACCACCTACAACGAATTTGACGACCTTCATTGCAGAGTTTGGAAGCTTCATGAATTGAAAAGGCAACGTTTAGAATATCAATGGATGAACCGCATGACGGAGTACTATTGGCAGAACGGCATTGAAGCAAAAGGACTGGAGTTTTTGGAGAAAGCTGGTTTCATTCATACTTACGAGTAAGCGTGTTTGATCTATCATTTTTCATCATTTTGGCTCATTATGCTGACTTCCTCTTAGAGGCTTGAAATTTGACCAATGCGGGGACGCGGCGAATCCCTATGGAAATCAAATCAAGGGGTTTCTAATCGTCGAAGGCTGGCATATAAGATACCTGCTTTTACTTATTGCCGGAAGCCTACTTTGTGGTATCGTCGCCGTTGCCATCGCAGCAGCTGTGAGCCAAAGTCTTGAACTCGCGTTCACTGTAGGCAGTTATGTGTGTGGTCTAGCTACGGCTCTGATAGCAGTGTTTACTCTGGTCAGCGCCATTGCTTGAACACAGGCGCTAAAACAAACGTCCAATCCCGCATTTTCCCCCCCATACCTCAGAATGTATAGGCAGTGTATTGGGTCTGTTTTGGCAGGTTCGAAGGATCCCGTTTTCAGCCCCCAGGGATCCCCATTTTAGCCCTTCTTAAACAAGGGCCATGACTCCTGGTTTCGCGAGGGTGCGTTGGTTCTGGAGAGCTTGAATATAGGAGGTATGGAGGCGGACATTGAGAGCTTCTGAAATATCTAAAAGGATACAGGGACTAAAAGGTGCAATAATGTACGGTCTGAACTACGGTAGGGCTGTAAGCTCAGACCGCTCAAAGAGCCATGTCAAGCTGCTAGATCCAGTTACTGCAGAAAATACTGAAGATAACCCTTTCTACATGTCGACCTGGTCGTTAACAACGGCCAGCGGACCTCGGATATGGCCACTTCCGATTGTAAATAGAGGTCGATCTGTAAGCCAAGGCAGAATGTCTTCCGTAGAACATCTGCATAACCGATTATAAAATACCATTTCTCGAGTTCAAAGACTTGATAAAAATAGAAACTGAGTTCAAGTTTCAAGGCTTTCCCTGCTCTCCTTTCACAAACCACTACTCTTGGTGTTTGTCCTGACACCGCATACCAAACTCATAGCATTCTATGCATATCCAAAAGTCACCGCCGTCACAAGTTGCGCAGCTATAATGATTGCAATCATCTCGAATATACATTTTGCAGACATCACAATAGCTTGATGTGCTACTCGGTATTGCCGGCCTAGAGTCCATGCCTTCAGGATTTGCATCATTTAGTACAGATTCTGAATTAACATAATGATTAATCAGATCCACTGATTGAGACTTTCCAATTTCCGCGCCCAGAAAAAGTGTAGTTCGACCAAAAGCATCCGTAGAGTCCAGACAAGTGTTTTTAATGAAAAGCAGGGCACTCGCCGCCATCTCGTGTCCATGTCGTGAAGCTACAAACAAGGGTGTAGCGTCGTAGCGGTCCTTGGTAAGGATATCAATGGGGCTTGTTAACAGTAAAATTGCGTGACGTCGAACTGGCCAGACATGGAAGCAAAGAAAATGGAAGTGCTGCCGTTGTTATCTTGCTGCGATATATTAACATGCGGGCTTTGGCACAATAGCCTTACCACTTCTCATTGTATGCCACTGTCACGTCGGCCTCCCCGTCGAAAAATAGTTTGACTACCTCCAAGTGTCCGTTTGAAGAGGCGTCATGAAGTGGCGTAACTCCATCCCTAGTCTAGTCGCAACTAAAACATCAGCCCCGGCATTTAATAACATCTGCATAACCTCTTTATGTCCTCTAGACGAAGCAGTCTGTAGCGCGTTGCCATACTTGCCGTCCCGAGTATTGACATCGGTCTTGGCAACCACTATTCGTTTAACACATGTGACAGTCCGCCAAGCGAGGCATAATATAGACTAATCGTTGCCTTACTGTTCTGAGCAGAGTTTTCTGGTATATTATCCTACGGTCGGTCGGATTATGAAGTCGGCACCAGCTTCTAACTTTATTAACACTTGTTAATAGTTATATTGTTAATGCAAATATCTGCTTGTGATTATTATCCTTAGCTGTAGCATAATTCATCTAATATTGCGCTAAGTAGCTTGAGAAAGGGAAGAGATTTATTATATCTGCTTCCGGTTTAATCTCAAGTAAATGTGACAGGCAGACCTCGGCTATAGAGGCCCAGGCTTGTATCTGCAGGTGCTATGCAGTCTCTTTTTCAAACAATTAAAAGTAAAAAAAGTCATTTGCCGAAAAGTGTGCCAGTTGAAGCTCTTCTACTATTCGCTCTCGTTATATCTGGCCTCTTCATAGACGAGAACGACTAGCACACATTTGTTCCAGGAAGCCTCACTTGCTCATTTTGATTTGAAGGATAGTTTGGATTTCCATCGATCACGGGCGGAAGGTTGTACATCATCATCGTGGGTGGAAGGCTGTAAATCATCTTCCAACGTCGTCTGTATGGTTCCAGTGACATGTATGACATTGGCACCAGCGGTCTGGCTGTCCATGCTGTCCTCCTTAACATGAAGATCGATCACATCAATAAAACAATCCTTCATTTTATCGCAATTTGGTTTTACCACTCTGTCGAGTTGGGCTTGAATTTTGACATTTGGAAAGGGGCTTGGTATTGTTTGCAATCCCAAGCCTGAGTTGAGAAGATGGCGTTCCTCACGTTTTGAGTTCCATACGATTCCTCTGAAAGGGGGTTTCCATTGAGCAATGAATATGTGAAAGTCCGGCAAATCATTGCTGTTCTGGTGACTACGACCCAGAACAACTGAAAAGCCCTCTGGCGCGAGCGAACCATAAGTGAAGTTGTAGGCCAAGAACTCCATCTCTAGTCGGCCATGTACCCGAGCGACCCATTCCTGCTCCAAGTCGACACCATCATTCGTCACACAACTCCACAAAGATAACTCCTTTCGCTCAAAGACCTCGAGCTCGCGTATGACAACATCGTAAATTTGAGGCCGAACTGGAGGCGTTCTTTCAGCACATATGTGTAGAGATTGGTACAATTTTAACAGCGGAAAGGGATCTTCCTTTTCCATGTTGATTCCATCATCAGTAGTGAGTTCCCGAATGCGGCCAAAATATCCGTCTCCCCATGATATGAGCGGCAAGTGTATGAGTCTTTTACTATTAGACGTGGTGCAAAGGAGAACGGACTCGAGGGCGCGACGATGTTGATCTTCTGCAAAGTTGTCCCAGCGGTACTTGGACCATCGCTTGATACGAGTGACAGGAAGATCGATCTTGATGCTCTTGCCAATGGAGACTGCGGGTGTCGCCATGGGTCTGCCTTTTTGCCACGTTCTGTAAAAGCGGCCAATCCAGGGAACCGGAACCACATCACCTGAGTTCAAGAACTGTTTTGGCGATTCTGCAAGTAGCCCTAAGAGTGGTTCGGTGATTAGATCTTTGTATGCTCGATGTCGAGCCCGAACCTGCTCAGTCGCCTGTGCTGTGTTTAACGATACATCGGAAGATTTTTCGGGTAGTCCCCATGCGTAGATGGAATGATCCTCTGGGTATAACTTGATTATTTCCTCTTGTAGTCTTCTGAAAGATTTCTTGCCCTCGCCATAAATCATTGGCATGTTGATGTCAAAGATACCCAGGAGGCAATAAGCCATATCTTCGATTCTAGTTGTCTTTCTCGAAGCAACCCAGGACATCCTTTTAGCGATACTCGCAGTCCGAAAATCACGTGTCCCATTCAGATACTCCTTCTGAATATTACAAGACACCGCGATTTGGTCGCAAAGTGTTTCCTTCGATCCAATATGGGACCAGTCAGCTGCGAAGAACTCCATTTTGTTGGGTGCAATAAGTTCTTGCAACGTCCAGCCTCGTGTGACCCACCTGCTGGCAGATAACGAAAGCTCAGCACCAGCTAGACCCGGAACGTCGGAAAGATATGCGTAACAGACAGCAGCACCTTCATACCATTTGAACATTGAATTGATAGCTTCGGAGAGCTCTGCGCTGCTCGATTTATCTATGCAGCATCTGAAGCAAATTCACTCAGTCAGCTCAAACACTTCGCAGGGACGCATCATAATGATTGACTCACGTGTCAACCCATACGTAAGCTAAACCATCCTGCTTCGCTTTTTCGCAACATCCCATTATCTTGGAATACCCGGACTTCTCTTTGGTGCTCACCATCAAATTGTCTCTCCATTCTTGAAAAGACACCTCGGAGCCGTCAATCCAGGTATGTGACAAAATCGCATAACGCTGATCATCGTTCACTTCGTTAAACCATACGAGCTTTTGGGTCTCAACATGGATCAGGTACATGACGACACCATGAGATCCAAGAGAATTGTCTTGTTGATCAATATCAAGACAGCAAAAGTGATGCCCAAAACTAATTACCCCTCATTGAGGAAATTCTGAGGGGCAGATACTGTGCGAAAATCACTCCAAAATCAAATTTGAATGCGATAAACGTTCAGTAGATAGTTATGGAAAGTTAATAATATGTAAGATATCGTCACAACTAAATAATAATTTGGTACCTCATTCTCACGAATAGATCTGCACCTAGCACCACGTGCAGGTAGTCAAGTTCGTCCCCTTGCTGATCCGCATTGAGGATGTCAATATTCCAAATGCAGTTAACTTTGGTCCAAACGCGCAGACTTGGCTGTATCCTTGCGTAATTTGCGCAGCAGGTGGAAATATGCTCGCTGCAGCTGGCAAAGACGCCGAAGCCATGTATAGTTAATTGGTTAAGATGACCAATTAAGCATAACACTTAAGCAGCACACTTGACTAACATCGGGTCCCGGTAATTGATAGTGGGCTATGTCGCATGAAGCCCACAGTCATACTCTTTGGTGAAAGCTTGCTGATGATCGATCATACCAAGGAGACAGTGCAGGCTATGCAGCGGACCCGCTAGCTGATGCAGGGGATCTGCCGCCTGTAAAGCTGGCTGATGATCGATCATACCAAGGAGACAGTGCAGGCTATGCAGCGGACCCGCTAGCTGATGCAGGGGATCTGCCGCCTGTAAAGCTGACTGTCTCAGGCGACACGTAGCTGCTCGACAGAGGCAATTATATTTAGGATGATCTGACGTCACTATTGAGAGCGAGGTCGCCGATTAGACCGGGGTCTTCGCGCGTTAGGCGGAATGTGGGGGATGGGTGCCTTCTGATGTGCTGTGCCTGTGTGAACTCAGCCTCGTTTTTGACAAGCACATCATTTTCTGAGATCGCCGATACAGCAGCGACAAAGATGTAGTCACGGCGCGTGTAGTGGTGTAATCCCGCAATTGCTGAACCTTATCACGCGCACGACTGGTGCTTTGTCGAGGCGTTGGGCCTTATCGAGGTATACAAGTATGACAAATAACGAAACCATACCTCTTGTCGAACAGCAGCACTGGAGCGAAACCCGAAAAACCGCGTGGTCCTCGCACGACGGTCCTGGACCGAAGCAGTCAGTACCAAGGATTACAACTACGGAACACGAGGCATCGCCATCTCACGCGAAGCGCGCATGGTATAATCGAAAAAGGTGGAAATGGGCCTTGTCAGCGCTACTTTTGTCTGTAGCTCTTCTTATCGGATTGACAGTGCACTTCCTCGGCCGTAACGCGGGAAACAGGTATGTGAGGCAGTTTACAGTGGACACGGATTGATAAATTTGTACCCGCTAACTATGAATCAGTGGTGACCAGGACATAATTTTGCCTCAAATTCTCAGCAGCGCCGACTTCAACGGACAGATCTTCCTACTCGCCAAAGGTGACGATAGTCGAGTTTGGTACACAACAAGAGTAAACGGCACATGGACACACAAGTGGAATAGCACTGGTCCACAAGGGCAATGCCAGCCGTCGAGTGTCGTTTGGGGAACGCCGAAACGACTGAGTGTCTTCCACACTCGAGACGATAACATGGTCATGACAAGCTCGTTGCAGAATGGTTTATGGGCAGACTGGGAGGTCCTTGGCGCGCAGGCCAGCAGCCCGGTGGTTCCCTGCCTTGAAATGCGCAACGATGTGATACATATTTGGGCTCGTGAAAGGACGAATGCCAAATTTATTATGCATAACTACTGGCAGTCTAGTCAAGATGATTGGTTGACCCAATCGTCTAGCTGGGAGGGAGGTATAAATAGCGAGACGGCCAAAGGGTCCCGAAGCATGCCTGCTGTCGTTTGTCGCAACAGCAGCACAAGCAATGACGTGGTAATATACGATAAGGAGTTCGGTTTGGGACTACACAGGCAATGGAACACTACCCGCAATCGTTGGGGAGCCTGGGGTGATCTAGGAGGGCCGTATGCTGGTGATCCAGTGCTTGTATCCCCCTCCAATGACCGTGTCGACTTTTTTGGTATAGAGAAGACCGGCAGGGCTCTGGTCCACAGGTTTTGGAATGAGAGCTCGGGTTATAGCAACCCTTATGACTTAGGAGGCGCCTGGGCTAGTATTCCATCCGTCGCTGTGACAGGAAGCAGCCGACTGGATGTCTTTGCTCTCAGCGTTAATGGTACGGTTCAGCACCGTGCCTTGATTGGGTCCACGTGGAGTCCTGATTGGTCTGATCTGGGCGTTTCAGCAACCAGTGCTCCTCTAGCCACTCTTCTCAAAGCTCAATCACCACAGATCATGCTTCAAGTTTTGGGAAGCGAGGGCGACGTGCTAAGTTCGGATTGGGAAGTCACAGATGCTGGTGGCTTGAATTGCATTGTGCCTCTTGAGAGTATTGGTGGTAACTTGAGTAGTAGCACAATGACAGTAACTTGAGAACGATGCAACTGAATTCAGAGATATGTGGTGTATGGTATGCAACGGTGGCTTGGGGCTGTTTGTGCGGAGCTGGCTGCGGCCGGTGCCGTAATGGCGGAACTCTTGGGTCATGATTTGGCAAGTTTTTGCCATGAGATATATTCTATAAGTTGAGGCCGTTTGCGAAAACCCGCCTCTTTGTCTATATGCTGCGTGTTATAATATGAGAAAGTTTATGCTATGAGACAAATCCAGCTGGGTTGAGGTGGTATCGGGGTTGAGCCGGCGCCAATGCCAACCGCACCAGAACTAGTAACGCGTCCTTACGACGTTCTCCACAGGCGAGGAGGTGCTATATAACAGCATTCAGCCTCCGATTAAGAATTTGGGCTTAAGAGCAGAACTGGCCTGTAGGGGCTCGGCTCGGTAGCAGACCTGGCAGACTTGATCGCTGCATGACTACTCTCTATCACATATGGAGGATTCCAGCCCTTATATATCCTATTGCAATCCGATACCGGGTAAGCTCTGACACTGCCTCATATGCCACCCCACTGCTCAAAATGGCTTTACCTAGGCTTTCGTTGACTTTATGCAGCTGTTTCGAGGTGCCGAGCTACCCTGAACAGAGAGGTGAGATGATCAATCCGAGCACATGCCAGATGGAGAAATATGAGGAATGTTGGATCAATGATTTGGCCAAAGCAGGAGGACGGACTGGGTGGGTGTTAAAGTGGGTGGAGCAAGGTGGATGGTAGAGTAAGGGGAGAGGACTAATGGTTAAGATTGTAAACGTGGCCCAGAAAGTCCTGAGAGTAGGCGAGGATGTTGTAGTTGGGCGATGGGAGACTGATACGGAGGGGAACAGGAAGGCACTTGCCGAAGTCGCTAGTATGAAGAGGTTTAAACCTAGGAACATGGGGCGATCTAAAGCAAGGAGAAAATGTTGAGGCTAAAGATGGGTAAATGTGGTCCTGCGTTAAGTCTTGATACATGTTCGGGCAGCCGGGCTTAACCTTTAAATGTTTAGAGGATGCTTTGTCGCCGTTCTGTAAATGTTTGCCAAAATCGATTCGGCTTCTGTTGACAATTCATAGTGCAGGGTCGATACAGAAAATGGAGTCATCATTTATCCTCTAATACCCTTAACGGGAGGCTGATCAATTTGAATATTAACGGGGGAGAGGAAGCGCGCGAGCAGCATTAAGGTATTCCTCATCTATTCACTTGTTTAGAGAGGTGCGTATATATTTAGAGGTCGTACAACCTATCTACATTGTTAACAAGGAGTATTTAGATTGCTCCGAACCGGTTCTAGCGTAATACTTATAAGGGAGTAACTTTCCTTGGTAAGAAGAAATCGGATGAGCCATTGAATAGGGACGATCTCGAGCAGCTTAGGGTATAACATAGCGTATTATAATATACTTTTATGTTAATAGTGAGAACTGACATAATAACGTGAATATCTAGAATATTATAAGGTAGAAACAAACTTTTTAGTATTAAATCACTAATCCAATAGACAAGCAACCAAGCTATAAGAAAGAGCTATTTGTCTAAGCCATGAGTTTTTTTAAAATGCTTTTTATAATTGTCCCTCCTTGTAAATTCCTTCTTACACTCGCCGCACACTGCTGAAATAACTTTTCGATTGGTCGCTGTGGAAGGGTGTCGGGTGCTCATGTGACGATCAATTTCTTTTGTAGTAGCGAGCAGTTCACCACATTGCATACAAGTCTTCTCTGGTCGATGGTAAAGTAAGTGATGGCTTGAAATTCTCAGTTATGTTCAAACTCAGTCAGTGGTAATTTTCTTACTTGAGTTTGGTTCCCATTTTGAACAATTTATCTCTACATCTTGGATTCTCTTCTGCATAGGGACAAGGCACATATAAGCCCCTTGATCGGCCGGAGACCGACGTCTGGTCCATGTGCGCGCCATCTGCATCATAGGAGGTGCGAGACATGGACGCGCTGGTGTTAGAAAGTCCTGAGGGATCATTGTATAAAATATCTCGATTCATGTTACTAGGGATATTTCCATGAAGCTCTGAATGTGGCTGTGTGGTGTTGCTGTCGATAAGGACGCCAGGATAGGGGTTCGCGCCACGGTTGTTCCTAGGTCCAGGTTCAATGTGGTTGCCGTAGGTAGGATGACATGGATGCAGCAATGGAGAGTTCGGACTCTAACGGACTGAACTCAATCCACGCTCGGTGATACTGAGTAAAGAAGGGTTTATAAAGTCGCTCTCATCGTGGAAATACGACCCATTGGACGGCACCAAGTCGCTCACAGGCCCACTCGACTCAAAGTTTTCAGCTACATCTATAACGTGTTAGTTGAATCTGAAGATACTCGTCGCTAGGAACGCCTCCAGTACCATAGGATTCAGATAGGCTGTCCGACAAATCATATCCTGACATGATTCTATCACCAAAGAGAAATCTCATAAGTAAAGGAATGAGCAGCGAGGCAAGGATGCTTGTGTACGTGGTTCAGACTTGACACCGGACTAACGCTCTATCCCAGACCGCTTGTCTGTACTGATGTTGTGTAGGCTGAAAGAAAAGGACGATCGATTTATCCTCTAAGACAAGCATTAATCAGAACGTTGTTGAGAGCAGCTCAATGCGGAACTCTTATCGTGTCAGACTGATGTGTACTTGGCTGCAGTCATAACTTCATATCTAAATCGTATGGTAAGATTTTTATCGTTCTAGTTGCTTCCATTGTTGAGTTCCTACACGCAATGAGAAAGTCAAGCCTTGGGCGGTTTGTAGTCGTGGTCGGATCATGGCCAATGATGTGTCAAACTCGTCTCCTCTCGGGCCTCCTACATCTCATCCATCCATCATCTGATCACAGAGTTGCAGAAGACTCTGCAATGATTGCATAAATTGGAAGCATAAAAGATTGCAGAATCAGGTCCTTATCTCTTTTTATTGAGAAGGCTGGCCTATTAACGCTTGAATTCTGACACTAAGGCATGAATGCATAAATATTTACTCGTTAAATCGGGCCTCCCGCATTTGAATGCGGTCCAGCCTGAACCAGCCGAGTTTCGTTGGTTAGGACCCTTGCGCTGTAGCCGATTGGTCAATTTTGATACCTTGACAGACACTTCTAAGAATGAATAAGGCTTCAGTAATCATTTCAACACAAGATTGAAAGAGACCGAAAGTTCTTGTATATCTCAGCGTTGCTGTGCACTTCAAAAACGCTGAGACTCTTGATAGCTTATGTTGGTGATTTCTTATCCTGAAACCTCTTCCATCACAGTAATAATTTTATTCTTCTCGGAAAGCTTCAGGGAGCGTCGTGATGGGGCGTAAGAAGTCTAGATCACCGGCTGCCCAGCAGGCACACGTGGTTAGCAACAACCATGGCCCCATCGGACCACCCCGTTTCGATAAATACAGCAAGTTAATCAAAAGATTCTACGAACATTTACTGGTCTTGTACGAGTACGACTCGGTTCGTGGCGAGCATACAGCCGAAAATCCAGAACCGGGTTTAGGTCGCTTCCTTGACGACCTTGCATTTCTCTGCGAGTATGAGAAAGGTGGAAACGCTTGTACCGCGATAGGAGTCCAAGACTCTGAGGAGCTCTTCATTTTTTGGGTTGCTGCAAATTTTGACTCCCGCAAGAAAATTGTCCCATTTTTGGAAAGATTACTCAAGGAGTTTGCCAATCTATCACCAGCATCTTCAGCTGCCACATCGGACCATGAACATCGGCTCAAGGATTTATGCATAAACTATGCACGATTGAAGATCAAAGCTTTGAAGGATTTGCTGCTCCGCGCCACCTCTGACTGTCATAGCCGAACCCAAAATCCCATCTTCGCGCTCTGGCGCGAACAATTCAACAGTTGCCCCAGCGATGTGGCCGTGTGCGAACTGGCATACAGACTGCGAAATTCAGATGAAATAAAAACAATCGAGGTGATGGCTCAAGAACCGACATATATAAAATCTTCTGCGGAGCGAAAGTCACCGTTTGGTCAAGTGAGGCATTATGTCGGTCGCCTGGCACATTACGTTCGCGTCGTACGGCGCCTCATTCACGATATTCATTCAGTCGCAGTCAGAGATTTGATCACCAATCCTTTTCGTGTCGAGGCAGTCCCATTAGCAACATGTGTCGACCTGCCACGTCCAGACAATCTCACCACACTAGATGGCATCTGTACCAGAATGCTCGAAGCAAATGACCCGTTCCTGGACCAGCTAAAACGAGAATTCGCAAATCGCAACATTGTCGAGAAAATCATGGCACATTATGAGAATTTCAAAACCCCTCGTGTGCATGCAGAGATACAGGTATTGGATTTCTTTCACATTAATGGAATCAGGTGGGCTAGGGACGACAGGTATGTTGGATGTAGTAAGGCGGCTTGCTTCTGTTGTCAGCGCTATTTCCGTCACCACCCTGCCAGGCCTAAAGAGCCTCAATCACATCAGAAAGTCTGGCCGATGTGGGGTCCAATGTTGCTGAAGTCGCGATCTGAGGATGCTCGGTATGTCGAACAGAGGGACATTTTGAACAGTATCATAAACGACATCCGTAGGGAGTTGATCGATCAGATCAAAGCAGGACATGGACGACATTCTTGGCACGAAGACACTCGCACAGATATTACCAGGTCTACAGCTGATGCTAAGGTGGAGCATTCACGCAGATTTTCTTTGCGCTTGGGTGATGTCCGCATTGACAGCTCGGATGGTCAAGGTTGGTCTGAAATTATTCTCATATGCGCCAATACTGAATGCCTCCAGACGATCCCAGTAATACCGATAGCGAGACAATCAGTTCTGAACAGCACATTTTTGACGTCGAGCCTGTTTCGACTGACATTGAACATGAGGGCTCTTACAGTTCAGACACTAGCACGGATGAGGACTACGATTCTGATGGAGGTGCCTTGCTATAGAAATTCTGAGATCAATCTTGTTTGCTCGGGTGTTAGGGAAGTCTGTTTGGTCGCTACTTACGATTTATGATATATACTTACCATGAAACTACCGAGAACTCATTTGGACAGCTATGGATCATCCTGTAGTGAGAAAATTAACAAAAATTTTACTTGAAATCGGTGGTTACTACTTACTACGGTTAAGACGCGTATTTCTAGCGGAGGCCGTAAAAGGTCACGTGATCACCACTTCCCAAGTTAGGTGATACGAGAGCTCGTCGCCTTAGTGTATGGAGTGCTCTCTGTACACTGTGGCCATCTATAGTCATTCATATTGCCACAGCTTTGGATCGGTGTGTATACTTTAAACACTATGTGAGTAGCTCCTAGGAACGCCCGTCATACTACGTATGAGTGGGTGTTTCTTCTTTACATGGCATAAAAATTGGCAGCCTCATGGTTCTGGCGACTTTTAAAATAATTCTGAGTAAGATTTCACGTTGATGTGAGAGTCTACGTATCGACAACGAAAATAGCGAACCGTAAAGGGCGTATGCCACTATAACGGAAACAGCACAACACAGAAATCCTTGAGAAGCGCATGAAACTAAAATTGGGTGAGTGGTCTGAGTAATGATATACTATAGATTATGGTGGGGAGAAATGAGTATTACCAATTGCTAGACAGTAGAATATCTTACTGGCAACATCATTAACAGAGATCTCAGCTGTAGCTTCGGATATGAGATGCAATTCTATGAGAAACACGAATCAAATCATAATGCTAAAACTCATCCATTTTGACAGGAATCTTCCACTTCTCCTCAACCTGGATCTCTGCTCGAAGAACGATATCGAACAAAGGAAACGAGGATGGCTTCCGTGCCGGAATTGACCTTAGCCAAACCCAAACCATAACAGCAGAGACAAATGTCAAAGCTGCAATCTACAGGGCGAGAAAGATCCCAAACATACCCGAATTAACACGAAGTTTAACGTGGGGTTCTACCAAGGACGCCTCCGTGTAGAACTCGGGCGCCAGTGTTGAAACGGTAATGCTTTCTTGTACTTCGGTATTGCCCCAATATTAGAGTTGAACAGCCAGAACGGGAAAACGAGTAGACTCTGAAAGTTCTGGGCCAGAATACCCCAGGTCGACGGGTCCGCGAGCAGCTTCTGGGAACTCCAGAAGCTCACTGCAATTGACAACGGTGGCGGGAGCTCGGCAGCCGTGTAATTTGAGAAGCCATCTGAGCGCGTCTCGGTAGTCAGGTAACTGGATACCAAGCACCGGAGTTGCGTCCTTGAGGATGGGGTATTAGTGGGCTGGTTCAGCATTGAAAAAGCGAGAGCCTATACTACCAACCGTGCCTTTATCAATGCTGATGATGGTGTAATATAGGCGCCAGGAGACAAATGATGTTTGCAAAGTATAGAATGAAATTTGGGTGGTTATTTTTGGTGATGGCTTGTCTGCCGAGCACGCATTCTGTGTAATACCCTTTGGACAGACGAAAATTCCTGTTCATGATATCGGCGACTGATGTATCTCTGTTATTTCATGCGAACGTACCTGCCATTAACACATCCGGCTCTGCTGGGTTCATTTTCAAGTACAAGCGAATCCCGATCAAGACGCCATCTTGCCCAAACAGATCGCAATCAGAATCTGTAAATATTAAACTGTCTGTGATAGGTCCAGAAAAGTCGGCTTGAATGGATGGGGCGTGTTTCACCTTCACAAGTGAGTGTTCAGAATGATCTCGTGCCACCTAAGGTACGACTATAGTTAACCAGCTAGAAAGCAAGTATGATATGCACGGCGCATTGATGCATCGCTGCCGCTGTGCCACAGTCAGAGCTGCTGACAAAGCAAATAAATCAAATTAAAGCTCTTGATTTCTTTGATTTACGCTAATATCGCAAATTGGTCAAGTTTATTTATTTGTATACTACACTTTATAAACCAAAGCGGAATAAAAGCTCCGGGCTAATTAGAGAGCTTCTTACGATCCGAGTGTTATTCCGTTCTAAGGATCTTCCGCGGCAATACGCTTCTAACCATTGTTTTGATCGTAAATAACTACGCGTTGCTTAATAAATACTACTTTTCTCGAAATCCTTCGACTAACGCCGGACGCATATAATAGCTTTAAATATATCTGGTTCTATTAATTAACGTTACGCGGTCATATATAGCTTCCTTTTATTAAAAAGCCGTTTAACTTTAGCGCTTATAACGGGGATTAAGAGAAGACCCACGGCTATTTGGTAGAGATAGGGAAACTAGCTAGCGTGGTCGTGTTATTAAAGTAACGGGTCAACGTCTTTAAGCACTTGCTTTTTGGTTTTTCTAAAATATATTAAAGTAGGTTATGGGCTAATTAGCAGGCTAGCTTTAGTGGAAAATTCTCGTATTGCAACGCAGATTCCCGTTCCCTGGATGGCAAACAAAACACTAAAAGTTATTACCATTCGTGGAATCATCTAATATAAACAATTTACGGGAATCATTACGGCGAAGCGTAGCTTCTTATATACTTTTCACTTATATCGGGTTACTTTTCATTACCGAAACGGCTATGAATTTATAAATCGGTTCTATTAAACGATTTATTTATAAATTAGGCTGAGCTGGATGATTTGCCCAGTTTACGCCAACTTATGATAAATCAAATAAATCTGATTTGATTTGGCAGCAGCTCTGGGCGTGGCCCATAAGCCGACCCAAGAAGCGCTGTGCTTAAGCATAGCCAGAGCTTTAGTCGAGCATGGCGCCAACCCGGCCCTTAAGGCGCCCGACGATAAGAACGCTCTCCACGCTCTGGCGAACGCATATCCTATCGCTACATATAGCCAGAGAGCTGCGGCCCAGCTCATCTCCCTATTCCTAAGCCATGGCGTCTCGATAAATAACATAGACAACTCCGGAAACACGGCACTTCACTTGGCCGTACGCACCCATCCAAGGCCAGCAGCTGTATAATGCTTGCTACAACACAGTGCTAGAGTCGATCCACCGAACCAGGCTGGAGATACGTCACTTCACGTGGTCGCACACATATCTTCCTCGATCAGGGACCAAGGTCTGAATTATCAACAGGCCATAGAGGCGCAGGACGAGGCGATGTGACTCATCATGGAAGCGAGTGGCGATGGAGACGAAAGTCACATGGAAAAGCCGAACAAGTCAGACAAGACGCCGCGTGAGATAAAGAGGAGTCGCGGAAATTGCTCAGGGATGATCCGAAGCCACGCGTTCGCATCCGGGGCGGGCGGACGTTTGTCTTTGCGCCGTAATCAGCAAGGCATGTTCTTATCGTTGGGGATTATTACTTGCCTGTCTTTGTGATACTTTATATATCTCGTTTTATATAACCCAAGATAAGAGGATTGGGTAAAGTGATCTCATATGGGTAGTGACGGTGGGCCTCTCTTTGTACTTCCAATAGAGTATTATTGGTATACTACAGTGGATCAGTCAGATTTGCGCGAATGACGTGTTGCGGCAACACCATAGGAGTCCAGTTCCATGGTGCAGACAACCGAAGGCATATACTTCTCACGGGCTACTGGGTACCTTACTCAATCATCAACAACTCGAAACATTCATGGAGGTAGCCTTCATATTTTCTTGGGCGCATGTCATTACCCAGGTTACGTCTTAGCTTAATTACAGGTCCTTGCATAACAGGTGGCAATAAGTCTGCACCCCTTCGAGATATCTTAACGTTGTAGGGAAGGTAAGCTAAATCCCATGATTATAGTGATTTTACGGCGATCTTTTTTTCATTGATAAGAACAGTTTCTAATAACTTCCAACGACGATTAGATCAATAGGTTTCTGTGGAATGGCTTCTCCATTTAGTTCTTTCCGTACAGTTTGGGCGACAAATAGATCTATTCAGCGCTATCATACGAAAGGAAGAAGGGATTCTTCTTATCGTACGCGATCTACAGATAGGGGTTTGGCCTATACGGCTGTAAGCTTCCGACAGCCACAGTGTGGCTGTAGTGGCTTGCCGTTAGTACGCCAGTAACTAGCTAGACTATATGGTCGTGCGAGACCGCGGATAACTATATTCCAACAGTTTCAGTATTTAGAAGCTACGTATAACTAGCAGATATAACCGAGGACAATATGCTGCCAGCAGAAGCAGGCAACTCGGAAGCAGGCTTTCCGACACAGTAAATGGTTTACCTAAGGACAGATAATGCAAGCTATGTGCATAAAAGACTTAAAGAGTCGAAAGCTTGAGTCGATGGCGACAGCGGCCGGATATTCAAAACAGTATCGAACTCGACTGGTACAGAAGGCGAACGGGATGTAAGTATCTGAGAGGATATGAAGTTAAACATCTGATCTCGGTATGCTTACTTACCTAGGTCTCGCTAGGTCTCGTGCCAACTAGACGCTTTGGAAAAATGCTACGAACCGAGAGCTTTAAAGAGAGCGTTACTTGACCTACCAAAAACGCTAGACTAAACGTATGCTCGAATTTTGGTTAATATACCTCGCAAGCACATACACCACACACGGCGAATCTTACAGTTATTAAAATATTTGGAGAGGTCATTGCGAGTCAACGAGGTTGTTGATATGATTACAGTGGATATTGGGGGTGGATGTGGCAAGGGGTTCTCTATTCGAGTGCCAGAACAGGATGCCGGTCCCAGAGGAGATTACAAGGTACTGCTCTGGCTTGGTTGTTCTCGTGCGTAGACAGGGCATGTATAAAAAGACAGCAATAATAGAAGAGATGCAGCTGGCACATTTCTCGGTGAAGGATTAACTTACCTCGGACCGTCTAGAGGAGGAGACATCCGCCCGAGCCGCGATGGCGGATGTCTGCCTGTCGTACCTGCTCGCGCCTAAGCAGGAAGAGACGACCGAGTGGATCCAAGAGGCTCTCCAGTTTTCTCAAAACACGGCGTGATACTGGGTGCACAATGCCGCCGTGTCTGAGCACAACAGTCATGACGTGTTCACACTGGCAATGCAACTTCTCTTAAGTTTCGACAACTTCGAAAGGTGGCGCCGATTCCACGATCTGGATTGTCTATGGGAAAATAAGCCTGAGGAATGAAAATCCAAAGAAGGCACATGGTATGCTTTATACTATGCCTCGCTTGGAGGGTTGTCACGGTGTGTTAAATGGAGGCTGGATGAGGGGGGGGGACGTGGATGCCCAGGGGGGAGACTACGATAACGCGCTGAGTTGAGAATATCCTATACACGATCAATCTACAGAAACATGGTGTTCAAATACCACATATATGCTCTGTGTTCTAAAGCACGCGAGTGGGCGCCCTACGAGGCAGACTGCAATTCGGCCCTCTAATGGCCTGCTGACACACGATCTCGGGCGACATTCATTGCTTTGTTCGGTCAGAGTTGTGCGAGTTTCCAGCACTGTGAGCAGATAGCCTATGAAATGGGACAATCATGAATTACTCTTGCATGAAAGCGACGATCACAGGTAGTTTTAGCCGTTCCGCGATAGTATGTTGTTCACGTAACATTTGCAGTGGCGCGACCATCGGCTAATAATCAAGATAAGTATATCCGCAGGGTTTAAGATAAGAAAGAGACATGTGACTAGCGCCCGGGATGACTGAGCCAGAACGCTCGAGCAATTCAAGATCGCAACCAGTCGCGTATATAAGATTTCAGATGTATACTGTGCATCGTCAAGGAAGCCTTGATACTCTGGACTATATCCGAAGAGGTCCATTGGCATATCCGCTATGGCCAGTAGGCAGGCTATGCTATTGGTTGGGGTCACCACTGGAGGCTGTGCCACGTCTAGCAGCTACACAACAGCTGCGGTCTCGTCGACACCGTGTCTCGTCGACATCCGTCCCAGCTTGATATGAAGCGTGGAATAAGGGGATCGTTAAACTCAGATGCCCTACCTGAGTTTGCTAATCGCAAGGGTGCACCGAGAAAATGACCAATAATTTCTTGGGTGCATGTCATAATCTAGGGGTACGGGTTAGCTAAATTGCAGGTCTTTGCGCAATGGGCGGCAATAAGTATGCACCCCTTCGAGACATCTTGTCGGGGCATCAAATAAATGATGGTCAAACTCAGGCTTCTAAGCCCACGCAAGACATGGGCTTGGTGAATGTTGTTGCTACATATTAATGCCAATATCCACAACTGCTAACCAAGAACTACGATTGGCTGCAAGATGTGCTTTCCTCCGACATTGCGCAAAGTAGTTGTCCTTTTCATAGTAAGTAATCTAGGCTATTAGACATACGCGAAATCAAGACTCGGACGACTGCACGGATTGTGTTATCGGCATTTGGACCTCAGCAGACTCTCCATTGTGAAGTGGGGCGCGGCAGAATAGTGAGGTAATTATATCCCCAGACGGGCACAGGGAAAGAAGGCAAGCAAGACGCAGTGACCACGGCGAATTTAGGTAATCGACTCTGAGCTTTGACATTGATCACATCGCTTTGTGAAGAGGTCGATTTTTCCATCAATTAAGGCGTCTTATCAAGGTGACGGAACTTAGTTTCTCAAGAGATCTTGACGTGGCGCGCTGACGAGTGCAGTAGAGTTCATAGGTGCCAAGCCCTCAAAGTTCGGTGAAGGATTCATTTGTGGTATGCCACTAGTCCCGGGTCAAGGCCATTACAATGCTTTAAGTTTGATTGTGCTGTCACAAACAATGAGATGCTGCGTAGACCTGCATCGTAACGGCAAGGCTGTGGTAGGCTAGTAGCGAATCCCTCCCGCATCAAGGGGGGGTGCCGTCGGGCTCCCGATCTCTGCCGGGCGCGACGTTTTGCAGTCGACGCTGATCTCCACGGTCATTCCTCACTTTGTAGATCATCAATCACTCCAGAGCAATATCAGCCAGCCAAATAGAGGTCAAACTCGTACGTCATGGCAGTCAAAGAAGCGAGTCGAGTAGTTTCAAGGATAAGTCACATCGATGCATCGGTGTCTATAAAACAGCACCTTTATCTTCGTCTTCATTCCTAAGCCTCATCAATTCACACCATTACATATTGTTTCAATCCCACCGGAGAATTCAGACAGCAGTCAAAATTGTGCCTTCATGATCCAATTTGTCTACAAGTGAGTACTATCCATATCGATCATACGGGCATATATGTCGACTGATTGTCATCTAGTGGCTCCACTTCGATCAAGCTTGACAGAGATTGGGAAAGATGTGTTAACTCACTTTTATCAGCCAGTCTTGCTTGAAATGGCATTGACTGTGGTGCATCAGCCATACCAATACAGCACTGAGTATATTCCAGCGCTGCAGGACGATTCTTTGCTTTCGGCCGAGCAGGCATTCCAGGCCTTTGTGAACAAATTGGCTCAAACATGCGACTCACAGCCAGGTGGTGACACGGTCACCGCGATCGCAGTTCTACGCAACAATGGCTGCCCACTGTACATGGTTGCCTCTAATCTTCGTAACGGTAGAGAGCTGCAGAGCACGACAAACTTCCTCTACTCCCTACTCGATCTCATTCGTGAGCAACAGGTCATGAATCGGAAGCCGCTGCTCAAACAGGTTCTGTGGCACATTCTTGTCTTCAACTTCAGCAGGCTCAAGACTTACGTAAAAAGACTTGTCCAATGCTTGGATGATTGCTTGGAGAGCACCCAGCTACGGCGATCCACGGAAGCTGAACAGCCTTGTAGGTAATAGTTTTGACTTGTTGTGCCATTATTAACACTCTCATAGCCGCGGGATTACAAAGGGAGCTTCTTGTCCTTAGAGAGAGGGCCTCCTTCTCAATCGATGATGAGTCTTTTCAGAATGACCAGAATAAGGGTTAGAGCTCTCTTCAGAATCTTCTACGTCTCAAATTGCAGCTTCTGACTCAAACAGTCCTCTGTGATTGCGAAACTCTACTAAAGGCGATACATGGGGCAAGAGGCAAGAACATTGATGATGCGATCAAAAGTCAGTCCAGCAGTGGGCAGGCTGCAAGGCCAAATCCGTGGCATGAGCTTCGTCACTATCTCGGACGATTACTTTCCTTTCGTCAGGCAGCAGAAATTCTCATCAGCGCCTTCGAACGCTGGCTATCGTTGTTCGAAGATTTTGAGATTGTCACTATTCCTTCCGGCCTGCGAATGAGTCGACCGTTGCCAAGGTCAAACCTCACTGCGGCCGAAATCATCTACAACATGGCAGAAGATGAAGATGAAGCTGAATCTTATCTTCAACAAGCCCAAGGCTTGCAGTCAATGGGCTTAGAGAAGATAATACAGAAAAAGGTCAATTCGAGGACATTTCGCCCAGTGGTTCACGCAGAAGTCGCTCTCCATACCCACCTTCTGCAAGCTGGCGCGAATCACCCAGGGCAATTTTGGAATGATTGTAAATACACTGGCGGCAGCAAACCGACTTGTCGACTTTGTTCTTACTACTTCTTTGGCCATCGAGACAAAGTCAGTGTCCGACCTACCCACGAGAATTTGTATGCAAACTGGCAATTTCCGGATCTGTTGCAGCCCGAGAACCGGACTGCACAGCGAGCCAACAAGAAACTCTTGATGCTCATGACTGAACTGGTTCGCAATGATGCGAAGAGAACATTGGATGAAAGATGCCCAAGAGGGAAGAAGCACGATTCTAACACTGAATCCGCCATACCCGCCTATTTCAATGTTGGGAAGCCCGTCTCAATATCTGAGATAAGCAGCCTACTTCGACTGGATGAAGACACTTCTGTAAGGCAAGTGAACCAATATTGGTCGGCCGAAGCGGAAAGGAGAAAGTATGGGGAGCTAGTGGATAACGAAAGTGATGATGATGAACTCGGAAATGCAGGAGCCTCTATTAAAGAGTGTTGGTTTGGATGAAAAGTGCGCGGTTCAATGACTTTGATTCAGCAAGCTGGTATTGTCATTTGTTTGACAGGGTCATTAAAATTGCTGAACGTGAATTGAAACGTTCTCAAAGTCATGGTAACATAAACTTGCAATGAACACCGTGACATACAAAACCACCTCAAGACATGGTGTATTGACTGACAACCTCGCCTTGGCAAGGCAAGACCATTCAAACGAGCCAATCAGCCACGTAAGTTCCACCGAAAGTAAGTAAAAAGTGGTTCTGTGCCACGAGTTTAAGTGGAACTAGCTCGACTGATTCCTGATGGATCATAAATGTGGCTACAATTAAGGCCGTCCAATACATCCATGCCCAAGCACCGCCTGGCGGGTTCCACTCCTGCATATTGGCGCACGGCTGTGCTGAGAGCAGTGATATCACTTCTATGCCCAAGTCTGCGGGGGCCCTAATATTGCATATAGATGATGGTTTTCGGCATGGCGATGTCCAAAACTGGAGGTTTTGGGATCAGAAAATGGCAGACCTTCTGCTGAATTGGGCGCCAAAATAGTCTTAGCGCATGATAATAACCCCACATCTGTCTGTCCAAAACGACACGTGCTGGAAATAAACCCTTTACCCGTTTATAAACGGATTTCTAAAGCACATCCGCAATTCCGTTTTGTTCATTTTGTTCAACACCCCAATGGTGTGCATCTAGATATTAACGGACCCGCGAAAGACATATCCGAAGCATCCACTCAATGTACGCGAAAGCCAATGAAATTAGTTCTCTACACCATCACTCACTGCAATCCCCTAATGCTACAAAGCGTATGTTATTCCACGAAGCATATATCACTTCGCATCCTTAAAAGTAAAAGTAAATGTCTGACATCCGACTCTGCACGACATCGAGTTCTCAGCCAAGTAAGAATCAAGTTCTATCAAACTAGCTCCCAAGTGTTCACGTTAGGCGTATTTTTATTGACGTCGCTACCCTAGTCAAGCAATGATGAACAATTTAGAATTCAAATAACGTATTTGTTCAACTAGAATCGGCCTCTCCGAAATTGCTAAAACTTCTCTTCGTTCTAAATACGCGGCATATAGGGGAACAGAAGGCACACCGTGTGGCATGTTATTTAAAAATGCTTTAAGCATCTAATTTGCTACGTAATTTGTGGCTTGGCTTGTTTGAGGAACTTCATATCACCGAGTACAAGGATATAAATACAATCGATTTTCGAACATCTCAGCCAATCGTTCAAGGACAGCTCTTCGGGCACGCTGACTCGCGATATTTGATTATTCTTGATCATCTGTCACATCTGATTGTAGGATCAACTTAGGGTGAAAACTGCTTTGGACGATTGAGGCGTCAGACAAGCCCCAAAGGATCGCAGGAGAGCGAAACTATTCACTACGAGGACAAGGGATGAGCGCATTTTGACTGTGGTAAGGTGTTGAGAAAACAATCAAAGGCTCAAGTACACAGCAGTCGAAGGCCGCCGTAGAAACTGTGGTCATCAGAGGATGCATTTCCACGTTCAGTCAATCTTGGTTTTTATAAGAAGATTCAAGGGATTTGTCACTCCTGGAAAACACTTTGAACTACAACAAGGGGTTAGAAATTATCACATCATGGCTTATCTTCTGTCAGTCTTACGATATCTTTCATTCATGGTACCTCAGCCCGCGAGTCCAGCTTCTGACTCCTTTCATGATAGTTGTGACCAGTTGGATGAGGATCCTTGCGGCAGGGCTGGAGCCGTACCCCGTTCATACGACTTCCCATAAGCTGGTTCGGCCATGTGGCTGCTGACACTTCAAGGGACAGGATATGCCAGCTCGCCGATTCTTCGGATCCTAACCATGTTCCTCGAATTGTTCCTCAAATTTTGAACAACTTCATCGAACTGCCGTTACACATATGCATGTCTCGAAAGTTCCTGCAAATAATTGTCTGTCAGCATGATAGGCACGTTGCTAATGATATCAACACAATTGACGACTGACTCGAATGACAAGGCCGACCGAAGTCGGCGGGTATCTTCGATTCTTCCAAGCGTTATGGGTTTCCCGACTGATGGGTAATAGTAGAACGTTGAGTTGTTGAGCTGTCTACAGTACCAGGGCAAGAAATGTCCGCCGACAGTCCGCAGCGTGGGGGGAAAAAGGCTACCAATCAAGACTCCGTCGCAACATGTGGCCGCTTTGGGAGCATTCCACGCTTTCCGATTGGCTCCTAAAAACACGGACAGTTTACAAGTAGATAAGTATTAGGCGTTTACTGCTTGAGGTTGCACAATATTGACCGGGATCCGCTGTTTCTGTTCGGTTGCCGACGATGTATCATCATAACCTGCATTATGATGTGATGACAGACAGGTTCGAACGTTCCGCGGGATGGATGATCGATCTCCAGGTATAGCCATTCGCAATGTGACTGGTTAAAAACACCATGGCCTGGTTTGCACCTTCAATGGCCTGGTGGCACTACCCAAGTGGGAGGGTATGTAGAGGAGATATCAGGGTTTACTATTGGCTATACAGGCGTTTGGGGCGCTTGGCAGTGTGTTAATGGGGTTATGACGCAAGTGATATATCCCTTTACTGACGCAAACAAACTGCATGTCTTACATCATCAGTCGTCCCCGCATCTTCCCACGGCATAAAACTTTACAAGATTATCACATACAGAAGAATTCTAAAGAAGTGCTGTTATCCATTTTGCAGCTTTATCTGAGCTCAACTCATTTCTAAAATCTTCAAACATTATCAACATCATCGATATGCCACGAGACGGTGGTGGCCGGTCGCACAACGCTTATGACCTCAGTTCTGAGACGAACCATGACATAACTCACGGAGCTGGTAACGCGGACAATGTAAGTGCAGTGTGATAAACTCATGACGCAAGTCTGATGTCTGGTTAGGATCCTCATGTTTCCCGAGCGGACAGGACTGCGGAAATGCCTCAGCATGAACCTGGTGCTGCCGTACAAAACATGAATGCTAGCGCAGGTCACAGCCAGGGCCTAGCAGAAGGACCCGAGAGAGGCCAAGGAGGTCGATCAACGAAAGCTTGAGTAAAAGCATCAATCAGATCTCTCCATTGACGACTATTTGCCGAAAGCCATGGAGGCATTTAATATTGTATATTTACTGCAGCTAGCCAGTAAACTGGACTCGTAGGGACGCTCATTATGCTAGGATATAATAGAAACCCGATACAAATTTGGTCGAAGAAGATGGGAATTCGATTCTGTCCAGTAGATCCTTGCTGTCGTTTGTGTCAAATCATGGACTGGCCCTGTTACTTACCCTTCTGACTAACGGCGAAAGCACCGCTACATAGAAAACTTTGCGCCAAAACCGAGGCCTCTGCTAAGGGCTGTAGCGGATATCTTCATTTACCTTATGATACATTCGCACGCCATTTTTCGTGGGAGAATCTACCAAGATTCGGCTCTTCCTAATCTCGAAAAAGGCTTAAGGAGCAGAATGTAGACGGTGTCGTCCTTCGTAACCTTGTTGAGCCAACTACCTGGCCCTTCTGCAGTGTTGGGTCATATTCCAACTAGTTTTATCAGACTTGATGAATTTGAGGAGCATTGGGTCACTTTCCAATATGTACAAACGACTATGACAGTGATAATGCTAGAAGTCATGCAGGCCTCGGACATGTCAGGATCGACAGATGAAAGGTCCATCAATAACTCCTATGCCGACCTGCTCGAGAATTCTCGTATTCGAGAGTTCTCTAATGACTCAATGAATGTGGTGCGACAGTTCGATCTGGCGTTTTTGCCCCTTTTTAACAAGCTTTGGGCGATTCTAGATCTCCAGCTTACCTGAAAGCAATCCATCTGCGTCTACAGATACTGGGGGTTTACCTCTTCGAGGACCCTCCACATATGCTTGATGTCGAATCATTACAGTCCCGAACACCCAAATTTCGCGAATTTCTGCCTTTACCTCGAATCGCCATATAGTCGACCGACAGGAAATCACCAACCCAGCTTACCAAGTGTCTTTACAATGCGAATTAGCATGGTACCTCATGGGAATATCATTCATATCTCGCGATCCCCTCGTGCGAAGTGACTTTACCGACGGATGCTCCATCACCAGTGCCGGTTTTATGACCGTCATGTTATATGAGGAATGCGAAAGCCGCTTGCGGCTTATGCCCGTGCGGCCATTGGGTGGGGCCGCCGAGGAAAACATACTGAGAGCTCCTTTACGGACAAGCAGGCAGCACAACTCCTCCTGGAACTCAGGCACCCTGATCCAATTGAAAGAAAGCGTGTCTTTGATTAGCGTGGGAGACTCAAGTGGAAAAGGTTCAACAACAACATGAACGCCCGTAATCTCCCTCTGGCAACGGCTGGACATCTACGGGCGCAGTTGGTTCGACTGAGAGCATGATTGAAAAACCTAGTCTGAGCTCGCCCATCTGTTTACAGCCACTAGTGAACGCACCTCTGAAATCAAACTTCAGATTACCTAAATAGAGACAAAGCTGCGATTACTGCCCTCCAAACATCCTCTTCCTACCTGCTTCGGGCTATGACCCGGCTCCCGTCCATGTACAAAGAATAAAGTAGCCGATCCTCCAATTGGGCGAGCTTCGTCGACAATTACGTCACGTTCCCGCAGTCTAAAGCACAGTTACGTCACTCTCTGCAGTCTAAAGCACTTCTTTGGTTCTACCGTAGGGGGCAAAAAGTTTGAATATGGTGTATTCGAACTTTTTTGCCCTCTACTGTATCTCCCCAGTGCATCGGCTCCGTTTGGCATTTGGTGCATTCCCTCCTAATATCTACCTCAACACTTCTAGTCGCGTTCTTCAATCTCTTCTCGGTCATTAGGCACACTTCTTATCTTGTGCCGGTTGTACACTGGCGAGCTTGATCTTTAACGACCATGAACTATGGTTCGCCCCACCCTTCGGTCACTCATAACGAGCCAGATCAATTGCACTCGTTCTATTCTGGCAACCATTTTCCTGGCCACTATGGGTTGAACCTGCTGCCGCGTGACGACCTGTTCTCATTACAGGAGCCACTGACGCCATCCACTTTTTATGATATGGCTGAAATGGAAGCCATCAAGCCGGAATCTGAATGGGAAGCGCCATCTAGCAGTGTATGTACATTTTGACTTATTTTACTTGTAGTTTATTTTCTGTTCTATATTGTCCATTGCACTTACTGACAGTCTTGGCCCGCTATTATAGACACCAGACTCGGACGAGACATGGCATTCTGATCTACCAATTGCCACGCATTCTGCCCAGACCCGATCCGCGAAGAATCGCCGCAACCCCTCAACGTCAACCGCATCCACTGCTTCAACGATTCTCTCTAATGATTTAAATAGAGAAAGGAATCGCATAGCCGCCAGCAAATGCCGTAGGAAGAAGAAGGTGGAGGAGACGCAATTAGAGGAGCGATGGAGGATCTTGCAAGTTCAGAACGTCATTCTCCAGGATTCGGCATCGCAGCTTCGTAATGAAGTATTCAGTCTAAAGAATGAAATTTTGAAGCATGGCACTTGCGAATTTCCCCCAATACAAAGCTACATTAAGGCAGCGGCGGCGGCGGCGGCGGCGCAGATTCGTTGATTCGCAGTGACTTGATAATCCCCAGCAGCCCTGTTGGGCAGCCACGCTCAGCTCGGTGTCCAACTCCATTGCGGCCACTGGCATATCCAAACGTTAGAGTTCCATTTAATTCTACGTGGTATCGGCTAATTAAAGTACGAGCTCGGTAACAAACGCTTGTTGAAAGCACAAGCTTGTGACGCATGAAGGTGCGAGAAGAAGTGTCCGAATGATTCGGGCAATACCAAGAAATTTGTTGCTTGAAGAGCGTTTTTAAGGTGTTTGCAGGACAAATATTGATGTATATTTGATGAGTGACGAATTCCCGGAAAAGGTTTTACCATTTAGAATTCTTGGTTGAGTGGCAGATGACTGACCTGTAATGATTTGAAGCTAGAGATTATCTTCCTACTGAAGACATGATTAGTTAGAGCAAATCGTCCCACCCCCGACTCTAGGTGCATATCGAACCCCCTGCGATCTAACCGGGGTCTTATCCCATTGTACGGTTCCGGGAGCTTTGATCTCGCTTAACGTTAGAACTTTAATAACAGCCTCGGCTGCATATAGCTTGTTTATTGTTGAGATGCCTCGCATACTGGGAACTTGTTTTGGGCCTTTGTTCCAACGGCCAAAGCAGGTTCTAGCGTCTCATCAAGAACACTTGAGCAAATTGTTCATGTGTTAATGCTGGAGGCGCGTGCATCTACAATTCTGTCACTACTTCTCTTGGTCATGGTGATACGACACTATCAAAGCAAGCATTACAAATGGTTGGCTGAAAGCGAAAAATGAGCACGACCAGGGTTGGTATGTCCTGGAGGACGATGAGCTTTCAAAGATAGTGGAGAAAAGTAATATAATTTCATAGAGATACCTCTGCTAGGCATATTTTCAGCGAGATGCTGACATGCCTGGACGCCACGAACCATCTTTACGAAGATCAGAAGGTCCTCGCTCGTACCGAAGCTTCCAAATCAAAACTCCAGATGAAGCTGCCCAACACCGGTCATCCTTCCATACTTCCAAACTTCTTGCTCAACGCCAACGACCCTCGTGATCATGAGATCGCCAAGGGACCAAATCGATCGCATGGCTTGACATCCGCTGCGGACTTCAGTTACTGATAGCTGATCGGTCGGATCGGATGTCTATTTGTCACCATCCGTTACGGATCTGATGAAGCTATTCAGCTTCTGCCGCGAATCCTGGGGTTACGGTTAAGTGGATCCGGGAAATCAAAACATCGAAGGAAACGAAGCTGCCGACAAACTTGCCAAGGAAGGCGCAATGTTAGAAACGAAGGCAGATAGCCTGCCTACAGTCCATCGGTACGGCGGCAGCTGTAGGGAACGAGGAAAGACAAATTCACCCGCTGGTGGGATGCCCAGGACGAACCCCGGTATAGAGACGTGCATATGCGGTATGCGGGGGTGTCAAAGAACGTCGTCTCATTCAAAAGAGCTATGCTGCACAGGCTTCTAGCAGCAAGATCTGGCCACGGCGACTTTGCAGCATATCACGAACGATTTGGACACACAGACTCGAACAATCACTGCATTCGCGGGGAGAGAAAGGCACCAGAGCACCTTTTTTTTTGGTAAGAAATTATAAAGACAAAGACTGCTCCCGAGGCGCGCGCCAAGGGTGGCTTATACACAATATTTAGGGGAGAAGAATGCGCAGTGGGCGGGATTCGTGGAGGGTAGCCGCTTTTTCATGAGGATATGTCCAAGATGAAGGCCGTTTAAACTGACAGAGACTGGGAGTCCTAAATCAGGTCCTGGCAATAGTGTGGATCAGCACGTGCGTAGGCTGGATTGTACATAGATACTGATACCTCCAAAACCCCGCGATGTATGGCTCTGGGAAGCGTGGTTTGCCCTAGTAAGGGAATCGACCGACCAGAACGCCAGACCCACCAGGAACGGGACCGGATCGGATCGGAATCGGTTAACAGTCAATCGACCGGTCGGTCGATTCCCAGCCCTGACCTGCAGGTTGGCGGCTTCTACCCATCCCGCATCAGCCCATCTCGAGATATGGAACTCTATTGGCTGCCGAAATTTTCTTAATGCCTGGTACGAAGAATGCCAGCGTATTAAGAAGAGTGATTACAGTTGACAAGAAAGACGAATAATAAATGACAATCAAAACTGCATTTTCAACTTGTTCCCCTACATGCTGCACTGCTTGTGCTTCTTTTAATTGCTTCCTATATCGGAATTTTAATTCCAATATTGCTCACAGTACTTTTGCTCTTTGCCAGGCGCTGCACAAAATGTTATGTGCTTTCCATTGTCGGAACACTCTTTCTTCGACTCGTATGTTAGACTTATTAGCACCCCTCTACGTGCTGCTGCCTAAAGGATCAATCACTTACCATATGCACACCAATCGTTTTTAATCTTGGCACAGCAAGGCTTCTCCTTGCCAGAGTAGGAAGACTTGGGCATGAGCGGGTGTTTGCATGTTTCGACGTGCCAGACCTTGCCGTTGGGGCACTTGGAACTCTTCGAGTCGCCGTCCCAGACCTGCGTCGGCTTGCATGCCGGATGGTCGTTAGGACATTTCTCCTTCAGCTTCTTTGGTATGTCTTCATGTTTGCTGCAAAAGATTTTATGACCATCGTTCCAACGATACTTGTTCTCGGCATCTAGACCACGTCTTGTCAACCACCAAAAATGAAACAGTGGCAGAAGTAATGTTTGGTGAAAGACTCACCGTATTCACAGTACTTGCTCACTCTTGCCGCAATAACACTTCTGGCCGCTGGGGCAATCGGGCTTCTGCCATGCTGGATAATGGCACTTGTTCTTGTCGTGCCATACGTAGTTTTTGTCGCACTTACACGACTTCGTCCAACCACACCATGCCTGATCACCGGGGCATGAAGCGTCTCGAATAGATATATCAAGATCAGCACCTGGTGCTGCGCACACCAAAGCAGCTGGAAGAAATGCCGTGGTAAGAATATTGATGATATGCATTGTGGAGAACTTCAGGGGGCTTGTCAGTCAACAGCTTTAGATGGTGACAATATGGACTGAAACAACCATCAGAAGAGATCTGAGGGAGCAGATCCTCGGCCTTTTATAACCAACAGATTAAGCAGATACCCCCCCACCCCTTCGGTTTGAAGCTGCAAACTAGCCTTGCGGAGAGAAAGAACCGAAAGATCGCTTTGATTCCGTGGTGACCTTTGACGAATCTGGACGATCTATACAGCCGACGATTCGACTGACAGAAAATCTACGGCTTGATTCGAGGAATTAACATTCCAGACGAGAGAATCGTGGAGCGCTAATGCTTTCGAGCTCCCTGAGTAGAGTCCTCAAAACCATAACGTAACAGCAGCGTCTAAAGTACCAATACGTTGTTCGGCCGGCACATAGTTAGATGATAGAAAAACGTGATTTGTAGATCGTGTAGAAACGAGGACGGGTCGGCCCAATGCCTGAAGCGCCATCAGACTTTCTAGAGACGAGCTGTTGGCGTGCCAGTCCGGCAGTGAGAACAGGATCGTATTATTGGGTTTGAAGCTGAAAAGAAATAAAGTTCTAACTACCCCTACGAATAGAAACAGAGCCCTACACACTTAGTCTTATTTCTAGTCCCCCAATATTCCGACCTGTTTCTCAATGAGCTAGGAAAAAGCAGTCAGTTGATAATCAGAAATACTTTACCCCTGCCGTTGATTCACCTGTGGATGGTCGAGTCCGTAGACGTAGAGATAGATGTACGCACCATGGTACTTCCTCGTATAGTATGAAGACCAGTCAGTGACATAGCAAGCAGGTGGCATAACATCCCCAACTTGAAACACCGGTAAAGTTGCGAAGTCTGAAATTCGACATTGGTATGGGCTCGTAATTTTGGCGGTTGCAATCTTTCAGGGCCATGCGAAGCAGTTTATAGCTAAGAAGGCTAGAGACTTGATGCCTTCCCGTTTATCAAGTTCAAATGATTCGATGCAGCAGATTAAGCATCCGCTTTGCTCTCGCTACGCCTGAAATTAATCAGATTTAATAACGAAAGACCGGATCCTAGTATTTATTCTCCCAGGAGCGTCTTCTGACAATGTACGGCTGTACATAAATCATGAAAGCGCTGATGCATCAGATTTGTCCACGTCAGCTCAGACGGCGTAGACCACTGGGTCCTGGCCACCACATGATGTCAGATTCATAACTGCTTAGCAGGTAATAGTGTATTCAAAGATTTTCCGACTTTGTAAGGCTCGATAGGTTTTCGATTTAGCATAATCGAGCCGAATTGCCACCCATTCGAAGATAACCTGTAAGTTAAAAGCAGCGGATCTGCAAACCGGATGTTCAAGCTTATTGAGTTTGATAGGTGGTAACGTAATCTATTTCGCAGGGGGTGGGCTCTTCTAGCGCTGAGGTACCAGCTCTTGTACCCTACATTGAGTTTGCCACTACCAGTTCCTCGGGCCATGCAAGTATTGGAACGGCCCAGACTGAACCAGTGTCAATATGTTGGGTATATTACAAAGCACTTAAAAGTCACCACCTTGATATATGTCCCGACGGGGGCTTTTACAAAAGACGTTGACCATTAATCATTAATTATCATCACAATGAAGAGAACAGAGGATGTAGCTCAATGGAATTGGTCAGATCCTCTTACAAATTGTGATATCATCTACCGATAATCTATCACCATACGCCCCGCATCCAAGCAGAAAAGTGATTATAAGCGAGGGGCTGCAGCCGCCCCACCTATTGATACGGTGTCCAACCGTAGCTCTCCATAATAGTAGCCACCAGTCTTTTATTCCTTTCCAAGCAACATACCATGAGGAAAATCATGAGCAGTATTTTTAGCTTAAGATGGCAATTTCATCAATTTTAGGTTCATCGGCATGGTAATGACGTTGTTGTGATCCGAAACACGATGCATACCCCAGATTGCTAGTCGTCCTACACAGTAAGACAAGCACACATGCGTACCCCAAGGTCCTAGCCATGTCTTTTCGATACCCATTGGGAGACTAAAAATCCTTTTCAACCTGTTTCTTTTCAGCTCGTTTCTCTTGTTTTATCAATGCAGACAGCGTGGAGAGGGGTAAATAGCGAGTACTGCGTACTCGATGCACACTTAAGCTTCCCTTCGACAGGTTTGCCGTACATCACACCAGAGGCTCCCGCCTGGTGTATTTCACTGTAATACGGCTGTTATCTGCACCGTGCAATCTCGCGGTGCGTATGGTGATCTTTTATACACTAAACACCGTGGTGGGTGTGGTGTACGACAACTCCTGGTCCCCACCGTCCCGTACCGACGTATAATCCGCCAAATAGGTCAGCCATTTCCAGCAAATCCAGGAACACCAATAAATTGTAAATGACCGGCAGAGTTCCCATACCTCTGACGTTTTGCTGCCAATGGTAGCCTATAGGGATCCGAACTGATCGATCCGCTCGCGGTAGCGCAAATCCGTAGCGGATGCCAAGCCATCCGATCGATTTCCAAACCATAAAATTAGCATTGTCATAGTGTGTACACATTGTTGATCAACATATTATCAATATACAATATCTGGGGGAGAAGAGTGCGCAGTGGGCGCGGTTTATAGAGGCGAGTGGCTTTTTCACAAGAATATGTCCGAGATAAAGGGTTGTATAAACTGACAGACTGAGTACTCTAACTCGGGACCTGCAACAGCGTGAATTGGCACGTGCGCAGCTGGAATGTATATATGTACTGATACCTCCAAACCCCTGCGATGTATGGCTCTGGGAGGCGTGGTTTGCCCTAATAAGGGATGGTCCCCACGTAAATACAATCAATCAATCAATCAACTACCAACAACCTGTTCCTCCTTCTTATGGTACAGGCACAATTTCGTGCAATTTGCAGGTGGTAATTTCAATCGCAACTACTATTGAAGTGCGATGCAGGCACTTGGTAAATGTTGATCTCCCAGCCGGTGGCCATGCAACCAACTTATACGCCAGTGAGCGAGAACCATGCCCTCTTCTTGATCAACGCTCTTGCGAACACTTCTATGCACGACCTTCTCAAAACATACCTTGCGTGAGGTGACATTTCCCTTTATTTCTCTTGTTTCTCCCATCAATTGATATATAAATACGAGGATATCGCGTCATTGCGGTTGAACGCCTTCACTCACGGTTCGGGAGGTCGGCGACAACGTGTTCCAACCCAGCATTTATCTATGTCCTGTAAAATCAGCCAGCCCAATCGGTATCATTGGTACAGATCAACATGGACAAGACCGTCTATCTACCCGATCTGGAGGCCGGCTGTCTATGGCCTCGTCGACTCAACATCCACATGGCCGAGATCAAACAGGAATGCCTCGAGTGGGTGCTAGTTTCGAGGCTTTCACCCCGCAAGCACAACAGGCCTTCGACAAATGTAACTTCAGTAAGTGCCACACCGTATATATGACTAAGTAGCAGCCTTCTGTCATGCTGACATGAGCTTTTTGAAGATTTGCTGGCGGTCTCATGTGCCCACGATTGACCAGAGAGCAACTGAGGTGCGCGTGTGAAGTTATGAACCTCTTCTTCATCTTTGACGAGCATTCCGATCGATCCGAACCGGCCGATGTATGGAATCAAGTCGACATCCTGATGGATGCTCTGCGCAATCCCGAAACACCTCGACCGGCCGGAGAATAGGTCGGTGAGATTGCGCGACAGTAAATTGTCCTTTCCCCGGGTCAGCCATCCTCATCGGAAGAACTAATTAGCTCACGGGAGATGCACAACAGGTTTTGGATCCGAGCGACTACTATCTCAACGAATTCATTCCAGCGGCGGTTCCTTGCAAGCTGGGAACACTACCTGAAGGGAACCGCACAACAAGCGGAAGATAGGTCGTGCTCACACATCTGTACCGTCTCCAGCTATCTCAAGGTTCGGCGGCAAACCATCGGAGTGATGCCCTCTCTAGCCTTCTTCCAGATAGAAATGGACAAAGCGCTGCTCAAGGATGGGGGTCGCAAATCATCGCTTGAAGTAGAGATGGATATTGTGGGCGGTCACAATATGACTTAAGACTATTCAGACGATGTCCATACAGGGTTCGAATTCCGCTTCTTGTGTTACACATGGCAGTGTTTAATGCTGTAGTGGTGATAAGCCCATCTGAATGCGGACATGAATTCAATAGTTAGGAAGGGATCACTTTTGGAGTTGTTTTGTGACATATCTGACCTTGCTAAGCACTCGAAGACTATCTATCACTCAAGACAAGGTTTATGCGGGAACTTGGTTACGGTGTAAAACCAAATAGCCTCCGGCGAAACTCCGTGACGAAGATGCAAGTCGTGAGGGAACGCCAATACGCCCGGACCGGATCTGCCGATCCTCCGAAGAAAAAGGTGTATGGCACGCGTCCGACGCCAAGCGCTGAAGCTATGCTTTGGAGCGTTCGATTTGACACTCTGCAAACATGGCTATTTTAATTGTATACTCGTCATTATGGACTTCAGTTCCAGCCCCTACGTTAACAAACTAAAAACTAACAAACAAATAGTTACAGTGAGTGGTTAGTAGCAAATCAACTGGGAGTCTAATACTTAGATCCGCTTGACTAGAGCAATCTGAATAGTTAAGGCATTGGTCATGCTCGAACTATCAGAACTTATCTACGCCATACAACATTGAATATTACATCCGCGACATATAAAGCGGTATTAAGTGTATCAATCACATAACCTCTGATGCTACCGTTACCAGGCTGGTTTCTGTCTTGATACAATGTCGAAGTGCCTGGCTCGTTAAAAAGTATGGCTGCAGGCTCATGCATCATGCTAGTTCTTGATACTGGATGCTGCATTTCGTACGGATAAGGTACTGAGAACTGTACTGAGCCTGACCTTGGTATAGAACTCGCCCTCTCGTCCATATGCGGACTTTCATCATCCCGGATGAGAGAATAGTGCGATTGTGTTGATCGTCGCAAAACCTTCAACGGAGACGATGAGGAAAAGATAGAATGAATGAAATGATCTGCATCATACTCCATAGCGGTGTAAGATGGGTGTGGCGTGTCTCCATCATATTTCAGGGTCGTAGACGGTAGTACCACAATAGTCTTTTTCGCGACATATGTCTCCGATTTTGGTTTTGGCCCTGCTCTCACTGATTTTCTCCTTTTTCTCCTTGATCTCATGATTTTCATCAAGACAGCTTTTTCTCCCGAATCACTATCATCGATATAATTCCTATGTTCGTGTTCCCGCTCCTCCTTGTCCACTCCTACATTGGAATCCATCGCGATGCACTGCTTAACACGTTCATCAAAGTGAACATATTTGACTTTCGTTATGTGGGTTTCAATATCCGAAGTCGATTTTGAAGGCGTGCCTAACGCCCGCTCCCGGGCCATTTGTGTTTGCACAATAAGCCTTGTTACACGACCTCTTCCATCTGGAGGTTGTGGTTGAGTATCTGTCATGGCCTGCTTGGGAACGAAAGGCAACGAACGAGAGTCTTGACGCAAGGACTCTGCTATGCTCCTTTTTCTTAGGTTGGACTTGTTAACGATGGACACGTTATGCATGGGCAAAGTGGAGTTTGTCCGTCCCATGCTTCTTGATAACGATGTAGATGGACACTGCTGTAGTGGACCATACAACCAAGTTACGTCACAGTCTCTCAGCCTGTGGAGGAATTAGTACTCTGATACTATTAGATAGTTGAAAGCTTCAAGATATAGTAATACCACTTAATAGTTTCCGGCGAAACCGTTTTGAGGTTGTATTTTGTCTTTGTCCAAGCCCTCCAAGATGCATTCTCCAGCCTCTGTGCATTGGAGCATTCGCCTCGATTCGACACAAGATAGCGCCGTGATGACCATATATCTTCTTCTACCCAGTGATGTGACAAGTAATCGACATTGCTGCTCGTGTGGCGCTGCACCAAAGTGTCATCTCCTGCTCGTTTGTTGATTTCGGATATTTTTGGAGTTGAATTGGTAACAGGCGTAACAGGATCAACTGTGAACACTAAATTGGGGCTGTGCTCCGAGGATCGATCGCACGAGAAAGTCGGCGGTCGGTGTGACTGAGGGGAGGGCAATGGTGAAAATGAGGCATTGTCATCAGGCGAAAAGGAAACAGCCATACCCTGAACTTCAGTCAGCTTCTCATTCGCCATTGATACAATGCTCCTTAGTTTGGATTGTCCAGTGTAGGGTTCCTTGGTATTTGTATGGACCGTTTTCGTGGAAGAGACTTGAAGATGCTCTGAATCATGGTTGACAGAATCTTTCAGGCATCGCGAACGCTGCGGGAATGCAGGTACTTGCTCCTTAGATAGAGTGGACGTAATGGCTGAGAAAGGGACGAGCTCCATGTGTATCGGCGCAAATAAGGTGCGGACGGGCTAGCCTAGGATAAAGCACGCAGTGCATACACATTGTGCTAGGCCGGAGCGCGCAAAGTCAAAAAGCTGGTATAGTCGCAACCAAGTAAGGCAGGACACAGCAATCAATTTATTGTACAACGGCGGCGCTGGGTCTTCTAATTACTCGGACACTGATTATAAAGGTGAACAATACCGGGTTTAACATTCAAAAGATAATGTCCAAATGAGAGATCGAAGAAGCCACTGCGGGACAGCTTGAAGGTTCAGCCTATACGGGGGCCTAATTTACGTAGTGCGGAGGTCCGCTGGTAAACAACTGATATGGCAACCTTCTCCGAGTCACCCTGCACTGCAATTGCTTACTTAAGCTTCATTGTTATCAATGGTCAGTACGCATGGTAGTACTACAGGTACTAGCACGGAATGAACTCCAACATATTATTACCGAAATAGATATTGTTTGACATACAGCCCATTGAGAGGCCGGGCAGGGTGTCAAAACAGTCGAACCAGTCGGTCTTTGGTTCGACTGAATTGCCTTTTGTATGCCAAAACAATCAAAGCACCTGCCACTATTTTCGCTTTCCATACAAAAAAAAATGTCAATGCACGACAGTCTTGGCAATCTAGTCGAACCAAACCGACTGGTTCGACTGTTTTGACACCCTGAGGCCAGGAACGTACTTGCTTCTTCAAACTTCTGCTAGTGGATGCGACTTCGGGCATGGCGCAGTCCAGCCATAAACCTCCTGATTGTTCAAGTAGCCCAATAGCTCAGTACTCGGCCAACAAGGGTAAAAATAAGCAAAAGGTGCTCCAACACCTCACGTCGGCCAGTGGTGAGCATCTGTGAGCATCATTGTCCGATCGATGTTACTGTGCGATACATAATCACAAACGGTATCTGTGGCTTTTAGGAAGACCCGTCCTAAACCACCGGCTTTGGGAATCTGAGTATTAAGGATTGTCCATCTTGACGGAGCTTAACTGGGTAAATGTCAGAGCGAAGCGATTTGATTTCTCGTTCCATAACATTAATTTGGAGTTTCGGCGTGTCCTCCATCTTCTTCGGCTGCGCCAGCGCAGATGGCACTGGTGCTGTAAGCTGCAGGATCGCAGTTGCTGGCTACGATACGTTTAACAGGCTCCTCGCTTACCAGTCCCTCACCTTCAACCCTACTGGTACATCATCTCCATTCGCCTTGGCCCCTGCGGTGCTGGCATTAGCACTCTTAGATTGGGAACACTATACGATGGCAATGTCGCCGGGACGACTGCCCTTGAAAACATCAGGTACTCGATCATCCAGGACAACTCTACCACCACCACTCCTACCTCCCTTACGACGTAGGCATGATCTGGAAATTGATCAGAGGCCATATCTAATGAAGTTGAAAGTATGGAAAGCGGATAACTGGGTGGACGTTCATTTAAATTTAAGTGGATGACAAATGAATATAGCGGTCGGATTCTAGTGAGGAAGACGAACTGGGGACTTGGAAAGCCTACGCGCGTGAAACAACTACGACATCACGACGTATGATTTAATTCCCATCACGATGCGCCCCTTGCGCGATTTCCTTTTTACGTGCCAGGCCAGTCAATACACTCTTTTCTTTACATCAAGTGTCACTGGATATGACGATGACTATTAGATGTCGACATCGTCCATATAGACATACTGATACACCATAGCCTTTCCAAAGGGGTACGTTCTGCCATCACTTAGCATGCTGTGAGCCCCATTGGACGCCCAGGTTGTCAAGCCGAGCTCACTCAACAAGATATACTGCCTACTGATCATCCAATCAGCGCCATCGACGCTGTGGACTATATTCCTAAATGACAAATCACATCAAGAGCATTGACACAGGAAGACACATATTTTGAGGTGGCCGAATTCTCATTACCTCAACCTGACGAGGGTTCAAGTCAGGAAAGCCATCCACTAGGGATGACGCAGGATTATAGCTAGCCGTTTAGACTATCCTCGATCCATACTACCCGCTTTCACAACAGCGGGAACCAATGCAGCGATTATCTTTCCCTCCTCTCCTAACAAGAGTTCTAGATGTCACGCAATCTTTGGCACATAGGAGATTTCATGGCAGCGAAGAGGTCGCGCCAGCCTGTAGTCCATTCGTCCTCCCTGTCTGCCCAAGGCGAAGATAGTTTCCATGAGTAACTCGCAAGGAGTCGCTCCGTGGAATCCAACGTACGCAAAAAAAAGTAGCGCAGTTCAAAAGACAAACTTCTTCTGTTTCGGTTGTAAACTCTCCCAATCTCTGAACCGATATCGTATGACGGTTAAGCAAACGGAATTCAGAGAACCAGAACCCGGTGCAAGCCTTCCGTAACAAAAAAAAACCTGCCAAAAGATTCCATGGATAAGGATAATGTGGAGTTGCGATTCGGGTCATTAGAGCAGAAGAGAGACGTATGAAATCAAGTCGACGTCCTGATGGATGCTCTGCGCAATTCCGAAACACCTCGACCGGCCGGAGAATGGGTCGGCAGTAAGTCGCCCTTTCCCCATGTCAGCCACCCATAAGAACAGATTAGCTCACGGGAGATGCGCAACAGGTTTTGGATCCGAGTGACTACTCTCTCAACCAAGTCATTCCAGCGGCGGTTCCTTGCAAGCTGGGAACACTATCTCAAGGTTCGGCGGCAAACCATCGGAGTGGTGCCCTCTCTAGCTGTCAGCGTAGTTGATCTCGCGGAAGTTGCGGCAGACATGAAAAAAAAAGTCCGAATGAACTATACAAGATCATATCTTGGCACAAGATGGCAGCAGGTCTGAGCTCACTCCCAATCATAACCGGCTATAGAATCCTCGAGTCACGGCTGGACAAGGCAAATTTTGTTTGTTTGTTTGTTTGTTATTTAACGTGGGGAAGTCCCTTATTAGGGCAAACCACGCCTCCCAGAGCCATACATCGTAGGGTTTGGAGGTATCAGTATCTACATACATTCCAGCCTGCGCACGTGCCCGTCCACGCTGTTGCAGGACCTGAGTGTGAGCACTCATTCAGTCCGTCAATTCAAACCGCCCATCATCTCGGACAGATCCTTGTGAAAAAGCTACTGGCCTCCACAACTGCGTTGAATGCGTGCCCTATCATCTCGCGGATCCGACATTCGCATTTCGGAAATGCATTGGTTGAGGTTGGGTTCAGCTTGAGAATCGTCCGTAACAGACCTTTGACGTGTACTAGCCTCCTTTTGAGCCGATCAAATGCGCCCATCTCCCCTTCACCATAGATCAATGGCATATGCAGATCAAGAATACTTAACAATGAGTAGGCTTTATCTCGGGGTGGCTCGTCTTTCGATTGTCTGACCATAGTCTAGCACAGATTATAGTGCATTCAGCACCAGAAAGCTACCGCAACTCCACTACCCCACACCAAAGACGTCCCGGCCATGGCCATTAAGAAGCTGCGGCGCACGGACAACCAGGTCGCCTGGATCTGCCCCGTGTCGGACCTCGAACTGCTGCCGTCGCCCCTGATGCTGGACGAGGAGCACGACGCGTCCGACTACGACACCGCCTATGACGACAATGTCTACACCTGTTGCGCCATGGCCGGCCACAACGTCGTGCTGGCGACCTGCCCGCCCGGCTGACCGGCAATGTTAACGCCGGGCGCGTGATGGGTCCCATGTTCAAGACCTTTCCCAACATCCGCATGACCGTGCTTGTGGGGATTGGCGGCGGTATGTCTTGATCCCTATAGCCTGACGACCCGACGGAAAATGTGCGCCTCGGCGACGTTATAGTCGGGTCGCCTGAGGATGGCGGCCCGGCCTGTATCTACTACGACCTGGGCTGATGGCACATTAAGGAGCAATTCGAGCCGCTAGGCACGATCGATAAGCCAGACCGAGTATTACTATGTGCCATAGGCAGGCTTATGCTGTACCACGACATGGACAAGAGCGCATTCGACGAGCACCATAAGAGACTGCTGGTGTTGAGACACAAGCGGAAGTTTACACATCCTGACCTCAGTCGCGATCGGTTGTTCTAGGTAACTAGCTATCATAGTAGCCAGGACCGAAACGGATGCGGTAAGTGCGACATGACCAAGCTCGTTAATCGACCTACATGCACGGAAGAAAAAGCTGCCAGTTTCGTGTTCCACCGTGGCAAGATTGCCTCGGGGAACGCGGTCGTGCAAGTTGGCGAGCGTAGAGATTAGCAAGCATTATGGTGGAGTACCGTGTATTGACATGGAGGCGTGGGAGTGGAGGCGAGCAGATGTTGTCTTGTGATCCGTGGCATGTCAGACTAGTCAGACTTACACAAGAACGATATGTGGCGATCATACGTAGCAGGTAATGCCGCCATCTTTGCCCGTGAACTGCTGAGCAAAGTGCCGCCTGGAACGGTGGCGGGGATGGAGGTGATGGGTGGACAAGCTGTTCAAATAACGACTTTTCGTACGAGCCATCTAATAGGCCATAATCTAACGGCCAACATAGGTCTCCGCGCTTCCTCGTGAAGATGTCGGGTCCTAGCATCCGCTGTCTCTGGCGACTCCTAAAGCTTTTGCCTGCTAGCATAGTCTTAAGTGCCTTACTAGTAACTTTGACCATGTCTGTTATATTGACATGCTCACTTACGTCACCCATCCTGTTCATCTTTTGTGCTCTTCAACCGGTTACCATAATGTATCACACGTTAATGACTAACCGAGTGATTTGGCCTTATCCATAGTTCTATCCGTGTTTCTATTCGTACTTAGACCTTCTAGTTCAGCCTATAGCGTGGAAATGCCATTCCTAGTTGTCTCTTGTCCGCCTGATGTTCTCGCTGACCTCACATTTTGAGCTTCATGACCCTCAAATCTTTCTCCTGGCAGAGATAATCACACTGGCCTCACATAAAATTCCTCTGAATCACGTTTGGTATTACCGCCATCACCAACAACATACACGCTCAAATTCAGTCATCTCCCCTCTACAAAACACGGTTCTGGTCGATTTGTATTTGTTAAGCTCCATCCTATTCAAGGCGCTGTTGGTTGTGCCATCCACCAATTCTACCAGAAGTTATCGGCTCGATCAGATGAATTGCGAGTTACAACGCATGATGCTTCAGCCACCGGAGATAACACCCTGAACGCTTGGAGAAGTACAATTCAAGTTGATTTGCTACTAAATACGAACAGTACTCCGCTGGGATGTCGCATCGAATAATCGTACAGGGAAAATTGAGATCCAGTCGCCACACAATCTTCGTTTCTTTACCTGCAAAGTGTTATTCCATCTCGGATTGACACCCCAAGCCGAGCATCTAGCTGACTTGACTGGTAACCGGAGTTTACACCGCTGTACCCACAACATGCTCGTGTACTTGTCCTTACATTGGCCACAGAAAAGCATATCAGGATCAGCTCCCACTCTAGGTGTAGTCGGACAATACCGACAAGAATAGTCCTGATACAGTCCTTTCGGAACCCAGCACAGACTAGTTCACCTAGGTGCGCATCATCGCGCAGTTAGTGGTGATAACAAATACCTTGACAACGGTTTTTAGTTGCTAGCGATCCAACGGAAACTTCGCTAGAGTTCATCCAACCGTGCCATTTCATCTGAGCATTGTCAGTAGTCAACCGAAATAGGGATAGTCGTCAAGGCAAGAGATACGGCTGATCCAATTGATACAAAGTATAACTTTCTGGAAACTTTGGTACATCTAGCTACGGGACGCTAGTGATCTACACGACGATGACTAGTAAGTGGCGATTGCTCCTATCTGTCAACCTTTTCTCCAAAAGTGAGGACACTGTAGAGGCAATGTCCACAGATATGGCCCATGCAAATGTAAAATCACAAGATCCTCTCCCTTCCTGATAAGTAGATCGATAAGAACTGGATCTCCTTTCTAAGCAGCCCATACTAAGAGGATCTATATGGAACATATATACGCCGGTCACGCGTCGTTCTCGTACATCAAGACTAACCTTGAAGAAAAGAAGAATTGGTGCTGATATATCTCCGACAGCCAGGATATCAAGCCAACTACAAGAAACTGGAGTTCGTCGACTTGCTTTTTGGATTCCTCCCGACACCTGATAACCGCTAATCGATCCTTTCGACGGTTGCGCTCGTATCAGTCCCAACTCGGCGCATTCGAAATATCGGCCTGAGTGTCTGTATGGTTGTGGATGACAGGGAAGATCCTGCCCGCCATGAAATCTAAATTTAAACGGGTGGCAGGCTCTGCTTGAGCCATATCTAGGATTCACACACAGTGGCCGACCAGTATCGTTTCGCGGGAGTGCGAGTATCATGAGAAAAATTAGCCCAAAGCGGTCACACCACAGATAACCGCTTCCAGACCAGGTTCGTCATGCATGAATGACCATTTTGATTGTACTTGTTCGAAGAAAGATTCTCGTCGTAGGAAGGGAAACCTAGGTCCACGACAGTGAAGAAGACAGTAGATAGGCCGCAACACTCCTCAAGGGAAAGCACTGAGGTGACATGAGACACGAATTGACCTCGGCACTCAGCACGGAGTCCGAGACTCCATTCGTACGAATGCAATCGTGGAGGAGCCTCGTCATGCAATTCATTACCTAGAATTTGTGGCAAGGCGACAGCGCTGCATCTGGTAATGATACGCGGCGGTTGGGTCTGAGTAACAACCTCCGTCCATGGCTGATTGTCATTAGACCCGCTACACTGAAGAGTTTTGTTCGAGTCTGCAATTGACGACCGAGACTCAGTGTTTTGGACTATCGCTCGACCGTCTTATTGATCATGAGCGAGTCCTCTGGGAAGCTGTCCGTTCGACTGGGATTGGGCTCGTAATCTCAGCAGTAACCATTTTGAGGATCATAACCGGTGCCGCGAGACGGCTAACCCGATTGCTACCACCTGGCTTATTTCATTTAACTATATAGCACGAAACTACCTGTTAGCAACAGAATATCTGAAGTTTATATCGTTCCTAGCCGAGAAGGATATACTAATCTCCATCCTCCCTTAAGGAGAAGACGAACTAGACGAGGAAGCAATCAGGGTCTTGACTAGATACGCTCTCATTATGAAACGAGACCACGGAGGCACGTTCAATATCCATTGGCTTGTACGGCTAGTTACCCCGTAACTGGCTTAAATATAAGCGGGACATACGTATTAAAGATGTAGTTAATTATCTCGCTATTATATACCCATATCTAGAGCATGAGAACCGGGATGTGTGAATGGGGTATTATGCCGCATGTGGTGGCAGTACTAGGTGCGTATTGTGCACTGGTAAAGTAAAAGCCAATTTAAAACTTTTATTTATGTTACAAAGAGCTCTAGGAAGACAGCGAAGTACGAGGAGGCAGAGCGAACCCCATATCAAAAAGTCTTGCGGTCAAGTCTAGAAAGTCTTGAACCATCTGGAAGAACGTCAGATCCGGCGGTTTCGATGGCAGACGAAGATAAGGGATACCAAAGTCGTTGATACGATCATCAGATGGGTCAAAAAGTGATAGTGGACTAGCTTCTACATATTAAATGGGAGTCGCAACACGATCTCTAGATGCATAGTCTGTCATCGGTTAACATTTTCCCCTCGTCATCTTTGACTAATCGTGGGGGTGGAAAGGGGCGATGTGGCGCAAAAAGTTCCTATCGCCAAATAACAATTCCAAGCCTTGTACCGGAATGGCATGACATGATACATGGGTTCCAGTCCCATTCAACCTCCTTATACCCTAAGTAGCAGTCAGCCTGGCAAAATTCGAGACGTGGTGCTCTCCCTAGAATCTCCGCCCAACGTTTTGGCGGTGTCTACCTCTATCTCTCGCAAGACCCAAATATTCTCAAATAATTCGACGTGCCATGACACGGTCGATGGACTCGGGCCAGTGCAAATTGGCTCGTACACTAACTTAGGTTACCGGATATGGTTGGTTCGGTATGGTGAAGGTCCTGACTTTACGTGCTCATAGGAGACTCCGCATGATTCACTTAAGAGGATGAATTGTCGCTTCCTGCACCCATCAGCCCTCGGCCGGTCCACATAGCCACCGGGAACAAAGTGAGAGTGCGAAGAGTGTGCAAGGTCCTCAGGTAGCGAAAGCGCTGCCTTGGGAAACAGATATAAGACTCGCATCGTTACTCCGATGCTACATCTTCCCGGTCGATCGTCGTGAGGACGAACCGAACACCCCGGACGAAGCTCCAGCGCGTTGCGTCCTTGACTAACGCTACGGTGCACGGAGGATCTGATACGCCCGGTCGCCGAGGGAGCAGGACATAGCCCTGCTCATCTCATTGAGTACATACCGACGAAGTCTCTTCTTACAAATAAAGACATCATCATTTCTCAGTTTTTGTGGTATGGTGAACAATGCGGAAAGTTTCGAACAGAGTCGCACCCTCTCGATGATCCTTCCGATTGCTACCATTGGCTCCATGTATGTTCTGCAATATGGTAGCTTGGATTCATTCGCTGGCAAGTTGACTACCAAATATCCGGTTGTTACTGTCGTTGCTGTTGGCAAGCCAAGTTTGGAACCAAGCTTCCTTTCTATGAGACTTCACCGCTTATTTCGTCGAGGGACCGTGCACAGACATCGTGAGAATTTTCTCCAACTCAGGGAAACCAAGGAATATGGACTGCTGGCAATTTTAGAATTAGCCAAAAACATCAATCTGCCTCTAGTTCTAACTGTCACGGCAAACTGAAATACAGCACCTCATGGCACCAAAATATCTGAAGGAGGCCGTGGCTTTGCAAGTGTTAATTGAAGGTTAGTAGACCTAATTCACATGGTTTCAGACTCCAGACACTGATTTGTTAGCTAATGTGCGATTGTTATTCCCGGATGTCCCATTACATATTATCACAGCCAAATGCGAGGATGAGCAGATTTATGCTTGTGTCGTACAAGTCTATGAGATCGATGGCAAGAAGCAGCACCAGATTTTGCTTCAGGGTGAGCCGGGTCATTCGCATTGGGGTTTCAAGAGTTCGCTCGAAAGCATCTTCCGCAAATCTCAAGCGCTTCTAGGAAAAGAACTTAACCTTATAGCACTTGAAGAATCAGATAGCAAATATTAATAGACATGTTATCACGAGATTGCTTTTGGTAAGATGGGCTAGAAGTAAGCTGGTTAGACTTGGAGACGTTAGGAAGTTTTCTTTTAGATTTCAATTTTAGAAAATCATCCTCGCTGTTCCTAAATCCTCTCTCTAGGGCGGAGGCAATGACCGGTGTTCAGCGTAAACTCGACTACCCCACATCAACGTTAACGGCTTTTCCTGCCTAAGAAGCTGCGGCGCACAAAGTACCAGCTCAGCCTTTGACAGATGCATTAATCAGAGTCCTAGTCAAAGAGGTGAACAAGCATTCTCTTATATGTTCGCGGTTTGACTCGAGGCAGTGGGCGTTGTTACAGTCCAGCGCGATAGCAGCAGTTCGAGGGGGTCGTGCAGACTATTGCTGGTTATACGAGGCTCTATACGAGCTTTGCGTTGAATTTCACGTTAGAGCTCAGTCGTGAAGATTTTATGCCACCCTAGCGCCAACCCAACTTTCCACGCAGCTTTCGCAATCCTTTCTTTACTTAGTATTTCAAAAGCATGTATTAGCTCAAGGGATAGGTTTGTAAAGGTTCGTCCACGTATAACAAGACCACCTAGAAGGATGCGCTAACTATTAATTCATTCTCATCAAATAGGTTTGGTGTAAGCAGAACGATTAGAAAGAATATTTGAATCATAATCGAAAACTCAGATATATAGCTGTGCCAACAATAGTTACAGCATTTATAGTTGCTCTCATCCAAGGGACAAAACAGTCTAGCAATCCTCGCTTGCCGTTGATACTCAAGGCGGGCTTGATGGCAATGCACTGCAGGCTGCTTATTTTAAAGGAGAAGATTGTATAAAGTCTGCGCGATGCGTGTGTAAGACACGCACTTCAAGCTGCCCTTTATTGCGGACAAAGGCCATGACAAGGGCCGCAGAAAGCTACGGAGCACTTATCACAGGAAGCCTTGGCGCAAGCCTTATGATTGGCTGGCAAGGAACGAACAGAGTCTCGTCACTGATCAGTCCTAATCAGTATACTTCTACTAATCATAGGTGAGCAACACATTTTAGTGAAGGAATGAGTAGATATAATAAGGATTGGATTTTCCTACTCTACATAAGGAAGGATTACCGCAAGGATTAATCTAAGCAGCTATGTTCCCCATAAGTAAAGCTAAAGCCTTAACGAAGGATCGACTTCGAAGAGCTAAACGTCGACGCACATGAATCAAATAGAGCATTGCAGAATCGGCATCACAGTCATTATTAGTCCAGCCATTTCGATGGTACCTGGATTGCGATACTCGATAGCAATTTCCACGTCTAAGGCGACTTCAATTCGAATTCTGGTCTACCTACGAGAGTTGTTGCGACTAAAAACATTCTCCGCCATAAACAGCACCCCCATAGCGGCATACTAGGCATCTGTCAACCAGCTCAAGCAACTGATCTTCCATTACCGTTCTGATTACAAGGCCGTCCCTGTATGCGACGCTGACCATGAGAAAAGCACCATGACCCTTTACACGAAGAACTCCATCACAAAGGTATAGCTGAGCCTGTTAGACGAGAGCGCAATCGCAATACCGCAGCCAAATGCCGTGCTAAAGGCAAAGCAGCAGAGGAAGTCCTGAAGGAGAGACGACGAATCGGACGCGAGAGAAATCAAGTATGCGAAACCCTTTTGACGAGCTGAGCAACGAGGTCCTGGCACTAAGGTACGAGCTACTCTGTCACTCAGGGTGCAATCACCAGGTGATTGACAATTATCTCAGAAATAGTGCGAATCAGATTACCAGTGGGATGAGTTTCTCGTCGACGTCGACGCGAAGCAGCCCTAAGATAGGTCTCTTGCGACCCCGGAAAGTGGCAGAACCAACAATAAAATAGTGGATGATGATTGAATGGCCCGCTATGATAAGACCATGCTCGTAGATTAACCTTCGAGGCTGATGTGGTCGATTTGACAAGTGTCGTATCTAAGACGCGCCTAAGGCTAGGGTCAAGAATACAGTCTATTATACCGTTTATTGATATTTCCTTATTCTTCACTAAATAACCAAGCTACTATTAATTGTTCATGATAACCCTAGCTGGTTTTCCGGCTTGCTAACTTAATTGTAGCTAGGATGCTAGTGGAACTAAAACCATAATCACCAAAGCCATTAGTCTAGCTAGCACCTAATAATCACAAAACTACGAGGAATATGACCATGTATTACGAATTTAAATAGCGCTTAATTAAAACGCTCCAAGTTAGACCCAATTTAATGCAAAAGAAGTATCCGTATATGTTATTAAAGTCATATCTGAAGGATTACTAGTAACGACAATTGCGTTGCCGCTTTTGACCTTGTATCGACGGTAGCGATTAGTGGAGCTACACTACTGAAAGATGTGGCCTAGGAGAGAATGCGATTATTATAATTAGTACAAATAATCTATCTTTACGCTAACTAGCACGGACTAAGTACATAGCCATGATTCCACCTACCGGTATTGCGCAGAGGGTGTATACTAATGCCTCCGGGTGACGCCTCAGTCCCCATTTCTATGTTTACCCTGGATTGCCAAGCCTTCCCTGAGCCTGATTCGTAAGTGTATAGATCCTTTGCAAAATATTGACACAAGGAGGCAAGCTCATGCTTTAAATTAGATGGAACTTTCGATTCTCTAGTTGACCTTACTGGCCACCGTATCAAAACAGCAGGTTTGGCCGAGAGCGACGAATTCGTGGATTTCGTGACGGCGTAAGCGGGAGATCGCTCATTCTCCGTCTTCTAATGCGCTTCCAGAGGTAGCAGATCCGGTGACGGCAGCTGATGTAAAGTCCTTGTAGGCGATTTTAACCTTACCAAAGTGAGAAGACAAAGTGATTGAGCATGTAGCTGAACAAGATCGCTTTAGGTCGTTCGCTGACTTCTCTTGCAGATTGACGACGACGTTGAAAAGGTCTTCCGCGGATTCGAGATCAATACTAATTCGTCTCGGCATCTTCATGGCCATGAATATAATCTCTGAAGATTGCCATGTCTTCGAAATTTGCAGCCAAGTTCTCCATTACTACGCCCTCCGGATCACTCACAGTCATATCAGGGTCGCCAATGAAAGTTGCCCTAACAACATTCTCAAGACTACCGAGCCCACGTTCTTCGATTTGACCCAAAAGCATCCGTACGTCCTCACTCGTTATGTTAGTATCACGCAATATCATGGTAAGAAGACCACGGCCGATAGTTTCAGCGATACGGTAGGGATGTCTTAGTGTTTCGTAACCGTAAATGCATAACAGGAACCAGTCTCGCCAGAAGGAGTCCTGATGATCCTGCTGGACTGATGTAGCAACGTATGTTAGAGCAGTTTGCCAGAGTATCGTGTACGCTAATGACTGGCAGGTGACTATACCTCAACCTATTGTGGACTGTTAGGCTTGTGGGTACCCTTGTTTGCCCTACGTCGTTTCGTTTTGCTGGCCGGGGTGCAGCTGTCGTCCTCAGCGCTTTGAAAACGAGCACTATAAATACTCTCCAAAGCCAGAAGGACGGGATGATCATAACAACATTAAGTCTCATCATGTCTTCAAACGCTCTGAGCACCCGAACTAAAGTTCCAATAGACCTAAATAGCTCAACCGAAATGGAAACATCGCTTAGGCACATTGAAGACGCCAATAGGCCACCTCGACCGTAGCTCTTTTAGCATCGGACCCATATCCGGTGCATCTTCTATTAACCGTGCCATTTTGTTCGTAGTAGTGTTGCGCAGAGGAAATTAGTTAGCTTTCTTGACGCCTACCATTTGTGGTTAACGCCAGGTGGATCAGCAATGGAATAAGAGACTAATGGGAGGACGTTATTGTTTAGAAATAAAGACCAAAATAACTGACAATCTCGCCAATTTTCAGTTTGGCTGTGACTACAACTTAGTCGCTAGTCCGACTAAATGTCCTGGAACGGCCATTTCCAGGGCATGGTTCAACGAAGTGTGGCACTAAACGCTAAGCCACCACTGATTGCACTAGTTCAGCTTACCAAACCGCTAGAACCAATTAGGTCTCGCCATGCAAGCCGTATCCCTTGAAAGCGTGCTAATCCGAACACAGGTTCAAAGGCAACCTCCCAATCCTCTAAAAAACACACCTATCATATCCTTTATTCGTGTGTATATTACGCTTATGAAGCATCGACACAGTATCAAATCATTCCAAGACCTGCTCGCCAGTCATGATTAAGTACCGAAAACCATAAATACACCACCGCTTAGTGCTTTCTTGTCTTAGCCTTCTTCGTAGGTCGCTTCAGCTCGGTGTCGTAAAGTTTGAAGAATTCAGTAAGCTCGGTCGGATGGCTTCCAGTGACGTTGACGAAGGCTGTAGTGGAGATATAATTTGTCTTGCCCTCGCGAATCAGACTGTAGTACTCCAGGAGATATTGAAGCTCAGAGTTGTCGCTCTCAGACTGGGCCTTCAGAATCTTCTTAGCCTCCGCCTCCGAGATATCCTCGAACTTCATCTCCGTGCCAAGAGCCTTGCTTGCGGCAGTGGCAAGCTCTTCTCCGGCACACAACTCAGGTCCTGGCAACTCATTAGTACACAATAAATAAAACAAAAAGGCAGAATGCTTACCGGTAACGACCATCATCTGTCCTCGGTGCTTGTCATCGAAACCGTGCTTACCCTTGCCTATCAGAACATGAGCAGCAACGTGGGTAACATCCTGCTAAGAATTAGCAAGCTATTAAATTTCGTGTTAAGCTTACGGCAGCTTACTCCGAGGGCCACGGGAGCGAATTTGTGGTTCTGGCCGATTGGAATGGGGAGAATACCCTCATCTCTAGCCTGAGGGGCATAGAGCAGGAGGTTCTCGGCGTAAAATCCAGCACTAACATTTTAAATAAGTCGTCATTTCCATTGAAATCAAGTTTAATGCGCTTACCGTATTACACAGGACGAATGGCCGGTCTCAGTTCTGCTGTCACCTTTAGACTGCAACAACATGGTCTCAAGCCCGATGAACTCGCGTAGGCGCGGCTGCTTGCGCGGATCGGCATAATCACAGCCTGCCGAGCTAATGAGCAAGATATTCGGCACATTAGCTTTCTTGGTCGCAGAGATGAGCTCGGCGGTTATATCTATCTTGTCGTGGTGAGCGGGTGGGATCAGGCAGAGAGTGTCACAACCTGTCTCCTTTAGTGTCTTGACAATGTCACGCTCGCGTCCGGGCTTGTGGGGAACGATCACTGCTCCTAAGTCCTTGGCTTGCTTTGCACGATCAGAGTTCGGATCCAGAACGAGTGCGGCGACCGAGTCGACCTTGCTAGAGAAGAGCTCGCCAAGAAGTAACTCAACAATGGCAAAACCGGTGTGGCCATCGGCGGCAGTCACGCAGACGTTTCGCGGCATGGTGACTATTCAGGATGAGTTATAGTAGAAGGTCAAGTAGGCTCTGGTATATGATGGGTGTTAACAGGTTCACAATAATGTGTTAATCTTGTTATGTAAGAGTGGTGTGTGTTTATGTTTGGGGTTAAATATCGTTTGTTATGTAGTGCTAGGTAATAGTAAAACAACAAACACAAATGACATAATACCTTAAATAGCCTAGAAATTTCAATGGATCGTAATGCACTTTCATTATAAGTTCTGCTACGTCACACAGTTTCACGTCAGTATTTCATTATGACTGAATGGAAGCAGCCACTAGTAAATGGTTACGCTAATGTAAAACACTTCAAATTAAAAGTGAGCCTGGAACTTAGCCAATTACATACTTTACAAAGCGTAAAAGTAAGAACTAAGTATACGTCCAGATGACAGCACAATGATTTCATTGCGCATTTAATTGGCCCGGGACCTTGAACTGTAGATTACGGGGGTTGAGAATCAGATAATGACTGTGAGGCGATGCGCTAATGCACTAACCCGCCCTAACTAGGCTCGAGTTTTAGTTTATTTCCCGGACGTTTTAAGCCTACCAATCGCTTGACTGCCACAATTGCTCCAGACCTCGCACCAAGACCTCAATCTCCACATATTTGAGCCTTGTACATACTTGACCAGGCTCCCCATTTCTCAACTACACATGGCAGCTAACGGCAAGGTTTCGTAACCCCATACAGGGACTAAACCACACTTAGGTATTCCTAACGTAAGGCTAGATTACCACTTGTTTTCATTAAGTCAGATTGCTCGTCTAATCGGGTGATCCCATATCTACTTCCGGGGCACTCGGCACAATTTCTATTTCCTATGATCCGGTAACGTACTAATCATTTCGAGATAAAGAGGTAAACCCACGTTAGGATTGCTTCTCTACATTCCCACCACGCTATCAAGTACGGCCTGATCATACTTAACCGCAACGCTAGACAAAGGACAAACTAGGACTTCCTTACCTCATATATGGGGTAAGGAAGTCCTAGCTTGTGCCTTTGTTTCTTGCTACTTGGAAACCTTATGTCTTTTGCGTTTTTTGCTACCTTCCTTAGTAGCCTTGCGAAGTTTCTGACGAGATTTTGGGTACTTATCTTCTGCACAAACGCTCTCGACTAAAACGTATGTTGGCTTGCTACGTTGCTAACGGCGTTCTGAAATCAAGGCTAATTCCTAGAACATAATCGGATAAGGTTCCGCATAATATAGGGTTTTCTCTGGGATCGCGTTAAGCAAAAGATCGTTATTAGGATCCGGACAGCCTATAGCCCACCGATTTCCGGGATATTGTGGTCGTGAAACTTGTTTCAAGAGTTCCTGATATTGCTGAACATGAATTGGAACTATAGGATCGAACTTAATGGACTAGGTTAATTGTCACTATATTGTGAGAAGATCTGTATCAACATGAATATAGAAGCTTACCTGTAATGGGATCATATCTGTGACTCCAATATAAAACAAAGCATTTCTGTATAACTGGTCCCTAGTGAACATCATGCCTGGGCTCGACGTATTAATGTCCTAGACAATCTCGTTAGAAACGAGAGCTTCAGGCTCTACGGAATTCATAGTAACATCCATGGGCTCCTGTGATTTGGGATGTTAATAGTCCCTTGAGATTAAATGAGGAAGGCATTGGGCATAGACAGCATGAGGATTCTAACTCTAACCTTTACGGCAATTGTTTACACAAAGCCAAGAAAGTGGTTCCATAAGATATGACGACCACATGCTACATAGCCTGTTGTGTCATCCTGACGACAAAAGCCGATATTCTAGCAAGCGTAAATTGTACAATTGGCCAATATCGCCAGCCAGAGCGAGTGGGGTCAATCCACAAAACAAACTCAAACCAACGTAAACTAACCCCCGGTGTCAGTACATGAGAGTAACATTGCGGGGAGACTTGTTAATTCCGATCACCTGTAAGTTACCGCACTAGATGGATTCGGCACATTCACGTCTTCTAGATGTTCTAGTAGAAGTTCAGGTCTTGACAAAAGCAGTTCTCCACGGTTCCCCGAAAGTCTTTCAAGATACAGTCGAGGCTGTAGGTCATCGCGGTCCATCTCGCACCTTTCCAGGGATTCGTAAACCCTGTTGGCCATCGGCAAAGAGACAAAAAGAGGAACAATGCGACGAAATGATAACTGCCCCACCGTAATACTGTTACTAGATATAGTACGCTACTCCTATAACTAACTCCTAAGCCCGATACAAACCTCTGACGGCCTACCGGGGGGCAGAATGGAGTCTTGACACGGAATGATATCATTTACACCATGACATTTCACATATGATCAACTTCTACAAAGCCACCTAAGACACTCCAAGGGTTTCATTTGGTACGCAATGCTCCAGGTGTCGAGGCCGTGGCTAATTGGTATAAAGCTTTCCCAATGCAGGTAAATGTCAATAATGCCTGCATGATTGAGAGATTCATGGCATCTAAGATTTCTTGTACTAAGCTTTAACTATTTTTGAGGCCTCAGCAAGTGGATAGCAATGATCCCCCAACCTGCACTAGCATCAAATGTCGGCTTAGTGAGAAACGACCTTGAATTGCATTGAACAGATTTATATTTATTTTAGTACACTTCAAATGCTATTTCCAACCGCAAACGACTCGCCACGAATCAATCTCAGACCGATAGCCTGCTAAGACGTCTCGAAGAGGTCGAGAGACGCGCCGATGAGGCCGAACGCGATCGGTGCGATGAGACGCGACGCGCTGATGAAGCCGAGAAACGATAGCAAGAAGCTGAATGGTTGACCCGACGGACGACTCTAGACGAATACATTACCGCAACTCATGAGCTCGTAGCCAGCCAGTTCACCGTCGAGACCGACAAGGAGCTCACCTCGAAGGCCTCTATGATAAACCCGCGCAACAAGCTGTGTCCAAAGAATTTGCGCCCATGGTCCGACTTTCTCGAGCAGCCGAGGACTAGGGGCCATCTACGACACCTTCCCAGTCTCCGATCGACGTTTCCACAGCGAATTGCCAAGCGACCGATATCTTGCCATAGACGCTCAGGTTCGTCCTTCACAACGGCGTCGAAGATCCCATACGAGAGATCTTTAATCAAATACGTAAGGTGGACCAGGTACGACGCGAGTTTGGGGTAGGAAACGGCTTTGTCTTTAAGGACCACCCTAACACCATTAGCGACGTTGCTAAGGAGGTTGTGGAGCGGCAGACCTCATCGACACCGCTACGGACGCCCGATCAAGGGAGAGGTCCGGGACGTATCCGCCCAGACCAGATATGCGTATACCGGTTTTGACGACGAGCTCTCCACACAGCGTACCATGCTGTATGTGTCCGAATACAAGGCCCCGCACAAGCTGACCCCTCCATACCGTGTGTCGGTCTGCATCCCATGGATATTTTCGAAGATGTGGTCAATCGGAAAACAATACCTACTACGGCCGATCCCGATGGTCGATTCAAGTACCATGCCGAGAGGCTCACCGCTATGGCCATCACACAGACCTACAACTATATGATCGAGGGGGTTCTCGAGTACGGCTTGCTAACTACCGGCGAGACCATTGTATTCTTGCGAGTAGACTGGCGAGAACCCAGCACACTCTTATACCATCTAGCAGAGCCCGCTTTTAAGGTGGCAGCGCAATCGGGGGAACACTATGCTTGTACCGCAATTGGCTAGTACCTAGCATTAAGCCTTATAGCTCTCGGCCCGCCAGGGAACTTACCCAATGTTCGATCGTAGGATGAGCAGCAGCGTGTGATCTTCGGGCTGAGACGATGGGCAGAGGACTTTGAGACGACATTACGATCTATTCCCCGAGACGAGCGATACGCTCCGAGCGGCTCAAGCTCCGGCTCGCTATATACGCCGACGACTTATGCAGGCATCAGCCGGTCACCGCGCGTGCCTCGAACAAGATCTAAACGCTGGGCTCCGGCAGAGGACCGTCCAGATGTGCAGCTGGTCAGAAAGGTCGCCTTGACGCAAAGTGTCCCAACGTTCTCTTGTACCGGCAGGCTAAACCTGTAGCTGCTGATCATCTGATCGACCGTGACGAGTTCCTCCGGCTTCTATTTCAGCAGCTGCAGGAGTCTCTTGACCACGGGATCAGTCGTCTAGATATGGGCGGGTCTCGCAACGTGCTGTTCAAAATAAGTCTGATGGCCTACGGCTACACTTTCGTCACCAAGGGCACGGTATCTGCTTTCATTCAAGACCTAGGACACGAAACCACCATCTACAAACACCTCGAAGGACTTTAGGGCTCTCAGGTGCCGGTCTGCCTGGGCGTAATAGATCTTTGCGACATGAACAGGATTTATTACTACAACCATCGGGTCTACATCGAATATATGTTGTTTCTCTCGCATGGCAGTCCGAGTGAAGAAGCGGTTCGTGCTAGTAAGGTCAAACGGTGTCTACGGGCGATACATCGGGCGCGCGTGGTGTATCGGGATGTGTGTCGTACTAATGTGCTACGCAATACCGACACAGGGGAGCTCATGCTAATTGACTTTGAGCGTTCTGTCGTCAAGGCAGGATGGAAGCCGCTGGGCAATATCGTGCCTAACAAGCGGTCGTGGAATGGGCAAAGGAAGGGGACTAAGGCGCCAATGTACAGTCATGTTTCGGGAGACGCCAGTTATGAAGAACATATACTGCAAGCAGGGGTAATTGTATGATACATCCTATTTATTTCATACTAGTATCAAAGGATATCTACTTATATTGTGGGGCACAGGATACACCCCCCCCGTGACAAGAAAAGTTGCCCAGCCACGTTAAATGTATCTAGTTTGGCGCGACTTACTAATCATGCGCTAATCGAAGTGGTGGGGAAATATATATGAGCTTGTGAAATCCATCGTTACCCTAGCGATGGCTGTTGCTTACTAGATATTGCCCCTCCAGTGGAAATACAATTCGATCTAAGTGCAAATAAGTACTACCTAGCGCGGACGCTAGGGGACATAGTGGCGATTTGAACTGCAAGGATAATGAAGTAGTGAGTGTTGGCTGTACTATTACTGCAAGGGAGCTAAGTGGGTCGTACGACCTTCGTCAGGGTTGTTCAGGGTCTGATCATTATAAGGTCTAAGGGATGGAACTTGAAAATGGTCTCCTGGGCATGCTTTTTGACTTTTGGCACAGTTAAGTTGTCGGCTTTTGGCAGCAGTGCATTCGGAATACAACGAGAATGGCTCGTTGTCGCTAATTGATACTATTTTGGTTACCAAGTTCATTCTTTCCATTCATTTCTCAGTGATCAGTCCGCGAGTGAACCAGCGAGTTCGTCGCGAGGCTTATAACCAAGGGGACAAGACAGTGGTCCTGGTTCAGTACCCGTTACTTTTCCGCCATCTCATCCGAATCTCCTACTTCCAGTCTGCCTTCACGCGCCGTTACACGCCGCTAAGCACGAGGATCGCTACTATGTCGACTAGTACCGAGGCTATCACCAAGGACCACCGTGAGTTAAAGGAGTATTATAACCGAGTTATTGTAAAAATTGCGATAATATCACCAGGTGATAAGCTCCTAGGCGTAACGATTATATTCAGAGACTTATTCTTAAGGAGGGGAGAATAGAATGTCTCCATCGCTAGTTACGAAGCGGGGGTTTTACACTGACTACGCACGGGCGTACTTCGAACGCTGCTCGAGCGCTAGGCTGGCTGGCACCTTGGCCATGTCGTTACAGTTATTAACTTAAACGATACTAACCACCAAGTCCATTACGGTAATTAATTCACTTAGGAGCTAGCTCACCACTTTATTAGCGAGGAGTTAATTATATATCCGGCGATAGAGAAATACCTAGGCTATCAAGGTAAACAGCTCGCAGACAAAGATTAAGAGGAGCATTACTATATAAGTCCACTCTCGTTAAATAAGTTTATAACTCTAGTTATTAATAACATCCTAAATTAAGAGAATGCTTAAAGAGTTTTAGAATCTTAAGGGCGAGGATCTAAAGTACGTGCCTAAGCTTAAGGAGCTTTAGAAGTCATTATTACTATATATAAAAGAGGAAGAGAAAGAGGATCTACCCGCGCTCGAGCGGGCCCTGTAGTTACTAAGAAGTTAGCGACACCCATTTCGCCTTTCATTGTATACTCATGTATCCATGAAACGGCGCTACCTATACGACCACTCGTTCATGAGGCGAGTCTTGATCCAGACAATGACGCTTTGCGATAGCCCAACTATTTGAAAACATCACCAGTCACGTTCTCTGGCTCAAGTATTTCGAACACTACATCCCTGCCTACGACAAACTTCTTCTACCAGGCAAAGACCTTCTTGGAATATCACTCTAGCCTCGCAAGCAAATTCGTGATAACCCCACAAGAGAATTCGCCTTCGTTCTTGAATAAATCCTGAAACTGGCTACTTATCCACAGCTCCTCAAATTTGCAAGCAGCGTATAAACAAAGCATGGATCGCAACTGATCTTGACCTTTGTGCTTGTCGAGAGTGTTATCGAAGCTGTATTGAACCATTTCTGCGAAACCGGAAGCTTCATCAGCACGCGGAATCATGCTTGCCAGTGCGCTGTGCATCTTTCTCAGAGATAGCAACAGGAGACCATCGATACCGTAATAGTCCGCCAAAACGTAAAATCGCGCGTGAGAAAGGCAGATATCGGCATAGTTTTGTGCGAGACTAATATGAGCTCCCACAGTCGCCTCGGTCTCTCCATCGTCATACTGTAGGAGCTCGAACTTCTTCTAGAACAGCTCCTTTTTCTTCTTGTTCCTGATGTTCTTCTTCGGTTTCTTAGACCTTCGCCCTGAAAATGCCCAAATATCGTCACCTTGAGGTGGTACTTCATGATGTACGCCTACAACGTCCTCAGCCACGTCAGGTATGGGTTCTGTAACAGCAGTGCTCTTGGGGTCTTCATGCAAATCTTGGGCATCAGAAACAGGAGAGTCCACTGTTGGAATCGCAGAAAAGTAGTCCCCAGCATATGCAAACTCGAAAAAGCGGACAAATGTGTCTTGGTCAACATGCGGCAATGGGATGATACCAGTGCGCGCTTCTTCCAATTTCTCTGTACCACTGCATGACCCATGAATTAACACGTCCAGTGTTCGTGAGAGGCTAGTGATAGCACCAGCGTGCATAAAAATATCATTTCTTTTCTTGCCCGACAATAAATTTATAGGGCTTCGACGAGGCAATCCTGTATCTGTTAGTGCAAAGAAAGAAGATGTACATATGGACATTGTACTCATTGAATGGCAGGTTCATTCTGCAGATATCGAGTGTAATGGCTGTTATATGTGGAAAGAGGAAAAAAAGTGAATAGTTAAAGACGCTTGAAGGCCGAAGTGTGAATTGCTGGCACCATCTTATTTTCCGTCGATGTAATTTGCATTTGAACAGCATTGTGGAACCAACAAGCGCCGCAGCAAGGTTCATTGTGTTTTAGAGAAAGCATAGACAGTAACCAACTGAGCTACTGTACTGAAGACGTATCATCACCTGCCAGGTGTTTTGCGTCGCCAAGTCATCTAACTTGAAATGTGCCAAAAGGGATCATTTGCAGTTGCTTCACACTACACTTCCTGCATGCTGCGGGATTCAAAGACTGGGCCATTTTGAGACGTGGCCTATCATGGAGAGCTTGCCTGCGCGGGAGTTCTCAGAGATAGCGACGTGGAAGAGGGTCTCAATGGCAAATTGTTATGTCACAAGATTGCCATGGGGTTCGGGAAAGCTTGTCCAATGATTTGTACCCGCTGAAAAGCTAGATAGCCCTACGGTTAGCTACCCCAGCCCCGTTGCAGCCGTCATCAGCTGTGAAGTTGAGATCGTGTCTGTTTGTCTCCCGAGCGCACAATATCTGCTATATTGCCATCTATTCAGCTCCTATGGCAATGAAAAATATATAGGCTACCTATAAGAGGAGATACTCGATATAAAGGGATCATTATTGTGGCGAGAAACGCGGTATGGAGGGAAGCAAGTGATCTGAGTGTATCGTATTTCGTCCCCGCTACCAGTCCGAACAACTGTCATAACTCGACCCATAAGTCTGTCCGCTACGATGGCAAACTTCCAGTGGACTATTATACTCCCATGTCCAAGCCATCACGATTAAATGATTCAATGAGGCAGATGATGCAACATCGATCATCTATTCTACTATCTGCGCTACGTTCTGTCTAGCAACGCCTGCTCGATCACACCACGACAAACTCTAGACTTATGCCATTGCGCCCTTGTCAAAAAAGAGACAGCGATAGTCCAGTCTGACATTGCCTACTAACTGTACCAGTTTCTTTACCAACTTCTCCGTCGATGCCCAAAGCTCTCTAAACTCCAACACGGAGGCTAGAAACGTTGAGAACTGCAGGTCGGCAAAACTAAATCAAAGGGGGCGAGGGCGATCGTGGTTGGATGTCAATGTTTTTTAAGACGGTCGTTAATCAACTCATACAGCAGGTGCCTGATATAGCTGGGCAGGTACAGGCTGCTATAGAAGCAGGCCCTGCTGTCAGCTTAAAACCCATGCAAGAACAATTCCAGAAGCTGATTATTCATCCGGTCTCCCAAATCTCGCTCAACGCTAATCAGCCTCGTACGTGTCTGATTATTATTGACGCACTGGATGAATGTGAGCGGGAAGAAGATATCAGTGTCCTCATCAATATGTTGTCAAGTGCCAAAACGGCGAAGAACCTACAGCTCAGGTTATCCTCACGAGTCGTCCGGAGTTGCCTATCCGCCTGGGTTTCAAAACTGGCAGCGGCACATATCAGGACGTCATCCTCCATGAGGTTGCAGACCCAATTTTTGAACATGACTTAGCCGTGTACTTAAAGCACAGCCTTCAGCAACTTCAAGCAGCCTAGCTTGGGAACTCCACGTCAGTCCTGTGTAAGAACATGGGTCAAGGAGCAGCCACCCGCTTCTTTCGCCTTGGTACCTCAACCGACAATACATACAAAATCCCTCGCATAAAGAATATGATCAAAAGATCTTTCAAGTACAGTGAACAACGGCATAGTGTAGCCAAGTCGGAGATTCTGCACTCATGTGCAATCATTAATGCTTTCTTGATGGTCATTTCGATAAGGTCATTGAAATAATATGTAAAGCTTGAAAACGGTTTTGTACGAGGCTTCCGAGGCCTCTCGTTACTATTTGGAACACATCTTTTGCCTATTCGAGGAAGTCGCGGAACGCTTTGACGGACTGAACTTAAACTGGAACATACTGGATAACCACATTGATGGGCTTAGTGATATGCAGTGGATGGATGGCGAGCCTTGGGCGTATACTGTTTTAATGTAGGGATAATGTTGACGTTGTGGTAATGCAGCGTAATCCAAGCACCGCTTGGACTCCCCTCTTAAACCAGCTTATGCCAAGTTCCGATTCCAGCATTGCATACTCTGTGTAAGTACCGCGATTCCATGGCGTTCTTTCTTATAAATACGGCCCCCTCGTTAGTTTAGGTAGAAAAGCACGGAATAGCGTACCAAAGGCAGCGTGTCTTGGTGAACATGACGGCATTAAGGCAAAGAGGCTTTTTCGAAGATGCTCTGTAACATTGGGATGGAAATAGACCATGTAATATTTGAAGCTATTTCCTAATCTAGCCAGATCTACTCCTTACGCTGCAACGTCCCAGGATTGTGTGCAACATTGTGGCCATGTTGGTCTTTGAAAAGTACCTAAATGACAATATTATTAGCTATGGATTACCCCCGACTGAATCTCCAGAAAAAGAGATGTATGTATTACCTTTGGTGGGTTCTTTACGTTCGATTCTTCCGCTTCCGCCTGGGTAGTCACAATTTTGTCTACCTCGCCCTCGCGTTTCCCCCCTCGCATCTTGGTCCATATCAAGTCTCCTTCATTGATAGGCTGAGAGTTCTTGTCCTCAACATGGTCGGGCATTTCGGCATTAACTTTATTCAAAGCTGCAACGAAGAATATCACGAGGTGTCGATTGAATTTAGATAGGATTTCCAGTAAGCGGGGAACACTATACTTTAGTATATAGGCCTCTGTGTTACAGTAACAGTTACTAAATGCGTTCTTGGAAGTCAATCTGAGTTGACGAAGTTAACATACGTCATAAAGCCGATGATGACGCGACTTCGAACTACGCGGATGTGTGTGCTAATCAGATTTACACTGTGTCGCATGGGGTTTCAACATCGTGATTGGCATTCATCACGCATCGACTAACTACTTTTAAATGTTTTCCTGAATGGTATCTGTCACACCATTTCGGAAACCGCATGGGTGGCTGCATCGAAGAGTTACCAGGTAACTAATAACTGGCTGACACAGTTCTAAACATAGCCTGATCAATATTTCGTCAGCAATACACACATGTTACAAAACTCTGGGATACATTCTGCTCAGACGAAGGAGCGACCCATAAGTGCCGTACATTACGCTCACTGATCGCGGGATCCAAGCTCATATTAGCTTCTGCTGAAATTTGGATCCGCTGTCTATTAGGGTCCAGCAAGTCTTAATCGAATTAACTGCGACCGCCTTGGAAAGCCACGATAATGGACGAACCACCGAACTGGAACAAGCCCCAACTCGTCGCCCTTGCGAATCCTACTTCCTATCTTCTGCCATTGTCATTGATTTTACAATTATCATCAGTTAAATGATCCGCTCTTACTCCATCCTCCGAGGTGCACGAGTTTCTTACCGGACTGTACCAACATCAGTTCCTTCCAATCGCAACGAATAGCACATCGCCAAATTCTTCCGTTTCAATGACCACGTAATCACGAGCGTTGCGAGTTAGGATGTTGATCTCACTCTGCAGCGCAAGGTTCAACCTAAAAGTAGTCACCAGCCATGCTGCAGAACAGTGTGATCGTGCCTGTGACTGGACAGTGGTCACGGTGGCAGTCTTGTGGTGAAAGTCGGAAACTAGCAACGACGCCATCAAACCGAGAACCAAACTGCTTGTCCATAACTACTCACCGTCACCCGCAACGACACCAACCCCACCACAGAAAGTGCACGATGCCGGGGACCGCAATGCAGCCTGGAAAGTTGGCGAGGCACTGTCCAAAGTACAATCTTTGAGCATCTCAAGCCGGACCGCGGGCACATCATACTAGCTCATCTTCACAATCTATTGAACGAGATCACCGTCCTCGATTTGTACAATATGGTGAAACCTGTGTTTCGCCGTTAGGTGAAGTGCATTAGCATGGCCATTAAAGGCGTTAGTACCTCCGTTAGCGGTTTAATTACAGTACCCATAGTTTTTATCACTCCGATTAGCGGCATAAACCAACAAGAGATATTTTTGGCAGGAGTTGAAGCAACCTAAATTTCGCGCCTGAACATATCTGGCACACGACATACTCCGGTTCATTGTGTGGAATATTATCAAAGCTGCGTACTTCAAGCTCTTTGATATTTTATGCGGCGACGCAGAGCAGGTACATGGCACTCCAATTTGGTCGTTTAGTAGAGACTCACGGCTGGCGACACGTAGTCCATTTATCTGGACTATGGCACAATGCCAATTTCCGATACGGTAATTATTGAGACAATCAGCGCGTGTCATGTGCTTACTGGGTGCGGTATGGATCGATCTCTTCGTACGAGCGCCCAACCACAAGCGGTTCATTCTAGTATCGATAGAGAAGCAACGCCTTTCGGCTTTTGTTGGAGGACGGGGATAGAACAAGTCCATTCCGGTGATCTGGTCTTAATATTTCATATATTCTTGTTGATGACTATTTGCATGTTATACGCCTGGGATTGGCCTGGAGTATGATATTTCTTCTTGACATGGGACTGAGCGCGGAGGACATACTTACACTCCTATGCTCAACAGGCAAGGATCAGAACCTAGCTGGAATTACATATTATCGCCATCGGACAAATTCTAGACGGACTTGGCCACCTTCACGCAAATGGAGTCGCGCATTGAGATCTTAAGCCAAAGAATATCCTGATGAAGACCAGGCCATATCTCAAGGTGGTGATCATTGACTTCGGTCTTGCCAAAATCGCACTAGACGCCACATGGCTCAAGACTTTGTGCGGAACTGCAAAATACTTGGCCCCTGAGGTATTTCCAGGTCTCAGCAATGGCCACGGTCCAAAGGTCGACATTTGGTCTTTGACGTTATTGTGCTCGAATGGATATAAGGAATTCCAACACCACCTGATGTCACCAAATTGAAGAAGAAGGACGACGAGGAGATGTGGCGCCGGTTTGTCATTGCCTACGCTGCGAAGCTCCACCAGAAGCTGGAGGATGAAGAGGACTGCCTGCTGGTTGACGTTCTCCGAAGTATGATTGAGGTTAAGCCGGAAAAAAGTTGGCGTGCCGAAAAGGACAAATTTGGATTCCCATAATGATCCTGATTGTCTATCTATTGCAAAGGCTTGGGCTTAAGCTTCCTCACACGCGCATTTGACGGCATCTTCTCCTATGCATTATTCCGCAGCAGATATTCCTAATTTACATGCGCCGATATCTCCAGACCCTTCTTGTGAAATTAGAAGCGGAAGATCTGGGGCGAAAGAGCATCCAGAATCTGGAAACGTTAGTGCCGTAACAACAACATAGACTGGTCACATTTACCTGGCTTAGAATGGCATCGAGCTGTGCCTCGTCGGGATAAACTGCGCATTTGATCACCTTCTCTAGGGTCGTGGATACGTCCTCGGGAATGAAATATAGTAGGTCATCCTCCAAAAAAGCTTCCATCGCATTGTGAAGATTCTTTGTGCCGAATGCCTTGATACATGTTAAATACCGCTTGTGCATTTGTTGCTCGAGGTTATTTCTTCGAATTCAGTAATCGTTTTCTCGTAAAAGAAAACCACAACTGATCAAGCATTGAAAAATAACCACAGCGAGTGTATATCGTCCGTTCTTAAGCCACTTATGCATCACACTTTCCATTCTTCGCCCACGCCTCAATCTCTTTTCCATATCGGGTACTACAACACCATTCGATCATGTTGTGACAGCGTTTAGCAGCAACGACTATTGCTTCATTATCATGAGATTCAAAATCCTCGAGCCGGGGTTTCCAGAATAAGACGCGTTCCCGAGTAAGACCATCAATTCGCAAGCTGGCATTCGTCGCTAGGGATCCCAGTGATTCTGTAGCCGTGCTATTCCGGTTTTTAAGAAAGGTCTGCTCCTGGCCGACAAGTAGAACAGCTTGTCTCCCGCATAGCGAAGCCATACTTCAACCATAGAAAGTAACTGAGTAACAGCGAACGTCCTGATTTCCTGGTCCTCCAGCGCCCACTTCATGATTTCCAAACCACAACTAGTGAAGGATTCGTTGGAGATCCCGAGTCCCGCAAGACGGGCAATTCCTGCGGCAAGGTTGCAAGCTTTGGTCGGAGCCAGCAGGCGCTTCTGACATCCTCAACGAGGTAAGGTAGATCAGCCAAAAGCTGCCCGCCAGGTGTAGCCACCACTTCGAGGGGAATCTTCTCTGATCAACCCAGTCTCCCTCGCCCAGCAGATGACCCTGGTGAGGCGATCTTGAGCAGGGTAATCGGCGTCATACTGGAGGCGGCCAATGAGAAGATGAACCAAATGTTGTGCAGCTCGGCAATGGTGACCCCCATCGGGCTCTCTTCCTTCCCTGACTGGGAGACGAGTCGGCGGGGTGAGGCCCCGGATACAGCTGCCCATGGTGTCCCATAAGGTGTTATCATTGGCGCGATTGGCATCGACTATGAACATCTCCCTCGCCTGAGCAAGCACTCGTCCAATGCTTGCAATATTCTTAGGGTTTGCCATGACGAGCTGAGACGATGCTACGAATGATTTTGGACTTAATGGGATGTCGATATATGCAAAGCGGTGCGGGTGTTTTGTTGAGATAGGTACGGCGGTCTGGAGAGAATTTTATGCGACGGACATGGTTGCTTAAATATTCGAAAGCACGGGTTTCTCGCGGTGGTCATAGTTGTTCATTGCTGATGATAGATGTCTTACTCTTCGCCAAGGTACTGTGAACAGACAGGGCCAACCCCGGCTTTACCCTAGGGATCGGCGTACCCATGCAGTCAACACCCTGGAGTGGCCAATTAGGCGCCTGAACAGCAACACGGCTCCTTAACCTGGCTGTCAACGCCCTATGAGGCAGACCTAAATTCGGAAAGGCGGGGTGGGCTCTATTAGCGTGCCAACGGGGCCATGTGTTTTTACGGATTATTCGCAGTCAGAAAGACAACAGTCAGTGGCGAGCGGTCCTTGCCATCGGCCAATTGTTCAGCCACTGACGAATTCGCTCCGTTCTGGCCATAGACGGATCCGTACGGGACACGGAGTAACTATATGTAATCTATTAATGATTATAGAGCAAGTCTCGCCTCGGCCATAACGCGCGTAACATAGTTTTACTATACCATTTTTAAAGGCAGGTTGTAATATAGTACGTAACCTGATAAGCACGTAACTTTTACCGTTTCCCGACCGGCACCTCGTCAAGTTACGTATCGTATGTTAGTACTTACGGGATTTGTGCCTTGCCTTACTATTACAAGTTCCTAGCGTTTTATAACAAAGATGCCGGCCGCACCGTCTCATCTGTTTACCGAAGATGTCCTAAAGCCTGAACTAGACAACCCGGAATCCGATAGGTTGCTATACCATTATCATTCGGGCCCTTATACCAACTTTACCGAGCGTGTAAATACATTAGTTAACGCGACATTAAGACGCACCCTAAATAGCGCATTTATAATCGACTTAGACTCGATTCTCGACGAGTCTAGAAGATTATATCACGGATATAAAGACGGGAAATATTTATTACTAAACGACGCTATTAGCATCCCAGGTTTCGACGACTTTATATAACATGTCGTTAATACTATAGTAGGCAGAACAAGACTGTTTGGATGTCTAATATAAGGTTTGCCTTCTTGCTTTAGACGGATGGCTCGTACTAGCTCCGTATCTTAGAATACTAAAGTACGTCTTAGATATCGCTACGGGTACTAGTATTTAAGCTCTCGACTATAATACTAGCTCGAAACGTAACTCGGCTAGTAATTTAGCTAACGATTATAATAGCTAAACGATACCGCGACGCGGAAGTTATTAGTATAAACTTAAGTACGATATAATTAGATAAAGGATTCCCGAATTATAACTTCTAAAAAGATAATGTAAAAGCGGATTAAGTCTTTCGTAAAGCAAGAAAGCCTTATCTTATTCTCTTCGACTATATTTATACACGCTTAATAATGTCTTGCTTCGACGATACGAGAAATGTTATAAGGTATGCTTTTAAGAATATATAATTAGGTAGTTAGATTAAGTTTTAAGATATTATTATAAATATATTGAAGTAGTGAGTGTTGGCTGTACCAATACTATAAGGGAGCCAAGTGGGTCGTACGACCTTCGTCGTGGTTGTCCAGGGTCTGATCAGTATAAGGTCGAAGGGATGGAACTTGTAAATAGTCGAACGGGCATGCTTCTTCACACTTTTGACTTCGGTAGCATGGTCAGTTCATGCAGCAGTGCATTCGGAAGACGACGAGAATGGCTCGTCGTCACTAATTGACGTTATTTTGGTCATCAAGTTCATTCTTTCCATTCATTCATAAGTGATCAGTCCGCGAGTGAACCAGCGAGTTCGTCGTGAGGCTTATAACCCAAGGGACAAGACAGTGGTCCTGGTTCAATACGGGCTTAATTAGCATAATATAATTAGTAAGACTAATATATACCCGGGCTAAATAAAAGAAAAAGTTATAATAACCGTACCTAGTGAAGTAGTAAGTGTTGGCTGTACTAATACTACAAGGGAGCCAAGTGGGTCGTACGACCTTCGTCGTGGTTGTCCAGGGTCTGATCAATATAAGGTCGAAGGGATGGAACTTGTAAATAGTCGAACGGGCATGCTCCTTCACACTTTTAACCACGGTAGCATGGTTAGTTTTTACAGCAGTGCATTCGGAAGACGACGAGAATGGCTCGTCGTCACTAATTAACGTTATTTTGGTCATCAAGTTCATTCTTTCCATTCATTCATTAGTGATCAGTCCGCGAGTGAACCAGCGAGTTCATCGTGAGGCTTATAACCCAAGGGACAAGACAGTGGTCCTAGTTCACTATATATACATGTTAACATGTTGTTAAAGCTAAAAGTGATCTTATTAATACGTCTAGCAGTTATTATTACTAGAGGCGTTAAATAATACCTATTTTATTAGTTACTATGTTTTCAAGTACGGCTTAACGATCCGTATAGCTTTCTAGCTTAACATAAGTTATAACTAACTCCTATACGGTCATTCTCGGCGCTAGTTATAATCCTAATGGGGTTAGCATTAGTTGGATGGCAGGCCTAAATTCCCGTCCGTCGGTTAAAAGTATCAAATGGGCTCTAAAGGACATCGGTCAAATACTAGATAGGTGATCTCACAGAGTTATCAGTCGGACACTGGTCGGTCCGGTTCTATCTGGCGGATTTGGCGGATTTATAAGACTTAATTTCGTTTCTAGCGTAAAAATGAAGTTGTTAGTCTCACTAGAAAATATTGTAACGTAATCCCAAGTAAATGTAACACATAAGTGGAGGCAACACTCCTTACTATAATATTATAAATAACTTCAATTTCACCACCACTATATTAAGGAATTATAATAATTGTACATTATGCCCCGGCCTACCACACGTATCGTAACACCGTATCGTCGCACGAGCCCCACTTGTACGACGACCACTTTGACCGGATTCTTCTCCTAATTGGTCGTCCACCTCCTTTTGGTCCAGCTAGTCTTGCGCATCTTGTACAGTAATGCTCCCCCAAGACGTACGAACTTTGGGGGGGGGGGAGGTTTAGCTTGGGATATACTTACTAAGCGCCTCTTGAAATTCGACTCTCTCACGTTGGCTCCGTCCAAATGACCTAGACTGTGGTCGTGGGTGCTAAAAAATCATGCGATTCTTCTCAAGGCTCATTGCCTTTTCTTGGCATAGCGTTGTTTTGCATTCCTCTTGCATATCTGATGTACTAGTCGCCCATTTTCAAAGCTTGGTTTCATACCACCGTTACACATTATCCATAACAACTTCTAACATGCTGTCTTCGTGCAGGTATATATCGATGTTAGGTGTCTACTACTCCTGAAATGCTTTTAACCCATTTCTTGAAATTGAAATGGGACCAGTGTGGCTCCGCTTTTTCTGGAGTACAATTTCCCCATTCAAACCGCGTTTCCTCTCATTATCTCATTAAAGGTGTTGTGTTAAGTGTCTCGAGAAAAGCTTCTGAGATATTTTGGAATATATTGGTATTTTACTATCATAACCATTTATGGAAAAATACCAAAATCTCTAGTGAAACAAATCGTACTGGGTCGGCAGTCTCTTCAAGCTTGGATATGCGCCTAATAGCAGGAGGTGAGTTCAACCCCGATTGGTACAACGCCTTGCTTTGTATGGGCCCTAGTCCATGTATTATGGAATGTATTGAAGAAGGCCGCTCGGCATCATGTTTTATAAGCGACTTATTGATCTCGGAGTTAACTGGTGTGAGAGGTGTGGTTAATATGGGTTTTAATTAACTATCCTATATAACGAGTATTACGAGCTTAAGGAATAAAAGTTGTTTAGGATACATGAACAAGGTTTACTTAAATAACGGGGAAAAAGAAATTCATAAGGCAGAGAAGCGTCGCGAACCTCGGTAGGTCCCTTAGCTGAGGGCATCGCCGAATGCCAC